GGAGAGCATGCATAAGTTGGTCGGAATGAAATTCCGGAGTGCAAGACTTGGAACTTGTCGCGCTTTGGTGTAATGCCAATACTAACCAAGTACGTACTCTGTTTCACCATCGGCTTTCATGATGCATTTTATTTATTTGTCTATAGAACACTACATCGTGATGGTGGCATGTGTTGATGGTCAGGGCCTGTTTTGCAGGCTTGACATCTCGCTGAATGTATTTTATCATTCCAGAGTTTTGGCTAGCATTGACGATAATTCACAGAACAGTAATGGATTAAAGGGAACTAGATCAATTCATGTCATGTGGTATCTTTATTTATTCATTTGTTTTGTTGTCTACCTCTAAAATCGTTATAATCATTAAGGCTGTGGCTCTCTGAACCTAATCGCCATGAGATCTACTCGTCATCGCCGAAGAAGACCTTGATGGGCAACCAGGCGTCGCCGCAGACCTTGAACCTCTCGGGGAAAGCATCGATGGCCTTGACCTCCTCGTCGGTCAACTCCCAGCCATCGAGCTCATAGTTGGCCTCGATTCTGCTGGCGGTGACACTCTTGGGGATGACGGAGGTGCCGCGCTGGAGACCCCACATGAGGAGGACCTGCTGGACGGTCTTGCCCTTGCTCTCGGCGATCTTCTTCAACTCGTCGTTCTTGTAGAGCGGGGAGTCGGTGGAGCCGAGGCAGGAGTAGGCAGTGGCGTGGATGCCCTTCTCCTTGCAGTACTGGAGGAGCTTGGGGGAGGGGTTGTTGGGGTGGAGCTCGATCTGGTTGACGGCGGGAGTGATCTTGAAGCTGGGGTCCGCGAAGAGCTTCTCGAGGTTCTTGATGCCGAAGTTGGAAACGCCAATGTTCTTGACGCGGCCCGAGGCGGGGAGCTTCTGGAGCTCGGCCCAGGTCTTCAAGAAGTCCCAGTCTGGGTAGTGCTTCTTGAGGTCTTCGGGGTCCGTGGAAGAGGGCCAGTGCTGTTGGGTGGGACATTAGCGCATGATTACTTTGAGTGGGTTTTCGAACAGGGCTGAGATGATTGGAAATCGTGGAGTTGCCGTTGCGATTGGAGTAGTTAGGAACATACCATGAGGTAGAGGTCGACATAGTCAACACCCAAGCTCTTCAAGGAGCTCTCAATACCCTCCTCGACGCGCTTGTGCCAGGGGTTGTCGAGCTTGGTGGTGATCCAGATCTCCTCGCGGGGGACGCCAGAATCCCTGATGCCCTGGCCGACCTCATGCTCGTTGCCGTAGGCGAGAGCAGTGTCGATGTGGCGGTAGCCCTTGAGGAGAGCAGCCTTGACGGCCTCGCGGACCTCGTTGGGCTTGGATTGCCAGGTTCCCAGACCGATGGCGGGGATTTTGGCACCCGTGTTGAGGGTGAAGGTCTCTTGTGTCCAGGTCTTGGGGGCCATTTTGCGGAGAGTTGCTCTGAGCATGTACTTATGCTGAGGGGTATCAAAAAGAAAAAAGAGAGGTGAGGAGTTGAAATGACAATTGAGGAAGAAGGAGGAAGGAAGGAGGAGGAGAAACTGGGGGAAGTCGTTACTCCTAAATACCTTTCTCCTACGTATTGTTTCTCATTTTCACCATGACACGACGTCCCCACAGGTTACCCACTACCTAGCATCCACCAACCATGAATGGGATGAATGGCAGCGGAGTGCTGCTCGTATCTTGCACTACTTGCAGGAATAGACTACGAGCAAAACCCCTGGAGAGAGACTAGAGAGCTAGGCATACTAGATGGGGTGTTGTAGCCACCGGATAATCGAAGGAAGTAGAAATACCTAGGTACTCAGGCGTGCTAGGGAAATTGGAGATGGTAAAACAACAAAACAGAAAACTCTTCAGAGCCAATAAGCACTTTGAATGGAACTAGGCAGACGATTGATAGGTAAGGTAGACAAAGGCAGGAAAACGGTTGAATCCCACCAATTGCGGGATGGATTCGCCGTAGACTTTGCAGTGTTGCGTACACTGTTCCCTCGTACCCTCGTATCTCGTGTGGTTGTGAATTGAATGCGACGTCACCCAACTTCTTCCCCATAGAAAAAGCCCCTCCTGGTCCGTGCACTATTCTTCCATTCTGGGAAATCCACCCGATAATTGTCGACTCCTTCCGCGCTAAACCCAGTTAGTGCTCGTATATCCCACCTCCATCCACTGTCCCACCGGCGCCATCAATCCCATCCAATTCACCTCAACCACTCACAATCTCCCAATCCCGCACTTCAACGCCATCGTCCGACCACCCGCTCCAGACTGTTCCAACTTCCCCATACAGCAAAGCCCCAATTGGGGTAACCCGGCCTTCTCACTCCACAGCAACGCGAAAGAGACAAGAAAAAGTACCCTCCGACCTTTTGCCCCTCCGGACCGCCCCTGACGTCCTGTACCAAATGTCCTCCGGCTTCGTGTCTGGTGGCACTGTCGACAATCCCGTCGAACGTGACGACGAATGGCACGCTGCCCAGAAGGAGCTCGCTGAGAAACGGCGCCAGAAGGAACTCCAAGAGAATGCCCACGACGGAAAGAGTCTCTACGAGGTCTTGCAGGCCAATAAAGGTGGATACATTGACAGTCCTCGGACCATCCCCATGGAACGGCGAGGGCTAACATGTTAGGTTGTCGTGGTTAAGCGGCCAAGCAGGATGCCTTTGAAGAGGTAACAATCCACGTTCACTTATTTTCATGGAATTCTACATCCAGACTGTAATTGCAATTCCTGACGCACATACAACAATAGGCAAACCGCCTGAAGAACCAATTTCGTGCTCTCGATGACTCTGAAGCCGAATTCCTCGACGCCGTCCTCGAATCTACGCGCAAGCAGGAGGAGACCATCCGCAAAGATACACTCGAGCAGTTAGATCTGTTTCGTAAGCATCAAGAGGAAGTGGAGCGCAAAGCCCTTCTCGAACAGAACGCTGGTGACCCGGTCACCGCAGAAGGAGCCCCGCAATGGGGTGTTAACAGGAAGAGGAAGAAGGGCAATGAGAAAGATGGTGGGCTCCTGAGGGGTGCTAAATCGAGGAAGGCCAGCTCTGGTGCTGCAGAAATGGAGCCGAAGAAAGCCGTGGCAGACGAGCTGGACAGTGACAAGAAGGCCAATCGCACAAAAGAGAAAACTGTCGCTGGGCGAGGATCAGATTCAGTCGCTGGAAAGGAGGCGGTGAAATCTCCACAAGCATTGAAACCTGCCGGCGCAGCATCTCCACCAGCAAAACCAACAGTTCCTTTGTCACTAGGTTTGGGATATGCGTCGTCTGACGACGACGACTGAACTCAACTAGATCAAGACAAAGATCGCCCTCTCAGCTTCAAGAGCCTGTGCGATAGACATTAGTCGAGTTTTGGATTGGGGGTAGCAGATCAATCTGCTGTACTCCGACTGATGTTATGAAATATTTGCCGCATTCGGTAATCCAAAAATCAATGATCAGCTAAGCCTTTGGTCCATAGCATAGGCGACCGCAGATCTCCATCGAAGTTTTGTATAATTAGTACCAATCTTAATACGGCAATCATAGTTCCATATACGGACATTGCATGGGCCTTTCAACCACATCTGGCATAGCATCCATTGGCATGCAATGGTCGGATTACTTGTACAGCATAATTACCTTATTTCTACTTCAGTGCTGTTCTCGTGGTCTTCTTCCGATCACTCCAGTGCACATGTTTTACACCGACGCTGAATCATAGGTACCTCATCTCTGTTCGTATCTTTCGTTCTCTATGCCTTCACGTTCAGGACGTCAATGGTAGGAGCATTCTTGTTGGCCAGAGCCCGAGTAGAAGCAACAGCATCTTGATCGCTCCTGTTTCCTTCATCCAACCACAACCCTCACTCGCTCCTCTCCACAGCAAACACACTCTCCTCCTTCCCCCCATTCACTGTTATAATAATATCCTTACAGATCTTGAATAATTCCCCCCACCTCCACTCCTTTGATTCCTTTGATTCCTCAACGAATTTTCCCAACGTGTGCCTAAATCCTTCCACGAACATCATCGCATCATCCCCAACCATCGGCATAAGCGTGCTCAAATCCAAATGCTTAAACTCCTTGCTGAACCTCACTGGCAACTCCGCCTCCGGAATCGGGCGATGCCAATCCCTCCTCTCCGTCTCAAAATTCAATCTTATTACTCCAATGCCACCATCTCTCCCAGCAGATTCCTTCCGACATTCGATATTCGGCCGAAGCAAAGTCTCCAGATACCTCACCACCCCACCCACTGGCGCACGTATAGGCAAAGTTCTCTCCGGGTCCAGTCCTCTATACTCTCTGTCTTCCATGGTATGGTAGAGCGTGACATTAACCTCCACATCGTTGAGATGATGGGGCTCGCCTCCACCCTCCGCGTTCCATTTTTTCTTCTTTCCGCCCACCCCGGGCCCGATTCGTACCAATCCTTCCTCTCGGATCGTTGTGTGAAGCGGAATGTAGCGTGGAGTCGGCAGGATCCACCACCTGTCCACCACCGCGAAGTCAATTATCGCGATATTGTGTCGCGACACGACGTCCCTTGTCTCCGCGGCGATTTGCCGGCATGTCAAGAGGAGGGGAAGTAGTGATAGGTTGTGGGTTGGAATGGACTCCACGCGCCATACGACGAAGGGATTGGTGCTTGTACGAGTATTCTCTTGGGCGAAGGATGGAAGGGTTGTGCGGGTTGGTGTGGGGGATGTAGAGGGGACTGGGAGTGGGTAGGGTGGGGAAAGAAGGACATAGGATATGATTTGGAGGCGAAGTTCCGTGGAGAGGGCCATGAGTGAGGCGGGCATGGTTTTCCAGTTTCCACTCTCGAAGTGGGGGTGAGGATTTAGATATTCGAAATTTCAAATGTTGGGTGGGAAGTTGTGTGTTTGGGAGTGTGTCAGTATGTTACACGATTCATCACCACGTTCGATACAATAGGTAGGTATAATACATAGGCGAATTAACTAACCAAAAGGGGACGGGAAGAAAGGACTATGTCCATAGGACCTGTTATTATCTAGATCATCTTGCATAGAACATCACAATAAGATCTGGGAGAATTTGGAGGACCATTCTTTGTCACAGCAATTACTTTTGCTTCAGGACAATAGCAAAAAACACGCCAATTCCAATAACCAATGCGCAGAAAGCCACATGGTAGCAAGAACAAATAACCCACAATTTCCACCTCACGCAGAAAGACCACAGATTGAGAAGTATGTCAGTAGAAAAGAGATATTTTATATCCACATGGAACATCGTTCCCCACATCGTCCGTACATACGCCCTCTTTTATCAACATGACTGAGCATATCTGACGGCCCTGACACCACACCACGCACAATATCATATCCGCACCACCTCTCATGCAATATCCCCCTCCACGGAGACGTTGTTCCCACCTCATCCGTGCCTCCTAGCTACCCCTGATAGGAAAAGAGAATCAGAGTAAACATACAACCAAGCTTCATCACAACCCGAACGCCATAACCCCTCACCTACATAACAAGCCGAATCAAGTATCAAACCGAGAAAAGAAAAAGCATTCACAAGAGGCGAGTAACTACCCAATCAAGACCACCAGCAATCACCGAACTGGTTCATGCAGCCGAGACCGCAGGCCAGAAGTCCACTACCGCATGTCCCGTCCCAGCGACAGCAAGGCTTCGACCCGTTCGCGTAGCCCTTGCACGTCTGGCCTGAGTTCCGGGCGCCGCAGCGGCCGTTCTTGCTGACGTTCGACGTTGGCGACGGGGCGGCCGTGGAGGTCGAAGAAGGTCTGACCGAGGTGGTCAAAGACGGCGGGTTGGTCGTGGAGCTAGGAGCGGAATTTACGCTGGTGAGGGATGAGAAGGTGTTGCCGCCAGTAGAAGGAGAAGAAGGAGAAGGAGATGAGGGAGGGGGTGTAGATGAGGAATCAGAGTCAGGGACAATGGAACTCAGACTACTAACAGGAGAACCGCAGGTTCCAAACGCAGACTGGCATCCCGTGCCGCAGTGGTCGGTCGTGCTGCCGCACCAGCCATACTGGCTGCAGCAGTTGCCGAAGGGTGAGTCCTTGCACGTCATCTGCCCGGTACCGCCGCAGGTCCCGTCGTTGGAGATGACTTTGTTCGTTGGCGTGGAGGTGGGGGGGCGGGTTGCTGTGGTGGTGGTTGGGGTGTTGCTGCTGGAGCCGCAGGTGCCGAAGGAGGGATTGCAACCTGTGCCGCAGTGGTCGACTGTAGATCCACACCAGCCGTACTGACTGCAGCAATTGCCGAAGGAAGAGCCCTTGCAGGTGAAGCCGTTGGTGCCACCGCAGCTTCCGTCGGTTGACACCTTGCCGGTGGGGGATGATGTAGGGACGCGAGTGGTGGTCGTGGTAGGAGTGCTGCCGCCGGATCCTGTGCGGTACCAGTTGGCTTTGGGGTCGCCCATGCACTCTCCCATTGTGACGAGCTTGAAGCCCTTCTGCGTGAACTGCTCGAGCATATAGCCGGTCAGGTTCTGGGCAGTCTGCTGGTGGATGTCGTGGGCGATAGCGAGGAAATCGTCGTTGGTAGGGGTCTTGCCCTGAAGGGCGGTAGAGACACGGTTCTTCGCGTTTTGGATCAATGCAGGAGTGATGTTGTTGTAGTCTGAATTGCGGTCAGCGTAGCTCGAATTATGCGGCATAGTATGCGACTCTTACCATCAGTGTCCAAGTCGAAGTAGGAGACGACATATCCAAGATCCTTCAAGTCTTGCTGGCAACCCGAAGCAGCAGTGCAGGAAGAGTAGGGAGGGCGCATGTAGGTGGGGAACTTTCCGATGATGTTCTTGAAAGCCATCTCGTTCTTCACCATCTGATCGTAGCGCTGCTCCTTGGTGATCGCGCTGAGATCCTGGTGAGACCAGGTGTGACTAGCAATCTGGTGGCCCTCTGCCTCCATGCGGCGAATGACCGCAGGCCAGGCAGTGGAAGCATCGTCAATGGCTCCCTTACCAATGTTGATACCGGTGATGAAAAAGGTAGCTTTGGCGCCGTAGGCTTTGAATTGGTCCAAGACACCATTAGTGTAGATGTATGGGCCGTCATCGTAGGTGATGGCGACGGTACCTGGAACCTCGCAAGCATAGATACCCTCTCCGCCATACTCGATATCACCAAGTTGGGGACGAGCAACGTTCCTCGTGCTTGTGCCAGACGGAGTCTTGTTTGCGTCACAGCCGGGTCCATATGGGAACAGACAGTCGGGAGCCTCGCAGTAATCGTTGCCTTGGCCACACCATCCCTTCGCGATATATGTTAGCCTGGATATATGTATATGTGTAAGACACTGTATAACTTACAGCACCAGAGCAGCAGTACCCGGCAGCACAGCTTGCACCACCGAAGCTAGGCCCGCAGCGACCATTCTGTCCGCCTTGACGGGCGTTAAGGGTAGGACCTTGTTCCGGATCACGCTTTGCCTGTCCGCTGAAGATGTCCCGGTTCTTCAACTTGGCCACCTCATTGGGAGCGACCCCAAAGACTTTGGGCGCTCCAGGTATGCCACCGTGGGCGGCGACCAGAGGAGCTGCCACGAGGGAAGCGACGTAGATGCCGGAGAATCGCATATTGTTTCCTGGTTTTATCCCGGTAGATTAGGTATAATATAGAATGGTATCGAAGCGAACGTATGGGTCGAGAACGACGAATAGCGAGAGTGGAACGTTGGATTGAAATCACAATATCAAATCGCAACTATTAGAATAAAACGAAAGAGGAGCGTCCTGAGCGCACGACGACAGACAAAACGAGTGTGAGGAGAGACTTTCATCGCAGGGGAGCTGGCCCAGGTTTATACCAGCGAACCTGACAGTGCATGCATGGGCAGAATGTCGTAGCGTGCAGATGTCCCGAAATGGCTTCCCACTAGTAAGCCCTTTGCAAAAACAGACTCCGAGGTCTTGGTCATGGTCATGGTAAGGTTCGGAACGCAAAATAGAACATCAGACCGGGTCCCGGCGATGCATCAATTGTGGGCTGCAGCTGTTAAATGCGGAGATACGAGACACAGCATGCGCTGCTGTGATTGAGGCCGTAACACTACGAAGGGAAATTGAACAGTGAAGAATGGGAACTGTTTTCTAGAAGTCAAAGTGAACAGTTTGAGACCTACTTGAGGTTCCCAAAACATATCCAGCATGCCATTTTCTGAAGCGACCCCCGGTTGAACATCGATTGAAACATTGTCCCTGCAGCCCAAAGGGGAAACTGACCGTTCAGGCATCCCAGGATCGGATGTGAGTTTACGCCAAGGGTCAGAGCACTAAATAAAGTGTACGCCAAGCGAGAATGATGCGACACGCATCAATACTGGAGATGAAGAGGGAAGAGGTAGGCGAACGTGACTATCGAGAAGTCAAAGATTCTGTAACGTCGACTGTCTGGTCAATGGCTGTAGTGGCTGCCGCACGACGTTGGGGCGATGGCGAAAATAGGAAATAGGGAATCGAGACTATCCAACCCAAAGTTTAGACTAGAAAATCGGACTAAAACGTTGATTTACCTTTAGTGCCGGCAGGGGCGCTCTCCCATCCAGATCAAGCTGGATTGTAGAGGCCATGGGAAGTGACTTGACCTTCTACGGGTTATATGCGGAGTCGCCAGGGGTCGAGCATCCATGTCTGATACAAAACAATAAATCGACGAAGACGCTATGATTGTTCTACGCTGCGGATTGGGCGATCTTTGTTTTGGAGAGCCAGGATGTATATGTTTCTTACTGTGTGGTCGAAAGGTTGTCCTGTATACATAGAGTGTCGTTGTTTGTAGTATGAGTCGCTATTGTGCTTCTTTCACGCCAGCCCCTATTCGATGTGGAGGCATTCACCCTTGGTGCTTAGCGCGCCGACTCCGCTCCGAAGCATGTATACTCCGTACTCATGTTTATTTACAATGGCTTGCGCAGAGGAAGCAAACATCGTACTGAGTAATTGAGCGGCGTGCTCCATCGGAATATGCGTTCAGCTTGCAGCTCTTTTACACTTCCAAGACTCAAATCCGATAGAATGAGCTGTCAGGTCGTGCGCCATACAGGAAGCGTCATATCGCACAAGTCGTTCGATTCGATGCTGCCTCGTGTTCTCCACGCGACGTGTGACAATGCACAAGGCAGCACCACACAACGCAGGGCTATCCATCGAGTACCCGGCTACCGAAGCGAAGAAAAGGCACTTGAGCGTCTTGACGGTAGGTGATGGCACCAGTGAACATTTCTCAACAACCTGCCTGGGGCTTCTTGTACTACCTTTGTGACACACTGGCGCTACCACGAGCCGGTCGGCTGGCTATATTAAAACGTCATGCAAGATTTGTCGTGTTAATAGTTCCACAAAATCAAATTTCCATCCAGCTACGACATTTGACGACTATGTAGCTACACCGGTAGTAACAAATGGCAATGCTAGAGTGTAATCGGGTGGCGGTTCCTAATACTGCTTGGGAAAGCATATGCTGAGAACTACATTACCTGGCAATAATGAAGCAAATACGTATAGTGGAAATTACGGGTATCTCTATTCTTACTCTTCTCTCGTCCAAATCTATTGTCTACGCAATGGAGAAGAAGCCTCGTCAACTGTATAAACCATACAGACTAACGGATTTAGGCCTCGTCGCTTGATTCATTAAACAGTGGATTCTCGCGGGAGGCGGGTCACTCCCTCCACTAGCTCTCCGCTACATAAAACTCATTTCTTCATTATCTTCAGTAGTGGTGCGATCCGTGCACGTTTACTCAGTCCGACTCGATACGGCACCTTGCTGTTATTCATCGGTGACTGTGCAGCCTTCGTCAGCTGCTTCTCCGGTGTTGGTGTATGCTCCTCGTGATCAGGCTTGGGATCAGGCTTGGGATCAGGCTTGGGTTCGGGCTTCGATATGGCAGCTGGCTTCTCAGCATCGACTTCTGTTCGCCTATCCAAGCTGCTCGCTTTGTCGGTTTCTACCCCGATATTGATTGGCGGCGTGGGCATTTCAGAAGCTTGCTCGCTACTCTGGGCTACTTCCGTTACAATGTGTTGCTTGCTCTCTTCATTGTTGGCAGCCGCAGGCGGAGGTTGATTTGCTTTTTTGGGACGACCTCGACCTTTCTTTTTATTTCCAGGTGCTGGCGCCGATACTGATGCGGCATCGTCTCCTTGCAGGCCAAGTTCTCCATTATGATTCGCATGGCGTGCTTGCTTGGGGCTAGGAATGATTACTTTCGGACTGCTGTTCATGCGTGGGCTCTTCTTCTGCTCTGATATGAGGGTGGCTGCCGTCCCACCTATACCATTTTGGTCGTTCGCTTGCAAATTCTTCGAGGACAAGTCCTTACGGTTCTCATCGGATTGGGTCGTGTGGTTGCTGCTATTAACTCTCGATTTTACGTTGGCCTTCTCTGCCTTTCTCTTGGTGTTCAATGCATCTGTAGGTGCAAGCTCATCATGGTCATGGACAGATGCATTAGCAATCAACCAATCTATAGTTGATGTAACATCACCACCATTCTTGGCTAGAGCTCTTTTTGTCGTAGATGGCGTGAAGCCCATATCGCAGATCTTCTCAACCTTTCGAGGTGTGGACAGAATAGCTGGCTCATCGATTCCACCCGTCGTTTTACTTCTCCTTGCAGCCCTCTTCCCTGCCTTTTCTGGCCTGATGGAGTAATCTATGGTCTCGTCCAAGGTCTGCATCGAGGAGCGTGATCGTGAAGGACGGGGTTTGTACTGCTCTTTCGGTAACCCCACAGGCTCAAAGTCATCGTCAGAATGCACAGCGGCGGCCTTCTTGTCCTTCAACTTTGTTGTTGATTTGTTATCTCGACCTGTATCGCTACTCTTTTCGAATTCATGTGAAAGATCCTCGCCATCACGCCCGTTGCTGGCCATTGTTGTATGGTTTGGAGACGGCGGCGTGAAACTTGGAACGTTACTCCCGTTTGCACCACCGCCGCCCATTTTGGTGTCGACTTCGAACATCATATTTGGTAGGCTCTCCTTGACAGTAGTCTCGTCCTTGAGCAGAGACAGGTGAGCAGGCGGAGTAGCAGATGGTGTATGGGATATCCCAGTTGATTCTTTTGCTGATGAACCCGGAGCACGAGCGTCCTCAATGGACCGATTAGTCTGGATATTTTGGTTATCGGACCTTTGCGTATCTGCTTGGTCTTGGCTTTGCTCCAAAGGACTTTGGATAAGCTCTGACCAAGGGACAGAACCTTGGGGTTGATAAGGCGACGTTTCACGCGTTAGTCCCAGGAAGCCTGGATCCATGACTTCTGCGAATAGTCGTTCCTGGGTGGCTGTGGCATTTGGGATAGTACTTGATTGATCTGGGAAAAGGATCATTGGTTCATGCTGGGCATAGTCCTGAAGTGTTGTCTCCCCAAGTCCCCAAACGTTATTTTCCATGTCAAGACCACCAGGTGCAACTGCATTCGGTTGCATTACGGTGCCATCCAGCCATGTCCGAGACCTTCCATAAGTTTTACTAGGCCTCACTGATTCCAGGGTCTTTACAGGCGACGATATGGTTGTGAGATCGAAGCTTGTTTTCCTCCTTTTGCTGCGATGATTCGGCGAGAGCGACATTGCTCCACTGGACTGATTTTGCGACAGGCATGGTGCGGAAGGTGCGGATTGGGATTGCAGATGCGTGCGGTGAGCAGTCGCTAGAGCTCTCTTTAGAGATTCTGGGTCTCTAGTTAATTATTGATATCCAGGCGCTGAGATGACACCGATGGCATACCTGTAGAGCCTGTACCATTATCGACAACTGAGGCAGTGCCTGTCTCAATGGATTGATGGTTGGGGGAATTCCCAACTGCAATTGCTGCGCCATCATTTCCCTCAAGATTTCCTTCATCTAATTCGTCGTCTGAATCTTGGATGACGCGTGTCATGGTGGATTCATCTCAAGGTTGGAAGCGTGCGAGTGTCTAAGCGATAGACGGGTAGTGAATCCTAGTGGGGGTCGCGGTAGCGCGTATGGTCCGCGTTGTTTCCGCGCAGTCAGCTGATATGACTTGGCACTCAAGTATCGAATCGGATGCTTCGTGTGGGTCAATACGAGGGAAATGCAATAAACCGCTGAGTTGTTATATCCCTTATTATAATTATTGCCCACAATCCAATTCCTTACAAGTATCTTTCGACAATGAGTTTACGTCAAAAAGATGTCGTTCAACCGCTTCCACAACTTTCACATGCCCTGGGCATCATAGGCTCGAAATGAAGCCTTTACCCCGAAGAGGCACACACATGGTCACCAAGGTAATAAAACACACAAGCGCTTGCAGATAGGGTATCCCAAATTTCAATATCTCCATCGATATGTATAACAGAATCCATCAGAGTAGTCAGCTTCTAACATGTTCCTCTTTGCGGCTTTCCTTTTGAGCCTTTCTCTTGAGCTTCTTTTTGAGCTTTCTCTTGAGCTTCTTTTTGAGCTTTCTATTCAGCTGCTTTTTTGGTTTTCTCATCAATCCTGTTCGTGACTTCGACAAACGCCTCCCATTGTCTATATGCCTCACCGCTAGAGATTGCCCATCGCGCACGCCGGACTCCTTCCTTCCAGCGTCCTCCGCCAGGACCTACTTCCTTTATAACAGCTCCATCGTCACCATGTCCCATATCACTAGTGTCAGCATCGCAAATCCCTGACGTAACCAGCAAAGCGGCAGTGTTGATCAACACAAAATGAAGGATCGGGTCGTCAGGGCTCAACTTTCCACGAACCAGGTTCATAAGAATTTCCGCATTCTGCTCGGGAGATTGTCCAGGTGAAACTTCGCTCAGTTGATGACGGGGCAAGCCAAAATCTTCAGGAGTCAACGTGAAGTAGTTGATGTCCACCTCGCCTGTGGAAGAATTCTCAAGCAGGCGCCAACAATGCGTAGGGCCAGCACAGCTCAATTCGTCGAGTTCTTCGTCACCGCATACGACCATGCCCTTTCTGACGCCGGATTGACGGAAGGATTCTGCAAAATCGGGACCAATTGCTTGCCGTGCAACACCGACCACTCTCCCTTCGACACAATCATGGAGAGGGTTCGCAAGGGGTCCGAGCAGATTGAAGATGGTGCGCCAGCCGAGCTGCTTGCGAATGCTCGCGGCGTGGCGGCCTCCTGGATGAAAAACCGGTGCAAAGAAGAATGCATAGTTGGTAGACTCGTAGACTTCGATTAAGCTGGTGGGTGTTACAGCTTCGATTTTGGGTGCTATTGGCGGCGCACACGCCAAGACATCTGCAGAGCCGGATTTTGATGTGGATGCCCGATTGCCATGCTTTCCGATCAGCAAAAGCGAAGAAGCAAGAATACTCGACGTTGTTGATATGTTGAAGGTGTTGTGAGAATCCCCACCCGTACCAACAATGTCACACTAACAAAGGATCAGTAAATCGAAGATGTTCACAGCATGATACGAGTAGTTTTGCAGGACAGCTTCATTTGCATCCAGACGATTAAAACATAGTGCTGAGATGGTACTTACGATTCCTCCCTTGTACCCGCCTTCCTTTCGTCCTCGTCCATTGATGACTCCGGACAAGGCATCGTAGTCGATTCTCCTTGCAAATTTTCGCATGACTCGCGCACAACTGGATAGCACATCTGCTTGTCGATCGCGCTCCGTAAAATGGAGGCAAGTCAGCAGTGCTCCTGTTTGAACCTCTGATAGTTTATTATCAAAGATCAGACCAAGGGCCGCCGCGATTTCTTCAGCATCGGGTGTTGGACCGTTGTTTTCGTTCCAAAGCCGCTTCAAGAGAGGCGTAATGGAGACCTTGGAGTCCTCCTTGGAATTTTTAGAAGGCGGAGTTGAAGCCATTTTTCGAAGCCTGGTGTTGTGCGTATTCAATGGACTCTTAAGTTAGGTATTTCTATTGAAACATACAGGTTGTTGAGAAACGTAGCGTTTTCCGAATCCTGTAAGTAAAGAAAGGCGAAGAGGGGTGGATAATCGGGATAAACTTTATACGGGTATTTATGATTTTGCCAATACCCAATGGACTATTGTAACGCAGTTGACTCACCTCCGGCCTGTCAATTCCCATTCTGCTAATTGAAGCTGCATTTCACTCCGCTACACCGAGATCGGCAGGAGCTTGGACCATCGGAACAACCCTTTTCCGTCAGCCGCGATGTCCAATTTTCAACTACGCCAGAGAGTCGCATCTCAAGAACATGCCAAGTCAGAGAATTTCCCTCTGACGGGTCTTGAAGGGAAATCAACACGCGCACATTTGACGTCAAATGGGTAAGAAGCGAACCCATGCCGAAACCAAAGATGGCTTTACGAAGTCATCGCCGGAGAAGGGCGGGTTGAGTCGGAGGAAAGAGAAGTTTGATAAGAGGAAAGATGGAGATGAGAAGGGCAAGGTGGCTACGCTGGTATGATCGCGCAACCCTCTGAGTATGAATGATGTCGCTAACATTGGTAGATCTTCACTCCGCAGCCAGAATGGCACGCCGTCAAGCTACCGGAGCTGCCTTCAAAAGACAACCCTGCGATTCCGTCTCGAACAGTCATCGACGCCATACACGAATACGCAGATTCTCTTCTCCAAGCTGAGGCGACCACCTATACTGAATCGCATAAGTCTAAGGACTCGTCGCATAAGTTCATGTCAACTATCATGGCATCGGGAACCATGGAGGATAAAGTCTCGGCTCTCACACTCCTTGTTCAAGAGTCGCCGTTGCATACAATGAAGGCTTTCCAGCAGTTACTTGGTCTTTCTCAGAAGAAGAGTAGGAACGCTGCTTTGATGGCGCTGTCTGCCTTGAAAGATCTCATGGGTCAGGGTGTGGTACTTCCACCGGATCGAAAGCTCAAGGCCTTTGCACGACAGCCTGCCCTTTTGAGTGCTTTGCAGGGGAAAGCTGCGAATTGGAAAGCCGGCGACAACCTCCCGGGTGACATCCAGGACATTCACTTGATCGCCTGGGCTTATGAGGACTGGCTGAAGAAGCAATACTTCGAAATGCTTCGCATCATCGAATTCTGGTGCAACGACGAAGTACAATACTCTCGAAGCCGCGCCTTGACCATGATATGGGAACTCCTGAAGGAAAAGCCTGAACAAGAAGAAAATTTGCTCCGGTTGCTCATCACCAAGCTGGGCGATAAGGAGAAAAAGGTTGCTTCGAAGGCGTCGCATCTTCTTTTGAAGCTCCAGGAGAGTCATCCACTCATGAAAGGTGTCATCATTGATTCAATTGAATCGGACCTTTTGTTCAAGCCTCACCAAAGCTCGCATGCCAAGTATTACGGAATAATCACACTCAACCTGACGGTGTTGAGTATGAAAGAGCAGGAAATTGCGGACAAGCTCCTTAAGATATACTTCAGTTTGTTTGTGAGTCTTTTGAAGAAGGAGAAAGAAAGAGAGCATCAGGAGAAGAAGCTCAACAAAGACGGCCTTGTACAGGGAGGCGGGGGGAAACCCGGTAAGATGGCCAAAAAGAAGGCTCTTAAACTTGCCACCCAAGCCTACAAGGTCGAGGATGAGATGCGAGAGAAGTTGATTGCTGGCGTCTTGACTGGGGTCAACCGAGCGTTTCCGTTCGCCAAAACCGATGATGCAAATTTCGAGGTCCAGCTGAATACCATCTTCGAAGTCACTCACTCGTCAAACTTCAACACCAGTATTCAAGCAATGATGCTCATCCAGCAAATATCTGTCACGAAGCACTATTCCACAGATCGTTTCTACCGCACACTTTACGAATCGCTTTTGGATCCGCGCCTCATTACAACATCAAAACAGATTCTGTACCTCAATCTCCTTTACCGTTCACTCAAGGCAGACGTGAGCATCAAGCGCGTTCAAGCGTTTGTCAAGCGCCTGCTGCAGATTATCCATTTGCACGAACCGCCATTCATCTGCGGTGTGTTGTATCTCATAAACGAGCTGATTACTACGTTCCCTACCTTGAAGTTCATGCTTTCAACTCCGGAGGATAATGCATCCGATGCTGGCGAAGAGCACGATGAGGAGGGAACAGAAGAGTCATCCAAGACTAAGGATACCGAGAAGGGAAAACACACCGGCTATGATCCTCGCAAGCGAGACCCCGAGCATTCCCATGCCGATCTATCGTGTCTTTGGGAGTTGCTTCCATTGCAGGCGCATTATCATCCTTCGGTCAACGTTCTTGCATCCAAATTGCTCAACCAAGAACCTATCAAAGAAAAGCCCGATCCAACGATATATACTCTCATGAACTTCCTCGACAAATTCTCCTTCCGCAATGCCAAGGTGAAGGCTAGGGATCACGGCACATCGATCATGCAGCCCATGTCGGGCACTTCGAAGGCCGCTGATTACCTGATCACTACACGCAACGGCGACAGACTCCATGACTCGGTCAATTCAGAAGCTTTCTGGAAGAAGAAGGCGGACGATGTGCGTGTCGATGAAGCCTTCTTCCATGCCTACTTCGAGAAGGCTGGCAAGGCGAAGCAGCTCACAAAGAAGGATAAGAAGAAGAAGAAGGACGAGGACGATGAGAGCGAGAGTGGGGAGGACGAAATTTGGAAGGCACTTGTCAATAGCCGGCCTGACGTTGAGGGTGACGATGACGATGACGATGCAGGTTTCAGTGACTTCGACATGAGCGACGACGACGAGGCCGATGGAGGCATGGATGCTGGTGTAGAGCTTAATCTAGGAAGCGATGACGATGACGCTGGTACGGAGCCACAGAAGGATGATGCTGATATGGACGATGAAGCGTTCGACTTGGACGATGACGAAGCATTCGTTGGCAGCGATGATGAGCTCCCGGCCGATTTCGACTTGAATGACGACACGGACATTGAGGACCATCCACCACCAAAGTCCAGGAAACAAGAAGACAAAGATGGAGATGACAAGCGGGGCAAGAAAAAGAGGAAGCTCAAGCATCTCCCCACTTTCGCCTCCGCAGAAGACTATGCCAAACTGCTTGGAGATGATGATAGCGAGTAAATGTATCACAGGCGTTACGAGCATTGGGTGTAGCACTTTGATATGCATCCCAACAGGTATAATTATTTTCCGCTTTCACTGTAGATATCCCCCACTTTTGTACTCGGATCTGCCTTCTCAAGAATCATGCCGAGTGGTATGTATTGAAAATTCAGACCAGTGCGTCAAAATGTCATTAGATTCAACGAAGTAGTCCCGAAGCATTCGTGAGTTCATATCCGTTGCACATTACCATTTTGAGTCGGGCACGCGCTTGCCAGAACCGCAGTCTTTCTTAATCAGGTTCCAACCATCTTCCCTTCAACTTCACGTCATCCCAAAACGGCAGTTTTCATCCACCTTCCATTCAACTCCACTTCATTTGAGATCGATAGCTTTCATCTACCTTCAATTCCACTTCACTTCACTCCGGACCGACAGCCAAAACACTTCAACTCAAGATCCCTGACTGATGGCCGACAACTATTTCCCAGCAGAGGTGGAACTCGGAATCCTTGACTACGTAATGGCACGCTTGAACATTTATTACAGCCACTAAGTTCTTACCTAGATCGGTCTCAAACGCGACCTGATGGCGCTTTGCTTGACATCGAGACATTGGCACAACGTTGCAGTTCACCATCTTTACCGCCAAATCACTCTTGACACTCAAAATGATGATGAAATCCTTAATTTCACAAGGTGTTTAGGTGATGGAGCCTTCGCCCATTTGCGCTATTTGCGTTCCCTGACAATCTTGAGAGAAGAGGAACCAACAGAGGAGTCATCTCCTACACAAGCGTGGCACTGGCTTCGGAGAGTCGAACACAATCTGAAAATAATCCTAGGTCTACTACCGAGGAATACTTTGCATGGTTTCCAGTAAGAAGAGCTACAAAACCACTCAGATTCGCATCATAACCAGTCCTACATCCATAACCCATCTCACACTCAGTATAGCTGTCTTTCTTGGGGCATTTCACCTCACATGATATTGAATCATCTTATCTCGTCCTATGTCATGTTATCTCAGCACAGCACACATCACATACCATAAGCTCACCACATGAACGTCGAACGAACTCTTGATTTTTACACTACATATGATATCATCTCCCCTCTTTTCCCGTTCCCGTTTCCCTCCCATATCATTCCATGAGCCGAAGTTTCTATCCCCCAAAAAGGAGCCCCGAGCAAGACTCATAAAAAACCGCGCACGCTATGCTAAAGAGAGGACGCCTCACCCGGGGTGCGTGTGTGTGCGTTTTGTGTATTCAAAAAAAGGACGATAGATGATGATGTAGGAACTAGTTGGGGAGGTGGGGGGTGTATGGAGATGGTCACATAGCGCCGTTGAACACGTCTCTAAGGATGGGTCGACTGTCCAGCACGCCTCTCTTGCCTGCTCGGCACACTTTGGCTGGGACTTTTGTCCGAGAGGGACCGGAAGGTTTGATGGTGGTGCCATTTGCACTGATGTTGGGTTTGCTTCCTGTCGTAACGTCTCCCAGTGCAGGTCTTTTGTTGCTGCTGCTATTGGTGGGGGTGTCGTATTTGTCCTTCTGTTTCGTTGGACTCGGGGTGGGCGATGTACGTGTACGTTTTCGTTGCGGTGTTGCGGCAGCAGTGGCGTAAGATGACTTGCTGGTGAAGATGCCGCCAGCAGTCTGCGTGATGCCCTCATCGAAGACATGTCCGTCCACCATGTCCTGGGTGAGATCCAGCGTCCAGTTCTTGTCGCGGCAGAGGCTGATCAAGTCCTTGAGCAGCTCGTTGCTCGAAAGCGTCTTCTCGCTGCCGAGGATGACGAGCTTTGACCGTGCCCGCGTGAGCGCGACGTTGACTCTCCTGCTATCCTTTAGCAGGTCGCCCACCACGCCGTTCTCGTTGGATCGCACGCAGGATACGATGACGACTTCTTTGTCGCGTCCTTGGAACTTGTCCGCGGTGTGGAGTTCGACCCCCGCGGCGCCGGAGCCGACTGCCGGTGCTGCGAGTTCGCTGCTTTGTGTGTATGTGTGCGCGGCGGAGAGGGACTGGCGGAGAAGCGCGAGTTGGGAGCGATAGAAGGCTATGACGCCAATCTCGGTTGCTGAGATGCCCATGGATAGGAGAGCGACGGTGAGATGGGTTACGAGGCGGGCTTCGAGGGTATTGTTGATGCGACTTCCCGATTGTGATTCAAGGAAACCAGAGATTGGATCGGTATTTATGAAAACGACTGGTTGGCCAGGGTTAAGTGCATGACGGAGCCAGCACGTTGGGGATTCTGGACCAGCACAAGTAGGTTCTGTTGGGGGTTTGCGGGATGGGAGAAGTTTGTTATGATGGGCGGCAAGTCCAGTAGGGTTAGGAAGTTCGAGCTGACGTGAAGCGACGGCTGGTGTACCACACTTGAGAAGACCGTTGTAGATGAAGGTATTGGAGAGAAGCATGATATCAGCACACATGCGATACTGATGCTCAAGATTGACAACAGCTTCCGGCCAAGCTTCACATAGCTTTTTGAACAGCGATATGTCGAGACCACCTTCGCTTGCCTCCTTGTTCTGGACTAGAGGGGGCAGTTGGTGATGGTCTCCCACGAGAATGAATGTCCTTGCCATACGGATTGGACCTAGGCATACTGGCAAAGTGATCTGCGAGGCTTCATCTACAATGCAGTAGTCGAAAACACGGCGGTTGAACAGCGGATGGCCGATGGTCAGACAAGTAGTTGCGACAACCGGGGGCTCCATCCAGGACTTTTCGAGTTCTTCTAGGCTCTCCTTGGGCTCGGCAGCCAATGTAGCGAATTGGCGTACCTCGGGGTGCACTTTTGCAGCCGATCCTAAACGGAGGATACCAATCTCGTCGTCGCGGATCTTTAGTAGAATGTTGTCTACCGCTGTATGGGTGTAAGATGTCAAAAGAACACTCTTTCCTTTGGCCACTAGTGATCGTATGATGTGTGCAATAGTGGTAGTCTTGCCTGTGCCAGGCATTCCCAACACAAGCGCGTACTCTTTGGCAGACATGACCTTCGAAATCGCGGCTTTTTGATCATCGTTCACCGTGGATCCTGACGGGAGAGATGGAAGTGATACTGTTGATGCTGGACGGAACTCAGGGGCTCGGCCGTCAATAATCAAGGAGCGGAGATCGCGCGCTCGGAAGACGCCGTTGTCCATGATCTGAATCAAGTTGTTACGAGCAGCAGCCATACCATTGCTGAACTCATCCTTATCCAATCGATACAGTATGGGCTCATCGTCGTCTACCAGAGCCGCATTAGGTTCGCCTTCCTTAGAGACCTCCATGATTCCCGCGAAAGTTTGGTTCGTCTGGGAATTGAAGCCAGGTAACTTCGTTCGAGCGTTGTGGAGGCGCCTGTCGACTGCAACTGTGATGCGTCGCTTCGACACATTGGTGACATAGCCATTGGCGAGCGCGAAGTGGCCCTTTTCGTCCGATACGACAACAGGCTCTCCGATAATGAGCTGTGACTCTGTAAAAGAGAACCCAGGTTTCGGCATCTGCTTGACGAAGGTGTACCGGTATCGATTGATCTTCTGTCCGTTTTTCTCTTCATGCCCAGAGCCGGGTTCGAGGATGACATTTGAGAAACAACGACCGAGCTTTTCTCTTTCTTCGCTGAGCATGGTCCATAGCTCTCTCCTGAACTTCATCATATCGGATTCTTCTTTGGTGAGGAGTGTGTCCCACTTTTGCATGAACTCTGCATCTGATGGCTTAAGAGGCGCAACCAGCTCGTCGTATCTATCTTTTGCCTTCTTGTTGAGAAGTTCACCATCTCCGTCTTCAACTAATTTATTGTACAAGAAACATGATTCTTGCGCGTAGCATTTGCCACATTTGAAATCCTCCTTAAGCATAGGAGGTAGTTCTATGCGATCGCGAACGTAACATGCTAGCTCGTTACGTTTTATAATCATATGTATGATTTCGTTTCGCATGGTGGCAATGCGACTGATGTCAGACGTCTCGAGGTAATACAATATGCCATACGCGACTTCCACATCTGATTTGGTCAGTTATTGTTCTCTGCGTTACGTGCGAAAACGAATACATACCATAGCGATTGGATAGCAGCAGGTTATACAAAGCTGTTTGTGCAACATGATTGGGATTCGAAGAGTTCTTGCCGGTTTTCACTTCGAAGGGCACCATAAGTGTGCGCTCGCCCTCTTCGTCCTGCATGGTGACTTGCACTGTCGCATCTATGTTACCTTTCAGACCATACATCGGCGACCAGACATGCTCTTCAACGTCGAGCAACTTGTTAATGGACATGACGGCTTGTCGACCATTTCGCTGGCGCACGACAGCATCGGGCTTCATGGCGGTTAGCTTGATTTTCGTTGTATGGGACACATCTTTTACTTACTCTAGGTTGCACACGAATGAAGACTTCAGCCCAAGCCTGTAGCTCTGGCAATTTACTACTCATGTGCTCTTTGATATGCTCGCAGGTCAGATTGGTCTCCAGGATGGTCTCGAACTTAGAAGGGAGTAGTCCGTCGATGGTTTCGAGGAGAAACGGGGTGTCCCAACGGTTCACCTTCAACGCTTCTTGGAAGAGTTCGTGAAGCAGAGTTCCATAAAGCATTGGCTCGTTTGCTCTGCTTGTCGCCTTGATGCGATCCTGGAGTACGGCGCGTCGCAGGCAAGTGAAGGAGTCAGCAACCACCGTGGCAGATATGAGATGATCCGGATGAAGAATGAGCATGTTCTGATGGTCATCAATGAGACATTGACCTGTCGAAGAGAAAGTGCCTATAATGTGGACATACGATCCCTTTGTGCAGGGCGTTTGATACCACGATTGGCGGAGGTTGATCAATTTAAAGAGCTTAGTCTTCTCTTCTTCGACAAGAACAAGCTGGTCCCGTAAGTGTTTAACATGACAACGGCATGCGGACTGTGCTTACCTTTTCGGGCATCTGATAGCCATGCTCGTTTATGTATGAGCCTTCATCGACACGGGTAATTTTGTAGCGCTGAATGGCTCTGGCGTCATGCTGGCTCTTTTGGCTTCAGTATTCATGAAAACGGTAATATTCGAGGATTACATACATTATTTGCGGCTGACTGGGTTGCGATCTGTACCGCCTCTTCAAAATCGTCCGCATCAATGTCATCGTCGCCAAAGTCCTCATCGTCGCCACCGTCAAGTACAATGACCTCGGCTGGGCCAGTATTCTCCTGCCCACGCGATGCTACTTCATTTGCATGCTCAGCGTCTTGCGTAGCTAATACAGGTCTAGCATCATACAAGGAAGCCACCTGTTCGAAATCCGCAGCGCAAAGATCATCGTCATCAAGTCCGAACTCATCATCACTGATTTCCGATGCTGGTGCAGGGAGGTTTGGTTGAGGGATTCTGGGTGGTAGTTGTCCTTGTTGGCGTGATGGAGAAGGAAGGTCATGGTGCGCGCTTTCTTCTACCCTCTGTGATATATCCAAAGCTTCAACCATTTCGGCGTCAAAATCGTCATCACCAAAATCGTCTGACGAAGCAGAGAAGGACTGCTCAGGATTTGCGATGACTTCCTCCTGTTTTGGTGGCTCCTCGTGTACTCTTAGCGTCTCCGAGGCTACGCAATCGTCTTGGGCGTGGCATTGAAGTGGAGAAGACGGATGGGCGCGGCGATCGATATTATCTGGTAAAGGTGAAGAGCTCGAAGGAATGTCAGATGTTGCGATCCTTGGCGATGGCCTTGCGACAGATTGAGACATTTCCTCCAGCATGCCGGCCAGTCTTGACTTTTTTGGTGGTGGTTTGAAAACCCCATCTGAACTTGGAGCACTGAAGACATCTTCGCCATCATCCTTCTTTGCGCGGAATGCCCCTGGAGGTTGTCTTCGTTTCGTGGCGGATGTTGGAAATTCTGCACCGCAACTGGTCCATCTTCGAAGCCCACTGACACTGCCGGCATCCGCGGATGACCGTGGCGAAGGATCATTCAGTAGGTGAGCAAACGCCACTCCCTTCTTCGTTGAGGGGGTTCCCTTGGTACTTGTGTAGCGATTCCACAGCTCCGCTGCGGGGTCCGCCTGCGGTGTGTCCAAGTCTGTAGTTATGGCCGGGAATTGAACCTCATCCTGCGAGCCACCGACGGGTGACGAGCTTCTAGCGCGCTTCCGTTTCCTTCGCGGTTGGGGGGTGTTGACAGGCTGCGACCCCCGCCAGCACAGTTGTTCGTCCGGAGATTGGACCGGTTGTGGGAGGCGTCTGTTTGTATCGTCTGCATTGCCTATCAGGTCTGCTAAAGGTAATCGAGTGGCTGGCGTTGAAGGGAAGGGACAAGTGTTGGATTTTTCGAGTCTCGGGGTTATCGAGGTTTTGCTCTCTGCAATCTGGACCATCCGGGCAGTCTTGGGTGTTTCTTTTGCTTTCGAAGGCATCGACATGTTCTCTTTGTCCTGGCTCGCGACAAGCGCTATGTTCATATGCGTGGTGGTGGTGTTTTGCGGCTGGTGGTCGGATTGTCCAGTCCGCTCCTCCGCTTTCCGCCTCGCCCTTTCCGCTTCCCTTTTCCTGAGTTCCTGCGAAGACGGCGCGCCGTGACTAAATGCAAAGCCTTTGATTTTCCTGCGCGTTTGCGATGAGGGCATTATGGGTGGACCAGACACGACCTGTCGCGGGGGAGGGGCGGGGTCGTAGCTGTTGTTGTTGTTCAAGGGAGGGCCGGCGGCATTGCGTGAACGATTCCATTGACCTCGGAAGGGCTAGAAGGGGGAACACATTAGTAGGATAGTTAAAGAATAGGTCGCTAGTATTGAAAAGTGATATGATGTATGTATGTGTGTAGACAAATAGACATATAGCGGAATGCACACCTTTTTATTCGGATCTTGATCAAAAAAGGACTTTTGGCGCGTTGAATTTGGCATAAGGATGCATTGTTGTTCGTATGTCTATATCTATATATCGAGTCGTGTCGCGTCGAAAGTGGGAGTGGAGGTTTGAATGGTAGGCTTGTGGTGAGTGCTGAATGTAGAGTGAGGAGTGTTGGTGATGATAATGGCCAACAGTAACCAACAGTTGCTACACCAGGAAGACGCGTCGTCGACGTGATCCAATCGATTAACTGAAGCGCGCGGTTACATTGAAATCACGTGTTGTCAGTCACGTGTCTTGTCGCTTGTTCCTGCCTCCCTTGCTCCGACGTCGGCCTTGGACCAATCCCGTCCCGTTGCCGAAAATGTCAACTTTTATACATCGGAATTACCTACCACGACTTGAGATAAGCAGAAATCCTTTTCTTCTTTCTTTTCCCTTTTCTTTTAGACGATCAACCGACTCCGTGAAAAATTCATAATGCACAGTACATAGCACCAAGCCCATATGAAATCAAGACTTTCGTGGCTTTTGTGACTTTCTGCCCGAATTGGTTCGAATTTCCTCGGCTGATCGCGAATAGTCGGGATCTGGATTCCTTGCAGGTTGGAAAGAGGTACTGTGTGTAGGGTCCGACTTCCATTCTGCCGGACTCTAGATGCACAATTACATACTGTGTACATAGATACTTGTTGTGTAGACACCAAAGATGAACCGGAAGAAGAGAGAATAAAATAATAAAAAAAGTAAATAATTATTGAAGAACAGCCCAGGGTCAGGTCAAGCTTAGACCCCCACCCACCACCGATCGGATCAGCCAACCAATAACACGGACCGTGTGACTGAGGAGACTGAGGAGACTGAGGAGACGAAGGAGGGTTTCCCCAGGTCTTCGGCGGTCGTGTACGGCGTTTGGTACGTGGACTGGACTGGGTGCGGTGCGGGTGCCGTAACTCTGTGGTGGGTGTTGGGTGGTGCCAGCCGAACACAAGCTCCCTCCCACTTTCTTCCCTCATCCACACTTACTTACTTACTTCTTCTCTCTCTCTTCCTCCTTCCACTCTCCACACCCTCCACTCCTCTCCTTCTCTTCTCTTCAAGCTCCATCCGTCACAATGGCTACCGACCAGAAGCCCCTCCCCTTCGTTTACCAGTTCGCGGCCGGTACGTGACTCAATTGCACTGCTCTGACTTGCTCCGAAGCTTTTGTGCGCGTGCTCGTGTGCTGACAAAAAGATCTCTAGGTGCCGTGGCTGGTGTCTCGGAAGTAAGTTGCGCCAGATTTAGAAGGGCAATTATGAAAAGATTCCCAAAATGCTAACATACTGTTTGCGCAAAGATTCTGATCATGTAAGAGCGCCAATTCCGAAATCGATGCCAACCATTTCACCTTGCGCTAACAATTGTTTCCTCACATAGGTACCCGCTGGACGTCGTCAAGACCCGAGTGTAAGCGCTGAAGAGCCCTCGAGAAAAACAAAAACAATTGGGTCACAGTTCTTAACTATATTCCAACAGACAACTCCAGACTGGAAAGGGCGCCGCTGGTGAGGAAGCCTACAATGGCATGGTGGATTGCTTCAGGAAGATCATCAAGAACGAGGGGTACGTTCCTCGTGCGCGCGATTCATGTCACCAAGCGACATGAACGACAGCAAGACGGAGAGCAGACGGAGCTGACACAACCCGCTTCTCCAGATTCTCAAGGTTGTACCGTGGTATCTCTGCGCCCATTCTCATGGAAGCCCCCAAGAGGTCAGTAAACGCTCCATGGACCATCCTCAATTCCGATCCTGGGAGCTAAAACATACGACAACGACAACAGAGCTACCAAGTTCGCCGCCAACGACTCCTGGGGCGCCTTCTACCGCAAGCAATTCAACCAGCCCACGATGAACCAATCGCTCTCGGTCCTCACTGGTGCCACGGCCGGAGCCACCGAGTCCTTCGTTGTCGTCCCCTTCGAGCTCATCAAGATTCGCCTACAGGACAAGGCACAAGCGCACCGATACACCGGAATGGTGGACTGCTTCCTCAAGATCGTTAAGAACGAGGGTCCCCTCACCCTGTACCAGGGTCTCGAGTCGACCATGTGGCGTCACATCCTCTGGAACGCCGGTTACTTTGGCTGCATCTTCCAGGTCCGCAGCCTGCTTCCCAAGGCGTCCGACAAGAAGGGCCAAATCACAAACGACCTCATCAGCGGTGCCATCGGTGGAACCGTGGGAACCATCCTCAACACCCCCATGGACGTCGTCAAGTCCCGCATCCAGAACACTCCCAAGGTCGCTGGCGTCACCCCCAAGTACAACTGGGCCTGGCCCGGTCTCGGCACGGTCATGAAGGAGGAGGGTTTCGCCGCTCTCTACAAGGGTTTCCTCCCCAAGGTCCTCAGGCTCGGTCCCGGAGGTGGTATCCTCCTCGTCGTCTTCACCGGCGTCATGGACTTCTTCCGCAAGATTCGCGAGAACTAGATCGATCAAATGCAAAAAGAAAATTAAGATACCTTCTCAGAACTTTACAACCAGCAATCGAGAGCACCACGTGAGGAAATGTAATGAGGGACCCGTTATACACACACCATGCTTGCTGGAGGACTCGCGTCATGAAAGCAATTGAGCGCAACACACGATCGGCCCCAATTCTCCAAAAATATCCCAACCGATGAAGCAGTCAGTGCAGTCCAAGCCAATCAAAGAATCTCCCTGGACGACAATGTAGACATAGGGAATGTGGTTGCAATACACCGATGCGAAGGACTGACTTATCATGGGTTGTCGTAGTAGACCGTGTTTCACTGTACATACAAATAACATTCTGTTTCTTCTTCCTCCGTTCTTTGGTCCACAATCACCACCAGACATCACACGGGCTATCACACACGCAGCACAATCAGAACCTCAAGATTCCTCTTTCTTCAGACATTAACTACTACTATAACACCGACCACTAACTACACAGGTGTACTTCCAACCCCACTCCCACCTTGCACTTCGAAAGCTGGGTAAACATCGTGGATACGACACCACCACCGCTACTACTACTATGTCGCCAAAAAGAGAAAAAGAAGAACAATGGGAATACGTGTTCGTAAGGAAAAAGAAAAGTGGACAGCAAGACAAAAGGGAAAGGGGAGATAGGGGGGGATCCGGTGTATGTATTCTTTTTTGTGAACGCCATCGCTAATGCAAAAGGAGAGAGAGAAGAGGGAAGGATGGATTCCCTAGTGGAATGGGGTGAAGAGAAATGGAACGGAAAAGAAATTAATGCATGTATGTTGTTTGAGAGATGCCGAAGACACATGAGAAGGGGAAATGATATGGGCAAATTAAGGTGCGGGAAATATGGGAGTGGATTTACTCGACGAGAGAATTCTGTCGAGAAGATGCTGCAGAGCCAAATCCGGACGTGCTTGATGTGTCGCTGGGTGTCTGTGGTTCCAAAGATAGTTGGGCTCGGAGCGTCATGATCCAGTCATGCTGCAACAGTTCAACGGCGCTTGCACGTTTGCTTGGGTCGCGCTCAAAGCACTTGTTCAAGAAGTCGATACCCTGGTCGCTGAGCTGTTCACTGGTCGGTAGTTGGGGAGGGTTTCCTTGAGCAATGTTGTACATAATGGCCCATTCATTGTCGAGGACCCAAGGTCGCCGTCCGGTCGCCATTTCAAGAATCACACAGCCCAAAGACCATACGTCAACTGCACCGTGGCGACCGAGACTCGTGCCGCGGATGACCTCGGGAGACATGTACATAGGCGTACCAGTCATCGAACGTTGACGACCTTGTCGTGTAGCTGCATGCTCAGCGGCGAGGGTACGACCTTGTCGCGCAATGACCTTCGCGGCTCCGAAATCGACAAATTTGATGACACCATTATGATCAAGAAGGATATCTAAGCTCATGTTAGCGGATGACACAGCCTTAAGTATTCATGATGCTGGACTTACTCTCTGGTTTGATATCGCGATGAACGACACCAGAATCGTGGAGGTAAGCTAGACCCTCCAACATCTGCAGCGCGTATACCATGATGACGGTCTCATCTTCAATCCTTCCATGTTCAAGTAATCCGGCAAGCGATCCTCCAGAACAGTACTCCATGAAAATGTAGACCTTGTCTCGATGAGGTTCGATTCCGTAGTAAGAGACGATGTTCGGGTGATCGAGGACCTGTAGGACACCCATCTCATCTCGAATTTGAGAGACGATAGTTGGGATGAGCTGCGGATCCTGGAGACGAATTTCCTTCACAGCCATGAGATGTCCTGAGTCCAGGTTCATAGCAGCATAAACAGAGCCGAAAGTGCCTCCGCCAACAAATTGTCCTTGTTGCCATCGGAGTGTCACGTTAGTAGCCGAAGACGACAGGTAAGTAAGTGCTCGATCGGCTTCGTTAGAATCTTCCAACACTCTTCCGAGTGCCTGGCGTTCGGCTTCCTTATCTTTCCTCCAAGCATCAATGTCTTCGAGCTGCTGCATCCATTGGGCCTGTGTCAACGCGATCGATTCTTCGTCGTCCTTCAGATTCTTTGGGTCGACCATGCTCTTGCCGGCAATGGCTTGGCGCTGCCTTTCGGCTTGGGCGGCCATTGTTGATCTTGCACCCATGATATCGAAGTGCGAAATGAGAAGAGACATGCATCCGGCAACCTTCAGGCGCAAACTAGAGTACTCTGAGTCGCTGATCGAGAGAATGTTTTGTCCTCGCGTCATCATCATGGCGAACTCCAAGGCTACCACAGCCCAGCGGAAGGTCTTGCGATCGGCTGCAATGCAGTCGTCGCAAATAAAGCTAACCCAATCAAGAGCCAACTTTGTCAACTTAATGTTGTTCATGGCGCGTCGATTGTAGTCCATGTACAGGATGGAACGCTGACCAAACTCAGTCGCGAACGCAAAACAGGCTTGGATCAAATCCTGACAATCGAGACCGGCTGTCTGCTTTCGAATGATTTCGACACTATCCATAATGGTGTTGGAAAGTCTGAATGCAGTTTTCTTGATCTTCTGTAGCTCCTGGTTGACTCGAGGCAGATTGGCACGCTGATCGATCAACTTGGTCAGGTCCGTCCCTATGGACTGGAGGAAAGACGCATTCGCGTTTACCAGGCGTTGCTGCGAACCATCAGCGACGAGGCGCAGCCGACCCTGCTTCAAATCAAGAACAGGTGCTTTGATATCGGCCGCGAAGCGTTTCCCCTCCCAGAACAATTCATTCTCAGGCTTGAGAATCAGTACGTATGGATTTGAGGGATCCTCCGGGTTCTCCTCGGCGTGATAGCACGTGGTTAGAAGGGATTGGATATCCTTTGGTCTGTCTTGAAGGGCGGGCGATGCGAGGATGTAGATGTCTCGATTCTCGGCACCAGTAGTCTCGACCAAGAAATGGTCGGTCATGATCAAAGCTTCGTACAGATCCTCGAGTTGTTCTTGATCCAGGTCGATGTGGTTGATGTTGTACTCAGTACAATTCTCAAAGCGCTGAGTCAAAATTCTGGAGAAACGGAACAGCTTTCGCTGCCTTACACGAACGGAGTCTAGAATCCCTTTGTACCGCTTGTCCAGTTCTGCAGCTGTTGCTTCATCTGGACGGCGTTGAAGCTCTTTGTCGAAATGAGCTGTTAGGCGCGACAATGATTTCGAGGTGAGGGAGCTGTGCAGCGATTAGTAAAGTAACCTCATAAGAACAATCCCAAGCATACCTAAATTGTTCGGCAACCTCAACATCGCCACCTTCAAGTTGTCTGCCCAACTTATTGCAGAACTCCCACTCCTGCTCAAGAATTTCCGCCTCTTTGAATGTATTCTTATTAGCTGAAAGTTTCCAGTTCAGCATCCTAAAGTAGAACTTCAAGGCTTCCAACACTGTTTGGTCGAAGTTTTCTTCGATGCAGACCGGAAGATCCCATCCAGGCTCTGGACGCGAGATCACGATGTAGCTCTCCTTAATCTTGCCAGCAAGGGTAAGAAGAATTTGGAACTGGTTGATCATCTGTTCCGCCATCATGATGCCCTGTTGAGATGGGTCTTTGATCCTTTTAGCATAGGTCAGTCGCATTTTGATGATCTCCTGCAATAGGCGAGACGGAAAGTTGATGAGCGTCAGCAGTTCCTCGATGTAAGGTGGTAGATGTCGCTCCGCAAAGCTCTCCGCATTGGCAATAAGGGTGGATTTTGCCTTGTGGATAACTTGCTCCAGCTTGACGAGAAGACTCGTGCCTCCTTGAAGTGACTTTAGTCCGTCCTCTTTCAAAATACGATCAATGAATGACGAGTCATCCGTCAAATGATGGTCTTGTGATTCTCTCGCTCGTGGTTTCGAGAAGTCGAGTTCGTCATTGCCGACCCACTTTTTCAGAATAGACATTTCGGTATTGATAAGCTCCGTGGTGTTATGCCAGGCGAACACAGCGTCACAGCTGTCCTTGTATGCCTGGGATGCCGCTCGCGGATAGGCAGCTTCAAGTGCTTGTCGAGTTGGGTAGAGGCCCTCTAGCTTTTCTATTCTCTTCACGATTTCTTGAACCTGTGCTGCTGCAGTCTGTCCGGCCTCGATAGCGCCCTGAACCTCAAATGATATGATGCTTTCAAGTTGTGTTTTGATATTGGCACGACCATCATCGATCACACGACGTTGAGTCTGCAATGGCCGATTGCATACCCTGGCTCGAATACCCATCCACAGCTCAGCCTTCAGGCTGTTATCACCCTGTTGTTCAGTGCTACCGGTCAAACGTTTCTTCTCTTGCTTAACTACATCTCCGGTGAGAACGCTAGCCAGCATAGAGTGCCACTCCAGCCGCTCCCTGTTTTCTGGAATCTTGAGCTCTTCGACGGAAGGCTGCATATCGTCATTTCCGTAATACAACAAGGTCTCCTGGTCGTAAGGGTCATTCTCGATGTAATCGGCGGTGGATGGCGACTCGTCGTCAGTCTCGGAATCTGTGCTATAGCCTAGGCTCGGCGTCGTGACGTCGGTGAAGAAATCGTCTTGATTATCCTCCTGGCGAATGCGCTGGACATAGGCCTTCTCCTGGGCACGGTATTCTGCATTAGGATTTCGGCGGGTTCGGTTTGCGGAGGCATTGCGGTTTCGGGTCGAGTTCAAGGAAAATTGCTGGGGTCGGCGGGCGGGCGCGTACGTATTTGAGGGTGTTCGAACAGCGCTGGGTCGGACGGCTCGTTGTGAACTCATGCCGCTGGTTTGTATGGGCGCGGGATGGGCATCGTGAGGCGCAACAAGCCCGCCCGTGCTGCTCAGGGGACCACGCGATGGCCGAGGTTGACCTGCGACATACCCATACCCCACAGCGTTCAATGGGGTGACCTCGTCGAGTGGAGTTGCGACCAACGGTGGCGAGAAATGGTACTGAGCGGTGGCATCGTCGAGACGCTGGCCGAGTTCTTGATCATCGTCTCCGGAGGATCCAGAGGACTCTAGGGCAGCTTCGGGCGCGTTGACGACGACTGGTCTGCTCATATCGACGGAATATTGCTCTGGCAAGAGAGCGTTCTCGTGGCCTACGGAGAAGCGGACACCTCGGTGAGTCGGGTCGTGGCTCATATCTATCTTGTAGACAGTCAGGCGATAGACAATGTATATGGGCGCGGCTTGTCTCCTTGTCACGGCAAAGATCAGCGTTGCTTGAGCATTAGCGAGGAAGCTCTTCCAAGTTGTTGCTGTGTGGCGGTGCGACCCGAAAACAAGATTACCACCGGGGAAAACAAGAGTTGCAACGACAACCACCAGACCGGGAGTGACCCTTTGAAAGTAGAACAAAGAGAAAATATTCACGAGATGCACCAGGAGAAACGATAGAAACTATGTATTGACTTTGTCATCGAGAGGAATAGGCATAGGCACACAGGGGGAGGGGCGTGGGTTGGTGACTAACGATCTGTAGGCAGGTGCGCATCGCCACAGTTTTTGCACCCGCGATCGGAATCGGAAAGAACGACAGACATCCTTACCAGATTCTAAGTCATTCTAAGTCATTCATTCACACAACACCTCGTCACGGTCACGATCATCAAGATCACCACCACTGTACCATGCGTCCGGTTCTTTATTTTTTCGTTCTCGTCCTTCCTGATTCTTCACACCCACTTGCGAAGTTCTTTGTGATCTCTCTGCATGGGCTTGAACATCTGTTGTCGTATTTTGATTATAGGCTGAAAGCAGCACTTCGTACCAAGACAATCCACAGCTCCTCACAAGCATCTAGTTCCCATAAAGGACGCTATTAAGACAGTATGGTGTTTTGCTGGATTGCAATTTGCAAAATGTAATAATATGAATTATATTTGCGCTGATCCTAGATGTAAGTTTAAAGTTGTCAAACTTATAATTAAATATATTCAAACTTAATCTCGAACCAGACGAATCGTCCATCATTTCAAAGGTATTGTATTTACAGATCATGATATATCTTATATCTAGGTACTTTTACGAGTCTTGTGATTCAACCCGACTCTTAACTTCAAAATTAATGCTATTCCACAGTGATTATATTACGGGCAAAAGCATGGGAGATTGACATCAATCTGCCTTTTCTCTCAGCAATTTCCCATACCTTCTTAGGAGTATTGGCACAGGAGTCAATCCTAATGCTATGAAACCCAGGACCGAATTTCCCCAACCAAGGCCCAGCGCCTGATACATACCCGGTCCTGCCAATGGCAGAAATGCGGCCACTATACTCCTCATGACGCAAGCCGCAGCGAGCGCGCTGGCAACGTGCTGGGGATAGGCATCTATGATATACGATTGTGTTGGGAGCCATATGCATTCGAAGCCGGTTCCGAAGATGACGAGAGCGATGATGGGCACGGCGCAGAAAACTTTGTTCTGGCTAGTCCAGCCGTAGAGGAAGAATGACACGGGGAGAAGGGCGGCAGAGTATACGGCGACGGGGAGGCGGAACTCGGCTTCGAACGCTCCGTTGTTGGCGTGCATCAATCGTTTGACGAGTTTGTCGGACAGGCAATAGAATATGACGAGGCCGATCAGGTAGCCGAGAAGCAATGCCAGGTAGGCGACTCCAGAGACACCGAGCGACCAGCCATATGTAGTTTGGAAGACGATGGGTATCGTGTTGAATAACAAGTATAGGCATCCGTAGGCAAAGGCGATGTAAAGTGACACACCGAAGACAACGGAAGAGCCGAACAGCAACTGCAATGGCTTCATGAGGCCGTTCATGAGAACCTTTTTCGGAGACAAGACTGCTTCAGATCCTGCAAATACGCTTCTGAGTTCCGGACGAGCAAGCTCCACGCGCAGCTTTGCAACCTTCCGTTGGAGGATTATGCGCGGATTGGTTTCGCGAGAACACAGAGCCAACAACACTGTCGCCGGGACGGCTAGGCATAAGGTAAGCCAATTGACCCATCGCCAATCTAGGTATTGGACTACAAAGCCGCCGATGACAGGCGCCAGAGACGGGCCAAATATGGGTCCGATGGTCCAGATAGCCATGGCTCTGCCTCTTTTCTGCACGGTGAAGAGATCACCTATGATGGCGCCTCCAACTGTTTGTGACGCAGATCCACCGATTCCACAAAGCAGTCGGAATGCTATGAGGGAGTTGAGTGAAGGGGCGAGGGCACAGCCAATCAGCCATAGGCAGAACGATGCGTTGGCAGCCGTCATGACAATATGCCTACCATACAGTTCGGACAATGGGGAGAGCAGGAGGGGACCGACGGCATATCCAAGCAGGAAGATGCTCACGGGCATCGAACTCTTTGTCAAATCGTGTATTTGGAATTCAGCATCGACGTGGGAAATCGCCGGAGCTAGAATGGACGAGGCGAATGGTGTAGTGAACCCAATAACGGAAAGGAGACAGGTAGTGGTCCATTTCCTTGCAGGTCTCCAATTGAGAGGATTTTGGGGATCGTTTGAACTTTCCCAGCCCACGAGACCGTTCTCAAGATTCATCATCAATCCAGCATCCGTGCTGGTAGGTGCCGCAATGGTTTGAATGGAATGAGAACCGACTTGGGTCTTCTCCTCATGAGGGTTCGTCCATTGGCGCTCGATGCGACTTTGAGTCTCCTAGCCAGTAAAGGTCAGTTTTTTATACTGAATATGCGCCAGTCGTCTTACAATTGGATGATTTGGTGCGTGTCTGTCGGTTTCCATTGCATGGTCATCTACATCATTCCCGACTGACGAAGAGACATTGCTGTCCAAAGCCATGTTTGTCTTACCGTCGATCGGCGATGTGAACTTGAACGTCAAATGCGAAAAAATGTTCGACGCCGCATGGCGCGAGCTCCTTTATTACACGATTTCCGATCGGAACCCTTTTCCGTATGAGGGGCATGTTCGAGTCACTAAAGCAGCCAATAGCAAAGAGACATCGGCGTTTTGCTGGTGCTCCAACCAATAGAACGTCAGGATTCTTCTTGTTCCTGCGTGCTCATCGTTCTTGTAGGGCGTTCATTTACTCGTAGGGCGTGTTTTTGACATGTTCTTAAGTAGAAAAGGTACGTCTAAACAGGAGCGCCAGTGTGACACAATACATTGATCGAGTATTCCAGAAGCGTACCTCGGCCCGCCAGAATGAGCTTATCCCCTTTGGTTCGGCATGCACGCTCTCAAGGTTCGCCGATCCCTCCAGAACCATGATGTTCCATTCTATTCCAGAATCTATACTGACGTTTTCAGACGTCCCTCTGATCCTGAGTTTCATCCGCGCCGCTGCAGAGGAACAAGCACCAGAAGCCGAAATAGGTGCCACTGAACAAGCACTTTCAGACACACTGCACCTGCAAGATGTAACGGACTCAAAAGCCAGTCGAATCGCCTGGCCACTGCTCATCTACTCACCAGACGACGTGCCAGCAGGCTTATTGATCTATTTTTTCAATTACTCGACCTGGTCGGCTGCTCCTGGTGTCTGCTTGGAGGAATTGTATGTCGTCCCGAAGTACAGACGCGATGGGTATGCGCGGCTTTTAGTCGAGGCGATGGCGTCTGCTGCGGAGGAAGCAGGATGTGTGAAGATGGATTGGGTCTGTCTGATGAATAATGAGAAGGCTTTGAGGTTCTATGACAAGCTTGGTGCGAAGCGCATGGAGGATTGGGCTGTTCTTAAGGTTGATAAAGCGACGATTTCGAGATTGTCGGGGAAAGACAGTGTCTAGTTGCAAGGTCTAATTTAACATCAGTTTTGGTAGCTATAGAAAACCGTGAAAAATAGCAATAATCTTTCTTGTCATATCAAAATATTACGATAGATACTCTAGGTAAACTTATAGCTAAAGAAATAGTACTATCCTCTTCACGTCACGATAGGAAGGTACCCGAATAGCTAACTTCACATCATTTAGAATGCACTCCATCTACTTTACGTCTCAGACCCTCATGCCCGGATCAGCAACAAGCAGATAGTGCAGCTTTCCTATTCGTCCTCTTGACCTTGTCTCAATCTGATTCGCGCCCTTCTTTGACAGTTACCTACGCCAGACTCAGCATCCATTTGCAAAAACATTATGTATTGCTATTAAACCAAAAAACCACAAGACTGCCCAATCCGGTCCCTTTACATACAACATACAGCTACATCTGTATCTGTAAAAACAGCAACTCACTCACACACGAGGAACAGACGGTCAAACACATTTCAGAACAAACTACAACCCTCCCTCACCATCCCCCTCCCAACCACACAACGGTGATCTTCACCAAGCCTTCTATACAAGCTGCAACCTACCGCCGTCAGCGTAATAATATAACTCACTGCGTGTGTTATATTGTCCTGCATATCCCATTTGCTGGGTCGTAAAAATATCGCAGCAAATATCTCTCACTCTCGTTCTAATGATTACGGACATTTCGTACTTTCTGCGAGCGAGCGAGCGCGTATGCGCCGTAAAAGGAGGGAGGGAGGACGGAGGTTGAAGAGTCGTGACACCTTCCGCGTCCAGGGAGAAGGTCTTGGTGTAATATACGGCGATGCATATGCGTCGTGTTTGTGTCTCGCTCGGGTAGGGAACGAAGTAATTGTTTAGGGGTTTACTGTCGTGATGTTGAATGTGGGAATGGTAGAGGACAAAACACTGTCTACGCAAAGAGAGCTTTGATGGATATAGCTACACTCTGCTTCACGACGTCTATAACGGGTTTATGAGGCTTTCCTTCCCTAGCTTAGAGACGTGTGTACCTAGGTAGGGCAGGTTCCCGTTTGATCTGACGAAAACTTGACCGCTGACGCAGGGACGCGGTATGTACGTCCAATATACACACGCTCGGATCGCCCCTTCAGCTCTCCACGAACCGACCTCTCCCAATGACACGCTGCGAACTACTTGACTGCACGAGCCTGGCCACAGTAATTACCCATCTCATCCACCTATGCAGGTATCCAACGGCCATGCCCACGAGGCTGCCCGCTCTCACGCCGTTACATCCGGCGTGATCCTCACGACGCAGCATCGGTCCCAGTACACCGTTTCGATACTGCGGAACCAAGTCCGATAATTTAACTATTGGTCCACGCTTTCAGAGGGACTACATGCTGTCGTGCTACCATACAAGTACAAGGTATGTGTTGCGGGAAAATAGAGCACTGTGGTCTAGGGAGACTATAGGGCCGAGGACTTGGTAGGGAAGAGTAGCCCAGTGGGTTTGATGGAGGTAGACGCAATGGGAAACGATGGAGAGGCACGCACCGCATTGTGGCTAAGGATAGGATGGGTAGATATGTAGTGTAATGCGATTGTCCTACCATAATTGCTCCAACGCCGTTGCCAGGAAGAGGGATATCACTGGCGGCACTCTATAGAGCACTCGTACCTAGCTGTCTATAATACCTAGTGTCTAGGTGCTTAAGGTGATAACTAATTACATTTGAACCTCGTAAGTCGAAGACCGTAAGTCGAAGACTCGAAGCATCGAACCCCTCCGGAGCGTAGGTAGGTATGGTCGCGGAAGAGGACGGGACACTCTGTAATACGTCGGACGGCTCCTGAGGGCGTTGGCGTGCGGAGGCTGACGGCCCTTCAAGTGAGATTGTTTCGACGGTTTGACCGATCAGAAAGTAAAGCAAAAAGGGAGTGAGTATATTGGTCCATTCCCAGGTCGACGAGGCTTGCCGAGTCGTGGGCAAAAACAATTATGTGAATCCATGATGCCACCACCTTGCAAGGTTGATGGGGTTTCAATGTTCTAGGTTTGGGGAAGCGGATGGCTATGGAGATAAGGGTCTGTAATTGTATGTATGCAAGACGCAGGCACGGTTACGCATAGAGTAACTAACTAGGTAGCTACGCTACGGTGCTGGAGCTGTAGCTAGGTTTAGGTAGGTACCCGGAGAGTGGACGTGGTGGGCGATGCTGGCTGGGCGGGCTTGGGGCGTTGGGATGTTTTGTTTGGAAGCAGTGGGATATGCGGGATGAAAGGGATGGGGTACAGTGTACACGGTGACGGCGGTGGGATTGGATCAGGATCATGGCATGGATTATGGAACATGGACCATGTGTGCTTTTGATAGGGCCGTCGGCGTAGGACTTCCTACTCAAGGAGGCATTAAGCGCGTTTGATGAAGGTGGGTGAAAGGAGCATCTCATATCATATCAGAACGTATCACGTCTCGAAGGGTTTCTTTTTCAAAAGGTCAGATGGGTTGGTTTGAGCTGAGTTGAATATTGACAAGAAATGATCAACCTCGAGGCTCGAGCAAATAGAGGGTGGCTATCTTTAGCCTGTCCTGTCTGGAGATATTGAGTGCATGAGGTCGACAATTACTGTAAGTAGTATCGATAGGATCATACTGTGTATGTATGAGGACTCGAGGAGAGAGAAACAACCAAACAGAGAGGGCGTGAGAGAGGTCACCCCCTAGTCCAGTTACGGACATGGCTTGTGCTTGGCGAGCGCTAGGGGGAACTTGGAAGTTAGCTTACTTGCCGGGGTACTGATAAGAAACGCTGCATGGGGATTTGCCTCCATGAGTCCATCCACCATCCACGCCAACCATACACGCCGAGCATGTGTCTTACGACTTTTAGAGTCGACGAGGAGATATGTAGTCCATACGGAGGACAAGGAAAGGTAAAACTGGCGAGGGACGCCCTAATGAAATGTTTAATAAATGGATACCGTTCCACTCTGTGTGAATGGATGGAGGGTATGGATAGATGGAGTGAATTCAATAGATAGTACGCGGTACTACTGTGTACTGGTTGATCAGCACATCCACCAAGCGGTATTTCGCCCTATCTCGCCAGCAATTGGCTACAAGAATAACGGCCAACATTTATCGACTGGATTTCGGAGCACGAAGAAGAGGGAGGACAAGACCTTCCATAGTACCGACCGTTACACGGTATGCGAATAATAGGGCACAGCCTGTCGCGTGCCTATTGTCCTTCTGGTCTTTTGCCTATCCTGGGTACGCGTACCTACTCCGTACTCATACATATTCTGGGGAACGCAACGAGGGGGCGTGTGCATATATACTGTGTAAAAGTAAGACAGAGAGTTACATTCTAGATATATACGTACCTACATACGAATGGTTAATATGCCTACATACTGACATGCTCGTGCTGATACATTGTTAGTACAGTAGGTAACTATCTTCGGGGTACAATAGTCGAGTCTCGAGGGTTGAAGGTCATCCCACGGGCGTGGTTCGACAACCGAGCCGAGAGCTAATCGCTTGTGGACTAGCCTGGTTTTCCCTATCTGCCCTTGGCTTCTGGCTTCTTCCTTTTCCCGTCTCGAACTCCCCAAAGATACACAGTACAGGACCAATACAAGTAGATACAACGTACTACTACTCGATTCTACACAACATGCAAGTACTTATGGTAGTGTCTAATTACACTGCTCTCTTCATTACTTAACTAGGTATCATACAAAGAAAATACCCAGCAGATGCGACATTCCGATACCGTTCTGCACTCTGGAGACCGAGAAGCAGATACGAGCGATCCTTCAGAGATTGGTCAATATCTTTTGCAGCTATCTCTCGCACCCCACTGTGTGGCTTATTCCACCCACCCACCCTCTCTCCCATCCAGGCCATCCCAGGCCATATCCCATATCCCATGTCCCAGGCCAACCCTGGTGGGTGCTTCATGCTTTCCCTACCAGTACCAGAACGCAATGTCCGCCCGCGTTTATAGAATCCCCCCCAGGTCCCCCTTGTGCCTACATAGTCCAAGTCACTACACCTGTAGCTTGTCGCCTGTCGCCTGTCGCCCATATCGGGGGAGGAGATACCTTATACCTTGGTGCCCAGCCCAGCTTCAAAAACCAATGTTCCAGCCCCGTCTCTATAAACATCCCCTTCGTGCCACGCTCCGTTCCAATTCCTCTTTCTGCTGCTGCCCGTCTCGAGTCCTCGTCTCGTACCGTAATCCTCCCTCTTCCCACCTCCCCGCCAGTTGCGAAGAGGCGAACCCTAGGCCCGCGCCGCCAAGGTCTCCACAACTCTAAGATACCCGTAGATCCCTGGAGATAGAAGACTTCGCTTTTCTTCCCAACCTCTACGTCCGTTCCTTGCGCTCACTCTTCTCTTCGTCTTCTTCTTCTTCTTATTCCTCTTACTCCGGCTCCGGCCCATTGCTTCGGCTTCCTTCAGTCTCGATCCCTTTTAATCTCACAACTTCCTTTTCTACACGCATCTGGTTCCGTTCTTCTATCGCACCCTCCAGGACTCGCAGGCACCCAAAGTAAGATCGACAAATATGGACCCTGTCGATTCTGGGCTAGACCCCACCCTACCTCTCGAGGTCTTCAAAAATGACACTCTCGCAACCGGAGGAGATTCGCGATTATACAATCTCAATGTCTTCTACAATGTATGTGTATCCTCGGATCTTTTCTCCAGTGTCCGATGTTCCGTGTCGTGCTGACCAGCGCTCGCTAGCCCGGAGACATCGCATTCATGATCATATCGACAGCCCTCGTGCTTTTGATGATCCCCGGCGTGGGGTATGTACCATCGGAACTCTGCAATCCGCTCGACTGCTCACTAACAATTGATGCAGTTTCTTCTACTCGGGACTGGCGAGGAGGAAATCCGCCCTCTCCCTGCTATGGCTGTCCTTGATGTCTACCGGAGTCGTCTTCTTCCAATGGTTCTTCTGGGGCTACTCTCTCGCCTTTTCCCATAAGGCCGGCAAATACATTGGAGCGCTCGACAACTTCGGCCTGATGAATGTGCTCGCCGCCCCTTCCATCGGGAGTCCACGCATCCCGGACCTCATGTTCTGCGTCTACCAGGGCATGTTCGCTTGCATCACGTAGGCCCCCTCTCCCGGTACACGTCTATCCATTACCGTGCGACTAACGCGTATTCAGGGTTGCTCTCGCTGTTGGAGCCGTTGCGGAAAGAGGCAGGATGCTACCCTGCATCATCTACATGTTCGTCTGGACCACCATCGTCTACGACCCCATCGCCTGCTGGACCTGGAACCCCGCCGGCTGGGTGTACAACATGGGCGGCCTCGACTTCGCCGGCGGAACTCCCGTCCACATCGCCTCCGGAACCGCCGCTCTCGCCTACTCGTACATGCTCGGCAAGCGACGCGGCCACGGCACCCAGGAGCTCAACTACCGCCCCCACAACGTCACACACATCGTCATAGGCACCGTATTCCTGATCGTGGGCTGGATCGGATTTAATGGGGGTAGCGCGTTGTCTGCAAACTTGCGCGCGATCATGGCTGTTGTGGTGACGATTCTGGCTGCGAGCGTGGGTGGAATCACGTGGTGTTTGGTCGACTACCGCCTCGAACGCAAGTGGTCGACGGTGGGATTCTGCTCGGGCGTGATCGCTGGACTGGTCGCTATTACTCCTGGATCCGGTTATGTTCCGGCCTGGGCGGCGGTCGTGTTCGGCGCCTGTGGCGGTATTGCTTGCAACTATGCTACCAAGCTCAAGTACTTCCTCCGTTGCGACGACGCTCTCGACATCTTTGCGGTTCACGGAGTTGGTGGTTTCGTTGGAAACATCTTGACTGCATTCTTCGCTGCGTAAGTTCAGAGTCCAACAGCTGACCTGTGATTGTCAATACTGACTTTCCCTAGTGATTACATTGCACATCTCGACGGCGCTACTGTCATCGCTGGCGGCTGGCTGAACCACAACTGGGTCCAGCTAGGATACCAGATCGCCGACTCCATCGCTGGCGGAGCATACTCTTTCGTCGGCACATGCATCATCCTCGGCGTTCTCGACTTCATCGGAAAGTTCTTCCCGGTGTTCAAGCTCCGTGCCTCGGAAGAGGAGGAGATTCTCGGTATCGACGACGTCGAGATCGGAGAGTTTGCTGTAAGTGTTCTCCAACTTTCCCTCGTCGGAAACCCTTTAACTAATATTTCGATAGTACGACTACGTCGAGCTCACCCGCGACGTCAAGGCCGTCGACGAAATCGACGACGTCGACGAGGGCCTCTCCACCCACTCGATGGACCACCACCACCACTCCGCCATGGGCAACCACCACGAGAAGAACCAAGACTCGGTCGATTCGTCGAACCAGCTTGCCGAGTGGGCCCATCGCGCTTAGACTAATCACTTTTAACTGTTCATAATTTCTTTTGTTGCAGCATTCGCTCTATACCACCTTTTTGTTCGCGCGTTGGAGTTGGGAGGCTCGTCAGGGTCTGGATTCGTCTTGTATGTACTGCTATACTCTTGAGGTGTGGGAAAATTACCGGGAAGGGACTGATAACGTCCGGATTGGGAATTGTATTGTATGCTATATAGGAAGGCTACGGTGACGGAGATGATGGGTTATATACGAGGGGATTGGGATATCGGGGCTGCCGGCATTATGTGTTGATGTACGCTGGTCGGCCCTTTGGTGACTACATTAATTATTGTATCTATGATCTGGGATACGGCGAATGCATATTTGTACCATTCGAGTGTAAACTTCAAACTCTTTCTCTACCTGCCTTTTGATAAATCCGTCGAGCCCTGAAGTCTCGCAAATCTACGGGTGCGGTGCGCTTAGTCATCACGACATCTCGAAAGCATCTCGCCCAGAAAGCACATCACCACAACGCAACCTCCTCCGACAGCTCCACCCCACTCAACCTCCCTCCCGCAAGGAACCAGCCGACCTTCTCCGCCGAGAACCCCGTCGCCTAACTATTCAAAGCGACTCATCTCCCACATCCAAACCAATTCGCGCTCCCCGCAACAAAAGAAGAAGAAGAATCGAAGAAGAAACCCACCACCAAACCACCCCCCGTTCCGCTCACCTCGAGCCCACTTCACACACAATGACCTTCCTAAGCACAACCCTCAACACTCTCGGCGCCCTCTTCCTCACACACGCGTACGTCCCCCCTCCCCCCTCCCCTCCCTCACCACCTAACTAACCACTCCACCCCACAGCGTCTACTCAACCCACGAACACACCACCACAGCCGCCTCGGGCGCCCACGCCCCCCTCCCCCTCGACATAACCCTCGAGCTCCTCCTCTCCCTCCTCCTCCTAACATCCGGCATCGTGCTGTCGTCCCCCGCGCTCAAGCCCATCCACTGGGCGCGCTGGTCCGGCAAGATCGCGCGCGAGGGAAGGAAGGGGGAGGGCGAGTGGACGCGCGAGGGCGAGGAGGTGCTGGCGGAGGGGGATCCGTATGAGTTTCTGGGATTGGAGGGGGGGATTGGCGGGAAGGGCGGGGAGGGGAGGAGGGGGTTCTGGGATGTTGGGGGGAAGAGGGGGGAGTATGAGGCGTGGGTTCGGGGACAGTCGTGAGGGGTTGAGAAGAGACGCTGCAGTGTGAGATGTTGGGGGTTATGGAGAGATGGGAAGTAAGGGAAGGGGGAGATTGAGGGATGGTGAGAGGACGATGAGGGTTTCGTGGATAGTCTCTGCGTGAGTGAGGTCGGCGGAGCGTATACGCAGTACTACTCGTTGACACGACGATACCAATACCGACACCGTTATTTCGATTCCGAGCGGAATTGCTTCTACGTCTACTTGAAGTACAACTAGCGACGTCTTCCATTAGACTCGTACAAAACCCAACGCAGATACAAAGTACAATATAACTCCAACATAACTCCAACGCACTTCTCAAGAATCGCAAACAATATTGACGTCCCGCTTCCCAGACCTTATGTTTTGAGTGCCCATTGTCCATACCGATGAGAGGAGGCGGATGGGCTTGGTGCATTGTGGTTTTTAGATGGTGCTAAGAAGGGGATATATCTATAGAAGGGGGATGTATCTATAGAAGGGGATGTATCTACAGAAGGGGATATATCTATGGAAGGGAATGTATGTATGGAAGGGATATATCTGTGGAAGGGGATGTATATATGGGACTGGATTGCATTGGTTATGTGCCCTATCTATGTATATATACCTATGAATGGACATATGTATGCACAATTCCTCTCCTCACAACAGGGGAGGCACAATGAGACGCCTCTTCAATTCCCCAGTCTTATCCTCGTCATGTCCGACCTCCTTCCAATCTTCGAAACACTCCATCTAGCCAACTAGCTGCGTCAGTCAAATCAATTAACCGTTAGATGTTGGCCAGGAAGTCATCAGTAGCAGCACTTAGCGGTCAGAAATTAGAATTACCACGATGTTCCAATTCCAATTGGCCTCGTCCCAAAGGCTGAAATGTGCCATTGCGTGGGTGGCATAAGGCGCGCTGCGGTATTAGACTGAATAGATGACTCGCGGCATGTGTGCTTTTGAAGACCATGTACGTACGATCGTGTGGTCATGTGAGCATATGAATCCCACGATGTTCAATTGGCATTGGGCCCTGTCTCAAAGCCTGCAATGTGCCATTGCGTGGCATACGGCACGCTGCGGGACTGTGATAGATGACTCGGGGCATGTGTGCCTTTAGCTTTAACGCCCATGTACATACGTACGTTCGTATGGTCAAGTGAGTACACGTACACGCACTCGTACGTTGGCATCGTTTTCCAATCTCAACCCCGAACCAAATGAAGAAAATGCACAATCAAAACAGGTAACCCCATCCCAACCCTCCCAACCAACCAGACGACCTCCGATAAAAAGGACAAGCGGTCAGCACGTACGAACGTCCGCCCGCATGGCCATGCCCAACAATCGCAACTCACGGTGTCTAGCGAGATCAGGCGAACCTCCTCAGATCCTCCTGCTTCCCAGTATACGGAGGATACATCGTCACATAGGGCGTGCGTGCGGGGAGGGAAATCGACAAGAGCTAACAAGATTACTTGGTAATTATCGGCGATGGAAGCAAAGGATCAATTGGGAATATGCAAAATGACGGCGGAGGAAGAGACCAAACGCTAGACTGACTGTGCGGTTTGTCCAATCCAATTATCTTGCGAGGTCTTCGGGGGGACGAAGTAACTAGTCAGTTAACGGTGAAAAGAGTGAGGAGGATCGCATTTGATGTCACAGGGTCCATCACCCGTTGGGGGAGAGAGGGGAAACAGGTGTGAGTTGGTCTCACGAGCGGAGGGGGAGCGACACGTGAACGACCGCCACAATTCCCTTTTCAAGTTTAAGCTGTGTGAGATGGGGGGGATTGATTGGTTCGCCATGGTGGTCCGGAGGGTTTTTGGGACTGTTTGTTTGTTCGTGCCCCTTGTGTTTTCGTCCAATTGGTGCTTGGGGGGGACGTGGGAATAGCTGAGAGATTGGCGGACTGGACAGGTATTTATGCATTGGGTGCTTGCTTTCGTGGGGAGGGAAAATGACCTCGAGGGTTTTCGTTTCTTGAGTCACACGATTGCCCACTTTCTCATACATTTGTTAAAGAACGTTAAGAAGATTATACATTTGCTTTCCTGTCGTGAGGTCTGGTTCTCGCTTTTCTGCTAAGGCACGATATATCGATTAGATCCCACGGAGGTACCTGGGGGAAGATCATTCGTCAATCATACGTCAAAGGGGGATTTTATGAATGTGCTCCCTCAAATATTATTATTACTCCGCACAAAATCAGCAGAAAACGAGATACGCACAATTGGGACTTTGTTTGGACACGATTCTGGCCTCTTCTGCGGGCATTTACTCAACATCGAGGGTATAGCTGTCGTCGCCAAACCAGCCTCCCTGTACAACCTCAATTCCACATTTTGACCACAACAACCGACACAACATGTCGCAACTCCCAATGGAACAACCCATACTCATACCGAGCAACCTCCCCTCGATCTTCGACTCCATCCTCACCCTCCTCCTAACCATCGTCCTCCCCCTTCTCGCCCTCCACCTCATCCACCACGACTACCAATCCTTCCTCCGCCTCGGTCCCGGCGGCACGCCGTCCACCCCAACCGGCTACCTCAAGATCAAACTCCTCTCCATCCTCTCCCTCCGCGACCCTCTCCGCCCCCTCCCCATCCCCCCACACTTCCGCCCACAAACAGGCCACCTCCGCACGCTCCCCAAGCGCCGCGGACCCCGCCCCATAATCGCAGGCATCGCCCCCCAGCGCCAGCAATCGCAGCGGTCCTCCCCATCAACATATGCCGCGCTGGTCGCCAGACTACGGCTCCTCGCGCAGGAACCGCGAAACATGCTGTTAGAACGCACGTCGTGCTTCGAGAAGCATTCGAGCGGGCTGTTCGCGCGGACGCCGATCACGCGGACGTGCGGAGGCGAGATATGCCATGCGCATCCGTCGGACGGGAGCATGCATCTCACGCTGCATCCGGCGGACGTGAAGGTGGTGATTGAGGCTGGGTGGGGGGAACGGCATCCGTTGGCGAGGGGCGGGTGGTTTAGGAGGTTCGTGCCTAGGGAGTTTGTGCTGGTGTATGCGCCGAGGGAGGAGGCGGATCTGGAAGTCTTGATGGAGGTTGTTGGGGCGGCGGTTTGGTGGGTTAGTGGGCTGGATGTTAAGGGGAGGGGTGGGGAGGGGGATGGCGAGGGGGAGAGGAGGAGGGAGGCGGATGTTGGGGAGATTAGGAAGGCGAGGGAGGAGAATGAGTGTTGGAGTTGTAGAGTCCATGGTTGTGGGCGGAGGACGGTGGAGGGCATGGTCGATGATGCGTGATTGGTTTGAGGGAAGGGGTAGAGAATGTGAGATGAAGTACGGAGATTTGGCATGAATTCAATTTGACGACTTTTCGAGCGTGGTGTTTGGCGTTTTGGCATCAGGGAAATTCGGGCATGGGAGGAGACACGATGGTACATGGTACCATGTCCAGGAAACAGATTGTGCAAAATGGGATGGGTGCTCGAATTACCCAACAATTGGGGCTTTGTTTCTATTCTGCTTTTTGGACTTGAACATCTATAGCGTATTAGCTCGACCATAGGTGCGCAATGAATGATATAAAATGCGTATATGTGAATGTGAAGCGTGATTCGATGCACATTGCAATGTTCGCCATACGCCTCTTGTCTAATGATGAATCTACAACTTGGTACTCCTGACCAAGCCCTTCTTGATACCCGTGAGCTCACCACCATATCTATGAAGACGTTAGCATAATGTTCATCAGTCATGAGAGAACACAGAAAGACGTACCCTCCTCTCCCTTCACCTCCGGAGTACACCCTCTTCTGACTCTTCAACTTCTTCTGCTTCTCGGCATACTTCAGCTTCTTCTTCACTCTGGGGTTTCTCGCGGCCTTATTGCGCTTCGCGTGCAGGCCCTTGTTCTTGAGGATTTCGTAGCTGATCTGTCGTTTGCCGTCTTCTCCTATGGTCGAGACAGGTACCACTCTGCCGCCACCCTGGGCTGCTTCAGCCATAGCGGCAGCGAGATCAGTCTTTGCAGCCTTCTTCGCCTTGCTACGCGCAGCAACCATGTCGTAGTACTCGTCCTCCCCTGAAGCAGGTCCGCCTCGAGCATCCTCATCGTCAGATGATTCACCGCCTTCACCAAGAGTAACACCAGGTGCATTCGCGGTATCTTGACCCCTCTTCTCAGCCTGAGCCTGCAATCTGGCTTGTCTGTCCTTGAGGCGCTCGCGATGGGGAACATCGGCGTCACCACCATAGTCCTTGCCAGCAGCATCGCGCTTGTTGGCCTTCTGCGCGATTTGCGATGTGTAGAATCGAAGAGACTTCTTCTTCCTGGCCTTCTCGGCGAGGTCGTACGGATCGAGTGCCGTCTCCTCGCCAAAGTCGGAATCGTCGGCATCGAGAAGGTTAAGCATTGGCTGTTGGGTCTTCTTTTGCTTCGCTGCCTTGCGTTGGGCAGATTTGTCGGTCAAAGTAGATAGTGATGCGAGCTCCTCTTCCGTCTTGCGGAGCTTCTCTGCGCGGCGCGCTTGGGCTTCCGCTTGAGCGGCTTCGGCAGCAAGTTGTGCCTTGCTCTTCTTGTCCTTCTTCGCCTTCTTTGCGCGGGCATCTAGCGTCAATGATTCTTCAGGGGCGGAGCTGGCCTCTTCGATAACGGATAACTCGTCGCCATTGGAAGCATCCACCATAGGATCGCCCACGGGGAGACTTTCAACCTTTGCCCAAAGCGTCTGGCACTTGAGTAGGCTTTCCATCACCGCGTGGTCGTGAAGCTCGGTGGGATCCAGGGCAACATTCGCGGCATCGTCAGCAGCTGTTGAGCCAAGTATTGTGAAGTACAGAGCCATGGCTGCAAGATATGCCGCGCATGCACGGTATTTTGTGACTGCCATTGGAATTGGTGTTGAAACGCCGATGAGCTTGCCGGACTTTGCAGCTCTGCTCTCAACAAGGCGTTGCGCTGCATTGGCTGCTGATGCGAGCTCGTCGTGGAGAGGTTGTAGTCGGAGGTATTCCTTGGAAATATGCTCAAACTCAGGGTATCGTGACTTCAGAATCTTCAGTCTTTCCTCCTCGCTCATATCGTCCGTGATCTTGAGTTGCGGCAGGACTTCAGTCACCACATCGCCCGATGCAGTCTTCGCCTCGTCTTTCTTGTCCATCCACTCGTCCTCGTCGAACCCGAAATCAGCCTCGGTCATCGCTTCAAGCTGTTTCTGCTGTAGGCGACGGGCTTCGGCCTCTTCATCGAGCGCATCTTGCTCGGTTTCGATTGCGTCTGCGTCGTAGTAGTCTTTTTTCGAGGGACCCCATCCGCCGTATTCCTCATCCTCGTCCTCGCCAACACCAGCCTTTGCCCTTATACCTTCCAAATCGTCCTCTTCTTCATCCTCAGAGGCGTCCGCAATGTCTTCATCTTCTTCGTCTTCGCCGCTGCTGTAGCCGAGCACTTCTTCGTCCGAAGGTTGGAGAAATTTTTCTAGCAGAGATGTGAGCTGAGATTTCCAATAATAATAATCGCGGCGAACATACCTTCTTCTTGCCATTTGCGCAATCTCTTCGCCGCCGGCTCCTCTTCTAACAGGATCTTGTCTCGGTTGATGTGGAACTCGTCCTCGGAATCTGCGACATCCTCGAATGTGGTGACTCTCATTTTTGAATTGCCATCTTCCTTTCCTGATTTAGACTCGCCGAACGGGCGACCGCCGGCTTTTCTTTTCTTTCCCATGTTATCTGTAGAGTTGCGAATGTGAGGTTTAGTGTCGTCGAGACAAGCCCTGTCCGTCCAAAAATTTGGTCGAAATCTTGGCGTCGCGCGGAAGATGCACCGCGATTAAGCTTATCCAGGCTAACCCGTGTTTGGACGTTAGCGCTGATTTTGTGGACCCTCCTCTGACCCCAAATAACATCGTCTTACGAGGTAGAATTGGTAGTAATTCGGAGCTCTACGAATAGGTGCCTTGTACGATTGTTGGTTGTCAGGGTCTCTCAATTCGATGCCCCATAATCTTACTGGTATATCAGACCCCTTTCTCTCGTTTCTCCTCCTCTTCCTCCTCCTGGGGGACACATTCCTTTCTACTCATGGCCTTTATACTCTGGGGAACAATCGCCCTTCTACTTCTTGTGGCATATATCAGTTTGGACGTCATGGGTTTTCTCCCAAAAAGGAACAAGTTCCAGATCGAGGGACAGGTAAGCAACAGGTTCTTCAGCTTTACGATAGCATTGCTGATATCCCTGTGTCATAGACTGTCATTCTGACTGGCGGGTCTTATGGCATGGGCCGCGAGGTCGCGAGACTGATCTCGGAACGCGGCGCAAACCTCATCCTCGTCGCCCGAGACCCCAAGAAGCTCGAAAGCGCACTCGAATATGCCAAATCGCACGCAAAGAACCCTTCGACCCAAAGATTCCACTACATCTCCGCCGACGTCACCTCGGATGCAGAGAACGGACGCATCCTCGAAGAAGCCACAGCCTGGAACAATGGACGGGTTCCTGAGGTTGTCTGGACAAACGCCGGCGCATCCGTTCCAGAGCTGTTCCTCGAGCAGAGCCACGAGACCATGCACAAACAAATGGATCTGAATTACTGGGCGCATGTGTACCTGGCCCGCAGGACACTCAAGGCATGGCTCTACCCGGATACTCCATACCAGCCGAAAGAGAAAGGCGCAAAGCCCGAGCCGCCTCGTCACTTCATTTTCAGTCTATCTGTGATTGCATTCTATCAGGTAGCTGGATATGGTCAATACGCCGCCTCAAAGTCGGCCCTGCGCGCGACGGCCGATATGTTACGCCAGGAAGTTCTCTTGTACAATGGAGCACGACGCTCGAATACTCAGACGAAGCAAGTTCCTGCCCCTTTCGACGTGCACATCAGGACCGTTTACCCCGCGACCATCAACTCGCCCGGTTTTGCTGTAGAGAACGAGACTAAGCACCCCGCTACCCTGGCTATTGAGGAAACCGACCCTGTCCAAACAGAGATCGAGGCAGCACAGGGCGCAATCCGAGGACTGGAGGCTGGTAACTACATGACGCCTACTAGTCTGTTGGCAGATGCCATCAGGATGAGTACGCTGGGTGGTCAGCCCAGAGATAATATTATCAAGGACACCATCGGTTCATGGATAACGAGCATTGTCTGGCTCTTCATGGGCCCGGATCTGGACGGCAAGGTATGGAACTGGGGAAAGAAGGAGGGCATGCCCGAGCTCAAGCCTTCAACGAAGAAGTGAGAAGCTTTCGTCCTAGTGTCTTATGCGTGTTCTCAAGGAGACAACGTCGAAGCGAAAGAAAAGCTGTGAAACTTAGAAAGCAAGCCTAAAGACTCAACAATAGTTTTCTATAACTGTAACGAAATCTGACTATCATTGGTGAATTATATGGCGCTTAGATTGTGATGGTAAGAGCGTATTGCCTGGGCGCATGATTACCTTTTCAAATGTAAACGCATTTCTTCATTAAAGCTTCTAAAGATCGACCCTCTCAACAGATTTGTAATCGAATTAGCTAGATGTTGGCTTCATTTTCTCCCACTTGGCATAGCTATCGTCCAACCATTTTGTGAACCTTCTATCCGGTGCATCAGTGTCCAGTTCGTCCTCACTGTCGTCAGCAGCCCAACGCTTCTCTTGTGCTAATCTATCTTCTTCTATCCGGTCTTTCCAAAATGGAACAAGATCACTTTGAAGATTATAAGGGTCATACTCCAAAAACTTCACCCATCTCATAACCGTTCTCAACGCAACTGCCTTACTCACAGCAAACCACTCACCATGGATCGATTTGCATTTTACGTCCCTATCCTCGCAATTTAACTTCCTCCTAAAATTGTGCAGCTCCAAGTGGCATATCGCCTCAATTCTTCTCATGCGAACTTCGTCGAATCCCCGCCTCTCCTCAAAGTAATATTCAACAACGAGATCATTGATCCCGCACTTGCTCTGCAACTGTTTCTTACGTTCATCGGCGTTTACGCTTATTCCTATCTTTACCCAGGGTTCCTTGTCATTGCTAGCGGCTTTATAGTTCTGAAAGAACTCCCTCGCGGACATGATGTATATGCCCGTTGTCGGAAGGGGCTTTTTGAGAAGAGCGTAAATTTTGTTACTGATGTGCCTGGGAGATTCGACGTCATATATATGCTCATGAGATCCATTGTGGTTTTGCGGACTGGAATCGACTTCTGGATCGCGCATATCCCCTGGTTTAGCCATGATTTTCGGGTCGCGCTCGTCTTCGCAAGTGCGATCATTGCCGACGGGTGTGGGGGATAGAGAGACCTGAGGCTCACCATCTCGTCTTGCCAGTGTGGCGATAGGTTCGTCTCGTTTCTCTGTATCTGTGCCTGTTGCGTTCTCCTGTATATGCAAATTGCTCATACTCTTCTCTAGAAGCCGATGTTCTGCGTCTTCCTTTTCCTCTGCCCTGCCAATGCTAGCCGGAGTTGGAACGTCCTCAACTCGATGGTGCTGTACCATATCTTCTTTCGTCACCGCCGGATCAGGGGCATGCATTAACGGATTTGAGCTCTCTGTAGAAGCCTCAGCACTCGCTTGGTCCTTGTTCTCGTTGCCTTGCCAAGATACCGCAGGCGACGGTGACCCAACCGTATTCTTTTCCGCGTCATTCTTCCTTGGAGCATCTGCAGTATCACCCCTCACGCGATTGAAAATGGTATGGCGAGTATCTAGGGAACTGAATGCACTAAAGTGGCCATTTTCAAAACCTGGAATGAACCCATTCTGCTTTTCATCCAGCTTTTCTGAAGCTCCGGACTGCTTTTCTGGAGTTGCCTCTTTATGACTGTTGTTGGGAGCGTATAGTCTGTCGGCACCATTGTTGCGATGAAATCCTCCATGACGGTTTATACAATTCACTCGAGGATTTACGCCGCGAAACTGGAAGGTATTTTCGTCTCCAAACTTGAAGGGATTTTTGGGGCTACCAACTGGCAGACGCTGTTGGCTGGATCCGAACAGAAAAGAAGTCTTGTGCTTATCCTGCGAAGGAGGTTTGTCGGCAACAACAGTATGCTTTTCGGGGTCCTTCTGGTGGGGATCAGGCGAAGGGCTCGGCGGAGAGTAGGGTCCCGATTTTCTGGTCGAAATATCTATTTGGTTCGTTCTCATTGGCAGCTGGGCAGTCTGGGGACGAATCGAACTGTCTGGGTCTTGCAAGGTCGATGGTGAAGCCGGTGAAGGCGACGAATCACCTCGAGATGTCGAAGGCTCGCCTCCTTCTGGTTGCAATTGTGTTGGTTTTGAAGGCTCAGACTGGTAGGCTCTGTATGGAACGGGCCGTTGTGGCGTCTTGGGATATTCTGTGATCTTGATAGATTCTATGTGATTTATGCCCTCACGTAGGGCATGCAATACGTTTGTCTTCGCTTCGCTAGACGCAACGCTCCAGAGCTTGGTGAAATGGATCCTGTATGCCTCATACTTGGGTTCTCTGGGGTCGTGAGTTTTGCAGAAGAGAGTCCTGATTATTGTACAGAAGTCCTCGAAATCGAGGGTCTGGCCATCTTCGAACAGCAGCCCACAAGATGTTGCATGGATCTTTGGACGCTCGGAAGAGTAATGTTTCATCTCTGCACCACAGTACTCGCTTTCAGTGTAGAGAAACGGACAACGGAAATATCGCTTTCCTTCCTTATTGCTGAAGAGCTCTTGAAGCTTGTTCAAGTCGCCAATGTGCTCGTCTTTCGATAGATCAATTGACTGAAACAGCTTGCCCATTTTGAAATCTTCAGGTTCTTTCTTACAAATGCGTGCCTTCGAGTAGGTAAAGATGATAAAATGACCACGATATAACACAAACAACGGAATGTGTATACTGCAAGTACATACTCCGTAGTAATAATGAGAAGAAAAGAGGTGGCTGGGAGTGGTATAGAAGCAAATGTAATTGCAAATGGCCCCCACATGCACGATGAAGGACCATCAACAAACATCAAACCAGGGTATGTTGCATATCCAGCTCGAACGAGCAAACCAGAATGTATGGCCCCTGTTGTGCCAATGATGCCGGTTGCGCTCTAGGTGTTCAACCAACATTGTGGCTGCGGCACAGCAGACCAGGGACATTAGAATTTAACCTCTTCAAGCACGGTGATGGAACGACAACCCACATGAAGTATTCACCGGTGACTGATCACACTTGCCACCTGCCTCAAATCTCAGCAAGATATTTCCGTCAAGCCGAGATTGTAGTTACATGGTGCAACATCCCAGCGAATCCCGCATCAAGCCAAAAACCCAAGGGTGTGATGCTGCATTCGAGTTCTCAGATCACTACAGCGATGCCTGGTACTAGAGTCTGAGAGGATTTTAATCTGTTTATCATCGTTTGCCGTACTTAACTACTCGATATATTCCTGGATTAAACCATACTCTGAATACCCTGGAAACTGATCGCCAGGGCAGCGTTCCTTCATACTGGGGCATTCATAGGATTATCTTTTATAAACCCTAGATTATCACGGAACCAATTAACTAGCCATCAATGAAAATGACCTCAAATCTCATTCCCTTCACGCCGCCTAGTAGGTACATGCGTACATAATTCCCTTACCAGGTCACCGCTCTCTATCAACTCAGTAACCCCAATCATCTAAACCCCGCCTACAAATTACACCACCCACAACGAATCACATAAGTCCCTGGCATTCGAACAACCGAACCTCCCCTCAGAGATGCCCACGTTTTCTCAGACTACGATCTACACTTTCCAATACCATGACGAACTTCCGACGGCCCCTTACCCGCTTACGCAAGCACTGAACTTAGCCTTGACTGACACGGAAAACCTCTAATGCGAGCCGGAGTCATACGCTCGAACTCGATACACTGAATCGTTCACTGCCTTTCACGGAAGAAATGCAGGGAGAGGTACTTCCATTTCTAACTGCATGACTGAACAAACAAACAGCAAACACATCTTCAACCCACAGTAACGACCATCCAATGCTTCCGCTCTCGGCCTTGCTGTATCCATTCGTCACTAACATACACGTCTTGCAAAACGAAACTCCCAGGCTATCATATACTCCGCTTCTATTTGTTTGTCGTATGAATGTTCATTATCTTTTCTCCAATCAAAGGCAAGGTGGGGAGCTCTCAATTTACGATTTTTAGCACTCAGCAGATTCGCGTGCAGCAAAGAACAACGCAGATAAAGATGGAAGTTATGAAAGAGATTATCATTTCTATAGTTGAATAGAAGAATTGCTTGCTTGCTTGTTTATTCTGCGGTTGAGGGGCAGATTCATAAAATCAAATCATCTACGCTAAGTGGGAGGAACTGTAGACGAAGAAGAGGAGGCACGAAGCCTATTACAATGTATGTGTCGTAAAAGCAAGTATTGCGGGAAGGTGATAAACGATGTAGTATGGTATGACATTATATGCCTGCAGGGGAATGCAGACTGGACAAGAAGTGAACCGGGGAGGGGGTTATGCTTTATCGGGATAAAGAAGACAGCAGATGGTGGGTGTTGAACTTTTCTATCGGCTCGGCTCGTCTATTACTCTTGTTGAGCCCACCTTTGCTCTCTGATGGGCATCTGCTCGCCTGCCTTCAGCCTCTCGCCGCTGCGCTCCTTCTTCCACGCAAAGTACTCGCCCAGCCTCACTTCGGCATAGTTTGCATAGTCAAAGTCAATGAGGGAGATCTGTGCCTGGATCAGGGCCCAGATTCCCCAATAGAAGCCGGGGACGCCGCGGAAGGCGTCGACCTGGCCGAAGAGTTCGTCCAGGTCGGACTCCTTGTAGGAACGGTGAAGGTGCAGGTTGAAGCTGTGGAGGTATTCGCTCAGGAAGGCGCGACGGACTGAGCGGGTGGGAAGGACAGTGAAGTCGCAGTCAAAGCCTCCCCACTCGGCGAAATGGTTTGCAAGGTCGAAGGAGGCTGGGGCAGGGGTTGCATATTCGTAGTCAATGAAGGAGACGGTGGCCGGAGACTCGGTCTCCTCAGATCCACCGGAGGCACTCGAGCGGCGCGAATGGGCAGCTGACGAGAGCGTAGGCTCGATGATGACATTGCCGGAGAGGAGGTCGCAATGGGCGAAGACGAAGGGGCTGGTACCGCCAACCCCGGGGGTTTCGGCAAGCAACTTGGTAAGCCACTGTAGCTCAGACTGTAACTGTTCGCGGCGGCTGCACTCCGCTGCGTTGCGAGTTGGCAGAGCAAGTATCCATTTCTGCATGACTGTCCACAAATTGGGGATAGGCTTGCCTGGCGTCAATGCCGCCATAGCCTCCACAGATGCACGTTTATTTTGAGGAGTTATTTGTGTGGGTGTAGGACATGTGGTGCTGATACTCGATATAGGTAGTGTTGCATGCCATTCACCTAGCCGCTGTGCTACTCCGCGCCATACCTCCGGCCTGCGCAGGTCTTCTGGTGAACACACATCACCCTGGATAAACTTGTATAGCAGACCGTTCTCGAACCTCGCGAGCAGTGGTGGTGCTAAACCGTGTCGGGCGCAAAGAGAATGTGACTGTGACTCTCCTGATTGTGTATGATATTAGAGTTTGACTCGTTGTCAGGGGACATGCAGGTGGCAGCCTTACTCTCACGATCTATCAGCACGTCTGTTCCCTTCCCATATGCCCGTAAAAGAATTGACTCCCTGTCTATGTCTGTGTCCTTCAACCCAGGCAGTTTGTTGATCGCTTTGAGAAGCTGTTCACCGCCAAATTAGCGAAAATCCACGGAAGCTCGTTGTGGTGAGAATACACACCGTGTTTGTAATGCCGTCAGTGAACCGCACGAATTCAATTGTGTCCTTTGACTCTCGCCATTCGGGTCGTATCGTGAGTATGAGGTTCAAAGCAGTGTTGTGAGAATCGGCATAGTCGTATGATAAGGGAATGTGCTTGATGGAGTTGGCGTCATGGGAATCTTGGTAGGACCCCATTGTTGTTGACAATGTGGATTTCTCTTCCTGTAGAGAGTTCAGTTAGAAAGGATGAAAGGCTGCTTATGGAATTATAGTAGTATCGGGGAGCGTAGGTGGGTGTAGAGGCAGCAATCTTTTTGATCGATCGCATGTGAAGAAGACCCTTGGTGGATAGTAAGATAATTGTGGGGAAGATTTTCCTTACCAATTTATATTGTGAACTGCTCTAGAAAGGGACCACAATGGTATGATAGCGCAAGCTTCCGTGAGTATAGGATTGTAAAGTCGAAAGTTGCAGTCGTGTAGGTGTGTGTATGTAGTATGAGTGAGTGGGGAAGAAAAGAGAGAGAGAAAGAGAGAGATGTCGTGTGCTTTGGGTACTAGAACTAGACTTGGCTTCGATCCTCCCCCTGTTCTCTTCGGCCGCATGCCTCGTGCCTGTTCTAGACCAATCACATCGTGCACGCCCCTGCCCCCCGCACGCCACACCACTTTTGCGCCACTGGTGGTCCCTTCTTCAACAGCCGGAAGTGACGTAGATTGTCACACTCTCTCCCATGTCGACGTAACTCTCACCAAATGGGGGACAGTTACTTGATCTACAATTCGATAAGCGTCTCTTTCATACAGATTGATGCCTTGATTGAAAAGGAAACATACCTAGCAGGAACAAACACTAGCTTTCCTTCCTTCCTGCATCATCATCATCAAATATAAATGCTGCATGTACGGGTGGAGAGTACCAAAGAACCAAAAAACCCTCATCTGGCACGGCATAATGGAATCGGGTAATCGGATCGACCCATCAATGGCATCTTCGTCCTTGGCAATGCGGGCTGTCTCACTGCGGGGCATATTCTCCCCGACCTGTGAGATGCTTCGGCTGACATTCTAGCTGAACTTTTAGGCATGCTGGATACATAGAAAATGATGTCGGCAGTTACTTTTCCCGTAGTAAGGTCCTTGAACAATCTTTCATTCTAACATCGCATACGGCGTCATTGCAGTACTTCCTCTAGTTTGACACATCGTTTCTGGTAACAGGAGCCCATGATGCATATTTACATACTGCGGCGTAATCCTGCCACTCCGCCAACATGCATCTCTGCCCTGTTGGGTCCACCCTCTACTACCACAGCATCATACTATCAGGATTTACTGAAAGCAAAGGGACACCGCCCACGATCCGCAGCCAGGAGTTTATCCCTCGTAGCCTCGCACTGTGCCCTGCCGACTTTCTCTTTACTGGGAGGTCCCACCTCGAGAATATCGTACCCCTCTGGCTTGTAGTTCTTGCCGTCGGGATAAGGGCGACCAATCGCCCATCGTAGCCATGATGACGGCGAGTTTCGTACGAAAAATGTAGGTTTAACATACCATGGTTCTGACTCGTATATCAACTTGTAGTACCGTCCGGTCACAGGATCAGGGTCGTCACTTAGGTCCCGCTTGCGTAGGAAGTATGGTCGGGGTGGTAGCAGATGGCGGATGACGAGCTTGCGGATGTATAGAGCAGAGTAGACAAGTTTGCTGATGAGTGGTGGTGGGTCATCGTAGCTTCGTCATATGAGTACTTGCATATAGTATCAAAGAGGTGTTCCGTTGACTTACATCATGGCACGTCGAAGCCTCTCGTCCATCAAGGCTTCCACGGCATGCTTGCCGGTGGGTTTGAGAAAGGGAGGGACATTGGTCAACAGGATGGCCGTAGTCTCGTTGGCCAGCTTGTGGTTCCAATCGTTTGGAATCATGGTGCGTTTCTCGTAGGCATTCGACCACAGCTCCATGTCCTCCATGAATTCCAAACCATCTTTGAAATTTGAAGGCCCATGGGACAGAGGCTCATATGATATCTCCATGGCATCACCAATGGATTTCCAGAAAGTGCCGCTACATGTTATCAGTTCGCGTACATCAAATCACAAATATTAAGGTTCACATACAGTGCACAAAGCTCCATGGGTGTCAAAGTCCTCCACTCATGCCGCTCAATCCACCTTCTAGGCTCAAGCAGAAACAATGATAGCGTGTATAGCAAATCGTCATTACTGATCTTACCCACCTTTTGGTAGTTGCCATGCAGATAGTTCATGCGCGCAATCGCCGAGTTGGCTCGCTTAGTAGTTGGGGCGTAGCTGAGGAATTCACCAATGAGAACACGCGTGTCGTCGTATCGTCGTGGTGCATTCTGAAGACTTGCTAATTGTTTCGTCTCACATAGAAGTTTGGAGATAGTTTGTATACCATAAGTCCTGCGGGGGTAGGTGTATTAGTAAAGAGAACAATAACACTCTGGACATCCAGGAATATATGGCGACAACGGGAGAGATCATGGTACCTGAACAGTGCGAACTGGAGAGCTGTCTCAGAAAGAAGGGGAAACTCCAACGACAGAATGTACTTCATTATTGCCCAAGCGTCGTCCGTTGTCATTTTAGAGTAATCATCCCGCGTTTTGTACGGAGACTGTGCATGCTTTTGGTTCCGGCGTCTATAACGGAGAGCATTGCAGACAATAACATAAGAAACAGAGGCTCCAAGAACTGCAAGAGTATGCTTCCCAAAGGCCCCTGTTACCGAATATAAGATTCCCGATTCGAACATCTCGGAAGACGCAAAGTATCAAACGTGTCGTCTAGATAAGGGACAGCAGGCCGAACAAAACGTGGAGGTATTGTGTCTTATACGAAGTTCTGAGTAGCACCGAAGACTCTCGCACCGGATGCAAGGGAAGAAAAGATCCCGAACCGCTAAACAAATGCAAATGCTGATGCCGGTGATGATAATGAATCGTTCAGATTGAGTACGTGAGAGGTAAGATGTTTCCACATGACGAAAAATGGGGCAAGCACCGAGGCATGTAACCGCATATCCTTGTCACCCTGTTGGATAATTTGCTGCCTAGCCCACTACACTGCATGTGTATCGTGAGAGAAACTTAGCTAATAGGCTGGCGGCTGGCGTCATCCTCAAACAAGGCCCTCGAGGGACGATGAAGCCAGGACGAAAGCCGTTTGGACTGCGGAGGGTACAGTTGTGTTCCCAAAGAAGTGCTTGAGAGGCTCCTAAAGGGTTAGCGTGCCAAGACAGGACTCGGGTTCCTGCAATGGCGGACATGAGGGCGGTCTGCCCCGCTGTCCAAAATTCTGCCCCAAATTCAAAAATACGTTGTTTGTTGGTTTACACAACACTTCTACAGCGATGGGGCGCAAGCCCAATCAATTGATCCTCGAGTTCTTCGAACGTGGCCCAAAGCTCGAAGACGCTAGCAACCGATATCAGCATACCTGCAAATCATGCGGCGAAAAGGTGTGAATATCTTCCCCTCCCTCTCGCCAACGTCATCTCGTCCAACATTCGAAACCGACTTCGATGGCGAAAATAATTGGCTCATGCTTCATACCCATCACTTATCCCATATAACCACTTTGACTTGTCTTCTCTTTCCCATTTTAAACGAATGTACTATAATTTCCTCTCGTCTAGCATACTACCGATCATTCACAATAATCATAGAGAAACTCCGCGCTAATCAACTCTATATAGTTTCCCAAAGGACGAATCGATAGCTTAACAAACCATCTCGTGAAAAAATGTCCTGCCCTACCTCTACGCGATCGCCAGCGGGCGATCTTGCAGTTCCACGATCTCCCCGCCGACCTCCCTGATATGACACACATGGGCAACATGTCGGGTCAGCCCCAATCCGGACCTACAATGAATTTGCCTTTCACACCCTCGAAACAAGGCATGTCCGCTCTGGAGACTCTTGCTGAAGTCTCACGACAGCATCTCGATCTATCTGGAAAGCGCATCCCCGGTAGAAAGACACCGCCGCCCCCGCAATCTATCCCGCAGCACAACAACCCAAATAATCATGGAGGATTACTGGATGAATTCTTGATACATGATGATAGGCCGGACGGATTGGATTCGGGAACTGGATCACAAGGCCTCGATATGACGAGTGCCCCAGCACTGCCATCGATATACCAGTTCAATGGACCCCTGCAGCATTCTCCGACAAATTCGCCTCATCTTGGTCATATGTCTTTACCCAGCTCCACTCCAGTGGCTCAAATGGTACCTTCTTTAGTTATGGCAGCCTCCCAAGCCAATGAATTATCAAATTTGATGCCCATGACGAATGGGTTGCCGATGGAGCCAGAGTTGCACCTGGGCAACGGTGGTATATCAGACAAATTCTTCCATCATCAGGGACGCCCACAATGGCCGAACATGCCAACCAACACGATCGACCCTCTATTACAGGATCATAGCAGGGATGCAAACTTTCCAAAAGATGATCCCTTAAACAAACCTATATCTCACCAGCGCCCCATTGCCATGAACCCCAATGGCACGCAGGCACACTTTACCACCGACTTCAGCATGAATCAGAAGCCCTCCAAACCAAAAGTTCGAGGGCGTTTTTCGGACTCAAGGCGTAAAGAAGTGCAAGAAGTGCGGAAAAGAGGAGCTTGCATGCGGTGTCGCATGCTGAAGAAACCTTGCTCTGGAGGGAGCCCTTGCAGTACCTGTCAAAACGTCGAAAGTGCGCGATTGTGGAAACAGCCCTGTATCCGAACACGAATATCTGAAGAATTCAATCTATACTCTGCAGGACTCAATGGTGTACTCGCTTTCCACGCCATCAACGAAGCCAAAAATCAACAGCTTCGTCTGAATCAAATACCAGGTCGAATAGAGGCGGCGCATCATCCAGAGTCTGGCGTTTTCGCAACTTTCACTACTATGGAAAGCCATGATCAAATAGCAGGCTCAGATATTGATCCTGCGCTGATGGGTGCACTGGCCCCGACTGGCCTCAAAATCATCGACGGCGATGATGATATTGGTGGAAAGATAGATCTTTACATGAAGAAAGTCAGCACCTACTTTTTCGATTCAGAAGACTCTGCTTTCATGAAGACGACCATGCGGGCAGCTCTGAGCGTTGCTTCACCAAACCCCGACGGACTGCTCACCAAAGTTCTGGAGCTGTGGAATCTGACCCGGATGCTCACTTCGCCAAAAGTTACCTGGCACCTATTCTTCAACCCTTCCTATGCGCCTACAATCGCGCCTTCGACAATGTCCGCCTCAGAACTTGAAGACAGCGCACGGGTTCCGATCACATCTATCAACAGCCCTCATTCGTATGACCTAATTAAGATACAGCTTGAAGGTGCAGCAGAGAAAAGAGCTGGTTCTCTCGCTAGGGTGGTCATGAATGACCTTGAGCGTCGCCTGCTGCAACGACAGCAAGGCAATCCTTTCGAGACTTTCCTTGTGGCAGTTATCTTACTCTCATGCGTAGAGCGCATGTGCTGGCTCTTCCGAACCTGGGAGGGGACTCCTAGTTCACTCGCCCAAAATGAATCCGATCCTAAGTCTCCTCACAACTCTCTGGACCCTCCCAATGTGCTACCATATTCGTCCGACGACACCCTAGCTGCAGCCCTTCAATCCTCAACGCAGGCCTCGACAAATCCCCAAGACTTGGACCACATTATACCTGCAAATCTCGACCTCCCAACTCGCAATCCCAAATGGCCATTCGACAAACCACCTGCTTACTATTCCCAACAAGGTGAACGCTTCTCTGACATTCTCAACATGCTTCTTAAAATGCGCGGCGTGCCTCCGAAGTCGAGCGTTGGAGATGATGGAGTTCTCACTGCGGTTGGCGACGATGTCGATGCGAGAATTAAGGAGTGGTACGAAGGTATCAATCTTAGTGTCGACAAACTGGCCGAGCGAAGAAATGCGATTTTTGAAGGCAAAGATCCCAGCGAATGGGAGCTCAAATACACCAACAAAATCATCGGCGGGAATTGAATGTCCTTAATTCACCTGCCATGGTTGAATTCAAAGAGGATGCAGCAGAAGGTTTACGACATGTTAGATTTCCCAACCTATAAGCGATCTAGTTCAATATACCCAGCGAGAGACTCCTGCCAAAGCAAATCATATTCTGGCAGAGACAATTAAATCTATCTTTTGATCTTAGGGCCCATCGGCTTCTCCCAGAACGCTTGTGCTACCATTGAATATCAGTCTATACGATGCAGACCTAATGATCTACTGTATAATCCTACCGCACATTAGTTTCGGAGTTCACCAACTCTTAAGCATGAATAGACAAGGTTCAATGGAAAGGTTGCAAACTCAGCTTACCATTGAACCCGAGCTAGCACGATTTCTACTAACAAGTGAAGAAAACATCGATGTGGCTGTGCCCAGCTGTTGTTTCACTGTGGGATGTGGCTGATCAATCCAGCTGTGCAAGTCAGGCAAGCTGCAAGCATATGTCGACAGCCGAGACATGCGACAAGGAGAGTAATCGTGTTCTGCTGATGACGCCAACATGAAGATGACCAGTCTCCAGCTGCTTCTACAATACGAGTATGAGTGGGACCACTATTGAGTCAATGGGATTCATGCAGGTGTATTGAAGTTCACGTGACTCGAGTCTCGAAATGGCAATAGTGTGGAGACGGATGACGAATGGGAGTCGAGATCATTCTCCCTTTCTATGAATAGCAGCAGCAGGTAGACCGTAGCAGCAACAACACACTACCGAATTTAGGCCAACGAGCAGAGCCACGGATTGAACGCGGCGCTCAGCTTTCTTCAGGTAGTGCCAACGACGAGCACAAACGCACACGTTTTGACAGCGGGATGATGCCTGCATGGCCAACGTGTACCAGATGGCACGACAGATTCCCAATACATAATTAGTTATTGGATTTGCGCATATGCGGAGGAGGGCATGAAAGTGGAGGAAATTTGGTTGGGGGAGTGCCAATCAATAGTCAGGGGATAGGGGCAAATAGGGAGAGGAAGTTGGTAACGAATTTCGGTTGGACCGTTAGCGACGGATCCAATGGCCGAAGCGACGAGAGCGATGACGAGCCAAATCACGGCATAACAGGCGGAAAAAAGGTAACAATTTAGAAATTGGTTTTAGAGCATGGGGTGAGGGCCGTTCGAAACTGGGGTGCGCCGATCGAAAAGTAACCATCTCCCTCGGTCGGAGTACCAATCCGAGTTGGGACTCAAGGGCAGGAAAAACTTGTTCACTTGGCGTAGAATCGCAAAGAATCCAAGGTCAACAGTCAAACAGTGGTTGTGATGGAGACGGGCTTGATGGTGTGCCTTTTGGTTCGGATACTGAAACGACAGGCTGGTATTGGGAGGAAGACATAGTGGCGGAGGGCGGCTGGTTCAAAACATTTTGCCATAAGCGGCTGACCATCAAAGGCGAACCACGAAGGACAACTTGCGACATGTCGTGATACAGAAATGCATGTTGGATCTGACAGTATTCTAGCGACGAAAAGTCCGCGGTGGTACAACTGCAGACAATGTTGGCCCTGACCTCGGCCTAGGCAAAGGTCTCTCTCTTCCCAACAGATCTTGAAATTTTCCCTTTGGACTCAAGGACTTGACAAAGCCAGCCGTGCGTTGAAACGAACAAATATTGGGAGCAAGTCATCAGAGACTAAGAGGGCTAGAGTGGCTAGGTTGCCCAGTCTCCGCCACCAAGGCCACAGGCAGGAAATGTTGTTCTAAAGGAGCACAGGAGGTCCCAGGGCGCATCGGGCATCCCAATGGCCAGTATAATTGGCCTGATGTATGAGCTTCTTTAGTTGCTTTGACGAGCCGGGTGATGGCGCGCCCCACTCCCGTTGCTCGGTCAGGTTGAGGATGGGGACAGGACACCAGGACACGAACAAGGGGGACGGCGTCCAGGGGTGGCGCAACAAGTAACAGAAACAGGGGACGCAGTAGTAAATTGGTAGCTTGTATCTGTAGTAACCCCGATGATCGATATGATGTGATGGTGTGTGGAAATACGATTGTCAATAAAAGGCGACGCGTCCTCTGCTCCTTAAGGTCTTGTTTCTATTTTCTCTCCCCATCCAACGCTCTCTCACAAGACAAATATCATCACGCTTCTTCGAAGACTTCGTCTTACAGTTCAATCGTTAACTCGACAACTTACAATCGCTTCCGTTTAATTTCAAACAAGACCAACAAACCATCAAAATGCGTGCCTCTGTCATCGTTCCCGCTTTCGCCCTTGCGGCCTTCGCCCAGGATGCTGTACGTTTGGAATGCTCCTATGCTTCCCCATAGGATCCCAATTGTTCCATTCAGCAACTGACATGAAGCTCTTGTAGTCCTCCGTTGCCTCTTCCGTCGCTTCTGCTGCTTCCTCTGCCGCCTCTGTCGCCGTCTCTTCTTTCACTGGCGATGCTTTCCCCCAGACCTCTTTCCTCACCCAGGTATGTTGGCAGATTTCCATCGCTTGCAACCAGCAACTGAATTCGAACTCAGACCGACTCCCGTGGTGTTGTCACTGGCCAGCCCGCTGTTGAGACCTCCATCCCCAACCAGCCCGCTGCCTCTCTCTCCATCCCTCCCGTTGCCACCTCCGTAGGTGTGCCCGCCTCCATCCCAGCCGTCGGCACTGGCGTCCACACCATCCCCGTCGCTGGACCTAACAACTCCACCCGTACTCTCATCGTGTCTGCCAACAACAGCACCACCATCATCCTCAACGAGGGTACCTCTGCTGCCTCCGGCTCCGGCTCTTCTGCCACCACCACTGGTGGATCCCGCCCATCTGGCTCCGGAGCCTCTGGCTCGGGCGCTACCGGTGCCACTGGCACTGGTGCTCCTCAGAGCACCCCCAACAACGCCAACATCCGCGTTGCTGCTGGCGGTCTCGTCGGTGCCGGTATGTTCGTTGCCGCTTTCTTGTAAGCGACTCGTCCATACGTATCTTCCGTTGGTTGGAACACACCATCCGAGATATAAAAAGCGCGACCTCCATATTTATAACATCTTCAACTTCATTGTCGGATCTGTTCAAACAAACTCAAATGTTTGGGGTTACTGTCCTTAATTATACCCATGGGAATTCTTCTTTTTTTGCATTTCGCATCATCATGAGCGAGCGGCTTTTCGGCGCATTTGGTTGGGCACACAGTTGGGGTGTGCTCCAAAGGCTGGATGGATCGTTCCAAAACAAACATTCTTGTTAGTAATATAGGTAATAATTGTCCCTGTTGACAGACAGGACGGATGGTCCCGTCCCATCGGGTTGAAGAGGAGGAGGAATGGTTGTTGGTGGGTTTGCATGGCTTGTCGATGGCGTATCTGTCGCAAGTCGAATAGAACAAGAATATAACACTTCAAACACACCAATCTTGATTTCCCATTGCTCTTTGCTTGTCTTGTTTCTCGTGTAGTCGTTGCTCTTCTGGAAGGCTTGCGAAAGAGGAGATGGTCCGAGTGGTGTATGATATGTTCTCGTCAGGATGTCCGCACTGCACAGCTGTGGTCACGTCCCATTGGCAGGTCAATGAACCTGACGGAAGGAGGATTGATGTTTGTGTAGCTCGAGTGAGGTTGGAGTATCGCTCGAGTGTAGTTGAAGTAGAGCTCGAACATAGTCCGAGTGTCATCAGGTGCCGCATGTAGGTGAGCGGCAAGGCTATGCGAAGCAGTCAGCAAGACCTGTTAAATCAGACTGATTCTTTTTGTTAAGAACGTATCTGAAGAAATCTCATATGAATCTTGAGACATCTATTATCAGTGGTCTTTTATTTCTCTAGGGTTTAGGTTGAGATGTCTTGTGATGGTGTAAATTGCGCTTGTTACATTATCTCTAGCTAGAATGGTCGCGCTGTGTTTACATGCTATGTCTTGGCATCTCGAACTACCAGATACCCTTATTCAGAAGGTCGCGCATTAGGTAGTCGAATTTGACAAAGTACGTGCTATTTACTGGTGGTAGAATTACATAGACATTATGGGAAACGATTGGATTCCATAGACAGGGATTCTATGTCTAAGAGACGTGTACGGCGTACATATATGTGATCATTTTCGGAACAGATTCCGTTTATCAATTTATCATTCTGGCTTGTTGCTCACATATTGTCAAAACTACATATCAGCGTACTGATCCCTCCTTATCAGATATGGTTATTCACGTAGAATGCAAAGAAATTTATTGAGCAACCATGATTCTCCCAGAGAAGTTACACGCAGTGGTCGCATCACATGATCAATGCCGCCTTGCGCGGAGCAGGGGAGCCGGGTAAAGAGCAAGCACCAACTCACAAGCATGCACCCAAGACCATGTATTGCCGATCGCCATTGCTTAGTAGTCACTCGATAACACTGAAATACTGCCATTTCAAGAGCGATCTGTTCCAGTCGGAATCAGTTTTGGTCATAATACATTCGTATTAATTCGAATTAAGTCGAAAATAGCAATCGGCGATCTTTTCTTTTAGGTGATTCCGGCGCGCCCGCGTTGCCGCATAGCCAGCACAGCTCAACCTGAAACACGAAGGTGGCCGTAATGACGACAAGGACCAGTGGATTGTGGTAATGCAAACCTAACGCAAAATCTGATTGGCTCTTAGTCTGTAGGGCACCCTGCTGGCGATCGTGTTATGCGGGCGCAGGGCATTCACTTGCTGTTGACTTTGGCTGCCGTGGAACGTTAGGCTCCTATCAACGATTGTCAGGTCCCTCAGCTCACACCACGAGCGACCTGCGTTCGCGAGGGACACACGATTGCCTCCACGTCTTCTCTTCTTCGTCCATGCTACGAGTAGAAGAAAGGCACACTGCTGCAATCTCCATTTCCTCTTCGCCATGTTTCCTTCGTCGATCATGTCAGCGCTGGTAGCACTTTGTTTGTTTGCACTAAGTGTTTCAGCCCATGGGGTCCGCGTCGATTGGGTGAGCGGACTGGACGACTGCTGGGAGAAGTGCCTCCAAAACACCGAAGATGGCTGCAATTCAAGTAGCTGTAAGTATAGTATACCGGGCGTGATTGCTGTCATATCAGGGCGTTGCTGACCCTACGTCCGCATACAGGTATCTGTGATGCAAGTCAAGATGGCAGCTACCTACCTCCCGCCGTTTCTTGTATGGCAAGCAAATGCGATGCCGACGAGTTCGCGATTGGCATCGCTCTTCTCCTTCCGCTCGCACCCTACTGTGGTATCGCTGGCAAACCCGTTCCGCAGTCTATATTGAGTAGTGCGTATGCTGCTGCGACTGCGACGTCCGAGCCCTCACCTTCTACCACACGTACGACGCACCACAACCCTAAACCGACTTCAAAAGAGAAGGAGAACACCCTCACCAAGGTTATTACTACGACTCTTACGACAACCTCGACCGACCAGGACGGGAATACTCTACAGGTTGTGGTTCCTATACTCATTGGCCCAAGCGGCTTGAGCTCTGGAAAGCCCGTCACATCCACGATTAATGCCTCGAAGACGATCAATGTAGATCCAGCATCATCCACTCCAGCCTCACCCAGCCCGACTCCCGATGTCTCCTCGCCAACTTCGACTCAAGACCAACAGCCGCAAGTCGAATCGACCGCCGAAGCAAAGCCTACAAACAAAGGCTCAGGCGGATCAAACTCTAACGGCAGTCCATTCGAAAACATGCAAGCCGGTGCAAGTCAATGGGGACTTTCGCGCCTTGCGGCGGGCTTGGGCTTGCTGGCTGGCATTTTCCTAAGAATGTAGGAGATGTCATGACGCAGGCATGTAATTGTATGAATTTTTCCATTGATACCACGCGTTTGTTTTCTTATTTCGGAAGCTGCATGCGACGGCAGGCAAGTCAGGAACTTTGTTAATGGTAATCGACCGAGAGTCGGCTCTAGGAGAGCTTCAGTATATTCTGCATAGGTGTCGGGGATTCGGCAGGCCAGGTAGAACCTGCCTTGCATGTTATGCGATCAACCACCTCTGATGTCTATGAGTCCATTCAGCCTTGCGGTGATGGCGTGACATATACATACAATGAATATCAATGTTTCCTAGCTACTACCCCGCTTGATAAAAGTGAAAATTAAGCCTATGACATGTAAAGGAAAAAAGCCTGGACCGTCAAAGCCAACAGCCTTCCGGGACCATCAACTAGAATGCCAACAGTGGCTTGATTTCTACCAAAAAAAGAAGGAAGAGCTGAGAGGTATCGCACGTTTTCTCTAAATGTCTAGTCCACAGACTACGTTAGCTCATCTTCACCCACGAGTATGTCTACAGTAATCGCTGGTGCTTGACCATTATGACCATTATAAGAAGCATTGATACGGCGACAAAACCAATATACTTGCATGCGTCGTATTGCAGCACCAGGGCACTACTTCAAATTGCATGAGACTGTGCCACAGTAAAACGTTAATGTTCAGAAGAATGCGCTATAGGGCGAGGTTGCATCCATTCACATGTTAGCCTACCAATGAGGAACGTGATGAAAGCAACGACTAATCTAAATTGTCCCAAACATTCACCCCGCACGGCGTGAAGGCATTAGGCGAGGCCGGATAGCTCCTCAACCCTTTGTTCATAGCATTGCATCCATTCGCTATGTTTGAAAAGGATGTTGTATCCTGAAGTCTTACGTGCGAAAGACAACGTAGGTACAGCATTCAGGATATATGATCGACCATCGACTTCGCCTCGCAACTTCGGCCGAAGAACTTCAATTCGCGTCCATTGCCCATTCAGGCTTACCATTGGCCGATCAAATCATTAAAAGCTCCGACTGTTGACCAAATTACTTTGGCTTCTTCGGAGGATCGGAGTCAAGCAGTCGGTCGATAAATACTGATTGTCGCCTTCTTGAGCTGATAGACTTTATACAGCTCTGAGGGAGGCCGGTTGTTGTATATTTACTGTCGTACAGCTGACTACGCCTCAATCTGTTGCTTACAGGGCCCTATCTTGTCGTTGCCCCACGCCTCACAGCCTGCTATCTACCTAACTTCACCAAAAACAACCGTAAATTCAACTCTTGCGCAATCATGGCGAATTCAAAGCAAGAACTCGAGCCTATCCCGGGACCACCAGGTCTCCCCTTCGTTGGAAATATCTCAGATATTGATCCACAAAACCCGATCAAGTCAATGATGAACCTCACAGACATATATGGTTCGTATATACCTTTCCATCAGCTCAGGCACTATGTTAATCTGTTCCCGTGCCATGTCTAATGAAATACAGGCCCCATATGGACATTATCTATCGGAAGCAAATCGCGAATCATCATCGCATCACAGAGCCTCATGAACGAAGTCTGTGATGAAGAAAGATTCGAAAAAGGAGTATCCGTCGCCTTGCAAGAAGTCAGAAATGGCACGCACGACGGGCTATTCACATCATTTGGCCCCGAGGAAAAGAACTGGGGGATCGCACATAGAGTTCTTATGCCCGCGTTCGGCCCTCTTTCCATCCGAAGCATGTTCGACGAGATGCATGACATCGCCTCACAGCTGGTGATGAAATGGGCGAGACATGGGCCCAATCACGTTATTCAGGTTACGGACGACTTCACAAGGCTGACGCTGGATACCATTGCTCTGTGTGCGATGGACTACCGGTTCAATTCTTACTATTCGGAATCGATACATCCGTTCGTGGAGGCAATGAGCGATTTCCTCAAAACGTCGGGAGATCGAGCTCGGCGAGGGGCGTTCGCGCAGTCGCTATTCTACCGCGAAGAATCACGTAAGTATTGGGCGGACATCGAGCTCCTTCGGAAAACAAGCATGGACGTCATTCAGTCTAGAAAGGCAAACCCCACAGACAAGAAGGATTTGCTTAATGCGATGCTGAATGGCGTTGATCCAAAGACGGGCGAAAAGATGAGCGAAGAGAGTGTCATGGACAACATGATTACCTTTCTGATTGCTGGACACGAAACAACGTCTGGAATGCTATCGTTTGCTTTTTACTATTTGCTAAAGAACCCTGAGGCCTATGAGAAAGCACAGAAAGAGGTTGATGAAGTCATTGGGAAAGATCCCATTACCGTTGAGCATACCAGCAAGCTTCCATATTTGAATGCGGTGTTGAGAGAAACACTCCGACTATCGCCAACCGCACCAGCCATAGGTCTCAAGCCAAAGAACGACGAGATCCTGTGTGGGAAGTATGCTGTTCCCAAGGGTACCCCCATCCAAGCATTGTTCCACAAAATCCATCGCGATCCCGCAGTGTACGGAGAAGACGCCGAAGAGTTCCGACCTGAGCGCATGTTGGATGAGGAATTTGAGCGCCGTAACAAAGAATTCCCGAATTGTTGGAAGCCTTTCGGGAATGGAATGAGGGCATGCATTGGACGACCATTCGCCTGGCTTGAGGCGTTGTTGGTTACAGCAATTCTGCTCCAGAACTTCAACTTCACCATGGACGATCCCTCATACATTCTGCAGATCAAACAGACACTGACCATCAAACCCAAGGGGTTCCTTATGAGAGCCCATCTTCGAAATCATATGTCTGCCACTACACTCGAACGTGTGCTCGCCACGACGTCGCTGGACAAAGCACCGACGAAAACAGGCAAGGTCGTTTCGACTTCGACAGGAGCGAAGGGCAAGCCTTTGATCATTCTGTATGGTTCGAACACCGGAACTTGTGAGGCACTCGCAAACCGTCTGGCAGGCGATGCTGCAAAACACGGGTTCAGTGCTGAGGTCGTAGATACCTTAGACTCCAGGAAGGATAATCTACCAAACAATAAACCGATCGTCATTGTCACCGCCTCATATGAGGGACAACCAGCAGAGAATGCAGCCCATTTCGTCAATTGGGTTGGGAATCTGAAAGGATCTGAACTCCAGGGCGTATGCTATTCAGTTTTCGGTTGCGGGCATCGAGATTGGTCGAAGACTTATCAGAGGATTCCAAAATACCTCGACAGTGCTCTTGAGAAGAGAGGCGCATCGCGCATAGCTCCCATCGGAGCCGCGGATGCAGCAGCAGGTGACATCTTCACCGACTTCGAAGCCTGGGAAGACCAAGTGTTCTGGCCGGCCATGCGTGAACGATATGGAGCTTCCGAGGCCTCTGGAGAGACTTATGAGTCCAAGTTGGATGTCGAAGTGTCAACCCCGAGATCCTCTAATCTGAGACAGGACGTCAGAGAAGCCCGCGTTGAGGAAGTAAGTGTGCTGTCTGCACCAGGAATTCCCGAGAAGCGTCACATTGAGATCAGTCTTCCCTCGGAGATCACGTACTCTGCGGGCGATTATCTCGCCATCCTTCCCCTGAATCCTAAAGAAAGTGTTGCTCGAGCTATGCGATATTTCGGTCTTCCTTGGGACAGTATGTTGACACTGTCTTCTGGTGGCCCTACTACTCTTCCTGTGGGGCACCCCACTGCTGCCACTGATGTATTCGGCGCCTATATTGAGCTCGCCCAACCAGCTAGCAAACGCAATATCCTCGCTCTTATCGATGCCACGTCGGACGACAAGGAGAAGAAAGAGCTCACTCGACTCTCGGATACTGACTTCACTACCGAGATTACTGAAAAACGTGTCTCAGTACTAGATCTTCTTGAACGATTCCGAACCATCACTCTTCCAATTGGGGCGTTCCTTCAAATGCAACCACCCATGCGTGTCCGGCAATATTCAATTTCATCCTCACCCCTATGGAATCCCTCAAACGTCACTTTGACCTACTCTGTTGTCGATCAGCCAGCTCTAAGCGGACAAGGTCGTTTCGTCGGGGTCGCCTCCTCCTACCTATCCAGTCTCGCAGTAGGCGACAAGCTACACGTCTCAGTCCGCCCTTCCCACCAATCCTTCCACCTACCCAAAGACTCCAAGAACGTCCCCATCATCATGGTTGCCGCTGGCACAGGTCTCGCTCCCTTCCGCGGCTTCATCCAAGAACGTGCCGCCCAGATGGCCGCTGGACGACCCCTCGCCCCTGCCCTCCTATTCTACGGTTGTCATTCTCCAGACACCGACGCACTCTACTCCGACCTGCTTGCACGCTGGGAGGCTCTCGGCGCAGTGTCCGTACGCTACGCTTACTCTCGCGCTTCGGATCTCTCTGAGGGGTGCAAGTACGTGCAAGATCGAATGTACCACGACCGCGCGGACGTCGTGGAGCTTTTCAATGCTGGAGGAAAGGTCTTCATCTGTGGAAATAGGAATGTTGGCGAGGGTGTCTCGAAAATTTGCATTAAGATTGCGAAAGAGAAACGTGAGGAGGTTAGGGGGGAGGAGGTCACGGAGGAACATGTGAAGGAGTGGTTTGATGGATTGAGAAATGAGAGGTTCGCTACTGATGTGTTTGCGTAAGGTATGGATATATGAAATTTGAGGAGTTAGTCAATTTGATGGAGTATATTTAGTACACATTATCTCAGGTTCTGTTCATGAATTTTCATTTCAACGAATAGAAAATGTTCCTCAAGCCAGAATACCTCCAATGTAATGAATAGTCTGATTTTACTGACCAATATCCTACTTTTTTAATCATTATTTTTTGTGTTGTCAAGATATCTGACTCACGGCCTTTTAAGTCCGACATTGACCAGCGGTGATAGCAGCCCCGAAATCAGAAATCAGTAAATTGATTATTGCTACTAGTAACGATTACGATCAATGAGCCAGCCCTGACAAGATCTCCTTTGCTTCGTTTTGCAAGCGCTGAACGAGAACGCCTGCAGGCTCCACACTATGTATCAAGCCGATACCTGCACCTGCATATGTTGCTAGCCTTCCTTCCGGACCCCAACCCTTGTCGCCCGATTCTTGTGCCACATCGTGACGTTGCTTGAGTTCATCGAATGGGACCCCGGCGATATGATCTTGCCAGCTCATGTTTGTAATGCCTCGCGGACTCCAATGTTCTGGCCAGCCGAAAGTACCACGTAAGTGATTGTACAAGTGTGTTCGAGCGGTTGAATGAGCAGCTTCAGTAGCACGCACAACTTCATTCTGATAGCCCTTGCTGATACGAGCCTCATTGGAGGCTAGAAATCGTGTACCTAGTGCAATTCCACTTGCTCCCAATGACAAGGCTGCAGCTACGCCTCTGCCGTCTGCGATACCTCCAGCGGCAATAACAGGTATTCCAGATTCACGTAATCTGTCAGCAGCCTCAGGGAGAAGAGCAATGAGACCCAAGCCGTCTTTTGCTCTACCATGTCCACCTGCTTCTGCCCCCTGTATTACTAGTACATCTGGCCGATGTGCGCTACTTGCTGCTTCTGCACCTTCTCTGATGGTTCCAACCTGGATCCAGATCTGAATACCTGGAGATGCCTCTCGGAGCTTGACTGCCCATTCATCCAGTTCTTCCTGGCCGTTGCGTGGAGCAAAGAGCCATGCAGCACAAGGTTGATATTCCTGCACAGCGGATGTAGCAGATGGAAGGTCGCCATTCCAGAGCTGGAAGCCTACGCCTACGGGGAGGCGCTTCGTGGATTGAAATGCAGCAAACAACTTCTCATCATTGGTACACTGACTTTCCAATATCTCTTTGACTTTCGCGAGATCGACTGCTGTATCTTGTGCTTTTGCACCAGGACCCATGAAACCCAACCCGCCCGCTCTGGACACTGCGAGCGCGAGATTTGGACCGGCCATTACGCGCATCGGCGCCCCAACAATGAAGGGTGAGGTCACCCATGGGAAGATGTCGGCATACCGAGCTCTTCGTCCAGTAGACGCTACAGCCGACCGAAGCGCGCTCATTGTAGATGGCTTGTAATACTATTACTGCAATATAAAATTCTTGATAATTCTGATGAATTTCGTTGAGATAGTTTTGTATAGGATCAGAGGCGAGTCATCCCAGATTTCAACGCGATGTAGTCCTCTTGTATTGTCAGTAGTGGAGTCACAATTGCTGTTGATGTCTATCATATCAAGCGGGCGGAATTATGCGGAGTTTCTTATTCCGCTGACCCGCAAGTGCCGCCCTTATTCCCATCCAATGTGCGCTCAGTTGTAAAGTTAAATGAGCGTCGGTTTTGCCATAAAAATGACGTAATTACAACTTTACAGAAGACAGAATACCATTAGAGTAGTTTTTTCAGATAACTTAGTCCCCTAGAAAAGGTTGGTCGGAGGTAGTTTGGAATTCGCCTTTCTCCTCGGTTGCAGGGTCGTACCACACCTCTGATCTATAGTCAACGAAGCATTATAGAGGGATTATATCACGCCATAAACCCTATGCTGGCATCTTTTGTTTGTGCTACTTGATCACAAAATAGGTCTAAAATTCAAATTTTGTTCAGAACCTGTCATCATCTGTTCAAGGTAGCTAAAACGATACTTTGGTGCGGAAGCAAAGGAGTTCACATGAGATTGAAATAGTCTTGATTAGACGACTCTAGATATCGTAGCGATCTTTCAGTTCTCCATTGCATCAAAAGACATGTTGCAAGAGTTGTGAAGGGCACTCGGTTGTCGATGTCTTCATGTTCGTTCTGTATACCCATATCATCAATCTCCCTCCCGACATACACCTAACTTGCAGCCTTCGCAGTATTCCGTCTCGTGTGGTGGGCCCTCCCTTCCACCAACGTAGTCTCTGATTTCCCCGACACCTGCCCATCTCATGATTCTGTACGTGACTCTATCGACGTACGAGTCCTCATCCAAGACCATTCTGCCTAGCCGATCACACTCCTTGCACCTCTGACCATAGACCACCGCATTGTATCCATGATCGTCATATCCTCGTATCAATATGGCCACTTTCTTGCTACCCCAACATTTGGTTTGGCAAGATCTGCTATGGCAGAAGAATTTACCCATTACGTGCGTCGAATATTTTCTTCGACAGCCGGCGTCAGAGTCCTGTGGGTTGAACCAGACCGAGGGAATTAGGCCGGTTACTTCGTCAGCAATGTCTGCATGTAGCCCGAGAAACATGCGTGATGGCTTCATTGCTGTCTCGAAAAGGCGATGATATCACCTCGCATCGGACAAGGATCTTAGCCTTGAGGACGTTCGCTTGAGTTCGTGGGACGTTATTCAGATATACACTGATAATGATGAAGGGCTATCCGAAGAAGACAAGATATAGAAAATCTGACGTCTTTAGTTGTTTCTTCAGAAGACAAAATTCGGCATTTCTCTGTGAGTTGGGGGGTTGAGCCCCTTATATCGTATTACTTGATCAAATTTGCTGAGGAATGGATCAGAAGCATTGCGAACAGCAAGCCAACATGTGGTGGAATGCTACTGGGCAATTATGGTGATTTCGATCGATTCACAAACGATAGAAAGGTTGGTTGAGCACAAACTGAACTCGGAATGTGGTTGCCTGGTCCTTCATGCCGATAATCATGACCACTTGCATAGTAGATCCCATTATGAACCTTCAGATGTGTTAGATGGTCTAGTACTAAATGTTGTGCGGATGCAAAGGGTCGTGAAATCACAAAAACTAATTTGAGCTTTACAGACCACAAGAATCAGTTGGTGATGGAACTTCACAAACGCAGGTATTCGTAGTTGCCTCACGCTATACGTAGTTGGATTGCATCAAATGCTAGCTTCACATAACCCAAGGCTGTGGTATACATGAGCTGTAGAAACGGCATACTCTAGGTTCAATAAGGGGGGTACACAAAAGTTTTCAGAGATGACTAGTGGAGGCACCGAGAGGGATCATGCAGGTCATTCACCAGACTGAAGTAGATGTAGCACTCCGATCAAAAGTGTAAACCCTGCCAATGGCAGTATGAAGTAAATTTTGTCTATATAATACAGGCGTCGAATAACACTGCTACGGCAGTGAACACTCGGGTATGTCTATTTTGCTCCGGCTATTAAACTCTAATACGTGAAACGCTGTATAGCCGATGGTAGATTCACAGAATCTATAACTCTGCATTCCTAGGATGTATCTATCATCCAGCACCCTTCACCCGCGGAGGTACTCGGCCAACACATTCTTAGCCTACCTGCGGCATCTGAATGGCCTTGTAGAGCAGGTGGATGAGGTCAACACCATGCGTCGGCGGATTGCTTGCAGTTTTGATCTGGTAGCGTGCAAGGGGACACCAGAAGATCAGTTCATTACGATCACACTGGTGCCCATTTGTCGGGATGATCCTGCTTTCCATACGCAGTGGAGATGTCGACCTCTTTCTTGACGTGGATGCCTTGTTCTGGTATGCGATTCATCCTGCCCCCAGAACGACTGCTCTGCCCGCTTGATTGACTTGGAGCTTTGGTGACTGCAGCAACGACTGAGACACCGGCGTTTTTGTTCTGTTCATCGATGATGTTCTCTTCGCTCTCGTTTGCCTTGGTCTCTAGAACACTCATGTTGTATGGATCCTTGACTTTGCGGAAGCCCATTCGAGAGGACGCCGTTTGCGATGGCATTCGGTCGGATAGCTCGTGCGATGCGTACTTGTCTGACGAGTCGTAGCTGTTGCCGTTGCCTGTAGTAGCTCCATGCGTCCAAAAGCGCTTGGTGACAAGAGGCCGAATCATTGTTGCTTGACCAACTATGATCGCAACAATGTCCTCTCGGCAAGACCAAATAGCTGCAGTCTCTCCCTTTTGTAGCTGGATGAAATACTTAGCAGGCGGGAAGGTAGAAGACGGGAATTGAATTGACATACCACTAGCACGAAGTAGACTCGAAGAACTGCAGCGAACATGACGAAAACACCCGCACAGAACATGAGCAGAAGTCCGAACTTGCGTGCTCTCGAAATCTTGAGCGGCAGAATGATAGGGATGGGAATCAGGATGATGCATACATCCGTCATAAGGTTGAGGACCAAGACAGTGATCAAGAATGCTGGGCTTTGGGGCATGCAGTATTCTTATCATGTTAGCTTCATCAAGACGTCTGGAGAAGATTTCAACTTACTGCCAGGGTCGGGTAGAATTTGCCAAAGCTTGTGGAATGGGCGGCAGGCGGTAGCGAAGACGATCCAGATTGCAACACCGCTTATACCGACAAATATCATTGTCGGCAAGATATATTTCTTAACCCATACCACGCTGACAACTCGTCGATACAAGAACAGCATGTTGAGCTTTAATGTCCAGATTAGGCCGATGTAGGTAAACCATCCGACCATGAACCATTTGGTTCCCTTTTGGCGCGCCTCTGCTTGTTCAGGGGTGAACGATAACCGTTGCTCCATTGTCAAATGGGACGTATCACCAGTCCCACCAACAATGTGAGCAGCGACGGTCATTCCTGTATAGCATGCCTATGCGCAATTAGAGCCGCTATGGCGAGTACAACGACTGTTCACTTACCCATGCGAACCAGATTAGATAGTCGTCTGCGTGATATCCTGCAAATCCCACTAATCTCGTGCGCGAGAACACTCGAAGGAACACTGCGAGAGTGCCGAACCCATATAGAGTCCATGTCTCAATGAGGGCCTGCTCGAGGGGTGAAGCGCCCATAATGAGGCGCGAAACGATGAACCACTTGAATCCACTGCAAACTTAACCAAAGAGATAATTTTCAATTGAAAGGCCGTGATGGGGGAGCTGAAATCCAGAGATCGTGAGGTTAGACTGCCGTACTATCTAATCCTGATAACTGCGCGAGGATGGCGTCTCGATGATATATGTAGCGCAAAACTTGGGGAAGTGTCTGCGGACAGTGGCAAGGAGTTGGAACCCAACCAAGCGCAGGGTTCTGGCAGTGTCAGTGCAATGTCTTTACCAGCTTGTCATGGCCGAGAGAAGAAGTGATGGTCCCGAAGTAGATGATTGAAGACATTTGACGGGGATCTGGCATGCTTTTTCTGGTTCGGCGGTGCGGGTAGCGGGTACAAGTGGCCGTTGAATGACACAGGTCACTAAATTCTCCTGCCGAGAGCATATTTTCAAAGAACACTGTACTTGTATCTGCAACGATCTTCAGCAGGTCATGCTGGACACGAGCCATTGCGCGTTTCCCGACCTTTTCTGGGACTCGGAAAATGCTGGGCTCTTGCCTCTGGTGCGCAAAGGCATTGTACCAAATGGACCATTCCCATGACACTGATTGCCAGCACGGGGTCATTGTTTAAGGGGGCAACCAAGAGAACCACTTAAACACCGAAGTTCTACCCTGTGGGGGGCAGATTCTGATCAGAAGAGGAGCTCCATACACAGTAAGCAGCATGGGGAGGAGTCCCACTGAACAAAACTGCGTCGCAACCCTGCAAGAAAGGACGAAAGACTACTGTGCAATGCGGACGAGTAAACGACCGTTTTCGACACGAACTGTTATGAAACAGCAGGTCCCACATAAGTTGTAAATTCTAAGATATTTGACTGGTGAAGGGGAGGTCGGCAGAGGTACCGGCCGTATTCTTCGATCCTTGGCCGCATTGGACGTCGAGTGAGACGGGCTGTGTGCGGTAAGTGCAACATCTTGCGGTGAAGTCTGAAGACACACCACTCGAAAAGTTGTCACTAGCCATAATAGCCAAGGTCGACCCTGACCTGAATCCTTGACCTGGCTTTGCTTGGGAGGAGATATGGTTGCTTGTACGTAATTCCATTGTACGCAAACCGTTCGAAGTAAAAGGAGAAGACTATTATTGATCAATGTCCAGTTATTGTAAGTCTCATTGTGCTCATATTGTAATAGCCCTCCGCTCAACATTCAGATTGTAATACAAGTACATACACAGTACACCGATTCGTCTCGAGGTCAGTCAGACCCGCACTTGTACAGCTGGAGAAGGCAGATTTCCATGTTTACTGCACTTGTTCAAAATTGGTATATCCTCCTAGCCGACCACTCTGTCGGATCTTGGTCAAGCGGGAGGCAGTTGCCGTTCGGCATGCTGAGCCTTTCCTTCCTATTCGCTCGGCCAGGACCTAGGAGGAGTACGTATGGGAGTGCGAAGCGCCCCAGGCTCTCTTAAGGGCCCTTGAGGAGTCGGTCCGATTGGATCAACATCGAGATGGTGGAGTGTGGAGACATTGGACTGGGGAGGTTTTTGGAATTTCCGTTGTTGAAAAGTCGTTCACGGACTTTCAATCTTAAAAGGAAAGGGCTTCCTTGATGCATGAAGAGGGTGGATCAAAGTTACGCTTCAAAATACTTCAAGTAGAATGACATCCTCTATGCTATTCGACGAAGCGTCAATCTCGTAAACTGCGGACAATGAGAAATTACCATTGCAGATCGCTGCCCCAACAAGAGAGCGGCACCCTGAATACGAAGGGACGGCAATTTTCACCGAGCCACGCACCGTCCCGCTGTCTTTTCATACGATAACGAGTCAACATGCTGTACATTGTGGAGACAGATCCTCATAGCTTAAGGCACTACCGTCGCAGTGCATCAAATCCGGACTCTTTCAACACTCGCTTCCTCCCGCCTTGACTCGTGTGCGGCGCTTGCAGTTGACATTCGGAGCCATCGTGCCTATCCAATGATTTCAATATGGGCATCACTTCAGTCGCGTCTGTTGATGGGAAGACTTAAGAAGGCACGAAATACAAATACTGACCGTTGAACGATGCATTTGGATTTTACTTTTTGATTATCCAATGTTTCTTCCTTCTCGAAGGCTTGCTATACCAATGAAGTAGTGCGAGCTAAGCCAAGAGGGCATGCATTCGTTCAACAAGGGTAACTCGTGCTTGTACAGAAGAGACAGGAACTAGGAGATCCTTCCAGATCCATGCACAATTTTTGAAGCCCTCAAGCATTTCGGATGCAGCACCCTGCAGCTATGTGGTCTTTTTTGACCCTGATCCCAGCTTTTCCGGCAATCTTTCTCTAGAAGAACAAGTCTCGACTGAGAACTTGTCGGAAGCTCGAAACGGTAGAGAGCCCCCCAACTCGCCTCACTAAAGGTGGGAGCTTGTTGCTTTTGAACCATGTGTGACTTCGTTTATATCTGCTATTCTCCTTGTGTCACTTGCATTTCCTCTCATAAAGATCCTGCACGTTTGTCTCTTCCCTGATTAATAAACTTTCCTCCAACCGCTTCAATTACTTCATAAATCGGCCGTTACGCCATACAGACCCGACAGTATGGTCGTTTCCATTGATGACCTAAAGCATCTATCCCTGAATGGAAGTGACTCCCCTAAGACCAATGGCACCCATGTTCAGGAGCTTGATGCCCTTATTGTTGGTGCAGGGTTCGGAGGCGTCTGGCAGTTGAAGAGGCTCCGTGATGAAGGCTACAAGGTAAAGTTGGTCGAGTGTGGTGACAACTATGGCGGTGTCTGGTATTGGAACCGTTACCCTGGTGCTCGTGTTGACAGCGCCATCCCCTTTTATGAATTCTCCGACCCAGCTTTGTGGAAAGATTGGACCTGGAAGGAGAGATTTCCCGGCAGTGCTGAGCTCCGATCTTATTTCTCATATGTGGCGGACAAGTGGGATCTCAGGAAAGATACCCAGTTCGAAACTTTTGTATCATCAGCCACTTGGGACGATGTTGAGTCGAGGTGGACAATCAAGACCAAGGCTGGGGAGACTTACAAGGTTAAGTACTTCCTGCTTAACACCGGTTTCGCTGCAAAGAGATACATTCCTGATTGGGAGGGTATCGACAAGTTCAAAGGTAAACATAGTCTTACTTGATGTGATGTGTTGCTGCAGAGTTAATGCCACATAGGAACTTTCCTCCATCCCTCCTACTGGCCTCATGAAGAACCTGATCTTAAGGGCAAAAGGGTTGCCGTCATCGGCACGGTAAGCTTCATTGAAGCCTGTATACGCATTTTTCCTTATTGACGACTATGATAGGGATCTACTGGTATTCAGATCGCTCAAGAGCTAAGCAAAGTTGCCGATCATCTTACCGTCTTCCAACGTACCTGCAACATGTCGCTCCCCATGCGACAAGTCGAGTATGTGCCCCCGGAGCAGTACTTCCCCAAACCCGAATACCCAGCCTTGTTTGAAGGCCGAACAGACAGTTTCTCTGGTTTCGCATTCAACTTCCTTCCCCGCTCAACTTTTGACGATGAGCCCGAAGAGCGCGCAAAGACCTACGAGAAGCTTTGGGCCGAAGGAGACTTCAGCTTCTGGCTGGCAACCTACTATGACATGCTCTTCACAAAGGAAGCGAACAATGAGGCTTATAAGTTCTGGAGAGATAAGACTCGGGCAAAGATCAACGATCCTAAGGTCGCCGAGATCCTTGCACCGACGGAGCAGCCGTATGCCTTCGGATGCAAGCGCATCTCTTTAGAGCAGGGATACTTTGAAATCTACAACCAGCCAAACGTCTCCCTTGTTGACACCAGCTCCAAGGGAACCCCGATTGTCGAGATTACCGAGAAGGGTATCAAGACTTCTGAGAAGGAGCACGAGTTTGACTTCATCGTCTGTGCCACTGGTTACGATGCTGTCACTGGTGGTCTCTGCCAGATCGATATCAAGGGACCTTCAGGTGTATCGCTCAAGGAGCACTGGAGCGAGTCTGGAGCAAAGACATACCTTGGTCTTGGATCCTCTGGGTTCCCCAACATGTTTTTCACCTACGGACCCCAAGGCCCAACAGCTCTGTGCAATGGCCCGACATGTGCTCAATTGCAGGGCGATTGGATTGTCAATGCGATGAACTATATGAAGGAGAAGAACCTCAAGAAGATTGTACCAACAAAGGAGAGCGAAGCCGAATACAAGGAATTGATTTGGAAGCTTGCCAATGCAAGCTTGTTGCCCACTGTAGACTCGGTAAGTTTCGATCCCTCTTTCTAATCCAAAGCAAAGCACTGATGAAAATAGTGGTACATGGGTACGAACATCCCCGGAAAGACGAGGGAGCCTATGATCTACCTTGGTGGAGTTCCAACATACTACAAGACGATTAACGAGTCCGCTGCAAATGGCTACACTGGTTTTGAGCTATCATAGATATCCACACAAGTATAGAAGAATCATAGTATATTCGATTTCACGTACCCAGAGATTGCGCACCACTGTCCAACATTGATTGCTCGATTCTATAATCCAAGTGAATCTTTCGATCACTCATGCTGAATCTCTGTCAGATTGTAGAATGAGGATCGGTCTGCATCATCAATGACTGAAATAAACAAAGCTTTGGGTTGGCCGTTGGTTAACCTCATTGCAAGATACACAACAACATTGCATGCACCGGCATAGCTCTAATATAGTAATAACAATTTTCGATCAACGGAATATTGTTAAATTCCGATGACTTGTATATACATGGGACAGGATGTTTGACGTGTAGTGCTTGGGGAGGTTCGGAGGGAGATAACCTCCGACCTGCGTTGATAAGGATCGGGGGATAGCAGATGATGAGGGCCGACAATGCAAGTCCGCACCTCAGCCTCAATTGAAGGATGCGCTAAGCCTCAAGTGAACCACGATAATGCTGCATCTGAGACATTCTGACTTCCTTGTTGTACAGATCGCCAAGTATATAAAGGTTGAGGTTGTTATACTCTGCTTCATCGCCATCATCTGAATCTGGTTCTCTCAGACTCTACAACGATTTCCATCTATCCATAGATATAGATAGTTCATTCTTTGTTGCAGTCGCGTTTTCTACTCACTTGAGTATATAAACAATAAATATGGCATCTACAACACCATTCCTAACCGCCGTTCAAGGCCGCCGGTCAATCTACACCATCACCAAGGAATTGCCAATACCCACATCTCGCATCCTCGAGATAGTCCATGAGGCATTGGAACACGCCCCTTCACCGTTCAACGTTCGTAGCTGCCGATGCATAGTTCTGTTTGGAGACGAGCACGATAAACTTTGGCGACATGCATACGAAATCACACAAAAGGACAGTCCTCAAGCAATACCAATACTAGGGCCTAAGATCGAAGGATATGCAGCAGGAGCCGGTTCAGTGAGTTGACTGTGAAATCAAAGCTGTATATGTCTTTCTTTGCTAAATGAATATAGGTCTTATTCTTTGATGATACTTCAGCCTATGGCAGCCTTACACCACGGTTCGCAGCACTGTCAAAACAATTTCCTGAATGGGAGGAACATTCGTCCGGCATGCATCAGTTCATCGTCTGGACGGCATTGACAGCAGAGAATCTAGGTTGCAGTTTGCAACACTACCAACAGGGCATTACCCCGTACGTCAAAGAGTTGTATGATGTACCCGAGAGTTGGAACCTCAAATCCCAATTGGTGTTCGGGGGAAGAGCAGGTGAAGTGCCCGATCCGAAACCGAAGACTGGATTGGAAAGTGCTTTGAAGAGTTTTGGGGCATGATCCGTGATAGAACACAAGATATTCATAATATAGATCTTACCTACCTAGTAGAGACGCATTCACAGTCCCAAGTAAGTCCTGCCACGTGGTGAGACCTTTAACATGCTAAATATTCATTTCATAGCTTCAATACTAAGTAGGCTTCTCTTTGTTCGTGGATACATGATGCTTCCATGAGATATTATCCTTCATGATTGCACTTCATTCAAGCTCTCTCTGTGAAGACCAGTCGCAATGGAGCCAATGCAACGGTGAAATGATCAGTGCTGTTCTCAATCAAATTATGGCCATTCTCGCCACGTGCCAGCTTGATGTCGAATCGTTGAAGTATTTGCACTACCAAGACGCGGATCTGCATCAAAGCAAGATTCTTCCCTATGCAGCCGTAGGGACCGCTGTTGAATGGTTGCCAGGCATCCCTGTGCTTCACCATCCTGTCTACGTTTTTCGCGAACCATCGCTCGGGCATGAATGTTTCTGCATCGACGTAGCAGTCCTCATCTGTACTTGTTAGCTTGATTTGTTTTGATTTGGAAACAGAGACACCACTTTAGGGCGTGGATATACTCACCATGACCCATGACAAACCACGGCATTTGGATCGTCGTGTCGCCTGGGATGAACGTTTCTCCGACGAATACTCCTTCTTTTGGCGTCTTTCGAAAGATACCTGACGGAACAGGCGGATTAAGCCTCAATGCTTCGTAGATGCAGCCATTCAGAAGCTCAGAATCCACGATCTTTTGGTGTTCGACCTCTGCGTTTTCATTTCCCAGACATCTCTTGATCTCGTCTCTCAGTCTCCTGACCAATTCAGGGTCTCGCGCGAGATAGTAGGATAGGTATGTCAAAGTTGCTGCAGTAGTGTCACTGCCAGCAACAATGATCAATCGGCTGTCGCCCTGAAGCATGGGTAGAGCTTTCTTCTGTGCGTCAGGTGTCATCCCTTCGAAGTGCTCGATAAGCTTGTGTGTAATATCCCTGTTGTTTGATTCCCCTTTCTCAAGATTTCGAGACTTCGCATTTAGACTAGACTGTTCGTCCATACGCTTTGCAATTTGGGTATTGCAAAAGGAGATAAACCGCCAATAATCTTTAGCAGCACCGGGGATCTTGATCTAGATGACATGGACACGTTAGCATCACTCATTGCTATCTTGTATGTCCGCTCTTGGTATAAGTGAACTGGAAAGTATAATAGCACTTACAATGAATCGGAAGAACCAAGCTGGCAAACCCAAGCCCGCAGGCTTCATGCCGTCACCTAGGAGCTCGATAGCCCAATGCGTCTTGGCCGATCTATCACACGTCAATCGCAACATTCTCCGTTGGCCAATGTGAGGAGATTTGCTACTCACTCCAACATTCCGAAGCTCTTTCCAAATGCCAAATCACCCATAACATCAAAGCTGTACCAATGGAACGTCTCACTGGCATTGATAGCCTGCTCCGAATCACCCTCGATTGCATACCGAGAGTTGCTCAGACCTGCGAGCAACTCGTCGTTATACTTCTGTATCCTCGTCTCGTATCCCTTCAACGTTGCCGGGCTGAAGGCGCTTGCCCAGACCTTCCTTCTGGCATCGTGTTGGGCCTTGCTCCTGCTCGTATGCATGCTGGTCAGAGGTGCGTCATTGTCATACCAGGTCGCCTTGTAGCACTTGGAGTTGGTGCCTGAAATGACTTTGGCTGCGTCGGGATCGGTGACACTGATGTCATTAGGACCAATTCGAACGAACTTTCCATGTTTCTGGTGCAGCTTCTGCAGTTCGTGGTGCGATTTCAGTTTCCGATTTTGGTAGACGTGGGAGAATTTGCTAAGACGCGCCGAGATGGGACCAGGGAATTTGTTGAGAGGGTTGAGGAAGAGACGGTATGCAAACGTGCATGTTGTGAGCGATGTCAAGTACAGCCCGGCGCAAGATGCAGTGGTTTTCAAGGCGGCTGCAGTGGGGGTATCGAAGTAATGAATAAGGACAGCAGCGACGCTCGCGGCCAATACGAAATGGACTTGAATGATACCATAGGGGTTGAAATGATGTTCACCACGATGGAACTGAAAATTGGTTAGCATATGGCATTGGATTCGATTCCTTTCGAAGCATATCGTTGCTAGGCTGATGACTTACATAGAGAATGTAGGCTGCTGCACCAGCAACGAGCGGGGCACTCGTTGCTAACCCAGTGTCGACCAACGACTGCATATTGTAGCGTGTGCTTAAGCACTGATCACTTTTGAGGCTGATGCAAAAGAGGAAGATATGGTTTGAGTTGCCACCAGATGTCAAGTTTGCTCTTATCATCATATGACCTCGACCTGGGGTACATATACTTCGTTACACTCAGTTGTAACCTCCCATACAACGTCAGATTAGGAAGGTCAGGTCACACGCGAATTGGAGTCAGGCATTACGACTCAAAGTGCGTTACAATCTGCACCAAGTAGATGCAATGGCCTAACCCGGTGCTGTGGCAGCCTCCTCGCCAGTCTGCCAAACGCGGGATAGATCCCGTCTGGGGAATCTTGAACCCTGGCCAGGTAGGCCAATCAATGTGTATGTATTTCTGGCCAGCATCGGAACAAGAAACTGGAAATAGAAACCGAACATCGCATCGTTGAAGATGACTCGACTTTTGATGACTTGGGCGGGATGTAGATCTTAGAAACTGGCATAGACTGCGGGCGTATTATCCACTCGGTGTTATTTGAAGTATTCTTTCTTGTAGGCTATATCGGACATTCGACATGAAACTGCAATTTGAAGTTCCCCTCCTCAAGACCAAGAGTAGCTATGCTAGTTGATACTGACTCAGGATTGGCACCCCGGACTAGCCACATGCTAAGGGACGCTGAACTAGTCCACGTTTGGTAGTCGTCGATAGTACACCCGAGGCTTGACGGTTGTAAATGGTGACATTGAGCTAGCAGCTGCGTCTATGCCCAAAATCATCTGGGATCCGCATGTTTGCTGAAGATCAAGCATTGATTGACAGCAAGGTGGGCACATGCCTGATTGGCTTCTCGAGAGGGTTCAAAAGTGGAGAAGGACTTCATGTGCCACAATGGTTGAACAGTGTGTACAATCAGGCCAGCATGTTACGACATTGTACATTGCCTTAGTACTCATTATAGGCCCGTATGCTAACTTGCATGGCAATAAATTACCGAGTCGCCTGGTACGACATGCCTGCATATGTCAGGCATAGTGTGATTCGCCCTTATACTATTGCAGCTCTTATCGTTCCCTATCGTTTTGATGTAATATGCTTCCCTGCCGGTAATTCTGTTGTGTCCTTTCATTTTACACTTCTCAATTCCTTTCATGTGAGAGCTGCATATCGCCTATACGACACAGTCCGATCTAATGAGGGATGAGGAACACATTGATGGAAACGATGTGGCGAATGTTCTCTCTCAACCAATTTATATTGATGTCGATCAAGAATAGTTGAGCCCATTACTTGGCCATTTGTATGGAACCTCAACCAGTGAAGTATTGTAGCCTTGTTTGCTATTGGGTTCTGACGTTTTCACAAGGGGTCCGATTCCATTCGTTGCGAATTGCCATTGCATCTTGTTCGAGACTGGTGCCTGCATGTACATAACTGCAGGAATATCGCTGCGAAGTTCTGGAAACCGCACGAACATTTCCGGAGTCATTGCCCAATTCCTTATATCTCCCACACATTCAGCAAAATCTGGTGCTATCCGGAACAATCCGGTTTCGTGGTTGAACTCATAGCACTCCTCGATAGTGCCCGCCCATTGGATCTTGAGACATGTTCGGAGAAGATACCAGAAGATGTTGGAGCAATATCGGTGCTCGGAGAATATGAACTTCTCCCGCAAACCGGGCCTACTGATCTATCAGATACCATTTGGAATTGTACTGAATTCATGACTTACCAGGCCAAGAAGTCGGTGGCATAAGTATGTGCTAGGCTCTGTGCGGGTCTGCCATCTATGTGAGGGCCAAATACGATAAAGTAGTTGGAAGTGACGAACCTTTTCCTGAACCATGGCGGTAATCTCTGCAATCTGAATGGCGAAGGATCGCGATGGTACTCCAACAGCTTATGCATGGTCATCAGAATTGCTATTCGCTCCTTCTGATCGCATGAAGAAAACATCAACTTATCGATGCCTTCCAATATCTGCCAAGAAGAGGTGAAGTGAGGGCACATGCTCGCCGATTCCCAGCCTTGGAGAACTGCCCGTACTGGAATATCCTCCTCAAGGGTAACATCTGGCACCTTGATTATGTCTCCAACTAGAGCCTGTGATGATAATATACTATCGGCTGAACGCCAGAGGCTTGCAGAAGGCGTCGTTGGAGACGCATACTGTATGCCACTCGAGCAGCAACATTCTGTATCCGTCTCAGGAGGGCTCATCGGGTTTGAACCATCTGGACTCGAAGGCATATGGGTACCCACGATATTGAGGTTCTCGATAGGTTGTTGGTCAGATGGACAGAGTAGTGCTGTGGCACTGGCAGCCGACATGTGTGAACACTCAACGTTCTTGGGTACTCTCGCGGGTGCAGTCTTGACTGTGGACTGTTGAGCAAGATCGCGACTCGAAGATTCGATAGGATCGAAGATGTTTGTCTCTATAACATTTAGGCCGAGATCATCGCTACTGAACCTAGGCTCGTTGTCTATCGACCACGAGCCTTGTGCCTCTGCATCTGAAGATCCAAGTTCGCGTCTAGAAGTCCTTTCTGGTGAACCTCGCGGCGGGTTAAGGAATCCTGCAAGCAAAGAGATGTCCTGCATTCGTTTTCGAAGCATATCATTTTCAGACTGTACTTCTGCTAACCGTTGCATCAGACTAGAAACTTGGCCGCTCGGATCGTTGATGGTGAGCCTCTGGACCATAGCCTCCAGGTAGGCAATGCGAGATCTCGTTTTCTCGCGTGCTGCCCGCTGATGCCGACGGTCTGCCTCTCGTTTTTTCTGCCGGCTGACTGCATCGTTCTTCGAATTGCTGGGACGGGTTGCATCTTTCTTCGGCGCAGACTTGCTTGTCTGCGCAGTTGTCGAGTTTGTCATGTAGGCAGGATTGAATGAGCTCTCCATCAACGTGATCGAATAGGGATAGGTTTAATCTCATCAGAATAGATGTAAGGGGGCCTTGTTCGTCTGCACGATTGATCATCTGTTATGGGGAGAAGTGGGACCCTGGGGTTGCGTATGATAAGAGAGCGCTAGGGGGCCGGGGGCGCGGAGGGAGGCGGGGTTTAGCTCATTGGAACCCAGCTTCAGCTATTACGTCGATCTGGCCAGCCTTTCTTCCATTCTAGACCTCATTCGGAGTCTAAGAACGACGAATGGAGCCAAGTGTGCGCCATTGGGTTTCCTGTCGGCATCATTGGAAGGCTCGTTATTTGCTTTTCCCGGCCCGCCTGTCAGGGGAGCCTCGTTCCAATTCGGTCTAATCGGCTGTACGGGATACTCCACGGAAAATCCCATGACTCTCTTTGTCGATTCGACCTTGAGGGGATGATCGTGATGATGTTTGCTCTCCTCTCCTCTCCTCTCCTCCCGTGAGTTGGGTTCATTAGATCGGTCGATTTTAAACAGCCTGGACCAGGTCTTCTCTTTCTTTGTTGGTGGCTACTTGGTTGTACGACGCTAGTCATGGACAGGCACGGGAGGCTGGCAGGGTGGTACAACTAGAAGAGTACTGCAGGAGCACTTTGATTAGCGAATTCGAAGAGTGAGGAGTTTGGAGAAATCATGCGCACGTAGCCGCCAAAGTACTTGTTATATGTAGTCTACTTCAGGACTTCACAACTACCTAAGGGAGACGTTAGCATAAAGATACGCTTGCCGAGCCCTCATCTAGACCTAAAAGGGGAAATGAATCAGATTACACTGATTCGTACTCTAGACGTTCGGTCCTAATACCATGAGAACCCATTGACTAGATATAGCCGATTTAATTATATATGAACGTTCAGAATGGGCGGGGTGCACTCATTCAAATTACTTAGAACGAATTCAACATTGACTTATTGTATGCGTTATAGCTAATCCAAACCATGTCCCAAACAACCACCATTAATCGAGCAGCGATCTACGCAGATCCCGGAACCCCCAAGATAGAAGTCCTAGAATTACCCATTCCGGAGCCTGGGCCAGGCGAAGTTCTTGTCCGACTGTATGAAACCCTCAAATCTCCTTTGGTATCTACGGAGTACATGATTGATTTCGTCTAGTCTCTACTCGGGTGTTTGTCACACAGACTATGCTTTTTGTACAAATGGGTTTCCACATCTCCCAGTCCCCACTCAAAAAGGACAAATTGGGGGCCATGAAGGAATCGGTGAAGTTATTGCCCAGGGTACGGGTGTCAAAACCCCTCAGGTAGGGAGCAAAGTTGGGATCAAATTCGCAGCGGATGCATGCTTGGCTTGCAGTAAGGAAATGAACGATCCGCAGGAGTGTATCGGTTCAAACCTGTCTAATAATTCCTAGGTAACTGTCTCGAGGGAGGCGAAACATCCTGCGCTGAAGCTAAGATATCCGGATACTATACGCCTGGGACTTTCCAACAGTATTGTATCAGTACAGCACGGTACTTATCGCCAATTCCGGACGGCCTAGATCTCGCTGCCGCAGCGCCACTCATGTGCGGCGGCGTCACCGTGTACACAGCTCTGGTTCGAAGTCACGTACGCAACGGTGACTGGGTTTTGGTTTCGGGGGCTGGAGGCGGCTTGGGGCATCTCGCCATCCAATACGCCAAAGCACTCGGTGCCAGAGTCCTTGCCATCGACCATGGGAGTAAGAAGCAATTCTGCCAGAGCCTAGGGGCGGATGAGTTTTTGGACTTCACAATGTTTCAGGAGGACAAAGACCTCAGTAACGCCGTGCTACAGATAACGTCAGGTGGCGCCCGAATCGGCCTGATGTGCTCATCCAGCCCGAGAACATACGCAAATGCGCTGTCCTGGCTTGGATTCCGTGGCCACCTTGTGTGTTTGGGCGTGCCTGAGGTGGAAGGTAGTCTTACGCCATCTATCGGCGAGATGATAAACAATGAGATCACAATAAGCGGTGAGTTTTAATTTGCTGGGCGAGGTCAGTGTTTTTCTGACAATCTGTAGCTATCAAGGCGGGCAACCGACGCGAAGTCCAAGAATGCCTTCAGATTGCTGCCAGCGGGGCAGTTAAGACGCATTACGAGCTACGTAAATTAGATGACCTGGGAGACGTAGGTCACAGCCCATTCCTACTACTATTGCTTAGATCTAACAAGCGATCATAGATTTTCAGGGAAATGGAAGAAGGGAGGATTCAAGGCAGGATAGTGTTGCAGCTTAACTGAACGTCGGCGAGGGCCCAATCATACTGCATGGTGAGACAGAAGTTATACCACCCAAGGGCAGTCTCAGAATTTATGCATAGCATTTTCAATAGGATATCTTATCTACTGAACTGTATCGTCCCCGACGTCTGGTTTTCCAGATTGTTGTTCAACGCTTCCTTGAGCTTCCCGTTTCAATTCTACATATTCCTTGAAACCCTCGAAATACTTCCTCCTGAACACATTCAGATCATCTGCACGTACCCCAGACTCGTATTCTTTTCGTTTCCTCTCAATTGCTTCTGGGGGCACATCCTCATCTCTTAACCTCTTATACGTCAACAGTCTCCTGCTCCACTTGTTGAACGGCTGCACACAAACGCTCACGATCTCGAGGTACGGATTGGTCGGTATCATGAGCTCGATATCCTCATCGTTTGCTGTCGGCATCCATATACTCAATCTCCCACCCACGACTAGTGTTTTGACCGCGAAATCAAGTATGTCATCGAGCATTGCTATGAAGGAGTACGGTCTCTTTGGGGGAATGTATGTCGGTTCCTTGAATCGATCCCGATGTGTTGCACGTTCAACATCGCCTAGTTTCTCTCGGGAACCAAGCACTTTTAAGCCTTCGCGGATGCCGTATGGTGGGTCACTTATGATACCGTCCAGGTAGCCACCTTCAATTCCATGGAGTCGTAGTGGTGTATTTGTGAGATCGGATACGAAGCCGCCCAGGTATCTGCCTTGAGTGCCATACTGCTTGAAGTTCCCCGCTACGTCTCTCTTGCCAACTTGTCCCTTCCTCGAACTTCCTCCAGTGCCGCGAATGCTTCGGCCGTCGATGTCACTGCCGCACACGACCGCTCCGAAGTGTGCTGAGGCAATCGGGAAGCCACCTGTTCCCATGAATGGATCATAAAACAATTTACCCGGTGCTGCGAGGGCAATGTTGGCAGTCACGAGGGCTAGTTCGGCATCCATTGATGTTGTGCTGATGTAATGTCGTTTCTTCAGATCGTATGTCGTTTTTGCCAGTCTTCCACTACTCGCAACGAAACGACCTAGAAATAGGGTATGTGGTGTTGAAGCGTTGAATTGGTAGTCTTCAAAGACTCGAAATTCGGCCTCGGCTTCTCTCATTCGGATTGGTCCTTGGAAATCCAAGTAGGAGAATGATTCGATGATGCGGCGATTTTCAGATAGTTCTCTTGTTCCTCGATAGCAGTCCAGGGTGAAGCGAAATGATACGTCGTGATATTTCTGCCAGAGATGCGAAGATTTTTCGCGTACAGACGCATGCAAAGAGTCGTAGTCAGAGCCTTGTCCCCAGAGCTCGTGAATGCCTTGTGAGAGAATACTCCGTGATATGACAGCCTTAGCGGCCGCATCGGAAGGGAGCCGTACAATGCAGAATGGTGACTGGTATGGTTAGAACATATTGCCCATCTAAGCTCGAAAGTCTCTGCTTCAGAGTATCTTTCTCTACCCGTTCCCTAGCCAGGAGGATCTTGAAACTATGAATCGAGCGAGAAGGCAATTATGAACATACATCTTCATCATATCTAACAAACTCGATCTCTGCGCCAGCGAGTTCAGCTAGTGCTTCAAGCTCCGCTTTGCGAAAGCTCTCGTGCATTTGCACGAGTCTGACTAGATATTCCGGCATGGTGAAAGAACGCGTGGGGTAGTGACTACGCAATTTGGCCGCAATTTGGGTTCTCGAGAACTTTAAAAGAATTGCTGTTTCAGTCAGGTATTGGCATTATGCGAACTTGACACAGACAACTGAAATTGTACTGAACGAAATTAACAATGTTCACTGAAGGGAGGGGTCACGTTGGGCGAAGATTCACGATTGAAAAATTGCGGGTCGACTTTTCCGACGACATGATTGGCTGAGAGACCACCGCTAGTGGTATGTACTTCCAAAATTGGCAGCTTGGGACCTCGAATTGTATTCCTCCCTACTGTTCTGAATATTTTTCACTAATTACCTTGAACCAAGTCCTACATTGGGATTCTAATTGTGTACAGATGTTTTGTGCTCTTTCGTCAGAGGTTTATCTTGTCACATGTTTATTTTCTAATTCGCTCATGTCATGTCCGCCGCAAGTGGTATCGGGTTCTATACCGCAATAAACCAGAACAAAAATGAAGCAGGAAGCGTCTGTAGCATTGGCCAGCCTCAATGACTCCAGCCTCATTATTGGAAGTTCATACTGTAACCACCGCTTTTGGGATCTTTTGTGAACTGGAAATTATCTGTGCTCAGCCCAAACGGTTTCAAGATACCGTTACCCAATTGCTTCAGTTTCCCCATCATCTCCGCCATTTCCTTGTTCTTGGCCTCTTCTAGCTGAATTGGTAGTTCCCTTAACGCTGTATTCACTGTCTTCTGATCCAGGCTGGTGAGCGCATGTGGCGGTTTAGACAGCGCCTGATAGTCTTCAAAAGAGCCTTGCAATGACGCCCAGCCTCCTATCTCGCGCCGCGCCTTTGCACGCCGGAGTAGAGCCTTCGTTCTGATCTTGTGGACATCGTTGATTGTCCTGCCCGTCCTTGACAACGCCGCTATCCTAACCTCTGTCGCGTCGTCGATCTCCTCAAGCGATCCAGTGCCTTCTTCGCCTTCTTTGGGTGCAATGGACGGAGGATCAACGCGGTCCAGGGCTTCGAGCGCTTGTGTTGCGGAGTCTATGGCCATCTTCCATTCTTCGAGTAGGAGATGGCATGCAGCGATGTTCGAGCGAAGGACGGCGACATCGTATTCGAGGTATGTCGGACATGATGCGAGGGCCTTTTCGTAGCCCTGGACTGCAGAGGAGTAATCGCCTGAGGTGAATCTCTTATTTGCGGATGTTTTTTCCGTGTTCGATTCTTGGAGGAGTTTTTGTTCTTCGTCTGGAGGGAAGATTTCTATGGCTGTGTTTGCGACATCGGGTGCGTTCTCTTCAACAGAAGGCATATTGTTTATAGTCGGAAATTGAACGCGAAGAGAGGTTGGAGGGGCAGACGATGTTTTGATAGTGACGTCCTTGTGCACATCACTGAACTAGGATAGATAAAGTAGGCGGTGAGGAGCTAGCCTCGGCCACGTGGGGTACCAATTCACCGATCTCCAGGTTTTCTGAGATACATTCATTTGCAACCATATCCATCCATTTAGCACTGAGATCAACCGTCTTTACTGTTTGATTTTAATTGTGCATATTCAAAATGGGCTCCACAAAGTATGTTCACAATTAACCAAACTATACATACATTTGAAGTCGCCCAAATAAGTACTGACTCATGGCCAGCTCCCCAACCCCACCTCCAATCCGCGCCTGTCTCTTCGACATGGATGGTCTTCTAATCGATTCCGAAGACCTGTACACGATAGTGACCAACACGATTCTCAAACGCTACAATCGCCCCACGCTACCATGGTCCATAAAAGCACAAATGCAAGGCCGACCAGGCCCCCAATCCGCACAAATCTTCCATAGCTGGGCTCAGTTACCCATTCCCCCCGAGCAATTCATGGCGGAGAACCTCGAGCTACAAAAGGAGTACTTCCCTAAATCTCAACCGCTACCAGGGACAATGGAGTTGTTGGAGAAGCTGAAGGTTAGTGGGACCAAGATGGCACTGGCGACGAGTAGCCATGCGGTGACCTTCCAATTGAAGAGTGGACACTTGCCGCAGATGTTCAAGTACTTTGCGGAGGAGCACAAGGTCTTAGGTGACGATGTGAGGATACCTAGGGGTAGGGGAAAGCCAGCCCCTGATATCTACCTATTGGCGTTGAAGACGCTAAACGAGACATTGAGGGCAAACGGCGAGAAGGAGATTCAGCCAGAGGAGTGCCTTGTGTTCGAGGACAGTGTTCCTGGTGTAGAGTCTGGGCGGAGAGCTGGCATGCAGGTTATCTGGTGCCCGCACCCGGAGCTGCTGCTTGAGTACAAGGAGAGGGAGAAGGAGGTGCTCGCAGGCTTGACGGGCGAGCACAAGGAAGATGAGGAGGAACAACTCAAGAAGACTGGAGTGGATGTTGCGCCTGGGAGAAGGCAAATCGGTGCTCCTGGAGAGATCGATGATGGCTGGGCAACGCTGTTGAACACTCTTGAGGATTTCCCCTACGAGAAGTTCGGAATCAAGACAGCTTAGACTGTTATGCATGGCATGACTTCAGAATGCCCATAGCGACGAGCCATGTTTGATGAGGCATACTAGAGTATGCATATTCGTGATACAAGCATAAGCGCGTACATAGCATACACGGTAGACATGGCATAGACCCAGTAGAACCCTACAACAAATAGACATGCATGCATTGCCAGCAACCAGAATTTGGGCACCTGCGACTAGCTTGAGTTGGCTGTCGATCATTTCCTAAAATATTCACGATCGGTCAAATTTCAAAAACAGCTTTCGTAGCATCGTTAATTAGACCAATATAAAGATGCGGATATAAGCCTTCATTTCTTTTGATCATATACCATTAAGGTTACCGTAACCACAATCCATTCCTCGCAAAGATCCCTGGAAGTGAAGACAAAAAGTCCTCCCAGGGATAGTTGTGTGCAACCGGAGCCAAAGCGCCGGGTAGCCCAAAGCAATTCGCATGTGCGGCCAATAGGAACCAGTCAGCCATTTACCAGGCTTCAACTGTCTACGAAATCTCCTCGATCTTGGGCTTGCTCTCTCCTCCGGTGGTGGGCTTGCCGCTGTCGTCCTCGAGATCGGGCATATCGTCCTCGTCGTCACTGCTCTCACCGCCCTCGCCCATGCCGCCCATGGCGCCGAAATCGGGCATGCCGCCTGCGCCTTGTGCAGCACCCAACTTGGAGAAGTCGATGCCACCGAAACCGCCATCACCACCAGCACCGCCCATGGGGTTCATCTTGGACATGTAGTCCTCATCATCGGGCTGCTCGTCCTGCTCGTCCTCGTCGACCCACTGCGTATGTATGTCAGTAAATGCGTGATTCATCATGGAAGAAGCCGCAATAGCGCTGAGAAAACATAAAATCCCGGGGCATCACGCACCTTGTCGAAGTCTGTCTTCAAGAAGTGCATCTTCTTGTTGTCCTTGAGCAAACGGGGCCAGTACTCCTCCTTGAGCTCCTTCTTGCGCAACACCAACTCGATATCGCGACCGGTGTGGTGGATTTTCGACTCCTTGGGATCGATTTCGGCGAAGAACTCGAGGTCGACGGCGTATGTGACTTTCTTTGATGTTGAGGTTCCCTTGAAGCTCAGTTTCGTTGGCTGGAGGTCGAGCTTGAGATCTGACTCTGGCACGTCGGACGCGACAATTGTAAGGAAGACGTGGTTCTTGGTCGCATCGGAGGAAGATGAGCGCTGAGCCCAGAGAACTTCAGGATAGAATTAGTATCGCTGTATTTCCAAAAGCGAGTGGCGCTTGAAGCTTTCGGGTAGGCTGGAAGGCTGCAGCTTCTTACCTTCGGGTGTCAATGTGGAAGCCATGATTGAAGTATAGAAATTTTAGAGAGAAACACGCTGTATTGTCAGAATCCGTTCAGGTTGATTAGAAGATGAGAGTTGCTGGGTGTTATGGTAGGAAAGAGTTTGCAGATTGGGGGTTGAAGCACGGTGAAGGTGGAAGAACTACGGTGCTTTCTGGAGGGGACTAGCGTGGCGAGGCTGGTGGAAAGCAATGGAAGCTCTGTAGAACCAACGAGTATCAGCGGGATTCTGACGTGCAATTCTGATTTAGCAATTGTTCACTTTACTGGGGTCTGCAGGATGCCCTCAGAGTCTAGACAAGGCAAATATTGACTGCAATTAGTGCAACAATGCGCGGTTTGGCGGCGTGGTTCGATGTGCGATTCGCACTCTTTTGGCTGTAAATGCCCCGCGTATTAGAGTGGACGTCACTGTTGTGGTCCGAGCTCACTTGCCGCTGACTGCTCTTCCAAGGCACCCGAACGGCAACAACGGTAAGGTACCTACCGAGATAGTCCGCCCTTTATACATTCAAACACACGCTGGACAGACACTCCAGGCACGCGCCTTACAGTAGTCGATAGGCACAGGCATTGGAGCATCACTCTCCATAGCCCTTAACTCGCCATGGAGACCATCCGGGGTCTCCTTTGGAAGCCCACGCCAGAAGAGCAGGTCAGTCTAGTACTCCCACATTCCTACACGATCCACTTCAACCAGACCAAATCCCTAATATACCTCTCTCTGCAGAAACGTAAATGCAATGCTCTGGTCCGGCAGAATGTCCGCAAACTCGATCGCGATATCCTTCAACTCAAAACCACCGAAGCCAAAACCAGAACCCTGATCCTCCAGTCCTCAAAGCGCGCCCAACGGAACCCTTCCATGGCCAAACAGGCCAATCAAGACGTCCGCATATTCGCTCGGGAGCTGATTCGCGTCCGGAAACAGAACGCTCGGCTGGCGACGTCAAAGGCCCAGTTGCAGAGTGTGCAGATGCAGGTCAATGAGGCATTTTCCGTGCGCAAGATCGAAGGAAGCATCAAGAGCAGCGTGGGGATCATGAAGGATGTCAACACATTGGTGCGGTTGCCGGAGCTCACGGGCACCATGCGAGAGTTAAGCGCCGAGCTCATGAAGGCGGGGATCATTGAGGAGATGGTTGGTGATACGCTGCCGGACAACGAATTATTGGAAGGCGAGGACGAGGAGGCTGAGGAAGAGGTGGACAAGATTTTGGGAGAGATCCTCAAGGACAGGCTTCCGGCTGGAAAGGCGAAGGAAGAAGAGCTGCCCAGTGCACCAGTCGAAGAAGACGAAGAGGAGGAAGATCAGGCAGAAATGCTTGCCCAGATGAGAAATCGATTAGAGGTATTGAAGAGCTGAGGCGCTTACACAGAGCGTTCATTGTCTGTTGCATCACATTTTATCTTGATCCAATAGAGCACCTGCTATGGGAAGCTGGTGCCCGGCGTCTGGTGCCCTGCGTTGTGAATCAATTCAACCAATGAGTATTGCAATGTGGATATAGAGAAGCATGTGTTCTGGCTGTTAGCAGCCGATTTGAATTATCCTATTATTAAGTATGATGATCTCACAACCATTGCATCGATAGTGGAGATATCTTCTATGACTTAAGTCTTTGTGGGAAGCCATCACGACCAATATGTCATCTCAACCTACAGCAATTCCATCACATGTTAAGGGTTCGACCTCAATCGTCATCAACCCCAAACTCCACCCCAACAATTTCTGTCAAGTTTGTGAGGGCTCTGAAGACCTCACCATCATTCCTTGCAACTGAGCTAGCCTTAACCAAGAGCGGGTACAGCCTATGTAGGTGCTTCTTATGTTTCGAAGTAGCGCCTGGTGCATCTGGAATGGATTGGGGTTCACAATCCAGAGTTGCCAGCTTCTTTAGAACAAATAGAAGCTCTTTCCTTTGGGATTCTGGCTGCGGCATTCTTCCCCTGAGGGGATGGTCTGCAATGTATGCTTTGAGAGTCAAAGCAGCGCGCAGTATAAGGAATGGGGCAGCAGCCTGCGCAAGCTTGATACACTCGGTAGAGCTGTCTCTCACAGATACGAGTGAGAAAAGCTCCGACAGGCAGAGATATGCCATATTGTCCCGGAGAACAGGATCGGGATCAGACGTACTTCCATAGCGAATCTGATAGAGGTCCTCAAGGGGTGAACTGGCCAGGTTCGGTAACTCCCCTGGCGCGGGTGCATGTATAACAGACGTCTCAAAGAGATGCCGCGTATATGTCCGTCTAATTCCATCTGACACCACAGAGGTGCCCAGGGATTTTGTGACCAGATCACGTAACTCATTGAACGAGGAGATGTCGAACAATTCATCTTTAGCGACAGATCCAACCGGAGAGTCTGTAGATAGTCTTGCCCCAATTATGCCGCTTGCAATGCTAACAATGGCGCTCCATATATCTTTGCCAACTTCGCCCTGGATCTTTTGGACATAAGGCAACCCCTTTTTAAGGATTGCTAATGACGTTGAAGTGGCGGTTTGCCACATTGTTGGCGATTTGCCTTCCCGTGCCCAAACGTATTTCTCTTGGATCGGTTTTGCGAGGCTGCGTAGTGCGAAGTAATACGCGCCACTTGTGTATATCGTCTCTTGGCTTATGTGTTTTACTGTGATGGACTCTAGCAGCTTCATGGAAGCTTTCGAGAACGCGACAAAGGTGGGGCCGCGCTTTGCAGGTTCCCTTGCAATAGATTCATAAGGGAGTATGGTGAAACGTCCCAGTAGCTCGATAAAGAACCTAGATAGGTCTTCGCCGTCTGTGTCGATGTCAGTCAGACAATCAATGACCCGAGCTTGCAATGGTGTCAGATGGTCGAGATCTGAAGAGTACGCGGCTTCATCAGAGTCCATAATAGCAATTTCAAGATTCCCAAGCATAGAAGGGATTCGTGGATCCAGTGACGTTTTTGAAAGCTTATATATAGCTCTGAACGCCTCCGTATATGCCACGAAAGCTTCTTGATTGGGTTCCCTCCTGAACGTCCACAGATCGCGGTGATCAAAGTACGCGTCCCAGACTTTGGCTGTCTTGTGGAGGGAAGAAGCGCCCAGTAAGTTGGGATCTCCAGTCTTCGTAAGAACGCTCGTAATGGAAGTAAAAACAGATGACCCGAGAGCATGTGAGCCATAGTCGAAGTATTTCTGCAGGTAGTCTAACAAATCCGACCAGACAGCAGCGAGACCAGGCGCATTTCCGACGTTCTCGACGTATGTGGCTATCAAAACACTAGCAGAAGATAACACCGTCTTAGTAGTCTCGTTCCAAGCGGCGACGTCCTCGGATTCGATCTGTGATTCAGAGTGGATGTTTTTGTGTACGGCCAAGTTTGCCTCTACCATACCAAAGAGAACTGTACGCAGGCACAACATCCACGCATCAGATGACAGCTGGTCACCACAGTTTTCGAAGATTCTCTGGATAGTCTGAACAGCGGAATTGCGTAGTTCGGAACGTTTGTCTGTCGTGACGGCAGACAGGTATGTGAGGACTTGAAGCCATAAAACAGAGATGCACCCTGCGCGAGACTGTTCGTGAATTTCTCTTCGAATATCATCGGGATTCTGGGCCTTGTTGATCAACTCTGGGAGTCGAGAGAGGCTCGTCCGAGAGTGGAAGAAATCTGACACATTCCAGAAGAATGTTATTGTCTATGCTTGCATTAGCTTTCAAGACTATACAAGGTATATTGATACTTACAGTCAGAGACATGTTCAAGTCATCCTGCTGTCGGCTGAATTTCAGCAGCAACTCGAGGAGGGTTGCGAACGAGGTATCTGGCACCGCCGATAAGAAATCCGAGCAGACGAGTTGGACAGTACCAAAAGCTGATCGGGCCAACATCTTGGATATGACCTGGACTGCTTGATTGTCATCATTCGAAGCCGCAACTGTGCCATCTTTGCCAACCAGCGGGTCAGATCCATCTGAGAAAACGCTGGCCAGGCTATCGAAGACCGATTCCCAGCCTGCGACAAGCGACTCTCCACATTGCTCGATGACATTTTTCAATGCTTCCAAAACAATGTGGTGGATTTTGACATCGGTGTCATCATAGGCGTGGTCATTTCCCTCTAATCCATGTAGTGATGCGATAATGTCCTTGAGCGCAGACAATATCCGTCCTTGGATATCGTTTCGGTTTTCTTCTGACATCGAGATATCAGCAATCTCTTTAACGGATCTTGCAACGATATCCGCGGCTAACAATCGAGTCGAGGAGGGTTTAGATTTTGTGACCGAAAATCGAACAAGGCTGGTGACAAAATGATTCCATCCACTCTCGTCAGGATCATATTGTGCAAGTCTAAGTTCATTGAGAGATGCCAGCTCTCCAATCTTGTTGAGAGCGAACATTGAATCTCGTGCATTCGACTCGGTATTGAGAGACAAGGCTGATACGCTGCCTAAACGGCGCTGATGCATGATCTTTGGGCGCGGTCCATTCGTTGGCGTCACTGAGCCACTAGCAGGTGGACTGCCAGCGCCCAGTAGTGCGCATAGCGGCTTTAAAAGCTCTACAAATGAATCATTGGGGTAGTCTACAGTGCTCTCGAAAAGCCTCCGAGCAGCTGCTTGCACAGCAGCTGTCTCAGCTTCGACCTTTTCTGAAGATTCTGCATCCGGACGACTCATGACAGGTGTAGCTGTTCGCAAACCACTTTGAGGATTTGACAGTGCCATGACAAGATCGGCTGCTTGCAAGGTCTCGAAAACAATCGACCATGCGGAATGTAGAGTAGGGCCCAGCGCAATAGCCAGGTTGAGAAGTGCACGTAAACACAAGAGGTTTCTAGGCCCTAGTGCAGGTGTAGTCACATCGTGAGAGGGGCGTCTTTTGTCCACGGACATTGACGATTGGCTTACTAGGCTATCGACACTAAGCAAGCCTTTTGCATTGGAATAGATCGATGGCGTCTCGCTCATTGTTGATTTGGGTGAAGTGGTATTTGCGATGAGAAGGTGTGATGGAACTGCGGCTTTGCCGAGAGTTGTGAGGAATGCATCTCGAGGTGTTGATAGCCTCAAGAGGCCGGCGACTTGGGTGAACTTCTGGATTGCGCGGACGAGAGCCCTGTAAAAGTCTGTGTCAAGAGCAGCGTTGAGAAAGGTTGAACAAGTGGCGAGAACGGCAGGCCAACACTCTGTCACCAATGTCGATGAGGTTTGAATAAAGATATGTGCAGAGTGATCGGTCAGTGTCAAAGGATTGACAGGAATGGTTTTCCTGCGGTAAGATTGGGTTCTGGTGAGCTGTGTCTGTCCCGTGGGTTGATCAGTGCTCTCGGAGTCTGCTCTTGATCTCTCATCCGGCTTGGCCTTCTTCCTCCCCTTGGACTCGTGATGCACAGTCAAAGGCAGGATAAATTTTGCAAGGCTTTCCGACACATTCGTGATACAGGTGAGCACCAAGCTATAAACATAGGTCTCCGGCAACGTCGGAGGTTCAGACTTATCAAGGTTCTCCATGCATGGGGTTTTCATCGAACTCCATTGTGTGCTGATTCCTGTGACTGGTCCTGTGGGATTTGATTCAGTGGCGGGCGCACCAATAACGCCAGCGAGAGCATCTGCCCCCGCAACCGCTTGATCTGAACCATGATCCCGACCGTCGAGATGGCCGCTGGGTGCGGTTGATTGCTGTCCGAGCCCGATGAGGGCAGGCTTCTCCGTCGCAAGCCTCACAAAAGATGCCAGATTATCCCCAAAGATACGTTTCTTGCCTTCTTGTTCGTCAAATTGGTTGTAAATCTGGAGCACGAGCCGGGAGTCCGAATAGATACCACGGAAAACCTCCAAACACAGCGCTCGCTTCCACAAAGGGGATGCTTCGGGATCAAGCATGTGATTCAGTAACCCAAGAGCAATCTCACATTCCGATGGCAGGACGGACAGGTGGCCTCGTATAAGCAAATTGAGTATTCGAATGATGCGGAGTGTGATCGGGAACGATAATCTTTCCGATAACGACCGTATTATCATAGGCATGAGCAAGGTTCTGAGGATATGAATCTGCTCTGGATGTGAAGACACAACAGCACCATGATTTCCCAGGATCGCTTCGATTAGCTCCAGCGTTGATGTCGATGGCAAGGAAGAAAATCGAATGTACATAGGCTTTTCACCTGTAACAAGAAGGTTCAGATCGTTAAACACCTTTTGCAATCAGTAACTACAGCAGCGGTTGAGGAAATGCCCGGGCAGGCCTACCTTGTACGCATCGTGAGCACTTGGCCTCACAGCAATGGCTTCTCCATCAATCGAAACTTCTGCAGTCGTAGGTATCTCCAGAGCCCGTTCTAACTTTGTCAATTGGAATTCACCAGAAAGCAGCACCAAACTTACCATCTTCCAGGGCTACTCTGTCGAAGACAGCGATAACAAGCTGCTGTAATGTCGCTGCTGCGGTATTGCTGATGGCAAAGTTTTTCACATTTTGCAAAGCAGAGCAGATTTGCAATGTTATCGACAATGCCTCGCCACGGATTTCATTTGGGTAGTTCTGAAGTAATGCTGGAAGAGCTTGGAGTATCCTGAGCTGTACATCCTGGCCTGGTCATTCGTCAAAAGCAAGTCACATGCATGGGTACATCTTCACATACTCAACGAAACTGAATCCCGCAACGCCTCCAAAACCTCAGTCAATCGCTCTTTTGGTAATGCACGAGAAATACTGAGCCTTTGCAGGCAGCCTACACCAGTGAAAGCAAATTTGGCATTGTGGGTGGCACATGCAATCAGGAATGGTGTAATGAAATGGGGTCTCCGTGAGAGATCTCGTTCGCGATTAGTTCAGATTCCTGGAGCGGCGATTTCTTCATCCTACCAGCTGTGAGCTGTGCTTCTGAGGTCACAGGCAAAGATTTGAGATCTTGTAAGGACTTCTCAGCAGCATTCCTCAGTTCGGAGTTCTTCCGCTTCGAATCCTGGATCAGGTTTCCCAACTCAGACGCTAAGAGCTGTGCTGTCATCCTCGAGACAACAGGCAGAGCATCTGGTCACTTTCCTGAGACCGACAAGAATTTGTATTTCGTGAAAAATGTTATTGTTTATAAGTTGCCATGTCATGCGTTTACAGAAAGGCAACCTGTCCGCCTGTCTCACAGTACCCCGGACACGGTCCGATAATCTTCCGCGATTGCCGTCACTCGCCGCGTGTTTGGTCTGGGTGCTCGCCAAGGCTCCAGGACAGGCTGTCACGGCGGTCATTACATACGAGTACAAACAGTCTGTTTAACAGACAACCAACTTTTCTTTAACTCCTGTACAAATACCGAACGCACGACCACTCGCTCTCAGTGCTTTATAACCACTCCTTACCCGTTCAGAGCGACCGCCACCTCCTGCTTCCTGCTTCATAGCTGTCATCGATAGCGGGGTCTCGTTGCTTGCCCCACGGTCCTACACGGTTTCCGTTCTCCCGTATCACGAGTCCACAATGGGTGCGAAGATCCCACGTAACTTTCGATTGTTGGAGGAGCTTGAAAAGGGCGAGAAGGGTCTCGGAGCGGGTAGGATCAGCTACAAGAGAAATCATGCGTAATCGGTTGACTAAATCGCTTACTAGAGGCTTGCTCGTATGGTCTTGACAATGGAGATGACCTCTTGATGTCTGATTGGAATGGTACCATCCTTGGTCCTCCGCATGTAAGTCTGTCAGGGTTGCTGTGCAGTTGATTTTGTCTAACCACCGACAGAGTGTGCACGAGAACCGCATCTACAGCCTCAAGATTCACTGCGGCCCAAGCTACCCTGATGTCCCACCAGAGATCTCGTTCACGTCGAAGATAAACCTGCCGTGCGTGGATCAAAAGAATGGAAAGGTACAAAACACATGTGTAAATTGGACTAGCTTGTGAGGACTAACAAATACATAGGTTGACCCCACAAAGCTTCCTTGCCTTGTGCAGTGGAAGCGAGAGTTTACAATGGAGACGATCCTGATAGAGCTCCGTCGGTGAGTTGATTCATACGCTGTCACTATTCTTTTTATTAATTCAATCATAGATACATGGCCTTGCCTCAACACAAGAAACTTCCTCAGCCCCCAGAAGGCTCAACTTACTAGAATGATAGCATACATCGGCGAATACTGAGTATGGAGCAACGGGCGGGGGTTTCATCAATATAACACAGAAATACCGGGTCGGAGGCACCAAGTCGAAGCAAGGAAGAGCCCTGTTTGACGGATCAATGAAGACTACCTGGTGAATGAAGTGCATCAGTTTGGAGTTCTGGTCAAATTTAGGCTGTGCAGCTCAACAATAGGAACTGGACTTTGACGAATCACTTAGCAATACATATTAATACTCTTATGAATTCTCTCTCTTCCGTGATCCTCCTTCTGGGTGTTTATAAACAAGCTACAGGTTCTTTGGTATGAACATAAACTTGGGTATATGCTTGGCACGTGATGACCCGTCATCAACGTTCTGCTCGAACTAATCCCGGTCTTTGCGACCAAAATCACCATCAATGAGACGACCTATGCATGCCCCAATTTCTATTTCCCAGGAAGGCGACACGGCATCGCGTAGCAGGTAAGTTGCTACATCTGTTCAAATAGGTCTTCACGACTAGTCTAATCCATTCTCCAAAGCAATCGCTCTATATAGAGCTCTGCTGTCACGATGCACGTCCATTCCACTCGCCGATGAGAACCAAAAGGAATTGAGCAACGTCGTGCGCCAAAAGTTCCGCAAGAACCGGAAACTTCAAAGTCCATATCAAATTGGGCTTGCTTTCCGCGCTGGATATGAGGTCGGTAGCCCACGTTAGGTCCAAAGGTTAGCCATTGCTAATAGATTACTAGACTCTCGACCACCTCGACGCTGCCTCTGCTGGCAGCGAGAAAAGCACCAGCTTCATACAAAAGCTCTTAGAATCACTCCCGCCTGGAATCAAACGGCCTCCTCCCATACGCCGACCCGCCACTCCGAAGCCCACAAGCCCTCCCAAGAAGCCTGTCCTCGATGTCCGCCCCTACGCTCAACTGTCAGGGCCCCGACACATTCCAAAACTAGCAAGTGCGAATGGAATACCCTTCCTCCGCCTGACGAAGCCCCAGCCGCCAACGCTCACCCGCGTGATACTCCAAAAGATGAAGAGGAACAACCAGAGGTTCGACGATCGGGTTCTGCTTGGGAACTACTACATGCCTCAGGCGGAGCAGGAGGACGAGTGGGATGCCATCTTGCTGAGGAATCTAGGTGTTTCGAAGGATGAGGCGGGCGCTGATCATATACAATGGGTTAATGCGGTTGCTCACGCGACGCGCAAGAATCTGAAGGAGTTTAATAGAAACACGTCGAACACTCTGCGGCTTAGGGATAGGATGATAGAGATTATAGACAAGGAGACCGAATTGGCAAAGGCGGAGGGTCAGGAGGTAGTCCGGGGCAAGAAGAGCAAACAGAGTACGAAGAGGGTTGCTAGATGAATGAATGATACCCAGTCACCTTAATTCCTCCACAGTGTCAATCACATCACATCATCTCGAACAACCATCTCAATGCCTTGCGTACAAACGGCGGGGTATATATTATTTTTCCTACCACGAACTCCCTCAAGAAGCCGCCTCAACAATCCCCAGCTTCTCCATCCCCTCCAAAGCATCCCTCCCGTCCCCCTCCCCCTCATCATCCTCACCCTTCCCAACCAACCCATTAACCCACAACTCCTTGCCCGACATCCTCTTCTCCTCCTTCGGCCCCCTCTTCTTCTTCTCCGCCTCCTCCTTCTCCTCCAACCGCCTCTGCTCCTCCTCCTGCATCTCCCTCCTAAACCCCTCCCTCCACTTCAAGAAACTCTCCCGCGTCACCGCCTGCCCCTGGAACTTCCTATTCTCCTCCTCCTCGGCGCGCGCGGCCTCCTGCTCCAACGCCGCCTGCTTCGCACCCGCCCTCTCGGCAATCAACTGCTCCGCCGCCTCCTTCAGCGTGCTCACCAGCGTAAACACCATCGCCATGCCCAGGTTCTCCTCAATCGTGTCAGACAGCGCGGACAGCAGCCGCGCCTTGTCCTCCTGCACGTCGAGGTACTCGTGCTTCGCGGCGTTGGGCGGCGCCGAGATGTCGAGACGGGGTCCTTCGTCCGGGTAGTCGGGCGGGTAGGAGACCGTGAGGTTTATGCTTGGTTTGGAGGCGGCGGAGTCCTCGTCGTCGGGGTCGAATGCTGTGGCATCATCGCTTTCGATGTCCAGGGCGATGGATATTCGGTATTCGGTGGGGGAGATGTCTGAGAGGTGTGTTAGGGGGTGGGATGGAGGGAGAGTTGGGATGGATGGATGGGTGGGCTACCTGTGATTTCGTCTGGGTAAATCGACTCGAGGATCTCGCGCTCTTCTTTTTGCTCTTCGACGCCCATTGTGAAGTACTACTTGATATCTCGTTGCAATGCAGTAGTGTAGTAGTGAAACCCTGACGATTTCGACAACGCAAAATCCCGTCAACGTTGTCGTTCGACAATTCCTCTGAATTAAATCTGGGGGTTGGAGGGTGGAGGAATGGGGCAAGGCTAGTGTTGGTTGGTTTTACAAAACTCGAATGTATTGAGGTCGTCTCTCTCCCGCCCGCATGTGCCAGAGAGATGCCCCACGTTGAAAACGACGTCGTTTTCCCCCCAACGCTTGGGCCACGAAAACGTCTCCATAAGAAAAAAAATATTAAACCGTCCCCGTTAACTCGACCCGCCGGACTTTCCTACTTCATAAACGACAACACATTTGCGGAAGACACTTCTGTTTTTATTTCTTGTTCTTCATTGTTCTATTTTCCAAATCACGAAAAAGAGCAGGACAGCAAAAAAGGAAAAGAGACAGGGAAACAATGGCGAAAACCAAACCGCAAGACCGGACACGGAAATCCAAGAAAAGCGCCGGAGCCCCCTCCTCCTCCTCAACCGACGCCAAAACCAAGAAGCCCAAAGCCTCGCCGGAAACCCTCCTCCTCCAAGCCGCCGCCTACCTCCAGACGTCGCAGCCAGAAGAGGCGCTCGTGGAAGCCCGACGAGCGCTGAACCTCCTCCAACCAACCTCCGAGCCCACGCTCGCGGCCCTGCCCGCGCTCAACCTGCTCGGGGAGATATACGTCGAGCTTGGGGACCCCGAGGCCGCGCGGGAGGCATTCCTCGTCGCGGTCGCGCTGGACGGCGACGGCGCGAGCGACGGCGCGGAGAAGTTTCTGTGGCTGGCGCAGTTGAACGAGGAGGGCGGGGCGGAGAGCGTGCGGTGGTTTGAGAAGGGGGTGGAGGTGTTGAAGAGGGAGGTTGGGGAGCTGGAGGGGAGGGCCGCCGCCAAGAAGGCGGGGGAGGTTGCGGACGCGCTGGAGGAGAAGAAGTTGAAGATTGCGAATGCCATGTGCGGCATTGCGGAGGTGTACATGACGGATCTTTCGTGGGAGGATGAGGCGGAGGCGAGGTGCGAGGCTGCGGTCACCGAGGCGCTGTTCGTTGCGCCCGAGAGCGCGGAGCCGTTGCAAACGCTGGCTTCGATTCGCATCTCGCAGTCGAGGATCGATGACGCGAAGGCCGCGCTGAAGAGGAGCATGGAGCTGTGGAAGGAGTTGGACCCCAACGACCCCAGGATTCCCGATTACCCCACACGGATCAGTCTGTCACGGCTGCTGCTGGAGAGTGAGATGGAGGACGAGGCCATTGAGGTGCTTGAACGACTAGTGCAGGAGAACGACAGCAGCGTCGAGGCATGGTATCTGGGCGGCTGGTGTCTGTACCTACTCGCCGACAAGCAGAAGGCGGGCGGGCAGGGTGAGACCGCGACAGCACTACAGCGTGCCAGCCGCGACTGGTTGGAGAACTGTCTGAAGCTATACACGCTACTTGAATACGAGGACGACCGCCTGAGAGAGCACGCCCAGGAGCTCTTGAAGGGCCTCGATGAAACCCTAGGCCCAGCTACCGGCGAGGACGAAGAGCCATGGGAGGACACCGACGGCGAGGGCGACGAGGATGAGAAGATGGGGGACACTTGATTTGTCTCGGCTACGTCTGGAACACACAGATGTCGACATGCACGCTTGTCACTTTCGAAAGGTTCAATCGTGAGGTAGAACTGGGGAAAGGGACGGCGGCGAGTGTTGCTGGTATGGTACAGCAAGGTGTGCCCATGGAGAGCCTCTCCACATGCATTGCCGCCTGCGACACCCATCGGCATACTTCGTTTCAAAGTTTCACTGCAGCAGAAGAAAAAGGTCACTTCCTTCCTCTGCAGAAAGGGCTAGATGACGGCCCATGAGGTCGTCGATCCCAAATGTCTACTTGGACAACGCTTCAGCTTCGCGAAAACGGAGAGGAAAAGAATTCCCGCAAACTTGGTACGACCAGCCTTCAAAGTATGTTGATAGAGAGAGCAGTCCAGGTGCAAGCCCGAACGCCCAAAAACCCAACCTTCCAGCCCTAGCCCACAACCACTACCACACATCCAACAGGCAAAAGGGGAAGGGAAGAAAGGTGCAGCGGTGACTTATCGTCGGAGGCTTTTGATGTAACCATTGCTTTCGGCGTGCAGCGTCGGAGGCGACAGCTCTCCAGCTGAGCATTAAGCAGTCGTTGTCTGGCAGGCAGGCAGAGCAAACAGGAAATCCAAATTGGGTATACAGTCACATTCGAAGGTAGTTAGCTGAATGGTATGTCGAATTAAACGTTTTCCGCCACGCGCAATCTGCTCGTTAAGCTCTGATCCCACTCGTATGGTAGCGATCTTGCATGCATGGCTCTGTGATATCTACCTAGCTGGTGGAAGTCCTACTGGGTTTCCAGCAACCGTGCGACTGTGTACATCTCGCTCGTGCCCGTCCTGGGTAGGGAATGAATTGAGGCGAGGCAGATGCGATGTGATGCGATGCGATGCGTCTGATAACCCTTGATCCTTGGGGCCATCCGTCCAAGGTCGGTTCGCTCCCCCAGATCGATAGGTACCCTTCGTGATCAGGTAGATAATCCTGTGCCCGGTTCAGATCCCAGTAATCTGGCTGCTGGTATCGACCTCGCGAGTACGGTAACTAGACCACTCGTACAGATTAGTTGGGGTCAGTAGCGCACAACTCTAACTCCATCCTCCCCACGCATAAACCTTTGCGTAACCTACGCCTCCAGCCAGCAAACTTTACGATCCCTGTAGTAGGGATATGGTACGTACCGCTAGGTTAAAAAGCAAAAAAAGAAACAAGATGAAGGTAGCTGTAGGAAACGAGATGGGTAAACAATCGTGTGGAAAGTTCAGCATCACGGAATCAAGCGCAAATCCCACTGACGCCTTTCCACATGCTTCCGGGGCGGTAATTACGGGCTGGTCGAATTTCTTCAGGAAAGCCCATGTGGTACAGGACTAGATGGGATGGGAATCATACTCGCAGAGACAGAACAGGACAGGTCTAGGCCCAGGCCGTCAAAGGATGGGAACAACCTACCCGAGTAGTCAAAAAGTTGGCGTGCATGAGAGTTGGCTATGACGGGTAAGACATGTGTGGATGGATGTGTCTGGAATTGGTTCGAATTCGAGTTTGAGTTCGAGGCTCTCCGATCTCCGAGAGGTTCCTGGAGTGGGATGCGGTGATCGGTGTGTCTATTAGCCCGGTTTTGAGGTGGAGGAGAGGACGTGTGGCATGGCATGTCGTCGTATGTGCGTCCATTTTATCATTGCATTTTGCCATGGACTACGTGAGGAAGAAGATGAGGGAGATGCTCAGGACAACCAGCGGAGATGTACTCCGGGTGTACCTCGCATATACGAGGATGTATGAGATGAGATGAGATGAGATGAGATGAGATGAGATGAGATGGGATCTGATCTGATCTGGGACTACCCGGGACATGTGCTCGCAAGTTGGATCTGAGAAGGACGATGACGATGATGCGAGACAAGGGTTCTGGAGTGGAGGAGGTGGAGTGGCATGGATGGCCATGGATGGTTGAAAGAGACTTTGGTTAACTAATGTCTACTGTAATCAACTGGGACTGGCACTGGGCGGAATTGGGCGGACATGGGTTTTGGCGACGGGAACCTGCCGCGCGATCGATATTAGCAGGTATTGTACCCTCGTAGTAGTAGGTGCCATCTCATGTCTTGTTCCCTGAAGCGAACAATGCAATGATGAGAAATGATACAAAGTAGTTACGGAGTAGAAACAACTACTACAATTATGCATGTGCGTAGTATGGTGTGTGTGTGTGTTTGATGTGTTTGAGTGTGTGTGTGAAGATACTCGTGCATGTACATACAAGCCCAGTCTTTACCAAGTCTCTTACCCAGCCAAAAGCGTCGTCAGTCTCCGTCACCCATGAAAGTATTGACTATTGACGATTGCTATTATTACCATTATTCTACATACTATCGAAACCTAGTGACGAGGTGGTTAGTTGGTTTCCTACAGAGTATTAACAATCCGATCGCACTCCGTTCCCCGTTCCCCGTAGCCTGTAGCCTGTAGGTACAACAAGAACAGGTACATAGATGGTAGATGGTAGATGGTAGATGCCCAGTGCCAATCCCATCCCATCCCATTCCGTCTTCATCTCATCCCGTCCGTCCACAGAGTTCAAACCCAACCACCACCAGAAACCAACTACACCACCACGGCCACTACCACTACCGCTAATACCTACCACTCCCACTACCACTACCACTAACTACACCACCACCGCGATTCGCCTACGCAACTCTCCCACTCTGCCACTCCCACACTACGCCGTCGTCGCCTTTGTCCTGGGTCCCTCCCTAAACGCCTCCGCCTCAACCAAGACTCTCTCACACATCGTCTAACTGCCTACACCACACCACATACACTACCTAACTACCCTTTCCTCCCCTCCTCCTTCTTCATCACCATCACCATCCCCCTTCTCATCCCCTCGCCTTTCCTCCTCCTCCTCCTCGTCGTCTTCTCCCCTGCCCGACGAATGCGCCCGGCCTGCGCGCCTACCCCGACACATTGCGCTCCACAGATAGATGAATGATCCGCCGAACCTCACCCCTCGCCTTCCTACATTGCGCACGACGCTCGCGGGCGCGACGAAAACCTTCAGCTTCCGCTGAGGCCTTCTCTATCGTGGTTCCCCGGGGCATGCTCCTCCGCCGCTGAGCACTCAGCGCCGAATGATCTGGTACATTCTCTATCCGTTTCGTGGGTAAGTAACGACCCCCTCGGCCTTCGCGCCTTCCCTCCCATCCCATTCCCGACGACCACAATAACCACCACCACCACAACATACATACCGTCTTTGCCGTGCAAAACTCCCATTTCTTACCACAACCGTAGTACGACTGATCCACCACGATTATCACCCTCTCACCCCATCCGACGCGCCTTCCAGGCCCATGGCACCGCGACAGCCCGTCATTGGCACCTCTCCATCATTCTGACCGTCTTCGTATCGGTTCTACTATGCTATCCTGCCTTGTTCCAGTCCGATAGCCCTGCTTCTACGGGCCTGCGCAACCTACCAAAGCATGTCTGGACCTCCACCACCGAGGTATCCGGTGAGCGTCCCGCCGACGTCGACGTTCGCCAGGTATGGGTCCATGGCGATTATATGAAGGCAATTGATCGACGGGTGATCAGGGAAGCACTCGAAGCGCAACGTGCCCTTGTCGGAGATGGTTTTGAGGAGGTGACGAACTCTCATGAAGACGACAGATCAATCCCAGCTGCCTCGGAAGCATGTCTGACAGCGAAACCCGGCCAAAAATGGGGGGTGCATTCGCCATTATTATATTGGAACTGCTCTCTGGAAGCGCTAGACAGCGATCAAGATCTTCTCGCGACCATCAACTCGAACGTTGACCAACAATCGGTCCTCAATCTTACACTACGCCCGAGTACCGTATTTGCGGGCAAAGTGTTCTCCGGTAGCAAGCTGCAGGCTGCCGACGCCTTGGTACTTACACTTTTCGATCAGACCAATTCCACAGTCGGATATACCTGGGAGACACGATCTAGAAAATTTGCTGCCGAACTTTCTCCCGAATGGACAGTCTTTCCGGCGCATGGCCAGGTTGTCAAATCCCGCCTCTACGAATTCCGATTCAAGCCCATGACGCTTAGCGATGATATCGTCCTGGCTGCGTCCTACTTGATCACGGCAGCCTATGTGATTTGGCGCATGATGCAATTGAGGGCTGTTAAGAGTTGGTTTGGTTTGCTCATTACGATATGCGCTAAGGTATGATCCGCACAGCTCTAGAGCGCCTTTGCCGAGGCTAATTGTGGTACCTAGATGACCATTTGTGTGATAGGAAGCTTCACCGTGTGTAGCTTTCTCGGAATCAATCTAGCACGAATCCCACGCCCTTGGTTTCCCGGGGTGGTGTTTTGCTTTGGATTAGGAAACATGTACGTGGCAACCCCATGGGGTTTTGAAGATCCCGAGTCATGGCTAATCGATCATTCATAGTTTCCGTCTCATCAATGTTGTGCTAGAGACTCCTCCACAGATGCCTCCTGTCCAGCGCATTGGACACGCCATTGGAGAGGTCGGGCATCTGTCACTAGCAGTAGCTGGCCAGAACCTTGTCCTCATATACCTTTGTTCCCGAATCGTAACGCCTTGGGTAGCAGATTTCTGCGTCTTCGCAGCCGTCACACTAGTCTTGGACTTTGTGTTTCATTTGACCTTCTTCCTCGCGGTCCTCAGTGTCGACGTTCACCGAATGGAGCTGCAGGATTCTATCGACCGGGTCGACCTAGTACAGTCATCAAAGACTACTCGACAGGAGCGCCAGTCATGGCTCGCGTCGCTTCGTGACGGCAACATGCCCTTCAGCACGAGATTTGCGGGTTCGGCTGCCATTTTCTCCATTATCCTCGCCCTCAATTGGCACTTCTTCGACACGTCTAACCGTAAATTATCGCCTCGCGCCCTACTAGACCGCATGATGGCGAGGGCTGCTGAGCCAGCGCCTTCGGGGCCGGATCTATGGAGCCCTCCTCCAATCAACCAAGCTAGGACCCCCGGGGATTGGCTCCGAATCCAGGATCACAATACTGCTCGAGAATTGTTCGGCTTCATCAAACCACATGCCCACACCTTCACCGCCCGCGTCTACGATCCCATGCTCGTGGTTCTCAAAGGCGCCGAAGGCAGAGATGTCTCGCAAAAGCCATCGGATTTGGCAGAGAGTCTCCGCCACTTTGCCCAGGAGCACGCATTCCCCGCTGCACTTATCGTGGTATTCCTAATTGCTGGAGTGACTTTGCTCATGAACTTTCTCCTGTGGACTGGCCTGCCTGATGACGCTGACTCGGAAGAAGACGAAGATGCCCTTTTTACTGTCCAGACGCTACCGACGCCGCAGGCTTTGGATATAGTTCGTCTTGCTTGTTCACCCAAGGGGCAGCTTGCTAGCATCAGCCTCGACCGCTCTACATCTCTCTGGACCCATGACCCGGCTGTGGGCTTCGTCAATTCGTCGTTGCTCCAGACTGCCTCGATGAAGCCGAGCCTTTGGCCTATTGTGGCATGCACCATGGACGACACTGGCAGCCTTCTGGCCATGTGCACAGACGGCGGCCAACTTGGCATATGGAGTCTGTCGGCAGCCCGATTTCTCCAATCCCCTACCGTGGAGTTGCGAGGCCATGTGCCTATATTATTTTCATTCTTGTATATCCATTCAGGCGACGTGGATCAACCCAACATCATCATTATCACTCCAGACGGCTACATGAGCATCGTGAATGCGCGAACCGGCAATCAGCAGACGAAACGCATTTGTTCAACGTCCATTATCGACGCAACGATCTACAACTGCGCAAAGGGCGAATCAAGTCTGATCTTTGTCAGTAAACCAGGGGAAGTTTACATATTGCCTCTCAAGGAGGATAGCGATTGGACAGCCGAGGCGGTAGCTGGGCTGGACCCAGGTCCACCGCCAGGCTCGAACCCATCGAAGATCAAATGTATCTATGGGCTTCCAAGCCTAGGCTTGATATTCGCGCTACGAGCTGAGGAAGCAGAGATTTTTGACTTCAACAGCAGAGCTTTAATCCATGCGCTCCCAATCGGTCACGTCAGACCACACTCCTTCCGCGTCATGCACTCATCACGACGGCAATGTCCTTGCGGGGCACCAGCCATCCATTCTTTTTCTGTCGCTTACACAGAGCAAGATTCAGACCACATGATAATGCAGACGTTCACACTAGATTCTGCTCCTACTTCGCAGATCTGCCTAGGAAAACCGTCCGAGAATAGTCCTCAGAAATGCAAAAACCTCAGCCACGCAACGGAAGCCGTCCATTGTGTCGACCCTGCCGGAGTATGGGAGACCACAGATACATGTAGTATAGTCGGTATTCGTCGCTTCATGCAATCACCCACACCTTCGTCATCAGCTTCGGGCGTGGACAGTGGATACTTCGCGGCCGAGCCAGCCGCCCTAGCCTCAGCGTTGAAGCAACGCGCTACCAAAGAAGGCAAACATAGCGCTCTATTCGGCTCCCTGAACTCTTCCTTCGGCCAACCGCCCGCTTCACCTACCGACATCGACGCATGGGAAGCCTGGACATTGACATCCACGGGCGAGTTCCGGTCCCGACCACTTGTTTCCGACGACGTCGACCCCGACCCCCGCACTCTCAATGAGCAGCTCTTCGTAGCAGCTCCCGGGCCCATCGCACGGCTAGGCAAGCGCAGCATCGCCGCGGGATTCGGTAACACCGTCAAAGTTATCACGCTCGGTCGAGAAACCTTCGACGGTATCACGAGCACCGCCAGCCCGAACGAAGACCAGGCACTAGGCGTGGGCATAGGCAGCTACAAGTGGAGAGCAAGGAGAGGCACGGGACGAAAACTACAGTAATATCTATTATCTATCCATATATCCGAGACACGACACGCCATGTATAAAGTATAAACAAATAAACATTAAAAGAAGGAACAACCAAACCACCTCGTCACAACTATATACCCCAGAGAAGGTGTTCCATACATACACCTTATTTCCCTTCTTCTACCTCCCATCGTAGAACGATGGCGTTATATTATTATTATCACTACTTACCTCGTGCGTTAGTTGTATGACTAATGTCCACTTGTACATGTACGAAATAAAGCGATCTCTTGTTCTTGTTCTTATGTCCCCCTTTCCATTCTTCGTTTTCTGGAAGAAGGGGGTTTTAGATATTCGACGATGTACGACAATGTATGAGCGACTTGTCACTGTCTCTGTCTATGTCCAAATCAACTACATATGTACACATTCGGCAGATTTAAGTTTAGATGTAGGATGCATGATGAAGGGAACTATGTGTGTATTTCAGATCGTTGTATGACACTTATTCTTTCTTCATGCGTGAAGTTACCTTTGACCTTTTGCACACACACACACACACACACACACACACATGCCTCAAATACTACGAGCTACATCCGACCTTCCCTTTCTCCAATCGCCGGTCAGCCACGACTCCACACGCCCCTGGCATGAGTGGATATCAACATCCAACCAACCCACGCCCATTACCACCTCATCTAATCCCACCGCTTGCTTTGCATGCACCCCCGGCATCTATCTATCTCGGCATTCCCTCGGAGGAGCACGCACGCACGATACTGTACCAGATTTCAGCGCATATCAAAACATCAACACGGTTAGTTCCCCCTTCTCCCCTTCCGCCTAAAAGCGCCGCCTTTTTTTTGTCTCCCAAGCCTATTGCTTGCTTGCATGCTGAGAAATCAGAAAAGAAAAAAAAGGTTGCGAGAAGTAGCCTATTGAATTCGAAGTGAATATATGAATACGATGATTGTGTTGGACGGGTTTTTTGGTGACTGTAATGGCCTTTTTTTTCCCTTTTCCCTCATCCATTTATTGTCTCTGGATAGGAGAGGAGGTAGGTGCCCGGTTTACGATGAAGTCATGTTTTCCCCACCCACGTGCTTATCGATAGTTGGGTGTGGGGAAAGGAAGGGTTCATTGTTACAAATCAAGAAGCAGAGCCAAAAAAAAAAAACCGGTACTTACCTAGGTAGTTTAGAGAGTGGAGATGGGCATTATTAATTGAGGAGAAAAAGAGAGACAACGAGTAAGGAAACAATAAGACTAGTTTCTTTTCAATTTGTAAGCTTTCTGGTTGTTGTTATTTTATGTCTCCTGTTCGTTCCGTTTCTTGCCTGGACGACTCAAACCTCCTCGTTTGGTTGTATACTGTTGGCAAGCTACTAAAGGTACTTGTTCCTGTTGTTATTATTGTTTTGTGTACTTAGAAGGTCAGCAATACCTTTTCCATCCTTATACACGTTTGATTGCAAAAGAAAGGTTAGAAAGTCGTTCTTAGTAGGTACCTAACCCTATCCGTACAACCGTCATAATGAGCACTATCAATCCTTCCGAATGGTCGATCAAACAACAATATTCTAACACACGCAAGACAGAAAAGATATCAGAACGAGATAAAAAGAGAAGGGAACAACATCATTGATCTCGACGACTCAGCAAACCAAATTGGGGAAATTCGGCTTCAACAATGGCTCCAACTATCCCCAAGACCCAGAAACAGTGGACGCTCGAGGGGAAACGGGGAATCGATTCGTTGACTTGGAATGACCAAGCTCCCGTGCCTGAGGTCGGCGAGTACGATGTCCTCGTCAAATGTAACGCAGCATCTCATCTCCCATCTTCATTCCTATAGATTGGAGCGCATCACAAGCTGATACGACAACACACGCAGTCCACGCCGCCTCCCTCAACTACCGAGACCTCACGATCCCCATCGAAGGCGGCTACCCCTTCCCCACCACCGACAGCGTGATCCCGGGCTCGGACGGCGCCGGCGAAATCGTCGCCACGGGATCCAAAGTAACCCGCTTCACCGTCGGCGACCTCGTCCTCACTCTCTTCAACCAAGAGCACCTTTCCGGATTCCTCACGCCGCGGGCCCGCATGACGGGTCTCGGCGGCCAGCTCGACGGCACGTTGAGGCAGTACGGCGCGTTTCACGAATTGGGTGTTGTCAAGATGCCAGGGAATCTGGATGTAATGGAGGCGGCGACGTTGAGCTGTGCGGCGCTGACGGCGTGGAATGCGTTGTATGGGGTTGAGGGGAGGGCGTTGAGGCCTGGGGACTGGGTGTTGACGCAGGGGACGGGTGGGGTTAGTATGTTTGGGCTGCAGGTATGTTCGATACATCATCCCCCCTCTTTTGCCTTTCCTGCTGTCTATTGGGGGAGTTCTTTGTATGTTGATATGGTTTCACAGTTCGCCAAAGCCGCAGGCGCAAAAGTCATCGCGACGACATCCTCCGCCGCCAAAGCCGAAAAGCTCAAGCAGCTGGGCGCCGACCACGTCATCAACTACAAGACGCAGCCTCACTGGGGCGAGATGGCGAGGGAACTGACGGGTTCGCACGAGGGTGTCGCGCACGTGATCGAGGTCGGGGGACCGACGACGGTCGCGGAGTCGTTGGCGGCGGTGCGCATGGAGGGCGTGATTTCGATTATTGGGTATATTGGAGGGCAGACGGAGGTCCAGCCGACGTTTCATGAGACGTTGGTGAGGGATTGTATTGTTAGGGGGATACAGATTGGGTCGCGAGAGCAGCTAGAGGCGATGAATAGGGCGGTTGAGGGGTGTGATATACATCCGGTTGTGGATGAGAAGGTGTTTAGGTTGGAGGAGTTGAAGGAGGCGTATCAGTATATGTGGGATCAGAAGCATTTTGGGAAGCTAAGGATTAAGATTGAGCATTAAGTGTTATGAGGGTTGGGCTTGATAGCCATGAGACCATGTGATCAATAGAGTAGAGAATTGAAACATGATACGAAAATGAGCAAATGCTTTCAAGATAGTACCTCCAACTGGATTGTAAGTCATCGCTGCCATGGCTTTCTTGCAGTACAGCTATATGTTGTTGTCTCCATACTACAAAATATCTGTAGTTATAAGAAATGGCTACTTTCACGTATAAGAGCCTCAAACAAATCAACTCTCAAAAACATACCAAAACCTCCTCCCAAAAATAGCACAACCATCACCTTACCTATGCAGCCTAAAAATCAAAACTCCAATGTGCAATTTTCAAAGAACCATCTCCACAGCCCACTCTCAGTAAGTCAACCACATCTAAGCAGTACAGTTCCCACACCCGTGGCTGTGCTATCTCCATTCAAAATCCCACGCTACATTTTCGCCTACAATACGAACCCCCATCCGAAACCTAGACTCCATCCACCTACTATATCCTACTAGCTATGCAAAAAGCCAAACCTAAGGAAGGAAAACAGTGTCTCACAAAAATCCAAGACACTCCGACCGCCTGGACGCTTCCAAAAAAGCGATCGTTGCGCCCAAGCCACTTCCCACCGGCGGAGGCCAGCATTACGGTTTAGTTCCGAAAGCTTATTTTCTTGTCGGATATCGGGAGAATGTGAGTTGAGTGGGTGATTATGCTTCGGGCCGGGATGTCGGAAGGATTGGAGATGTTGGAGGAGGTTGTACTGCATGTGTTGCAGATGTATGGGTATATCAGGCACGGTGATGAAAAGTGCACGCACGTACATATGTCATTGTCGTATGAATTAATTGTACGAGGCGGATTTGAAAAGGAACAAAGAAACGTCCACGACAACGACGGCGAAGGTGATGTGATGTGATAACTAGTGGGCCTGAAGCGTAGACGAGAAACCGAACTCACCGGTTCGTTAGTCAGTCGGTTGGTTGGCTCGGGGGGGATCGCAAAGGTGCGCTGGCTGCTGTTATGCTATGACACTGTGCCTGTGCATGAATGAGTTTAGGAGCAAAACGACCGTTTTCATTCTGTAAGGACCGTTGTCATTGGTGTTGTTTCAGGACGTACTGTGTAGGGTTTGGGGGCGGAATTGATGTTTCTATTCCTATGGGGCACGTTTGCTGGCACCGAGGGGGGGCACGGCAATAAGCGCACGTGCATGCATAAGGGACTCTCTAAGGCGATTTTGAATGGTCGTGGGCGGTTTGTTGCTGAGTTGAGGTTAGATGGGGCGCCGTGGAGGATGGATGTCTGTGTCGGGAGGCCTTGAGGGATGGGTGGTCCGGGGGTTGCGATCCTTCCAGTGACGTAGGATTAGAAATTATTTTGGATAGGGGAAAGGGGTGTTGGATTAAACATGCACGAGAGAGGCGAGGGTTCACTATGATTGATTTTATTGTTTTGTTGAATTTAGGTTTTAAAATTGGTCTTCTCGACTGCTATGTTTTTGTGGGCGCAGGAGGTATTGCATGGAAAATGGTATCTGGGTATTGGTAAAAGCAAGAACAGAGTAGATGCTCATATGAGCGAGAGAAAGGTAGGGAAGGAGAAAGGAAATGCTATCAAATGTGCAAATTGCAAATGTGTCGGACATGCAGCTTGTGAAGAAAATAGGCATCAAAAATTCGGAACGGAAAGACAAATGCCGAAAGCTCTCCCCTTCTTCTTATATCCATCAGAAAATGTTTGGAGCAGACCATCTGCTGCCAATGTGTGGATGTAATTATCCTTTTATGTCATCAATCATTCGGAGGGAGTATGTACGATCTTAGGTACTTGTGGAGAGGGATTCGTGGTGGTGACTTCGTAATATCTTTGGCTCGTAGAACTCGTGCTCCTAGGTCTCGTGGGCCTGCCTCCTACGCTCGCGGCGCCCTCAGGAACAGAGATGGTGCTCACTCCGAGTGTATCGCTCGTTCTCCTGCTAGAGCGGCTGCTTCCACTGACGCCACTTCCATTACTATCATTTTGAGACAATGGGTCGCGAGCTTCTTCGGCAGGAGTGACGTGGAGTGGGATGAGGTTGATCGTTTCCATACTGGCGCGCCTGTCCTGGTGCTGGGTATCGACATAGAGTGATAGACTTGAACCACGGTCTCGACTGAACATGCTTGTCTTGTCTTCCTCGGGAGACGGAGCACCGTTCTGCAACAGGGCAGCCTTGTCTGAGGATTGGGTGCGGAAGGGATGGTAGGAAACAGGTCTCATCTCTGGCGGAAGCTTTTTATGTTGGGCCCGTCGGTGGAGATAGTAGGCAGTGATGGTAACGATGGTCGATACAGTGATGAACGTGAAAATCGACAAGGAGACAATTGCGGCAGTACTCCACGAGTTCTCCTTGGGTTTCTCATCGCGAGAAAAAATTAGGCTGATTGGTGCCATGGCGATCGTTTGTTGGAACTATTGAATAATCGAGAGTATGTCCAAAACAGGAAAGAAGAGCCAGCAGGTAGCCTGATGCAAGAACCCAGGGAATCGATGGGGTTGATAGTGGTGTGTATACAGGTATAGGTGAGAGGATTCAAGCACCTCGAGCCTGCTGTCCTCGACTTATGGAAAAGGAACTGTATGGTGCATGAGTGACATACAAATGGATGCCTGGCTGGGCACAAACAAGATATATACCGATGAACATAGTGAAACATATTTTAGCAACTGTGCACCAGGATTGGACATGACTTGTTGTGTGTGCAAGAGAAGGCCCCCAGTTCCTGGTTAAGGAGCTCAGCCTCAGCGCCCAACCATATGGTTGATTCTGAGGTTTTGAAGCGCGCTTGGTCCACGGGCCTTAAAAGCAGGGTTTCAACCCACAAGCCTCCTCGTATGATGAGCGTGCAATTGCAGCCATGTGGGGCACGAACGAATAGGAAGACATAGGATCAGTGTCATAGGACATTTTGACTAATCTCTTCGGGGATGGACAGACATTGGTGCCTATGGAGGGGCGGTGGCAGAGACTCAGTGGAGTGCATAGAGACGAAGTATACATCGTACTCTCTAGCGTACTGCTGCAGGGCGGGATGTAGTTTGAGCCAGTCGGCATGCATCTTGAAGCGGCGTGGTAGCCACACCTGTTGCATTTGCTGTTTACAGAAGGGTGGCTGAATTCGTTATGCCTATGCCTTCAGCTCCTTCGTGGGGGATGATGCTTTGGACAACATTGGTACAACCGTACAACTCGATGATATTGAGAAGCTATAGCCAACGACTTCTGCATATTGTCAACAGACAAGGATTTTGACGAGATGAAAGAGATCCTTGGGAAATCATTCCCAATTCGATCTCGGGATATTTCGCGTAAACTTCTCTTTACATGTTGGTGCAAATGGACGCTGAGCCACCTGCGCTAAAACCTCCAGGAAATGAGCTGAAGCGAAGGCCAGCGCGCCGTTCGCGAGGCTGTGTGCTGCCTAATTTCCAGATTCAAGCCTCTGCAATTTCGTTTTGTAGCGCGGGAATTTCGTCAGTCGAGGATTCTCCCCGACTCATGACGGTAAGGGCACTACAATGCCAGGGCCGGATTCGGGATGCTGGTCGTTGCCGTTGCCCTGCTGTAAGATGCGGTGAGACGTTGGAGGCCAAAATCGCAATCGGGCGGTTATCCCCCGATTATTATGTGGGTAGGTGGGCGTTCGACATGCACATAATCACGATACCGCAAAGACAGCGCGATCATCGTGAACCAATTGTCGTGATGAAGAAGACGGCTGGTCTGACGTTGTGGAGGTGATGTAGGTCGTTGTGCTGAGCCCCTACACGTCGATCCGTGTCATTGGGTCAAGGGAAATCCTCCGATCAGATGTGCGGGTCGTCAACCCCTGCTCACGTTCCAAAAATACCTTGCAAATCTTCGCCATTTCTCACCACAACAGTATGGGGTTAGTTTTCCTAGGAAGTCATACGGAAACAGGAATTTTGAAAGCTTGACTCGCTTCCTTAGTAGCGAGTGGCATGACTAAATTTGCACCTCAGTAGTTAGTTACAGCCTTCGGAATGCTTTTCCATAAGGAATTCCACATTGAGGATTTTCTATCCCCACTATGCTTCGCCTACCTTAACTTGAACTTGAAAATGTACGAACTTGAAAATGTACGGATTTGATTTTGTTCTCCATTATAATAGTACAGCAGTTTGCAGTGAAGAAGTGATATATTTAGACATTAATGAAGGGTTATACTTCGTCATATAATTAAGGCTCAGTGTATCTTGCGAGTATGGACGGTAATTTGATATTCCCGATGGCAGTAACAAATCGCTATTGATGACCCATAATGGCAACTCGATCAAGACTTAATCCATTCAACTATTGCCAGCTTCGACCAGCCTCTGCAGACGTTGCACAATGCTTCGAGTATGATACCCTAGCTGGTTCTCCACATCAATAAGGATGTTCCATAGTCGAGCTTTCAGTGCTATGCCATCGATATGTTTTGCCGCTGCATTGGATATTTAGCAACAACCATTAGTGGGTGGGAGTCGTGAAGAATACTATCAACATACCATAATAGAGGCCATGGGTGGAAAACACTCGAAGGGAATCAGGAAATTCTGATACAGCAATACTTGCTATCTTTCTTGCCTCGACCTGAATATGTGGTATATAGGACGGGTCCTGGAGCACCGGCTCTGCATACAGCAAAATATGCGTCACATGATACCAAAATGCCGCGGCAGCTAAAGAAGGTCAGTATAAACAAACACGGTCATGACAATATTGTTAACGTACCAGCTGCTGTGACAGTGAAATAAATCTTCCGGAGACCCTCATCATCCGGTTCGCCATACGGTATGCCGATGAATGCGTCTGGAAGCCGGGAACGCCATTCCTCGAGCTCGACCAGAAAGTTCTCTCTCTTCTCTTTACCCGCCTCTGTACGGCCTTCTTCCCCATACACCAGTGTAACGACACGGCCTAGAATCCATTGGCCCTGATTACCTAGTACATCTTCCCGCATCTCACCTACCTCCCAGCGGACATTCCAATCATCGGGGTGTAGTAAAATAGGCTTCTCGATAGATAAAGCGACACATATATCGTGACGGATGTAGATCCAGAAGTTTGCCCTATCAATTCCATGGGATTGAGCTGTTATACCGTGGGCTTTTATCAATGTCGTGGCGCCCAGTAAGTGGCGCCGCTGTGATTCCGAACCCAAGGCTGCAAGGATTTCATAGCTTGAAAGTAGGATTGTAGCGGTCAAAGCGTGTTCGCTCGAAGAACCGGTCAGCGTTGAAATCAACAGACGTAGCGACTGGCCGTAAAAGTCGCGAGCCACGGTGTCCCATGACCAATTCTTTCGAGAATTGGCCAGTGAAAGCTGTTTCGCCGTGAAGGCGCAAATACAATTGAAAAGAAGTGGGGACGTGAGCGTCAGTCGTGGTATGCTTAGTTGATACGTGTTTTGGAAGTCCATAATGTCCATCCATCTGGCGACCGTACGCAAATAAGTCTGTAGTAGAAAGGCAGTCTCGTCTGTGAGATTCACCTGTGTGGGGAGGGGACCACTTGATATCGTATATGCAGGTGTCAGTAGACTTGGATCTGACAGGTCCTGGAGTGGCGGAGATTCTTCATCGGGGACATTGAGCGAAGGGAATTGTGCTTTGAAAATTTCCCAGGTGGAAGTCGGGGCAGCAAGATTGCTGGCTTCCATAGTAGAAGGTGTAGACATTTCACTCAGGGGTAGGAGTTGCGGTTCCGATGTTTGTGGAGGACCAACATTTGGACCGACAGAGACATTCCATTCTGGTGGAGGCACAAAATTGGAGGGTTCGCAGGGGATACCAAGACGCTCGCAGCTACCGCAAATAGGTTTCTTCTCATCGCATCGAGCGTGGCGGGCTTTGCAAGTGTTGCTATGAAAACATTAGCTATCAACTATGTCTAAAATATTGATCTGGGTCTTTCAGACCATCCTGAGCATCGAATAAGCGGACAATTTAGGTATGTGGGCAGTCATCTCAACTACCTGTTTTACGTCGGGCGCCACCTCTTCTCCTCTTCTTAGAAGCCGTAGAGTGTTCAGTCATTGTGATGGAAGGTTTTTATTGTTCGATAGTAAGATTAGTCGCGTCGTCCGAAAAGATGATGGCGCTCTGCATCTTAAGTGGTAGGCGCGCGCGCCATCGTTAAAAGACAGGATTGAGATATGCAGTGATGGGGTTTCTATCAGAATTGAAGAACTAAATAAGCAGCGGAATGACATACATGTCACAAGATGGTGGCATAAAGATTGTGATACTCAGAGTTGGCACGTCGGAAGCACAGTCATGGACTAACGACCTTGAACGGCCAATCAACGTGGGTGTCGCCAAATCACCCCACCTTTCCATCTCGTCGAGCTACTTTTATCTACATCATCGTTGTACCATATGAACTGATCCAGATTTACTCTGACTACAAGGAACAATTACCTGCTTCTTTAGAGCATCTCAAATCATAACAATCACTGTCACCGCTTCTCTCAAATTTGGCTACACATAGATTGCTCGACTGGCCAGGATATCATCGTTGAACAGATAAGATAACGAATCTATTATTGTTCTCGAACCGAAATCGCATTACATTCACTCGACTTTGTTTTATCATCAATTAGAATTCTCGAATCATGAAGTCACTGGTGATTCATCCGCCTCTCCTGAATTCTGCGAACCCGTGGTGTTCCACTCTTGAACAGCTCGAGGAGCTTTATGCATCCCCTCACACTGGAGCCGTCACGACCCGCACTTCGCTACTTGAGGGTTTCCCTAACGATGAGTCCATACATCAATTTGCTTTCTACAATCCATCTACCCACGAGGCAGCGACGCCAAATAAGGATCGTACCGACCAGACTGGCGAAACCGGCAGCTTAAACACATTGGGGTATAGTCCTACTCCATTAAGAACGTACCTGGAGTTTATCAAAACGATCTCTGACCGCTTGAACGACGAGAAGCACTATAAGCCATTTATTGTATCCGTGACAGGTAGTGTAGAAGATGTGGTGGAGTGTTATCAGCTTATCAGCGCGCATCAACGCAATGTCCGCATGGTCCTAGCGATGGAGGTCAATCTTTCATGTCCCAACATTCCGGACAAACCACCACCAGCATACGATTCCGCCTCGCTCCTCTCCTACCTTTCAGCACTTAAAATCGAAGTTGGGAAGCAGCTGGGCTCCACTGCACAATCCGAGCATCATAAAATCCACGTACCGATTGGAATCAAGACCCCTCCCTATACATACCACGATCAATTCAAGAACATGATCGAAGCATTGCGTTCGTCTGCAAAACTTGAGCCACAGAATCTGCCATGTCCTATTTCATTCATCACGGCCACAAATACTTTGGGCTCGTCTTTACTGCTCACTCCTACCATCGAATCGGCCCAATCCCCAGGAGGATCAAAGGAACGGGAAGTCTTCCACCACACTCTGAATTCCGCCACAGGAACCGGAATCGGCGGACTCGCTGGAGCGCCATTGCATCCGCTTGCACTCGGAAATGTGTATACGATCAAAGGGCTGTTGTTTCAGTACTCTGAGCTAGAGCATATTCAGATCATTGGTATTGGTGGGGTCGAAGACGTCAATGGGTATCAGAGGATGCGTGCTGTAGGTGCAGCGGCGGTTGGTGTTGGTACTGCTTTGGGAAGGAAAGGTGTTCGTGTTTTCGAGGAAATTGGCGAAGCGTTACAGAAAGGTGGCCATTAGGCCAGATAGGAATGTCATGGTGTGAGTGGATCTCGAATCTCTCAACATTAAAGCATTGCTCTGGCCTCTTTTAAAAGACATTGTATCATTGTAGGCTGGCTGAGAAAGCCGGATAAGGGATACATCTTCTTGCGTCTTACATTATTATAGTGTTCTTAATTGCAAGTTCTGTTTACATGATTAATGATATTTTTATGCCTATGAAGGTACGTCGTGGCAGGAGTGTCCTATTACAAAATTACTTTCATGAATGCCGGTTTGGCTGTCCCTCATCTCCTACTCTTTCGTGCTTGTTGTTCGGTCACATCAACGGAGGCATGCATATATGTTCAATACTCTCTTCGACTACCCGCTTCAATCTAATTCTTATGATTTAACGAGTTGTTTTCGACGATTGTGGATTTATGTTTTTAAGTACCTAAGTACCTGGGCGGCCTTTTGTAGCATTGACACATGTAGCAATCGATACTTGTGTATACATTGGTATTGAGTATCTTAGACCCATTTTGGTGACCAAAAGCTGATATTCAGCAGCAATGAAACAGCCTCTTGTTTCCTTGATTGCCCAGAAAATTCCGAATCTCTAAGTATAAAAAAAGAACAGTATGAGTTCGCAGATCATTGACGTTGTACAGCTCCATGCTCGCTAGTACCGAAGGGGAATAGCCATTTTGATACAGGACTCGGTTCCGGATCATCATGTCGGCGAAAGCGAACCCCCACCTTCTCATTCACCCGCCGCGGTTAACTTATCAGTTTGTTTGTATTGTCCTCGTACATTACACAACAGCGGGCACCTGCCCACCTACAATCGGATCATTCCTACACGCATATATACCTTCATTTTCCGCTTCCCCTCGAGAGACAAGGCAATCGCAATCGAAGCCCACCATGGACGACTTTGCGAGCGAAACAGACAGCGATTACACGAGCTACTGGCGGGACTGGGTACGTACACACACTTTGCTTCGCAACACAAGCGCACTTTTCTACAGAACATCGGAAGCAACACATCAAACATGATAAAATATATCAGCATGGTTAGTCAGAGGATCGCCTGTCACTCAAAGAGCGACACCCGTTGCATGAGACCAAGCCGCATTGCTGCCCATCATGCACTTATATGGACAGCGGTACCCAGCACGTCGCTACGCGGTGTCCTTCCCCGATGATGAACTCGAACTGTTTCGCTGCCGATCGTCCTCTCGAATAGAAATGGTGATATTCAAACCGAATGATTAGCCGTGTGCTTCGTTGTTTTCTCGTCAACGGTAGACGGATCTTTCGATAGCTAATAAGATGACTATAGTTCATATCCTCCCGCGGCAATGAATACTTTTGCGAGATCGACGAAGAGTACCTCACCGACCGGTTCAATCTTACGGGCCTAAACACCGAAGTTACATACTACCAATATGCGCTGGACCTTGTGACGGACGTATTTGACTTCGACTGCGATGATGAGATGCGGGATCAGATCGAGAAGTCAGCACGGCACCTGTACGGACTGGTGCATGCCCGCTATATCGTGACGACAAGAGGTCTTGCAAAGATGGTATGTAACGCTACCACCCTTTCACCTGTCCAACACCGCTAACACACTGTCATGATAGCTCGAGAAATTTAAGAAATCCGACTTCGGCAAGTGCCCACGTGTTATGTGCGAAGCGCAACCTCTCCTCCCCATGGGCCAGTCCGACGTGGCCAATGCGAGCGCCGTGAAGCTCTACTGCGCCCGCTGCGAAGACCTCTACAACCCCAAATCCTCGCGACACTTTGCCATCGATGGTGCCTACTTCGGTACCTCATTCCATAACATCCTCTTCCAGGTCTACCCGGCGATGCTGCCCCCAAAGAGCCAACGGCGGTACGAACCCAGGGTGTTTGGATTTAAGATGCATGCCAGTGCTGCGCTGAGCAGGTGGCAAGCCGAGCAAAGAGAAAGTATGAAGGATCGGTTGAAGGCAGCAAGGATCGAAACGGGGTTCGAGGATGAAGATGAGGAGGCAGAGGGAGACAGTGAGGAAGAGGAGGACGAAGAGATTTCCGAGGAGCTTCACGCACAGATGGTAGGAACCGTTGCCGCGGCAGTCGTGCAACGACATCTCCAACAGCAGCATCAGGATGCCCTCGGCCAACAACGCCTCGGTGGGCAGCAATAGGAACTCAGGATGAAGCAGGAACTGCGCCACCGTCAGAGATAGAGGGTGCAACAATCGTACAAATATGTTTCAAAACAGGCGAAGGACCATGACTGGCTTTGCATGAACAGCGACACGGTAATAGGAAAATGGAGGACTGTTGTTACTCTTCCCCCGACCCAGTCAGTCACCCTGCCATCTCAAGGAGGCGGAGACACGAAGGCAACAAACGAAAGGGAAACAGGCAGACAGAATTTCCTCGGTTCGCAAACGATGCTCACATTTGCCGGCGAAATCAAAGGCGTTTTATAAGGCGAAGAACCCTCCCATCATCCATTCACATACTTCGTTTTAAGCCTACCCTTTTTTGTTTTGATAGCATTGGGATTTTCTTTCTCGCCGAAGAGGAAGAGGAGGAGGAGGATGAAGAAGAAGAAAGGAAGAAATTCTGCTGAACGTAACAATGATTTAACGTTCACATTAAATGACTTACTGCTTGACTGAACAACCGTTCGCCTCACTCTTCTGAAACGTCATCGTTCCATATATTTCACTATCATTCCCCCTTTCCCTTCACTCTCCCCGCAAATGTAAACCAAAGGAATACCAGAGCCACCACGGCCGTTCTCCCTTCCCCCACAGGTGACGAGAACACAGACAGACACAAAACGTACATCAACCATCATTTTCTTCCCCCTTTAAGCCACCGAATGGGCACAACGGAAATGATAGCCCCCCTATCCCTCCCTTGCCATCTTCATGTCCCTATTCTCCCATACGAGACAACAAAAACTCACAGCTCGCAGACTGCATGAGAGCGAAGAGAGATAATGGTGTTTGTCCTTTCAGCAGAGACTTGGACCGTCGAGTCCTCTTTAGCTCTATGTACTCTGTCTCCTTTCCTCTCTTCTACACGAAAGTAAAGACATAGAAAGGGTTTTGGTCACTGTGTTCAGATGGGAAGATCGTATCATTTGACACTCTCACATGCATGATAGGAAAAGCAAGTAGTAGCGGAAGTAGTACCTAAATTCTAATCGATCTCTACACAACAACAACAATAATCCGCTCAAGATAACTGTTTCCGCCGTTTCAACTGTCTTGATTCTTCTTGGTTTATACAAGTCGAGTTGACGCCTATGAAAAAAAAGAGGCTCGCCACCTTATCAATCAAATCGAATCAACACACCTGTTCCCACTTTCCCCAACGCCCTCGCCATGCATGATGTAGAAGGAGGTAAGATGGGGGACAGGAGAGAGACAAGCGCGTTAAGCAAAGCAAAGCAAAGCAAGAAAGGTAGAAGAGTTGATGGGGGAAGCCAGAAAGATGTGAGAGAAGTCCTTTAGTGGCAAGATGTATATATTGATTGGAAAAGTGTTCCCTGTGGTGGGAATAGAAAAGGGATCGCTGAGCGCGCGCGAAAAGCAAGAAATACAAGCAAATAAGCATCATAATCGCCAACAAACTTTGAAACAGTTAAAAGCCAGAAAAAAAATAACAGCATCGTCGTCCATCATGAAATAAAAGTCATCAATCCAATCCGTCGTCAGAAAAATATAAATCGTACTCGTCCTCGTGTTCTTTCTTTAGAATATCTTCTTGAACCAACTTCCCCTCTTTCCGCCGGCGTTCTCAACGGGCGGCGCGGGCCTTCCGTCCCACGTCCTAACGGGCGGTGCCTCGCCCCCGTACCCGTCAGGCGCGTACGTCTTCCTCCTGCTCTTCTTCTCCGCTCTCTCCTCGTCAACGGGTGCGCCTTCGAAGTACGAGCGTCGGCGGTGATGTTTACGATCGCGCTCTCGGTCGCGGTCTTTTTCTCGCTCACGCTCGCGCTCCCCCCGATCGCGCTCCTTATGTTGTTTCCTTATCTTGCGGCGGATCTCTTCATCTGCCGAGGGAGATTCTTCGTCTCCCAATCCACCAGGCCCGTCTCGAGTGCCAGGGGCGGGGTCGAGCACGGTTTCGGCGACGGGGACAGGTAGTGGGGGTTCGTTGGAAAGAGACTCGACCCAAGATGAAGTCTTGTCGCCACCCTTGGACAGGTAAGGGGTGTTCTCGTCTTCCTTTGAGCGGTCGTGACGGCTTCGGTGGCGAGAGCGATGGGCCGAACCGTTGCGTTCGTCGAAGTAGTCGTTGATGGGTTCTGCTGCGGGGTCGCCTCGTTTCGAGGCTCGTCGTTCTTCGCGGCGACGGCGACGTTCTTCTGGGTCTTCTTCTGCGTGAGAACGGCGACGTTCAGTATGAGGACGGGAGCCTTCGCGAACGCTTTCCTTGCGGCGGGAACGGTGCTCTCGTTCCTCGGGGACCTTCCGTTCCGATCGTGCGGCTCGGCGCTGCTTCTTCTCCTCCATGCGGCGAAGTTCAGCTTCAGCTTCCTTGTTGCGACGCTCAAGCTCTGCCATCTGCCGGGCCTTCTTCTCAGCCAGGACGGTGCGTTCCTTCTCGCGCTCGCGTTCTCGTCGACGTTCTGCTCGAGCCTCGACGTCTTCTAGATCGCCACTGCGGCTCATACCTCCTTCCCTCTCAGCATGTCGTCGTGCCCTGCGCTCTGCGCGTCTTGCCTCGCGATCGGGGTCAAGTTCGTTACTGCCGGTCGCGCCGGCGACGCCCTCAGGAACGTCCACATCGGGTGTAGGCATCGTGGAATGGCGACGAACGCCTCGCCGGTCGTGGCGCAAACGCTTCTCGTCCTCGGTCGCAAAGCCACGGTTCGAAGATTGTTTTCGTCGCCTACGTTCGTCTTCCGTTTCGTAGGCGGTTCTGCGACGGTCGCGACGGTCTTCTTCCGGTGGAGCTGTCTTGCGCTTTCCGAAACCGAACCTACTCATCAGTCCACCTGCAGCCACGGCAGCAGCTGCTGCTGCGCCGGCACTACCAAGTGAGTCTTTAGTATTAGAGTAGCCGCGCTCACGACGATTGCGCTCGCGGCGCGGAGGTTCAACAACAACAGGTTCAGTATCCATAGGGTCGATGTCAACGTCAACGGGATCGTCGGCACTGGGAGGAGCAGTCAATGGTTCAGCTGGGGTAACTGCAGCAGAATCACGCTTGGACCGGCGGCGGGACGACGACTCTTGCATGGGAACTGGAGTTGGCGAGGGGGGCGCAGGCTCGTCCAATGGCATGTCCATGTCATCGTCGAGGGGGTCGAGGGGGTAGGGATCCGGCACAGCTGCAGCACACATGGGGTTAGCTCCAATCTCGCGCTGACCACTCGTTCTTCTAGAACTGCCTGGAATATGTGTGGAGTTGAACGGCTTACTCTTACCTCTTGATTTGCCCTTGTCTTTGGTGCTGCTAGAATGCCTGCTGGCTGACCCTCGCATTCCCATTACCTTTGCTGCCTTGGTGGACACTTTTGGTTCAGTGTCAGTCTGGGGCGGCGACATCATTGCCGCATCCTCGTCGAACGATGCTCGGCGCGAGAGGGTCTTCGGTGTGGCCGCTGATGTCTTTCGCGACTTGGTGCGAGATGGCGGCGGTGGTGCTCCAAAAAGTGCGCCGAAGCCCGTCGAAGTACGCTGTGGTTTACTCCTTGAAGGAGTCTTTGCTACCTTGATAGATCCAGACGATCTCGACATCATGTCCCTCTCTCCCCCGGACGTTGTCGAAGGAACGCGCGCACTCTTTGTACGTTCGAGCTTTGGTTTTGCAGGAGATGCGGCAGCGCTGGTACTGTCATCGGCAGACACCTTTCTTGTAGACTTTTTAGATGATGCTGCTGCAGCTCCAGTGGCAGCTCCCCAGAAACCCCATGAGGATCCAGTCGCATTGCGAACAACTTTAGTACGATCCTTCTTTGGCGATTCTGTTTTCACTTCCTCTGGAGGGGGAGTGGGAAGTTTGTCTGCATCTCCCTCTTCTGCGTCCATGAACTCAGGTTCGTCTTCGATAGGCGCAGGCTCAGGTTCCGGCTCTGGCTCCGGCTCCTCTTCAATGGGTGGAGGAGGCGGTGGCGGCGGAGGTGGAGGCTCTTCCTCAATGGGCATTGATCTTGATGACTTGCTGCTATTCTTGAGCTTTTTCGACTTCTTGTCGACCTTAACAACGACAGGCTCGGGCTCAGGCTCAGCTTCAAGTACAGGTTCAGGCTCTGGCTCGACTTCTGGCTCGGGAGGCGGAGGAGGTGGAGGCGGCGGAGCTTCTTCAACGGGTAGAGACCTAGATTTGCTGCTCTTCTTGAGCTTCTTAGATTTCTTGTCTACCACGACTGGTTCAGGTTCCTGTTCTGGGAGAGCATCCTCGAAGTTCATGAGATCTTCGTCGTCTCCAGGGAAACCACCTGGAACAGGCGATACTTTGGGAGGTTCAGCTGGCTCAGGGTCCGGTTCTGGAATCACGATGGTAGCTTCCTTTGACTTTGACTTTGAGCTCTTGCTACTTTTTTCCTTCTTCTCCTTCTTTTCTTTTTTGTCCTTTTTCTCCTTCTTCTCCTTCTTGGGTGTAGCCTCGATGACCTCGACAGCTGGTGGCTCTGGCTCTGGCTCTGGTTCCGGCTCTGGTTCTGCTGGTGGTTCCTCGGGTATGGGTTCATCGACCGGCTCACCATGCAAAGCCTTGAGTCGGTCGAGAATTAGACTTCCCTTCGCAGCCTTCTTGAGTGATACTGGGGGTGGTGCATCGTCAAGTAGATCCAAGGACCTTTTTGGCTCCTCGTCTAGTAATGAAGGGCCGTCATATGGCTTATCAAAGAGGGTGTCCTGTTTGACTTCGGGCTTTTTGGTCTTGCGCAGCGAGATACCCCAAAAATTCCCACCAGCGTCGTCCTTTTTGGGTTCCTCCTTTTCGAATTCCGCAAGAAGATCTGTCGCGGGGACGTCTTTGACGAGATTGAATAGCTCGTCGTCAGGTGTCGAAGTAACGGGTGGCACGTCGTCGTCAAGGAACCTGCTCTTTATCTTATTTCGCCTCTTGGGTGGCCCCGCGGCTTCTTTCTCAGCAGCAATTCTTGCAGCTTCGGCAGCTTCAGCGGCTGCGGCCTCCTCAGCCTCCTTTTGAGCCTTCTCGGCGGCTTCGGCGGCTTCAGCAGCTTCTTTAGCCTCCCGCTCCAATCTCTCCGCTTCCTCGCGCTCTTTGGCCTCCTTTTTCTCGCGAGCCCTCTTTTCTTTGGAGGTTTCTTTCTTCTTACTCGAGCCCCAGATACTGCCCCAACCACTGCTCTCCTCTTCCTTCTTTTTCGCAGCGGCGGCGGCCTCTTCGGCTTCCTTGGCCTCGCGCTCTATTCTTTCCTGCTCCAGACGTTCTTGTTCAAGGCGTTCTTGTTCTTCTCGCTCTAGACGCTCCTTCTCTTCTCGTTCGAGGCGTTCTTGTTCCTCGCGCTCCGCCTGTTCTTTGGCTTCACGCTCACGCCTCGCCCTGGGCGTTTCCTTCTTCTTCCCCCAAAGGGCAGCACCCCAGCCACTGCTCTTCTTTTCCTCTTCCTCCTCTTTTCTTCTCCTCTCCTCCTCTTCAGCTGCAAGTCTGGCTTTCTCGGCCTCCTCTTCCGCGATCCTAGCGGCTTCGGCGGCTTCTTCTGCCTCCTTAGCTTCTTGAGCTTCGCGTTCAAGGCGTTCAGCTTCTTCCTTCTCCCTAGCTTCGGCTTCCTCCTTCTCTTTCGCCTTGGCTTCCTCTTTCTCCTTCTTTTCGCGGGCCTTCTTTTCCTTTGACGACTCCTTCTTGGACGACTTGAGACCTCCTAGTAGACCCCAGCCACTCTCTTCTTTCTCTTTCTTCTTCTCCTTCTTCTCCTTCTTTTCCTCTTTCTCCTTCTCCTCTTCGATTGGTGGCTCGTCCAAGTTGATCAGATCGTCCATTGCAGACTTGGTAGATTTGGAGGTGGAATCTTTGGTAGTCGTCTTGCTAAGCTTACCGCCATCTTCTTCGCCCTTCTTTTTCTTCTTTTTAGAAGAGGTCGGTACGCCCCAGATGTCATCGACCTCTTCCTCGGCAGGAGGCGGAGCTTCAATCTCTTTCATGGGCGGCAAGTCGAGTAGATCGTCGCCGGGCGATGGGGAGAGAAGGGAGTTCTTTTTACTCTTCTTCATTTTCTTGCCGACGTTGAGCGCTGCGCTGCCCCAAGGGTCGTCAATGTCCGGCTGTTGAACTGGAGTTGAGTAGTCTTCTTCTTTGACCTCAATGGGCATGTCTTTGGAGCTCTTCTTGGTTTTCTTCTTCCCAAAACGAGTACCGAAGTTGTCATCATCTTCGCCTGTGGGTTCCTCAACACCATCAGGGCCCTGAACGTCGATGGAGGCATCTTCAACCATGGGATCAAGTTCTATAGGCGCCGCCTCTATCGCCTTTTTCTTCTTCTTTCCTCCCCAGATGCCGAAACCCCAGCTGTCGCCGTCATCCTTTTCTTGTTCGGGTTCAGGATTAGCAACTGGTTCAGGCTCAGGTTCAGGTACAGCTGGTGGCGGAGGTTCTTCCACGACTCCCTTCTTGCCCTTCTTTTTCTTGCCACTAGTCGTGGTAGCACCCCAATCACCCCAACCGTCATCGGCAGGCTGCTCTTCAACCGGGGCGGGCTCGGGTTCAGGCGGTGGAGGGGGTGCCTCCTCGACATCCTTGCCTTTTTTCTTCTTTTTCTTCTTGTCCGTTGCGCCCCAATCGCCCCAGCCGTCATCGGCCGGTTTCACTTCGACAGGTTCAGGTTCGGGCTCAGGTTCAGGCTCTGGTGGTGGAGGCTCTTCTACTTCCTTGCCTTTCTTCTTCTTCTTTTTCTTTTCGGTGGCTGTAGCGCCCCATGCTGAAGCCCCCCAAAGATCGTCGTCCTTCTTCTTGTTTTCGGCAGCTTTGGCGGCTTCGGCAGCTTCTGCAGCAGCGGCCTCAGCGGCTTCAGCTTCAGCTTTAGCGGCTGCTTCCGCCTCTGCCTCTGCCTCCGCCGCTGCCCGAGCCGCAGCTTCTTCACCAGCAATCTTAGCTGCAGCCTCCGCGGCATCTTGAGCATCCTTTCTCCTCTTCAGCTCCTTCTTCTTCTGGCCCTTGCTCATACCTTTTGCCCAGCTCTCATCATCAACAACCTCGACCTTCGGAGGTTCAGGCTCGGGCATCGGCTCGGGTTCGGGTTCAGGCTCTACAACGGGTTCAGGCTCTGGTGGTGGGGGATCTGGTTCCGCATCCTTGCCCTTCTTTTTCTTCTTTTTGCTTGTAGAGGTGAGTGCTCCCCAACCGTCATCGATGGGTACTTCCTCTACAATGGGAGCGGGTTCGGGTTCAGGTGGTGGCGGTGGTTCCTCCTCTATGGCACCCTTCTTGCCCTTCTTTTTCTTGGTCGTGGTGGTGGCACCCCACGAACCCCACCCATCATCTTCATTGACGGGTTCAGGGTCCGGTTCTTTGGCCGGCTCGGGTTCGGGCGGAGGTTCTTCAACACCACCTTTCTTCTTTTTCTTCTTATCCTTGGTGGAATTGCCAAAGGAGAACGAACCCCAAGCATCGTCTTCCTGCGGGGCCTTCTCTGGCTCTTTCACGGGTTCGGGTTCGGGTGGAGGAGGCTCTTCAGCAGCACCCTTTTTCTTTTTCTTCTTATCCTTGGGGGCATTTCCAAAACTGAAACCCCAAGCGTCGTCCTCGGGTGGCTTCTCTTCCTCAGCCGGCTTAGATGCCTCAGTCTTAGAACCTTTAAATGCGTCGTCAAAGTTGAAGTCGTATCCCTCCTTCTTGTTCTTGCTGTCCTCGGATCCCCAGGGATTCCCGTCTTTACCTGCCTCTTTGTCTTTCTGATCGCCGTCTAGCCAGCTACTTGTCTTAGAACCCCAGCCGGAAGCCCAACTACTTAGACCGCCGCCAAAGAAACCTGATGATTTAGTATTTCCGGAATCCTCAAAATTCATATCAATCTTAGGCGCAGATTCGTCGTTGAGGTTGATCTCGTCGAATGTTGTTGGGGGTGGTGGTGCGACTGGTTCAGGAGGGGGTGGAGGCGGTACTGGGTCAGCTGCCGCCGCCTATCGTGAGTGAGGGTTAGCGAGTCGCAACGTGGAATTAAGCAGCCGAAATTACGAACCTTCCCCTTTTTCTTCTTCTTCTTCCCCGTAGTGGCCACCGCTCCCCAATCGTCCGCGGCGGCAGCTTTGGCGGCTTCCGCAGCGGCGGCGGCTGCTGCGGCTGCATCCTCCTCTTCCTTCTTCTTGCGCTCGGCTTCCTCCTCCTCCTCCTTTCTCTTGCGCTCGGCCTCCTCTTCCTCCAGTCTCTTCCGTTCTGCCTCCTCCTCCTCCTCTTTCTTCTTCCGCTCGGCCTCCTCCTCCTCTTCTTTTCTCTTCCGCTCTGCCTCCTCCTCTTCTTCCTGTGCCTTCTTACCTTTCTTTTTCTTCTTCTTCCCTGTGGCCTCTACAGGTGCTGCATCCCCGTTTTCATCCCCTCCCCCACCACCTCCATCTCCGCCCTTGTCCCCTCCACCATCCCCGCCATCACCACCACCCCCTGCACCACCGTCTCCGCCGTCGGCCGGAGGGTCACCTCCCCCACCTCCATCATCTGCAGGTGGTGGATCTGGTTCCTTCTTTTCCTCAACAGGTGGCGGAGGTGGCGCCTGCGCCGCCTTTCCCTTCTTCTTCTTCGCATGCGATTTGACACCGTCTTCGATAAAGCCGAAGTCGATATCCGCATATAAAGATTTCTCGTCGAAGAACAAGGAGGAGCTAGGAGAGGTATCGCAGCTTATCCGCAAGCAGTTGGGGGCATCTGAGCAGATGGAAGGGTCGAGGGATGGGAATGGTGTGTAGCTTGGTGTTTGGGCGTAAGCCAAAGCATCGGTAGTGGTGTAGTCGGGCGGTAGGTCTGCGATTGTTTCATCGTAGGATGGCGGTGGGGTAATTTCATCGCTATGGGATGTTTGTGTCCAAAGTCCTGGTGCGGGCACTGGTGGCGGCGGAAGAGGCCCGGATATGCCAGTTGAGAGGTTGTGAATCTATAGATGATTAGAACAAATAAGGACAGGGCGTACATGGTCTCAAGACATGACTTGCGCGCAGCATCCAAACGGCAGAAACAGTCAAGAGTAACTGATAGCTATAGTGGAAGCGAGCGCGGGAGAGAACCGTGGAAATTTGCGACCAAAGAACAAACAAACAGTAGGTGCCGTCATACCGAGATTTGGGGACCCCGAGGTCTTCGTCTTTTTCCTTTGTCCATGTCGCGGCGTTCCAGCCGGTCGAGAGCACAACATATATCTTCCATTAGCCCAGTAATAGCTTCCCTATCCTCCTCATTACCATGTCGAACACTTTCGATGCCACTCTCCCAACATGTTACATCTCCAGAAGTATAGCCATCGTCCTCCTGTTGCCGCAATAATGATTTTTCAGACCCGCTGAAAGATGTGCGCTCAATCGACCCAGTCCCCAACGACCGCCGCTGGATCCTTGGTCTCGCATATTGTGCGGCGACGGCGGCGGGGTGTGAGCTGGCGGAGGGAGACATTCTGCGAGAGGCCCGAGTATCGAGAGGCGCGCAAGTGGGAACAGCAGGGCGGGGGAGGCGAGCACATGAGCTGCGATTGCGAGAATCCGCGAGGATTGGAAGAAGGTACGGTATGAAGAGGTTCGTATGCGTGTACGTATGCGTATGCGACTGCGATGGCGACCGCGCCCAGGTTGTGCGAGTACTGTTTTAGGCACACCGCACAGAGGACTGAGGTGGTGATCGACCCCGATGATGATAGTGGTTGATGCAATCGACCGGGGCGCAAAGCAGGTTACAAGGTCGCAATTCCCCGGAGGCGAGAGGAAAGCAGACCTGCGGAAGAAAGCGATGGCCGGTGCAATTCTGTTTGTCTGTCTCCGCAGGTATGGGGTGTAGGAGAAGGCGCAGCGGAGGTTGAAGAGTGGGAAAAAGCAGGGTTAGGATTAATCGGGGATAATGTTTGGGGGAGCAGTTGAGACTTGAGAGAGACTAGAGGGAGGAATGGGCTAATGGCGGGTAGAGCGAGAGATGCGCAATTGGCGGTTTGCAGTCTGCGGTCTGAGGTCTGCGGTTGGCGAGTGACCAATAACGAATGAAGAGAGAGGGAAGGGGTGTGTCTCGTGTGAATTGTGACGGTGGAGTGGTCACAAGGGACAACCAGTAATGCTGGTAATTGTAGGCGATGTCGAGGTTATAGTGGTGTACGGAGTAGGTGGGAGGTAGAGTACTAGTATGAGTTAAGAGGTAAAGAGCTTAAGAGGCAGAGTAAGAGTGTGTGGGCGGAGTGTTTTGAGTGGATTGGCGAGGTGGAGGAAGAGAACCCTGGGAGGTCATAAGAGGTTAGTCGGAGTTGATGGAGAAGCAGGGGAGGTAACGAAGGAAAGAAGTACTTGTAGCAGATCAACGAACCGACGAGGAAGGAACGAACGAACGTATTGTGAAGATACAAGTAGATATGTGCTTGACGGAGACGAGGGAAGGGTTGCCGTTGCATAACAAAGCCTTGAAGTCTTGTAAGGCAAGGGCAAGAAAGGGCAAAAAAGGGTAAAGCAAAGGCAAAGAGGAAGGGAAAGTGGTAACTATCGTAGGCTGATAACGGACGATAGGCGTTTCGCAAAAATAACTGACTGACCAGGGAGGAAGAACAAGAGCATGGGCCAGGTGCGTGTACCGGTAATGGCGGTGGAGGGAAGAATTAATGCACTGGAGATGGTGAATTATTCACATCCGTGAGGTCGGAATCTGCCAGCAGAGGATCATCGATTGAGGCTGAGGAAACAAATTGAGGATGGGAAAAAAGGGTTTCAAAAAAGATGGAGGGGTAGACCAGATAGAGGAATGGGAAAGAGGAAAAAAGACTGGAAGAAGACGAGACGACAAGAATGACGACGACGACCGGAACCTCTTCGGATTGGACAATTGGTGAGACCCTGGGGAAGAAATTGATGCGGTATGCGTGGTTGTGTACCGTATGTGTTGTGTAACGCGATGTTGTGCGTGGCGGCGGCGATGGAATCAATTGACCATGGGGAAGGGAGGGGAATCCTGTCCTGGGCTGGGCTGGAATTGGGTTTCGAAGCCTTCGAAGCGGTAAGGCAGACGTGAAGAACAGTGGAAATCGACGAAGACGAAGTTGACGATGCTTGAATTGAGTCCGGCCTTGGTTGTTGTGGTAGTGTAAGTGTAGTGTAGGTGTAAGTGTAGGTTAAGTGTAGGCGGAGGAGGGGCGATGCGGCGGTGATGGTGGAGCCTCTTTTGGCGGGAAAGCCAGCTGCGAGCGGTAGGGCGAGCGGATGGCAGGCGGCAGGCGGCAGATGGGCAGTCAGGCAGATCTGAATTGGATCTAGAGAAAGGCACTGCACGAATGGGTTATCGATGGTGGCAGGAGTGTCGGGATTGAGATGGAGAAATGTCAATAGGGCCAGAGATGGAGGGGAAGAATGAGGTAGGTGGGAGAGAACGAGGGTTGGAACAAGGATGAAGGTTGTTTGTTTGTACACACACCAATCCAGTTACATCCATATCCATATCCATATCCTCCACTATCCACAAAAACCATAACTACAACTATTGTGTATCCACGTCCTTGTTCACAATTCACAGTCTAGTAAAATGATACACGCACCGCGCCTAACCAGACTACACCAGACCACTAAAGGTAGACGTGGAAGGTATCCTCGACAACCAACATATGGACTTGGATTTGATGGAGCATGAGATGGATCATTTCTCCGTACAGTCCTAAGTTGAGTACTCGTAGTCTCGTACCCAAGAAGTATCTAAAGACAAAGCATGACTAGTCCGGACTAGTTAGACAATTGACATAATTCCCTCGACAGGACAGACCCGCAATAACAATTCCCTCCTTTCATTCATATTCTGTCTTGTGTATACTGTACATACGGAGTGCAGAAGAACGGAGACGGGCACGGAGTACACAGTACCTCATCATTACAATAAGTATCTAGTCACTGAGTGGGAGAGCGGAGGAATTCAAGAGAGGTCAAGCGGCCGCCGGGTGTGCAGAATCTGATACGCCTACCGTAATTAGCTGCTGCGGTTGCTGCTGCACATATATATGCATGTGCTTGTGTTGTCCTTTCCTGTTACTGTGTAGTAGTTACCTAGGTATGTACTTCGTATGTACGTATGTGTTGTGTATGTGTTGTGTATGTATCAAATTGCTGTACATATACCTGCCTGCATGAAGGCTTGACGGACCCTGGAACTTTGAAGTAACATGTGCGCCCTCACTCGAACTGCATCGTTCTCCCTCGAACTGACCTGATGGCGATGAAAGAAGTACAGTACAAAAGCCATCACAGATATACATTCATGTCTTGGATGAATCTGTAGTGCTTATTATGAACAACACAATTAGATCCACCCTCATCACCGGTGCATGGAACCTATGTACGAGGTAGGAAACTCGAGCTTTGATACTTAGCTCTCCATGATTCAACCCCCGGCAGTTTGACAGACCCCTGGGATCTGCGCCAGCTCTTCCTTTGTAACAAGGAGGGACCCCGCGGGAATCTCGAGCATTACGGAGTACTTATTTCTACATGTTCACAACCCCCACAAGGAAGAATGATACCCAAGAACCTCTGCAGCGACAAAGACAGTAGTAACGATTAACAACAACACCGAGTAGATTAGTGAATAGTCCACCGAGTAGACACAGCCCAAGTGTATTGTTTACTTTACCAAAACCAGTCCGCGGGGTGTCCGCAGCCAGCAAGCAAACGACAAACAAGTCTTCCCGCTGTCTTTCCGTCCAGCAACATCCGATGCTTGCAGACTACAGAGTTTTTCCGCCCTCTCATTTATGGCCCTCGCACAGGCAGACAATTTGCGTTTCTGCAATACTATTTGCGTTGCTGTGCTGTTGCTGTGTTAGTTGTTCCATTTGTTCACCGCCAGTTGCGAAGAAAAACATGATGTTTCCTTATGCAGCTAGCTGCACCCGAGACCACAATTGCCACGAACCAACACCGAGAGACTCAAGTACCCACTCCCACATCCACATCCACATCCACACCCCACTCGACGACATCGCCAACCGCCCAGCGACACGCGCCTCTTGAGACGGACTCGACCCGTCTCCGTCCTCGATCATGATCGGGAGGTTTTCTCCGGAATTGTAGCTGTTCTTGAACCTTCCATCCCCTTCTGTTGGCTTTCTCGTCGCGACTTATTTGGGTCGGAATGGGTACCTAGGGGACTTACGAGGTATGGTATGCCTGATGGGGTCGGCCGGACTGGGCTGGGCTGGTTGCTGGCCCTATGCACACCATGCCATGCTTTCTGCTGCACTACGGAAGGACACGAACACATGCGTCGAATCTACTGTACGTACATACTGTACGAGTGACCCTACGGAGGAAAGTACCTGCTCGCTGGCAGCCTTGCCGCCGCCATGCATTGTCATGCAGTCGATTGAATGCCCTGTCAACTTGGACCCCGCCATTGTTGAATCGGGAAAATACCCTCCACCAGACTCCGGTCGGTATTGACACACAGTCACACATGATAGCATGTTACCGGTTTGGTATATGATTTCCCAGACGTTCTGCTATCTGTGGCATCTGCTCACCTACTTACTTGGATGGTTTTCGTACTCTATGGAATCTTGAGATGAAGTGCTTGCGAGATGTTCATTAGATCTTTGTAACTATATTGGCGCTTCGTGCAATTGTCCAATGGATGCTCAGTGTTGACCAATAGCTTCTCGTGTCCTTCGTACTGTATGTACTGTGGTACGTACATATAAACTATATGTGAGATACACAAAATGAAAAAGAATCATTCCGCTAGTGTAGTCTTGGAGTTCTCTTCTATCGAAGGTGTAGTTGATAATGGTTTCGTTAGGACTGACCAGGAACATGCTATGCTATCTTTTTGTCCCTTATGACTGGTCTCGCCATGATGTTAACAGATATCAATTAGGGTATATAGTACTGTATTAGATATACGACGAGAGTTTGTGAACAATTACCAATCATGATTTTTCCAGTCTTACCTTTTCAACCAGATGCTTTTGAACCTTGTATCCCACCACAAACCGAAAACCTCAGAGACAGACAAGAAGAACCCAACACCAGATAACCCGTAAAACCCCAAGAACGCATCTCAACGAACCAGCCTCAGCCCTTCCCACCCACCCATCCCAGGGGCCTCATTCAACTCCTCCAAAAACGCCCCCAACGCGCTCCTCACATCACCCTCGGCCTCCCTCACCACCACCACCTCCCCAACCTCGAACCTCACGCCCCTCCCCACGAGCCCCCTCAACGGCTCCAAAAACCCCCTCTTCTCCTCCCAAACCCCCCAACTCGACGCATCCCTCAGCGAAACCACCACCACCCTCAAACCCCCCGCAACCTCCCTCAACAACTTCACCCTCTCCTCCACCCACCCTTCCATCCAATACGGCGTCGCTCCCTTGCCCCCAGCAGACCTCGCCTCCGCCCGCGCCTTCGTCAAATTCCAAACCAACATCAACTCCACCCTCCTCGCGCGCCGCACCATCGCAACCTCCCCCTCACACATCCCCTCGACCGCCCCGGCGGCCGACCCCAGCGCCGCGAACCGCAGCGTCGTGTGCCCATAGTGGTACGCGAGCACCTCGGCGTGGAGCTGGCGGCAGGTGAGGATGAGGGGGTGCGGGGGCGGAGTGTGGGACATGGAGGTTACGATTGCGGTGGCGGGCGTGGAGGCCGCGAAGGGGTAGCAGATTGGGGAGGGGCGGCTGTAGGGACGCGGTGTCAGGAGGTGGTAGATTGTTTGGCGGAGTTCGAGGGGGAGGGAGAGGAGGGGGGAGTGTTGGTTGTCTTCGTGGGGTTGAGGGGGGAGTTGGGGTGGGTGGCGTAGGGGGAAAGGTGATGGTGGTGGTGGTGGTGTGGATGCCATGATTGAGGACCTGGGATTGGGATGTGAGAGTGGTTTCCTGGGAGGTTTTGAGTTGAGTAGATTGTGTTGAGGTGGTTGAAGGTTGAGAAGCGAATCTTTATATTGAGGATGTGGTGGCACGTCCAGAAACCGAGTTGGTGGATATGCTGTTTGATAGAACAGTCTTGTTACCGTGGAGATCTTCCTGGATTTTCATCGTCAGTTCCGTTCCTGCTTGAATGAGATGGATAACTTTTCTTACTCTCAATTTTCTTACTCTCAATAACAGTGTTCCATGTACGAAGTGCTCCGTAGACTGCTTGTAGTAAATAATGTTGAATTCATTGACGTCGAGGGCTAGTGACGCGGTTAGCACGGACTTACGCACAGGCCACGACAAAATGTCCCGTATTGCAAGACGCGACGCGACACATCCACACCCAAGACAACCCTAACGACCGAGCAACCTCAACCCATTCTTCGCCCTGTCGCCGCAACCCCGCAGATCTGTATCACTAGCCATGAGCGCTCCCTATGACGACCTACGCATTGCAGACGAAGACAATGCTTCATAACACTACAAACCCCACACCTCGACCCTCCATTCTACCTACCAAAGGCGACCTCGAGCTCAAGCCCAAACTGCCTACAAAACGCAAGCGGGAGAGCATATGCGGCCTAGGAACCTTCAACAAACCTTTCGTGATCAAACCTTGTCCCGACTCTCCATACGCAAAACCCTCGACTTTCACTCCGATTCGAATCATTGGCCGCTCTCAGCTCCCTCTCACCTTCCTCGACACCACTTCGGACGACCAATTCACCCCCGGTCGGTTATTCTCCGCCCACATCGACATTCTCGAGCAGGACAGAGATGGACACGACATAGCTTCAGCAGTACCCAAGGTCCTGATCGCACGATATGAGACCAAAAGGACATTGTATGCCATTGAGCGTGTGCAACCCCGTGTTTACAGCCTCTGCAAGCTTGCAGGCTGGTTGAAAGAGAAGGATGTTGCTAGTCTTTGGGATCCCGCCAGTCTCACTCTATACCCGTCATTGCCGAAAGTCGTCACGTCTGGAGCAGTCACGACGAAATGGTGGGAACAAGCTGTTGTTCAAACCCAGCCGGATGAAAACGCTGCGAAGCGTGTGAGGTTGTCTATGTTCCGTCCAGCTGTCAAGCCTGTCGAGCCACCGCGGGAAGTCCCTGTGCAGGAAGCTGGGAACATTGAGAAGAGCATGTCCAATGATGCACCGAAGCTAGACGACACAGTCCCCGCTGAGTTTTCCGGAATGCCAATTGAAACTCCTTCGCCACAGCAATTGCTCGAGAATTTAGCACACCAGTATCTGGACGCGGTGTACTTGTCGAAGATGTCGCTGGCTTACTTCGCTAAAGGCCCCATCACGAGAGTACGCAATGCGTTCACGTCTTCGGAGGAGGGAGCCCCACCAACACACGAACTGGTCACTTCACTACGGACAATGCTGCTTAGCCACAAGGCGAGCGACAAGAAATATCGCGAGAAGCTGCCCGAGGTGATCAAGGCCATTCTACCAGGGTCATTTTCGGATGATGAGCTGGAGACTGCCGCGAAGCCAAAGAAGTCAAAGAAGAAGATGAAGCTTAACCGGAGCGGCATTTACCCCCAGGAGGAGCTGGTCATTCAGAAGTGGTGGAAGTCTGAGATGCGCATGCCTGAGGCTTATGGCGAGGAGACGATGGATCAGAGGATCAAGAGACGGATAGGAGATCTACGCGTGAGAGAGACACTGGCACAGATGATTATTATGTTAGAGATTGTCGCTCTTGAGGCCCTATCAACATACAAAGAGCCCACCGAGGAAGGCGAGGGAGAAACTCAGGAAGAAACACAAGGCCAGGCGGAGAGCCAGGCGGCCAAACCGAAGAAACGGAAAAAGAAGCTAGACGATATCAATCTTCAGCTTGATCTTCTCCTCGACAAGCTGTGTATCTGGCAGTCGGTCGACCAAGAAGGAATCTTGGATTTCGACAGCAAGAATGCAAAGAACGAGGACCCAACAGAAGGTCCCGGCAAAAACGAGAACAGTGACAGATTGCAAAGCTTCTGCGTCGAAGTCATCGTCCCTTTCTACATGAGGAGACTTCCAGAGCAAGCACGGATGATCAACAAGAAACTAGGCGGACCAGCGTCCTCGACGCCATCGAAACGAAAAGCAATGAGGCCCCCAATGCCCTCACGAAAATCTGGAGAACCCAAGGAGCCAGATGTGAAGAAATCGCGTCGCTCACTTGCACGTGTCGCTACTGATACAACGGGCCAAACTGGACAGCGCAAGCCGACGCCATCCCTGGCTCGGTCTACGACGGACTCGGCCTTGTTGACCGATATCAAGCGGGAGGGAAGTGAGGTGCCACTATCGGCCATACCCTTCCAGCGAAGTCCCTCACAAGCAGCTCGCCGTTCGATGTCTCACTTCAATCACCTCAAGGGCCGACAAGTTGACCTGAGTGCACCATCAGCCGCAGCTGCCGCCAAGATCCAGCAAAAGAAGCGCGTAGAAGACGAGGTGAAGGAAGCCATAGCAGCATTGAAGAAGCCTAACAGGGGACTTGCAGTGGGAGGCTACGTGGACGACATGGAACGACGAGGTCTAGGCGTAGCCACCAAGTCTTCGAGGAAACCGACCAACACGGTCCGAAAAGTAGTCAAGGACGTACAAGTCAGCGCAACGCCCCGAGTAGCCAAGAGAACGAAGAACGTCATCGAGCAAACCCCCAACAACCACCGCAACCCATTCGTCCGAGAACGCGACTTCGACGCCATCCCCTCGAGTTCATTACGAATCCCCTCCTCGGGAGTCCGCTCAATGGGTTCCATAGTCCCAGGAACTGTCCAGCGAAGCACAGCAAGTCGCAAACAGCCCGTCTCCGGCATCGCAGAGACGCCTTCCAAGGCCCCGAACAACAGATCCTTCTCGTCCGGAGCGATCCCTGGACCCGTCTTCGCGACGCCCGTCAAACACAGAGCCGTGAGTCCACCGCTACCTGAGAAGATCGCGTCCACGCCCGCGGCAGTGCTGGCCACGCCGAACAAAGTGTCCTTCGCCATTCCTTCCGGTCCGTCCGGGTTCACACCGCAACCTGTATTTACGACTCCAACCAAAGAGCCTCCGGCGGCAATGGCAGCAGCAACGACGATCGGGGAGTCGCCTTTACCTTCAGGCCCCTCGAAGCAGCAGAGTAAAAGCATCACGGGGACCCAGCCTTCTATATACGACGCTCTTGGCTGGAACGACGATAACGACATTGATGATATGTTTTGAGCGACAGCAGTCTTTCTTTCTTCTACTACTACATTAAGCATTGTGTATGATTGGACTGAATTGAACGGGAGAGGAGGGGATCCGGTATTTTGTTTGTTAGTTCGAATGGGAGAGGGGGGGGGGGGGGGGGGGGGTTGTGAATATTTTGCATTTTGGAAATTCTTGCATGAGCATTTTGAAGCATTGGCATTGGCATTAGCATAGCGACGGGCGAACAATCAACCAGGCAGTACGCAATGAAAGCATCTTTTTATCCACTCATTCTGTGCATTCTTCCAAGAATCCATCTTCAAATTGAACATTACACGCCATGATAGCATGCAGTTCTCATAACGAGAGTGTTGAGACAGAAAATCAACTATACCTATAGGAAATGGATGTAGTCTATAGCATGAACCCGCATAACGAACGCCAGATGGGGAACGGGCAACGGGGAACGGGGGAAAGGGAATTACGCGTTATTGCTTGCATGCATGCATACACGGAAAGCTGAGCGGGAGACGCAATCTTGGATACTATTCACCGGGATTGCCATACCTGGTAGGGTATGTGTGGATGTCTTAATTAATGTAAGGAGAGGAATGGATGGGGGTGGGTGTCGGTCGCGTGTTGTGTCGGCACGCGACACGTTCGAACGCGTGCTGTGCTGCTGGGGTAGACGGTACCCCATGATTCCATCCTGACTGCTTGATGGAAAATTGATCCCCAGTGTCGGTGATGAAGAGATAGTATATGGATTGTTGGAAGTATCCTCGGATGAATAGATCAGCAGACAACGACTGTTAAATTACTACAGACAGCCACCAAACCAGACCAGTAGCCAGACCAGCAGCCAGCCAGCCAGCCGTTCAACGCCAACGTCTCTTCCAACGACAACGCCAACGATCCAACCCGCCCGATGAGAACTACCGTCCTACTCTCTTAGCACCATCCTCACCCATCGGATCAAGTAACTCTCAGAGCACAGTCCTCCCCCCATCTCCCTCCATCTCCCTCTCAATCTTTCTATCTCAAAAGACAAAAAATAGGGGAACCAACCAATCAAGACCCCCGGAACCGCACGGGCCGCCCAACGGAGAAATACCAGAAAAGTTGTGGTTGAGATTAATGTGGGTAGTTTACAATAGGGCCCCTTCGCAGTCCTTGTTAGAATGGATGGGATGGGTAAGGGCCGGGGCGATCCATAGCCTTAAGGGGAGTTTTTGGTTTTAGGGGATTGGGACTGTGGACTGGTGGGTGCACTTGGGGCAAGGTGGGAGGGAAATAGGATAGGGAAAAGCCCCTAATATGGCGGCGCGGGTGGTGGGCGGGTGGCTCACGTAGACAGGCGAGGACTTGAGATTGCATAGCGCGGTGAGATGAGATGAGATGGGATGGTGTTCAGTTATTTGATAGACATGGAGAAGGTGGTATGTATGTGTATAAGAGTGGGAGTATGGGTTCGGGGTGTTGCAATGGAATTGATTAAGGGACGGAGGGCTGGACATTGATATGCCATGCAGGCATTTGATTCGTCGAGTCCGAGTCCTGTACCTGAGCACATGAATGACGAATGGCGAGAGAGAAAGAGAAAGGAGTACCGAACTACGGAGTACGAGGTAGAAAGTAAGGAAAAGGAAGAGACCAGAAGTGAAGAGAAAAGAGAAGAGAAGCATAGAAGAAGGATTGCATGGTGAACAGTAGGAGTGCATCATTGAGTTGGTGTCCATTGCCCTATATACTGTTACTGTTATACATACTCGTACTATCGTTCTATCTCATTTCCTTTCACAATTTCATTTCATCTCCAGAAAACTTTAATGACCGACGACTGTGCCTGGTCCTGGCTTGTTCGTACCTATGAACTAGTAGTGTAGTCTAGTAGTCACTCCAGTTCATTCGTCAGTCGTCATCAGCCCAAAGTCTCTCGTGTTATCCTTATTATTGTTGTTGTTGTCTTGCATTGGCTTCACTCAAACTCCTTTGTGTCTCCCCAAACCCTCCCTTCTCCACTCCCGTGCTACCATCCTGTCTCACACATCCTCGAATCCAGGTTCCCCATCGACACACTCAAACATATACACAACAACAATCCGTACACAAACACATATCTTCAGATACACAGACAGACACACACTGACACAACGGGGGCGCGCTGCGTCGAAGCCAACCAACACCCCCCAGGCTCCCCAGTCTACCTCCTACCTACCCTTCCCTACCGATCGTCGACTGTTTTCCGCTGACTGCCCATCTCGGTCTTTCTTCCAATCCAACCATGTCCAGCTGCAAGCTAATATAACTCCTGCTGCAATCCCGCTCTCGTCTCCATTTTCCAAGAATTGGGTTGCGCCCTAACCACTCCCACTTCGTACTGTGTACATACGAGGACATCACCTTGACAAAAAGAACAAACAGCAATAACAACACGGGATCCCAAGGCGCGAGACCTCGTGTCTTTGTCCTCCCGCCTTCACCTTCACCATGGCTGCAACAACCACATACATACCCTTCCCCGTGTCTGCTGCGGCCACGGGGCCAATGACTCCACGATCACCAACCCTCTCCGACGCCTGCATGATCCTCCCAGAATCAAACGGCACTCCGCTGCGCAGCATTTCTCCGAATCCCTACGTCGACCGTCCCCCCTCCCCTCCCACCCTCTACACCCACTCCAACCGATCGGAGCGCACCCTCAAATTAGCCAACCCGCCCGGCGCCCGTCGCGGTCGCTCGCCGCAATTCAGCATAAAGTCCCCTCCGCTCTCCTCCAAGAGCTCGCGCTCGACAATACGAACCATGGTCGAGTCTGACGCTGGCTCCAGCGGCAAGATGAACGGCAGCGCCACCGCCGGCGGAGGAGCGACAGCAACGGTACCAGGAAACGTGAGCGCTGGGAACGGCTCCTCGAGACGCAGTTCACGCAAGGGCAGCCCACGCGGCGATGACAACGTTCTAGCTTCCTCGCCCACCATCGCAGACCCGCTAACCGGCCACGCTTCTGGCGCATTCCAACAGCAGCGCAGACTCAGCAACGCGTCCTCGGGTTCCATACATAGCGAGGACCTGGAGAATCTGCGATGGCCTGGCTTCGACAGCTCCACCAATTTCGACGACAGCGGCGTGGTGATGGAGGAAGACGATGCGGACGAGGAAGAGGAAGGTGCAGACGGTGCAGCGCGTGACGAATTCCCAATTGACACCGACATCGAAGACGACGACCACGATGCGATGGACGCAGCAGAGAAAGAGCGACGGGACGCCCAGGCCGAAGACGAATACACCTCCGCGGCGCTGAGCCGGCGCGCAGAACTTATCCTCGCCAACGCAAAGAAGCGCCTGAACGTGATGGAGGGCAACCTACGCGGCGCGCGAGAATCGCTCGTCGTGTCCCCGAGCCCGACCTTCAATTCGAAGAAGATGCAGACCGACTTGCAGCAACAGCTCGCGGCGGCCCGCGAGCGCGACCGCAAACTTTACGCCGGAATGGGCCCCATACCCCCTCGGACGAGACCGTACCACTCATCGCCCCTATCAGCGGGCGGCAGCCCTGGCCACGCGCGGGGACTGAGCGAGACATCTGTGCCGAATCCCTTCGCCTCTCCCACGTACGCCAGCAGAGCACTGTCGAACAAGCGCGCATCGAGTGCGATGGGAACCGCCAGTGGCCCGTGGTCTCCTGAGGGTTACGGCCAGGGACGATTTCCCATCCGAGAATCGCGCAGCGTGGAGGTGATGCGCGAGCCGAGGAGTAATGGGTGGGACAGCCACCACGAGGAGCAGGAGCACTCCTTGCGTTCTTACGAATCCAGGGGTTCGCGGTCGCCACCCAACGCATTGGAGACACTGCCGGAATACGAAGACGACGATGCTGTTGGTGGTACTCCTGCCGGCGATGATGACCCAGAACTTCGCCGCTCTGCTTCGGCGGCCAGCAGTTTGCGCTCCCAGATGCAGGACCTGAAAGGTAGAATCTCCAGCCTGAAACAGCGTGCAAAGGAGGATACTATGCGTAGGCGTAGTTTGCAGAATCTGCGGACGCCGAGCCCCTTCACGTCTGCGGAGATCTGGTACTCGGGCGCGGACGCTTACAAGAATGGGACTTCGCCAGTGACGGCAGATGCTGGTGTTGGATATAAGTCATCATCTCCGATCCGCAAGACACTGTACGAGGAGCAAGGCGATGCGTCAACAACACCGAAGACGAAGGCACCAGCAGACACAGCAATGGAAGTCATCGACCCCTTAACGGAGGAAGAGGAAGATCACCTGATTGAGCAAATGGAAAAGACCACTGCTGAAGACTACACTCCCGAAAATGCCCAAAGCACTCGTGCATCTCACCAGAAATTGCACGCAGTAACCCAGGATGGCTCGAATGACGAGGAAGAGGAGGACGAGGACGATGAGTTCGACGACGACGAGAGCGACTTCGTCTCCGTGGACGGCGGAGAATACGACCAAGCGCCCGAGAGTGTGTACGAAGACGCAGTGTACGAGATGCCGGTGACAGAGCGGCACGAAGACCGCGTCGACGCATTCGACTACGAGCATTTCTTCCTGCACAGCGCCATGGGGACCTACAGCTCCACAAGCCGCCGATCAAGTAGCAGCTCGGGCGACTCGACCGCCACGACGCGGCCCGTCACCGCCATCGACACCACCAGCAACGGACCCGACGACAAAGCAGAGCGCAGGATATCCTTCCACTCGCGCACCGCGAGCAGCGACTCCGTGTCCACTGTCGCCAGCTTCGCCACCGCCGCCGAGGACTTCTCCGACGAGGAGTCCAACGAGCAAATGGACCGCTTCACGCAGCTGCTCCCCGTCCAGCAGGTTACACCGCAGTATGCCGCCGCCGCCGCCGCCTCGCACAACGGCCTCGCATCATCCCCACGCACCGACTCCGCCGTCACCATGCGCAAATCCGCAGCCGCAACCTCACCCAACGGCCAAGTCTCCCCCTCCTCGGCCGTCTCCCGCGGGTCCTCCCCTGCAGACCTCGCCACCGGCCTCCAAACCTCGAAAATCTACTCCATCCTCCTGGAATCCCCGTCCTCGAAACAGCACGACCAGCCCCGCCTCGAACTCAACCAGGAGGAGAAGCAGCTCGTGTACAGCCTGGCGGCCAGCTTCCAGCAGGTCTGCACGAACATGCAGAGCACGTCGGGCGACCAGTACGAGCGCAAGGAGTGGCGGAGGAGGCTCGACGAGGCGAGGAGGATCCTCAATGGTGAGGAGGATGTCGCGGGTGAGGCGTTCTGAGCGAGCTGAGCTGTTTCCTTTTCCATCTTCGCTGATGCCCGGGCGAGCCCAAAAATTAATGATGCCCGATTATCATATTCAACCTACTACCTTCTCTGGGGGAGAGGGGAAGATCTACGTAATGTCTACTCGATCGAAAACTACACACCATTGCCATGGCCATAAAGAAACTACAACGAGTCCGTTCGTCCAGCGATTCAACGTCCGTACCTAAGGACATACCTACCTCGTCACATACAGGAATTCTACGCCTGAGCCTTTCTCACTAACGTACGTCACTTTAACAATCTCGGCCTTGGCCACATCGTCATCACTCGCCTAAATCGTTCCATCATAGAACAAAAAACATCGAATATGTCAGAATGGAGTAAACGGACGCATAAACGCACACCAACGGACACCAAAGCTCGTATCTTATACAACAAACATCACTATCCTAAAATCTTAAGAAATGACTGCCTACTGCTTTTTCGCCTTGACATTCTATCCGGCGGCGGCGTCGCAGGGAAGGTGTCATGGCCTAGCCTATCCAAAAGGGACCTTCTTCCTTCCCTCTCTACATCTTTTCTTCTCCCTTTCTCCCTTCCTTCATTCCCTTTGTTGATTTCCGGATATGGCGTTTCACGCGCTCACTCAGGGGGAAACCTTTTTCGTCTGTCTCTGCGTTTTTTCATTTCTTGTGCGGTAACCAAGGGGTATGGGGCGAAACGGGGGTAAATAGCTTCGGCTGTCTTTTTGGTAATCTTTATTTTTTGATACCCGTGGGGATGGTTAAGTCGACGCCTAAGCAGATGCCTAGGGCTGAGGGTGAGGGTGAAGAGAAGGGGGAGATGAGAGTCGTTGATAGAAGACACGCACCTACCTGCGCCTACATACGCACACATGTAATGTACACACGTATGTAAGCAAAGAGAATAGAAAAGAAAAGTCACATATGAAGAACGAGTACAGGCAGAAGTGTGATGTCCTACATACAGTTGCATACCTAACTACTCTAGGGCTGCTTGTTATGTACGGAGTATAACAGCTTTAAGGTAAGCGAGATAGTCTGCGCCGTCTGAAGTGAAGTGAAGTGAACTGGCGTCGCCAACTATCTAGCTTGATTGGTCAAGCAATCAAAGTCAAGTCAAGTGAAGTGAAGTCAAGTGAAGTGAAGTGAAGTGGCGCCGCCAAGTACCTCGCTTGATTGATCAAGCAATCAAAGTGAAGTGAAGTGAAGTGGAAGTGAAGTGAACAGGAATAGTCATTGATTGGTTGATGGTTTCGCTAAACGTGAGATAATAATCTAGGATAACGCGCAGATTGTGTAGGGGTGACAGTGATGCATGCTATGACTTTTCCTTCTTTCTGAATGATACGTCCGTCTGTCTCTGTCTGACTCTGACTTTGTCTACAGCGTGCGAGTGTGTATGTGTCTCCGTGTGTGGGTATAGAATTTCCCCTGGAGGTTGTGTATGTACCTATTGTGTACATGTATGCAATTCCCCATTGAAAATGTGAGTGGTGGTAGTAATGGTATGGTTAGGGGATAGGGGGGTATCATCATGTCGTTTCCTCGTCCTGTGTCTCTCTCTTCCTTCTTGCTCTGTATTAATACACCCGTGCATCTATTTCTAAACCGCTTCCAGATTCTCCGCCGTCTATAGCTCAATTCCCTCGTTTCCCACGCCGTTGTCGATATGTGACGCTGGCGGTGGTGCAGCGGCGCCGAAGAAATTCGTAATATCGTCCGCGTCCATCGAAGAGACGAAGGCGCGCTGCACGAACGTGTACCACGCGCCGTTCTTGTCGTGTTTGTGCTTATGCTTCTTCCCCTTCTTCTTCTTGCCTTCTACGGATATCTCATCATCCTCGGTATCTTCTGCGAGATCGTCATCATCGTCGAGATGATACTCAGCCGGAGAGAAAGTAGACGAAGAACCCGTCTTGTCCGTCCCGATCCTGCGCGCCAGGTCGACCCAGCTGCGGACCGTGAGGTCCTTCATGCGCCACCGCTTGTCGGTCCTGGTGTCGTACTCGACCTCGAAGCGGAAGTCGATGGGGTTGGGCTTCGGGCGGGGTTTCTTGCCCTGGTGGTGGTGGTGCTTGCCTTCCTTCCAGCGCTGGGGCGCGATGGAGCCGTCGTCTGGGCACACGTCCAGGCCGAAGACCGTGGTGGTGTTGGAGTGGTCGTTGGGGTGTGCGGAGAGGTGGGTTTTGGGGGATGAGGAGGTGAAGTCGTTGTTGATGTGGGTGAGGTTGGCAAAGTATTGCGTGTAGCTTAGGAGGGAGAGGGTCTGTGGCGAGTATGCGGGGCCTGGGGGCGAGGATTTAGAGGGCGGGTCTGGGATTTTGAATTTGTATTTCTTGCGCTTCTTGAGGAGTTGGGCTTGGTGGTTGCTGCCTTTCTTGTTGGCGGCCACAGCTTCGGAGATGGCGGTTTCGTACGCTTCGTAGTCCTCGTCGGTGAAGTCCTCGTCTATAGAAGACACTTGAGAGACTCCTGCGTATCCCGATGCTACAGACTCATCGAGACCAGTGATGTTGTAGCTGTAGATACGGAGCGTCGGGAAATAGTTTGGCACGACGCTGGGAGAAACAAGAGACACGCTGTAGCGCTCTGCAAATGGACCTCCGATCTTCTTGAGATACCTCTTCTTGGTCATCTTCTTCTTTCCCTTGCCGCCCTTTTTGCCCTTCTTGGACCCGGAGAACGTGGACACCAGCCAGTCCCAGGTGAACAACGCCTCCTCCTCTTCGTCGGAATCAACATATTCTACTGTCGACTGCGACTTCTTGTTCTTCTTGGACGGCGGCTTGGGCAGCTTCGACCACACATTGCCCAGATCCTGGATATAATCCGATGCAGACGCAACAGTGACCTCCCCATCATCAAGCCAATCCTCGTGCAATTCCATAGCATCCACAGAAGCCGGACTCATCTGTCCCTCCTTAGTCCCCTTCTTGATGTCCTTGAAATCCTGCAACATGAAATGATCGATATTCATGTGCCCAAAGAACGACCCGACAATCACGTCGCGGTACTGCTGCTCCCACAGCGCAAACTTCTGCCAACACGTCTCGTCCCAGCTCGACTTGCTGTCGACCCTCGCAGGCGGCACGTGACCAATAAACATGGCCTTCATGCCGCGGTCGCGGAGGATCTGCAGCTGGATCCGCAGCCACTCCATGTGCTCGTAGCCGGGCTCCTTCTTGCTGGCGCATCCGTCCACGCCCGAGTTGGAGGCGAAGAAGTACATGGTGTTGAGGCTAAAGACCGCTAGCTTCTGCGGGATGACCTCGACGTAGAACCATCCTCCCTGCTGGAACTGATGCCTCTGCTCCTCCGGGATGAAGCCGCGCCAGATGTCTAGGTACTTCGAGGTCCATTTGTTCGGGCCGGCGAGGAAGATGTTGTGAGGCATGATGTCATTGTTGCCGAATGTGGGTACGATGGGAATGATGAATTCGTTGTTAATGTTGTCGCCTTTGCCGCCGTTGTTGCCCGAACCAAACACCTCGCCGAACTTGTCGACGATGTATTGGTTCTGCTCAATGACCTGCTTCTGGTTTCGCGGGAGCTTCTCATCGTTGTCGTGTCGCGCCGAATCGCCCGTCCAGATGATGAAGTCGATCTCGTCCTTGACGTGGTCATTTATCCATTGGAAGGTCGCGTTGACCAGGGAATAGGGCGAGTCGCAGGCTGAGGTCTCGGCGCCGTAGAAGCCCGCGGGGCCATGTTTTCGGTGGCAAGCGGCGTTTTCTTCGGTGCTAGAGTAGGTTTTGAAAAAAGGGTCTGGGTGGAAATCTGCACGCGACTAGTGTGTTAGAAACTTGCAACTCCTTAACGTGCGGTTAGGGTCCGGTAGTGGTTGGGAGGAAAGGGATGCGCGATGTTACGTGTTGGGTACTGGAATTGAAGTCGACGTACCTGTGATGTGTAGAAACCGTCCCTGCAGGCGACGATGGCCTCGGATGGTATTACTGCTGGGGTCGACAGGTATGGGATACTGCGATTGCGATTGCGATTGCGATTGCGATTGGGACTGGGCCTGCGGATGTTGTATGGGTAATGACACTGGATTGGATGTGCTGGAGGTTGTTCCTGGGCCAGATTGCGGGGCAGCCCTGCAGGTGTTTATTAAGGGAAGCAACACGCAGAGTCCCGAGATGGTTGCGCCCCAGGGTTGCAGCATGGCGGCGAGGAGCGCATGTGTATACAGGTATAGGTGTGGTTATGCGCCAGGAGGTGGAGGACGAGGACGAGGGCGAGGGTTTGGATTCGAGATCGAGGACAGGAGGGAGGGTAATGGAAGAACAGACCCGGGAGGAAAGAAGAATACGAGAAAGAATGGAGAAGGAGGAGAGGAAGAAGGAGATGAAGATGGAGAAAAGAAGAAATGTGGAAGTGTGAAAGTGTTGGCAGGGCGAGTTTTGGGAATAGTGCCAGGAAGGTTCGTGAAGAGAGTACCAAGATGGCTTCAGTAGAACAGTGTATGTATGTACAGTGTGTAGTGTATTTACAAGTGCGTCTAGACACGAACAACTAATTAGTTGATTTCTTTTAGTCAAAGAAGAAGCAGAGATATATTCAATGGTTAAGAGTTGAGAGGAAGAATCAACAGTCAAGTGAGTCGGGTCGCATGGTGCACGCTGCCATGAGACCCCGTCTGATTGGATGTCCACACGCCTCACTGCCTCTCACTCATCATTGCGTCACACTGCGACTGTCGGTCCTTCTCGCCTGCTCACCTGCTTCATCTGCTCACCTCCTTCTCTTGGCTCCTGACTACACCTGCACACCTGTAACTACTGTGTAAGTACAATACGAGACATGTCCACAACACCGACTCCCTCTTTATTTTATCATAACCATCGCCCACGCGACACAAGTCATGCATACACCCAATAGCACATGTTAAAAAAACTGTATGATGATGGTGATGATATAATCTTTTCAATGGAGGGGGACGGACATCTATGTATGATGACGAGCTGAGCACTGTATTTCAAGTCTGCCCAGCCACCAACTCATACACATCCATCATCTATCGACCCCAAAGTACATTACTAAGTATATTTATTCTCTTGATCTTCACTCTGCTCATGTTGTCCTCTCTCCACTGTTGTGTGCGGCGGCTCCCTAACGTCTGAAAAGAGCGCTCAAGCAAACACATATCGTGGACAGAGGCAATGACAATAATGCCTTCCTTTGGAAGCCGCAGAAAATGCTCAGCACCCACCCAAATGATCTTCCCCTTCCTCCCCAAAAATAGGTATTCGTATACCAAGAAACTTCAGACTGCGCCTGTAATGATCCCTGAAAGAGGCTTGACAAACTCCTCTTTTTGTGAATGAACCCATTTCAAAAGAGACGCCGGTTGTTAATGGACGAAATTGGGAAACCGTCCAATGATTTTGGGAAAGACAAAAAATGGAAATGAAAATGAAAATGAACAAGATAAACACAGAATAAAACACCAATGTGAAGCTTTCTCTTTCCATGCAGTGAAACCAAGAAAGAAGAAGATTGGTACCATCAAGAAAAGATATCGAACAACCCAACCCGAGGTCTTCGTCTTCGTCGGTGGGTTGTTGGTAATTGGTTGTCCAATCCGGAAAATGAAACACCTGCGCTATGCTGTAGAAACGGTCGCCGCCGTGATAGTGGTGATGAGGGTGGTGGTGGTGATGATGATGAGGTGTCGATGAAGCGTCCGTATACGCGCATGCAAAAGAAATGACTCGTCTGCCCTCGTTCAACTACTCCCACCAGGTTCCCAATATATACCTTTCGTTGCAGTCGAGGTGCTACTTCCCCCCATCGGGCTTCGCCTCCGCCTTCACCTCATGAACCTTGCTTTTGTCCATTGGACTGCTGCCCGCCCTGCTTGCTACTCTTATCCGAGGCCAACATCTTGAGATACATCGCCTTGACCTGGGTTACGGTGACCTCCTTTCGGGGCCAGTAGTTTTGCACGGTGAAATTCCTATTCCCCTCGTTAGCCTGCACTTCCCCTAGGATCCATTTTCAGTTCTATCATGCACTTACCAGAGACGTTCCTCCAGGTCACTGCTGTCCTTTGTCTCGGCGCGGATGAAATTCCCAATCGCAAGTAGCTCTGTCTTGAGATTCTTGACCAGTGTCTCCTTGACGGGATAATTCTTAATCGTCGTCTTCTTGAGCCTACCGAGATTGTCACGAACTGGGCGCAGACGTCGCTCAGTAGGATCTTCCGGCTTCTTCTCTTTGTTCCTATTGGGCGTCAAGGAGTCCAGGCTCGCCCGGTGGCCGTCGCGGTGGCCGTCGCGATGACCGTCGCGATGACCGTCGCGATGACCGTCGCCATGCGGTCGGTCTTCTCTAGGACGAGACCGGTCGCCGTCTCCGCTGATCCTGCGCCGGAACTCTGGTGTAGGTGGTCGAGGGGGAAGCCCAGGGATGCGACGGTCGATACTCTTCCGCTCTTCACGATGATGATCCTTGCGGTGTCCATCAGATGGTCTGTGATGATCATTCTGGCGGTGCCGAGGCTCATGTGACCCATTGTCGTGATGCCGACTGTCGGGTCGACTTTCGGAGCGCCGTTTCTCACTCTGGCTATTCGCTCGAGGCCGCTCGGAGTCGCGTACGACTTTGCGCGCTTGCCCTCCAGGGCCAGGACTTGCCGATACACTAGACGCGACCTTGTCGGCACGGCGGGATACGCTCAAATGGTGCTTTTTGTTGTTCCGATGATGGTTTTCGATCAGGCGTCTGGCGTTGGGGTCCACGCCGCTCTTCTCCTTAAGGACTGTCAGGAGGTAGTTCGCTCGGCGAACAAGGTGGACAGCGCCCGGCGACTTCGCGTTCTTCTCGTCGGCCTTGCTGCGCTCTTCCTTCTTGTCCACACGATGTTCTTCGAGGTAGAACTTGTCGCTCATATCAAGTTCCAGATCATCGCGGATGGGGACCCAGGCTCCATAACCGTGGCGCGCAATGCCAATGCAGAGCATGCCATCTTCCCGCGCTCCCCAAGAGCAGGTATAGCTGGCAGGCTTGATCGCATCCGGCACCCTGAAGTTTCGCCAATCGCTTGCTTCGCCAATGGCTTCTTTGAGTATGCGCATCTCAATTGGGCGATCGATGATCGTCTCAGCGTTAAGCTTCTTAACATCCTTGTAATTGAAAAGGACCGCCTTCTTGTCCTTCTTTGTGAGCGCCCGCTTCTCTTCAACCTCGAGATTTCGTAAGCGTTCTCGCTCGGCCTTGACAAGCTCCTTGCTGATGTTGATGACCTCATCCAAGGTGGTTTTCAGGACTTCATCATCGCGCCCAACTAGCTTGGCATCGCGGAGCATCTCATCCTTGCGTTCTTCAAGCGATCCGTATCGTTCATACGCACGAATGAGATTGCGTATCTCCTTAGTAGTGAGTGGACGCTTAGGATCACGGTTCGGGGCCGAATCTTCTTCATCAGAACCATCGCCATCATCATCGATACGGCGAGTTGCCTCTCGTGCTCGCTTCTTGGCGGCACGTTGCTCCCGTTCGCTGGTCGGCGCACTCTTACGTTTGCGCGGTGCGCTCTCCTCCAGAAGTTTTCGCGTTTGCTCTTCCTCCTTTCTTGCCCGGATATCTTCCTTAACGGTTTCGAGCTCCTCTTTCGGAATGATATCATCCCACTCGAGGTCAATCTTGACGTCGGTGTACTCGAAATTCCTCAAGAACTCCTCGCCGCCATCTGATGTAAGGCCAGCTGCTTGCTCTGTCTTATGCTCCTCGGCATTCTCAAGCACGTCATCAATGTCCAATTCTTCAAGCTTTTTCTGGTTCCCGGACTGCTCAAACATTTTCTGACCACGACGCTTCAGAATTTGATTGATATCATCCGCCGATGTAGGCTCGCTCGTGACGCGATTCATCTTATCTGACAATTCCTTCTGTTGCCTGTCCGTGACACCACGTTGAATGGTGATGAACTCAAGCATGCGCTTGTTTCGAGCGCGTTCGAGAATCTCCTCTTCAATCGTATCTTTGGAAACAAGACGATACACGCTCACGGGCTTTTGTTGCCCGATACGATGGGCTCGAGCCATAGCCTGCAGATCAGCCTGAGGATTCCAGTCGGAATCAAAAAGAACGACTGTATCCGCGGTCATCAAATTGATACCGAGACCTCCGGCTCGTGTAGACAGAAGGAAGCAGTAATCATCGCTACCAGGTGCGTTGAAGTGGTCAATGGCAATCTTTCGGTCTGATGCAGGGACAGTACCATCCAGGCGCTGGAAGGTATAGTTCCGAAGTCGCAGGTAATCAGTAAGTATATCAAGCATGTGCACCATTTGACTGAAAATGAGGACACGGTGGCCATCAGCCTTGAGTTTTGTCAAGAGACGATCAAGCAGCATCATCTTGCCACTAGTCGTGATCAGGGCCTTGAGCTGTTCTTCTTTGCTTGCATCCGGTCGGAGAAACCTTGCTTCGGCATTTGGGAACAGTAGCGCATGATTACTCGCTTTCTTCAACTCCATGACAATGTTGAGCAAAGACTGCTTCTGCCCAGAGCCGCCTTCGTTGAGGGCTTCATAGTTTCTGGTGAGAATGTTCTTGTAGTACTCGAGCTGGATGTCGGACAATTCGACACGCAAGATCTTTTCAGACTTTGGAGGGAGGTCATTCTCAACCTTCTCTTTCGTGCGTCGAATCATATAGGGTTGAATGGCAGTACTGAGTTCCGAAAGTTTCCGGCTAGCATCTTCTGAAGCGAGGTCAACCTCTTCGTCCATGGAAATCTTGCCGGGCATTAAGAAATCCATCAGAGCAGACAGTTCCCCCAAGGTGTTTTGGATAGGGGTACCAGTGATCAAGAGTCGACTAGGGGCACTGAACTGGCAGAGCTTTTCGTAGAGCTGGGACTCGCGGTTCTTGAGGCGATGTGCTTCGTCCACTGCAAGGAATTGCCACTTCAGCTGGGAGAGAAATTGCCAATCATGCAAAACGTATTCGTAGGTCGTCAACAGCACATTGAATTTGACCTTTCGGATATTGCCGTCGACGAGGAGCTCGTAGTCACGTATCGTTTTACGTGCCTGGTTCTTCCCCGTGTAGACAACGTAGTTGATGTCGGGCGTCCAGTCATTGAAGGTTTGTGCCCATGCAGGCATTGTCGAAAGTGGTACGACACAGAGGAAAGGTCCTTCTTGCCGCCTGGCATGTCGTAACCAATTCATGAACGAAACGGTTTGAACGGTCTTTCCAAGACCCATCTCATCAGCAAGAATGACGTTCGTCCCGCGGCACCAATTGTGTGCGAGGAAGTTGACACCATGCAATTGGAAGGAACGAAGTTTGCCAAACTTGATGTAGTCTGGTTGTTCGTCCAGTTTCACGAATTTGCTGCGCGTGGCCAACACCGATTCCTTAGTGTTCGATGATGGCAATTTGGAAGACCGATCGAGATAGCGATCTATCTCGGACTGCGATAGACTGCTAATCAGAGTAGCCGACTCCCAGGTGCAGAACTCATAGGTCAATCCCTTCCCTGTAACGGTGTTAGTAATCCGAAAAGGGGCCCCGTAATGGAGTTAAGAGTCGGGTAGTGGGCAAAGGTACTAACACTTGACCAGGTATTCTGTTTCATCGTCGCCTTCACGAGTACCAATGACACGCTCTACCACGTGGAACTCCACTTGACTTTCACGCTCTGCTTCGCGTGCCAACACGTGCTGTTCGTATTCTTCAGGCTCTTGATGACGGCGTCCAATGTAGTAAAGGTCCACCAGGACTTCATTCTTGAAGTAGTTATCCAGTTTCCGCCAGCCCTTATAAGTCGAGGCAATCTCGTAAGGCTCCCAGCTCGAATGATAGTGAGCTTTATCCTGCCACTTGATCTATGAGGGATGTTAGCAACAGACTGGGAACGGGAAGGGGAAGGTGCGGGGTCACTAACCAAGAACTCGAATTCTTTCTTCTGTGCGTCAGCAGCATCGATTTCTGGATACAGATTAGTTCCACACTCATTTTTATCAAGGTTCATGATCCTACCAGCTCCGTCCAACGATCGATGGTCGAGTACTTTGTCTATCGCAGGGCCTGTGTCTTCCACCGTTGCACCGTAGTAGTTAGGAGTCATATCTTCCTCATCATCCTCCTCAAACATGTCGTCGTCGTCTTCATTGTAGTTTGCGACCGCTTTAGACCGTCTTGACGAGAATCGAACCTCGGCTTGGGAGGGAGGGAGGTCGCCATTGGCAATAGCCTGTAGGCGTCTCTTCTGTTTCTTGGAGGGCATATTCTTCTTCGCGCTGACATAATCGTCCGAATCCGAGTCAGACTCTGCAGACACGTATACTGGGGTAGGTTGTTTCGATGCTATAGACAATCTGTCAGCAGATGGCGGCATGCGGGAGGGCTGATGGGGTGCACCTTTCCGGGACGTTGTGCGCTGTCGCTTACGAGGCACATCCGAATCAGAATTGTCATCGTCGCTGCTATCGACCTGGAATGCATTAGTATCCGTGCTATGGGATCAGTATGTGACATTCTTACGATGCGGCGGGTAGGACGGGCGCGTCCCTGGGACTTTGTCAGCTGAAATCTATGAACGGGATAAGATGAACGCACGCTACGGCGGAGACCATAAAGCTCGGGGTTCTGCGCCATATATTCATCCTCTTCCGCGCTGGCTTTGCGTTTCAGCGGTCTCGATGAGTCTTGCGACGTGGAGCTACGCGCACGACTGCTTTCGGCGGGTGCGGGCGGCGGAGTCTCAGAGTCATAATCTCCATCAGGCTCTCCCTCGGCATCTTCATCCTCGGAGGAGTCTGTATCATTTGCCATCTCCACATCATCATCCTCATCTTCATCATCATCCTCTTCTCCGGGTGCGTCTTCATCTGATGAAGGGTCCACGGCGAGGGCTTCGTTGGGATCTGAATTTTCGCTTTCGCTGACGGGTGAGAACGCGTCGGCTGGTATGCTATGGAGGGCTAGAGGCGAGGAATGGCCATTCATCAACGGAAGATCCGCTTCCTGGCCCGGGGGAGAGGGCATCTCGATGGACGCGGCTGCGAAAGAAATGGTCAGCATTGTAACTTGGGAAGCGCACGGCTGGAGTGGGAGCAAAGGAGTGCGTTGGATAGAGCAAAATCAGGCGACTCAGAGGCACCGGCGATCGACCATGAACGATTCTAAATACATCATCGATGGAGATCCGATGGATTCGGTCGTTGATTGATGGCGGAGGCTGAGTTGGGGATGCGAGGAAGCTGGAGCGGCCAATGGCTGGCGGAGACACTGAAAGCGACCGAGTCGTATTGAAAGAAGGCTGTAGGAGACAGCAGACGAGGTTTTGAGGGTTTGTAGGTGTTTGCGAGATGCATCGACGTGAAATGGTGATGAGGCAGATGAGGCTTGAGCGAAGCCAGGAAAAAGGTACGTCCAGGGCGAGGTCGAGGAGGGAGTCGAGAAGAGTATACGGATGGAATTGTGGAAGAGAACTTACAGTCCATGAATCAGATACCCTCGAGACAGGGGGTTTAGGAAAAGACAGGTCAAGTTGTGGGGGGTGGTGGGAGGGAGGGATGGTGAATTAGAGGTTGTGATGTTGGGTCTTGTCACAGGCGGTTTCTCGCCCTTTCTGGGGGGAGTTCAGAGAAGGTCGGAGTGGCAGGCAGACAGGGCCTATGAGCCAAGGCTGGCCTGGATGGTCAATGTAACCGCCATCCCTTTTGTGGTTTAGTGGCATCTGTTTTCGCTTGAGGAAAATGGTGGTCGACTCTCCGACCAATCAGACATGGACGTTTCCTGATGACTTAATACGGGCAGGATGAGACGGGGAAATCCACAATAGAAGGAAGGAACGATCTGACCCTACGAAATAGCAAGGCAGGCACGGGGGCTTAATCAGGTATCATCATAACCATATCCACTCAAAGCCAGTATATTATTATTATTTGCTTGGTCTTTTGCTTCCTTTTCTCTCCCTCTTGCTGGCACAGTTATCCCCTTCCTACAACTTCTTCGAGGACGGTGATATAAAACATAGAGCGTTCGACTTTTTTTTTGCTCACCCAGTCGCAAATCCGGTAGTGCTTTGGTGGCCTCCGTCATAATCCCCGCCACACCAACATTTCTCGTCGCTCTTTCGCAAACTCAACCACCAACAAAGGCCACGATATCACTTCGCAACCATGTCTGACAAGTTGACTCGGTATGTACCGTCTATCTAACTAAACATTGATCATGTCTTCTAACCCATAACTAGTATCGCCATTGTCAACAGCGACAAGGTATGCCCCGCTACCCCTCCCGTTGCAAAATTCACACAGTGTCTAACTTGAGCGTGTGCGCCAATTCAGTGCAAGCCAAAAGTAAGCAAATATACTATTTTGTTGCACAGATCGTCTCTAACATCATTCAGAAATGTCGACAGGAATGCAAGAAGTCCTGCCCCGTCGTCCGAACCGGCAAGCTCTGCATCGAAGTTACCTCCGACTCCAAGATTGCCTTCATCTCCGAACGACTATGCATAGGATGCGGTATCTGCCCTAAGAAGTGCCCATTCGATGCCATCAACATCATCAACTTGCCCACGAACCTCGAGACCCAAGTCACCCACCGATACTCGGCCAACAGCTTCAAGTTGCATAGGTTGCCTATGCCCCGCCCCGGACAGGTTTTGGGTCTCGTCGGTACAAACGGTATTGGAAAGAGTACGGCTTTGAAGATTCTCAGTGGAAAGCTCAAACCCAACCTGGGACGATATGATAACCCCCCCGACTGGGAGGAGATTCTGAAGTACTTCCGTGGTTCCGAATTGCAAAGTAAGAAAAACAACACGCCTATCACAAGCGCTGTACTAAGTATTACTGCCTAGATTACTTTACCAAGGTCCTCGAAGACAACCTCAAGGCCGTTGTCAAGCCCCAGTATGTCGACCAGATCCCCAAGGCCGTCAGGGGCCCCAACAAGACCGTCGGTCACCTCATCGAGAGTCGATCGTCATCCGCAATGGACAACCTAGAGGAAATCGTTGATGTGCTTGGTATGTGCATTGGAATATCGCCCTATGAACCATCACGCTAACAACACACAGAACTGAAACACGTCTACGAGCGAGACATCAACCTGTTGTCTGGTGGTGAGCTTCAGCGTTTCGCCATTGGTACTGTCTGTGTCCAGATGGCCGATGTGTACATGTTCGACGAGCCCTCGTAGGTCACCCCTATTTTGATTTCTAAGTCTCCATACTTATTGCATCAGATCTTTCCTCGACGTCAAGCAGCGTCTTGCTGCTGCTCGCATGATCCGTAGTCTACTTCGCCCTGACGACTACGTCATCACCGTCGAGCACGATTTGGCCGTTTTGGATTATCTCTCCGATTTCATCTGCGTTCTCTATGGAAAGCCCGCCGTGTACGGTGTTGTCACGCTCCCTGCATCCGTACGAGAAGGTATCAACATCTTCCTCGATGGAAACATTCCTACCGAGAATTTGCGTTTCCGAGAGGAGTCCCTTCAATTCCGTATCGGAGAGGCCGGCGAAGACTACATGGCCGACAAATCCCGTCAATACGGCTATCCCAAGATGAGCAAGACCATGGGCGACTTCCACCTTAGCATTGAAACGGGATCGTTCACCGACTCTGAGATCATTGTCATGATGGGCGAGAACGGAACTGGCAAGACTACTTTCTGTAAGATGCTGGCCGGTGCACTCACGCCCGACAGCGGAAAGAAGGTGCCTAGCATGAACATCAGCATGAAGCCCCAGAAGATCACGCCCAAGTTCCAGGGTACCGTTCGCCAACTCTTCTTCAAGAAAATCAAGGCTGCTTTCTTGAGCCCACAATTCCAGACTGACGTCTACAAGCCATTGAAGATGGACGACTTCATTGACCAGGAAGTTCAAAACCTGTCTGGTGGTGAATTGCAACGTGTTGCCATTGTTCTTGCTCTCGGTATCCCTGCCGACATCTATCTTATCGACGAGCCCAGTGCTTACCTTGACTCTGAGCAGCGTATTGTCGCTGCTCGTGTCATCAAGCGTTTCATTATGCACGCAAAGAAGACTGCCTTCGTTGTCGAGCACGATTTCGTCATGGCCACCTATCTCGCCGACCGTGTTATTGTCTTCGATGGTCAACCCGCCGTCGACGCCCGCGCCAACGCCCCCGAGTCTCTTCTCACCGGATGCAACAAGTTCTTGAAGAACCTCGATGTTACCTTCCGTCGTGACCCCAACTCCTACCGCCCACGTATCAACAAGATGGGCTCCCAGCTTGACCAAGAACAGAAGCTGAGTGGTAACTACTTCTTCTTGGAGGATGATAGTTGAAAAGGCTTTTGATGAGACTGATAAGCCGCCATCCCCGCTTCGCCCAAACGGGCAGATCAACAACAACTGTGGGACTAAGCAGGGCAACAAGAAGAAGAGAGTCAGACGCCGTGTCGTGGGCTTGATCGATGAGGACAGTGAGCTGAGCGACGATGAAGAGGCCAGCGACCCTCACATCTGCGGCGATTGTCCTCCTGTGCTATATTTTCTCTCGCACCACAGTGCTTCAACGTGGAAAGTTGAGATGTGTAGATGGCACGGGTCAAGTTAGGGGATCGTCGGCCATACTTTGCGGTGTCTGCCGGACGCATAAACATTAACGTGCAATGCTTCCATAAAAGTATATCAAGGTCTAGATCAGGGCGTTTGCCATTTACTTTTTTTTTAGCACTGGCTAGACCTTTGAGAACATAGTAGTATGTAGTTGACACTTGACGTGTCTTTCAGAGTTACAATTTACATCTTCTTAGTCCTGGATTACACGTCATCTTCGTAGGACTTGATAGGCTCGTGAGGTGAATTTGTTCAAATTTTCGTTTTTCCATTCATACATGCGTAGACTTCATAATATATATACGCATATGCTTACACAACGCGTCCAAATCATAGACACTGAAAGGCTTATGCTGCAAAGGGGCCTGGCATGCTCGACGATTTCCCAGCAGAAGAGCTACACCCCAGAAGATGAGTCGTAGTTTTGCAATGGCAAAATCAGCACTCCACGCCATACCGCCTGAGCGTCCCCTTACCAGTCGTGACTTTCATGCCAATCCTAACAGCACCGATTAGCCCTGCAATTCTAATCTCACAAAGACAAGAAAAAGACATACCTTGCATCCAGATCAAAGCTCTCCCACTTCGCGACCTCCTCCAACCAACCCTTACACTCCTCCAGCAAATCTGCATGGTCCTCAGGCTTCCCCTCCGCGTCCGCCTCTCTCCACACACACGCCGCCATCTCGTACCTCGCGCACGGCGCCGTCCACGCATCCTTCAACGGGCCCTTAAACAGCGCTCTATCATGCTTGATAACCTCCCTCTGCACCAACTCCTTCGCCTCCGCCATGCGCCCCATTCCCCTCAGCGTCGCCGCCCTCAGCACCGCAAGCACACCCTTCTCATCCAAATCCTCCTTACTCCAATACGGGTTCTCCTCCCCCTCACTCCACGCGAGGTTCTCAAGCGACGCCTGCAAATGATCCTCCCGCATCCTCTTGTACCCATTCCAGAAATAAATCATCTCCTCATGCGGCGACACACCGATCGCGTCCACGAGATCGCAGTCCCATTCCTTCGCGCGGGCCTCCCACTTCGCGATCTTGCGGTTGACGAAGAGGTCGAACGGCAGCTGCTTGGCCATAAACCGCTTGCGGCCCGTGTTCGGCGCGACCTTCTTGAACATCTCCTTCGCCTTCTCCTTGTGCGTGGCCGCGAGCTTCGCGTCGCGCGTCTTGTGGCGGCGGTAGAGCTGCACGTGCGAGGCGCCCGCGATGAAGTAGTACAGGCCGTGGCTCCAGTTGTTGAGCGTGATGCACTTTAGGAACGCGCGGGATGTGCCTTCGTAGTCGTGCATGAACATGGTGTTGAGGCTGCGTTCGAACCACTGGAGGGCCTCGAGTTGCTTGAGCGGGGATTCCGAGCATTGGTCCATGAAGGCGACGGCTTTCTCGAGTTGCTTTTCGTTGGCGAGCATGCGGGATTCTTCGAGGAGCCAGAGGTGCGATTTCGGGTGTCGGGACCGCATCTCTGTGAGGAGGGCTGCGCAGCGTTCTTTCGGGAAGGAACCTTCGCCGGACTGGGGCAGGATGTCGCAGAATTGGGAAATTCCGTTGTAGTAGCCGAAGAGGACGAGGCCGGCCATCGCGCCGTGAATGTTGTGGAATTTGGTGGCTTGCCAGAGGAGTTGGATGCCGCGCTCGCGGTCGCCTTTGAAGCCGACGATCTTGAGGAGGGTGGCGAATGCTGGGGGCACGAGGGAGATGATGAGGAGGAGGATGCCGAAGCAGAAGTTGGAGCCGGAGATGATGAAGATGTCGACGGGGTGGTCGCCGTAGACGGATATATCTTCTCCGTCCCGGATGGTCTCCGAGAGCGTCAGGTTCGAGAAATCTTCGATTGGACCGGGGATATCGGTTTTGACGTAAGGGTCGGCGGGCAGGTCGGGTGCTGAGCTGGACTTGACGTGGATCTTCCTCTCCTCGTTGTCCAGTGCGAGTGACCCTCCTGTCTCTGTGGGCACGTTGAGGTGGCCCATGTATTCCATTGGCGTTTCGACGCCTTCGTGGTCCTCATCTGCATCTACGAAATCGAAATCGTCATCGTCGTCATCCTCCTTGGACTTCTGGTTAGCTTTGTTAGCTTCGTTATCCGGGACACTCTCGTTCAAGCTCATGTTTGAAGCTGTCGCGGGTATGGTCTCCGGGGTAGATGTTCTCGACTCAACGAGTGTGCTTCCGCCTTTCGTTGAAGTGATCGAAGCAGGTTTCGAAGCAGTCGTTTTAACTCCTTTTGTGGACATCCTCGAGGCAGGTCTGGATGGGCTATCTGACCCACTCGAAGCAAGACTGCTTGTGCTTCTCTCATTCAAATATTTCTTCTCAGCTTCCATCACACTCTCCAATGTCAAGTATGCCTTTCGGAGCTTGTAGAAGCTCTTGATAGCCTCCGTCAGACTCTCGTTGAGCACCCCCACTATTGCACTCATGAGCTGTGCTTCGGCGAGACAGACGGCATATTCGGTTCCGGGGGGATAAATCGGTGATTGATACGAAGAAGTGTTGCGGTGTGCTCGTCGCTGTTGCTCGTATGCTGAGTTCTCGGCGTCGGAGAGCGTTTGTGAAGCTATATTGGAATCAATCCCATAGTTTTTTCTAAGATACCTCGAGAGGCATTTTGGAACTGCAGACCTTCGCGCATAATTTCCTGTTCAAAGCCCAATGTGGCTCGCATGAATGTCACGACTCCTTTCCCTAGCTATACTTGCGTGAGCCCTTAGTTGCTTACTGTCGTCGATCCGCATCCACACAATGGGGAGAGCATACCTGGTGGAAAGGCGAACTCCCTTTATTGAGATGCTCTTCAGCGGCATTGACATCGTCGTTCATAATATGAGTAACCGCTGTGGTCGCGTGACATCAGTCTCAATTCGGACAATTGTTCCTATATGTGGTCGCGGAGAGAGGTTTTGGGATTTAGTATCCGTACCTGCCATTGCATCCTCGACTATTTCGGAGTCAGCTTTCAATTTCAAGCAGAGGAATGAATTAGGTAGATTAGAATATGCGCATATATACGCAAGGGAAGTAATTACTCTGATTCAATTCATCCAAGGCGTTCAAACTCCTCGTGTGTCCATGTTTAAACTTCCCGCCGCCACCAAGCCATCCTCCCACTTTCAACATCTTGCTTCCCCGACACCGTCGCGCTCACTGCAAAGAGGGAGAGAGACAAAGTCAAAGCGTCAGATGGTCAGTCTGGAAACGAACGAACAAGCCAAACCGCTTCAAAATTTATCCAGTGTCCAAGCGGATGAAGAAGGAAAGATCGAAGAAAGAGGACTTGACGAGAAATGCCTCAAGCACTCGACAAGCTAAAATAAAAGCGGACCAAAAATTGTACACGACGGTACCTGGCGGAAGATTGCAAAATCCGTTTTGAAGGTTACGAAGCTCCGGAGATACGTCAGGAAAAGTCACAAGCGAGAGTCTTCCTCTTGGAGGGAAAATAGTCACTGTTGTTTGTCGGAGGGTCGGTCGACTGTTGACTGCTCGTGGGGGAGTTTCGTGAATGCTCGCGGGGGTACGTCATTTAAGTTTACCGGTGCTCGTCCGCCGCGCCACAATTACTGACGAAGGGACTCGTAGATGATCCTGTATCTCCGTGTGCTACAAGTACGAGCTAGAGATTACTTTGTGCCTATCTCTTGGATGCTTATTATTTACGGGGGCTTTTCAGCTATTACCTATCGTCTTACTGTGCACTCCGTATATGATTCCGTAACAGCTACGTACTGGAATAATGGGCTGGCTTCAGGCGGTCTATTGGTCTTGCCGAAATTCCATATCTTAATCGTAAAGCCAATAAACATGCCATGAAAAATTAAACCCATTTACACGGTTATTCGTGCAATAATAGAGTTCCCTATCTGAATCGAGACCACAGGAAAGGTACAATCACGTGACGCATTTGAACAGCGGCGGGCGGTATCAGGGCCTCCGACTTCCGACATTGATAGAAGCCACCAGCTACACTATTGTCCCTCCATCATCACCAAACAACATCAACCTCCCCAACGACTCACGAGATCCCCACACGAGCCCAACTCGTAAACGAATCCCGTCACTCCCACCGTACCAGACACATCAACCCCATCATGTCCGCACAACAAGGCAGCGCCGCAACCACCAAGGCCGCCGACACCAAGAACGGCGAGCAGACGCCCAAGGACCAGAAGCCCGCAACCCAGCTCGAAGAGGATGACGAGTTCGAGGATTTCCCCATAGAAGGTAAGGGCCTACCGCGAGTATCCATCGTCGCTCTCCACCGGACATCGTACAGTGGTTTAGCTGTTTAGCTGGGATTTGAGTTTGGGTTCCCAAACGGCTGCATACTTTACGTTGTGGGGGGAAGCGGAGACATTAGAGAGATGGTGTGGATTATATGTTCGTATGGCTAATGCAGTGAAAATACAGATTGGACCGAGGACGATGCGCAATTACCCGCCGGAGGAAACAACCACTTGTGGGAGGAGAGTTGGGACGACGATGACACGAGCGATGACTTCTCGGTGCAGTTGAGGTACGTCGGATCCGCGTCCCCACGGTTTGGATGCAATAAGGGACGGAAAGCTAATATGGTGTTTAGGGAAGAGCTGAAGAAGCTTGGACAGAAATGAGGGGGGGATGATTGATGGCATGAAGATTATAGAATGGGCGTCTCGTACTCGGATGAACATGTGAACATGTGCGCTGAGTGGGACGTTGAGGAGCGGGGTGTGATACCCTGCGCTCGCGAACTATCGAGGACGGCTTCCATCAAGTATAAAGCGTTGCATTCATCACGGCATGGATGGCGAGAAGATGGGAATTCATATACCAATCAGACTGCATTGGTCCTGAATAGAGCTAATAACAAACATACATTATAACCTCGGCGAGGATCCTTTTTCACATCATTTTTGAGCCATTCCAATCAATAGACGCTTGACATATCTACTTACTTGACAGAGCAGACACGCCGGGAAGGTCCTTGCCCTCGAGCAACTCCAGCGATGCACCACCGCCGGTGGAGACGTGGCTGAGCTTGTCCTCAACGCCGTACTTGGCGGCGACGGTTGCAGTGTCACCACCACCGATGATGACGATCTTGCCGGACTGTGCAGCAGCTACGGCGTTATCGAGGGTGGCCTTTGTACCCTTGGCGAAGTTGTCAAACTCGAAGACACCGGCAGGTCCGTTCCAGAGGATGGTCTGGGCCTCATCGATGGCATCCTTGTAGAGCTTGATCGACTTCTCACCACAGTCAAGACCCATCCAGCCATCTGGGATGCCGTCCTTGTCCTCGGCGTAACCGACCTGAGCGTTCTTGTCGAACTTGTCTGCGGTGATGTAGTCAACGGGCAACACAATCTTGACGTTGTTCTTCTTTGCCTTCTCAACGAGGTCCTTGACGGTCTTGCTGCCGGCCTCGTCGAACAAGCTGTCGCCGATTGGCACGTTCTCGAGAGTCTTCTTGAATGTGAAAGCCATGCCACCGCAGATGATCAAGCTGTTGACCTTGCCGAGCAAGTTGTCGATGAGCTGGATCTTGTCGGAGACTTTGGCACCACCGAGGATGGCGAGGAAAGGTCGCTTGGGGTTCTCGAGGGCTTTGGCAAAGTACTCAAGCTCCTTCTTGACGAGGAAGCCGGAGGCCTTCTGGGGGAGGTCTACACCGACCATGGAGCTGTGAGCACGGTGGGCGGTACCGAAAGCATCATCTACGTAACGTTAGTCATGTGTTCATACCAACCAGAACCAGGTAATCTCACTGATGTAGATGTCTCCAAGAGCAGTGAGTCCCTTCCTGAACTCATCAACCTTAGCCTTGTCGGCCTTGACCTTCTTGCCCTCAGCATCCTTTGAGCTGCCCTCCTCCTCGGCGTGGAATCGCAAGTTCTCCAAGAGGATGACCTGGCCACCGCTGGCTCCATTGACAGTGTCCTCGACCTGCTTGCCCACGGAGTCCTCGGTAAAGATGACCTTCTTGCCAAGCAGCTTCTCGAGCTCGGCAACAACCGGCTTGAGACTGTACTTCGGGTTCACCTTTCCGTCCGGTCGTCCGAGGTGGGACATGAGGATGACGGATTTGGCGCCATGCTCAATGGCATATTTGATGGTGGGCAGCGCGCCGACGATGCGCTGGTTGTTGGTGATGTTCTTGTCAGCATCGAGGGGGACATTGAAGTCGACCTAAGCAGATGCGTGGTTAGTATAAGATAACCCGTACAAAGAACCGCGATGGACTTACTCGGACGAGCACACGCTTGTCCTTGAGATCGACGTCGGTGATGGAAAGCTTGTTGGAGAGAGACATGTTTGTGTTTATGAGGAATGAACTGACTAGAGCTCAATGTCAGCCGGGGAATAAGATGGTGTTGCTATCGGACAAGTGCAAGCATACAGTATGAGAATGTATAGGAAGCACAGATATTTAATACAATTGATAGGGTATCAGGAGACTTACGGGAGGAAAACGAGGATGTTGTTGAGCTTTGGACGTGAGAGCTGTTGGGGGGAAAAGTGCTCGTAGTCTTATAATGGTGGTGGGGCAGAAACGGAAGGCGGGGCGGAGCGCGATCGCTGAGAACTGTGATGTCAACTTCAACGTATGATATGATATTTATTGATAGGGAGTAAGATTACTTTTTTTAATCGCAACAAATACACAGTCGTAACCCTGCGCTTATCAATTGATTCCTTGAAAAAGCAAATAAGACATGCCCATCAACATCAATCGACAACTTGCACATGTGTGATAAGCTGAACACATGTTTCTTCTTTTTTCTTTCCGCCCGGGTTTGTTTCGTCACTCTGTCCCGCGGCCGAGGATACTCCCTCGCCCTAAATTCTGCAGTCTTCCCATCCATCACCTGAGAGAGAATAGATAAAGAGAGGGTAGATCACGCCTTGAACAGGTAACAAAGATGTTATTTGACACTAATGAAAGACTGGTAAAATTGTCTCCAGACAAATTGTCACCCGAAACGCCAGAGCAATGCTTATACACAATTCCTTTAACGGCCTACCGTGAATGCAGAGCGCTCCGTGCAAGTAACTGCAAAGATATCCCGAGGATGCAATACCGTAACCTAACCAACTACAACCCATAATCGCAGAATAAGGAACTATTGAAGGGGACGAGAGGATTTAGGCATCGTCGGCTGAGTTGGTAAGGGAGAGGTATGCGGTCCACGCGATACCGACGGTCGAGACGAACGGCTAAGTGAAGTGTTAATACAATATAGGAGAGCTCATCGGGAGAATGATCTTACAATCTGCAACTGGATTGGTATGAATCGGAAGTTGATGATCTGAACCGTAGGCCAGACCATGAAGTTTGCCTTGAGAGCAGGAATATACACATCCTGGAACTTCCTCGTTACGGCACGCTTTCCGCCTCCCTCGGCGATGGTCATAAAGGTGAAAAAACAGGCAAGACCTGTTGCTGACTTAGTGATACGTTCCTTGTCCTTTAGAAATATTCAAACTTACCAACAGGCGCAAAGAGGAATTGATCAAATGCCACTCGCTTCAACGCAGGGACAATCGCCGAAGTCTTCGTGATCGGGAAGGTGCTGGACAAGAACGCAAACCACTTGTGCTGTACGGGAGTCATCAAGAAAGGATACGCCATGAACCGGGTCATTCGCTCGAAATCAAAGGGCGGCGGAAGTCGCTTCGAATCAGGGATGAGTTCGTCTGCCCATGGTCCCCGCTTGTCGAGCTCGTGGATCTCGATGGCGAGGAAATCGTCCTTTCCAGGTCCACCGGACTTGCGGACTGCGCGCTGACGGATCGATGTCAAAGTTTGTGCAACTGTATCTGCTACACCACCCAATATCTATACAAACAAATATCAGCTCCCATCCATGGATATATAACATATAACGTATCGCATTGCTTGGAGGAAGGCGGGCTCGATGGGAATATGCGCTCGGGGCTCTCGGAGATGTCCAGACGGGTCGCCTGGCGGAAGGAGTGGGATACGTACGGCGTTGGTGATCATAGTAGTCAGAACTGAAGAAGGACAGTTAGCAATACCCTCGTGACAGTTCCCGCCTTTGCGAAGCCTTACCTGGTCGTTTAGCATAGTAGCTATCGAACTTGCGGATCAGAATGGAGACAGCGGCCATCTCGAGAAAGAACACGCAAGCGTGGAGAAGAGGCTACACAGCGGGCGCAAAGGTTAGAACGGGTTCGGTGAGGGAAGTCATGTGCGGCGGGTGTTCCCTCACAATCTTGCCATAGATCCAGCGGCTGTTGAGCTGATAGAGAAGGCGGTGCCTGGTGTTTTCAATCATTTTGTTATCAATGACGTTAACTCGTCGTCAAAGGCCCGTGTGTCGATTCTGTCACAACCGTTTAGGGACGGGCGGTCGCAAAGTCGTAGGGTCTCGGTGCGCAGGTGGCGTCGTCGTCGTCCGTCGTGCAAAGGTCCTTTCGACTGGCGACGAGTCGTGATATAGGTGAAGCGATACGGTGCTTTGGAGTTTGGTAGGTGATGGGGTTTAATCCCGTGCGACTGGCGCCGCTGTCGCTTTTGACAAGAGGCGGAGCCGCGGACATTTTGGGGAATCTGCCGACGGTAGCCAATCAAGACAAAGAATGTCCCCCCCACTGCTCGTGTTTCCGGACCCTTTATGAAGGAGGACATCGTGTCTCGAAATGTATCTGACGATCTCTCCTTTATATTCAAATGTAGACCATAAGGAAGCATATGCATCACATTTTCTCCTAAGATTTGAAGTACCTCATGACCATTCCATCGCAAAAGTTCAAGGCTAGGATACATGTACAATCGGGGATATGGGACAATATCATGTCGTGTTATGAATGGGGAATTATCTCACGACAGATCGTTTCGTCTGAAACTGATCTCGCGTACGCTAGCAAAATGAAACCTCCGAGACTGATATAAAAAGATCCGAGATCGCTTTCCATTTTTCCATACAATGCGTTTACTCGATCTTAGTGGGCTCGTTCTCTATCATCACACTTATGCTTAGTTGCTTGCCGCCTCGTCCAGTGTCTCGGTGGCAACTATACTGGGCAGATCACGAATATCGGCAGTTTCTTGTGTTGCTAGATCGATAATCCTCACAGACTCGACTCCAAAAACCCCGGAACAAAGCGCGAGGAACTTCAAATCTACCGTGTAGCATGCGCCGGGGGCAAGGTGACTAAGATTCGTCAGTCTACGCGCAAGCAAAACCAGTTGCGTACATACCCTATCCGCACATCGGTGGTCAAGCAGAGGAGGTCTGCCGATTCGGATCGTGCACTCTTCTGCCTCGCATAGATGATATTCTCGTCTACGACAGCAGAGGCAAGAAGCTCTTTGCTGTCTCTTCGGTAACTTGCGATTGACGAGGTCGAGGGGTTGGATTTGTGTTTGTCGAAATCCCTCTTCCGCTTGGGCAAGACAAGAACAGCCAGCTTGCGTACCTTATCGGATCGATTCACGATGAAAATATTCCAATGGAAAAACTCCGCGACGCGAACTTGTGGCGGTCCTGTTACTGTTACAGTGACGTTGATGGGCTGCTTCTGTGCGTCTTTTGCAGGCGGCGCATCTTCCTCTTGCGGCGCAAACGAGTCAGGCCCCAAGTGTTTCTGTGGTGCTTGAGCAATCGGATTGCTGGCTCTGTGAGCAGCTTTCATGAAGTTCTGATTCTGTTCGCCAGCGAAGTCTACTGGGGTCCTCCACTCAATTGACAGCACCGGAACTGTAGTGTCGGACACTAATGCATTGGCCTTGATCGTGAGTGACAATATATGCCCTTCTGGACCATATAGTAGGCCGCCTTCTCCGTTAAGCTCGGGTTCTAGCTCGTATAGATAAGTAATTTGATCGCCAGGTTGGTGAACCAGCTGTTGGCCCTGGTGATTAGCAATAGCCGTGGTTCTTCCTCCCTTCAATGATAATTCGATGCTTTCAATTTGCACTTTACATCCAGTAACATGTGCAATCTCGAGATCCAGGCTGGCGATGAGAGACGCATCACTGAGGGAAGTATGCTTCTTGGAGTATCGGATGCGCCATATAAGTGCAGGAACTGTTCGGAACAACCGCCGTTGGCCCGTCTTGATTGGGCGAATAAGCTCTCTGACTACGGGTGCACTAGGTGCAATCTTGTTAATTCTGAGTGCCGACAATCGTGGATGGGCACCGGCCAAAGCAGGATCACTTTCGAAGGCCTGAAGCAAGTTCAGTGCAGTAGGAACCTTGCTTGGAAGGTACTCATCATTTGAACCAGGTCGCTCAGTCCTTGGAGGTGGCTTCAAGTTTGCTGTTGGCTGGAAATATATTGCTGGTTTGTAAAATCGCCCATGAGGTCGGCCTACAGTCGTCAGCTAAAAGGTAGATAAGGTCAGGAAAGGCTTACTTATGAACACTTCCAATCGCCATATGACATAGACATATTGACTGTTGACCTCGGGACGGAGGATTAGAGGTTCCTTGGAGTCCTTGATAGTCTCGGAGTATATCAGTTCCTTCGGTGGCGGTGGTTTTGCTTCCGGTTCAGGGGGTGGTGCAGTACTGAAAGCAAAGACATCCAAAGTAATAGCTAGTCGGCTGAGATATGCTCTCAATGTATCATTATCTATTGAAGGCGTCCGGAAGACAACATATACCGGCACACGCTCATCTACACATCTATGAATGAGTAAGAGATCTGAAAGAACGCTATACAGATCAATCTGCTTACCAAAAATGATAAATTGCCGCTCAGTTACAAAAGGTGCAATGGAACTATGATCATCTGCAGTGTTGCCGTCCCATGCGTCCAGTTTCTGTTGGACGTCAAATGAGGTATCTGCCGGCACAACAGCTTCAAGTATTGAGCTTTCCACAAATTCTGCGCTCCTTCGAGGCTGCGCTTCAACCTGTTCCGCGGCCATCACATACTCTGCATTACAGTGAGAAGGTACCTGACGCCTGGGTAACTCCAAGGCAGGTGGCACGTGCGCACTCAGGGGACGCGTCGGCGTCGGAAAAACGAATCGGCGTCGCAAGTGGAAAGTTCTCCTGCGACGCGAAAGCTACCTCTTGGTTCACTAACACACAACTCCACGCAAAGCGCAAGCAGAAACAAGCGCGATGAATGGTTTTCCACACCCTCCGCGGCCAGTCGCATGGCAGGAGGCCAAGACTCCTGATGGTAGGGTTTATTACTTCAAGCCTGGGACTCAGGAGACCACCTGGGCGAAACCAGAGGAGCTCAAGACAGACAACGAAGTGAGTATTGAACCACTGCCAAAATCACTCCCAAACCCACTGCCAAATCCATTGCCAAATCCCCTGCCCCACTGCCATTACAATTATCATCTAACAATCGATAACCAGCGTGCTCTCGATGGCACGCCCTGGAAAGAATATACCGCGGAGGATGGCAGGAATTATTGGCACAACACGGAGAGCTCTGAAACAACATGGACTATGCCGCAAGTTGTTACCGACAAGCTCAAAGCAATCCGTGATGCTCCACCTCAGCGCCCAGCTGCTATGTAAGTATTCAAACTTTCGTTCTTCATAGACTCTAACAGCTAATCCGCTTTCAGTCCAAATGCTTCAGGATGGGCAGCCGGGCCAACCTCTCTACAATCGTACAACCAAAGGTCTCACGATCGCGACGATCACCCACCAGAACGACGCGATCGCGAGCGAGAGGCAAACTATGGAGGCGAGCGACCAGCGGTCTCTTTCGGCTCCTCAACGGAAATAATGTTCTCCAACCCCCAAGATGCGGAAGAAGCTTTCAAGAATCTGCTAAAGAAGCTCAAGGTTCAATCCGATTGGTCTTGGCCCCAAACTGTTCGTGTTGGAATAAAGGATCCCAACTGGCGCGCCATACCCGACCCCAGGGAGCGCGAGACGGCCTTCAAGAAATATTGCGAAGACCTTCGCGCCCAGGACAAGGCAAAGGAGCAGGAACGTCAGGTGAAGTTGCGGTCTGATTTTACTGCCATGTTGCGATCCCACCCAGACATCAAGTATTACACCAGGTGGAAGACAGCCCTACCTATGATCGAGAACGAGGCTATTTTCCGGTCTGCCAAGGACGACAGCGAAAGGAGAGGACTATTTGAGGAATATATACTCACGCTGAAGCGAGCGCACGCCGAGAACGAAGTGGAGGAGAAAAAGTCTGCCTTGGACAACCTAGCAAACCTTCTTCAGGGCTTGGACATCGAACCGTTTACCCGCTGGAATGTGGCTGAGGAGAAATTGCACAGCAACAACGAATTCACCAGCGAGAAGTACAAAACCCTGAGCAAAGTGGATGTTCTAAATACCTTCGAAAATCACATTAGGGAGTTGCAACGAGAGCTTAACGATCGCGTACAAGCAGAAAGGCGCGCCAAACACCGACTCGAGCGAAAGAACCGCGATGCTTTCGTTAAGCTGTTGCACGAGCTTCAAGATAACGGCAGGCTGAAAGCTGGTACAAAGTGGAAGGAGATTCACGAGCTCATTCATGACGACCCGCGGTATGTTGCAATGCTGGGTCAGAGTGGATCAACTCCTCTCGACCTGTTCTGGGATACACTCGAGGAGGAGGATGGAAAGTTCCGTACGCTGCGACGATACGCTCTTGAAGTTCTGGAGGTGAGTTTCGACCTGAGACAGACTTTTAGGATTTCACTAACATTCTCAGAATCAACGTTTCGAAGTTACCACCAATACTCCCTTCGCAGACTTCCTCAGTGTCATGCGAAATGACTCGCGCACTGCTAACCTTGACGAACAGTCACTGAAGAACATTTTCACCTATGTCATCAGCAAGGTCAAGAAACGAGAGGACGACGAACGCCGCGATACCGAGCACCACGAGCGTCGCGCGCTGGACGACTTCCGTTCCCTCCTCAAACATCTCGAGCCTCCCGTATCAGTTGCGGACACCTGGGAGGCGGTGCGTCCACGTGTTGAGAAATCTGAGGAGTTCCGTGCTGTTAAGTCTGAACAATCTCGTCAGTCAGCCTTCGACAAGTACATCCGCCGATTGGAAGAAAAGAAACGAGACAGGGAGAGAGATCGTGAGCGCGACCGGGACCGAGAGCGGGACCGAGAGCGGGATCGCAGCAGGCGCGACCCACGTGATCGTGAGAGGGACCGTCGTGACCGAGATCGTGAGTACCGTAACGGCCATTCAGACTCTCACCGTCGTCATCGTACGCGAACGCGCTCACCTGAATATGACTCGTATGCAGCCGAGAGAAGACAAGCTCAGCAAGATCGCGAGGCACGTTACAGGAACAACGATAGCACTGGCCTCTCACCACCCCACCGCCGTCATAGGGACGACGATCGCTACGAACCCTCTCGCCAGGGTAGTGGTGATCATTATGGCCGTGAACGTCGTGAGCGCGAAGCCGAGCGTGAGCGAACATATGTCAGTAGGGCTGATCCCCGCGAACGAAGCGTCAGTGAGCTAGACTATGGAGACAGCCGTCCAGCCTCGACTAGGCGTCGGCGTGACAGTGATGATAGCGCAAGCCGGCGTGACGTAAAACGAACAAAGTTGTCTCCGCGTCGTGATCCCAGGTCCAAAACACCGGTGCAGCAGCAAGCTGTCGACCCAAAAGATGATCCTGGTCTACGTTCTGGTAGCGAAGAGGGCGAGATTGAGGAGGATTAAGTTGGTCTTCACAACAGTACGACACCCTAAACGCTTTGAACAGGTCTTTTGCAGTTCATGGATTTGTCTAGCATTGACTCTACCTCCCCTTGCAAAAGCCAAACCCCAATCCAGGCGCCGGCCCTCGATCCAGATGGAGATTAGGCCGTGAGTAAGTGCATGATACTAAAAATAATTGCTTTTAACTTCACATGGCTCTGTGACTTGACTCACGAAGTGTTCTCAAGTTTTGTATAGTTTGCATAGTATGATAGGGTATAGCCCTTGTTAGTTTACCCTTGGAGAAAATGTTATTTAGTCGATTTCCTGATACACATTACAATCACGAGTGATGCACAGCATGATGTGATAACCGGATAATAAACTAGCTAACCATCCCTTAACGAATGAACATGATAAGATTGGCAACATCTTAGCACTTTTTTACCTGAGGCCCCCCCCCCATGTTGTTTCCGTCCGCCTTGCAACTAACCTGCTGCAATAACTCGATACTTCTCTTCGTGTCCTCATGTTCAAAGCCCAAGTACTCCAATCGACCAACAATAGCCTTCTTACAGAACTTCCTTGCATTGTCAATGTCACCAGTCTCCCAGTATACCTGAGCTAGGGAGTGTGCAGCTGCATACTTCTCCCCCATGCCCGCATCCCTCATCTTGTATATGGCTACCAGAAGCGCAATAGCATCCGATGTCTGGCGAGGGACACAGAGCAAGTAGGCACGAGACATATCGAGCAGGACTTGCGGACGTCTGGGCAGTCTCTGCAGAATCGGCGGGAGAGGCCACTTAACGTTCAAATTTATGATGGAAGAGTGGAGGGACTGCAGCAAAGGGAGGGCTTGCTGTCCCCGGCCAAGATCGAGGAGGTCGCGAGCGGTCGAATAGGTTGCGAGTAGATCTGGTGTTCGCTGGCCGAGGGCGTCCGTGTCGATGTACGTATTGCGTTCGTGGGCGGCGACTCGCTCGGCGGAAAGTGTCTGCAATGCAACTGGGTCGAGTTGAGAGTAGGCTGGTAAGCCGTCGTTGGGAGAGTGGTGGTGTGTTGAATGGCATGCCACCATTACTGCATCGTCAGCCTGCGGTTCGAAAGGCGAGAGTCCCATCATTGAATTAGCCAGTCCCAGAACATCGGGATCATCGTCTTGACTGATTAACGTCGAGAGAGACAGAGCTGCTTTACTCGATGCCCCGGCTCTAGGTGTGATTGTGTCAGTCGAGGGCGTCATCATTCCTGAAGATGACCAATCCGACTCTGATGCTGTGCGCTCCAGTGTCTTGTATCGCGCACTGCCTCGTGTGGTTCTTCGTCTAATTAGGGGTTGCTTCTTGTCAGAAGTAGAAGGCAGACGAGCATTTAAGAGTGTACTAGACAGCCCCTCAATGATACGGGCTAACTCTAAACGCTGCTGATGCAAACTGGGTGTATCTGGGGATGGTGGGCCTGTCGAGCTCACTCTTCCATCCCCTTTCAGGTATTGGCCAATGTAGCGAAGTTCATCGGCACAGTCATCGAGAGCCCTGAATCCTAGATGTTCGAAGGAAGGACCGAGAGATGGACGTAACGATTCCCTAGTATGGTCAGCTTTCAGCTTTGCATCGAAATCTTCCCTAGTGAGCATACACGGCAGAGACCATGACAGGTGCACTCAAGGCGGTGGTGCCCACAGCAATCCTCATCCTCAGATGCCTAACCTCGCCTACGAGGTTCTGGGGTAGTTGGTCGTTCAAGCTTTCTGTATCTGGTCTCAGCCCACTCAGGAGAGTGGAAATGAACTGAAGAAGGCACAAATTGGAATTCTTCAGGAGTTCCTCGAGACGCTCAACGTTCCACCAATCTCGGTCCTCGTGGTTCTTGTTTCCAAGCTGTACATTGTACGACAACAAGGTGACGGTATTCGAGAGAGATGACAGATCATGATCGAGGTCTCGTAGCGCTTCAATGGAGGGCAAGTCAACCTTTTCGAGGACTTGCTGTAGAACAAGAATGTTTTCAAAGATTTTGTCAATTTCAGCCCGAAACTCAGCGGTCAAGGCCATTGTTGACGAATTTGTGTGCTGGTAAACACCTCTTCATCTATCCTTTAAAGGGAAGTTCCAAAGGCCCTTTCGCGTGAGATGTGAATGCCCTCAACGAATTCACTTGTCATCACCGATGCTATGCTGCAGATGAGGTGTTGAGTCTCACCCCATTCAGACAGGATGCATTTGATGAAGGCAAACTGTCTCCGTCGAAAGTTTACTTAATTTAGATCTGGTGCATATTGGCAGACATATCATTCGCATCGCCTTGCCTGGTACGACGTGAGTGAGCCTTGAAGATGCCCCGTGACTACAGCGGACCATCCGGAGTTCATGAATGATAAAAGAAATCCGCTGCATAAGTGGCATGCTGATCCTCAGACTATCGCCCTACTGAGATCCATTCACCGTAAAATCCTTGGTTCTGGCTACTGGTCATGTTTTACACGTATAATCTCTGCTTCATGTACATGTTAGGATGCGACATCCTTGTATGGTTCTATGTCGCCAATCATGTACGAAGTTGACAAATTATACCATAATCGAGGGCTACGATATCAATTGATAAGTTCCCGGATGCTTGTAGGATCCGCCTTGCGGGGGCAACATTGTGTATTGGTCGATGTATTTATAGAACTTGTGCGCGACTCTGGGTGGTCTAAATTGTGGCTATGGCTACATATGCACCACTGGCTTAAGCGACTTGCGGTGAAAACTCTAGAAAATTGAGACACCACGACAGCGGATATATCCATCTTATTGTCGAAGGTTATTGTATTTCAATAACGAATCCATACTGTTGGTATAGGATTGTCCCCGACTTTTGTTGGTAGAATAGCGAGAAGAGGGAGCGCCGATGATGTTGTTCAAAGTTCGCCATACAGCTTTGACGGTTCGGTTCCAATAACACAGCCTTGCTCTTGCGATGAATAGCTCCCTATTATGTCCAAGTAAGACTCCGGTCCTTATGTATGGAAAACACAAAGTGGAACTATATGTCAAGTTGTAATACCAGTCCAGATGCTGATCGCTGGGCTATGCGAGTCAAGATGAGTAGACAATGAATTTATCAGGCGGCAGTGTTTCTGGTCGGAACAAGGAGGCTCAAGAATCATTCTCTAGACCCCTCCGATACAAACCGCATTTGCTAGTCTTTTCGCGAGTTTAGCAATTCTTGAAATCCTTTGATTCTTGTATTGAATCATGTCGTTCGCATACTTCCCTTATGACTCGACGAGGCGAGTCAAGCGAGATGGCAATGTCTCGACTATCGGCTCGGAACGTATGGCAGATGTGTTTTCAATAATGGTGCGTATTTGTATTTGTTAGACCCACAAAAGAATACTAATCGGATGCTCGCTATGGCTTAGGCACATGTAATAGAAATTATGAACCCGTTGTTAGGCTAAGCTGTGTAACTTACTCTACTCTGCAAACTGGTGCAATACAAGTTCATGTGTCGTTGAAAAACACATTGGATCCTAGAAAATCGGATCGTCATGATTCTGTAACTGATGATCGATAAATCTTCACATTGCACAATAATTTCCAATTGCTTAAGTCCAGATGTTGGCCTCATAGCTCGTAAACACAACCGAGATGGTAATTTTCGGTACTTGCGCAAGCCTCGGTTCGTTCTACCCCAGACACTCCACCTCCACCCCAGACAACAAGCGGCACAGCTTATATCCTAATTCAACCTCCCGCCATGTGAGATCAACTTCTAAGGAGCTCGCATTGCTTGATTGCAGATTTTCATTTGTCCAGATACCCCTCCAAGATGTCGTCCACACCAATTGTCCCCTTTTCGGAACCCCCATACCTTGCAGGTCACCCTTCGCCCTACTACACAGAGAACCACAGGGCATGGCAAAAGGCATGCAGGAGCTTCGTAGAGAAGCATCTCCTAGCAAATGCATTGGAATGGGATACTCAAGAGCTCCTTCCTGAGCATGTCTTCGAGACATTTGCAAAGGCTGGCATGTTGCTTCCATCACTCCCTGCGCCTTTGCCCGTGGAGTGGTTGAAGAGCCTCGGAATCCACGAGCTTCTGGGTACTGTCAAGGTTGAAGACTTTGATTACTTCCACACTTTGATCTACTGTGACGAGGTATGTAATACTGTATTAGCTACGTTTGAATCATGAAGCTAACATTGTAACCCAGATGGCTCGATCTGGTCTCGCTGGCCCGTCGGGATCTCTCACTACCGGCATGTCTTTCGGTGTACCTCCGATCGTAAAGTACGGCAACAGGCAACTTCAAGAGCGCTTCCTACCCGAGCTTCTCACTGGCAAGAAGCGAACTTGCATTGCGATCACCGAACCTGAGGCCGGCTCCGACGTCGCCAACATCACCACAACCGCCACAAAGACGCCAGATGGAAAGCACTACATAATAAATGGCACAAAGAAGTGGATCACAAACGGGATATGGGCCGATTACTCGAGCATGGCTGTTCGAACAGGAGGCCCCGGCCCGACAGGACTCTCAATGGTCGTAGTGCCATTGAAAGGCTATCCCGGCGTGAACATGAGGCGATTGAAAGTTGGAGGTCAGGTTTCCGCCGGTACAACTTTCATCGAACTCGACGATGTCAAGGTTCCGGTAGAGAACCTGATCGGCCAGGAGGGCATGGGAATGAAGTACATCATGACCAACTTCAACCACGAACGCATGACCATCGCTATTGGCGCTACAAGGCAGGCTCGCGTCGCTTTGGCAAGTGCTACTGAGTACATCCTCAAGCGTGAGGCTTTCGGCAAGCCGCTTGTAGACCAGCCTGTTGTGAGGCATCGATTGGCCAAGTGCGGTGCAATGTTAGAAACCCAGTGGGCATGGGTAGAGCAATTCGCCTATTCATTAACGAAATTCCCCAAGGAAGTGGCCGATGTTGAACTCGGTGGCTTGACAGCCATGGCCAAGGCTCAGGCGGGTATCGTTCTGAACGAGTGTGCTCAGTGCGCTATGCTACTTTTTGGTGGAAATGGATACACTAAGAGCGGCCAAGGAGAGCTGATTGAAAGTAAGTTCTTTCTTCAAATTTGGAACAATCAGTGGATATTTTGACTGACAATCAAACAGGAATCTACCGTGAAGCGCCAGGCATCAGGATACCCGGTGGCTCTGAGGATGTCATGCTGGATCTTGGTGTGCGTCAGTTGGTCAAGAACTTTAAGAACAAGACCAAGGCCCTTGAAAGGCCTCAAGGCTCTTCGAAGCTATAGTTGTTTAGCGGAATAATGAGCAAATGTACACTAGAATCAATGCATGAAGATCCTAAGCTTCGGGAATGTTTAGACAGAAATTAATCGACCAGGTGCCTGTTAGAGACTCGATTGTCATAATACTTCGGATAGTCATTGACTCGAGAGCTATACATGCTGGTGACCATATATGTTGCCAGTAGAACGTGCCTAATGCTTTTGATGGGAATAGCGTCAAAGAATCTCTCCATCAATCGATTATGACATGGGCCAATGTTCGGCCAGTCAAAGAATTCGACAAGAACGCTTCAGTAATCATAAGTACGATCATGTGCCAGGTCTTCTCTCTGAGAATCCAGATCTTAACATTGGAACTCTTGCTGAGAACTCTCACTGTTCAAACTGATAAAAAGGTTCAAGCTCACGCATACCATGCCTCGAACTACCACAATCCACCAATCCTCCAAACACCAATAGTCTATTCAATGAAGTCTAGGGGATCAAAGCCCGTCCACTCAACCCCCCATGTCCCCTTACACCCGACCTACCACACCTTGTCCTCTCCACCTTACCCCAAACAACTCCCCATTGTACCTCGGTCTCCCTCGGGACCTCCGTATCCAAAACAGTAACGCGCCCCCTGTCAGAATTCGCAAGCTTTCCTTCTTTACTTTAGTTCCCGCCGGGAAACGATCGGCCGAACGGTGGTTTGGTTCCTGTTATTGGTCGTTGGAATCTGTCGTTTCCAGAGCGGTGGTACCTGGTGTGGTTGGTGGGTGTGATCTGCATGGCTGGAGTCTGACGGAGAGTTTGGGTAGTCTAGGGGAGTGATGGTGGTAAAGGGCGTGCGTGGGTAGATATAGGGGGTGTGTATTGTTGACTGCATGGAGGGGATGAGTGCTGTTGGAGTATCGTAGGCCATGAATATGAAGTCCTGGTCAACAGTAAGTAAGATTCAGGAGATGATATCAATAGTTCGACTCCTTCTGATAGTGTTACCGCCTTCAAATTTTGGTAACAGCATGACTTCGATTGAAGCACGGAATCATTGTGATATTGCTTTATTTAATGATGATGGAATCAAAATCGAACAAACGCTATTTCAGGTCCGGAATCCCGCAAAATCTCATATTCTACATCACAGTCTATAGTGCAAGATCGGGCTGGTGGGAGCAGCAAAGTTCAATAACATATCATCAGCGTTTACGCTATGGTATAGCGAGGCCCAAATGTTAGAATTATAGTCTTGTAAGAACATTGATATCACGTGCTTACCCTGGGGAAGCACATGTCTAGCCTGTGATTGGGAAATGCTTTCAAGGTGGACATATGTGTTCTAGGCTGTTAATGCATCTGTATTGAATTGAAATGTGATCTGGTATGTCAATGATACGCTAATATCGATATAGTACAATGATGAGCTCTCATTTGCGAGAGTGTAATTATTTCTTAAGACTGCAAACATCAATGATACAAGCACTACCATTTTTTACACGTCCGACTGTAGTTGTATCTACTATCTTTCCTATCTATTCACTGACTCACGTTTTCTTACCTTTGTACGAGAATAATGCACGCCTACACCCATAACCATGTCAAAAGAAGCCAACTATACGATTCCAAAGCCTGACTAAATAATGTAATTGTTGAAAATCTTCATTTCTTCACATGTGGCTCAGGAACGGAACCAATGGAGTCTGGATTGGCTTTTTTTCATTCCGATCTGGCCCACTCAATTCCGATTCCGAATCCACATTGACCCCCTTAGTTTCGTATGCTTCGTATGTGCGCGCCCGCGGATGGGTTCAATCTTTAACTGAAGGATTTATTTATTTTAAGAAAAGAAAATTTGCGCTTCGTTCCGGAGAGCATATGCGACTTTATTTTAGCGTGGTGATAAGAAAGAGCAATTGTGAAAGATGATTTTCTGAATACCGCGATCAAGCATCAGACATGCCTTACAATTACAAGTCACCAAACGCTGCCGAGATCCGGGTAATCGATCTTCCATCTCTCTTCCCAGACCCTATGGCACGGCAAACAAGGCGGAAGGGAGAGCAAGCAAGCCTTATTATGTCGTTATCATCGAGACAAGGTATTTTCAGCTTTTGATTGTTTGTAGATACTTATGCATATGTGCCTGTGGCGCTATTATCTGTACCATGCTTTTCTGTGCCGTGTGTGTTGATTGAAGAGAATGGGTTAGTACCGGATACGTTTCCGCGCTCTCAGCTAGGGTGCACACAGCCGCCTAAGCGTTAATCATTTCTGCACAGTAAGTTAACTTTATCATTAATATTGTGTTGGGGAATGTCTTTCTGGAGACATGTTTGAAGAAAAGCGGGCCTTTTGAGATGTTTTGGTCTTCTACTTTTTGATAAATTGTTTGGACGCTTGGACTGGTGAAGATTGGGTTGGGGATTCGCGATCACTTGCCCCAGTCTGAGAATGGCAATAAGGCTGGGGTGCTGTTTTCCGTGGAATCCAATGCGAAATGCTGGCGTATAGGGCGTGAGAGGCGTCATTTTGAAGGATTTCTGGGGTATGCAACTACTGAGCACAATCTCCATGTTCGAAGCCGTGTTTTCCCGCATCAGCAAATGGCCATTCCCTGCGTGTAAGACTGTAAGGTGAATGTAAGGTAAGGTAGGGATCTGAGGGTTTTATTTTCCAGCTCCAAATAACAACTTTAATCTCCACAGTTGGGGAGTAAAACCTTCTCGGACGTACAATACAGGAGAGACATGATGCATGATTCTATTTAGCTTGTGTCGGAACGCCTTTAGTTTAGTCTCGCTCGCTTTGCTTCCCCAACTTTTGCGGCAATGTCCGTACGTAAGAAGGATCCTACCAGTACGAGTACGGTAGGCAAACTGCCCAACTGTGATTCACGAGGCGAGTTATCGATTCGAATCTGCACAGTCGTGTGTCCTGTCTGTCGATTCGACTTGTGCGAGTCGCCCAATCCTTCCCCCACAAAACGCTACAGCACACAGAGTCACCCAAGTCGCTGTCAGACGGTCGGCTGCATGCCATTAGTCTGGATCTTGAGGCTGAAAGGGATGTACATCAGGGTGCTTTTGGATGATCTTTTAGATTAGTCGTTGGGTGCAAATCTGCCATTAGTCAGTTAGTCTGCCAGTGCAGTGCGTTCCAGGTTTCTGTGGGACATTGGCCATGCTATCCATGCCATGCTGCTTCAGGGTCTGGACACCCATTGACAATGTTGTGCTGGGTGAACGGCACGCGGAATTTGCCCTTACAGGCGAGTGGAAAAGACTAGGCACACGTACTCGACGCTACTAAAACTGTTAGTTAGACCAGACCTAACGAGACGACCACCGATGTCTCGAAACCGGTCTTTTCTGTTACTTCGGCTATCCAATTTCGATGCTGCCGATTCGAAATTCAAACACGCCCTGTGGCCCAGCGATGGTGCTGTCCCATGGGATATGGTGATCCGTTGGGCGGACGTACAGCCGACGCGGAGGTCGTTCGGATTGTGATGGTCGCTTTCTACATTTGGTTTAGGATTCCATGCTACGAGTATGAGGCTGATGATGATCGGAAGCCGTATGTGTGCTGTTCAGTGTTGCTGCTCGCAATTTACGAATATGCTCGCTCTGCTCGATGTTTGATTTACCTACAAATTGCGTATGTATGGTTCGGCCGAGGGCCCATGTAGCAGATGATGCACGAGTGGTATATAGACTTTCCCAACAACATGTACTCTCTATAGCCATATTTCCCCTTCTCGAAGGGCTCATTTCGACAGATAACGAGCCTCATGATTACCAACGCGATGTCGGACCAACTCATGCACCGATATGGGGAAGGGTTGAGCTAATGTCCGGGGAAACAACTCGTAAGTTCGTAACTGCTGAGCTGGTGACACCTACGCCAACAAAAGCTGCGATCCCTTACTCATTTCCTCCTCCCTCCCACACACACGCACGCAACACCCCGCAAAAGCCATACGATAGAGGCCTAGGTTTGAAGTCTTGGATCGTCGTGGCTGCCCCACACGTTCCCGTTAGGTCGACTCGTAATTTGCTCGATGGGTAATCGGCGTCGTGCCCTGGTGTGATCAAAAACTTGGTTACCTACCAGAGGCACCCAAGCCAGTTTGCCTTTCCTCCGGTGCTCTGCTGGCCTACCGATAGGAGTCAGGGGGTGTGCCTCCGATCCAAGACGATACAATCGACGACATAAGAAAAGTCGGCGTCATCACTGTCCTTGTCATGCTGTTTGAAGAAGAGCTGAACAATGAGAACGTGATCACTCGGAGGCGGTCAGCAATTCCACAGTCATCGCGATTCAAAGCGGATCTGTTGGCATCACGGGGCAAGTGCATAAGGGAGCGGAATTAGAGGAGTAATGCGTGCGTGCAGAATCGGTGGCTCTGCAGCCGTTCATTGGACAGAGGGGCAAAGGCCCACCGACTCCGTGATCTGAGGAAAAAGGCCGGAGGGAAAAGGCCGCAACATTTCTCAAAAGTCTGCAACGGTTGGCTTGTCTGTCCTTGTTGGTCCCGGCTAGCAACTTCGGCTGTGGGCTGCTGTGGGCTGTGTAGACACTTTCTACTTTTAAGGCCGAGCCACCAGCTAGTGTACAATAGACTGGCTTGCTTGTCGAGGGAGAAGGAAAATGGGCAATGGAGATCGGCCTCTTGTTGCTCGGCCGGCACTCGAGACCAATGATGTCGCACCTAGAGGAAACCCATTTCCGGGGTTTCCAGAAAGGCACAAGTCTGCAAGGAAAAGCGAAGGACGCTTAGATGTTTGTGTCTCGTGGTGTACAAAGAGCGCAGGCCGCCTTAGTCCTGACTCCTCGCCTGTCCTCGAAGACTCGTACTGTGTAGGACCAAGGAGTGTTGCGAGTAGGCATCAGAACAGCTGCTGTCTGCACATGACTCGGACGAAAGGTGGACAGTTGGCAGAATTGGATGTCTAGAGCTTAGAGGTTTGTCAACGCCTTGGGGACGAACGGTCAATTCGATGGGGACGAGACCGGGGTAGTGTATGTAGGCGTCTGTCATACTCCGTACATCTGCATAGCATATTTTCAGCGTAGAAGGGTGGCACAGCGTCTGGAATCGATCGTGAGCCGCGGCATCTTTTTCATGTTCTCAGTCCGCCACCATCACCGTGCGTTTGAGATGGATGATGTCGGAGTGAGAGGGTTTCTCTAATGACATTGTGACCTCTCCCTTCATCTTACAGGCCAGGACAGGGCCACAGGCGAGGAGGGTGACGTGCCAGAACTAAAAGAGCTTCTGAATGGAGAGAGTTAGTCCCGAGGGCATCCGAGAATGACCGGCGCCTCCAACCCGCCAAGTGGGAAAAGAGTGAATACCGCCGAGAGTCCGAATCTGGGGGCGCTGGGGTATTCGACAAGAACTAACTTCCCACACACTACACTAACGATCCCCAGTCCAAAGTATCTTAGTTTCTAGTGGGGAGAACAAGGGGGACGATGGCAGCAATTCGTCTGTTGGTTTTAGTTGAATCGCGAGCCGCGTCAAGGGAAATGGCCAAGCCTGGATTAGAACATTCTCATCCCAGGGCCAGAGAGACTCCACCATGTACGCAAAAATTGGGCCCCATACAATACATAATCGTCCCTCTCCCCCGGCCGTCCCCTTCGCGCGGAATCGGTTCAAAATTTCTCGCAATTTTCTCATACATTGCATGTCAATCTGTACGAAGTGATCAGACACTTCAAATCAGTCTTTGACATCTCAGGGTTGACGACATCATTAACAAACAACACCCACATTCACAATTGAGCATTGCTCAACCACAACATCCGTCACCATGTCCGACTGCTCAGGATCACCGTCTGACCATCACGACCATACCCAACAACCGAAGCGGAAAGCCAACCAAGCAGGTATCGATGGGAACACCACTGGCCGTTCAGTAAAGAGGAGGGCGTCTAAGGCGTGTCAGTGCTGTCGAGCACGAAAAGTCCGCTGCAATGTCACTGAACACGGTGCACCATGCACCAACTGTCGACTAGACGAAGTGGAATGCATCGTCTCAGAGAGCAGAAGAAAAAAGTGAGTAGTAAATGCCCTAGAACGAGCACCAGATTCCATTTCCTCCAAAGGGGCGTTCCTCCACTCCAGCCTGTCTCTACAGCAAAGTTCAGCATTCCAACGAGGAAACAAATTCCCGTTCGAGAAAAGTTCCTTCCACCCGCCAGGTGCAGGCATTCGACGTCGAAAATGTCGTAATGCATGGAATACAAAAAAGCCGCTGCAAAAGCTTAGAGACTCGGCTATTCGCCTCTGGTCCTTGGACGCAGCCAATGATGGAGCCCCAACTCTGCCACCACTCGTGTTGCGACCGCCAATGGAGGATCACCTGCCGATGTCACAACAATTGCATCACCGACAATAAGAAAAAGAAAAGAAAATTAATTAGACGAAGAACCCTCCCTATATCCGACGGAACAAACAGTCTTGATTAGCTTACTTGTTGAATGATCCGCTAACATTGTTATTGCCAGGAAATGGACCAAGGACGACGAGCAACAGAACGAGACTTCACAAGGCTCGGCGTCAAGTGCCAATCGCAAGCTCGCCTCTCGCGAAACCCTGGACAGTGTTCAAAGCCTGAACCCAGCCTCAGCATCTCGCAGGTCACATGAAGCTGAGCCGCGGCCTGACGAGCATGTGCCTCATTCCATCTGTGCGTCTATCCATCATCAGCATGAGCATCTGCGTGGCGGCTGTCTGGATGTCGAGCACACAGACGTTTGCCCCGTGCAGCAATTGCTCCATTCGCTGGCATGCTCCACCAAACGATCACATGCGCTGACGTTCATTTACAGATCAAAGCCATCCCCGTATTGGATCCATCAGCAACTTGTCCGAGCTGCAACGCCGTCTCTCAATCAACTCCCAATCGAATGGCCTTTCAACGTCAATGCCTTTTGCGCCCTTTGGCGCCGACAACCCCTTCAACTATAGCCAGAATGCTGCGCCAAGGCAGTCAGCACCTGAATTGCCTTCCTACATCAAGCCTCTTCCTGCTAGGATCGGTGCAGATGAGATCGCATACCTGGAAAAGAAGGGTGCTTTGAGTCTACCAAAGGGAACCCTCCGTAGTGAAATGTTGAGGGCTTACGTCGAATTCGTCCACCCCTACATGCCTCTTCTGGATCTTTACGACTTTCTCACAATCATCGATCGTCCGGATGGCAGCCTCGGCAAGGTCAGCTTGATTCTATTCCAAGCTGTCATGTTCGCTGGATCGGCCTTTGTGGATATGCGTTATTTGCGTGCTGCAGGTTATGTGACACGTAAGGAGGCCCGCAAGGACTTCTTTACTAAGACTAGGGTGAGTTACAACTACTTCGGCCGAGCCTGTTTCTTTCTTACATTTCTTTTTTCCTCCCTCAAACCTCCGTCCTCCCCTTTATTCTGGGGAATTGTGGGCTTGTGGATTTCCCCGGAGAGAACTTTCCTCTTTTGGAAAAGCACGTGGCACGCGACAAGTCGGGGTGTTGGTAGACTAGAAGGATCACCGAACACTCCCCCTTCTTTAGCATGTGAAAGCTCCGAATCTCCAAGAATCGGCCTGGCTAACGTTTTTTCCTGCATTAGTTACTCTACGACTTTGATTACGACTCCGATCGTGTTTCGCTGGTCCAGGCCTTGCTTCTTCTGACGTACTACTACGAGACTCCCGATGACCAGAAAGACACATGGCATTGGATGGGGGTTGCGACCTCTGTGGCTCACACCATTGGTCTGCACCGTAACCCGGATAACACCAATATGGACACCAAGCGCGTGAAGCTGTGGAAGCGCATATGGTGGTCAACCTATATGCGTGACAGGCTCATTGCCTTGGGCATGCGTCGCCCAACCCGCATAAAGACTGAGGACTTTGACGTGCCCATGCTCACCCTTGATGACTTCGAGATTACAACTCTACCCGACAGCATCAATGGCCTGCCATCAGACTGCCGTATCGCTAAGGACCTCGACATGCAGCGTCAGCTCGCTGTCATGTGCATCGAGAAGGCCAAATTGTGTCTTTGCATCTCCCATGTGCTCTCCAAGCAGTATTGTGTCCTGAACAATAATCAGGGTCTTTTGAACGACCGCACCACAATGATGCTTCTCCCCAAGAAATTGGATCCGGAGACCAGCGAAGTTAAGGCTTGCGACGCAGAGCTCCAAAAATGGGTGCAGGAACTGCCACAGGATGCCAAATACTCTGACAATTTGACGGGAGAGGCTGCTCTAGATCTTCACAGGGCACTTTTGCACATGGTCTTCTTCACCACCTTGTCTGCTTTGCACCGTCCTCAAGTACTTCCCTCAACTCAGGGAGGTGCAATGCCTTCGCCGTCATCAAAGGCTGGTTCTGATCTGCTCGATGTATCACGCAGGAATGTCCGTCGTGCGGCCGCGGCGATCACGTCCATCGCACAGCGTCTTGATCAGCAAGATCTCGTGAAGTACCTCCCAACCACTGGTGTCACGGTTCTTCTCCCTGCTATAATAATCCATCTTTTGGACATCAAGGCTCCCGAGGAAGACACTCGCAGAGTGTCTCTTCGTGGCTTCTGCCAGTGCATGGCAGTTATGGGCAAGCTCCGCGACCTGTACGCTGCTGCCGATTACAGCACGGCTTTCCTAGAAGCGGCCATTCGCAAAGCTGGCATTCACATCGCGCCAACGCCTTCCTCCCCCATGGTCAATGGACTTTCCGGAAACAGCCCTCTTGCCTCTGTACCGAAGCCTAGCCCTGTCACCTCTGTGGAAGATCTCGTCGATGCCGGCCGTAGGCTCGACATGGCTGCTCTCGCTACTGCGCACAACCTCCGCGCAACCCTCACCCCACCTCCTGACTCGGGCACGACAAACTTGCATGTACTGGAGAAGCAGCCTTCTGACCGCAATGTCACCGATGAGGAGGTCGCCCGCCGACTCGAGACCTTCCTTGCCTCCACCCCTCCTGAATCGGACAACGACAACGAGAACACCACCTTCTCCATCGACCACCCTAGCATCACGTTTACCGCAGCAGACTCGCTATCCATCACCGCCGCCGCAGAAAAGTTCACTGGACTCAACGGGTTCACGGATTCCATACCTCCAAATCCCTTCATCCATCACCAGGATGACGAGATGTTATTTAGCAGTCTGCCCATCCAACACGAATTCGACGATGGTGATTTCGACAGCCTGCTGAATCTCGATGCTGTAGGCGAGACATTCAGCTTCGAGGAGGGTGCGCTCGACGGCGGTCTTCAGGGCGAGCTAGGCGACATGAAGTGGACGGGCACAAGCTTGACCACTTAAACCTCTTCTTCTTTTCATCCCGTTATATTCCTCTTCTGGTTCAGCTTTACATACGACCTAGCTCTTTAACTCTTGACATTTGTTGTTTGAAAAGTTTAGAGATCTCTGGTGTTTTATCACCACATTTTGGTATACTGGGTAGGATGAATTTGTTTACGCAGCGATATCCCAACCGTTGTTTTCATTTCCTGAATATTTCTTCTCGAATCCTTTATTTGTACAATCATGACGTTTTACTTGAATCGTCTGGCGCAGGAGAAATGGACTCCTTAGGTTGAATCTGGATAATGAGAAGAGGGCAGGGAAGGGCGTTGGGAAAAAGTACACGAGGACTGATTGCTACGAAGCACTAGTTATGAGAGCATGAAATGCCAAAAAAGTTTATAATACTATACATCGTCGACTCCATGTTCCAAGTGATATGTGATACTTTCCTGCGAGGTTGCTCAACATACCTATGACCTATGACTCTATAAGTTGATTACAGAAAAACACATCTTCGACCTATACGAATCTTGTCCCTCCTTCAACGTCAAGACCTTCATCTTTACATAATTATTATCAAGTAGCTAGAATATAGTGTTTAACAAGAACAATCTGGAATACATGACAAGTTTCTAGGCTCCATCCAGCCTTGCATTTGGAGAATGTGTGGAAGCGATCCAGGATGGGGATAGCACGGCTGGCAGATGACATAATCTACGTCGGCGGTTCTTACTCCGATGCATACCTCACTTTTCGACTACTGTATGTGGAGAGAGCTCCAGCCTGTCGCCTGCTGTCTGTCCCGTCGTCCGTCGCGCATCTCATCTCCTCACCACAACACACAATCTTCTCTCGCGCAATGGCTTCTCGCACCCGGTTAGCGGTGTCAACCGCTTCGAAGCTCATACGTACTGGCCGGCCACAGCTTCAGGCATCGCCAATCGCAGCCGCCATCAGTACCTCGGCGGTCCGATCTTTCACCCAGCTGAACTCGCAATCCGCATCTTCAAATCCACAAAACATCTTCTCCTCTCTAGGACAGCTCAACTCTTCCTCGGGGCCTCCATCATACTTCCAATCACACAGGCGACTTCCGGCAAACACCGTGATACGGTTCGTCCCACAGCAAACAGCATGGATTGTGGAGCGTATGGGCAAATTTCACAGGATACTGGAGCCCGGTCTCGCCATTCTGATACCATTCATCGATCGGATAGCATACGTAAAGAGTTTGAAGGAGGCGGCTATTGAGATTCCGAGCCAAAGTGCCATTACCGCAGACAATGTCACGTTGGAGCTCGATGGTGTGCTTTATACTCGTGTCTTCGATGCCTACAAGGCCAGGTGGGGAGAATTACACACCCCCTCAAGGCAGTCTGCTAACATTTGACATAGCTACGGCGTTGAAGACGCTGATTACGCCATTTCACAGCTCGCGCAAACTACCATGCGTTCTGAAATCGGCCAACTCTCCCTAGACCACGTCCTCAAGGAGCGTGCCAACCTCAACGCAAACATCACCGCTGCCATCAACGAAGCCGCACAGGATTGGGGTGTCACCTGCCTCCGATACGAGATTCGCGACATCCATGCTCCCGAACCAGTTGTCGAGGCCATGCACCGACAAGTCACTGCCGAACGATCCAAGCGTGCCGAGATCTTGGACTCTGAAGGTCAGCGCCAGTCCGCGATCAACATTGCGGAGGGTAAGAAGCAGTCGGTCATTCTTGCTTCTGAGGCATTGAGGGCTGAGCAGATCAATCTGGCAAGTGGTGAAGCGGAAGCGATCCTGGTCAAGGCTCAGGCAACCGCCAACGGCATCGATGCTGTTGCACGATCAATCGCCCAAGGCAAGGGCGCTGCACAGGGTGCCGTTTCTCTTTCGGTGGCCGAGAAGTATGTCGATGCTTTTGCCAAATTGGCAAAGGAGGGTACCAGCGTCATCGTGCCAGGAAACGTTGGAGACATTGGTGGTATGATTGCTAGTGCCATGGCAGTCTACGGCAAGGTCAACGATTCCCAGTTGAAGGCTGTGGCTGGACAAGACACAGCATCTGGCAGGAAGATTGCCGAGCTCGAGGAGCAACTTGCATCAATTGAAGGTAACACTTCACAAGTGTCCAACGCCATCAACCAGGCTATGGACCAAAGGCTCAACAAGAACTGATCAAAGTCGCTGAGACTTACAATACCAACAATAAACGCACGATACTGGAGCATGGAGCAACACGGACATTTTTGCTGTACAATATCATGCTGTATGATTAGGATGGGAAGGCTGGCGAGCGAGCAAGCGAGTCGACTGGTTTGTATTTTGTACATTGGGTTCTATGGGCATTTGCATTCACCCAAAAGCCGGCGGGTCTTTCCACTGTTGGGAGTTTCTCTTCTCTCATGGGTACCCACTCTTCGTATGTTCATAGGTAAAGGAATTGTTAGCATGCCTACGATAGCTTATGTATGAAGTTTTATCTTCTATTCGTGCATAGTTGACGCGTTCTTGGGCCATTGATGTATTCGCCCAACGACCTCTTCGATCACTGCAGCGATCTGTCTTCCATCTTCCCATATCCAATCATGCGCGCCTTGTAGGTCTCTACACTCGACCAATCCTTTCCCCTCCGCGATCTCATCCACCGAATCGACCCATCCATCGCCTTTCAGAACCCGCAACATAGCCTCCCTCTGCTCGCTCTCCACCAACTCATCCTCAGCACTATAACCCAATGCAACAAGCTTCAGCCCCCGACCCACACTCTCCCTCCCATACGCACCCGCAACCGGCGAAACCTTCCTATACACCTCATCCCCGCCCTCCCCAAACGCCCCCTCCACAAACTCCCTATAAATCCTCGCGATCCCCTCCGGACACCCAGGCGGCACATGATTCCGCAACATCAACGGTACGTCGTAGATCCCCTCCAACAGCACCAACGCCTCCAGCCCGTCGTTCCTCCCCCGCACATCGTCGAGTCCAATCCCTGCAACATACTGCAACAGCAACGTCGCGCCGCACGAATGCCCGACGCCAATCCACCTCTCCACGCCGTGCTCGGCACGCAGGTACCGCAGCGCGGCCGCGACGTCCCGCACGTGGGATGGATGCCGTACGTTGCGCGCTGCGTCGTGTGGGTCTGAGGGAGCGGTCGGGTGGGAGGCGTAGGGGGAGAGGCGGTAGTTTATGGATGCGATTCCAGCGATGGGTGACGAGGGGGGGTTGTGGAGGTGGGAGAGCGTGGCGTGGATGGTCGTGGAGGTTTGGAGCGGGTCGCGCCAGGCGCCGCCGTGGATGTAGATTACCCACGGCGAGGTGGAGGAGGGATCATGGGATTGGGGAAGCCATAGGTCGAGGGTTTGGAGGGAGGTTGCTTTGGAGAGGTAGGGGATTGAGGGGCGGTGGGTTGGGAAGGCTGGTGTTGTTGGTGAGGCCGTGGACATTGTGGTTGTTGGTGGTATTGTTTTGTTTGGCGGGGGAGGAGGGGAGGTAGATGTAGGTACGAGGGACAAATGTACCCTGTCATATGCTACGAGTTGTTACTAAGGTTCATGTATCAAACCCTCCTCATCTGTTAGACGTATGTAAACTATATAGGATATGGAATCAATGCTTTCTAGCTGTGACATTCTGTCAATCCTATTGTTGTCCGTCTCTCCATTGCCAAGGGAGGAGAGAACGTCATAGCATTTCCAAATGGAATTCTGGGGCTAGAAAACAACTCAATTGCATAAAAGGTATTTTTGATAGGAGAGTTTGTATCTCGAAAATACATCTCTTAGGTTCATCTTGATAGCAAAAGGCTAGGTGTTTGCTGTTGATTTATTCGATGTAGTTGATACTGTATTTATTGGTATTGCTCTAACTAGCTTATGTATTTCGTAATAGCAAAGATCATATACACAATTGAAAATGCTATCCAATTAATCAAAGCCAGACTCAATCGTTGTAATCGAATTCAAGAGAAGCAGGAAATTTCTTAGCATCAAGAAAACCCCTCAAACTTTTGTAAGCTTTGTAGACTTTATTGGAGTCTTTCCGTCAAATATGTGGAAAGTTGCCACATTGGTTTGTTACGCCGCCCGTAATTTTCCACTTTCTAGAGTTCTGCCCCTCATCCACAAGCGCAGTTCGAGAACGAATGATTGCGGGGCATCAACCACCTCGTCTCGTACCTTAACTGCACCGAGTACGAGTAACATAATTACACAGCACGAGCACCTTGCGACTCCCCCATCGTCGTGATCTACATCCAATTCGCGACTCTACCTCTACATCCACCTCTACCTCTACCCTTGCTCCGACACAACCGCCAATATGTTCAAGAAAGAGTACTAACCCCCACCCCATACAACCTCATACTTGAACCTCCGAAAAACTAATTGCCAATGATAGCATATCCGCGGGATCGAAATCCAAGGTGAAATCCAGCGCCCAGCGCGGGATCCGCGCCAAAATCCTCGAGCAGTACCCCAAGCTCGAGGAGCACATCGAGGAGATCATGCCTAAGAAAGAGCAACTCGACCTCGTGAAGCTGTAAGCTCTCCCCCCATCATCTATCTCTCTTACCGCGCAATGACCTCTTCCTCTGTTGGAATGCTCGGGAGTTTCGTTCGTGCATAGCTAACACAGAGAAGACCCGATCGCGTCGCCCTCTACACCCTCGGCAGCACCCCCCTCTTCTTCCAACACATGGACGACCCCATCCTCCCGCACCTGACCATCGTACACAAATACCCGGACGCCTTCCCCCGCCTCCGCATCGACCGCGGCGCGATACGCTTCGTGCTCTCCGGCGCCACGCTCATGGCCCCGGGCCTGACATCGCCGGGCGGCCGGCTGCCCAACGACCCCGAAGACCCGGAGGGCAGGTACGGGAAGGAGGAGCTCGAGGCGGGAGAGGTGGTGGTGATTGAGGCTGAGGGCAAGGAGACGGCGTGTATGGTTGGTGTGCTGACGGTCGGGACGGCGGAGATGAAGAAGACGAAGAAAGGGCAGGCGTGTGATGCGGGTCATTATCTGGGAGATGGGCTTTGGGGGTTGACGCTCGGTTGAGAGGGGTTGATATGGTTTGATTGGGATCCTGCAGGATAGTGGGAGGATTTGTTTTAGAAAAACGACTCGATGTGGAAGAGAGAAGGAAGGCATCATGATCAGCCTGTGCATTCGGCGAGCATTCACACCCACAACGATGGGGACGCTACAGAGAGCAGCAACTCGGGGGTTTTCACAATCTCGAACAGCAAGCAAGGCGCGTGGCCGCTTGGATATAGAAATAGGCATTGATACCCACCATTGATGATGTGTTGATATGGGACATGAAATTGGTATCATTGATATCTAGGTGTGAAAACCAATGCAGCCGTTTTGCTCTGGACCATGACGAACTCTGGGCTTTTGCATGAGCTACTTACTGACCGGCACCGCGTCCAGCACCACCGGGGGCACCGCCCATACCTCCCATGAAGTTTCGTGCCATCTCAGCGATGCTGGGGTCGTTCATCATCGCGCTCAAGTCTGGCATGCCGCCGCCGCCGCCAGCACCGCCAGCGCCGCCTCCACCTCGGCCACCACCACCGAACCTCTCTGCCATTTCTGCTATCCTCGGGTTGCTGAGGAGGTTGTTCATTGCGTCAGGGTTGGACATGAGGTTCTGGGCCATCTGCCTCATCATCGGGTTGTTCATCATAGCACTGAAGTCGGGCATGCCACCGCCGCCTCCTCCTCCACCACCGAGCATGCTAGCCAATCCTGACAGATCGGGCATGCCAGCAGCGCCAGCACCAGGTGGGCTTCTCGTAGACTCGGCAGTCGCAACATCTCCACCCTCCTCCTCGTACCTCTTCTTCGCCGTCTCGTAGCCCTTGCGCATGACCTCCGAGCCACCGCCCTCGGCATCCATACCCGCCTTGTATGCCTCCATAGCGCCCTTAGCATCACCGAGCACGTACTTCGCCAAACCGAGTCTCGACCACGCCTTGCTGTACTTGGGGTCCGCAGCGACGGCCATCTCCGCGTCGTTCTTCGCCTCCTCGTGCTTTCCCTGTCCGGAGTACGCAGCAGCGCGGTTGGAGAGATAGATGGGGTTGAGGGGAATCACATCGAGGGCCTTTGTGTAGAAGTCCACAGCGCTGGCATAATCCTTCTTCTTCATCGCCTCGTTGCCCTGACCCTTCAGCTTCTCCGCCTCCTCCTTGTTGCCCGCAGCAGCAGCACCCTCAGCCGGCTTCTCTGGTGCCGGAGTCGACGAGCTAGCACTGCTGCTCGCGGCCGCCGAAGCACCCCTAACCTTCAGCTTCTCGTAGACATTGTATATGGAGAGGAGGTTCTGGCCGCCCAGGGCGTCCCTGACGGCGGCCTCGTCCGCGGCGTCGACCTTGAACGCCTCGGCGATGCAGTTCTGCGCGATCTCCAGCTGCTCTGCGTCCTCGGCCTCCACGGAGCCGTCCTTCTGGGAGGTCTGGAGGAAGTCGAGGATCGCGAGCGCGAGCCGCTTCTTCGATTGCGGTGTTGCGGATTGCGGTGATGCCTGTGCCGTTGCGCGTTAGGGAAATGTTGTCGTTTGTTGCTGAGGGTAGATTTGGGGGTTGGATGTGCATACGTACCATTGTGGCGGTTGTGAGGAGTGTGTGGGAGACGGAGGGACTGAGTGAGGGATCGATGATGCGTCAAAATTTAAGTTGAACGCGAAGGACAGATAGACAAGGTAGTCAGGCAGGCAGCCGGAATTGTATGTTAGGACGAGATGGTAGTTAGGGTTGGCGTTTGCTGCTGCCGACGCTATAAATTGAGCTCTCGAAGATTCGGTGCGGTGGGACTTTCGAGTTCCCCCCTCCCTCCCAGAGTCCCAACTAAGAAGGCTTCGCGGGGCAACCTTGTCAACAGACCGACAGACCGACTCCCCGTCCCACGTGCATGAGTATATCGATATACTTGGAGGTACCTCGGAGATATGGCAGCAATGTCGCTGGTACATAGTGAAAAAGAAATATGTAGATGAATATTCATACATTTAGAATTGAGGTATCTAGAGTCTTTGGGCCAACCACCCTAATGCTACAATTGTACTCATACAAATACATACGCCAATACGTTGTCATATATAGTTACCCCAAATCAAGAAGCCTTTTTTTTCATTTCAAACTTTCCAGTTCACTCGGTGTCTTCTAAGCCCTCCCAGAGGTTCTTCTTCTCTTCCGATTTAGGCCAGATGCCCTTCCACCAAGCGGACTCCTTCTCGTTCTCTGCTGACAGACGGTTCGCCCGCTCTTCGTCCTCGACGTTGAGCTGGAACCTCCTCATGCGTTCGGCGATGCGTGGATCGAGAACCATGTCGTCTAACCATGTTCGTTCCCTGTCGTCGTCTTCCTTTCGCTCGCGGACCGTCTTGTGCCAGTCTGGCTCTTCGTGGGCGAGCAGCTTCTGTTGCTCCCACTGGTCTACGGCGTCTCCAGAGTCAGATGCGGACGCGCCAGCAGCGTCGAAAGGTCGGTATGCCGCCAGAACAGCAGCTGCGGTCTGTCGGCCAATGTCATCTGCAACCTGCCGTCTGTTCAGGAAGCGGTACATGCGGATGGGGAAGTTGAAGAATCCGAGGAGGTGGGGGAGAGGGATGACGGCAGCGGGACCGAGAGCAGCGGGGCAGTTTGGCGAGAGGGTGGAGGTTCCATAGTCGGCGGTGGTGTTGAATGGGGGTGGTTGTTTCTTCTTCTTGGATTTGCTCTCGTCTTCCTTGGGCTTCTCCTCCTCCTTTGGCTTTTCGGCTTCTGGTGTTGCTGTTGGTGATGCGTCGTCGGATGTAGACTCGGTTGCAGTTACAGCTTCGAGTGTGGTGACCGGTGTTGGGTCGGGCGACGGTGTCTCAGCTACAGGTACAAATGGTTCTTCCGTGACAGGAGCTTTGGGCGGATTCAAAGGCCCTAACCAACCCTCGTGCAGCCCTCTGACGTATTCCTTCCAGGTGTGTCTTCCAATGACGATGTCTCCAGGTACTCCGTCGAATTCATGTACACCAGATCTCCGCCTAGCTTCATCCAAGACAAGCTGTAAATCAGCCTCGAGTGGCTCATCGCTAGGCTCTCCATTGACCTTTCTGAGCCGCCTTATCTTTTCTGCCAATCCGGCCCTCACATCTCCTTCCCTCCGACCCTCGATTGCGTCCCAGTCGAGCGCCGCAGCGACGAGTATCGGTTTGACGTACTCGTGGAAGTGATCGCGGGCGGGCACTAGGCCATCTGCTGGAGGCGCAGACAGATATACTGTGAGTCTTCGGGGCAGCGTCTTGTCGTCGAGGGTTTCGGAGGCGATGTGCTCGACGAGTTTCGTCCACTTGCGTTGTATCCGCCTCTTCTCGCGGCGGTCGTAGACGACGGCAGCCGTCCAGGAGCCAGTTATACCAAGAAAGATCATCCAATTGCGCGATGGTAACCTCATCCGTATGTTCGGAAGGCCTGCACAGAGTTGTTAGTTATACTCTCTATTATCTAGGCCACCACGAGCGAAGCAGAAATGCGTACCCATCATCCTCCACACCGGATTCGGAGGTTTCGGTGGCTTCGAGGAACCTGCAGATGCACCGCCGGCCGGCGGCGCTTTCGACTCTGCATCGGCCATGTTGTGTGGAATTTGGTAGTTTGTTGGTTGGTGAATTGCGAGTGTCGACTTTCGCGCTGCGGGAGCCAAAATTTTGTCCAATGTCCCGATCGGAAGGCGGAATTTGTTCGGAGCGGCGTCCGCCCCCAGACCGCCCCATAGTAATTTCCAAGGCCCGTCATCCAAGCTCGGTAAGCAGTGACTTTTGAAATGACTCCACCAAACGCACAGTTGGCAGACAAATCGACGAGCCTTTGTCTTTCACTGGGTATATAATCTGACTTAGATTCAAAAACTTCAACAATTCAGTAACAAACTGATCCATCGGTGGTATGGTCTAGTGGTATGACGTCACGTTGTGGTTGTTTCATTATAACTTCAAATCCGTGCCAGCCTGGGTTCGATTCCCAGTACCGCCATTCGATCAGGAGCGTTTCTTTCATTGAAAGAGGCGTCTTTTTTTTGCTTTTCTATGATTGTTGGGCGGTGGGTTGTTCGGCGTTCAAGTTTTTTTTAGGCACGGATCGAGGGATCGACTAGCACGTGGAAATCACGCTAGCGCGCACAATCTTGCCTCTCTGAGTCTAATGCGGCTGATGGAAGGGGACGCTAGCCTAATATAGATACGTTGAGGCATTGTTAGGGTCTGTTATTGAAGACAGTCTAGTTGATTGAGTTTCTGTCTATTATTGTATGTAGATAGGAGCAAAGTTGCTCTTTTTGTGTCGAATCAATATTAACAAAGTACTATTACTAGTAATGCGTTCTGTTTGTATGCAACTAAAATTCTGATGGACAGACAGTAAGTAGTCAGGCTGCGCAGCGCGGTCTTCTCTAAAAACCTCTTAACAAAGGTCGTGGTCAAGAAGACGAATGGTTACTCCTAGAACAGCAGTACTAGGGAAAAGGCGACAAGGCTATATCCTACGAGTAAGCTCAGCTGACAGGCGAATTGCTCGAGTCCCGTTTGCTGCCAAGTTTCTTCGATGAACTACAGGACATTTTTGGAGAGGTCGTAATTCATCAAACCTAAGCCCGAAGCTCTGGGGTTATTACTAAGCGCATCTGAGCGAACGTGCTGACTCATAAGCTCTGGTCGAAGTGCACAATATATTGAAGACGATCAGTTCAATATTCAGTCGAAATAGTCAGTGGCTCGAACAAAAGGGCACTAGCTATGGTATATTGATTCAATCATTTGGGTTGATTGCTCCCAGATAATCCATCACCGGGACCGCACATGAGGTAGACAAACAAACTAAGGGCGGGGCACTCAAGAACTCCTCAAGGAACAAGCTTCGTGCTATGCAAAAACAATCATAAAACAACAGCAAATGACCTGGCTATGAGTGAGTGTGTTACATGCAGTCGCCGGCAAGGCGAAGAGCGGCTCGGACTCTGTGTGAACCGATACTAATTGTGTCTCTAATAGACAGACAATGGAAGCCGTGTCTGGAACAACTCATGCCATATTTGTTGCTTTCAGTGATTCTGAAAGAGCGTTATGATATCTATTTCTTTGTGTGACCACAATGCAAGACCTCGCTTCAGATTGTTATTCACTGGGTGCGAAATCAATTCGTCGCAATTGAATAATCATGGCAAGATCACCGCCACTTCCCGACCGCTGCAAGCTGGTGGGTCTACCACAAACGATGGAGATTTCTAGGTCCATCCAGACCTGATTCATTGTGATCGATAAGACATTCCCAAGAACACTACCAGTCGCCGTGAAAGGAAACCATGGACAATGCGCTGTAGTCCAGGGGTTGTCGTTCGTGAACCCTGAAATGAAACCAAACAAGGTGGTGTATTCGCTATTTGTCTTCGCATGGTGATTTTGATCAAACGAAATGATAGCGGTATCAGAGTCAGACTTCAATTTTGTAGAAGGATCTCACTTATGTGACGAATCTAGCAAAGGCAATCATTTTAATATGTGGTTCTACAACAAAGTAATAGTAACATGCAACAGAAGTGGCGCACCCGGGGCTATCTTGTTGTAAAACGTTCTTAACGCATAATACAATCAACTACATTAATGCCCATATACTTGAACATAAAAACGTCAATCATGGACGGATACGACAGATTCAGCGACGATAACCACAATGACTCAATCACATCTAGCGGTTCAAAGAGTCTCATCTCTTGTTTGAATGACAATTGGAATGCACAAGGCCAATACATGCCTATCTATATATACAACATTGACGCTTTCAAAATTATACAATGCAAGTTCTACATGCACTGAGTATAATGTACGGTGTGCTTATTGAAAACACATTACGAGAGGGTGCAAGTCTTCAGTACAAACCTCTCAGATGGCATATATATTTGCTCGCAATCGTTTCGGTCAACAAACAGATCCAACAACAACTTCGATTATTTACGCTTGACATATTTTTACGACTCATCATGAGTAAATACATGGGTTACGAACCAATGGAAGGCATCGAGATGACTGGACCTCAGCGGAGGTCTGAAGGGGCACGTCACTTGCTGGATCTCCCAGACGAGCTACTCTTACAGGTAGCCTCATTCGTATACGATCTTGATGATGGCCGCGATAGTATTCGTGCGCTTGCACTAGTAAGTCGAAGGCTGTCGAGAATCGTAAAGGAAATCATGTCCATTCACCCCTATGTCATCTGGACAAAACTTCCGGCGTTCTTCGACGCTATATTCTCTACCAATTGGAACCCCGCGAAGACTCAATCGCTCAGATTACTCACTTGGGATTACGTTGCGACCAATAACATTGGGGATTACCACGAGCCGGATGCAGATTTATTCAGCGAGCACGCTTTGAACAAGTGTAAGGAGATAATTTGGTCTCAGCCTATTGGAGAAGAGATAAAGATACTGTGACAGGAAGATATTGAAGGGAAAATTTTTGACGCATTTCTTTGTATCCTGCTTGTTTACTTCCCTGCACTTCATGAACTTCACTTAGATCAAGTTCTGCGGGCGCAGACGTCGCTTCTTGATTCCCTCATGGCGATAGAGGATCAACTCGGCAACATCGAACCTCACCAACATGTCCTCCCCAACAGACTGTATCCTGATGCAGTGTTCAAGATGATCAGGAATCGACTTCAAAGACTTGCACTTCCGCACGCTTGGGGGATACCTGACACGTGGGCACTCGATTGGCGAAGGGTCCCTATTAATTTGAAGGAACTTAAATCTCTGACAGCTCTGTTGACTCCGTTGCACATGCTGATTAGGGAGTGCGAATATGTCTCTCTACCTCCGAGGCTAGAGACGCTCAAGCTTACTGATATCTGGAAAGGGGATTTGGAAGCGTTTGTGGGCCCGTTTCTGGAGCACAAGACCGCGACGCCGTTTTTGAAGATAATTTCGCTACAACTCTCCTGGAGCATGGCAAGTGAAGAGCGTCTATGCAGCCACGCTTTTCTGAAAGCGATCAACGACATTAAGAAAGCTGGCATTGAAGTCTGGATCGACTGGAGTATGTTAGCATTTCCCTGGTTCGACTACAGAGAAGTGATGGCTCCGGTGACGATCGTAAAAGACTCCGCACTGCAGATGGAAGAGCTCTTTAAAATTCTAAGCAGCAACGTCTATTTCCAGGAGGAGATGCACTTTCCACCAGTCCGACAAAGGGCCCGACATTTTCATCTTTTGACCGACCCAGTGAAAACCAGAAAATGCAAGGAAAGAGCACGACTGTTCTTCGAGTCCGAGTCACAGAAGGGCCATGGACGACATTGATATCTCGAAATATATCAGAAGTGAGCATCGCGCTTTTCATCGCATTTGTGTCCTTGCTGAACTTGGTGAATCCCCCCATGCTGACCGACTATCTATCCATCGTGACGTGAAATGTGCCGTCGAATAAAGTTCCTTTGGTCTTTGAGATCAGATGATCAAGCAACTAACTTTGATTCTTTTTCTATAAGGCCAAATAATGTGGAGATGTCAGGTCTCGATCACTGATGGAGTGGGCCGAGGGAAGAATTAGATCGCTCGTCTACTCGTGGTAATGCCTGACTTCCTCAAAGCCATTCTGCAGACCCGACAACTGGCTTGAGCAGTAAAGTTGCAGCCCTAGTATGACACGATGAACTGCGGCGTTTTTTTCCCAACCCCTTAATATATGCCTTATTCTGCACCTTAAATATTGCTTATAGAACAAGTGCTCCAAGATCGAACTACGAATGAAACGGATCCCGTTCCTTCTTCACTACTATGAACTATAAATTTACTAGCATGTCTATTTGCATTGATTGGAGGCATCAATATATCCCTTAATTCACGTGTTTAGGATGCAGAGCGAGGGCAAGAGGTGGTACTATATTGGAATTGGCGCAATAATATTTGCTGTTTTCGCTCATTCTCAGAGTAGCATCGGATTAGTAGCTTAGAACAAGACTGGACTCAAGTTCCGCAGCCCAGGTAGAGCCTGACTTGAGATAGCGAATATGCTCGATATTGACACTTACTTGGGTGTAGGGATAGATTGACTTGTTCTAACATCTGACTATGATATGTCAAAATCCTGACACTGGTAGCACAAAACCTAAGGTCATGTTCCAAAAACCATTAATACTACTTTCCAAAAGTCACCATCTGCCTGACGCCCCAGCTCTCTGAATCAACCCAAGCGCAGACACCGTCCAACATCCACACAATCAAGTACCGAAGTCCTTCCCTCTGCAGCACCCATCGCTGCTATTCCCTCGCTCCTCCCAACAATCGACGATCTCACCACGACAGCGTACGCTCTCAAGGCCCGAATTCACAAATGCCATACGACCGTATATTGGACACTGGAACCGAAAGGGCAGGGATCGGCTTGAAGCGAACCAAATCTGCGGACAGTTCATCTCGAGCCACAATTAACCATGCGTCCGACCGGCCGAAAGAACAATCAACGACCACACCGCAGTGTAAAAGACTGCATTTTCTGATATTGTGAAGATGAGAGTAGAGAGTATGGTATGAGGAATATGCATGCGTCATTTCGCAGGCTTGGTTTTATGCCCAACAGATGGAGGCTACATATGTGATCAACTGTTTAATAGAAGCTAGAGTACGCAGAGACAGCAGTCACATCTCTACTTGCACCGCGAATACCGCGTGAATCCTCTCTCCAGCTCAGTCAATACTATACCTTCTACACAAGACTCCCCAAAAGAAGGAGTCCAACAACAAACATGCACATCTCACCCACCATCGCACTCTCCCTCGCGCTGCTCATCTCGACGGCCACGACCTCTCCCGTATCCGCCGTGCAGATGGGATCCAAACACAACCTCTACCTAGTGACCTGCACGCAGCGCACATCCGGCTTCCCAGACTGCCCCCTCCTGATCTTCTGCTCGCAGCCCGTCACCTCCTCGCTATCGAAGCGCCAACTCCGGCCCGCGAAATCCTACACCGCAGTCGCATACTACGCCAACGGCCCCATCGAGACGCTACCCGGCCGCAACACGAACCCGACGGCCATCGCGACGGTCGAGGACCCCGCCGCGGCGTGGGAGGGCACGCAGCGCGTCGCGAAGCTGTCGCTCGGCGGCGGCGCGGGTGCGTTCTCGAGCAGCATCGATGTCGGCGCGAAGACGCTGGACAAAGGGCAGATTGCGGGAGAGGCGAGGCTCGATGCGGAGGACTTTGCCTGCTTTAGAGATGGGAAGACGGGGTTCGTTGGGAGGGATGTGTTTGGCGATGAGACGTATAGGTGCACGGCGGATTATTGGTGTCCTAGTATCCAGGTGTGAGGGTGTAAGTGGGCGTGGTGGATGGATTGGATGTAGTTTGAGATTGTCACTGTTAACTATTGTTGTTGTTGGGAAGCTATTTGCATCCTATGTTATTCATTATTGAGGTTAATGCGTTTACCAATGGAAGAAGTCGTGTTTGCCCGACCTGGACCAGATTTCGTTACTGGCACTCAGCATCGATCCGCGAGAGTGCTAAAGCGATTGAATTGTGACCGTAATTTCGAAAAGAGCCTCATGTCAGCAATTGACAATCATCTCCCAGCATCGCCATCATCGTATCACTCGCAACTGTAACGGTAGCAATCAATCAATGTCCAGTTCAGTGACCAGTCCCGAGGATTGCATTTCACGGCCGTATCGTGTTAGCGCGCACTCGCACTCGCTTCACCCAGGAAAATACGAGAGCGAGCGAAGCGTGGCAAGAAAAAAGGGAAAAGTAAAGACAGGGGCGCCAAAATAGAAACCCGTTGCTTGCTCTGGGCTTACACTTTCTAAATGCGGGTTAATGGTCGCCGAATTGCATAATTCCAGATCTCGATAAATCATGGATTTGAAACAGCGCGATGTGGGTAGGCGGCGATGGGATATTGTGAGATGCGGGTTTGAAAGAGGCGAATTGTTGGAAGTTGCATGCCGTATTCTTCCAATTCGGATCTCCACACGCTCTCGGTTGTCTGATTGTCGCGGCAGGACTCGTATGTATGTGTATGCCATGGTTGCTCGTGTATTTGCTTAATGTGCATATGGCGGGGGCCCCATTTCCTTTGTAATGGACGTGAGGTGTGTGAGTAAGCAGAGAGGGATGATCGTACAATCTTACATCAACAATCCTCTCGGATGACTGTTGGAAGATTGCCATTAATAAACTAGTTGGACGCCCCGTCGGATGTGACAAGAGGCTAGCAAAAGGGAATGAGGAGGAGGAGAGTGAAAGGGGATAGAGGAACGACGAGACGAGTGAGCGGGATGAAACGAGAGCAGAATGCCTTCCGACAGTTCAAACCTGTTTCTGGAATTTTGTCGAGAGACAATGGCATGTAGTACACATTCAGTATGTACGAGGTAACTCAGAGGGGAGAGCGATAGATCGACTGGACTGGGCCTATGACTCGCACGGGTGCAATCTATTAAGAGATCAACGTCCAGGATAATGGAACAGAAGGCAAAATGGGTGTCGCGATAATGTCGTGAGGGACGCGGGTGAATTGCTCGTCGCACTGAATCGGCCGACACGGAGCGTGTGTATCCATCCAATACCATCAAGTTCCGAGGTTAAAGAAGCGTTTGGAATCTCATTCGGCTTGGCCGTCGCTTGGGAGAAGAATAGCGGTGATGTCCATCGCTGTTGAACAACAGACTACTGTAGATGCTATGTTCGGTGGAGCATTGCTACAGAGAACGGGTTGAGATAACTAGTAGAGGTGAAGATCCCATCGGATACAAAAACGGCCAACGGAAGCGAAATGAATCCGTATTGTTGCTATCCTGCCGCGCCGTAGCATCGCAACAATGGGATGGGATGGACATCGGTTGGTGGACCGTGGGGCAACTACGATGCAATTGCAACAATCACATGCGAGGAGAAAATAAAAGCGTGGCAAAAAAGAAAGCACCGACCGGTATGGTACGAGTTTTCGAGGACTTTAGGAGTTGGATCATTCCGTATACTGACTATTGATTCGATATCTGTTTCCCCTACCTTACATATGGGATGTTATATCGAAGCAGAACGGGTCGGTCAAAGTGATGGACTAATTACGGATTGCGAGAGTCGGTGTATGCACAGTTGGATGACCTTCCTGCCTACTGCTAAGTCTCGAAACCCAACAGTTCCCATCTTCATCCTCAAGATCTCAGGATCTGGTGTTGGATGGCGCTGCATTGCTTTGCTTTCCTTTGGCCGCAACGGGACAATGGCAGACGACGTTGGTGAACAACAATGGAAACAGAGAGTTCAAAGTACTCCGTACTGCGAGTATTGTCCAAAGGCGGAGGTGGCCGCAAGCAATGACACAAGTAAAAACAATTTAGGTTGTTGTTGGTACCGTTTCGTCTGTCAACAACCATTTACGTTCATCTGGTCGGTGAGCCGTGCCGCATTCGCCTCGGGACGTCGTATCGATGATGAAGGATTTGGATTGGACCAAAGACGGCGACCGGTATGGGCGGGCGCATGGCGTGCGGCGAGGCCGCAATGACGCAGGTGCCAGGCACAAATCACACATCGCAATATCATCAAGGTTGGGGGGAAGAACAAGTCAATATGCTTGACGAGTTTCGACCTTTTTCGCCAGCTTGAGCTGGGGCAGTTGGGGGAATGGTTCGTACGGATACTATCTGCCCCCGTCTCGCCCTTCCAATACTCGGCGTGCGCTGTGGCTGGGTTACTCATTAGAGGAGGATCTGAATAGCGCCGTATCATTATGCGAAAAAGGCAAGAAATAAAAAAAATAACCCACGGGGGGATATGTGCCTACTGATTAGAGGGGTTCGCCTGATTGGCAGATAGGAATGTATGTTAATTGTTCGAGAGCGTAGTTTTGTCGAAGTTTGTCTACCCTGCCCTGGTTCCGTCCGCCAGTGGTGCATGTTGTGGGCGCCGTCGTGCCAACTCGTGTGTTACAATAATAACATGATCGGCGGATGTCTTCCTTTTGCTTCTGGAAGCTCAGATCGGGGCATGTTACACGTATCGTACTGGGTACGAAGCGAGGGGTGTACTTGTATCAAGTCATGAATCATGAATCATGTTGGGGGAACGATTGTTTAGTGGAGGCCTGTAGGGCAGGATAGGAGCCCAGGCCGGAGATTGGTTGCTAGAGGGGGAAAGTATGCTTTGCCAAATCAGCCATCTCCAAGCGGTGGAGAGGATAGGTTACAGATAGGTCCAAGGTAGGGAACCGAGCAGAGGGTGAAAGACTGGCGATGAGGCCACATTGCATCACCCTCATCAGCAAGAGCAGCATGTTTGAATCGCAGAAGTCTTGCCTGCCTTAGCCATCTGGTTTTCTTTTAGTTTTCTTTGCGCGCATCCTGTCTTTCTAACGGGACATTGTCTCGATCGGGACAAGGAGCATTGGAATGTATTACTGCTACGAGTAGATGGTAAGAAACAAGTACGGAGGAGTCCTCCGTACTAGTAGGAAGATTTGAACTCCGCATGTTCCAATGTCTAATTAAGTACATCAAGGAGGCGGCCACATTATTACTGCCGTTATCATTATCACTATCCAACAGCGGGAAAAATAGCGAGTCGCATTTGCCTGTTGGGACGTGATTCTTAGCAGGCAAACGATTGACGGCATACCCGTACCCCATGCCGTAGTTATCTGAGGGACTTTGAATATTGTTTCCATGAGGGAGGCGAGAGCAAGCAAGCAGCTGTGCCGCGGCCCCCTCCCCCTCCCCTTATAGATTGATCATTGATGGCTCATTCATCAAGATGAAGCGAGTGCATCATTGGACCGAACGGTGTGAAATCACTTGATGTGTTTTGCCGATGGGAACGATTGTTATTGTCATTATTGAGCCATTCCGGCGGGGGCCGGCAAAAACGGGCTATGGCCTCTGGGTAGTTACATGGTGAATGATTATCATGCACTATACCCAGATGCGACACGACTCGCGAGATCTCTTACCACCATCAGTCCCTCTATTTGCTTCTTGTAACTATTATGTATCTACGTGATTATGTAGTTATTGTACAGGTGTACACTCACTCGGTGGTATTCTGTTCCAGAAAGTCTATTCTTGCTATCATCATAATCATCATCATCATCGTCATCATCATCAGCGGCAGCGGCAGCAGCATCGCCCACCTACTGTTCGCATTATCATTATTCCCCTGTCATGCATCTATACGTCCCTCCACCATACGTCGTAAGATGCGTAGATCCTATACGGGACCAGGCGGACATTGCATAGTCATAGTATAACTACGCAGGGCCATAGTATGGCAAAAGCCACGGGACGGCGATACACTAGACTCAAACACTTTTTCTTTCTTTTCCTTCATTCGGCCAGTCAGAACAAGTCCAACCAAGACACAGGACAAATCAGAAGAAGAATGCCTTAACGCGTGTGAACAGACACGGTCTCACCAAGAAAATTACGCATCACACTACCACTTTTGGTATGGTGGTGAATGGACGCCGGCCGCTGCTCTATTGCTTGTATGTACTGTAATAATGTAATTATGCCCACATACATACATGATACAACATTAGGTACATACACATGGTCGGTACATAGTGACTGTGTGTTTCTCATTTCTCCCCTTCACTTCCTTATGTGTGTGTGTATTGTGTGTAAATCGCCCGTGCGCTGACACCATTTTTCCATTCCCATCTCGTCATTGTCATTTCTCTTATTACTCTTGCTACTCCCTCAGTCTCTCTCTCCCATCACATTATTCACACACACATACACACACTCTCTCTCTCTTCTAACTTTCATCCTCTCCCTCCCTCCATGATTGTAGCGAGTACTAAATCTCCCCAATCCCAACACTAGCTCATCCGCCCATCCTCGTATCAATCAATCAATCGATCAATCTATCGATCAACAACCATTGCAATCATCGTCGTCACTACTACTACCTAGGCTTCCCTCCCTCGTCTACGTCTTTTTTTCCATTCCGGCGTTGCATTACATTGTCTCTGCCCTTCCACAGAGGGAATTCCGCGCTCATCCATCTACACACCACAAACAACACACCACCACCACCACCACCACCGTCGCTGCTCAATCCAGCCCGTTTCCTGACGCTTCTTGTGCTGTCTCCACTACTCCGTACTCTTCCTCCCTCTACTCCCGGTCTCTCACTTGCACGTGTCATTCCATTTACCTGAGGCGATTCAGCGGACGCTCCCATAGCCAATTTCACCGATAGCTGTTGACAATTGGTCCGCGCACCGAGCTCGCTTGCCTGCCATCGCTCAACAAGGACAGGGAATTGCACCAGGGCCGGCAAGGCTTCCCGTCAATCTGCGCGCCTACACTGCTGCTATTATTGAGAAAAGGCGACTGGGTACTACCGGTACGCTGCCTTTGCCATACATAGACCGGCCGCGCCGCGCCCCAACTGTAGCTGTAGTAGAGACACTCCTCGCTATGGATCTTTACGACCGTCTCGGGCCTGGTGCAAGCCTCGATGGCTGTGAGAAATTATCAGCCAGCACCTACATTGAGCTTTTGGGTCTCATCAACTCTAGTCCTGGTGTCGCCAGACCAACCTTTGATTCATCCGAAGTCACCGAGTTCTATCGTGAGACGCAAGAAGTCGTGGTAGCTACAGCGGCAGGGAGTATACGCTCAGATGTTCTCCAAGAGCTGCGCGATGGAAAGCTCTTCCAGGACGAAGCAGAATTACTGCTGCGCGAGTATGGACCACGCATCTGGGGTGATGACCGTAGCGACTTGATCTCTGCGACCACTGCCGCTACTGCACTTTACCCCAAAGATCTATATTTCAACCGCAAGGAAGACTATCTGAGGTACGTCTATTTGTTTTTCCATCGCATGCGACATCCTGGCAGTGTTTTTCTGCTTCATTGCCGATTTTTTTTTTCCATCTCTCTCTTTATCATTCTCTGTGGCAGTGCGCGCCTGTTGACCGGTTGGGGATGCTCACCTGGCTCTCTCTTTGTACGACCGGTTGTGCATGGGTGGCACTGGGTGGGTTGACCTCCACTACCAACCAGCGCACTCAGTATCTGCTCTTGTTGCCCTTGACAGTCCAGCCTGCTTCTCAACATAAATCTGGCCATTCTGTCATTCGGGGCAAATACCAACACTTCATTTCCGCAATTTGACATTTTAGCTCTAACCTTTGCTTCAGGATTGTTTTCTATGTCCGCTGTTGGATGGCGAAGCGGGCGTTGCGCAAGGCCAGCGAGGCGCCGAAAGGTACCACCACCAACACCGGAAACACACCCAAGAAGCGCAAGCGAGCCAGTGCGTCGACATCAACGTCAATGACAACCGAGGGAGCAATCTCCAAAAAGTTACAGCGCAAGTCTACTGGGTTGTCCGACGATGGTGCGATTCCCCCAGGCTCTACACGTAAGAGGTCTGCACGTGCTTCTGCCATTCATTATGCGGAAGACAATGATGAGGACGAGGAAGATAGATCTTTTGAAGATGAAGAAGAGGCCGAGGCCGAAGGCGGTGCGCAAGAGGTTCGCCACTGGCGTGAGCCCTCTGTCGCGTCGGATAACTTAACTCCTGCTGCACATGCTACACATTGGAAGAGGCAAGCCCGTCACAGTGATCCGACTCAGGACCGCAGCCGTTCTGGCTCTGCATCGAAACCAAGCAGAGTCGTGAAGCTGCCCGTGGACAAGAAGAAGTTGACCGTATTCCAGGCATGGGATGGCTGGAGAGAGTATGATGGCCATGCTCAAACCAATTCTCCTCCTGTGGGTGCACACGTGCTTCCACCAAATCCGTATGCGCAATCCTCAAACCCTCCTCCTACTGGCCATGCAGTCGATATACCGAAACAATACATTGACAAGAGTGCTGGTGAAAGATCAGGCTCTCGTCCTGCAGAAGGCGCCCCATATCAGCAACGCGAAATGGCTGCTGAGCCAGTGAGGCAGGACTTTATAAATCCAACGCCCACTGGCTTCCAAGCCATCAATCGCAGACCGGTTGATCCATCACCACAGGTAGAACATCGCGTCCAGCTTCCACCCCCACCTCCTCCGCCAGTGGAGTCGCAGCCTCTGGTATCTCGTTCAAATACCGAGCAAACGTCACCAAACCTCCCAACTCAACCTCACCCCACCCATGCCGCCTCTCGTCCAAGCTCATCATCCACTGGCCATCCAGGCGGCGAGGAAAATCTCCTCAAGCGCCGCCAAATCTTCTCCACTCTCATCGATCTCCTCAAATCGCCCGTACCATCAAACGTCGTCAGCGTATCCCTAGAACCTCTCATCGAATCCATCTGGACCGAGGCCGAAGACGACTACATGATGCAAGTCTTTTCAGAAGATGACCTCCCCCGAGTCACAAAAGCGTTCACGTCTTGGATCTCGCTCCACGAAACACTCGAGTCGTTCCGCCAGCGCACGCGCTACTACGGACGCTCTGGCGATGAGTGGCAGCGCTTCCGCCGCAGCCTCGGCTTCCTCGAGCGCGTGCCGATGATGGAGGCCATGAACGAGCTGGGACAAATGAGGTTGCGGCAGATTGATGCGGGGGATTGGTTCGACGAGACGACGTTTGATAGGGATCTTGCTGCCTTCCTTGGAGCTTTGACGAGGATTCCTGGCGTTGGTGCAGAGGACCTGGAAGATGGGTTCGCGGGTTATAACAAAGAGCTATTGGCCTGGTTCTACTGAACGGCACCAGCGAAGTGGCGGCCTTCCCATGGATTGCATCGATCTGCAATTGTATAGGAGTCCCTATGGAACGAGGCTGTGTTATAAGAGGCACGGCGATTCACGGAAATTATCAAGACTGGATGTCTCAACTTTTCTTCCCCCACTTCAATTTTCCCATGTCACACATTTCTAGGACGGGAGGCTGTCTGTTATAAAGCTGGACATTCCCAGCTGGAAACGATACGGGTTGGGTTATCACTTTTCTTAAGGCTGTCTGCATCCAGATTCCCTACAACTGGCAATGCATCGGAAAATAGGAGAATGGACTGCACATGGAGACGGCGCTAGATGGGATTTTTTTTCTTTCTCTTCACTTTCCCCTTGTTTTCTCCCGCATCATTGCTGCCGTTGGTCGGTTGGCTTTCTGTTTCTTCTCGTTTCCCCTTTTTTGCTTTGCAAAACGCTACATCTACCCTGCCTCATTACCTCACATTACCCTACCCTAGCTTTCCCCACGATCTTCCTCTCAGCACGCGCAGGTATACGAAAGGAGATATAGCGGACATCTGCAATGGTGCATTATACGTAGTAGTAGTAGTTGAGAATTCCCCCCAGACACACCCCTATGACGACATATCACGAAAGTAATGAATTTGAGAAATCTTTTAGAAGTTAAAAACTAGATTTTGTGCCTCATAGGTGATTTGTTAGTGATATGCGTACTTGTGTAAAAGCGTGCCAAATAGTGTATTCTCCATGGGGCGAAATGCTGATGGAATGAACTTTGGTTATGTCGGTAGAATGGGTCAATGTGTAGTTGATGCGGTTTGTGACTGTGAGTCATCATCGCGGGTGCGTCACTATGAATTTGTAAGTTTCTATCTGAGAAAATGGATATGCGGATTGAAGATAGAAGCTGCGGTTGAAAAGGAGGGCTCTTTGGCTGGCGTGTGTTTGTGTATGTGTATTTGTGCAAATGCAGAGGACTAACTACCAATTCTCGCCACTTCTTTCCGACACACATGCGCACAACGCGAATGTGTCCTTCACCTCTATTTACTGTACATAACCTCTTTAACCGCAGAACCCGATGCCGCGATTCGCGATCCCAGGTCACTATCGTCTCGCTCGTACACACATATCGCTCATTGCCTACCCATCATCAATCGCCCTTCTCCACCCTTCCCATAATATCTTTCCCCCTTTCCGCACAAAGCATTCCATTCCACTACTGAAATCAAATAGACTCCCAAATTGTGCAAAAAACTTCTTTCAAGACATCGAAATAGAAGAAACGTTAGGTCAGCACTCTGTTGCGATTATGTCAGCGTCTATATACCTCAGGTAAGCATACAAGGGGGAGGGCTTATGATGTGATTGCCACTGCATGGTATGCATCTCTAAATGTATGTATGTATCTCTGTCTGCTGTAGGTGATTGATTGGGCGGAGCACGGTGGATGTATCAGTGCATGGAGGGCTGAGAGGTAGAGGTGAAGGGTTGATGGGGATTCGATGTACTGTTGTGCGTTATGAATCGAAAAGGTAAGGGGATCTTGGAAGCGGTAAGTGTGTATAGAGTGGGGGATGGTTCGATGGAGATGACGAGTATGTGAGTTGGGTGGTGTAAGTGTTTCTTCTCATCTGGTCGCAATTGCAGACAAACGATAGTGATAGGATTCATGGATACGATATTGGTCGATAGTCCGGTGAATAGCCTCGAGAGAAAGAGTTGAGATAGAGATATAATGTTCTTCACATTCACGCTGCACAGCGCTCTGTCAACTAATCACGAAAGCGATCGGACACCAGTGTTCAAGCCGTTGGACAGTTACGCAATAAGGAATCTGTATTATGCTCTAGAAAACCTGACCTCGTATGAAGTAACCATTTGGGACCACAGACCGGTCAGCTTCCAATGGTTCTCATTTTCCATAGAAGATTTGGAAGGATAGCATGCGTCGTTTCGCTAGACCGATGAGGAGTACGATCAGTGCGTATGTGAAAACTCAGCGCAACGTTAGGACTGACTGGGCGAATTCCGGTTGACAGCGTCAAACTTATTTCGCTGTAGCTAGAAGTATGACCTTGTCCGTCGCATGGTTATTGGACTGTGTTGCTTCGACTTGGTCCGCTTCGCTTGAACTATGCTAAACAGTACAGGAAGTGCCTTTGAAATAGCTGGTATCTGAATTTTGGAACCGATCTAAGTGGCATAGATTGTTGAAGGTTCGAGAGAAATTGCAAATGTGCTATTCCATAGTCACCTCAGTTGGAGATCGAGGGGCGAGGCCGCAACTTTATCAAAGATTGACTTGACAATGCGCGATAGTACAATCTGCATCAACCTAATATCGGAATCTTGAAACTGTGATTGCCAAATCACGATCTTAGGAAGTCTATGTTAAGGTTGGCGTCCATCATGATCGTGAGAGTGAATGTTCAGGCCACCCGATTTATGATCCCACATCTACCTTTCATTGCCTAGGTATATACGTCGGTTTTAGGTCCTCGTGGTAAAGGGGTGCAAGAGCCTATATAGAAAGACCATCAAGTACAATTGCCTTGTCAGCATTCGACATCTGAAAAAGAGAGGAGCAAGAGCACGTGACGCATCATCACATGATCCCTTCATGAGTTTTAAGTTGGCATGCAGTTAGGCCAGAGGGTGCAAAGTAAATATTGAAAATCAGTAGGCCTTTTATATGGACCTATCTAGATCTTTTCTTGTAAAATCGACTATATTGCCTAGACGCTCTAATCTTCAGGAAATGTGAAGGGCTATTAGGAATTAGGCAGTTCATAGCCAGGCATCTAAATATAGCATTACCATATTGTTTATTAACCAATGATAGCCTGTCAACTCAAGAACAGAGTATTTGCATGGCCCAAAATAGTTTAGAATGATAGTAGTAATGTTAGCTATGGGCATAGTTGAACATACCTGTAGTTAGAAAGCAACCAGAAGATAGCGGGAGGCTACTTAGTAAGTCATAGCTAGACTGAAATTACATACAAGTAAGATGCACACATAAGTGTAGGGTATGGCCATGAGATGATTGGACCTATGTCCATGCTTAATGGAGCAACATACACAATCAATTGTTAGGCTGCAGCACTGTAACATCTGTTGATGCTGTGCCTTATTGAGGCTATGCAGCTTCATTTTGCAACCGTCGCAAATGCCGATTGTTTTTTCTCCTGAATTCTCTGCCTGAGAAACTTCGAGGAATCTAGGTACCCTTGAAAGGTACCTTAGTGACATCATGCGTCTTGGTAGAATATACTTCTTGCGAGTATGGTCACGTCGACCTGCTAACTTCTCGACTCCTGAGTGCCTGAGGAGTAAGATATGGCGTGTTTCGAGCAGGAGCTAACACGCACCACCCGGGAATCGTGTCTGCAAGTCGCGGATTGTGTCCACAAGATGCAGAAGGGGAGGTTGACCTGCTTTATGATGATGAGGGTGTCGCGTTGACTGCGCGCTCAGTTCTGGGTATGGGTCTGTGCCCCAGTTCAGGACCGAGAGAGTGTACTGCCTCCTGTGTACTTGTGGAAATGCTCTTGTAGGATTAGACCATTGACTAAAAGCCGTTAGAGCAAAGGAAATTCATACACAAGCGCTTTGCCCATTCTCGAACAAACACTAGGATAGTCTACATTGTCGCTCGTATCTAATCCTGGCATATTTGGTCCTTCAATTCTCGGCCCTACCTCGGTGACTCGTACCAACCCACGTTTTGACTGATGGTCACGAGTAGGTTTCAAAACACAGCGCGAGGCGAGAACAACGAGAGGTGGGTCTCGCTTTGGAAAATATCTGCACTGTCCTTCTGTCGGATGCGCAAATGACGGCGCTGTTCAACGCTAGAGTAACAAAGATAGTTAGACATCAGGCATGGTCGATTGGAGGTGTGCTCCCAAATGCTCGCGCGGAATCGGCTCAGAGTCTTGATCGTCACTTACGCATGATAAGGCTGATTTATTTCATGTTGGTAGGGGCCAAATTGTAGAAGGCGGTACTTCCGCCTTGGGTGCATTAGCGTCAATCATTCATACGTTTTTGTCTTGAACAAAGCATGGCGCTGCTCATCTCAAGGAACCGAGTCTCTTGTGTAGGATTAGATGGGATACACTAGCCTACTACTCAAGGTAACGTATTTTATGTTTTTCTAAATGGAAACCGCTGAGTTTGGTCGAGGTCGCGTCGTGCCATATTCCGAACAGAATGCTCTGTGCTCCTATAAGTTCCGACGATCCTTCGACTTCAACATAATAGAAGAGTGTCACTACTGGGGTTTAGCCATGGGAAAGGGGGGATTAGATTCGTGAGTGCCAATGTCGTTTTTTACAACCAGTATGGAGACAGTGTAGCTAAGGTTGGATTCTTGCGAGGAGAGTGGTCCCTTCTTTCACACCCCTACGAGAGAGGACATGATTGTGGCTTGCCTCAAGGTTTCAACTAAGTGTTCTGCTTGCGGCCTCATGAATGTGGCACGCTACTGCAGTTGGAGTGCGGAGCTTGAAGTGTGAGTTCATTTACTGTCGCGGCCACGGCGGAGGAGAGATATGGGTTCCTTGCGCCTCGTACAGCACTTCGAGCGCCAGCCAAGTCGGAATGATGAGATGATGGTGTCCACCCCCTTTTGATCCCGCGCGGAGATCGGGTTGAGTCTTCATGCTCTAGCGACATGTCTGTAAAAGAACTGGCAGGGGTAGCCAAGGAGTCGTGACGAAGCAAATGAACAGTTTGGGTCGAATCCTAGGGTTGCAAAACGACGACGAGGAGGAAATGGGAATCTTCCACAGGGTCGCAGGAGGGTCAGTGGCATGGGATGCCTCATGGAAGACTCTTCAAGGCATATTGGTGGCTGAAAATTCTTTGCTAAACGGATGTACATGTACATACGTACTGGCAAAGGAGGTGTGTGAGTCGGACTGGTCGAAGGGTGTGAGACATTGCTGCCTTAGGCAGAGGGAGTAGATAGGATCTTTACTCCGTATATGTGCTTGGCTTAATTGAGTAAAGGAAGACAAGCAGGAATTTACGGGAGTTTTCGAGGCTAAGATGGGTCTGTCAGTACCACTACGACTCAAGTTCAATCACTTGAGTGAAATGATGCATAGGGACATGTGTGAAGGCTCTCGAAAATGCGATTAAAGATGAGTCACAACCTGCATTCTTTCTCCCTGGGCAGTGACAAGTCAATCGAAGAAAGAAGTGATGTGTGGTTACCATGAAAAGGTAGGTGTCCCGGTAGATACCCTTGGCTCTGCTTCGCCGTATGCACATCACTCCAGGATTAGTTTCAGCCCGCGCCCTCCACCTGGGTGGGATTCGCCGCCAGAATAGCAGGAAAGCACAGCTTTTCGACAGAAGTTGCTCGCTACAGAAATCTGTGGGTGGATTTCGCGCCGACGACCTGTCAGTGAATGCTGGCAAGCTCGGGGGTCCGGGAGCGCTGCGTCCAAGGTGCCTCGTCTGTGCTACCCCTACCGTAGTCTACCACAATGATTGCACGGATGTACACAGCTTTGGAAACCATATTCGATTACCTAGTTAGTCTGAGGAGAAGAAAAAAGCAATCCACCGTACAGTACGAGATGATGGGTCGTCGGGCGTTCATGTCTTCTCCAGACCTTTCCATCCCATCACTGGGATCTTTCACTTGTATTTATCTCCTCCAGACCTGCTACTTCCAACTCCAGCCCTGTGGTACTTCTTTACTCTTTTGAATAGTTCTATCTTTATATTTTTTCATTCTTCAGCTCACAACATGACCATCGACCCAGAAGCTGTCGATAAACTGATATCGGACTGCCCAAAACATCTGACCCGAGGACGTCACTTCAATATCCTTGGCTTGGAAAGAGACAACAAAGTGGGCCCAATCACGTTCAACAAATATCCTCCCACAGAAGAGCTACGCAAGACGATGAACAAGGAGGCCGATGCGACCCAGGAAGAAATCGGAGACAACATGGCTGCATTTAAAGAAAAGATGAGATGCCCCGAATTCCAGCAACAGTTCTTCAAGCGAGTGCTGGATCAGCACGGAGAGAGGGTATGGGGTGACTCAAGAGGTCATCTATACAGTGATACCACCAATCCGTTCTATCCTAAGCACATACGATATAGAAATAGGGATGAGGAAACACAACACAGGTAAGCGAGTGAAAATCTGTACAAGGCCCACCAAACTGACTGAAATCAGTCTTGAGTTAGGATTGCTATCATGGATAATACATAGATATTATCGATTGAATGCCCCAAATGCGGAAAACTCACGAGGAACGACCATGCGTGGGCTCGACCTGAAGCGTACCAGCTTCACTACAGATATCCCTCGAGAAAATAACACGGGAGCGTATGTGGCACCTCCGGCATTGATGTACGAGGGTGCAACTACAGACTACACAACAGCTCGATCAACCGAGGCCATCTTCAGGTTGCCTCCCGATCCCGCACTACAAGGCGAAAAGCGAGATCACATTCAAAGCACAGCGGATGAGGAAGGCTCAAATGCTGCGGTAGACGGGCAAATCTCTCTTGCTTGCAGGTCAACCACACGTTACCAGTCTCCCAAACGCAAGAATATGAGTACTGGTATTGGGCCTAGCAAAATTGTAAAACTCAACATCGGAAAGGGCAGAGTTCTTCCGAGCTCTTCTCGAAGTGTGAGACCTGCACCCACTGCGACCGTTGAAGAGGTCGAGCCATCCGTAGAACATGGGGATTGGCCAACGAGTGGAGGCGGGATAATCGATCCACCTCGAACAAATCATTTCACTGGGTCGCCATCACCTCAAGTCGGTGAGAGTATTCATGATCAGGATGATTACCAACAAATCTGGGATCAGACAATGGTAGATGACGCTTCATTCATTGGCCCTGTACCTGCTCCAGAATGGACATATCATAGAAGATCGATCGATGGACCTCCCGAGGATTCAGTACTCCCTGTACTGGGGACGAACACTGTACCCACAGCACTTCCTCTCAATCAACAGGAGAATGACTGCTATGGTCACTGCGACAGTGCATCTACAAGCAGACAAGGCTCTATGCAAGTTATTGACAAAGATGTGAAGGATCGGGCGTTGCATTTTGCAGAGCAGCTGTTGGCCTACATAGACCCCAAATCGGGTCTGATCGAGGAATGTAGAGAGCTGTTCACCGAGTTGGTGAAGTTGTGGAACGATGATGAGCAAAGACTAATGCTTAAGTTTGGAAGCCAATTTACAAAGTATCAGGAAGCAGTATGCCTTTGGCCTGAGATGCTACAGAAGGTGTCCAAATACCTGACAGATATCGACTTTGATGGAGCCCCCGGAGCTGAATGGGATGAGCACTGTGATGCTCTCTCACAAGAAGGTAAAATCGAAGTAGCGAGGGCGTACCATGAGCTGAAGACGTGGATTCACAAAAATTACAAAAGTGGACCTGTATCAGTGGACACACTAGCACGCGCACTTCACGAACTTTTGGGTATATTTGCGATTCTATCGCCGGCGGACCTTGCAGAAAGGCTGCGTAAGAACAACCAAAAATTGTTGGGGTGGGTGAAACTGTTGCAGCGACTTTACAACTGATCTTCTCTTTGTGTAACAATTTTAGACCTACCCTTTTCCCTACTTAGAGCAAATAGATAGTACTAATATTTCATACTGATATTCTATGCTAATTACGAACTTTTAAGTTTTAATGCTAGCTTCTCAAAATAATCACGACTGCAATTATGACAGTGAAATAGAAGGGCGTGATGGCTAGTCTGCGTATCTAGATAGTACTGCTCCTGCCTCTAACGTTAGGCCTCACTTCAATGTAAATCTGACGCACCCCTTTTATTCAATCTTTTGGAGTCTTAGTGAAATCTAAATTAAAGGAGCAACTAGTTACCTTCCCAACAGAAGTGCAGGAGCTGAAAGATGAGACAAATATCCTTGACAGACATTTGCATATTCAGCTGTATGAGCAGAGACCACGCGTATACCAACACTTTCAATAGTCTATGCATAGGCGCCACAGGTCATAAATCCAAAGCACCAGGAGTGATAGATTGTCGTGGTACAAGAGAATTCATTGGTCGGGAAGCCTCCCGCGAACGTCTTTGTTGGCGCTGGCAGCGTCTACGCCACATAGGCACATGCTTAGAGCGCTTTTGCGGAGCTCATCATCCAGTAACCAGCAAAATTACACAGCATTACGAGACAGAACCATGCGAGACACACTTCTATCATGAATCGTACCTAGGAAGGGTCTATCCCGGACGGTTTGTTTGCTTTTTTCCCTCCGTAGGGTGGTGTAAAGAAGCCTGGTAGCGATTGTTTGCTTGCTTGGCAATGCACCAGGTATGAGGACGTCCCCGCTCATGTTACCTATATTTTTGAGGTAGTAGAGCATGCCCCAACTTTTTCGTCTCGAAACAAGTTCCATGAGCGTTTCGTGCCCAATTCATGGTGGGCGGCGGACTTCCATTCACATAAAGTGTCAACCGTTCCTGATCATCGTGTGCAGACATTACCTCAACATCCTGCCAGGGCAAACACAATATCACCCTAATTAATACCATGAGCCAGGCAGCAACCTACGAAGACCGCTTCAACCCAGACAATGCCGTCAAAGCCTGCAGAACCGCCAAAGCTGCTGACTACATAGAGCGACTCGGTCTTGTGACCGACAACGATCTTCGTAAAGGCTCTGGCGCGATCCCAGTGTTCAGGAGCCACGACATTGTCCATGAATTCTACGAAAAGACGAATTTGAAGGTCGCCGAGATTGCCAGCAACAAATCGACGGATGACCTGCAGCGGGCTTTGGGCTACGCGTTCTGGCGAGAAGAGACGGCAAAGCCATTCCTAGACGAGTACGGGGATAAGATCTGGGGTGCTGATAGAAGGCATCTGAGGGCAGACGAGTCGAAACTGTACCCCAAGCAGTTATACATAACAGAGGACGCAGATAAGTATGATGTTGACTTAGCACTTGAGCGATGATGTACTTACGTATTGTCTCTCTAGAATTGAACTCTGGATCATTTGCTGGATCGGCCAACGGGCGTTTGGAAAGATCAAGAGGGACGCAAAAGAGCCCACCGCGATGAAACGAACGACAGTACCGACACGCACGCCTGGAAGCTCAGCTTCAAAGGTGTTTAATCGAAACTCACGCAACTTTGATCTCTCACCAGAGCCTTCCCTACCAAGTCCCAATACCACGCCTACGGCACGTAATGGAAATAACAACAAAAGACCATATAATCGCAAGAAAATTGACACAAGTCGAGCAAATGATCAGTCCGAGGTCTCTGACAGTGGTACGCTCTTCGTCACACCGAGTCCTAGAGCTGCAAGACGTCCACCTCAGACGGCGACCATAGGGAGAATGACGCCAGAAGACACGCCGAGGGCACAGAGATCGGAAGGAAACCCCAGAACCTCGACTATGGACGACGATACAGACATCTATGCCCCACCTATCCCGCGCGACGTTGATCTAGACTCGTCATCCGATTACAACCCTGGAGCAGCGGTTTCTAGGCTTGCCAAACGAAAACGTATGGGCGTTCACAATTCTCCAAATAAGACGCTGAGATCGCAGCATCCAGGCAGACTGGTTACATCTCCTTTACCGAGGCCTCGACCACTATGTGAGGAAGATTTTCAGTCAATTTCCGATTCTTCTCCTGAGAGTATCATCGCTGTTAGTAGCTTGATGCCAACAGTATCGACGCAAGGTACAGTTACATCACCTGAACCGACGACAGCAGTGAATGCTGAAGGTCGTGTATCAAACACGACATCGAATCTTAAAAGTCCTGCCGCAAACACAGCTATGGATCACGAAGAACCTTCGTCAAGCACGGCAATAACTCACCAAGTACCTTCATCAAGCGCATTAACAACCAATTCAGAACACGCCACAAAGAGCGTCAAAACCCCTCCACCAACCACAACCAACAGCACCGTTACCAGTAACCAAAACGTACCTAAAAGTCCCTGGAATGATGGATCGAACGCAGCATCGCGCCCCAACGTAGCTGGATCGAACGTAGAAGTGGCTGTCATGTACCCTAAGACTTCAACGACGTCTAAGCCGGCAGACGTCACGACTTCTCCTGGTTATGTAACGCCTCCTATTAGTACAACTCCTCCTAGTACAACTCCTCCCAGTACAACTCCTCCTAGTACAACTCCTCCTAGTACAACTACTCGTAGTACAACTCCTCCCGCACGCGTGATACTTCCCGCTCGTGCATCTCTTCCTAGAAACGCAACTTTCCCCTCACCTCTCCCACCACCGTCTAACGAAGAGTCCCGCCCTCACAATCATGTCTCCCCATCTACCATAAACCCACCACAGCCACTAGGCGTCTTACCAGTCCGCCAACCGCCGTCCCCGTCCTTACCCTCAGACATCACCATCAAAGCCGCCCGAGCCCACCTCATGCTCTTCCTCGTCGACCTAGGCGAAGACCAACAACACAGCACGACCAACTGCATCCACCTCAGCACCCTCGTCTCCCTCCTCCACGCCCACGACGCCCCCTTCCCACCCGAGCATTACCCCGCGCCCTCCATCGCCGCGCTCGACAAGTTCCGCCGCACGCTCGCCCTCTTCGCAGACTTCCAGCGCGCGACCGGCTACTTCGGCACGCGCGCCGGCTGGCTGGAACACCGCGACGGACTGTCGGCTGCAGAGCAGCGCGCCGGCAAGTCGGCCATGGCGAGGTTCAGAGTCGCGCTGGCGGATAGCGTCGCGCTGCTGCCGCCTGCTGCCGGGGACGACGACGTGAGGGGGTTTAGCGAGGCGCTGGAGGATGCGTTGATCAAGCTGTCGGCGTCGGAGGAGTTCCATCGGAAGGGAGAGTTCGTCGAGGACTTGACGGCGCTGTATGGGAGGTTGCTTACTTGGTTGGCATGATTTGTTTTCTTTTATCTTTCTTGGTGGCATGTGGTGTATGCATTTTGTGTAGGATTTTGATTAAATGCATAGCAGCGCTGGAGTTGGGGAAATTGTACGGAAGGCTCCATACTTCGGATACTCGAATAGAGTCTGGCGAACATGTACGAACAAGTAAAACAAAGAAAAAAATCGGAAAAGGCACAGGGAAAAGCAATGGACACTTACACACGCGCGGGCAAAAAGGTGGCGAGGGAGAGTAAGTGGATAGGAGACAGTACGATATTTTGCAGATAGAAGAGAAGAAGGATTGCATTGTCATGACATGACAAACGTTACAGAGCAGTCATCGGCAGAGGAGTCGGCACTCGGCATCATCAATGCGATAGATAGATGAATGCGAGCACGACACACCAAATACCATCGTGTAACCTCTCTTGCACGTAGTCGCGAATCTGGCCGTCATTGGCAATACGAGTCTGGGAAAGGAAGTGCGTTCGAATAGTGCGCGAAAGATAAGCCAAAAGAGAGTGAGGATTCCTAGAGGAGTAGACTATAGGTAAATAAAATCCTTCGAGTCGTCGTAGCTATCTTCCTCACGCCATGTGTGTGCCCGTTTGCGACACGAAAGTCTTGGGTCCAGACGTTTGAAGCGTAGCATTTGAAGTGCTTGGCAAATGGAGATACGAAGGGAGTTTTTTAAAGTAAGGATCAGGATGGCACCAAGCGCGGTGTGGTCTAGATAAGGCGGGGCGCCGAGCTAACTTGTAGCGCCTCTGGCGTTCGTGGGCTCAAGCAAGAGAAATAGCTGGCACGGCAAAACTCTTACTACGAGTCAAGCAATTCTTTGCCATCTGCCATGAGATATCTTGTTGGAAGACAAGACCAAAGACATCTTGAAGAACTATGAATATCGCCACGCAGCTTGATATCTGGCCTAGTTAACCTTGATACAGGTACGAACATGGAGGTGAAGTGGGATTTGCCTTCGCAGACTAAGGAACAATAGCCCCCTCGACATTGGACAAAGTTGGGGGAAGAACCACAATTGAGCGACACGAAATCAGGCGAATTTGATGGACGCGCGACTATGCAGGTGTAGGAAGGAGGATAGTTGAAGACGATGGGGGTTTAACCGTATTACTTTGGTGAGTTTGGAGTTGGGACCGAAATAAGAAGGTCCAAGGAAGTCCAAGCATTGGCGAGGCCTTGAACATGGCGAAGGATCGTGGAAACGGTGCAAAACCGTTATCAACATCCAACTCAGTATCGCAGGTTGTCGGACAGTCGCCCCATGAGAATATGTTTCAATGTCCCAATCTTTCCCAATCCCCCGGGTCTGGGCCTGTAGGATGTTCCACCGTCTTGGACAGATCCATTTGCTGCGCGCTTATTCGTGATGACAATGCGAGAGCTTCAAGATCTACGTTCCTTTGGAGGGGTCTGGCTCATTTCCATGGTCTTGGGCGCTACAAGCGACGATAATGCTGGATGATAGTAACGCAACGTAGCGGCAAACCGTGTCCCTCTGAATTGAATGCATCGTAATTGTCCCTTTGCAGCTGGGGTCCCATCGCCGTGCGCAACCTACTCTAAGCGCATTGATGCCAGGTTCGTGATCCGGGCCCTGGATGGTCGAATCTCTATATGAAGAGGGGTTGCCCGCGCCTGGGTTACACACAGCAGGAGCCCCTCGCAAACCATCTCTCCCTCTCTCACTTGAAGGTGTTATAGTTTTGCCAATCCGCAGGTGAATAGCTCACTCTTGCGCGTCCTTCAACGCCAATACTTTCGTCAAGTATCTCGAAATGGCAACCACCAGAGCCAGTCTCGAGGTGACCAAGGGTGGCACCTTGGTCGAACCCCATCCCATGGATGACAACAGCACGCCCAGCTCCCTTCACGAGGGAAGCGATGCTCTCCTGAAAGGACCTTTCCCCACCGAGGAGGAATGGGCCACTCTCCCTCGTGTTGCAGGCAGTATCCCATGGCAGGCCTGGACGGTTGCGTTCGTCGAGTTTGCTGAACGATTCAGTTACTATGGAACGTCAGCAGTCTGTAAGTGAAGGTATCCAAAAGGCTATGCTGCACGTTCTAACATTGTCAACAGTCGTCAACTTCATCCAGAAGGATCTCCCCAAGGGCTCTAAGACAGGTGCCGGTTTCCTTATCAAGCCTGGTTCTGGTGCCTTGGGATTGGGACAACGTGCCTCGACCGGATTGACTACATGTAAGTATCCAAGATCCTGGTCATATCCTGAAGAGTAGCCACTTACGCACCGACAGTCAACTCTTTCTGGTCCTATTTCACTCCTCTCTTCGGCGCGTACCTTGCCGATCAGTACTGGGGTCGTTACAAGACCATTCAATATGCTAATATCGTCGCCATCATTGGCCACGCCATTCTCATCATCTCTGCAATCCCACCGGTCATTGTTCGACCCAATGCTGCCATCGCTATCTTCGCCGTCGGTCTCGTGATCATGGGTATTGGTACCGGTGGTTTCAAATCCAACATCTCGCCCCTTATTGCCGAACAGTACAAGGATGCCAAACCCTATGTGCGCGTCAACAAGCGTGGACAGCGCGAGATCGTTGACCCCGCCGTCACAACTGCCCGTATCTACATCTACTTCTACATGTTGATCAATCTCGGTTCGCTCTCCGGTTCGTTTGCCATGGTCTACTCCGAGCATTTTGTCGGATTCTGGCTCTCGTTCACCTTGCCCACGATCTTCTATCTTCTCTGCCCTCTTACCCTTCTCTACTTCAAGAAGCACTACAAGTTGTCACCCCCCACCGGTTCCGTAATGGGCAAGGCGTGGAAGGTGATCCGACTCGCTTCCAAGGGCAGGGGCTCGTGGAACCCAGCCCAGTTGAAGAGGAACTTCAAGGACCCTGATTTCTGGAACAACGTCAAGCCCAGCGCCATCCGTGCCCGCGGCGAGACTGTCCCCACGTGGATGACTTTCGACGATGCCTGGGTTGATGAAATCCGCCGTGGTATCCTCGCCTGCAAGGTCTTCCTGTGGTACCCGCTCTACTGGTTGGCCTACAACCAGATGACCAACAATCTCGTGTCTCAGGCCAACACTATGCAGCTCGGCAAGGTCCCCAACGACATCATTTCCAAGCTCAACCCCATCTTCATCGTCATCGTCATCCCCATCATGGACTTCGGTATCTACCCTCTCCTCCGCAAGTTGAACATCAACTTCAGCCCCATCAAGAAGATCACCGCCGGTTTCGCTCTCAGTTCTCTTGCCATGGTGTCTGCCTGCGTTACGCAAGCATACATCTACAAGATGTCCAAGTGCGGAGACCACATCAACGCAGCCATCAAGAGCGGCCGCAAGGACTGCACTGCTCCCTTCACTGTTTGGATCCAGATCTTCCCTTACGGATTGATTGGTATGTCCGAGGTTTTGGCGTCCATCACCAAGCTTGAGTATGTATACCCGGAATCTTAGTCCCAATAGGATAGGCGAAGAACAAGAATGCTAACGCGCGCCATAGGTATGCCTACACCAAGGCCCCCAAGAACATGCGATCGACCGTCCAGGCTATTGCGTTGTCCACATCCGCTGTGTCTGCTGCGCTCGGCCAGGCTCTTGTCGGTTTGTCTGAGGATCCTCTGCTTGTTTGGAACTACGGCTCCGTCGCTGTCGTTGCCTTGTTCGGTGGTATTGGTTTCTACTTGACCTTCCGCAAGGCTGACAGGGAGGAGGACGCCATGAACAACATGAAGGAGAGCAAGTATCTCGGCACTGAGGGAGTCAACGAGGTCGTTGAGCCCGAGGTCAAGAACGAGAAGGTTGTTGAGAAGGTTTAGAGCTGCGAAGTTACGATTTGTGACGGCTGATTCATTGGTGGCTAATGAGAGAATCCATGACGTCGAGGATTTCTGGTGGATGGTTGAAGACTCGATAATCGATATACCCTTCCTTCGTTAAAGTAGTGGAACCGAATCCCATAGCGAGAATATGAATCGGGTTTCTATAATACAATAATCAATGCCTTCGCCTTTCCGGCAAGGTGACTGTTCCCCCTCTTCAAAGATCAGCCGTCTTACATTGCGTTCCTTCGAGTGGTAGTGTCGTTGTTTGTGAGTGCTAGCGATGGCTGTTGTTGTACATAGAAGGTACAAAAAGGTACAGAAGTATATCCTTTCGTATCATTCTACATCATGCCAGAATCAATAACAGGATAAAGGTAGAGGAAGGGGAAAGAGTGAGCAGAAAGATGGGATGATGATGTATTAGTCATGGGAAGTGAAGATATTCGCATCTGATTGGGCCTGAGGGTTTCGCTATCCGAAGCCAACCGACCGCCTGTCCACCTTCGCGCCTGCCACCTTTTCACAATTTCATCACAAACACAACACATCGTCAACCTCAACGTCAACATCGTCATCATTTGATTCATATATCTCTTCCTCCAATCTTCCATCAATTCATGCGTTTTTCTCTCTGCAAACTGCTGCTGGATCTCCAATTACCATTTGTGCGGCATTGTCTAAGTCCAATTCGACCAAAGAGGGAGAGATAGCGCGTGCTCCATTCATACTCGTGCCTTACAGACAAGAACACACAGCGAGACAGGGCAGGGCTTCTTCTTCTTCATCGTCGTCGATATCAGCATCAGCATCATCATCGCCATCTGGATCTTTTCAGCCCGTTCAATCGTCGCGTGTCGCGTGTGTTGATACTGTTCCTGGTGTCCGGCCTGACACTGTTGTGCCATTGCCTAGAGCGGTCGTGGTGCAGCTGCCAGCGCGTTCCTCCGCTCCGCTCCGCTGTGCTAAGCTTTGCTTTGCTGTGCGTGCTATACTGACCTTTTCCATTGTGCTCTGCGGTGCTTGTGCTGGTATTATTATCTACTGGTGTTGATACTTATCGACATCGGTTGTTCATATCGGTACTGTTCATTGTGTACACGTACTGATTGGTACCTTTCCACTGGTACGGAGTACTGAAGTTTGTCTTTTTGTCTGGTTTTGCCTGGGCATAAATACCAGCAAACCCACCAAACCCGAACAATAGCCTGCCACCTCTCACCTCTCACCTGCCCTGCCCCCCCATCCCAATCCATCCATCATCCATCCCGCCCCCCCACCGCCCACTCATCCACTCACCACCATCCACTCAATAATTCTCGTCTTGCCTTTTCATACATCCATATCAGTCAACAGCAACCATCAACATCAACAACAAAATTAACACAAACACCATGCGGACAAGATCAGAGTCCCGCAAAGAGGCCCCTCAGCCTACTAGTCGCGTCAAGCGACAGAAGAAGGACACCGTCATGAAAGCCTCCAAAGCACCTCGCAAAAGCAAGGCTGCTCCCGCCACCGCTGCCTCCAGAGTTGGAGCAGTTAACAACAAGAAGAAAGACAGCCAAAGGCAAGATCACGGGGCGCTCACCCTCGCCATTCACGAGAGCCAGATGCTCGCTGGCGTCCTTGGTCAGCTTTCATCCGCCTTTCATCCGCTCAACTCCATCGTCGAAAAACCAGAACCCTCTCTCGTGCTTGCACCTCCAGGCCTTCCAGCCTTGGGGCCCTACGGTAATGCGACAGGCCGCGTGCCCTCCATTGAAGATGCGATTGCGTCACTCCAGCTCGCATCTCATGGTATCGTCTCCTCTGCACATGCCCTTACTACGGCGGTTCAGCCCTTTGGTGGAGACCCATCTACCATTGCAAAAGCGCCGAGCACTGCAGCAGCGCCGCAGCGGAAGAGGAAGCAGTCGCAGACCACCTCCAAGAAGGCCTCTCTTCCAGACAAGTCGCAGCCCGCCGCCCCCACCACCCAGCGCGCACCACCACCACCTCCAAAATCGAAAGCTGCTCCCAGCACCCCAAAGCCAAAACCTGCCACTAAAAAGGCAGCATCGTCATCCGCCAAACCCAAAAAGACCTCTACAGTCTCTGAACATTTCGAACCCTTCTCTATGGAAATAACACCTCCAGGCCTCAATTTCACGCTCTCTCCCTCTAGGTTTGGTCTGATCCAAGAGCGCATTTGCTCTTCATTATGGGCCCTCGTCGTTCAAGCCATTCTCTGGAACCAGACCACTGCGAAAGCTGCACGGCCCGTTTTGTTCAAACTCTTAACATCTTATCCCACCCCGGAGTCCATGGCTGCAGCCACTGTGGAAGACGTCTGCGCCATAATCGGCACATTGGGTCTACAGAACAGGCGCTCCGAGGTGCTCATCAAACTTGCACAAGCGTGGCTTCAAGCACCGCCCGATGCATCTCGCCGCTACGCAGTAAAGAATTATCCCAAGACTGGAGAGAACCTGGAACTCGCAGATGGTGAATTATTGGGCGAAAGCGACTTGCGCCGCGGCTTCGAGATCTCGCACCTACCTGGAGTAGGGCCCTACGCGATTGACTCTTACCGCATATTCTACCGCGACACCTTGCGCGGTATTGAGACCTCGGGCGACGAGGTCGTCGAGCCCGAATGGAAGCGTGTCGTCCCTGCTGACAAGGACCTGAGAGCGTATCTGGAATGGAGATGGCGAGAGGAAGGTTGGAACTGGAACAAAGTAACAGGCGAAAAGAAGAAGATAATCGAGCCCGTGAGGAGGAGTAGTCGGAGGTCCATTGCCACTATGTCGTCTACTAGTTGAGCGTTTGGATGTTTCGTTCGTTGAAACGTCACGACTGGATGAAACTGCTCTCGCCGCTGGTCTACTATTATGCACCTAGTTTCAGTCGGTCGTCGGCAGCAGCATATGAACCTCCTAACGACACGTAAAACATGAGGGAAGAAACAACGGCGTCTCATGTTCGGGCAGAATCGGAGGGCTTCAAACAAAGCTATGACTATGTGGTGGATTTCAATGCGTTTATTCATACCTCATAACGAAGTCATCATTACTGCTATTGGGACGGTCCGGATTTCGGGCGGTATTTTACTGATCCGATCTGTCTCGCTGTGCGAGCAATCGTTGCGTCATCTTGGATTTCGATTTTGGGCGAAAACAACATCATCATTATTTTAAAACGATCTCACGGAATTTGCGATATGTTTTGGATTGACAACAGGATTTTCTCTCATAGATGGAAATTCGGATTTGGCGGGTCTTTCTACAGGAATAACGGTTGCGCCCACGCGCTTGAAGTTTGGTTTGGATATGCAGTCCTTAATTAATTTTTATGATCAATTCAGGAACCATTCTTTGAATTATTCTGTCTTTCGTTTTTTGTTTTTGGGTTGTTCGCTACCTGTTCTACGAAGCAATTGACGAGCTACGTTCTGAATGCCGCCCTCTGTTGAGACTATGAAACCTCACCACCACCGTTACGTCCATACAGATATTCCTCTTTGAGTCGAAATGGTGATATTATCCACACGCCCTATTACATCTTCCACCAACTGAAATGTTCTCTCCCTATCAATCGCTCCCCCCTCTAAACCCAAAAAGACAAAAGAAATCGCTGAATGAACGTCTACACCCATCTCTACACCAGTCAGAAAACTCCCGTCTAATCCAAAACAAAAATGCCTTCCCATCATAACAGTCATAAAGTCGTAACCCCCTGCTCTCATCCTTCACCTGCCATTACACCTCCCCTCCCCTCCCCATCCCCTAAAACCTTATTACGCGAAACCATGGGCCCTAGGCGTAACAGGCGGCGTCATCTCATCCCCCACCGCCCTCACCTCCTCCACAACCCTACGCTCCTTCTTCCCTCCCACCACTCCTCCCGCTGGCAGCGTCTCCGGCGTCGAAGCATATGACGGCGGCCTCGCGACCTGCGGCTCCGTCTGCGGTAACTCTTCGCCGGCAGCGCGGCTGCGTCGTCGGCGGACGAAGAACAGCGCGCCTATGGCGATGGCGACGAGCGCGAGACTGCCGACCACCGCGCCGGCTACCGTGGCTTTCTTGGTTCCGTGGGAGGCTGGTAGGGGTGTCGGTGACGTAACGGGGGTGGAGGAGGGCGAGGCGTTGGCGAAGTGGTTTGTTTCCTGGGGGTGGGATGGCGATGATGATCCTGTGTTTGCGGCCGCGGATGCGGTTTCGCTTGGGTTGGCGGACTCTGAGCTCTGGTCTGATGGTGATGAGGAGGATGAGGCGGAGGGTGATTGTGAGGGGGATGCTGTTGTGGGGGTTGCGCTTGTGACTGGGGCGCGAGAGGTCGTTAGTTGTGGGTTTCTTTCTGAGAAAAGAGGGAGAGAGTGGGATAGGTACCTGCGCCTTTTGTGGTCTGCTCGAAGAGAGTGTAGCCTGAGAATGGCTGCTCGTCGCACCAGAACCACTCGCGCTTCTCTGACGCGCTGAGCGATGGGTACAGGACGTGGCTGCCGCAGGTGTAGGTGTCGGATCCGCCATTGCCGCTGCGGGAGGTTTGCGTTAGTATGTTGTTGTTTATGAATGTGAATGTATTCATCGTGTGAGGGGGGCAGTGTTTATGATGACTATAAGAGGAGGGAGATAAGTACCAGAATGAAGATGTGCCAGGAGCAACGAGATATCCATTCGAGCATGCTGTGAACATGTCACATTTTGTGTCGGTGGGACATCTGCGGAAGTATGCGCCTGAGGTGCTGTATGTGGTGGCATCGGCGTCGTACTCCCATGGCGCGTCTGGTCAAATTAGTATATGATATATTGAATTGAAAGGGGAATGTTTACAGTTGTTGTTGGTGGAGTACCATGCCAGTGTTTTGTAGTTTTCCCGTGGTAGGATTGCGCGTGGTGTCACTTGAGGTGCGACGGGATCGACGTTGGAGTCAGGAGCGATGTTGTTAGCATTCACTGCTCCGAGCAGCAGTGCTGCATATATGATCGACGACATGTCGAATTAAAATTATGTCGAAGAGACTATTAAAGGAATTATGGTATTAAGACGGTACGAAAGAAAATGGCAGTCGAAGGGAAATGAGTGACACTAGGATCCTGGGGAGATTGACATTATATTCACTACCAAACAGAGAGAGAGAAAAGGTACAAGGTCTAGAGCCATCGTGCCATCGTGACATTCCATTGGCGAGGCGCATCGAGAACGTGGTTGTCTCTATTGATTCGTTAGCGTTGGACCCCTTTCAGCTCGCTCTGGCTCTACCGCAATACGCCGAGAAGGGGAATTTCGGTCCGACGCTGTTACCAGGAGGAACAATCGATGGAACAATACGATATTAGTAGTCCCCATCCTTCAGGATGCTAAGATTGAAGTCGCATCTCCCCATTGCGTTCTGATTTTGCCATGAGATTATCTGATTCACGGTGGGCCCAAGGTTGGATAAGACAAGATTCATGATAGATACGCGATGAGATCAAGCTCCACAAAGACACTGACGCGAGCAGCCACCAAGTGATGCAATCATGGTGAATTATTCCAGCGATGAGAAATGTCAATCTAGGGGACTCCGATTTGACGAAGCATCTCGTGGCTGGCTAGATGACGCCACGAAAACATACCTAACAGCTGTCAATGGGTTAGCCCTATTCGATGTGCAACTCTTTTAGGAACCACGAAGAGCCCAGATTGGGACTGGCTGCTGGAAAAAAATAAAATGTCTAGAACATGTCCAGAACCGAAGTCTGGCCAGGATGCAAGAGAATGGGTCGAGTGAATAAGCGCAGGATTGTCGTTGGCGATGAGATGAAGTTAGACTTGAATTATGGGGAGAGAAAAGAGATGGCACGTGGGTTGTGGGTGATCTAAGATAGGCGCGACCCTGACGCTAGCCTGTTCAGGTACGGTTTTAGCGCCGGCTACGACCTTCCTCTTCGTGCTTTCATTCTACTGTGTATCCTCATCTATTTGCGAGTAACCTCATGTTCCTACCTTCTCGCAATGCCCGAAACACTGCGAAAGAACATCGGAATTTCTCCGACATCTAATTCCCAAATCTTCAGAGTGCACACGCAACGGCCCGCGGTGGCTTAACCCAAAATTCTGAGACTGCGAAACCCCCCGTGGTCTGACTCTGGCCCATTTTTTGCGGATTCAGCCAATCAGCGTGAACCTGGTCGGAAACCTGAAGCGCACACCAAACACACAAAGTGCCGACAATGTCTGCTACCTCAAGTCTCACGCCATGTCCATACCTCCTCTTAAATATCGAATTTCCACTTCCGCGCAGGTCGCGTTCGTCACGGAGCCGGCTCTCGAATTTCTCTTCTCTTCGTCTGTTTGTTTGTTCGTCGTTCTTTTCGAGGTTTCCTCATCTCATTTCCATTTCTCCAAGTTCACCGACCATCATTCGCTTGTCCCGTCCAATCTGGAAATTTCGTCGTGATCAAAAAGTTCCATCATGCCTCCTCCAGCTAAGAAAACCGGTCGCGACAAAAGGACAACCCTTGCCATCATCGTAGCTTGCCTCGTTTGCGGTGTACCGGTCGCTGGAACCCAACTCAGCCTGGAAATCACGTTCTTCCCGGATGTGCCGCTCAAGGACTCAGAAGCCATCATCAATGGACCGCATATTGGAATGTTCGCCGCTGTAGCCCTGTCTCTGATTTGCAGCATCATTGTAGCTGCTGGTTCGACCATTCTCCGCCACGTCAGCCCAAACAATGGACCTGTCGGTATCACGACCCTCGCAGCCGGTGTATTCAACTTTGCAGCTCAGTTGATCATCTTGGCTCTGGCATATATCACGAATGGCTTGAACCCGGTCCGATATTCCATCAACGATTTCCGCTTCGTCAACGGCGTGTACGACACCAATGGCAAGCAGTTCACCCGGGAGACTTTTGCATGCACGATGGAGAAATTCCACTTGGACAGGGAGCCGTGGTCGCGGAATGCTTGCTCGGAATATGTGTGTTGCCCTTTATCATCCACAGAAATGCTTCCCTTACTATGGAACTGCAACAGACAGCTGACTCATAGATCAATAGCATTACTCCAGATACTGCACAATCCTACACGTCAACACTGCCTTCCTCCTTCTAGGCATCGCGTACTGGCCTGTCCGCAAGTTCCTCTTCGGTCGCAACAAGGAGGCTGCCGCCGTCAAGGCTTAATCCCCAGACCGTTCGCGGCATGCAGTACTGTTAGGTCAACGCTCTTGTGGAGCAGGTTCTCTACAGGTCATCGGAGCGTTTTTGACTGACGATGGGCGAAATCTCAAATCCGACGACTCATGGACATTTGGACAAACGACAGCTTGAGGGCATAGATATTTTATTGTACATTTGTAGAATCGTCTTAATATAAGTCTTGCATGTACATACACGTGGAAATCAAAACCTTCGCTTTCGTTGATCAAAATGGTTTTGTTCGGAAACACAACTCAGGAGTTGCTCTTGGGAGAAACACAGCTCAGGAGTTGCTCTTGGGAGAAACACAGCTCAGGAGTTGCTCTTGGGATACTACGCCCGGTACTTGAGAAGTGTGTCATGTAAGCCATTGTTTTGATACGCGCCGGACTCACGATGTGACGTTTAACAGCGCACACATTCGCTAAGTACTGTGCGGGATTGCCCTTTTGCGCTCAAGATCATCATGAGATTCTTGGCTATACCATTCGAGAGAAATGCAAATTCCGTCACTGGAATCTTCAAGCAGGACCGTGGAACAGGACTTCAGTAACTGAAGCGAGCGAAGGGGAACATATGTCAAGATGCGCAAATGCGTAATGAGCGAGTAGAATGTGGTACAACGACCGGTGTGCAGAGTTCCTCATTGTAGTGTTGTGGCATGCTGTTGCCTACTGAAGTACAACGCTGTGCTTCCAGGACCGCTGTGCCAAACTCAACATGTAGCTTGATTACAATTACCGCATCAATGTGATCATCTTCGAGATAGTCACAATCATGAACATGAAGAAGCTGATGGAATAAATTGTAAAACCAAGAGCGTGAAGGTCTTTGTCTTGGGGGTTTTGTCGACGAAGGCGCAAAGACCCGATTGAATCCTGAGGACGTATCAACCACATACCTCACCTTTACAATTCTCCACGGAACATCTCCAATGTGTTCTCCCTTGCAGAGCTCGAAATGCTTCTGCCTGTATCTACGACAAAATGATGAGTTCGAGAGACGTATTTAAAGACTCGTAGAAGTAGCATTTGTGCCTCAGCATCCACCATTAACCATCGCCCTCAAATTCAATTACACAATCAAAATCCACAAGCAACAATCAATACCATCTTTCGATCACCATCATGCCTAAGTCCAACCCAATGACCGGAGACGACGCTTCCCGCATTCAATCCCAACAGGTTTGTAAACTTTACTTACTGTACGAATGACAGTGACCATATGTCTAACAAAACGTCAGGCCAAAAGTGGAGGTGACATGAGCTCTGGAGGTTTCTCGGCGCGAGCACAGAGCGCGGCAGCAAGGAATGACAATGCGAATGCTGTTTCGGGAAGCTCTGGAGATTTCGCGGGGCGAGCACAGAACCTGGCAGCAGACAATGGGAATGCTAATTCGGGAACTGGACAGAAGTAGGCGGGGTTTATCGTAGCTGTTGCTGGATATGGGGAGAGGAGGAGAAGGGGAAGGGCTTGTACCCAAGTTGAACCATTCCGACCACGAACGTTCTTTACTCAACGAATAGAATTGCAAGTTCTTGATGACCTGTTGTTGACCTGCTTGTATCTGGGTGATTCAGGTTTACCATGCACGACGAGAACCCCGACAATGGAAAGCGATTGTCTTGCTTGCGCTGAAAAGTCCTATGCAAACATGAATTCAAGTCGACAATGATACTATTCTTGGACAATTGTGATATTCGAAGCTACACATGCAGCCGAAATCACATTGGTGTAGTCGCCCGGAAGGATCAACAGCCCGTTCTGTTGGTACTTGTATTGTTCAAAACGTGGGGACCCTAAGGAGACCCTAAGGGTCTAAATCCACGCCGGTGGTGTGAATGGGTTAGTGGCCGAAGGGTCGGCACGTTGCAATACGAGGTATGCTAAAAACGGCATTGCATAAAATAATTGTACAGTACACAGTAGACAAAACCGAGAAAAAGAGACGATCGCGAAATGCACCCAAACTGTCGGAATATCACTCCATCTACTCATCATATATACTGCGCCGCATCTACGATATGGCAACCGTGGCCTTGAAACCAGGCTGACTTTGTACGAGATTCCGAAGCCTGACGATAACTGGCAAAGGCTGTGCAGGATTCCTAGGTTTAGCGAGAGGGATCCGGATCAGATGACGTACGACCGAAATAACACCATGAAGTTGGGGCATGTGAAGAAGGCCAGTCAATGATGGTGAGATTTTGGATTTTTTAATCTTTTGTTCTATCTAGCTTGCTCGATCCAGAGCATCTCCTGATATCCGAACCCAAACATGACGATCTTTGCGCCATGGAACCGTTTGCCTCAAACACCTAATCCATAAGGATCTAGGCCAAGTAGAAAAAATATACATGAAGTCATGACTGTAAGCACGCTCAAAAAACATGATGTCAGTGGGGGTATCTACGAAAAAAAGTACTGCGAACCGATTTTTCAATTCCTCCACTGGGCACGCCTGCCGTTGATCAAGAGCGCCACCACTGCCTGGCTGATGCGGTCACAGTAGAGACCCTGTGGTCCCGCAAGTTCTGTGAAGAGGGACCACAGCTTAGGCGCATCGTCCTGCACTGCGGTTCCGATGTCCGCCGGCAGAGTGGTAAGTTGAGCGAGCATCAGGTCCTCGTCAGCTTTGCTCAATCCGTTTGCGCCCGCCGCCTGTAGTGCTGGGTGAATTTGATCCAGAGTGGTTCCAGCCGTGCGCTGCTCCACATTCTGGATGAGAGTTTGGATCTCTGTTTCGTACACCTTCTTTGCTTTGTCTGTTGTTGCGTCGCGGAATCCGCAGGCTTCCCATCGAGGCCAGGATGAGCTGCTGGAGTGCAACTTATCGATCAGGAGAGGCAAACGCCGGCTACGTGAAGCGCGTTGCGCCATGTCAGCTACACTTCCCGTCTCGAAAGTGCATCCGTAATATGTCGCCATGAGGGTGTCTAGGTCAGCGAATCCGGCTTCCCGACAGGCACTGAGGACCTTTGTGAAGCGCTTCGTGTTGTGCGCGATGCTCTCAGCCGAGTTGTAGTCAGTGCGACCTGAAGAAGCTCTGCGGGGAGGAGATGGACTGCCGGGTTTTGCTGGTGTGCGTGTGCCATCTGAAGTTGCGATGAATGAATTCGGTGCCAACATTATAGATGGGTCGGTACTACTCCTCATGCGTTTCATAGGGCGCTTGGTGACTTTGAAAGCCCTCGAGGAAGGTAAGAGTGATGGCGATTCGTTGTGCGCTGATGGATTGGTTGCCTGTAAGTGTGGATCGAGATTGATGGAAGTTGCTCCAAGATCCTCATTCTTTGCGGTGGAAGGTGTTGGGCTCGCGAGTTGACGATTGAATGCAGACATCTCGTATGCTGGATCACTCATAGGACCCAAAGGCATTTGATATTGATTGTCATCGAGATGAGCTGGGCATGGCCCAGTGACGGTACTGCATGTGCAGCAGTTTGGGAAGGGATAAGCAAAGAAGTGAGTGTCCATTGGTGGAGTATGCATCAGTGAGGGTGTACCCTGCATCTGGCTGAATGCGGGATCCAGAGCGCTGCTGAAGGAACCCCATACTGGAGTTGGATGTATTGACATATCCTCGGGTACCATAGGTTCCACGGTCAACACCGGATCGCTGGGCGTGGGATCTCTCCAGTCGTGTCCTGATTCTGGCAATGCGTCTTGACTGTCGTATGAGTCGCTATCAAAAGCACCCGACTGCTCCTTCAGTCTGCGGCCTTGAAGGTATTAGATATCGGTGCCGCATTGGTGGTAAGGTTTGTACAGTGCGACTTACGATGCTTGCGCTGTGCAATGCGATTTTGTATCTTTCTTCGCTCTTTCGCCCGAGGACTTTGCGACCTTTGATATTTCTTCTTTGGGGGGATACTTTGGTCCTTTGTAATGTCGCGCGACATGAGTGAAATTGATGTTTGTTATAATGTTTATCGCAATGTATGAGGCGGCTCTTTGATAAAATGCTGGGACGAATGAGGCTGACGTTGATTTGAAGAAATAATGGGAAGTATGGGCGTAATTTGTATTCCTACTGTGGCTGTACTTTGGGAGGTATCTATGCATTCAGATTTATCTCACCATCCGCCTCAACCTGGTGGTGACTTGAATCCTTTGGAGGCAGGTCGAACTAGGGCGTTCGAAGGATCGAGCGACCCTGTGGGTGTTTGAAATCGTCCGGAGTTTGCCTCGAAGTGGGAGTAACTCTTAGTGATCCTAGAAAGCGAACCCCGGTCGGTTGATAGATGGCGTACTGTTGAACGGCCGATCCTCTGCCTGCGGATCCTGCAGGGACCTTACACTTTCTCTACGTTCAGACTAGATTGCAGTCTCTCTGGGCCTCAGACGGAGACAAGACAAGAACCGAGTACAGGGTCTCACCCTCAGAATCGATGCCGGTTCCGAGCAAGCACCCGCAAAATACTGTACACATTGAAGCCAAGGGAGGCTGGCTCACACTCTCCTTGCCGGTAACGGTATCGCGCTCTTGAGACTCTATTTACATACATTGTTATCTGTTATCTTGAGGCATTCATGAGAAGATGCATGAATCGATACTGATCTTTGTTCATCTGTAGGCGGTGGTGTGCGCATGCAAGTGGGAGGAACCTCTCGAATGGCTGGCTATTGTTATCTGTGTCACGGTATAATCATCGCCGTTCCGTCGCAATACAGCTGCAAGATTGTATCCTTGAAACCATCTCCATCGCCCTCTCTACACAACGTGTGTCGTGGGATTAGTTGGCCCCCAGGTGTTGTGAGCGGCCGAAGCCGCCCTCTAGATCCTTCGCTTCTATAGACCCAACAGTAGCGGCATCCATACCAACACAACTACGAGGGGTCTACGGCGAAATACAAGGGACCTGCAGCGTGTAGCGGCCGAGGACCAAGGATTGGAACCTGCATGAACTGGTTGCTGCGAACCCAGAATAGATCAATATGTTAGGCCCGCAACCTATGTGTATTCACATATTCCATTTCCTGTGGATATTGTGGATATAACTCGTGTCCACCTCCTTCGCTTTTTGTTTGGTGAAGCGAGCGAGACACCGAGCGACGCCGAGCAGAGCGTGAATGATTATCTTAGAAGAGAAATAATGGAGAAGGTGGAGGTTTTGGGTGGTGACCAAGAATGCGGTAATTGCTCGTCGCAACTTGCTTACAGTCTTACTCCAGTGATTTTCCCATTCGCTCGTGTACGAGGAGGGCGTAGACCACGAGTTCCCCCCGCACAGCCTCACTTGCAGGTTGCTCCAGGAAAAATCCGATAGGTTACCTTGCGAAGCAAATGGTTTCATCAATCCGGCACTAGTCGTGAAGGGGAAGATGCAGTGGTCCGCCAGAAGGGTAAGGCCACGGCCATTGTCCTGGGTCAGGTCCAATGCACATCTGGCCATTCTTCTCTACTGTGTAATACTCCAACATCTTCTGCGAAATTAGGCCACCAATCTATCGGCCGGATCAGGTGTAGAGCGTCGGTCTCATGATATTGAATGATGTAGCTAGCTCTTTGCGATCTTCAAACTATATTCTCAAGTAACTGGTGCTTTGCCATAAATCTATCTTGGGCTTTTGCCTCGGGCACAAGATTCTCTCCACCGTATAGTGGGCCCAGGTGAAAGTCTTTGTATTGGATGTCGTAAGCACTTGACCAATGGAAGCACATGGTGTTTTTAAATTAAGCGAATAGAAAACTGCCTTGCAAATTCGCGATGTCTTCATGCTCAGGTACGAAGGTAACGTGGGAGTAGTATCGCATGAAACTGGAGAAATTCCGTGACGCCTTTGTTTCGTCGAAACGAAGCATACGACCTTTCTATTGGCCTAACCAACACCATCGCTCGCAATCAAAATTTCCGCAATGGGATTCCTCAGGCAGGCCTTCCTACAGGACAGGGTTGCTCCCGTACGTAGCTGCCGTACGTCCGTACTTCAGCACCCTCCCCCTCGCTTATGTCTTGGATTACAATGGCCTTCCTCAGTGGCTGGGCAAATCTGGACTCCGGTAAGAAATTCCGCATCAAGCAAATCTTGATGAGCAAATGTTATTGCCATGAATGGTATAACCCCATTCCAAGATCCTGACTACTGGACCTTCATTCCAACACTGTCTTGTGGTATAGCCTCCGACGGGCCAGATATCTTCGAATGCACTATTCGAAATTGCTTACATCCTCGGCTAGTTTAGGCATAAGGAAGTGATCAGCAAGACTTTCATGCTGTTATGAATTGCCCTATCACTAGTATGTTCACTGAACGCCCTTCGGATGGCAAACGTTCAGTTCTAGATGAGCCTTCGTGGGAAAATCTCTATTACGCCCAACGCCTGGCCCCGCCTTCTCGAAGGCCGCGGTTTCGAGTTCATCGCTGCCTATCGCCCGCGGCTCTACACTACGATTGAAGAGTTTTACTTCGATTCAAAGGAAAATTTTTGGAACGGCCCAATTCGCCTCGTCAACATGCGATTGAAGGCAAGGCATTTTCATTAACAGACATTGGCGTGAATTGTTTGCATAATGGCACTGCCATCCATATTCACCGATCCCGTATAAAGCAACTCGGTTCCGCATTTGGAGGCCAAAGAAAACATTAATGGCTGGCGAACAACCCAAATTTGCGGCCAAAAATACACGTGATATAGCTAGGTGACCAATAATCTTATGAGAACTGGGTGAGATTGTAAGCTCGGCTTCCATTGTTGGCATTCTGTATGTTGGTATTGATGTGGCTGCAGTAGCGTCAGCTTTCCTCGACCAATTCGTCCTGCCTTGTCTTACCTCTCTCCATTTAAGTCATCTATGGCACCCTTTTGTAACGTTAGCACCTCTGTGTACCTGGAGGAGGATACGTCCGATATCTGACGGCTTTCGCTTCATGTGAGCCTCCGAGTCGAAATCCGCATCCGCCGTTTCAATATGACTCCACATGTTGCGAACTCAGCTGGGATACTCCGACCATACCCCATCGCAAGGTTCCGCCCAAATCTTCTCTTCGGATAGCTCAGGCCGGTATGATCGAATACTCTGAATTCTGGAACCATCTAAACGCCCCTCAGCTTGATTCACGAGCAGTCTGAGTCTTTCTATCCGGGTCGTCAACTACTTGGAAACATCGTAGCATTATGGTGACTTCCAAAAGTCGCCGAACATTATCTATTCATCTACATATATCTATCTAATTCTTTCGAGTATAACTCAACCGTAGCTCTTCGCTGGACCGTACCTTTCGGCGTCACGACGAACGGCTTTTCAGGACGTGCAACCAGAATTCGGTCTCGAGTCACCCTTGCTACTAAAGGGCATTGCTCATTCATCTCTTCAATGATCGGCCATATAGAATCGACACTCGTCCCGTCAGCGAGCTTAATGAGCAGGATTGAGCTCCTCTTTCCTGTACCCATAACGAGAGCATTCTCGATTTTCTCGTGGTGGGACAGGAAGTTCTCAACACCAAGCGGATGAAACTTTTCGCCCGATAGAAACACCAACATATCATCCGCTCGACCATAGTATCTCCAGAGATCCGGTTTCTTTGGATGAGGCACGAACATATCTCCAGTGGCATAAGCGTCTGAATGTGGGTAGATCTTAAAGATTGGCTGTTCGTGGCCTTCGGTCCTTCTCTTTATGACTGCCTCATGTATGCTTGCCTCACGATGTTCCATAACCATGTTCATCGCTGGATGAAATTGCGCATAGTGCCAATCGGCAGGATCCCAGGTTTTGCTTCGTATGGTTGGCCAATTTCCCATCTCCGTAGCACCAAGGCCAACCATGAGCAAAACTTTGGAGTTAACAGCGTCGCCTGCGGTGTCGGTAATGTCGCCGCCGGCCCATGAGATACGCTTAACGTGTTGCGAGATTTTATCAAGTAGAGACGAATCATTGTACAGTTCCGTGACGTGAAGTGGTCCAAAGAAAACCAAATCAGTCTGGGTAGCCTGTAAGGTCTCTAGTGCCACAGCCGCACCGGGTGGTCGCTCACTCGGGGGATATATCGCCACAGTACCACCGAAGACAGGATAAAGCAGACACGTGAAAATGTGGCCAGCCTACCGATGGAAGGTTAGACGTCGTGCGCAAAAATCGTCCTCGTCGAGATATACTTACATGGAAACGGGGATACATGCTCAGCGCTCGGAAATGCGGCAAAGCATTCAACATGGTTTCGTAACCTTCTGGCGCGTCAAGAGAGATCTCAGTTCCGAAGCTCAGAGCCCAGTCATGAGTCCAGGTAATTGGCTTCGGGAAGCCAGTGGACCCCGACGTGTGTAGAACCACGAAAGGCTCGGCGCGTGCTTGTTCGAAACTTTTCTCAAATGCATACGTCGAATGTTCAACATCCAATAGGTCGCTCAACTCCGGGATTTGGTAGTGGCTCAGTTGAGATGCCTCTATTATAGCAGCGCCAGTGGGAGGAATGCAAACCGGAGTTAAGAGTGCTTTTCCTGCGGCCTTTTCGATGAGCGCCAGGATGCCCTGGATTGCGAATTGAGAGGATGGAAACAGCATCTAGTCATGGTAAGCCTTGTCATTTGACTATTGGAGAGTACAACCTCACTTTGTAGCCCGCCTTAACAGCTGCGAGTAACATGAGAATGTATCTCAGATCATGCGGTCCAAGGTAAACAAGCGTCTCGAAGTTCAATCCCCTGCCCAATGTTCTCTCGATCCATAGTGCCAGTCCATTGATGGCATTGGCTAAATCTTTGTAAGTGATCTTGCGAAACCCCGCTTGGCATGAATGGGCATCATTCGGGATCTCTGCATAAAGCACATCGGGATGAGTTCGAGCTATATCGTCGATGATTCGAGGGATCAGCTTTTCACTGCTGTATGCACTACTGTATTTTGACATGTTTACGGGGCAGAAAGTTGATGAAGAACACAATGCCACAACTTGGTGACTTGAGTGATGATGCTGTGTAACTAGATGTGGGGTATCGGGATTCCAGACAGGCGTCTGGAGAACTTGTGGGTCGTCATGTTGTAGAACCAGTTTCGAATGTGTAGCCCCTGCAATTGGTTGTTAGTATGATGCTGCAATTGGCTGTAAGCCCTGTCTGGCCCATCCCCGGAACCCCATCCCAATTATTCACTTTAATCATGTGCTCATAGGTCTTGTAAAATCGCACCTTGTCATTATTCTTTTGCAAAGAAAATGATCGATTATCGCCCGCGCTACAAATATTGGATAGCGCAGATAATCTGGGGGCTTCATTGTATGGACTGCGTAGCCGAAATAATCGAAAACCGGGCTCGCAACTGGACCGAACCCGTTCCATGTTAGGCGAACATCTATTGTGGGCACAACAAATGTCTATCGAGAAACGACCCTGAATACGAAAAGCGTGGCTCTGGACACAATACGTTCAAATTACCATTGTTCCATGTATCATGATGCCTTGTTAGTAAGGCCTACTCGGACATCCCTGAAGCCTCGCTCGATAGTAATGTTTAGCAGACGTGTTTCATCAAGAACTTCGACCTTTGAGACAAAAGATACAGTAATTCATATTCAATATCTCGTTCTACGCTATCTAAATCCTAATTCAGATGGCCGGCAATGAATTGTAATCGGGCGGGATCTCGAATGACGAGAGGTATGGGGGTGGAGCAATCGATGAATCGTGCTCTAAACCAGGGGCAACGGTCGTCTTAATCAATGGGCAAACCAGCGTATGTGCAACCCGTGCACGTTTACGGTCAACCAGATTCCCTGTTTGATTGTCCAAGCAATCTTCTCCGAAATATAGGCGTACATGTAGTTTATAGTCCAGATGAAATGTGAAGTTGCTATTGCTTGCTGTCTCGTTTGTTGCATTGGATTCTGATGATTGGACAGTGTTCGAGATGTAACCCCCATTGACGGACAACGCGATGTTGTTCATCAATCCTATAGCTTGTGTAGAAACAATCTCAAATGACTCTTCGCTTTGATCGTAACTCGGGTCTATGGGGGCGCTTTGGTACGGGGTGTCGCATGGGTATTTTGGCTTTATTTTTCGTTTGCCCTGATCAAGCTCACGCGTGCATTCTGACCTGCATGAATTGGACACAGGAATACGACCTGCATCGTCCAAGGGGCCGGACAGAACCGTCATCACTTCTTCAATTCGCCATTTGATCTCTCTTAACACTCTCCATTTCGCTTCCGAGGGGCGTGGCGAAGGCATTCGTAAACCACCTAGCAGAAGCTTTATCGGTACTTTAAAGGTTGGGTCCACCTGCGGCTTGCCAAAGACAACTCTGACACTAAGCGATGACTCCGGAAATGTCAGTATTCCGGTGGGTTGCAAATACATCGGCGTATTCTCTCTCCGCCGAACTTGTAGCTGTTGACCCACCCACTGACAGGGTCCATCAAGGGCTGTGGATATAGCAACCACGGCATATTGAACATCAACAGACGGATGTTCTACTGATATTGGACTATTTGGAGGAAATTGGAGCTCGAAGTTCCATTTGGCTGTCCGTGCTGTGTCTGGAAATTGGGAGCGAGTCAACGTGGTAGAGCACTCGCCCAGCTTTTCTGCAGCATCGAGCCACGACCAGCCGGATTGCTTCTCGATACAAAACGAATCGCATGTGCTTCGTGAAATTAATCCATTCATTCGTTTTGTGGCCTTTCTGACGTGGCCAACCCTGATGAGAAGAACCTGAAAGCTGAAGTTCGTCGGCCAGTTGGGGCAGGAGAAATTCCGCTCAACCTGGCCAAAAATTCGAGGTGCGTGTGAATTGCCGTCATGATCGACCGTGATATCAATGTATGTGGGAACTGTCAACAGAATCTCATCTCTAACCATAACGAAATTTCTGGGATGTTTCAAAGTGAAGAATCATTGACGTGCAGACTTGGGGAAGATACTAAGATCAGCCGTCGGGTCCACGATAATTAAGTAGATCCTCAGAGATTACCAAGCATGCCATCATGCTGTTTGTTACTGAAGGTCAGGAATGATGCATCTAATATTGCAATGGTGTATGCGGCCTCCATTGTCAACCATAGGGGTCTATGCAATGTATGCAATTCACATGCCTAAATAGGCAGCCAAGACACTAGCGCTACCCACTCTATTGCTCTCCACTCCCATCACTTCCAAGAATTGACGCTTTTTCATGATGGACTTGTCGTCCCCAATGGATCTTTGAATGACATGGCCAATTAGTACCAAGGAAGAATGGATAAAACTCATAGCCATCGCCGAAGATCCAAGTCTGATGTTGAAAAGTCGCCAAATCACATGTTGAGAGAGCATTGTTCTCATGACAGCGATGCCACTTCCTGATGAATGCGTTTATGCACCACTTAGACATGATCAAATTGTCTCATACTACTTGTGTTTTCTCTTGGATCTGGGTGCTGTAGGCACTGAGGAGTTGAAAGAGTAGCAACGCCAATCTTAAGACAAAGCGGAACACAAAGCCTGAATTCATGGTTTTTAAAATGATGATGAAATAGCATTAGCGAGGTCAAAATTTGCACGGCTACCAATTTCAATGTATGGTAAATGATCCAGTAAAGATGTAAATCAAGAACCCTAGGTATAACATGCCCACATTCTGCTCAATCTGCTCGAAGCAAGTAGTCTTCGACCAAACTTTTGGGCGAAGGATCGCCACAAGAATATTATTTCACCATAGAGATGGGATGATGCTCATATGAAAACTTTATAACACTCTATAATACCCCAGATTCAAGCCTTTGTAGCTCGTATTACCTTCGTGGGGGAACAGTTCGTGTTGCGCTTGTGACGGATGAATCTTTCACTCATCGACTAGGGACATGCTATGAACTCATCATCGGGAGCTGGAGCCGAGAAAAGTCGGAACACTCGCCGAAACTCGAATGTAAACTTCAGGACTGCGGGATTTTGAAGATAAGCTTGAAAGACCACCGGACTTACGGACACTCGCCAATTGAAACGAATGTACTCGTACGCCTGGAAACCAGTACCGAGTCCCGCGCTTATGCAAAACTCGATCTTCTTCACTTCCTTATATCTTGTCCAAATTGAAAGAGCTTCAAATTGTTACCTGAAGCTTGAAGCTATGTGTGTAAAGATCACTGCTGCTACATGAACTGTTGGTCAGCTGGTAACTCAGAGGCTCCAGGAAAAAGAGACTGATCCTTGTTCTACCACCTTGAGAAATATCGATCCACTGCTCTTTCTCGGGGGTGCAAGCGACGAACTCAGAGCGACAAAGCTAATTTTGTCACCCAATTCGGTGCAGTGAGCACTGAGAGTATCCACGCGACCTACCAATACCCTATGCTCGTGTATTCTGGCTTAATAGAAGAACCCAGATTCAGTGTGCAGGCAACCTTCGATGCGACGCGAGCGCTATCGTATGTTTGATACTATGCAACAAGTATTTCTAGGTGTGAAAGTCATCTACGCACCAATTCAGGAAGGCTACAACAGCTCTGTCATTCTTCTAATCACCGAAACTCAGCTTCCATAGTATGAATTAGTTATAAGGCAGAGAAGAGAACGTACGAGTATCATGTTAATGAGATATATTACACAAGGTTTCCTCATCGAGGCATCGTTTCCTTTTTTCCCACTATCGCGATTTGTTCAGGCATCTTGAGAAGCCGACCAGCCAGCGCGGCTAGCTCGATTCGGTCAACATGGTTCGAGGAACATTGCATGGATCCAAAGCTTGACACCGATCGAAGATCGAGCTAGGAGATTGAAATTCGCGATGACATGCAGACGCAGGTCAGCAGGAGCAACCCGATGTTATTGTTCTAGATCAAAGTGCCATTTTCAGCAGGCAAACACCGCGTGCAAGTGCCGGTCAATGCGGACCCCACCTTCACATCAGTATGTATCTTCTTTAAAGAGCACACGAGCTTTGTCCATTCAAGGGTCTAGCGTTAACGCTGACATGGGCAAGTGCTGCGCATCTAGTTTGAATCTGGCATTTACGATGGGAAATTCTTCAGTATGTACTACTGTGTACTCAGCCTTGCAGGTCCAGGTACCCTGCATTCGCGCGAGACCAGTAAAATTGGCACACTTGGCGGCCTTACGCCCCATCTTGACCAGAATAAGGCCCCGAGTCCACGTTGTGAACACGTTCAATGGCGTGTTTGGGGGGCATTTGTAAAGAGGCTTACCCGCCCCCAAATACAATAAAATGGTGCGTGCTGCAGCCCTATCTGCTTTTTATAAGATACCAAAAGGAATGCAATACATAGTATCATGCTCGGCTGCTTTCAGAGTTGTTTTCCTTCAAGTAGTTTCATAGACGTTCAATCATGGCGTTCCCACGCTCCTCGCTCCAAATGGGAGAAGATCGAGCGAGCGTATCAATCTCGGAAGAGGCATTAATCAAGGAACGGGGGAGACGCCCGACCTTTATACCAGAGTCTTTCATGCCTTCAAACAGGAACAAACACCGGAATTCACATAGCCAGTCTTTCGATGATTATTTTGTAGGTGGACTGGGATTCGTGTTGCTCTAAAACTTACTGATGTCTTGAATTAGCTAGGGCCTCGCGAGCTTGATAGACATTCCAAATGGCCGATGCTTTTTCGAATACATGGGAGTTGTGTGCCGGAGTTACTTCTTCCTTTGCTCTTCGTTGCGGCATGGACCACCAGTATATGCCTGTTTTCAAGGCATGTGCGTGATTGTGAGTTGCATTCCTCGACTGCTTCTGGTATCTTGACTGATCAGCGATTGATTTGGTACACCTTAGTGGGTATCTCTTCGACTCTACTCACTGTTCTTGGATTCATCGTTGCTTTGTCATTGTCCTTCCGCAGTTCAACGGCATACGAGCGATACATGGAAGGACGGAGAGCTTGGACAACGTTGACGATGGTCTCGCAAAATCTGGCTCGGAATGTTTGGATTAACGCCGTGGAGAGGGAGGAGAGCGCGAAAGATGATCTACTGGCAAAAGTGTCAGTGCCCCTAACTGAGCAGACAACTGGCGCACATCTGACCTATGTTGCAGGACCGCTTTGAACCTTATAGTTGCCTATGCACAAGCTCTCAAACATCGTCTTCGGTTCGAGCCATACACGCATTATGACGATTTAAGGGACCGAGTAGGGCACTTGGATACCTTTGCTAAAGAAGCAACTGAACTCGAGCCACATCGAGACGACGATCCGCCGACGTTTTGGGAATCTTGGGGAGAGTATCTTGCAATTCCTATGGCGCTATCAAACCCGAGAAAGAAGATTAAAAACGCCAACTATCCGCTTGGTAATCTGACTCTCGAGATTTTGAACCATTTAACGGTCTATATCAACACCATCATTGCCGGTGGTTGCTTCAGGGCAAACATCTACCAGACACAAGCCCGTTAGTTCATCCTACTATCAGCCCACTGGCGATCTATATACTAACAGTGGATGCAATCATTAGTCAACGCTGTCATGACCATGAACGATATACAAGCCAACACCGATCGCATTCTCAACACTCCGCTTCCCCTGGCTTATGCCATTGCTATCTCGCAACTAACCTGGGTGTACATCCTCATTCTCCCGTTCCAACTATACACAACTCTCGGGATGGTCGCGATCCCCGGAACGCTATGTAAGTGTAGCACTCCACAAATCCCGGATTGATAGTCGCTAACCATAGAACTAGTCGCCGCATACATGATCCTTGGCTTTGCATCTATTGGTCGCGAGATCGAAAATCCCTTTGGCCGTGACGTTAATGATCTCCCACTCGACGACTTCTGCAATCAACTCGCTGTCGATATTGACATAATCATGGCCACGGCACCAAGAGACTCTGACGTTTTCGTAAAGCATGAACAGAATCAACTCATGCATCCGCTGAGCCGTAACGGGTATGAGGCGTGGAGCGAGAGTAGTATTGACGAGATCAGGAGCGCATTGAAGAAAAAGTCGTTAATATCTCAGAAGAACGTGCAACCAGGGCTGAGGAGAAGAGATGATGTAATGCAGGGGGAAGGAGACAGGCGGTATGAGAGAATGAGATCTTCGGGAAATGACGTGGTGTAAGAAGCGAAAAACTGTCATGGTTGGTAAGATATTGTAACATAGTAGCGACATTCTCTGAAAAGCATATTTGGTAGACAAAAGAAATGCAGAGATTAGCTGCATAAAATGAGTGTGTCAGGTTAAATGGAGTAGTTGATCTTGGTACATCCGGTTGCCATATTTGTGCAAGACTTAATTATCGATTTTTCCCACAAGGTCTCTAAGTCAAGATGACATCGCCTATGAAAGAATTGTTCTTTTCCTGGGCAGACAAATTTGATACAACGACAGCGCTTTGGCTTCGCATCGTGCGGGGCGCAGACTTCCGACAAATTACAAAAGATGACAAACGAGGCCTCGTAGAGTTGATAACAGTTTTATTTACGTTGAATGCTTAAATTAAGTTCTGTCAATCGAGTTAAATCAGTGGTGCTTTTCCAGTTGATCCCATCCAATCCATGTGTCTTTCCACGCTCTTCTGCATCGCCAGCGTTGCCTCTTCTAACAGAGTCGTCAATGGCGCTTTCGCAGCCTTCTCGGCCATGACCCTAGTGAAATCGTTGTTGACTGCGTCATTCAAATTGATCTTCGACACACCGCACTCGATACACTCCTTGAATCTCTTCTCGTCAAACCACTCGGTGCCTGCACCATGTAGAACGAGATCCACGCGGTCTCCAACCTGCTTGTGTACCCCTTTTAGTCGAGGATAATCCAATTGTGGTCCCTTGGGACCGTATTTTCCATGAACGTTGCCAAATGCAGGTGCCAGCCAGTTGATACCTAGGGAAACGAATTCTTCTGCTTGCTCGGGTGTGGTGAGGATGGCTTCCAAGCCGAGGTCGGCGGTATCGCCCACTCCATCTTCCCCACCATCGATACGCCCTGGCTCGGCCTCTGTAATGATACCTCTTTCATTGCAATATTTAACAAGCTCTCGCGTCTTAGCAAAGTTCTCCTCCTTTTCATAGTGCGACATATCAACCATGATGCCGTCAAAGCCACCAAGGTCGGCTGCGCGACGTACAATTTCTGGTGTCTGCGCGTGGTCCATGTGCACTGCTACGGGTACAGACGCATTGTCCGCAGCCTCTTTGGCAGCATGTACTAGGATGCCGCCCGCAAAATGGATTGCCCATGGAAAGAGCTGCACTATGACAGGAGAATTCTTTGCTTCTGCAGCTTTGACGCTTGCGAGTATTGATTCGATGTTGTAGCAGCAGATTGCGGGCACTGCATATCCGTTCTTTGCAGCGTGTGTGACGATCTTGAGAGCGCGATTCTGGCTGAGGTCTGGCGCCATGTTTGGTGTAGTTATAATGGTATTTTACAATAGCAGCGGGATGAGATCGTAAGAAGAACAAATTGCAATTGTCAAAGAAGAAGATCGAAGTCTACCTCCACAAATACCAAACCATTAGTTTGTCAGCTATTTGATGGGCTAAGGTATGAAGTATCGCTAGGCCTTTGTCGGCTCGGGCTCTGCTGAACAAATGATCCAATTGCCGCAAGCTACCAAGGCACATAGTGTCCGCAAAAAATGGCCTAATGATGGCGGGGAGAATGTGGAGTTGGCTGCTGGTGTTCGATAGGATGCGCACGCCCTCGGCGATTTCGCACTCCTGCACCCGCCACTGGGGCGTCGGGTCGGGCTAGTTAGCAGCGAGCTGGATCTGCGGCAAATGAGGTGCGATCTGATATAACCAACTCTCAGTCATCACATCGGCGTCTGGAGTTCGCAAAGTGGCCGTCCCCGACAGCAAACAGGTCCTGTCGGCATCGCAGCAAGATGGACGACAACTCTGTAGCAGTGAATGAAGTCCAAAAGCATTCGTCAGAGAGCGACTGCTGGATCGTTGTCGATGGTACAATCTGGGATATAACCGACTTTGCGCCAAACCATCCGGGAGGTGCAGAAAGTGAGTTGTCTTCGTGAAGAATACATGATGCAACAAGATACTTACCGCCGCGCAGTCATATACAAGCATGCAGGCCTTGATGCTTCCTCTGCATACAATGCGGTTCATTCCCCATCCCTTATCTCCAAAACATTAGGCACAGAAAAGCAGAAAGGCAAAGTCACTTCAAGCTCTTCCTCCAAACTTTTGAAACCCCCGCCGACAGAAGATGCGCAGCGTCAACTGGCGATAGGATCAAAGCCACCGCTATCATCATTGATCAACAGCTACGACTTTGAAGCAGTTGCCGAGCAGGTTCTGACAAAGAAAGCATGGGCGTTCTACTCGTCTGCTGCGACTAATCTAGTCACACGTGACGCAAACAGGAGTTTATATGATCGCATCTGGCTACGACCACGACTCTTACGGAATATCAAAGAAGTCAATACGAAGACAAAAATCCTCGGAGCAGATGTAAAGCTTCCATTTTTTGTCAGCCCTGCTGCGATGGCTCGACTAGCTCACCCAGATGGCGAGATAGCGATCGCGCGAGGCTGTGAACAAGCAGGGGTAGCTCAATGCGTCAGTAACACGCCTAGCCGAAGTTTGGTAACAGTACGGTTGACACCTACAATAGATATCGACAAACGCATCCTTTACCCTATCGGAGATAACTGGCAGTGTAAAACCTAATTCGATTCCATTCTTCTTCCAACTCTATGTAAACAAAGACAGGCGCGCATCAGAGGCATTACTGAAGGATGCGGAAAATGCCGGTGCAAGAGCAATATGGGTAACGATCGACGGCCCTGTCCAAGGCAAAAGAGAGGCAGACGAAAGAGTCAAGGTGGAATCAAATACAGGAGCATCGGCGGCCATGAGTGGGGCGGTCGGGAAGAACGACTCAAAAGGGGGTGGCCTAGGAAGAACAATGGGCGGATATATCGACGCAACATTCGGGTGGAACGATATTGCTTGGCTGCGCAGATCTACCAAACTTCCTCTAGTTGTGAAGGGTGTTCAGACCGTTGAAGACGCAGTATTGGCCGTGAAGCATGGTTTGGATGGTATCGTCATAAGCAATCACGGAGGCCGGAATCTTGATACGTGCGTATGCTACCAAACAGCCGTAAGGCGCTAGTCATTAACTGCTATAGGTCTCCTCCTGCACTTCTGACACTAATGGAGATCCGAAGGCATGCTCCTCAGGTGTTCAATCAACTAGAAGTCTTCGTAGATTGCGGTATCCGAAGAGGAACAGATATTGTTAAAGCGCTGTGCCTTGGAGCTAAAGGAGTTGGAATGGGGCGGCCATTTTTATATTCCTTGACCTATGGCCAAGAAGGTGTTGAGCATTTCATTGAGAGTAAGAGAAGTCTAACCTTTTGCGATTACGGAACAAAGTACTAATCAATCAACCCACAGTAATGAAAGACGAACTAGAAACAACAATGCGGTTATTGGGTATGACCGACCTTTCGCAGGCTCACCCGCGATTTCTAAATATCAATGATGTCGAGCATCTCATCCCAAAATCTTTGGAAGGGTCATTCCCGGAAATACCACACGTCTTGCCCAAGGCAAAATTATAGAGATCGTCTGCTTGCTTCATGTGAATTCTAAATCGAAATCGCCCGACAAGATCTTAGAGAGGCCTCATCGCAGGCCATCCCTTGCTATTTCACCGAGCAGCATGGCGGATCTGTACGTACAAAAATGGCCAGTATCAGACCCGGACTCATGACGGATTCCACATTTTCCTTCAAGATTCGCTTCCTTGAATCGTACCTTTAGAGTAGGGAAGCATGTTTCTGCGGTACATCTTTCAGGCTTTGCGTAGCACTTATTAGCAAGTCAGGTTAAGATCCATCACACGACAGCTTCTTATTTGCATTATGATTGATTGGGCACTCGAAAACCTAAAGATACAGGCTATCCTCGGTGTTCAATAGACAACTACACATATGAGACTCTCCGAATTTCCCCAATGATTATGTGCAAAGCTTTTGAGTAGTAGCCCAACTGCACATCACTTGACCGACACAGCTACAACATTTGCAGGCCTAGGATGCGTCAATTTCGAAATGCTGTTGCCTCGATTTCTCGGAACATACCTTCTTTGCCCTCTCGGCATTATCCTTTCCATCGATGCATTGAAGCGGAGCGGCGCCCCTGAAGCGGCTCTTGTTGTAACATGCGTTGGCATTGATGACATCTGAACATTCATCGGTCCTTGCCAGCTCGCGAGTGCACTCGGCGGCTTGTTGTCCGAGTACCACGGTGATACAAAGGGCAATAAGCCCGCTTGAAAGCCTCATCGTTCAGGTGAAGTAGTCTGCCGTGAGTATTTCTTCGAAAGATGTAGTTGAAAGAAATGATTTTGTCTGTCCTGCCCAAAAGCTCATTGTGTGGAATTTGTAGGGCTTCCACAAGCCGGGATAGTTGGTCTCAGTTCGTATCCATATATGAGATCAATAAACAATATACAGCGAGGCCTGCTGAAAGCGTGGCAATGCCCAGTGTAACAGTCATGATAACAAAGTCGGTCACATACCTCCGCTCCCCAAATTCATGGGGAACACTGCGCGGGGTAGTGCCAAACCTTCTGTGATGGTTGACCCTTGTAAACCGGCAGATGTTGTATTAAGGTTAAGCATTGTCGCTTCATAACTCGGCCCTCATTGGCTCTACAGAGATTTACCCCAATCAAACGAACCCCATCGGTATTGGAAGATGGCGACCGATATTAGGGAACAGCATCATTCTGGCGAAAAAGTAATCTAAAGAGCGCTATCAGGATTTGGGGAAACGGCAGTCTCCAGCAGGCAACTTCGTTAAGACCAAGAGCCATCTTTTCAAGACCTCTCGTGCCAGATCTGTCTCCAACAACACGTTCCCCCGAAAAACATCGATACTATCAACATGAAGTGGAGTAGCTTCATCGCAGCCAACGGGCTATTTGCGCCCATTCATGCCGGTCTGCTTCGGTTTGGATGCTCTCGACTGACTGTTCAACGATTGGATCCTTTAGTTAATCCAGGCCAAATCCCCTCAACCCATCTTCATCAAATTATCGGTGGAGTACGTATATATTTCATTGAAATCTGGCCTGGAGTATGCATGACTGACTTAGGTAGGACTCTTTCAATGCTTCCATGGATGCGAAGTCCCATGATATCCCGAAACTATCTACTTGCACAACCTGCCAGTAAGTGTCTCCGGCCATCCAATAACGTCGTCGGGAACTAACAATTCCAGATTCACGGAGGATCTTTCCAACTACTGGACTGCCGTTCTGTATTTCAAAGCCAAGAATGGAACATTCAAGAGAGTCCCACAGAGAGCCCAACAGGGCATGGAGGGAACCCAGGGAGGAATGGTCGTATACTACATGACCGATGCGCTATTCGAGACCCAGCAAAAGTCCAAGGTCACGGCATTCAAGCCAGGCTTCCGAATGCTCGTCGGTGAAGTCGCCTATCGCGACCGTGAACAGGCACGAGACTTCCGTCAGTTGACTTATATCTGCATGCAAAACGAGGGAACTCGCGAGCCAGAGACCCTTCACTTCCCAACTAAGCCATGCCCTGCTGGAATCATGGCCAACCACCGCTTCCCCACCTGCTGGGATGGTGTCAACCTCGACTCTCCAAATCACAGAGACCATGTTGCATACCCACAGACGGGAACCTTTGAATCCGGCGGCAAGTGCCCATCTACCCATCCAGTGCGACTACCACAGATTCTTCTGGAAACCGTCTGGGACACAAAGGCCTTCAACAATAAAGCAGATTGGCCTGCTGATGGCAGCCAGCCATTCGTATGGTCTAGCGGTGATGCGACGGGCTACTCGACACATGCTGACTACGTCTTCGGCTGGAAGGATGATTCCCTACAGAAGGCCATGGACGCTAACAACTATGTGAGCGCACCGACGTTGAAGACACAGACCATTGCACAGCAGAATAAGTGCCAGGTTCCAGATATGGTGAAGGAAGACTTCGACTCTTGTAAGTGCAATACTTTGGATCATAAACAATTGTCTCATCATACTGACCACATTTATTAGGGCTAACAAAGCTACCGGGTGATATTATGGTCCACTAGTGGTAATAATGGTTGTACCGCTCTGTATCCAGGTAGTTAGTATCGAGTGCTAGATTGCGACAATCGTATAATGGTAGCTTCCACTTGAAACTATATGCCATAGTGATGTAGTAACTTTTGGCGCATTCCTAGACCTTTCCCCCCAACGTAAAGACTTTCAACGTGCGGCCGTCATCCAAATAAATCATTTGATTCATTTTTTAGACGCTAGCTTGGCGATGGAAATGAGGGGCTTCATTAACTTTAAGAACGTGATTAAGTTCAAGCAACTTAAGCAGCGTTTTCTGCAGCTCCCTCCAAACGTCTTGAGGTTAAGATATTTTTCATCAAGATCGCATATCAGTACTGGATGTCCTTGTACGTGTCGGATGAATGTAATTCTGGCACTAAACCGAAACTAGATTAGTAAGGTAGCAAGCGAAGACTACTTGGCAGAGATACCGCATCAGCAATGGACATTCGATCAGCTGGATTTCAACCCCCACGGCATGGAATCGACAGGCAATCATTTGCCGAACGTGCATTTCAATTCTGACCGGTCATGTGTCTGCAGCTGACGAGATGCTCCCTTTTAATGACCCTACTGTCGAAATACGAGTTTTGAGATTTGAGGAAGTGCCTGTGGATGACTCAACACCGCTTCGATGCTCTCTTCAAAACGTCTCTTTAGACGACCGTGGGCCTCGTCCGGATATTGATTGTTTTGGCCGAGAAGTAGACGGCCGCGATGCAACCATTGAAGGCACACCTGCTGAGACTGTTGTGCATGATGTTCCGACGCAGAACTCAGGATGTCGGTTTGCATGGGGCGATTTCCAAACCCTTTCATACACTTGGGGACAAGAAACTTCTTCTTCTGAGACCATATTCATAAATGGAAAAGAGTCAAGAATACCACATGGCCTCGCAATCGCATTGCGTGCTCTTGCGTGCCAACCAGAAACGCAGCTTGGTATGCACTATTGGGTGGACTCTTTGTGCATAAACCAAAACGATACCTTAGAAAAAAACCAGCAAGTTAAGCGCATGGGAGACATCTATCGGAAAGCAAGAGCAGTGATAGTGTGGCTTGGTCCTCAGGAAAGTGGGGATGAACGAGCAATAGCAAAAATGAGGCAGCTGTGCCAAGTTACGCCGAAGACAAGCCAACACCCTCCCTCTCAGTACGTCTATCCTGATGCCTGGGACGAATTGTACGCGTTCATGAGAAAGACGTACTGGAGTAGAACATGGATTATCCAAGAGCTAGCGATGAACCACAATGCGACACTATTTTTATGTGGCACGATCAAATTGACCAGACGGATGGTTTTAATGGCTGCCGTATATTGTCAACAAATATCTCGACGGTTCAAGGATGACCTCCCTGTAGTTGCTGATGATGATTCTCCCGAACTCCAAGTGTGGGCTCTTTCCAGTCGTATGCACCGTCTCGTCAGCGTCTCCACTGGCTCCCCTCGCCGTAGAACATTGGATAAGCTTCTGAATCTCATCCGTCGGGCCGACGCGACAGATATGCGTGATAAGGTATATGGAATACTTGGACTTCTGGACGATACTGTGGCAGCCCGTATAGTGCCAGACTATGAACTTTCTGTGCGACAGGTGTATGTAAATTTCGCCATGACGCTCATAGACACCAGCAAGAGACTTGAAACCATTATCTTCGGCGGATTATCCCAGGACGATACTTGGCCTACATGGGTGCCTGACTGGAGGGTTCAGTTCAACCGCGACCACGTTCGTTATCTGAAGCAAGCTCGTGCCTGTGGCGATAATATGATCGCTTCGCTCGAATTCAAGGGCGAAGAGCAGCTGCTCTTAACATGTTCTGGCGATAACGTAGACACATTAACTCGTGTTGGTGCAACCCCTAACAGACCTATCAACAAACCAAATGAGATCCCACGGGTCGATCGATACAAAGAGCGTAGCGCCATTGCTCTGTGGAGAACCCTTCTACTAGATGATATATATAAAAGAGATGAGTACATGGAAGACGAGCCTCCTCTACTGGAGGTGCCTTGGGTTGAACCTCCGGATCCGAGCGATGCTTCCTCACCTTCGAGTACAAAATCTGAATGGGACCAAGTGCTAAGAAGTAGCAACTATCGGGACTTCCATGAATTCCGGCAGGCGAATTACGATTTTCCCATCGGAGAACGCAATTTGGAAGACTTTTTCCCTCATTCTGTTCCACAGGCGCGCCTCTTTGGGAGTAGGAGACAGCTCGTCCGAGCGACTCTATCAATCAAGAACAGAACCTTAGCCGTGACAACGAGTGGTTACTTGTGTTTAGTTCCCGACGCTGCACAGGAAGGTGATATCCTTGTTATCCTGGCTGGTTGCCGCTGTCCGATGATTCTTAGACCCCGCGGCAGCTTCTACGCCGTTGTTGGGGAATGCTATGCGCATGGGCTCATGGAAGGAGAATTTTATAAGAGTGGACAGAACTGTAAGCAGCGAGACGAATTCACGCTCTGTTGATACTCAGAATAGATTAATCCATCACTGGAATATGCAACATAAGATTGATTGACGAACTAAACTGCCACCTCAACCATATACATCCATGTGCTTATTGTATTGCTCCGTCTAGCCCAGATCGCTCGTGATGCTTGGCCTCGAACAGCGGTTCCCAAACAGTACAGGCTCGCTTCGTCGCATCACCATTCGCCATTTCAGGCAGCGGCAAGAAGAAGTGCTTGTCGGTGGAACACTCTATCAATTGGCCGTTTAAGTTTTCGCGATCAAGGCATATCTTGTAGGCATTGACTACAGTTTCCACAGGAGTGATACTATTGAGACGGTGAGCTCGGAGTCAACGAGAGCATCAGAAATTGTGAGACGAACTGTGCAGGATCAGTTGCATCGATGGATGCTTGTGGTACAGCACCAGTGATGACTATTCCGGGGAGAATGGCGTTTAGGGATATATTGTCTTTCTTTGGGAGAATTAGCTAGACCAATATCCTATAGTTGAATCACAAAACATACAAGTTTGAGCACTGGTGCTGCTGTCCGCACGAACTGGTTGATCTATCGATTTTAAGTACGAGATAGTATCAATATGTGAATCAAAAGCTTACAGCTGCTTTGGCACCGCAATATTCTGGGAACGTTTGATGAGGATGGACAGAAGCAATCGTCGAGGTAGCAACAATCCTACCTCCGGGAGTTCTGTTCTTCCTCATAAAATGAATAGCCAGCTGTACACCATAAAGGAAGCTCTTATAGCACACATCAGTTGATATCAGAGGAGGCTTGGGCGGTATCTCTGAACTCCCTCGGTGATCGAGAATGTATATCGAGCCGCGATCTGAATGCCCGGCGTTTGCGAGCAGCGCATCCAGGCGGCCCCATTTCTTGAATACTTCTGTGAATACTCTTGCCTGGTCGTCATAGTCTATTACGTTGCACTGGAAGAATGCTGCGTTTGGTCCTAGATCGCGGACTACTTGTTCGCCCTTTTCTACTTGGAGGTCACAGCAAGCTACGTGCCAGCCTTCATCTATCAATCTGATCGCGAGTGCTTTGCCAATACCGGACTGTATACGTAAATTAGTCTGTTGCAAAGATCTTATCGGAGGTTCGTTTGAGGCATACATACAGCAGCTCCTGTGATAATCGCAACCTTCCTGTCGGTAGATGACTGAGTTGACATCTTTGGAAAAATAAACGGTTATGCAAAAGTACCAAGAAACGTGCCATTCGACTTGTGAGATAGTGCTCTGTATACTTTTTTCGCAACTCCCCCACAATGAATGTACCCGCATCAGGTCAGGCGATGTCCATTTCGGATAGGGAAAGCTTGGTGGAGCGCGCCTAAAGCCGAAATCCTATGTTAATCGTTGTCGGCCTAGCAATCGTTGCATACAGCCGCTGCAATGCGACAAGAGCGGTTATGGAACTCGGCATTTCATAGGAATAAGGCGAAAATAATAATGTGGAAATCTAGCTTATCTACTATCTACGTGTTCATTTGCTATCTGATGGCGTCTAATGATGGTTGGTCTTGCGATAGAGAGTGTCAACTTTGAGAAAGGTCAACGGCTAGGAGATGGTGTTTGTATGATCTGACCATCAACCGCCATAGTAATTACCTCAGTCTGTTACCTTTTGAACTTTGAGCGTTCTCTTGCGTAGCAACTGATTAAAGAGGAGAGATTGGTACCAAGGCCGACTCGTGATCTTGATGAGAGAACACTGTCGCAGGGTGAGGAATTCAATGATTTGATTAAACAGTATGTATTTATTGCAGTGCTAAAATCCAATCTCTATTTGCTCTTCTATCTCCGTTGGCCTTCCCATCGACACGATCCCTTTCCTTTTAGTTAGATCATACACAACATTGAAGAGCGTGTTCGAATCGTTGTTGCCGTGCTGTCGGCGGTTGATGGCAGCAGGCGAACCTTGCTCATCCTTAAACAGCTCCAAGATAGACTCGAACCCTGCCCTATTCCCTACTTCTTCGGTAGCAAGCTCCTGCATCCTTGCCGTCCGTTTAGGAGAGTCTTCTAGCCAAAGGGGTTCATAGACTCCCTCGTGCTTGAGAATAAGGTTATTTGCGTGCACGACGCGACCGAGGTTATCAGCCGGGATCTCTTGAAATCCAATACTCGTGCACTCGAGGCCCGTTGGGCCCGTCTCGTCGCCGAGGAGGATGTGGCTACTGCCAGCTAAACCTACAGATTCGATTTTATCAAGGGCCTCTCTCTTCGACTTAGATTCTAGGATTGTGCGCAGCGCAAAGTGAATGGGCATCCGTTGTGGATCTACTCCTTTGGCACGAATCCCGTTCAGCAAACATCCAACTCCATGTTCATTGAAACCAATTTTGCCAATGATACCTGCCTCGGTGATCATTTGGAAGGCTGGAAGTTGTTCGCCGGAAATGCCTTTTGGCTGGACTCTCAGAATGATCAAATTAGGCTTTTGCTTGCTTTTCCAATCCCAATTCTGTGAGAGGAATGAATGTCCATTGGGCGTTTTCCATCCCAACGTCGTGCAGCCGTCCACAGCGATTGCCATGGGCCTTCGTGAGTCTTCATCGAACAGGCCAAAAGCAATCTCGGTTCGAATGTTGAGGGCCAGTACGTCGAGTAATTCGACCTTCGCCCCTTCCGCGATACCTTCTATTTCTTCATAGTATCTTGGAAACTTGGCCTTGAGATACGGCTGGAATGTCGCAGTCTGCTCGCGAACGGTGCTCCATTCGAGGTCATTGAATGCCTTGAACAGCAGCCGATAGAATTCAATGGAGCCTGCGACCTGCTTCGCCGCTTGGGTCCCTACAGCGAGGCCAATCTTTGGGTTTAAAGTCAGCTCAACATTTCAACCCGCCTGGAGATACTGCGTTACAGATAGCGAGAAGATCGACTGACCTCGCGATGGGATCCGGAAACTGAGATGTCGAGCATGACGTGGTAGGCGGTGTCGGCCCGGTTGCTAGCTGGAAGAGGCTTAGCGTTGGTTGTTCCTTGCTTAGGGAGAAAGATTGTCGAAAAGCAACGAAGGTGAAGATATTAGATATCTCGAGGAATTTCGACTTCCTCTATTCGAATGATAGCAGGTAGTCTTGGAAATCTCCATGGTGAACTTGTCCAAGGGATTTAAGAAGGTTGCGAAGGTTACGTGGAACGAGGTTGTTCAGCGGCAGCTTGTCGGGCTTTTCCGATGACACAAGGGGAGCTCAAAGCAGTAAGAGATGAACATGAGAACACCACGCTCAATGCCGACACAGAGATAAACGCGTGGGTTAAAGCGCTATCATCCGTTACCGTTGCTAGTTTGACACCAACCTCCTAAAAACCGGTCCTGATGCGGGGTGTAGTCGCACTGATCCGATTAAAGGCCCCTTTTGCAACTTGGCGTCTACCGCCAATCCCTTGACGAATAGTTGGACATATCTGGGGTAAGAGGGTCGATCGCTTATTTAGTTCTCTCGAAATCCTCTACGTTCCTCTTTGATGCTGCACTGTGTTGCTGACAGGGTCGTGTTCTCGTGCATGCTACCCACATCGACGTTGGCATATCGCAGAATCTGGCACTAGCAAAAATGTTTTTCTTCTCAAAGCTTCGCGAGATCGTATGGGGCAAGCCAGCTGCCACCAAGGCTGAGCGGCGCCTGGTGCTCAAGCTTGATCTCGTCATTCTCACTTTTTGCTGTCTTATGTACTGGGTCAATTATCTTGATCGCATGAACCTCAACAATGCCTATGTCAGCGGCATGAAAGAGGATCTCAACTTCCACGGAACCCAGCTGAACGTTATCAACACAAGTCAGTAGCCCGACCTACCAAACATCCTTCTGCGCATTATACTGATAAGCAATCAATAGTCTTCTATGGCGGATACGTTCTAGGCCAGATACCCAACAATCTTGCCCTTCAGAAACTGCAACCTCGTCTCTATTTTCCAGGATGCATGATTGCATGGGGATTGCTGACGCTTGGAACTGGCTTCACGCATCATCCATGGGAGATCATGGTTATTAGGTTTTTCCAGGCCATCTTTGAGGCCTCTACTTTCGTTGGGTGCCACTACATTCTTGGTAGTTGGTATAAAGAGGAGGAGCTAGGCAAACGAACTGCAATTTTCACGAGCTCTGGCTTGGTCGGGACGATGTTCTCTGGATTCCTGCAAGGAGGAATTCACTCAACTCTCGGTAAGATAAGTTCTATGCTTAATTAATTTCTTTCGCTAATCGCACATTCAGATGGAAAGGCTGGCCTTCCAGGATGGAGATGGCTCTTCGTCATTGACTTCTGCATTACTTTTCCAATTGCTATCTTTGGCTATCTGGTCTTCCCCGATACTCCCTCGTCAACTCGGGCGAAATGGCTCACGCCTGAAGAGAAGAAACTCGCTATCGAACGGCTCCCTGAAGTTTCCAAGGAGCGCGGCAACGTCGGATGGAGCGTCATTACCCGTGTCATGGGCACATGGCATTTCTGGGGATTCATCCTGATCTGGACATTTGCGAGTAACACCGAAATGTTCTCTACCAACGCGATCATGAATCTGTGGCTCAAGAGCACCGGAGATTACAGCGTGTCACAAGTCAACTACATCCCGACTGGTGTGGCTGCTGTCGGTGTGGTTGCTACTCTCACATTGGGCTGGTACTCCGATTTCACGAAGGGACACTGGCATACCGGTATCATATTGTCATTCACGGCAATCATCTCTGGTGCAATCATGTTGAACCCACCAACTCGAGGAGCGAAATTCTTCGCGCTTTTCTTCAACGGTTGCCAATATGCCAGCCAGACAACGATGTTCGCCTGGGCCAACTCTCTTCTCAGAGATGACGACGCTAAAAGAGCTGTCGTACTCGCCGCGATGAACACGCTTGCCATTGCTGTCTACATGTTCTGGTCTCTTATATTCTATAACGCAGCCCAAGCGCCCAAATGGTATAAGGGTAGCATTGCCATGATCTGCATGGGAATCGCATTTTTCCTCAATACTCTTGTTCTCCGATGGCTGCAGAGAAGGGACGAGAAGAGGGGGATCACGAATGGAGCCGAGCCGCCAGTCTCCAGGGACAAGGACGAAGAATTGCAAACTCCGATCGAGAAGGATGAACACCATGCTGGGAAGCAGTCGGTATGAGCTTTTTGATAGGGCCAATTTTGGGTGCTATAGAACAGGTATAATCGAGTAATAGGGGTTACGGGACGGACCGTGACTTAACGCCTCGCTGTAATCTGCAATGTACGATCCGTGTTGCAAATATGTGATCTGCAAGCAAATACTCCTGAAATGATCAAGGAGTTGCTCTTTTGTGTTTTTCAATACTGTACCTCAGGCCCTCAGTTGATCAGTATAAGAGGATCGACATTTGCACTGACCACAACTATGTCATGTTACATGCACTAGCTCCCCTTAGCACAAATCCTCCCTTGACGCGGCATGCAACGGATGGGCACCAGTCACATGTTGGCACTTATCTTATCTGCGGAGGTATTGCCGCTCCCCGCAAAGCAGCTCACTAAACTACCTAACTAAAGCCCATTAATTTGTTGTGCGCTATTACTCGATTCCTTGTTTCCATCTCCTTTGTCCGATGTCGTCGTCGTCTGTGGGCTGGGCTCCAATCCATTGACACCACTCTTACCCACTACTACAACAGCACCAAGTAGATAGATAGGTACATGCGAATTCCCATAGGGCCTATACAGTACCCTCTCCACCTCGTATCAGTAACTCACACCTTTCGCGCGATGCGCCAAGATGAGGTATTGCATTACCATACCAATCAACAAGTATTCACAAACTGCACTACGTGGAGCACTCTAACTCCACTCTCTTGATGACCATCGTTTTCGTTCGACATGGGTAAGGGTACGCGAGCCTCGACAGCTTGTGCCCGATGTTACAAACGCAAGAAGAAGGTATGCCAGAACGTCTACACTCTTCCTTCACGTGCTGATGTACAGCTGTAGTGCAGTCGTGATTTTCCAACATGTTCAGAGTGTGCTCAAGCTGGAGTCAATTGCATCGGCCTTGACCGTGGGACAGAATCTGAATTGCCACGAAGGTGAGTCGAGAATTTGCTTGGATACATGGTCAACGCTCTGTGCTCATGACTCGACAGCATTGTGTCCTTTCTTGAAGATGCAGTCGCAAAATTGGAGCTTGAACGGCACCGTTATGGCCCCCCAAGCATTAGCGACCGACAGTCTGAACTCTTTGATCCAGGAAGTGTTGAAGCACCACGAACCATTGCATCAAGCTCAGACGGACACGATCTTCAGGCGCTCTATTCACTTTCAATGTTTTCAGCGTCGACTAGTTTTCCTTACAAGGCTTTCAACCCAAACCCTCGCGATGTTCACCCTTATTATCGCACATTCTTTATGGGTGCCGAATTGCCTTATCCGCTGGCATTTACAGTCAAGCGACCTGTCCATGCGCCGAGATGCAACAATTCGACAGAACTGACAAAGCTTCCTCCTGGTGTGACAGAGGCATTATTCAGTACTTATACGGACCGAATCTTGCCCCAATATCCCGTCTACACACTTGAGGAGGTGGCCAGCCTTCAGAGCAAATATGTCAGTGCAGCGACAGACTGTACTCTGCTCACGCCAATTGAACAGTTCACTGCATCAATGATTTTGGCGATATCTGTGCTTTCTACTAGATCAAAGGACTATCGCAAACTGGCTTCTCTGGCGGAATCGCTACGTCGAGATGCATACGCGCGAGTAGGTTATGGGGCGAACATCGCCCAGCCGACGATCACCTCCGTGCAGCAACTACTTCTAGTTGCGCAATACGGGTTTCTTCTTCCATCTTCCACGAACCTCTGGCAGGTCGTGGGGGATGCGATGAAGACAGCATTAGGACTGGGACTGCACCAGGAAGCGCCGCATCACTATGGACTAGACCAGGAAACTATCCAGTTCAGACGGCGGCTGTTCTGGGTCGTAAGTTACCCTGTGGACCCCCCCCCCCCCCTTGTTGGAGTTTCTGACCATGATTGTTCCGATAGCTATATGTTCTTGAGAGGTCCGTAGCAATAACGTCACATCGCCCATATGCGGTTGCTGGCGACATGATAGGCACCGCCCTTCCGGAAATGTCGAACGAAAGTATACCCAAGGAACCGGGGCATTATTCCTGTTACTTCATCTCATTCAAAGATCGAGTACGGGTTATAAGGATTCAATCGGAGTTATGCTCCATCAACATAGGGAAGCGAGTGATATTAACACCGAGCTCAGCCTACGATCGATGGATGCAGGAAATGGAACGGCGAATACACGAACTAACACAAACCGAACATACCAAGGGCTTCCGGATTATGGCGTGGCAGTGCTTGATTCTTCTCCACATGCCCTGCGCGCATAATCCAAGCCCGAGCCCAGAGTCCACTATCAAATGTTTCAATGCAGCCGTTGAGCTCTCGAGCGGCTATTGGGAATTAGTACAATCTGATTTCGTCGATTATCCATGGCACGGTGTGCACAAATGCTACGAAGCTGGAATGCTCATTCTGTATCATTTGTGGTACTCTGCCAGCGTGATTCGGCAGCACTACTCAACGCGGCAGATTTTTGAAGCCGTTAACAATTTGTCTGGATTCTTTGTATGCATGAACTTCTCAAGCGAATAAACTTTGCTGACTGTTTCTAGATCATTGTGGCACGACAGTGGCCCGCCGCTCAGCAATGTGGAACCTTGTTCGACAGGTTCAGAAAGGGCGCATTAGCTGCTTTCCGCGAGGAAGAATCGGTAGACGCGCAAAGTAGTGTAGAGGCGAAGCAATTAAGAGATATCGTGCACCGGGAAAATGCCGATTTGCTGTATGCAAACGAGGAGACGAGACCCGCTGGAAGTACCTTACCAATCGACAATTTTCTCGGTTTCGAACAACTCGACTTCTCCTTAGACCTTCCCGATACAACGTTCCTTGATTTCTTCGATACTTCAGTCGTTCCGGAATTACAGCCAACCGATGCGCTTCTAGAAAATGCATTTACGTCTGCGGACCTTCCTGAAATTACACAACCGGGACTCAGTTCAGGAAGCTTAACCAGCACCGCTCAACGAACCATCCAGATAGACTATGATCAAGTCGCGAAGGCGGTGAGAAATCTTCCTGTGTGTTCTCCTTGCAAGAAACGTAGAATCAAATGCGACATGTTGCTGCCTTCTTGTCGCAATTGTACGAAGCTGCACAAGGACTGTAAATATTGGGATAATGCACTTCTGCAAGAAGTCCCTCGGAAGTATGTTATTGCTGTTGTGTGATAATATTGTAGGAAGCTAACAGTACAAAGGCACATACACGCATTACACGAACAGATCATTGGCCTCACCCGAGATCTCGAAACTATCCAGAAACCTCAAAGTATCAGTGCATTCAGCGCATCCGCCTTGTCGTTTCAACCCGATTCAAGCCTTCAGAGAACTTGGCCTGCAGTAGCATCGCCTCCTAATCCAGGTTCCTCTAGAGACGTACTTTGCCCATTCAGGACCGGAACGATCGCCGATACCACATACTTCGGTGTTACCAGTGCTTTTGGTCGACTCTTAACAATTCGGCCGGCGCTGCGACCAAACATGCTACCTCCACCGTCAGTTGCACCAGAGAAACAATCTCTTGCGGACATTTTCCTATCATCTCTAGATCTGCAAAAGGAATCCGACGTACCCAAAGAGGTAGCAGAACAATTGATCGCAATCTACTATAACTCGATCGAAACATGGATACCTGTACTAGGACATGATCTAATACACGAGACATTTGCTAGGATATACGATGGAACCCAGCATACAGAAGATCAGGTCACAATCAAAATTAGATACCGGCTTCTCCTGTCAATATCGCTCTCACTCATGAAGGCACAAGATCCAAGACTTGCAGTAGCTGCTGATACATGCTTCCGACAGGCCATAGCTACAAGCGCTTCGACCGATCTACTCGCTTATCCAACTACTTCCACGCTTCAATTACTTGTTCTGATGTGCATATACATATGGATAAACCCGGGCTCAATGGACATTTGGAGAATGCTCGGACATACTTCGCGCATGTGTCTAGACCTCGCTGAAATGCACGGGTCCGATAAGAACGAGTCCGCCAAGTCAGAAGTACTTTACCGAACCCTCTACACCCTCGAAACCTACATCTGTACCGCATATGGCCGACCTCGCCAGCTACCCGTCCCTTTTAGCCCTACTGATCAGGTCACTCAACTGGCCGATGATCCATCCCGGCTCTTATACGACCTGGCGCGACTGCAGAACCGTTTCCACAGAGACCTTATCGAAAATGGATCAGTCCTTACGGTGGCCGAATCCAAGATGCCGAGTTCTACAGATTTTGCGTGGATGGATAGTTGTATTCTTGACATTTATTCCTGGCTCGAGACATGGAGAGCTTGTATCGCGAACCAAGGTCTCACGGCAACTACGACCGAGGCAATAGACGAACCTCCACTCTTAGTATGGGGACAATTCCAACAACTGAAGACGCTTTTGCTGGCTAAAGCCGCCTCTGACCGACGAGGCAAAGTCTTGATCACTCGGCAAGAGGAATACTCACTTTGTAGGCGCCTCGTCAAGGCTGCTGAAGCCCTGCACCAGCAGTCAATAGGGCCTATTCAAGGGACTTTATCACCGGGGCACCAACCTACTTCCATCTTCCCCTTAACGTGGACATGGGCACATTCTGTGTTCACTGCTGGTGTCATCCTCATCCAGCCTTCCATATCACAAGTCACTCCGGAACCTGCAGACCAAGCACTCATCCAGATATGTCTCGGCCTGCTCAATTCATATGAGATGAGATCTGAGAAGAGTGGTCAGGGCCTCACGCATTGCCTTCAGAGTCTGCAGGATTTCCATCGATCCGTTGTTTGCTAAGGATCAATGAGGAGTTCTATGTTCTTATGTAGGCTATTACGACGAAATGTATACCCCTTTCATGATTCATATGTACAAAGCGTTATCCCACCTCCTCGGCTATCATGATGCAATTGCCCCAGCCTTGACAGTCGCACCGGGCAGTTTCCCAGACTTGAACTCGTCGCACACCTGCGCCATGGTGACAAACTCTACCCCCTCCTTGGTCTTGAGGTACTCGATGAAGCGCTCGTGCATCAGCATGACGTTCGATTTGCCGCTGACCTGGGGATGGCAGCTAACACAGAAAACGAACGAGTCGTACTCCCGGTAGAAGAAGTCGAATTGATCCTTCCACTGTACCTCGACATCACGGGGATTGACGAAGCCATGCGTACCAGGTCGTTTGGTGTAGTTCATCGGCGCTAATATCCATGTCAGCACGTTTAGATGGCGAGAACAGGGGTGGACATACGCCAATCGTCAACATTCCAGGACCCAGGAATCTCTACCACTTTCGTCGGTTTCTGCTCTTTCATAGGCTTCATCCATGTGTCGGGGTCGGTGCTATAATCCGGATATACGATCGAGTCTTCTGCAACATCCGCGACGTAATATGGTTGGCAGTCGTGGTGAAGCATTGAGTGGTCGTACTCAATGCCAAAGTCTTCCAAGATCTGCATGGTCTTTGGTCCAACCTCCCATGCAGGAGCTACCCAGCCCTTGGGATACTTGCCCGTGAATTGCTGGTAGACTTCGATGGATTTCGCCATGACTTTGCGCTCTTGCTCTTCGGTCAGGAGACGGACGAATTCATGGGTGTAGCCATGAAGACCACTGAGTGTCTCGTGTTAGCGAGGGCATATCGAACGAGACAATGCAGCGTACATTTCGTGTCCAGCATCTCTCACTTTCGCCATCTGCTCTGGGAAAGATAGAATAGTGTGGCTTGGCATATAGAACGATGCTTTGATGTTGTTATCGTCGAATAGTTTCAACATCCTATCAGTGCCGACATTCGCGCCGAAGATACCTCGTGATACATCGCTTGCACTGATAGATGAACCATCCCGGGTATTGATCCTTTGCAGCATGTGTTAGCGAATGGAAAGTCACCACCATAACTGGGCTTACCAGTTAGCGCAGGCGTCGACATCGACAGCATATGTTACGAGGACTCTTTTCGGCATTGTGATTATTGGATTTTAAAATGTAGAGTGTCGGAAGATATTATCATGCTTTATATATTGAAAGAAGATAACAACACTTAAATCCAACAATGAAATCATTGTAAGCATAACAAGTAAATTGATAAATAAACATGTACCCACTCGAATCGGCTCAATGCTTCTCTGTGTTATCGGGTATCACCGTTCGCCCGTTGTGCCTGTCCCTTTGATGCGGGGTGCGGGTTGCTAGCGACCGCCACTGCTGGGCAAGCAAACACGCGCAATTCCGACGCCCTAGTTACATCACTTGCAACCCATCTTTTTTGAATCGGAGTCTGTCTGCCTCGGCGTCACCGGAACTTTGTACACGTATCTGATGCTTTGGAACGTCAGTCGCGTTGACAGATTCTCGCGCTGAAACTCTAAAAGGCTGTCGCTGCTCCGTGGAGAGGGACCTCCTCGTCGGAAATCCCAGGATGAAGACAACGCTCGACTTCACGGGACGAAACATCGCTATTACCGTCAGTCTGGTATTCGCCGTAACTGGCTCTTTCAACCCCATTGCTGACTTTTCCTTAGGGCGGCTGCTCTGGTATAGGATTTGCGCTGGCACAGACGCTGATTGCGCTCGGTGCTACAGTCTACATTGCGGATATCGTCAAGAATCCTCCGGCTGAGCTAGTAGACCATGATAGAATACACATCACATATGGGTGTGATATAACGAAAAGAGACGCATGTAAATCGTTCATTGATTCCATCCCGGGCCGCCTTGACGGTCTTGTCAATTGCGCCGGGACGTCGACATGGGAGGGTAAGATCGGCTCCGACGAGGTGTACCAACGGACCATGGACATCAACGTCAACGGAACTTGGAACATGGGAACCGAAGCCATGAGAAGGATGTCTGGGCAGGAGGATGTTGAATCACCAGGCGCGATACCAGGCGTTGTGCGCAACGTTGGTCAGGGTGCGATCGTCAATGTGGGCAGTGGTGCGTCGCTGCGCGGGGTATCCGGATTGGCTGCGTACAGCGCCTCGAAGCATGCCATCTTAGGGCTGACACGATCCTGGGCGAGGGACTTCCCAAAACTGAGGGTCAATGCTGTAGCTCCAGGTTTGTCACTCTTGATAATCACAATTGTGTGTGAGTACTGACATCATAATCCTAGGTGCGACGGATACGCCGCTTGCTGAAGCCACGGTGGCTGCGGCGCCAACGGGTGATACCAATGTGATCATCGGCAAAGCGCAAATAGCATCGATACCCAAGGGTAGAATGGCCTATGCGACAGATATCGCAGATGCGGTCGTATTCCTACTTTCCGACTGGTCGAGTTTTATCACGGGGCAATGTTTACCTGTGAATGGGGGAAATTTTTGAAGAGAGTTCGTTTGAAAAGGTTTATTGAGCGTCTGCATAATGACATGATACTACACTTTCGGCAAACTAGAAATTTTTAAAGCATCTATATCGTCATTTGCTAAGTCAATTGCACATCACCTCTTGAGGACAGTATGCTGAAAACAGAGACAGTGTGACCGCGGAGACAGACATAGCCAAGTTCCGCGGCGATGGGAAATTGTGTTTCCGGCCCCTCAGCTCTCCAAGGAAAAGTTATGAAATCCCACCATCGTCACCAATGGTTATGCTCGTAAGACATCAATTTCTATGCTCATCTCTATTATATTCGTGTCGCTGCCCAAATGCTTTTGGACCAGGCACAGCCAATTTATATCGGAACCTGTGATGCTGTTTCCTGGTACTCTAAGAGGATGAACATGAATGATGGCTCCATAGCATCTCGCAACCGGGATTTGGGATCGTCGGGCCAGAATCATTTCGCAAACCATTCAACGCCGAGAGACAACTCTAAATATGATTGTCATGGCGGGGGTTAATATTCCGAGGTCTTGCTGCCTCGGTGTAATGTTATGACACGCCAACAAGGCCGATACCAGAAAGGCGTGTTTGATATAAAGATGACCCCTTGGCGCCATACGCGAACTCGATTTTTCCCTGGTGGAACAGCGACCGGGGAATTTCCAGGACTATCTTGGCCTCTCACTGGGCCGTTTTAATCTACGACTTTAATATCGGAATTGCTGCTAATGAAGGCGTGACAGGGACCATTTTGCGGGGCAGCATACATTGCCAAATGCAAATAGTATACCATCTCGTAAGTACAAAAGGCGACAATGGAATTAATGTCGCGTCCGAGAGACGATAGATTACTCCTCTTCTTCTATCTGAATACCTACCGGGAATTGTGGTTATGGCTCGTCTTTCAATCATATCGGCAGTTTTGGCACTGGCCTCCACAGCCTGCGCCCAATGCGGTTCAGGAACGCCAGATGCTCGAGTTACTGGATCAGGTAGCTCATTCACAGCTACCAAGGGCTCAAGCAACGTCTACACTGGCTCTGACTATCGTGCTGCCATCCAGGCTGCGTTGGACTCCATCAGCAGTGGGCAGCGCGTTGCTGTGATCGCCTCTGGTTCCATTGGTGCCAACACCATCACTATTGCCAGCGGCAAGATCTTTGAAGGATGCGGAACGATCAATGTGGGTACCAAGTCAGGTCGCGGTGCCATTGAATCGACCGACACCACGAATGTCCAAATCCCATATCTGACCATGACTGGCAATCCCTACTTCGGTCTGAGATTCTCAGGTACAAAGGGTCTCACTCTGGGCAAGATCAACATGAATCTGAGCGGCGGACTTGGCATTCGATTCGATCGAGACAAGGCCGCGAACTCCAATGTGAAGATGGACACAATTACTGTCACCGGTGCTGGCAGTCACGCCGTTGAGACTTGGAACATCGATGGCCTGACCATCAATTCCGTCATTGCTAAGAATGTTGGCGAGTGCGGTCTCCTTTTGCAAAAGACGACCAATGCGCGTGTCGGACTCGTCGATGGAAACAACGTCGCGGCAGGAAACGGATACGCGACTTTCCGCATGGCCAACGAGAACGGTCGTCAAGCCAACGGCGGCTACGCGACAAATGTCTACATCGATAAGGTGGTTTCACGTGGCGGCGGACGAGGTGTCTTCTGTGTATCCCAGTCTGGAGGTGCAGAGATCAAGAGCGTCGACCTGGCCAACAATGGTAACAACGCTGTTCTCATCGAGAATTGCAACAATGTCAAGATTCTTGGTGGAACTGTCAATGGTGGTGGTGAAGTTCGTCTTGCGGCCCGCACCGAGTTTGCGAACAATCGTGACATCAGCATCACTTTGAAAGTTGATGGCACTACCGTCCGAGAGAGCCCTTGTGGAGAGAACACAAAATGGAATCTTTCTGGCTCAGGGGGCAGGACTATCTGTTAGTTCCACCATAGTGTTGTTACCAGGTAATCTTGAATTGCCAATTACCAAAAACCCCCATATTACGCAAACCCCCATATTATGCAAACTCTAACGATCATTTGACAATAATTCAAATTGTGTATATCCGAAAGATTCTGCCCTGAGATTTCCAAATGCTACAGTGACACTATCTGCATAATATACGAAGAAGTATATTAAACAAAAAGTGCTACTATGTCCACCATCACGTGTGCAGGTCCATAGTGTACACTGTACGACTCGACAAACCCGCACTCCACACTCCGCTATACCAAAAGATGCTGACCCGGGGTGCGGAAAACGGGGAACCAGGTAGCAGACATCCCTGGCCTTGCAGCAAGTTCTACGCAAGTCAGACCACCCAGAGAAATTTTCACAAAGAAAAAGCCCTGCCTCGTTTCGAGCAGCACCTACAATACGAAATGCTACCAAGAATGAATCATAGCAAACCATCATATACCCAAAGTTCTCAAGTTCTTGACTCTTTCCGGGCCCCTTCAAGTATCCCGGAACAGTTAAGATTTGTTAGACGATCGGCAAGAATTGGCATCGGGTACAGGTGGGGGATCCTAGGAACTAAGAATTGAGTTGCCCATACTAACTCCAGGGGTATCGAAAGTGCGCTTCGGATATCCGCATTCGGTATACGTTTGCGCTCGAACATTGCGGCTCTGCCGACATCGTTGCGAGCAAACCCACTGAAGGTCTCCACACTGCACCTACAGTTTCTTCGTGCAGACTGTTATGTCTGACGGAGCCTGACTGTCTCTGCACGTGCGCCCTAAAAAATGTAGAGTAAGAATAAATGTAAAGTATGTCCCTCGTAGCGGGCGCCGGTCTTCAGCTTCAAACCTTTGTCTCTCTTTCTACAATATCCCAAAATGGCCCCAGGAATTCAGAACCAAGTCGTTAGCGACACTACCCTTCCCGCTGTCATTCCCGAGTCAAATCAGACACCCGCAAACAATGCGACTGAACTGCTTTTCACATTGAAGAACACTGTAACATTAGTTACCGGTGGAGCTCGTGGACTTGGAATAACTTTGGCCTGCGCCATTGCTGAGGCGGGTGGCCATGTTGCGTGTGTAGACATTTTGGAACAGCCATTGCCAGAGGAATGGGCTGGCCTCGAGAAGATCGCCAAACGATCTGGTCTTTGGTGCAAATACTACCAATGCGATATCACGAACGAGCCGAACGTCGAGCAGGTTTTCGATGAGGTTAAGCAAGAGACCCAGCGTCTTAACGCACCTTTCAGAGGTACCGTCGCATGCGCCGGCATCCAGCAGAAGCAGCCTGCTTTGGAATACCCAGGATCCGATTATGAGAGGATCTTCCGTGTCAACGCTGTCGGTGCTTTCCTGACTGCGAAATACGCTGCCAGGGCCATGAAGGCAACCAACGTACACGGTAGCATTGTCATGATTGCTTCCATGTCTGGTAACATTGCCAACCGAGTAAGTGGACCCATTCGAATAGCTACCATAAACAAATAAATGATAACATATTTCCTTAGGGATTGGATTGCTCCGCCTACAACAGCAGCAAAGCTGCAGTCCAACAAATGACTCGTTCGCTCGCACAGGAATGGGGCCAGTATGGCATCCGCGTCAACTCATTGTCTCCCGGTGTAAGTGGAACTGGATCACTGACTTTCAAGACTGAACTTACTAACATTTCTCAGTACATCCGAACCGCTATGACCGATGCCCTGCTCCAAGCCGAGCCCGAGTTGGAGAAGACATGGATGGCAGGTGCTCTTCTAGGACGTTTGGGAGCACCAGAGGATTTCAAGGCACCGGTTGTGTTCCTTTTGGGATCTGGAAGCAGTTTCATGACAGGTGCAGACCTCCGTGTTGACGGTGGTCATTGTGCGTCGGCATAAGATGGAAATTTAATGAATAGATATCACGACTATAGAACTACCAAAAAGAACTAATACCATTTACGAAGGCTTCTATCTGCATGCGCGAGCATTGCACAATCGGAGTGCTCCCTATTGTTAAACAACGTGCCTAAAGCTGAACGGCAATGGCGTCAAGAAACATAGTCAAATCAAACTCCATGGCTAAAGTCCAGGGTTACCACACTGGGTTGCCCGCTTGCTACGAGGGTAGTATCAAGTACGCCCACCTTAACTCTAATCAGCTTCTTTGCATAGATGAGGCTGATGCACGTGTTCTTGCCTGCAGCTCCAAAATGCTGGCCGGCGGACAACCTAAAGTAGTAACCCTCTGCACTAGAACGATCCGGAACACTTTACATTCACCATACCCATATTCACATGTAGGGGTGCTATGATTACGTCATGGTATCGCCCACTACTGCTAGTCCACGCAGAAGCAGTAGGTCAAGCGCGGTTTCGGTTGACACGTGCGGACCGACTCCACCTCTCAAGCGAACTCTTTAGAACCGTTTCGCGCATATTGTTGTCAGTGCATGTTTTCGTCTCCAGGCATCATATTTTTCCTATTGAGGAATATGTGCTCTTTGCATGACAGGTTTCTGTCCATATCGAACATGCTAGGATCATGAACCTCGCACCACCAAAAGATGATGGGAACAAACGGAAAACCCGTTCGAGGACGGGATGTCTGAATTGCCGTCGCAAGAAGAAAAAATGTATGCCAATGATCCTTCCCCGTCTGGGTAATATTCCTCATTCCAGTATTAGGCGATGAAAAAAAACCGACATGCACAATCTGCTCTAAAGCATCCGAGAAATGCGAGTGGACCCGCGGCTTGACCTTCCGGCTGGAGAATGCCTTTACATTGGATGAGAATTCTCAGTCCATCTCTATGTCTCGAGCAAATCGGTCTAAAAGACGTCGACAGGTCAGTACTAGAAACCTACGGGACTCGACGTCTGGGTTAATGTGGCATTCAGTCTCCCCCAGAGCAGACAAAATCCCAGAACGACACTACTGCAGCCGAAGACAACTCTCCTGTACAAGGTGACTCGTCTTCAAACAATGTTTCAGCTAGTCCTTCTACCGATTCATTCGGTTTGATCAACTCACAATTCGACCCTAGCACGACCACTGAATCAGCAGAGTTTCAGAATGAGTTGAGAGATGAGCAGGGCGCCGAAGTGGCCATCGATGGAATGGACTTCTACCCTTCTCCAGAATTTGGGAGTGACGATGGCATCTTCCTATCTGGATCCAAATATCGGGAACTGCACAACACATTGCGACGCAATGTGTTCATGACTGCGAGGTCTCGACAACCTAGTCGGCAGGGAAGCCCTTCCCTCATCGGTTTGGAAGGCACTCACAACGACAACCATGATATGCAAATAGTCGAAAACGGTATCGAGGATAATGCGCCTGTTATCCAGACCCAAATTTCACCAGAAGTTGAGACCTTGCTATCGCCCAATCAGGAGCATATCTTATGGAAGAATTGGGTAGAAGAGATATCTTTATGGGTAAGCTTCTCTTTTGTTTAGACTCCTGTACCTTTCTGATGTATGTTTCAAAGCTCGATAAATTCGATTCACATAAGCATTTCCGCCACACCCTACCCAACATGGCACAAAACTGCCCACACCTACGTTACTCGATGCTCGCACTGAGCGCCAGGCAACTCGAACGCAAGGATGGCTCATTGCCTGCTTCAACCAGCTTGGCGTTGTATCAGGAGGCTATACATCGACTTGTTCCTCAGCTGCATGAAAGAACCGTTCTTGTGGTTGCCTCATGTGTTGTTCTATGCGTATTGGAAATGCTAAGTTGTAAGTTCCCAGTCCCAGCATGGTGAACGGATTTTAATCAACATCAGGTTCCCCGAGAGCGTGGCGACGTCACCTTGATGGCTGTGCCTCCTTGATCAGGTCTATGAATATTAGGGGAGATAGTGGAGGCGTGGAGCAAGCACTATTCTGGTGCTTTGCAAGAATGGGTAGGAACCCTCCCTGACACCGCTTTGCATTCACATGGCTAAGCTTTCTCATACAGACGTCTGTGGTGGTCTCATCTCCATGGAAAGAACCCTCATTCCCATCGACGAATGGATGTCGGCGAACTCATTCGAGGCCGACTGTACATATTTCCAGATTACTGGCGTGTTCGAAGATCATGCCAACTATTCTTGCTATCTTATCGGCAAAGTGATCGACTTCTTATATGGACCGGAAGATCCAAAAACGCCCAACTCTCTCAATGGCTCTGTTCAGGGATCTTTTGCGTCGCAGTGGTGCGAATTATTTGATCAGCTTGAGCACTGGTATATAGTACGGCCTCCTGAAATGCAGGCCTTCTTATACCAGAACTCCACATCTGCCCAGGACAAGACTGGCTCACCTTTTCCAACCGCTCTCTTCACCAACGGCGCTGCGATTTCCGGAAACCAGCTTCACCACACTGCATCACTACTGATGCTGCAAAACTGCCCTCGAAACACAAAACGTACAAGATCATTGCTATGGCATGCTCGGCAAATCTGTGCCATCTCGATTTCAAACACACATCACGGTTGCTGGACGAATTGTATTCAACCACTATGGCTTGCTGGACAAGTCATGAGCCATCCGGATGAACACCGCGCGATTACAAATATTTATAAGAGGATTGAACTTGAAACGGGATGGGCAGCTACCTGGCGGGCTGTTGATTTGCAGCAACATTGGGGAGATTTAGATAATTAATTGATAACTAGTTCCAATAAGGCTTTCGCAGTACTTCCAGCTCTGTTGCTTGATGATTCGTTCTTGTGCACTTGTAACCAAATATGGAATATGCGGATTAAATGGTTATCTATAGCTTAGAGAGCCTCTCAAACGAATATACACTTTCAACAATTGTATGTACGTGGCTCTCGAACCAATTTCCCAAATTGAATGTAGCGTCAATATAACCATTCTGGCCAGAAACGTCTTCTGTGGCTGGCGGCAATTGCCCCGGATCAAAGACAATAGCCGATGAACTGATTTTTCCCACGGGGAACTACGAGTTGCACCCCTTATAGCTGTAGTGGAGGATTGATATAAGAGTTTTCGTGGCGCGTATACGATGGTCAGGTCAGATTCCGAGTCGGCTAACAAGCGTCTTTTCGGAAAAGCGATGCACAACATGATCAAAGCATAGAGCTACACGCGCGAGATGCTGTTTAGTCTTTTGTAATTACTCGTAAATTAATCTTCGCGGCCGACTTCCGTGGTCGCTACTATTAACATGCATGCAAACTGGACAGTCCACTAGACTCCTTTCACGGTTTCTCTTTTCCGAAACGCAACGGCCCGAAGCCCCAATTTCTCCTCCAGGAAGCGCTTCTACAATACGAAAAGGGAAGACTTTGCCGCTCAACACCGTCATCCTCCAAAAAACTTTCGAGCTCTGGTGGGTTAGACTCGGCCACTTTACGCGCCCAAAACAGCGGTCCCCTACTGAACAGCGTTTCTTTCTGCTTACTGTTGGGGATTAGCGCATCAGTATTCCAAGTTCGGTATTGAGTTTAGAAGGCCTTGTTTTCTCTCCGCAGAAATGGGAGGTTCGTGCGCCGTTAGTACGGCAGACCTTCCAAGGTCATGGGCATCGCGACGAGTACTGGTCGTATGAGTTAATTTCTATATCTCGTAGCTATAAGTAGGCAAGGTTCTCCGGCATCAACGACTCCAGACGAGAGAGGAGTTCCCCACAAATCCCCAGATTCTTTTCACCCAGCATCTTTTATAGAGTCGGAGCCGAAAAAGCAAAAAAAAAGATGCCTCAACTCACAGGTCGCGCCCTCGATTGGGCCATCACATTCGCAGCTGGTTCAGGTTTCTTGCTGTTCGGATATGGTACGTTCTCACAGTTCCTGCCCATGAGGGAAAAAATAGTAGCTAATTGGATTCTGTAACTATAGATCAGGGTGTTATGAGCGGTCTTCTTACCGGATCATCTTTCACAAGGCAATTCCCAGAGATCGACACAACAAAGGGCGGTAATGGAAGCTCTTCGCTACAGGGAACTGTCGTTGCAATCTACGAGGTACGATGACGATACCAAGCTTGCTAAAACTTCTAAGCTCACTCTGCATAGATTGGATGCTTCTTCGGTGCGCTTTTGGCATTTGTTTTCGCAGAGAGACTTGGACGTAGATGGACGATCATGATCGGCTGTGCTATCTTGACCGTTGGAGCTGCCATCCAGACCTCTTCTTATTCTATTGCCCAGATGATTGTTGGACGTATCGTTGCAGGTCTTGGAAATGGTATCAACACGGCCACAATCCCCGTCTGGCATTCCGAGCTCATGAGGCCAACCTCTCGAGGAACGGGTCTTTCAATCGAATTGGCGATCAACATCTTTGGAGTCATGCTTTCGTACTGGACTGGTCAGTATTCCCCTATTTCGAACTTGGAGATGATCGTGCAAGACTGACAACAAATGATAGACTATGGCATGTCATTCGTGGACAACCAAGCACAATTTCGTTTCCCCATCGCGTTACAGATTCTGTTCGCGCTCGTCACAATTGCAGCGGTTGCTGTGCTTCCGGAGTCCCCTCGATGGCTTGTGGCTCACGACCGATCCGACGAGGCTCGACAGATCCTCTGGCGCCTGCAAAAGAACGCACACTCCCTTTCACCCGATCATCAGATTGTCTACGCTGAGCTCCGTGAGATCGAGCACGCATACGCTGAGGAGAAGGCTGCCTCAAGCGGTACAACCTTCACATCTCTGTTCATTGCTAGCCCTCAAAGGTTCCGCCGCAGGACTTTGCTCGGTATTGGAGGACAGTTCATGCAGCAGCTTTCCGGTATTAATTTGATTACTTACGTGAGTATCTCGAATCTTGGAAACTAACCATCATGTACTGACATCGCTCCTAGTATGCCCCCGTCATCTTCGAAGTCTCCGTCGGAATGTCCCATAACTTGGCCATGCTTCTCGCTGGATTTAACGGCGTCGCATACTTCCTCTCCTCCCTCATCCCCATCTGGTGCTTGGACCGCCTTGGACGCAGAAAGCTCATGCTCTTCGCGTGCGCGGGACAAGCCATCTGCATGGCCGTCCTCGCCGGAACTGTAAGCAACGGCTCCCACGCCTGCGGTATCGTCGCTATCGTCATGCTCTTCCTCTTCAACTTCTTCTTCGCCGTCGGTCTCCTCGCCATCCCTTGGTTGCTCCCCGCCGAGTACGCACCCCTTGCCATCCGAACCAAGGCCGCCGCTCTCGCCGCTGCCAGCAACTGGATCTTCACCTTCTTGGTCGTCGAGATCACGCCTGTCTCCATCAACAGCATTGGCTGGAAGACATACGTGTACTTCGCTATCTTCAATGCTTGCTTCTTGCCCTTGATCTACTTCTTCTACCCCGAGGTCCGAAACCTTTCCCTCGAGCAGATCGACAAGCTCTTTACCGGAGACAAAGTCTTGCTCCACTGGCACGACAGCATGGGCGATCGCCAAGGCTCTTTCGTTGAGCCTATGCCCAACACGCCTCCTAACAAGGAGATCATGGAAGAGAGGGTCGAGGGAGACAAGTACTAAGCATGGAATGCAGGAGTGGATCAAAGTAAATCTGAGAGACGATAGTTTTACTCTTTGCAGGCCATACATTGTTAGGGAGTTGAGGAGACGCTGGTTAAAGAAGTTCATGTGGTCATTCATCTACCCATATACCCAGGCATTCTCGATTGGAGAGAAAACCTTTGACCGTGACCCTTAAGCCTACATCTTCTTCTACTGGTCCCTCCTCCTCGAGATCACTACTAGGAAAATCGATTCTTCCATACAGTCGAGCCAGTGAATATATTTCATCTAAAAGAATCAAGTATTTTGTAACAATAGATAATAATCACTTAATTTGAATTGTGAGTGCACCATGTTTCTAAGAACGAGGGGTCAGTTCGTGAGCTTCCTATCAAGACCAGATTCAGTAACAACAGATTTCCAATAAGGCACTGGGGCCACTACTGCGTATTATTAGATGCTTGAGATCAAGGAGATTGCTGTACTAAATGGCGCGGATACTTTGACGATAGTATCCAGGCAGGAGAGACATTTATGCGTATTTCACTTCTCATTGTCCCTCATCACATAACTGCACCCTTCCATTGCCAACCATATCACTGGCTTTTAATTTTCATCAACCCCAAAGGACAGACATCAAGAACAATGATGCTTAACTTAGTTGTATCTTAGCATATCCCACCACAACAGCCCAATTCCCTACAACCCCGCCTGCTCCTTCACAATACTCTTCAGCCTCCCTGTCTCCACCGCTGACCTCACGTTCGCAATCGTCCACTCCTCCATCTTCTGCCTCGTCTCTACCGTATGGGTACCCATATGCGGCACCAACATGACGCTCTCATTGGACAGCAACCCAGGGTGGATCTGTGGTTCATTCTCGAACACGTCCAACCCGACAGACCACACGATGCCCGCGTCTATCGCCTCCACGAGCGCCGCTTCGTCTATCACGGCGCCGCGTGCGGTGTTAATGATCACGACGCCCCGCTTCATCTTGTTGAACTCGGGCGTCGAGATGATGTGTCTTGTGTTGTTCTGCCAGTTGCCCATTAGTCTCCCCAACAGCTAAGAAAACCCCTTTTCGTACAAACTCCCCCTGTCGCTCATTAACGAGAAAATACCCCCTTTTCCCTAACCACATCGCAAGACAAAAGAAAAGAAAAACTTACATTCAGCGGCAAATTCAACGACACGACATCGCTCGTTGCCAATAACTCCTCAAACCCCACATAATCCACCCCCTCAATCTCGTCCTCCGCTCCCAACCTCTTCCGATTAAAATACTGCACCCTCATCCCGAACCCCAGCGCCCTCCTCGCAAACACACTCCCTATACCCCCCATCCCAATGATTCCAAGCACCTTGCCCTGCGGATCGTGGCCGAGCGGTACGTCGGCGATCCAGCGGCCCGCGCGTAAGGAAGACATGCCTTTGTTGAAGCCGCGGAGCGCGCCGAGGAGGAGGAAAATGGCGGTGTCCGCCGTGGCGTCGTCGACGGCCGTGGGGACGTTGGAGACGAGGATATTGCGCGCAGTGCAGGCGGAGACGTCGATTTGGTCGTAGCCGGCTCCTGTTATGGTGTCGTTTCTTCAGTTCATAGTTCTCCTGACTTCTTAGGGTAGTATCGCTCCGCACAGTGAATCAATCAAGCAAGCATTCATTCATTGCATCACTCGATCAATCTTACGCCCAGATCTACGTAGACACTCAGGAAGTAATGCACAATAGAATGGAGCAAACGTACCATTATGGCTAATAAACCCCAAACTCCGCGGCAGCGCCTCAACCAGCTCCCTATCAACGAGTCCCGTGACATTGACGGACGAGAACGTCCGGTACGCCGCGACCACGCCGTCGAGTGCCCCGCTGCGACACTCGGCCAGGAAGGCGTCTCGCGATTGAGACGTCGGCGTCACGATGTCTGCGATTTCTTGCAGTTTGGCCCATTCTTTTGTGTCGCTGGAGGGAGGTTATTTGAGGGGTGTTGAGGGTGGTGGTAGAGGGGAGGAGGGGTATGGGGGGCTTACGATTCTATGGTTCCGAGGAGGAGGACTTTGGGTTTTGTCGTCATTTTCGGATTGGGAGAAAGATGTTTGGATGCAGATGTGGTGTGTGTCTGGTTGTATCTCGTTGCAAGGTTGCTCTGTTGTCACTCTGCAGCCAGTCATAGATGTGGTTGGGAATGAATATACGAGTACCCCTCGAACGAAATGCCGATAGCTGGCCAATGAGACGCATTTCCGCGCCCGATAGCATTGGCCCACAGCAAGTCTAGGGCTATGCACTCGTGTGCCTTGAAAGCCACTGAATAATGTTTCATTGTAATGTTCTCATTTAACTTCAATGACCTCATTTCGAGATACAAAAGTGAGGGCTTATGAGTAGCTCAATCGATCACAACACCAAGGTGAACCAACGCAAGTACCGTTATGACATTTCATTCAATCGTGTCTAGCTACCTCTATATAGTAATCGTAATCCCTCTACCTAATATTCAAGCAATTCCAAACGTGAACAACTATACAAAACCGATTCATTTACTTGTTGGCCTTCTTGCATTCCGCTTCAAAAGCCCTCACCAGCTCCATGAAATCACAGTCCATCATCGATTCAAAAGCAGGACTTTTCTGCAACCCGAGCGTCCTCATCCAAGGAGTCTTTATTCCAAAAGCGATCTTCGCGAGGAACCTTGGGTCGTCGCGCATAGGGCAAGCGTCCATGACTTGCTTTAGTTGGAAAGAGGTCGGGACCGGAGCAGGTTCGTCGGGGAGAGTGATTTGCTTATGGGTTTCGCACCATGTACAATGGCCACATTCTTCGAGGGTTCCAGTTGAAGTTGCGGTATTCGATTCGCCGAAGTAGGAAGTTATGGAGTGAGCAAAACACTCTTTAGAAGTGATGAGGTCGATCAAAGCTTGCGTTCGCTTGAGATCTTGGAGTTCCTTGTTTTCCATGGCGCGGTCTAAGTGTTGAGCAATTTCATCAATCTCCTTTTGGTTCGATGGGAGTGGCTTCTCGAGGCGAAAGACATTTGTCGTGCCTGCCTTCTTCACCTCGACCATGCCTTTCTCATTCCATGTGTCAAGTTTTCGCACGAGGTCGGGCCGCGAGAACCCTCGCCTTGCAACAATTTGTTCGAGATCAACTGTCTTCCATTTCTGGGTGCCTTTGGCAGAAGCCTGAATTGCTTTGGATTCTGGAGTGCTGTCACGAGTCAAGGCCCCTGGATCCTTCGCAAAGTATTTGTACTCCGAATACTCTGACCCTACGCGACGGAAAAGCTTGAAATGAAGTTCCAACTGTGCGTATATAATTCCCAGGGTAGTCGACTTCAACAATTGTCAGTCTGCAAATTATCTCTCTATCTGAACAGGATAATAACTCACTCGTATGTCAAAATCTTTCTCTTGGGCATAGAAAGATACCTTGAAGCTATCTCCAGCTTGAAGCTTACGCCTCTCAGGTGAGGAAATTTCTCCCAAAAGCTTGCGGAGATTGTTGAGTGAGGGTCGGTCGCCGTATGTGAACACATTGCGTAGGTAGAAGTCTTTTGTCGACAGCTTAAAGAAGCACACGCTCGGCAGTCCATCCCTTCCAGCTCGACCAATTTGTTGGCAATAATCCTCGATCGTCCGAGGCACATCGAAGTGAACAATATTTCGAATGTCCGGTTTATCAATTCCCATACCAAAGGCAATCGTCGCGACTATAATCATCTTTTTGCTCGGCAAAAAGAGCTCCTGCGTTTTCTCCTTCACTTTGGTGTCCATGCCAGCGTGATACGGTTTCGCATCAAATCCGTTCCTTTTCAACGACAGTGCTAGTTCCTCGGCACCCTTTTGAAGCGTAACATAAACAATTGTCGGCCCCGGATTCTTGCGCAAGAAGTTGCAGAGAACTGTAACTTCGTCCGCATCTTTAGTTCTCGATTCTGCCAACAGTCGCAGGTTTGGTCGGTAGACGGTAGTCTTGAAAACGCCTTCCTGTGGGATAGAGAAAGCAGCACAAATATCTTCAACAACTCGAGGAGTCGCAGTGGCGGTCAGGCATATCACCCTTTCCACTTTGGCTTCCTGCGCAAAACGAGCAATCTTGAGGTATTCGGGACGGAACGAGTGACCCCACTCAGAGATACAGTGAGCTTCATCGACCGCGAGTAGTCGAATACCACCAGGTATGGCTTGCAGAGATTGAATGAACCCCTCAGCGTTCAAACGCTCGGGCGCACAATAGATGAGATCGAGACGTCCGTTACGCAGGTCATCTTGGGTTGCAAGGAATTGAGCGCGATCGACGGAGGAGTTGAGTACTGCAGCTCTAATCTTTCGGCGTAGCAGAGCATCCACCTGGTCTTTCATCAATGCGATGAGAGGTGATATCACGAGCGTCACACCGCTGTGCGTTTCAGCGCGCGAGGACGATTCTCGATCTTGCTCCTTGAAAGCGACGGCAGGGACTTGGTAGCAGAGACTCTTCCCGCCGCCTGTTGGGAAGACAACAACTGCACTTCCGCCATCGAGAATCCTCGCGACAGCCTCTTCCTGTTTCAACCGAAAATTGGGTAGCCCAAACCGTTCTTTCAATACTTTTCTGGCGAGCTCAAGTGAGGGTGAATCTATTTTGGTCTTCTTGGAGGATGTAGTGGCGATGTCGATTGACTGCTTTCGCTTACCAGCAATAGCTGTGTCGGATGCATGTACTAGAGCGGCCTCGAAGTCATCATCGGAACCAAGACCAAATTCATCGTCCGACATCGATATTGCTGTTCCCAAGATTGGTTTGACTGGGTAAATAAATTGCCAAGTGAAAATTGTGAGTTGGTGATTGATGGATAGAATAGAAGCTTGCGACGTTGTATAGAGAAGAGATGACCTCCATAACGCGCTAGAAGCAACAACGCGTTAGCGCGTACTTTCCTCGCGATCACATGACGTGGGGATTTCGCAACGAAAGACTATTCTGCACTTGTAAAAAGCCGAAGGTCAAAAGGTAGTCTCGAATCTACAGTAACGGATTCAAGGCCGCTTGTGGTGATTATGAGCATGACCATGTTCTTGATACCTCTCATCATCATAGTCACCCATCCGGTGTTCATCCTCATCCTGTCTGTATGTCTCCCATTCGCTCGTCCAATCGACAAGCTTCTTCCAGTCTATACACGAATGTTCAGTCCCAAATCCTTCTACGCCGCCGAGCTTATCATTTTGGACTTCGACCGTCAAATCAGGCTGGCACATCATGGCATTGCGGATGAGGTCCAGACAGTGCATGAAGTGCTGGGCCGATGCATGGTGTGGAAGCTCTGACTCGGCCATCTTTTGACCCTGCATCACCATGTCAAAGAGGGACCAGTAGCCATGACGAATTCCGTCGAGGCAATGGAGTTGATGGAAGGTGGAAAATGTAGAGCGTTCTGGCGCAATTTTAGGGTGTCTGAAGAAACCTCCCTGCATTGGGAAGAGGTCCAGCCATGCTTTGTTAGTGGTTAAGTTTGGCCTGTTAGCATATTTCTGATCCTCTTTGAATATGCGCGCTTGTGGTTCTACTATTCGATTGATATATTTGTTACTAAACGATACTGCAGCAACATGAGAATACAATTGACTTACGGCCCACGGTCTCTCTGACGATGGTAGAGGATCCTGCACGGTTACGGCCATTCTGATACAATGCGACGAAAAGCCATATATAACCAACCAAGAGAATGAGCCAGGCTACAGCGAAAAAGCGCCCTTTCTGCTTTGAAGGTCCATTATTGGTGGAAGTCGGTCCGTCTATAGCCTTTAGTGGCACGTATTCGGGCGGAGAAGAGGAAGAGGAAAAAGAAGCAGAAGAAGGTCGGCCGCGGCTGAACGGAAAACGGATTTGCATCAGAGCAAGCCAGGCGACGGCGGCGGGAGGATTCCGGAGAAGCTCCGAGCAAGATGACGGAGAAGAAAGGGAGAGGGATTAGAGAGGGAGGGAGGGATGAGATGGGCTTCGGAGGAATTGCACGATAAGACACAATACTCGGATGAGATGGCGACGAATAACAGAAGAGAGAAGGGGTAGAGCGCTGAGGCGTGTCAAACTCTCTAGTGTGAATGATGTGATGTGATGTGTTGTGCTATGAGTAGAGAGAGTCTTGATGTTCTTGGAGAGGGAGGACGTTCGGAGAAAGATGAGCCGAAAGGAGACGACACGCCAAAGCTACCTAACCGCTCTCGTAACCAACCCCAACAACGCGGGGCATCTACTACGAGTTACTACAATAGGTATACACCTCATACAGTCTTACACTGTCACTCAGGGTACTCAACCAACTAACTATGTACTTGTATAGTAAGGACATGAGTAGGTAGCCTACGTAACTAGGTGGGATGAATGGTGGGGGGAGGCGCATGGAGGGGCATCGTCCACTTTACCCAATTCCGACTATACATCTCGCAATTCTTCCGTCTTGTTTATAAAACACCTTGAAGCTCTCCAACATTTCTTCCTCTCTTTTTCCTCTTACCCCTCCACTCCATACTCTCTCGTCCTCTCGATACCCGGAAAATCTTCCACAACCTACTCTCTATCTCATCTCACAATCATGTCTCTCGGACAGTCAGTCAAGCTTAGCAGCGGCCTTGATATCCCGTACGTACACTCCCAACTCCATTCACTATGTTCACCCTCTCCACCACTTCCAACAAAATCACATGCGCTCAGCCAATTCTAACTTCATTTTCTTCATACAGAACATTGGGTTTCGGCACATGGCAATCTGCCCCCGGAGAAGTCTCCAAGGCCGTCTACGAAGCCCTCAAGGCTGGATACCGACACTTGGATCTTGCTCTCATGTAAGTGCTTCTCTAGAGTTCCATTCTGCTCAAGACCACCCGCTAATTGCATTTCCAGCTATGAGAACCAGCCCGAGGTTGCAGAAGGCATCGCAAAGGGTCTCAAAGATTTCAACTTGAAGCGTGAGGACCTCTTCATCGTACGTAGTAACCTCCGCCATTCCATCCCAACTTGAATATCTTAGAACTGGATATACTAACACACATCGTCACTTCCAGACCTCCAAGCTTTGGAACTCCCAACATAGCCCTGCCCTTGTCCCCAAAGCCCTCGACAAGGCCCTCAAAGAGCTCAACCTAACCTACCTCGACCAATTCCTCATCCACTGGCCCGTCGCCTTCCAAGAAGTAAACTCCGGCGACGAATACTTCCCCGCTGACACCTCCTCGACCCACAAGGGCGGCGACGTCGTGATCAACGACTCCGTGACCCTCGCCGAGACCTGGAAAGCCGTGCTCGCGCTCCCCAAGGACAAAGTCCGCACCGTCGGCGTCTCCAACTTCAACATCGAGCAACTCGAGTCCATCATCGCCGCCACAGGCCAAGTCCCCGCAACCAACCAAATCGAGCGCCACCCGCTCCTCCCCCAGCCCGAGCTCATCGCCTACGCAAAGGAGAAGGGCATCCACATCACCGCGTACTCGGCATTCGGCAACAACGCCTTCGGCCTCCCCCTCATCATCAACAGGCCCGAGGTCCAGGCCATCGCGAAGAAGGCGTCCGCCCGCCTCGGAAGGGACGTCACGCCCGCGCAGGTCGTGCTCGCGTGGTCCAAGGTCGGAGGGCACTCCGTCATCCCCAAGTCCATCACCCCGAGCCGTATCGCGAGCAACTTTGACGAGATTGAGCTCAGCGAGGAGGAGATTAAGGATGTCGATGCGCTTGGCAAGAACCCGCAGCGATTTAACATCCCTTACACTGCCAGTAAGTTTTTCGAGCTTTGGTCTCTATGTAATGCGGGACTGACATGCGTACAGACTCCCCACGATGGGACATCAACATCTTCAACGACCCCTCCGAGGCCCCCGCCACCCACAAGCCCATCCTCAAGTAAATCAAAACGACACCATATAGAAAAGCCAACGTGCAAAGATACCAATATGATATTTCCCTCAAGATCTCTTCTTTCTTTCTATCCGCTTGCTGCTGAGGCATGACGTAGCTTTACATATGTATGTATGGCGCAGCTGAATGGACATCACACGGGTAGGGCGGTTACCTTACCAATTGGGTTTGTCGGGTTGCGATAAATACCTACATAGATGGATACGCGTGCTTACTGCACTTGGAAGGGGAAAGAGGAATAGAAAGGGATAATTTAAAGAATTAAAAAACATCACAACACATATATGATATCGAGTCCATTTAAAAAGTGAAAGGGTCCGCCCCATTTTGAATTACCCATATTTGTGAACTACTTACTACTTACTGTAGTATGCTATGCATGTCGAACCTAACCAGAAAAAAGAACCTCCGCGTTCGATTCATACATGGGGACCTCTGCCGCTTTCCCCCAACCAATCAATTCTCATGTACAAAATTACAATGTTTGCTTTGTTCGTCGTTCTGACATTGTCCAGGGAGACAGATATACATAGCACAGGAAAAGCAAACGCTCAAGGTATCATCATGTGAGGCACGTGGGCCATCCAAATCCCTACTTGGGCCAAGTTCCCTAGGAAGGGGGGCATCGAAAGAAAACCAGAATATTACGCCGTGGGTTCGTAAGTTCGTGTCGTGACATGAGTGTTGGAAAAGCACGAAGAAGGTAAAGGCGTACGTAAAGCCTTCACCTCCGTCCAATGCTGCTTCCGCTCCAACTGCTCGGCGTCCAGCTGCTGACCTTGCTGCTGATCCGCGAGCCGCTCCACCAGCCGCCGATGCCACCGCCGAAGCGCCACCTTCCGAACTTCCTTCCACGGCCGCCGCCGAGGCCGGTCCTAGTGCTTCCTCCAACACTGCTGTCGCCATCCCTCTTGTCGCCCCATTTGAGCTTCGCTTCCATGGCCCAGTGGATACAGTTGATAATCAGGAAGGAGGTCGAGCCGATAGCACGGAAGAAAGCAAGTCCAGCGACAGCCCAGAGGATAAACTTGAGATAGAAGTTGGAGCTGACCGCGCTGCCAGAGTAGGCCTCACTGACTGACATTGCAAGAATAGCATTGGAGATGAGCCATACGACGACCATGTAAGTACGCACGGCGCGGTAGTAATCCTCTTGTTGTTGGGACTCCGAGATGGCTGGGGCAGGAACTTCGATGCGATCACGAAGATTCCGGAGAGCCTCGTCGTAGCCGGAATCAATATCAAGTTGTTCCGAAGGCATTTCCAGCTCAACGACGTTCCCAGACTTGATTTTGGCGTCACCAAGATCGGTCTTTGCCACGTTGTCTCCCTTTGTACCCCATGTGATGTCGTGGGTATTGCAGAAAGCGTACACTTGGAGGGTGCAAATGTAGGATGGCAACAATGCAAAGTACTGTGCGGAAGAAGTGAACATGTGCCAGGGATCCATGTACAAGAACGACATGAGGAAGTAAAGGCCGATAGTGGTTGCCGTAGAGACGATCAGGTTCGTGAATACATTGTTACCCAGTTTTTTCTCGGCTTTTGGATCCTTCAGCTGGACGACGACAATGTAGATTGAAGCGAAAGTTGTGTAAGCCATAATGACGCAGTAGGCAGTCATACTGCTCAAGAACATCTTCTTTGCGCCCTGAGGTCGATTTCCCATACTCAAGATAAACTGCATGCAGATGAGCAGGACGCAGGTATACCGTAGGATGTAAAACACATATTTGCCGATATTGTGTCCAAATGGATCGAGCTTCGGATCCGCAAGGGAGCCAGCGATGAAGTAGAAGGTCAAGTAGAAGTTTGCCAGAGAGAAGAAGGTGAACATGAGGGAGACGAATTGGTAGATGAACTCGATGTGAAGGAGGGTCTTGCGCCAGATAGAGTGGTCAGTCGCCCAAACTTGCTTGAAGTGTAGGAGTGAGTAAACAGCAGCAAAAAAGGCACCGTTCAGCCAACGACGACGTTGGGAGATGAACTCAGGTACGTTATCTAAGTTTGTTAGTAAAAGAACACCACAGTCATTCGGTAAAGTACTGACCTGGCACATCGGTTTCACCAGCCGCAGCCTTCACATATTTCAAGACCCATTGTTCACTTCGCTTTGCCACGAGCTCCCAGCACAAAATACGATCCTCAGCAAGGTACATATTTGCGGTGAAAACATCAGCATCCTGGCCGTGAAGTGTCTCACCCTTGAAGTATTGACTCAGAGGACCATGTCCCGTGTGGTCATTTTGGAGGGCGTGGTATCGGTAGGCTGAAAGAGCACCAGGAAGGACAGTAATGTATCCAAAAACCGACTCAAGTGGCTTGTCGAGGATATTGGACATCTTGTACTCAAAATTTTGGGATGCAACAAGTGGATTGAGCAGTCCGAGCCAGCCCTTGCCCTTACCAGCCTTGATCTCTCCTGCGGCACCCGCCACGGAGGAATCGGTGTCAAAAGCCTTCCAGAGATGGTAGAGCGCCTTAGGACCGGGTTTCGTTCCAACATCTAGCAGAATGCAAACATTGGGGTTCAATGCGCGTCCAAAAGCATTGAAGAACCAACGATGCGAGTTCAACTTTTTCTGATTGCGTTCCTTCAAGCAGAACATCATCTGGACTGGCACGATTCCCTTCTCCGCGCCCTTGAACTTGAGATCCGAATCCAAAGACACCTGAGTGGTATACTCGTACAAGTGAGCAGTGACTTCACGTTGATTGACATGGTTCTTCGCGATTCCGTCCTGGTATAAGCCCATAGCCGCCAAAGCATCCAAAGTCCTTGGGTGTACCTTTTGGCGGCCGTCGGAAATGACACAGACAACGATCTTCTGCCAGCCATCCTTACCCCACGTACGAGACTTCGCACGAGAGCAGAAATGACTGATGTTACGCATGACGCCATGCATTGTCCTTGTAAAGTCGATCTCGTTCTCGTTGTACATCGTAATGCAGATGAACAGCTCTGTTTCACGGGGGTTGTTGAGGTTCTGGCGCAGCTTGTACCCGCTATCGACAAAGTCGTCGGGATCACACGTCACGGCAGTGTATCGCATGTGTGTAAATTCGTTGCTGTCGCGTCGCGGTAGAAAACTGTGGAGGATGGTAGGAATCTTGCACTCAAGGATGAGCTCTCCGTTGATCAAACGGACTTCCCTCTTCGACATGACGGCTTGTCGCGCTCCACGACGGGCTTGCGCACCATCTGGAGCTGGTCCCAAGTGTTCATTCTTCTCGTCTGTTGTTGTGTACTCTTCTGTGAAGGTGTCTTCGGTCATGTAAGAATCGCGAGAGCTCATCGTGGGCCGATCGTCCCCAATATCAGTGAACACGTCATCGTCGTTCAGTGGGACCTGGGACATGTCGACAGTCGCATTGGAATCCCTCGAGACTGGTCTGCCAGCAGAGAACAGTGGTGCGGGTGGGAGAGGCCGTATAGGACTGCCTGGTCGCCCTCCTCCATACCGAGACGAAGGAGTACCCGGTCGCGGACTTCCATTCAGGTCTGCTGGCTCGTAAGATACACTCGAAGCAGGGGGTCTCGAGTAGTCGACAGATGTGCGGGTTGGCGAGTACGGTCGAGTTGGCGAGGAGCGATCTGGAGAATGGGCTCGTCGGTAGGGCATGTATGAAGGGGAGTCTTCTGCGGGAGGACGCATGTTTGGCGCTGTGTCAAGCACCGATGGAGTCCTTGAGATCGAGGAGGTGGAAGGGTGGTATGTTCGCATGACTGGCGAAGGAGATTGTGGTCTGTGATGTTGGTTTACTGGTAAGCCTGGGCCTGGTTGAGGGTCCTTCTTGGACGGAGACAGGTGGCTCGTCATGCGCGACTTCACCGACTTGCGCTTCGGAGAGCCTGTTGTTGAAGGGGCATCTCGGTCGAGAGCGTCGCCAGCGTCTCTCAACAAGTCGACAATGGCCGCTTCAGCAGCTTGCTGCTCTCCCGTCGCTCGTCCTTTGTGCCGATCGCCCAACGTTGCCGTTGTGCTTTCCACGCCGGAGAGAAGAGAAGTAGTCTCAGAGAGAGGTTTCTTCCTAGGAAGAGCATTACAGTGAGGATGCATGTCAAGCGACAAACAACGGACAAAACAGCGCGTGCGATAGAAAGAAAAGGAAAAGAAGTGAGAGAGAGGTGAAGGGAAGAAAGATGTGGTTACTCACGGTATGTAACTCTGGGTTTCTTCTGCATTGGTCAACAAGCGCATTGTCGACCGCTCATGGGAATAGCTAGGACGAGAATCATCATATTCGTCGTTGTGATACGCTGGAGGACCGCCGTAGGACGGCAGCGCATTGCGCGGTGGAGTGTCCATTGCGACGGGAAGCCGCTAGATGGTGTGTCTTGTGTAAGGTACGGTTGTCAAACGATGGGAGATTGGAATGCAGCGTGGTAAGACGTTTGGAAGCGGAGGTGGAATGCAATTGACAGAGAGAAAGTGCTAAACAATCAATACGCAGCAGTAATAGTATGTAGTATGTAGTGGAAGTAGTAGAAGTGGAGGTTGAGTATGCGGGTGGCGTACAAGTTCCGGCCGGGGGTCGTGGGGATTTGTTTGGGTCGGTCGCGTTGATGGGGCAACCACAACATCAGGTCGTTGCACCACAGCCACGCATCCACGCATACACCCATCCGGACCATCCGCTGAACAAGACAAATCACCCCTTGCAGATTGTTGAACGGTGCCTTGCAGAAATACACGCTCGATGCGGATAGACAATATTCCACTACCGGTGCCCATTGTGGTACCACTCGGAACTGAACTCTCGTCTCCAAGCCGTGACAACCGCCTACCTACATATGTACTACCTTGCACACTCAGCTGCTATTATTATTGTTGAAACATAACAACAATCTCTCGTGAGTTGAAACGCACTGTCGTAAGTATCATCAAAGCTCGTCAATTGTTCTGTGATAATGTAGTGGAGTACCAAGTAGATTCATGTCTACACATCATGTCGTTTTTTCAACTCATCAGAACGCCCTTGAAATATCCCTCAACTCCCTCCCATCCTTGCTCGTTCAGCGAGCCAATGAACCCTACATATTGGTCTGGCCTTGTGATTACTACGCATCCAGCCTCTTTGTCTACCCCATAGCCGTTGTAGGCATCTCCAAATCCCTCGTGGTAGCTTTCATCATCGACGAATACGCTGTCGTAGTCCCAGCCCGTCCGAGTATCAAATGGATGTAAGACCTCCGGGAAGTCCCGCAGTAATTCAGTTTCAGTCCGCTTCGAGGAATGAACAGTAAGCATGGCAATGTTCCTGTGTAGATAAGGGGCGAGAAACTGCGACGAGGACAGCAAGTCGCAGAATGCTTCGAGTTTCGATTTCTGAGTGGAGAAGAGCACATCTCCTGCGAATACGATGATGCGGAATCGTCCGTCGCTACGTAAATTCTCCTGTAGATGCCATGGCCGAGCGTCAGACTGGTTGAGCACCTTATAATTGGGGAAACGCATTCCAAGCTTGATGTTCGTAGCTAGTTCCTGCCTGCCGACGACGCGGGTTTTGGTATATGAGGACGAAACATCAGTCCCGTCGCCTTGGTCGATGGAAGAGCCCTCTTTCGCAATGAGCATGCTGGAGCCGTAATCCACTGACAGACCAGAGGCAAACATGTTTCCTTTCACAAAAGCATCCCGGAAAGCTTCCATGCTCACGCCTTCTTCATCCAAGACGTCCTTCGCGGGTCGGCCTGAGAACAGGCGGGAGAACTTGTGGTCGAATGCAATCAAGTCCTGGGCGACTCGCCTCCTCTCTGATTGATAAGTTTTCAGGATCTCGGGTCGAGCGATTCCCCTGATCACGAGACCAAGCTTCCATCCTAGGTTATATGCATCTTGCATACTGACATTCATGCCCTGTCCTGCTTTCGGTGAATGCGTGTGTACTGCGTCGCCGGCAAGAAACACGCGACTACTGTAGTCAAAATTCGTGCCAACTCGTTGGCCAATCTGATACGCCGTCCACCAGTCACAATACTCGTAGGTAAGCTTGTAAGGTGCTATTATCTTTTGTGCGGCGGCAATGATGGTCGCCGGCGTGATCTTCGACCGATCTGCACGCCCGGATGCATCAGGCTTGATCTCTGTGAGTTGAATATACAAGCGCACGAGTTTGTTTTCTCGAGGAATAACCATCATAGAGCCGGATGAAGCACTGTGGATGGCACATCGCATGCGGATGTCGGGGAAGTCAGTGATCGGTATGATATCTCGGGCGATGTCAGTATCGTATTTATCCCCAATCAGTGTTGAACCTTTTCACTCACCCAATACACCCCAGATGAAATCAGTGGGTTCGCCCTCTAACTCGAATCCCAACTGCTTCCTCGTCCAACTATGTGCTCCATCACAGCCGACCACATACTTTGCTCGTACGATTTCCGCCGTGCCTTCCTTCCCCACACTCTGTCGGATAAGATCGTCTGTGTCATCGGCAGCCAGGTTGCTCCTGAACAACCCATCCGATACTTCACTCGCTTTGCTCTGCTCAGGCATTGCCTCCTCTTCCGTTAAGTGCCTCAGCTTCACCGTTATGGGATACGTATCTATTGAATGATCATTAAACTCCTCTTCAGAAAATGACATGACTTCGGGCAACACGCCACGCTCTACGCGGATGCGGTCTTCTGAGTGCTTCTTGATATGATCGAGGAAGAATCGTTCAATACGACCTTGATGCAAAACAATCTGCTGGAATCTGGAGAGGCCAACCGGAACGTCGGGTACACGGTCAGATCGTCGAATCACGCCGTCCTGTCCTGGATTCTATTCCATCGACATAAGTTAATGCTTTCACAATTGGGCCCCCATCATACTTACCCACATACACATCTACACAAAAGACACGTTAGCCTCTGAACTAGCACTTCCAAAATCATTTGGTAAACAAGACTTGACAATACCTCAATCATATGATTCGCCTCCTTCCAAGCCCGATCCGCAAACCCAAAGCTATCAAAGATCTCCAAGCTGCGCATCTGCAACCCATCCGCTTGCCCAGCGTAGATCTTCGTCCCTCTCTTATCGACAATCCGGGCGTTGATACCGCATCTCGCCATCCATGCTGCTAGCATCAGACTTTACGATATATCGGCGTTGTCAGCATTTGCGTCTTTTGTCAAACCTCGTGATCGATTGGACGCTGGGCGTTACATACCCCGCTGGTCCAGCACCCACGATAAGCCTGCACATCGTGTCAGATAATAAGTTCTGGTACATTGGAAATGGGGAGCGGCTCACACGTCACATTTCGACTCTGAGGCCTCTGTCACTGCCATGATTTGAATCGCTATCCTCAGCAATTTCTCAAGGCTCCTTGGTCAAGCGTTTTATTCCAGAAGACAATAGCGCTTTGCAAAAGGGCCTGAAGCAAATTGCACACAATATTGAACAAACGAACAATTGTCGAAATTACAATGTCATCATGGGCCACCCTCCCCTTATAACCCCCCATCAATCTCACCCCCCACCACCGTCGATCCAATCCAACCATTGTTTTACAAGACCGTCCGCAACGACAGGGGAGTGGCGTGTCGTAAGACTGCGTCCCTCGTCCCATAAAACCATAGGTGCAAGGCCCAAACTGGTTGTCAGATCCAAAACTGTGCCCCATTTACCCCACCATCTACCGATGGGATTCGGATACGTCCAGCGGCAGCTAGCAAGTCACCTACCAACTCGTGCATGTACTCGTCACCGTTCACGCGTGCCACGCCATTGGCCGAAGTCATGCGGAGCAGGGAAGCTGGGCAGAGCGGGACTCTGATATGTAAGGAATTGGTAAGGCTGGGAGGCCGTCATGCCGCGAGGGCTAGTTGTAAGTGGGAATGGAAATAATGACCGAACTTGGTCGGTTCGACGGCTTTACGTGTGGAGGTTAAGGATGCAGGGGTGAGGAGAATACACCGCAATTTGTTCGGTTGGTGAGGTTGCTGCCCGGAGAAGCACCGGTGCGGAGAATGGGACTATGTAATTGAATCTGGACATTGGGACAGCCGAGGTGGATGATGCACCGTGTTTCTCAATGCATACATCGCCATGTACAGGAATTTTATATGTGATCATTACCCTTTGGGGACCGCTTTACATTGAGCAATGTACCATCCATTAGTATTGCATCGTTATAGGGTCAAAGGACGGGAGAGGCTTGATCTTCTGTAGGCTAATCCGCTCAGTAAGCAGCTTATCCAGAGGAGCACAACAGCAATTGCAAAATTCGTCCAATGTTTACAGAAACCAATCCTATGGGAAAAAATGTATATTGCTTCATGGTTTCCGATGGTTACTCTGGTCGAATTTCCCAGCCAAAGTCATGACGCAATGAAGTCGTGAACTAAAATGGAGCTTGCAAACGTCATCAGAATACATAGCATAACAGCTAAGTATTCTTTTCTTTCCATAGCGATGTTATCTTTGATATTCCCATGATTGATATTTCCTCTTTCAATTAACTACCATCACATCGCGAGCATGTCTTCTGAGATTTACAACTTCACAACAGCGCTGGTAACTGGCGGAGCCGGCGGAATTGGAAAAGCCATCTCTGAACGCCTCATTGCGGATGGCAAAAAAGTAATCATCGCAGGCCGAACCGAGTCAACCCTCAAATCCTCCGCAAAAGAAATCGGAGCAATAGATTACTACGTCCTGGATACAGGCGAGATATTCGCGATTCCGGCTTTCATCAAGAAGCTTCTCACGGAACACCCCGACGTAGACTGTCTCGTCAACAACGCCGGTGTACAAAGACCTCTGAAAATAAACGAGGATGATCCCACGGAACTGTTAAAGAAAGCAGATGAAGAGATAAATATCAACATCCGTGGACCAATGCACCTAGCCATTGGACTGTTGGAGCATTTCAAGTCGAAACCCAACGCAGTCATTGTCAATGTCTCCTCCGTCCTCGGCTTCGCTCCCTTCTCAACTATCAACCCCGTCTACAATGGAACGAAGGCCTGGATGCATTTCTGGTCCATTAATCTTCGGCAACAAATTAGCGGGACTAATGTTCGTGTGGTTGAGATCGCACCGCCGGCGGTGGGCACCGATCTTCATCGCGAAAGGGAGAATCCGGATGATAATAAGAAGGATCAGAATCCCGATGCTTTGACTGTAGAGGAATTCATCGAGGAGGCAATGGACAAGTGGACGAAAGGGGATGAGCTTATTACAGCAGGTCCGGGGAACAAAATCATTCAGAACTGGGAAGGATCCATGGGGAAGATATACGATCAATTGCGTCAATAGAAAGATACACAACCAATAGAAAAAAAGATTTCAGAAAGTTGATGCAAGCTTGGGACCCACAGAATCCTCATCTCGAACAGAATGCACAGATAGAATCCCCCTAAAATATTTATTCACCATAGTTTTCCCATAGATGATGTCGGATGGAAGCTCGAGCATGAGTACCAAAAGTGTTCCCATCCCATGTGGCGCTCGGACCCTGTTTGGTGGGACAATGTTTTGATCGTCAACATGCCCAGCAACCAGAACCCCAAGTAACCCACCACACATCATTCACATTTGACCGCACCGCGCCGTCGCGATAATTTCGCAATAACAAAATGGCGCCTCGCAATGCGCTCGCAAATATCTCCTTCACAGTCGATTCTGCCTCCGAAGACGAAATGGCACGCGACGACCCAAACGCGTTCCCCACCCCAGATTCAAACACGGAAAACAAAGCGCCAGCCCGCAAGCCACGCGGACGAGCCGCGCAAAAGGACAAGGAATCGATTGCGACGAAAGCCGCTGCAAAACCAAAGGCTGCTGGGCGTCGCGCTGCTGCTGAGGGTGCGAAGAAACAGAGTGTAGATGTCGCAAAGAAGACGGGCACAAGGGGTCGCAAACCACTTGTGGAAGTGCAGAACGCACAGACAAGCGACACGGAAGAGGTTGAAGAGTTTGCAGAAGAAGATGAGGTCGCAGCTCCGGAACCAGTCAAACCAGCGAAGCGGGGTCGACCTGCAAAGGCCAAGAAGGTGGAGGAAGCACCAGCAGCAGAAATCGACGCACCTGCGAAGAAGACGCGTAAAGGAGCTGAGAGTGCGGCGACAAGCAAGGCAGTAGCTAAAGCAAAGACGACCGCCAAGTCAAGGACAACAAAACGCGTGCAGGAAGCCGAAATGGAATTGGACGAAGACCCATCAACGATCCTGGAGACCCAAGCAGAGCCCGAACCCGAAGCGATGGACATAGAAGAATCCATTGAGATTGAAGAGATACCAGAGACGCAGCCTCCTCCGCCCAGACCTATCGCAAGACGGGCACAACTCAAAGCACAAGCAGGGCATCAAACGTCTGCTGGACCACGGCGAGCAGGGAGTGTTTCCGATACAGAGCGAGATCCAGCATTGCGGCGCAAAGTGGGCGACCTCACAAAGAAGCTTGAGGCTATGACCACAAAGTACGATAGTCTGAAAGAAGTTGCGACGTCAGGGAAGGAGTCAAACTTTGATCAATTGAAAAGGCGAACAGATCAGACGACCAAGGGTAAGTTCTTACTCCAGGCCTTCTACGATATAGCTGACACATTTGATAGATCAAGACGCCTTAATCAAGGCACTCAAACAGCAAATCAGCGAAATGCAGTCCCGCTCAGCAGATTTGACAGCCATGAAGAAAAACATAGCCAGACTTGAGAAGGAAAATGCGAGCCTAACTGCCCAAAACAAAACACTCACAACTTCCCTCACATCAGCACAAAATGAGAACAAAACTCTCTCTACGAAGCTCGTTGCAGCAAGGGCTTCAGCAGCGCCAGAAGCTAAGACCGTACCAGGCAGTGCTGTCAAAGCTCGCTCAATAGGCGTTGTCCTCCCTGGTGCTGCTGAAGCAGCGAAGGAAGCCCAATTGAAACAAAACAAGATTGATCTTTACAGTGACCTGACGAACCTTGTAGTCGTTGGCACGAAGAAGGGCGATGATGGAGAGGATGTCTACGATTGTCTCCAAACTGGCCGCAATGGCAGTAAGTATCCTACCATCACTTATTACACAACTCAGCTAAAATAATTGTAGCACTTCATTTCCAACTTTCTGTTAGCAATGGCGATGAAGCCTACGATGACGCAGAATTCGTTTATAGCCCCTTGTTGAACGAACAGAGAGACGCAGAGCTTCTCGACTTGCTACCTGATTATCTCACTGAGGAAATCTGTTTCCCACGGAATCATGTTGCCAAATTCTACATGAAGGTCCTTGACTCTATGGCGAAGAGGGTGGAAGTCGAGGATGCTTAATCTGCTTGCGTTGAGACATTACTTCTTATTACTTTTGAACTTGTTTTATCTTCTAGGACGACATTGGAGCTTCGGCGTGGAAAGGTTGCAGGGGCTATTGTTGCATGGCTGAATGATTAAGGTTTGTATGTTTTACGAGATACCTATGGGATGGTTACGGCGTGGAGCGCTTTTGCTTCAGCATCAAGTATATTTCGACCTAAATAATTAGATATTTGTCTGTATCACGATTCCAACGGTGCGGAGCACGGAGAAGGCAGCACTGATCCGGTGTAACGGCAATGAAGTCTGCCAAATTCCAAGTCTTATGATGATGCTGATGATGAAGACGATGGGTTGGTGGTACAATTGGCGCTGTATCTACAGTTTTACACGTCCAAAGTTCGTCTCGCGTACACTTCCGTCTATCCGATATATGCCATTTCCCATCATTTTCCCCGAGGGACGGGCTTCAAATAACCCATTTCCCCCACACGCTCGCCATGTTCCATTGAAAACCATGCTTACTTCTTCTCGCCCTCGACCTTGTTCACGAAGCTCCTATATCTGCGGTTAGCCGCTTGCTCTGCGTCCTTCCATTGTAAATCGCTCGCAATGTTCATCGTTGCGGGAGGGGAAAATCCTACTTCACGAAGCTTTCCTCCTCCTTGCTCTTAGCGTTGATTGGTGGTCCCTGCTGCTCGGGCTTGCTGCCACCGCGGGTTGCGAGGAATGCGCCGGCGAAGGTGGTGGTGAGAGTGGCAATCGCGAGCTGTTCCGTAAACACAAATTGTCAGCACGAATTCATCGGATATAGTCCTCATATGAAACCCTCCATCCCCCCAAGTACCAGAATATCTCGTCCAAGCAGTCGACTATGCCTTTCGAAGCTATCCAGGTGCAGTAGAGCTCGGCGGAGCAACTTTTTTCGGGTAGGGAGGGTCGTGGTGGCAGGGGAGACGTACAACGTGCGATCCGACCTGGCGGCCAGCAATTGTGTACATAGCAACCATCTTTGCGGTTTTTTTGTTTTTGAAAGGCCGTAGAGGGGCAGGTAAGGCGGCAATGGATGGCAATTGGGGGTGGAGTCGTTGAATGTGAGGCAGTTCGGAGAAGCTTTCGGCGCAGAGCGATGATCCTGACTAAGTGATGACAAAGCTGTTCAGCCACACGTGTGGCTTGTAAATGACGTTGGGAAATCCGGAAGCTTGAGGGACCTTGGTCCAGGCTTCAACTCTTTCGTATTCGATTGCTCGGTAACCTTCGTTGATCCGCGACAAAGCCTTAGGTTGCTTTTTCCTTTGCTCAATAGCGAGTCAATCGCAAAGTCTAGACAGTATGGCGAACGGGAACGATAAGAAAGACGACTTCGAGGACATTCCCCGCGAGCGGGAGGGCACACGACCCGACTTCTCAACGCCACCACCTCGGAAGAAGCTCCCCAAGAGCTTGCAGGATACACTCGACAATGAAGAGAAGCTATGGGATATCTTCTACGAGGGAAAGTACGTGCTGCATTCTTCACTATTGCAAGCTTTCACGGCCATAGAATCCATGCAGTGCCATGCGATCCCGACATATACAGTGGCCCAAGTTAACCAAAAGTGAATAATAGGTCGGAGGACTCCACCGATACCAACTTTCGATATGCGGCGTACGCTTCCCGAATCCGAACGATTATGCTCAGCGCCCATCGCTATGTAGCATATACCTCCGACATTGGTGAATCGTTCCGACCTGTCGCGCATCCCTGGCTCGTACGTGGAGCCTACGGAGTATCATGGGTCTATCTGGCTGGAGATGTCGCAAACGAAGGTTACAAGGCATACATAAGGAATCAGCGAGTCCTCCATCCAGAGCTGTACGCCGAGGAGGACCAGAACAGCACCACCACCGAAGACAAGAGCAATGGTATCGCGGCAGCCGTGAAGAACATGGGCAAGAATTTGGGAATCAAGCAGGGCGAAGGCAATCAATCGACAGGAGGCGCACTCGTACTTCCCGGTCACGTCCCGGCAATTGAGGACTACAGGGCAGTTATGGCGCAGCGAGCTGTGTTCCAGTCAATTGCTAGTATGGGGTTGCCCGCTTTCTTGATCCATAGCATTGTAAGGTACTCTGGAAAAGCGATGAAGGATCTGAAGAACCAAAGAGTGAGGACGTGGGGTCCTATTGGAGTAAGTCTCACACAGGAGTAGTCAGGTTCAATGCTAACAGAATATCCAGCTCGGTCTTGCAGCAGTTCCGTTCCTCCCATACATATTCGATGAGCCGGTTGAGCACGCGACTGAATGGGTTTTCCATAATGCATTCAAGGCGATTGGTGGGCCTGAAGCTGTGGCAGGAAGACCAGTGACCGGAAACAAGGAATTGAGATCCAAAGAATCGCATGTCCCGAGTAAGGAACTATAGAATCCGAGGTCGATGAAGAAATGAAGATGATGGAACGAAGACGCAGGTTCAGTCTTCTGGTCCTAACGCGGGACTATCAGATTACCACCGTTCAAACATGTATATGTTCACATACCTAATGACCACTCCGCCTCTTTAGCAGCTGTATATATTAAAAGCTTACTTCTTATGCCATTCTCCAAAGCCGTTGATAGTGATGGTTTGACATTGGTTCGTCTGCAAAGTCTGCTCATGGACTTATGCTTGCAAAGTGCCGTCCGATGGTTGAATGGACATGCAGTGCTTCGATTCTGGACTATACAATGTGCCGCTTCTCGTTTCTCTACGGAGTATTTGTAGTGTTTCCGTCTGAGTATTGGAAAGAAGACATAGTTAATACTCATGTGTAAAGTCGTGGATATAAAATATTACTTGGTAAGGATGCAAGTGATGTTTCCTAGTCCGTACGTTCAAACATCAACATCAATCAAAAATGAAATAAAATAAGAAACATCCACACACTTGTTCGAATCACTTGAAACTTATCAAACGAATTATTCTCCAACTAAGAGACCTCCAGAAAATGATTGCGAGCGCTACCGATCAAGCTTACGAGCGTGTTTATCGCTTTAGATTTGGACAATTGTATAAAGCTCACGCGTACATCGCCCTCTCGGGAACAATCAGGAACTGTCGACATCGCTCTCTAATGAACCTCGAACTCATGGTCATCATCCAGTAAATTTTAATACTTCTTCGAATTGTCCTGACTTACTATGGCGAGACGACCAACACCATGCCCTTCGACACCTCACTCAAATCTTCAAAGCACCAAATACATATTACGATATCTATGCTTTACACATCAACCACCTGCCCATGTAGAAGGGCCCCACATGCTACCTATAAAAAGCACAAGAACCATACAAACAAACACGCACCCTAGCAACTAAATACCCGCAATTCACTTTACCTCAATCTCACAGCCTCATCCCTCGTCTTTTGAAACATCGTCTCCAAAGTACGATGTAGTGCAGCGCTGTACCTAGATCTGCCGGGTAGCAAAGACTGACCGACCAACCTAGCTGGCAAGGGGGGAAGGGGAGGGCAGGAAGGTGAGGAACATTCAGCCTTCCGCTTTGGGGAATCATGGTTACACTGCGGCGACGGGGAAATGGGCTCAGTACCTTGCGTGCTTGCGTACCAGACTTTGGTTGCTGCGGGGGTAGGCAGGCAGGCAGGCGAGCGGGTTTGTGTTCGGTAGTAGTGTGCAGTCGTGTGTACGCGAGTGAGATCTACAAGTTACGCGTGACGATGGGGGTTTAAGAGATGCCTTGACCTCGAAGGGGTGTTTCCGGCGCGTGATCTTTGGAGATAGGGATCCTCGAGATAGGGAAGGGATGGGATGGAGTGAATGCTAGTGTGCTGATACGAGGGAGGCAAGATTATAGGTGGACTATTCTCGCATATCAAGATGACGAGGACGGAGGAACGACCCCAAAAGCGATCAGCATCCTGGAGTTTACTTGATAAATACCTATCTGACCTTGTTGTGCGCGCTGATAGCTCTCATGCTTCCAACACATGGTCAGGGCTACGAGCCTACGAGTCTTAAGGATTTCCAAGGCAGGCGGACCAAACGGACCAAAGGCCGGATGATGGCGATGATCCGGATGCCAGGCTCTGTTACCGGCCGGTGGCTTGAGAGGTCTCGCCATCTGATCCCCATGTCGTGCAAATAAAGATCTGTGGTGTAATCGCAATGCGGCGCCCAACTCATGGATCGGGAAGTTGAGTAGCCCTTGAGCCTCGGGAGGCGTTCGAGGGAAAAAGGGAAGCATTGCGAAGGAGGGAGAGACAAGAGAAGAGAGGAGGGGGGTTCTTGATTAAGGAGGCTGGGCGACCAAAGAGGTACGACTGCAGCTCTCCGTCTTGGGAGTGCATGAATACGTGATTTTACTTCAAGGATCCGGGTTCTGGACTTGCTGTCTGTGAGAGGGTGTTGGATGTGTTGTATCTCGTCGGTGTCTTTGTGTTTTGAGTCTTTGGTATGTCTGTCTATCCCTTTCCATGGTGGTTCCGAGAGTTACCAGTTCCCCACTTGAAGCAACGAAATGGTGAATAGATGTTTCCTTGCGTCCCTTTTCAGGAATACCGAGTTTCCTTTCTGAAAGATGCTTGTTTGCCCCGTGGTCGTAATTAACTCCCAGGAAGCAGCATGTTGGCCAAACCACAGCTCCCCCACCCCCAAACGATCCCGAAGGATTGGATAGAGATTATCCGCACAGGGGTTACCTGCCTATCACGCGTTAGCACCGACGCCTCCAGTCGCAACACCTGGCGAATGTATCGTATGCTCAGCTTGATAATAAATCAGGTCGGCGTTGGTATGTAACCCCCGGCAGAAATGAGGGCCTGGGGAGGCAGTAAAAGACCAACCCGCATCGTTAACTAAGTCCCCTCTATGCCCAGCCAGCTTTCCAGTTGGGCTTCCCTCTCCCACCACTTCTCAGTTCCATTCGTTCCACAACTAAACGCCACCGATCGAAAGGCAGAAGAAACGAACAAGCCCATGATCTTTCTTCGAGGGACCGATAACGCCCGATAAGCCCGGTGAACCTCGACACGCAGGTACTGGAACCTCTGCTCTTCTGAAAATCTTCGCGCACCGGCCCTGGATCGAAAATGGTCAACGAGGACACCAGACCGCCGACAAGCACAGGGTCGTCGGCCCCTCCCTCGTCGACACAAAATGTTCCAGGAGATTCGGGTCCGACACTCGCGAAGACTGGCGAAATCATGCTCATCTTTGCCTTGGTTATCATCTTCATGGTCATCTTCTTCATCGCCGTCCATCTCACCATGAAGAGGCGGAGTCAACGATTCTGGGGCATGAAGAGCAAAGAGAAGAAGAAGAAAAAAGAGAAGGATCCCGAGAAGGCTCAATCAACGTCCGAATTGCACTCGACAGATAAGAAGGTTTTTGAGGCCGAGGGAACGGCAGTGACGCTATGCGAGCTACCACAGGACGCGCCGCCGCTGCAGGAGTTGGAAGCCGACATGACGTTCCCACCGCTCGAACGGTATAGAAGCGACGATAGCTCTACGCTGGAGATCGTCGTCAGTCCGGCAGACAACCCATGGCCCGAAGGTCGAGAACTGGCTGTGTATTGGTCTGCACGACTATGATGAGACGAACCTGGGATGTCAGTTGATGATGGGTCGAAGAATGCGCCTATTGTCGAGATGTATCCCTTGGAATGATATGAATAGACACGGGGTAGTGCGGAAGCCTAGCATTCATGCTCCCACGAGGAAGCGTGGAATGCAACTACGCCGAACAGATATACGAGCCACACCACTGTGCACGAAGAGTGCGCCGAAGAAAAAGCGACTTGCGGATGAAAAGCTCGGAGAACTGGAAGCACCCGGCATCGCATTGTGCAAAGCTTCGCTAAGCAGTGCCCTTCGACAGTCTTGCTTCAAAAGATAGGAGTAGACCGAACTTGCTTGGGCGACTTGCATAGAAGATGGCGGCTCCTGTAGCATATTTTATGACTGGAAGCAATCCGGGCCTTTAAGAGAAACCGCAATGCAAACAGGAAGAGATACAGACGATCTCTTTGGTCGAGGTACTCCGTACAGGCTGGATTGGTTGGTGCTGCGACAGGGCCTGGTCAGCGGGCCTTCACGGATATGATCGCAACTTGCTAATTTCATGCTTGTGCGAAGGAGGACCGAGAGATTGGATGAAGCCAAGAATATCCGACGATGTTATGGTATTTATTGATGAAGGAAGAAACGGTCCTTGGAACCAAACACCGTATGCAATGTCTGCTGGGCCTATTGGGATAGGATGAGGTTTGGGAGCGAGCGCATACCACTGCATATTGATCTATGCTCCCATAGATACGGAGCAGCACCATAGAGAACAAAAATGAAATGAATGATGATGATGATGTCTAATCATCACCCCAAGAACAGACCCAACTGCCGTAAAAGATCTAGTGATGGAAACCACTTGACCATCCCCATCCGCCATTGCAATGCTGGCCTAGCGGGTCGACGGTTTAATGGGGGCTGTGTGGACTCCCCCCAGCTTGATCGAATCACAGTGCGTCATTGTGTATCCACTCTCAGCCCCCTCGGCCAAAACCAACATCCCTCAAAACCCGGGAACGAACGAACCTCGTCTCGTCTCGTCCTGTCCCATTCCCATCCTTCAGGACCGACCTCATCCCACCACCCATCGCCGACATCCTCGCCATAGCATGTCGCTTCCCTAACCATGTTCTTCGCGTCGTCGCTTTTGATGGCTTTGAGCCTCTTCGCCATATACAATCCCACCGCTGCGGACCCTGGCATCAGCAAGGATCGGATAAAAGTCTTCTTATTTGCGTCTCCTGCTTTCTGGGGCGAGGTCGCCATCGACGCGTATAAAAACCAATGTATCGATCTGGACAACAATCTGTATGCTGCTGGGATCTGTCGGTTTTATAGTACCATCCGCTAACCAAGGGGCAGCATCGATGGAAGCGTGCAGTCGATACTAATAGGCGCGCATGATATTCCCACAGTGATGAAGCGAACCGATGACTGGTACTGCATGTTCTACGAGTACGTCACGATACTGCTACCCATACTTGCCATGTACTCTTGCTGACTGGTGGTAGCAACTATGACTGTACTGGCAACGAAGAAGACATGCTGGTCTTTGCCGCCGGCGTCAACAACCTCCGAAGTGTGAGATGGGAGACCAAGATTCATGCCCTGAAATGCATCATCGAGAATGACGACTACGACGACTGAAGAGAAGGAGAAACATCGATGGGGAATGAGAAGATGTTCCGTGGAATCCGAAGATGAAAGAATAGGAGGAGGAACCAGGACCAAGGCGCCAAACAACACTGCAAAATATGATCCGACATGGATGATAATATACCTCCTGGAGGGGAAAGGAGCATCAGATCGAATCTCCTACCGTGGCGTCGCCTTTATTCATGATACCCATTTCGACACTCAACATGCCACGAGGCAACTGGAGAAACATGGAAACCATATCTGATATCAACACCAATCGTAATGGTAATAGCCAGGATGGACCAAAACAACATCCACCATAATCTCAAACGTGAAGAGATGGTTTCATAACGAAGACGCTATCGTCAGAACGAGGTTCGACACCAGACTGCCACGATAGCGCAGGTAATAGATACATCCTGCCGACGACGGGCTCGTGTACATACAGAAGGATGCAGTCGGTGCTACCAAAGATCTTGCGGCACTGCAAGCGGCATAGCCTACAAGGAGCCTTGATAGATAGGATGACGAGGGAGGTTATTGGTTGGATGAAAGAGAGTGAGGTGCGGCGAGAGTTCAAGATATCAATCGAACAAAGAAGGAGCACGGACACTGCTGTATACCCAATGGAACAAAGCGCTTATGACATCTGTTCACTTAGTTAACATATATACCCCATTGCGCACGTTAAAATCAAACTGTTTATACTATTCGTTATGTTTCGTTCAATGCGAATCGTTGTGGGTATCTAACTGAGGCCCAACTCTACCAACTATGCGTACGCTATGCTAAACGCCGCTACATGCAATATCCAGTCGAACTCCTATCAAACGAAAGCCAAATGTGCTATCTACTCTCACAAGTCTATGAGATCCGGTTCTCCAGACCCTACGCCCCGGAGAAGAATGATCATGTTTCCTGAAATACACGGATCCCCGATCTTTTCGCTGAATTTGAGCAGTCGTCCGCTTTCAACGTGGAACACGCGCAGCTTGTCCTCTTCACCACCGCCGCGGTTGTTCACGTTCTGGACTTGTAATGCCTTGGCTGCCATGTCTAGGACCCGACCGACCGTCCAATCTTTGTTGTAGTAGAACTTGCCAGTTGGGAACTTCGCCTTGGTGGTGTCTGCCGATGCCTCCACGAACAAGTACACTCGTTTGTCTTGCGGCACTGATGCATCACCTTTAGCAGTCCTTTTTACTTCGTTTAACTTGGCGGTATTATCCGATTTCGCCGTCTGACTCCCGAATATGCTGAAGCCTTTCTTCTTCTTTTTCTTCGCGTCCTCTTCCTCTTGTCGCTTCTTCTCCGCCCATCTCTTCACTTTGGCAAGAGGCGAGAGTACACGATCGGCTTGTTGCTGTATGATGTTCTGACGCCCTGCCAGACCAGGAGGTTTTACGTTCTTGCAATCGTGGTCCTCCGGCATGCGATGTTTCAAACAATACGATCTTCGGCACGTTGAGCAGAGGTTGGCGGGCATCCGCGAGGTGTTTATGAGCGTTTTGCAGGACGTGTCGTAACATTGTTGGTCATGCTCGTAGAGGGACGGTTTCGCGGGAGTCGGTGTGCCTGCGATGTCTCGCCCGGCGCGTTTCCTTGCCCACTCTCCTTCTTTGGGACACTTGTGCGCAATCTCAGATCTGTGGTCAAGGCAGAATGTTCTGGAGACGAGGTAGGTTAGAATGGAGGCTTCGTGAGATGGGATGGAAGCGACGTACCCTTTACAAGATTCGCAGCGGAACGGTAGGAAATCCAGGACATGGCAATATGCCAACTGACAATGCGATCCGATCGATTCTACGTCGCCCTTCATATCGGTATAGCTTTGCGCGTTGCCGCCTGCGGGAGATGTTGCTGCGGTAGCCATGGTTGTAACGATGGTGTATAAATATGGGATGCTCGCTCAAACGGTGGGAAAGACAGGAAAGACAGCGAGCTGAGCAATAGCAAGAAACATCTAGAAGCTGCCCGGCTAGGCGGCGAAATGATTACGACGGTGTTTGCTGGGCGCTGTATTACCCCAGGCGAGGTATGAGAGACTAAGCAAGAGTTGGACCCTGAGAGTTTCAATCCGAGGCAAGTCCAGCCGATGAGTAATGGTCTGCTTTCGCCTCAATCGTTCACCAGAAGAAGTTGTAAGACAAAACCCGCAGATTTTAACTGTTAGAATTTACCAACTCTGTAGAGGGATTATGGCAGTGGTCCTTCAAATGTTCGAAGTGCGGAGAAATGGTCCTCAGGCGGCTGGGTTCAAGGACCCACCCGCAACGACCACACGTTTCCCTGAACCCGATTAGACTGGAAACACACGAAGAATCCAACTGGATGCTCAGTGTTGCAGCATGTAGCCGCCTATGCAGCGTTTAGATTTGCCTCGTTTGAAGGTTGTTGCATTTCGGCGCCTAGCTTGCCCCCACTACACAGTACAATGTGATGCAACTTCAAAGTTCGGCGGCAAGGCCGTTTCGCGTCCCCAAATGTTGTTCTGATCTTCTCAACGAACATTGTTTTGAGTATATTCTTTTACTTGTAATATTTCAATGAGAAGATCTCAATATAGTTTGGTCCTCGATGTCTACAGCCCCTCCTTATGATTATCAGCCGCTTAGGGGGGATCAATGCATTCGGCTGCTCTTTCTGATGCCTGGCGAGCTGGAAGACCCGCTGGTCATTCATCTTCTTTCTGTTCCGCTTCGAGAGGCGCCTTCCTTCGAAGCTCTATCATATACATGGGGAACTCCTGAGGATACATTGGACATTTCTTGCGGTCCCCGTGGTGGCATAGTTTCAATTCGTCCCAACTTGAGAGATGCCCTGCAGTACCTCCGCCTTCCTCATGATATTAAAAAGCTTTGGGTAGATGCACTTTGCATAAATCAAGAGGATATTGAGGAGCGGAGTAGCCAAGTTGCCATGATGGCGAGCATTTACTGGCATGCTTCCCAGGTTGTTGTGTGGTTGGGTCTCGACGACGAATGTGTCCCAGCGTCCGACGTCTTCGACCTGATACGCACCACATCTGACCACGCTTGGAATCTACACAAGGAACATGGAAGCTTTGGCGAAATTCCGTATTTCCATCAGACTGATTTGGAGCAATTGGACGAGGACAGATGGAACAATCTCGCTACCTTTTTCAATACTCGCCAGTGGTTCCAACGTGGATGGGTTATCCAAGAGCTTGGACTTGCCTACAACGCGCGTTTCCTGTGTAGCCAGGAAGAACTGTCTTTCGTGGACTATCTGCCTTTTGTAAGGTGGCTCGTGACCAAAGCTTCGATCATTCTCGAACGATTCGATTTCAGTCTCGAGTCGCAGTACCTAACTGTTGGCTTCTGGTTGTCCACACGTACTCCTGAAGGCATAGCCCATATGTCGTTCCGAGAAGTGCTTCGATTGACCTGTTCGATTCAGTGTTCCCAGCCCCATGATTACGTCTACGCCTTTCTCGGCCATCCTTCGGCGTACGAGGCATATCCAGGGGACACAGAGCCATTTGAGAAATACGAAGAGACATTGGCTGGCAAGAACAGACGTTGTATTGCGATACCAGATTACACGAAGCCAGCAGAAAGAGTGTTTGCCCAGGTAGTACGGGACATCATTCTCCACGACTGTGACCTGAAGATGTTATCTCATGTGTTCCATTCAGAACAGACGATACAAGACTGCTACGCCTCCTGGACACCAAGGTGGCACTCAATCCCCGAAAAATTCGCCTTGGGGCTTCGGTCTCGATATAAAGCGAGTAATGATTCAGTACTTACGTTGCACTTTGAAAATGATCATATGATACTTCTGGGACATCCCATCGACGTGGTGGCGTATAAAATTCTCGTAACAGTTGACGTAGAGGATATGGTACTTGTTATCAACGGAAGTCGTGGGAGTCCGATGCGAGACGGGTTAGAATCCCTCTGGAATACAGTTCGTTTTCGTAACTGGCAGAACAAGTCGAACCAAAAGCTGGGAAGAATAGATTTCCTGCATGCACTTACTGCAGGTTACCTTGATTCAGAGTCTGTTGACGATTCTGAAATTGCAGAAAGGTTCAAGAGAAGTGTAGCCGCGTACCAACTGCTACACATTGGTAAACGGGAGAGACCTTTGAGTGACGAGGAAACAAAAGATCTAGAGAGACGTGCAGAAGGAGGTGTAGTGGAAGATTTTCTCCTTGCTATCTCTCTCATTATGGAGCATCATACCTTTGTTGTGACAAGATCGGGTCGTGTTGGTTGGTGCCCTTTGCTCACCAAACCAGGAGATGAGTTAGTCCTTGTGGCGGGAGGCAATGTCCCACTGACACTTCGTAAAAGCCGAACTGGAAATCACAGATTGGTAGGGGAAAGCTATATTCAAGGGGCGATGAAAGGGGAAGCCTTTGATGAGGAGAAGCTAGCAGAAGTTGTAATATGCTGAGTGCTGGTTTTGTTGTGTGAATGGGCCCAGCCAATCACTTTTGATAGATGTTGTCAGTGCTGATGGAGTGGTAGTATAAATTTCTTGCGTTTTGGGCAGCCATGTTGAGCTCTGAGAAGCACAGTGCCCTGGTCATCCCACAAATTTGACTACAACATGCCCTGTAGGTTTCGTAGCCCAAGCTTTCTACTTTTGCCTGATTAAGTGTCATAGCGCAATGTTCACACTGGGAGCTCGTATCACGGTATCGGTGTAAGTCGATTGTGTCCTTAAACTTGAAAAATTATGAGTAAAGGTACACTGGTAAGCAGTGATTGTGCTGAGAATTGCTCCGTGAAGTGCACCCAAGAACGTAGTCACAAAAAAAAAAAGCAGAGATGAATTATTGGTGACTGAAGCCAGTGGTCAGTTCCAGTCAGTAAATGGATCGATTGTATCTCAACTTATGCCATTGCTTCTAGAGAATCTCTCGCTCCACACGAATGAGCTCAACCAGGACAACATAGCATTCGATGTCGGAAAGTTATGGCCACTTCTTACAAAATCGACTCGCAAATGGACCATTCCATGAGGACACCCAGCCTTTGATCAACGTGCAGTGAACTTGCCTTCTCCTTGTGGCATTTGATGATGTTGTACTATTAGCAAACACTTGCAGCGAAAACCTAGTTTCAATGAAAAATCTCATTGGAGGACTAATTCTGTGATCAGGTCGATGTACAACTATCTGAGCGGGTCAGACTTTGGTGCCCCATTACTGAAGGCTCGAAAAGCCATCAGTCATCAACCTGGAACTACCCAACGTCCCACGATTCGGCTTTCGAACAACAGACTACCCGTCGTATTGAGTTTTGAAAAACCCCTCCCTTGAATAGTTCTGTTAGTGTTGAGGTCAACCCAACGGCACCTAAATCAATGGCTCCACCCAAGCCAGATTAAATCGAATGTCCATTTTCAAATCGAGCGCTGAAGTCCCATGCGCGACGAGAAGTCACGGCTCTCTTGCCACCTCCTAAGCCATTATTGTTCGCAAGCGTCGTGTCCATCTCGTCTAACCTAGTTATGACATATGGTACTCAAAGCACTACATAGCAAGACCTTCGAGACATCTGGTACGGTCGGTGGTGGAAGGTCAAACGGGTCGTAGATCACTAATGATGGCGCAAGACCATTTGCTTTACAACGCAAGATGGACCTCTGGTTTGACTTGATGAAAAGCGTGTCAGGAGTATGGAGTCGTTCTCCTCGACCATTTCAGGTTTGTCGAGTCTCTTCATCTATTGGTCATGTGTCCTCTGGGCGTTCATAGCCACAATAGCATCGTCGACGATGAAGGCTGCTTGTGGCTCCTAGAATGGGAAAGAGCTAGTGTATAACCCATTATTTTGAAGAGATGTTTATCATCAAAGATTGAGATAATCCGGACTTTACAGTGGCCTTCCATGACCTGCTAAGGCCACCAGGGTACCATATCAATATGGCCGGAACCAAGAGCGTCGGCTTTACGGTGACGACCGGCAAAAAGGCTTCAATTTGGCCAAGATAGCGATGCCACTTCCTCAACTCGTCGGAGGACGAACTGATATTGGCAATTCCTTGGCCAACGTGGTCATTAACAATGTCCCATGTCGCATTTTGCTGCTCTTATCGTCGCAAAAGCTTCCCCAAACGGATCTTTGCTTGTAACAGTAGCCACCAAGTCGAGCACTTGCCACTATGTTGCAGGGTTATGCATTGGGAGGCTTAGGCATCGCTTGTGATGCTACCAATCCACTGTGGATATAACTGAGAGAAGGACAATTGGCGATCTGATGTGACTGGCATAACTTGCGTGGTGAGGGGGGTGGCTTATTTCTGTGGAACTTGTTTTGAGAAGGAGAGCGGAAATTGTGAAGAGTTTACCATTAGTTGTACTGCAGTTGCTTTGTGGGGACTTGCCATTATTATTATTATCTCCTGTTTTGGGACTAGACGGACAGGTATAAGACGGCGCCTCCGGTCACTATAGCCGAGTGGACGGAAAACATACTATGAAACGCACACGGTAAGGGGCTTTTCTAACGAGTCTACTACTTATACTGTATATGTAAAGCGCGAATACTGTATGCTGGTTCGCTCGGCCCTTTTCTTCCGGTTGTTGGCAGGCTGTGATGTATGGTGGTGTGGTCCCGGAGGCTGAGCTATGTATGTTGGATTACCTGAAACGCTGGCGGACCTTTGGCGACCAGGCAGAGCGAAGTCGGATTAAACTACTTTTTCTATGCCGCACGAAGGATCATAAACGTATGACCAAGCAATACCTTACATAGTTAGAATACAAGTGGGGTAAAGTTGTCAGCGGGAATCGCCCGGTCGCGGAATTAATCTGTATGATATCGATGTCGACGAAAGCCCGTGGGGAAGCAGAGAGAAAGACATGACATCGTAACGCATATTCAACTTTGATTTTACATAGTCGAGGGCATCATTCATTCAAAAGTTTCATAGCAGTGAAGTGAGAATTTGAATTGCCCTCATACAAAGATGTCGCATTTCTACCCGATACTGATCAATTCTAGTTTGCCTCAAGTGAGCTTCGAGTGGCGTTTTGCCATCATCCAAAGACCCTAGAAATCATTCAGAACATCCAATATTGAACATCGAAAAGATCCACACTGGGTTCGTTGAGCCCTCCCGCCCTGAGATTCTTCAAAGCCAACTATATGGGACGTTAGTTTCGCAGAACTGAACTCATGATTCGGGGTTGTCAACTCACTGCAGCATGTGATTTAATCCGGATATCATCAGCTTTGTCTTCTGGGGCTCTTCCCTGGTGGCTTGTTGACAGTAAACTGTTGAGCCCCTTGATCCAATCTTGTCTCTTCGTCTCCCGTTCCTCGGCCGGGAAGGTCGATAGAAGGTAAGCTGCTGACCCTCTAAGCATGGTCAAAAGCCCAACACAGTCAATCGTACTCCATTCACGATGACTTATGTCCAGCTGAATCTCCAAGAACTCCACAAGTTGATTGACTAAGGCTTGTTTGTATGCATGTTCCACCGTTTCGAGAACATGGCAACGCGCTGCAAGACATTGGACAATCATGGTTTTCCATCTGTTCTTTCTTATGTTCGCCATTTTCTTCACCACCTCATCCGCGTGGTCTTCTACTTCTCTAGCCGTAAATTGCACCGTGAATGGGTCTTTTGCGCCTTGTCTGTCCTTTGGCTTCGTACCTACGCTACCATGGGTCCCGTCTGCGTAAAATGATAGGTAGTTTCCAAAGAAGCGTTCAAGATCGCGTCTTGCGCCTTCAGATCCCTCTCCAAGACCAAAGATAGCATCACCCGGTGCATCTTTGATAATTTGATACATAACTGCAATTCCCCAGTCCATGGAACGGGGATGAAGAAGGCAAAGCTCTACAAGCGCATTCTCAACACGTGCGAAGCGATTGTCGAAGTCCTCAAACTCGGCGGTAAATGCGCCTGGCGGCGTGTCTAGAAAAGTCCAGAGAGTATTAGCTGCCGCCTGAACGGTGGATGAGGTTGAAGGGCTGGCGAGATCAGCTTCGTTTTGAGGTTTGACCGAAACCCATATGTCCAGGACTTTGGCGCTTTCGTCATCTAGGTCCCAACCTGACATGATGGGCAGTTTCTGTGGGTGTACTAAATGCTGTAGATGGTGATGGTACTATTACCGTTAACAAAGACCGCGGAAGTTATGAGTAAAGTAGATTCTTCGAGGTACAGGGTAAAAGTATCGCTAAGCGCCGAGGCTGATGGCCGTATATAGTTATAGCTGAGCTCGACGTCATTGACGCAGAAAAGAAGAACACATAATTACTTACTTATCATACCCTGCGGTGGTGTCCTCGCCACACGTCTTCCGATTGGAATTGTCTTTGCCTCACACTGGGGCCAGGATAATTTGTAGTCCGTGCCACTCTTGCTACTTTCGGTCTGGGGTTTCTCCATTCCTCTCATCCATACATCCTTCTGACAGCGGCAGTGTTTCGAGTCGGAGGATTCATCTTACTGTATTGGGAGGATTACTGATCTGCGGGTCATGCATATGTCACATGATCACCCGCAGCAATCCTGCATCTCCAGATCGAACGTATGACAATTGGACATTAAGGACATCTAAGGGAAAGGCGGCCGCTACGAACATCTGAATGGGAAAACAACCGCTACGATTATCTAACCAAAAAGCGACCGCTACTTGTAAGAACATCTAAACGAAACACGACAGTTACTTTAGGAACATCTAAGCGACAGACGTCCGCTTCGAAGCAATTGATCAGCATCGGAACAATTGATGTTAACGCCGTGCTTCGATCACTATGAAAGGCTCTGAAACCCCTTTAACACTTGCTGATTTGTCGTTACTTGGAAGGAGGCTCAATCTCAAATCAGCATGATGATGCCTAATTATGCAAAGTGATGTTTGATGTATGACTGTCTTCTACTATAAACATAAAAAAGGAAACAAAGCAACACCTGTCTGTATGAAAGCAGAGTCTTGTACTCAACTTGGGGTAATAAGATGCGCGAGTGAAATGATTCGGCCGTACTTGACTTAGGCTTACATACGAGGTGAGAGATGCTAAGAGTCGTGCGCGTGCATAAAGAAATAAGTAATGATGATTCGGAATCATATGTGTCCCCGCCGATAAATACGCCGACATTCATGTGCCCCACATAGCGAGAAGAATTGCATCGAACGATCACGATACGAGGATTTCAGCACAGCCATAAAGCCCATCGAAGACGGTGATACCGCAACGAAGGACAACGAAGACCGCGACTTTGAAACAACATGTGTCTCTTCTGACATGACTTCCTGAGTCTATCATCTTGGATTAACCAAAGCAAGTGGTCTGTCCGTCAATTGGCAGAGGGATCATTGTATTCCGACGGCTATGCAGGATCTCACTCAGGCGTCGAATGAGACGACTGACATGAGGCACCGAAGAGATATGTGTCTGCACTGATATAGGAACTTGTTCAGCATTTTTCCCTATCGAGTAAAGGGATGATGTCCGACCACTGGCTTGTGGACACCTCAACACATCCCGAAGCCTATTGAGGATCATGGAAGAATGCCACCGTGAAACGGAAAAGAGGCAGTGAGGTAACAAGTGTCCAAAGTCTCTGAATCTATCTTGCGCTTCACACAATGAGAAACGTGTCCGCGAGCCGCGATGAACGATACAGATCTTGACGGTATAAAAGTAGTAGAATGTACGTTCGGTAAGTGCTTCATCAGAACATCACAACCACCCATTCCAACCTATCTATTCATTGCAGGTCTCTGAATACTTCATACTCAACTTCTCTATACATTTCCAACTTTGAATAATTCCAACTCATTTTCTTAATATCTCTTCAAAATGGTTAACTTCACCAAGATCTTTGCTACAGCACTTCTTGCTACTTTCGCCGTCGCAGCACCACAGCCAGATAGCAACATTGCTCATGGCCTTTCCAAGCGTGCAGTCAAAAGTGCCAAGGACGTAAAATGCCCCGTTAGTAAGTAACAATGCACTGCCCAGAATACTGCTACTTCCATGGAGCCAACTGACCTTCCCTGTTATAGCTGAGGTCGATACCCATGGCAAGTCCTGGTCGAAGGAGAAGATCGAGGCTGCCGTCGAGAACGCTGGCGACCCCGACGACAAGGTCGGCTCATTCCCTAAGGAATTCAGGTACACTGGCACAGGCAGCTGGCCATTCAAGAAGGCCACGCCTTGCGACAGTGTCAAGAACGCTGGTGGGAAGATCTACGAAACTCCCATCATGAATGGCGTATGGAAGGGCAAGGGTGACCCTGGCCCATTCAGGGTAAGTAATGGTTGCTCATAAGTGTGGTATTGCTTGCTGATAAGTTCAATATAGGTTCTCTTTGCCATTGACGGCAAGGATCAAATTGTTTGTGGTGTTACTGCTCACTCGGACAAGAATGATAAGAGCAAGATCGTTGCGTGCGAAGAATAAGTTACTACCGATCGCGGGGAGAGTAAGCTTCGACATGGCTCGTTTTAGAGAAGGAATAGAACGATCGAGCATGTGGTTGGAACATCGAATATAGACGGGTCGGCGCACATCATAGACTTGGTTTTTACAGCATTTAGCATTTAGCATTTAGCATTATTTTAGACACTGGTCATGTATCTGACATCAACAATACGAACCGGTTTACACTCGTTCAATATCCGCTTAAATTTGCTTCATGCAGTGTACCAAAACGCGAAAAGACAAGTTTTCATGTAGCGCAACATTCTCCGGTGGTGCCACGCATATGTCGGATTCTTTCGCAGGACCGGCCGGACATGGCCCCACGTTATACTCGGCTCCCCTGTGCTTACGAGATTTAGCCATCAAACACTGGAGGCGTGTGCCACGATTAAAGCACTCTTGGCACCAAGCTGACAGCGCGTTGTGGAGACTTCAGGCATTCGCTATGGATTGCCACCGCAGTGGCTGTACATAAGGATGGGTCCGTGAGTTTCTATTGCTGAAGTTGCAGCAGACGTCATCATGCGACAGTAGCCTAGGCTGTTACATTGACCGTTCAGTATAGATATAATTACCACAAAACACCCACAAAACATGGGAATCCAAAAGCGGTCAACATTAATCATGCTACCCCCAAAGACTAGCCGATGGCCCCGTAACTATTCGCATGCTGGAATATTTGTCCACAAGAACGAATTCACTATACCTGTATGTACGTTCAAAAACACTTACTTCTAAACTCCTAGTAATGGCTCGTATCATTTTCGACCTGTCCTATACCACACTACTAGAGCGATGTTGTCTTATGTGCTATCGCAGACTAATCTGCATCAGAACCAATGCCACGCCGTAGCCAATGCCAGATGTAGCCCAACGACATAACATATAGGTCCTCCTGTAAATCACCGCTAGTATCTAGAAAATACTTAATTGCACCTTGGTGTGGATTCGATCCATATACGGCACGACCTCCTGTGTGGTGTTCTCAAGAATTTTTAAGAATGGTGCCCGGCGTCAAAGCGTCAGAATCTAATAACTGAAAGAAAAACAAAAAGTCCGCTAGCTTTCATCACCCTCCACTAGTCGTAGGAACTTTCTATTTTATCACAGCCTGATATATTATGACTCAGTTTAGATCTCATGAGGCTAATGTGAAAACCATTTATGTTCTCGTCGATTATCCTGTCAAGCGTTGGGCCCTTCCGTCATATCGCGGGGTGAATCATAATTATCCAACAGGAACAATGTCACAAATCACACACCAACGCTCCCAACTCACAATCGGCAAGACTGACTTCACACAGTCTCCACCTCCGTCTGCCCAACGAGCTTCCTCTTCCCATCGATCAACCTGACCTCCCAGAGAATGACATTGGTTTTCTTAGTTTCCTTTCCTGTCGCCTTATCCTTAACTCGCCATTTACTGAGCACCGCAACTACACCGTCCGTATTCTCCCCATTCCCCTTGTTCTCCCACTGCAGAATCACTGAGAAAGTATCCTGGATCGACGTACTCGAACTGCGCGCGTACAGAAGACCTGGCTTGAATTGGTCATACGTATAGACGTTGTGGTTGATTCTGGGAATCCGCTTGATTAGATTGATGTGCTGTTGCCGAAGTTGATAGAAGAGTGAGCGTAGGGTGATGTACTTGACTACTAAGCTTGGGTCAACTTGCTCTTGAACGGCATTGAGAGCTATGGCGTCGTCCGGCTGGATGAAGAGAGTGTCGTTGAGTTGGGTTACCCACTCGCTGAGAGATTGCTGTTGAGTTGACATTTTGCGTTGCTGGACGTGAGAGGTGCGTGGTCAGTGGTGGTGAGAGATGGTTCGAGCTACAAGAATGACTGAATTGAAAGAAGATCTCATGGGGGATGTTTGAGGTTCTCATTCTGAAGACATAAAGCTTAATTTATACTCATCGACTACCTCTGCCGTTGCTAAGACTTCCCCCTGAAGCACTTTCATACAGATCCGCATCGATCCGACTGAGGTTCATCAGCGCATCGGGTTCAAGCCAGGATGTATTAAGTTCATTCTTAACTTGGTTTAGGCTCTCATTGTTACAATCAACCAAGACGTCTTTCGTGGATTTACTCTCGACCTTTCTGGCCAAACAACGTCTGCACGCTACTATGGTCTAGCTTTTGCTTAGGTTCGCCATCTGCTCTCGGCATGGCGGCAACGCAGTCACCCGTCCTTGTGCTATCACTGAAAGTCGCCCATTGCCGTTTGTCGTCCGCGGCGTTGACCACAAAGTCCGCAGGAGTGATGTGGTAAGGCTGCGGAGTTTGGCAACATAGCGTCGTGCTTTTAGCTTTCTCCGCTAGCGCAACGGGCCGTGGTCGACGGCGTGACGATACATGTCTATGCGGGCGAAGATACTGACCAATAATATGCCGAATTGATAGAGCAAAAACGGAGATCAAGGGAAGCCTTTTTCAACTACGATGGATCTAAGCTGTCACGGGCGAGGACGAATAGTTGATCATGGTAGGCGAAAATGAAAGATCAGGGCGGAATATCAAGGCTCATACCAATACGTCAACTGTCGTCACGGTATCCGCCCTCTCTTATCTTCTGTCTCGCACTCAAATGATGCGGTCGTGTTCGCAGGACGTTAGGTATATGCGCTCTGTTTGATGTGCGTTGATGTCATGTGACCTTACTTCAAGAGTACCAAATACATTGGATTAAAAATGAGTAAATATATCTAAACAAACATTCAAATAACCAGAATCCAGTACCAGCGGCCAGTAATTGATCGTGAGAATATATCGCATAGTTGAAAGGGAGACAATTTCCAGCACTTATCTGTCTTCGGCAGTTCGTTGCATGTCTGCAACCTCGTTGTAAGTCGGAGTCCTCTCGCTGACATGGACAAAGAAGTGCACGTTGTTAGGATTCTGGCGAACGCGGCCATTGGGGAAACTGTACACTGTAAGTAAATCATACAACCAAACGCGCGGGTGAGGTCTGTACTCGTTCTGAGCCTTCTGCTGCGCAGCGGTCTTCTTGACACCATGCCAGATGCGCAATTTCTCGAGCAGCATGTTACCATAGTAGTATCGTTCTGTGCCTGCACCCTCCATCTTTCCTCCTGACATTTTCAGGAACTTCCTCACGGAGGGGAGGCCAGGCCCGTCATTTGAGTAGTGGCCATGGAAGTTCTTGATTGGATGATGCTTCTGAGCAATGGCTTGCATTTCAGCGGCAAGTGATACCTGAGTCCACGTTTTATTAGACTCGGGGATCTTGGTTTTGAGACTGACGAGCTTATTCAACTTGATGCGGATTTGGGAAGCCTAAAATGTTTCAGTTTGACGTTACATTCTCTCTGTCCAGTGGTTAGGCGAGTTTACGGTTTCATGGCAAGGCACCTCCCCAAACTTTTCCTCGAGCTCAATATCGTGGTAATGGTCGGGAAGATGTGATCGGTCTGGGGACTTTGCCTTGGCTTTCTGTGCTGGCTTTGCGGCTGACTTCGCAGCTTTCTTCGCAGGTGGAGTCACATTCTCCTTGTCCGCACCTATCAGATCGACGGATTCTATTGGAGCGGGGTATGGAGCGCTACGCGCAGTCGCAGTTGCGCCACTGGTGGTGCGAACGGGAGGTATGGTGTTTTTTTTGGGATGGTCTTTGATGCTATACTTAACAATTGGGATACTTTTCAATCAGGAATCAAGTTTGAAGTGGGGGATTTCGCGAGATACGCGAAAGTTAAATACGGATCACGAAGGAAGGGGATTGTATGACCACACACAGACTAGAAGACGCGTGAGGGCAAGAGTGGGGTTGATGTGATGTTGTTGTTATCTTCGCGTTACCCACTACTGCACGCTATCTCCGCGCTAACACGTGTATTCACATACGCACGACCGGGGTATCGAGTATCTACACTCCAGTCTTCATCCACGATGGATAACCCTTGATCATCATGCCTGCTTCGCTTTCTCTGCAACCATCCATTCAACTGCTTGCTTCAATTCATTCACTGAATTTTGTACCTGGGACAGCATGGGGAAATAATCGATTGCGGCATGTGGCAATCCCTTCAGAATGGTTGTCCTGGTTGGCACTCCAATGTTTTGCAGCAGGCTCTCATAGATGAGACTGTCATCCCTTATTGGATCCATACTAGAAAGGTGCGATTAGAAGGATGTATCGTCTTGAAAAGGTCATGGACCTACCCAGAAATCTGGAAATATGTAGGAGGCTGCCTTTGATGGCCACTGGGCCAGTTCAAAGCATTCACCAAAGGTGAATTAGGGTCAGGCTTGTAATGAGCTGGATCTTTGGTCAGTTGCAGTTACGCCAAATTGCAATGGAGACTCACATAGGAACCATCTCATGCCTCTCTGATCTAGGACCATGGCGTCCTTGTTTTGCTCCCAGGATTTGCAGTGAGCCTTATATTCCTCTGGCATCATATCTGGATGCACCAGGTTAGCGACGGTTAGAATTACCCCCGTCAATGGTGGCGAAAGTCCGTCATCTACAGCTTGATGGGAGATGTAAGAAGCTATGCTTCCACCCGCCGAACAGCCCGACACGATGAATCCCTTCTCGAGATCTGCTTTGAGCGTAGATGCGTTCTCGGCGGCCTATACATTCTTTAGCCGGGGGCTAACGGGGAGAACCCAATTCGTCATACCCATTTCAAAGCATCATACCCATCGTGGTGAGCTGTTGGAAACGTCTTCTCAGGCGCCATCCTGTAATCCACGCTGACAACGACAGCACCAAGATCCCGGACGAGCATTGCAACATGGCTATCCCATTGCTCAGGACTGCCACAAACAAAGCCGCCACCGTGAAAGTACAGGATGAGCGGGCCGGGTTCCTGCGATTCGGGACGATAATGTACGCTGCGAATGGAATCTCCGTCACGAGTAGGGATCTTGATCTCTTCCCTGATGATTCCACTCATGTCTGGTAGTTTCCAGAGTCCTGCCTCGAATGCTTCCATGATCTCCGTCATGATGGTCTGGCGTAATGTTGGCACATCAGGGAAGTCAGCGAAAGACCTGTTCTTCATGGCTGGAGGCAAGTGTACAAGCATCTATATCGATCAGCTTGTGTTACTACATCTTGCAGATATACTTGCAGCCTCTAGCTCTGGGTCGATCGTGGCGTAGGAACTCCATGCTGAGGAGTCCATTGTGGAAAGTTAGAGGCGGTATGGCTGGATTATGTGAACCTCTCTGTATGCAAGGGGAGCGATAAAGAAGGAGCTTCCCTGGAAAGACGTGGGAAGCATGACTTTATAGTTCTTGAAAGTGGGGACTGACATTTACCGATACTGCGGGGTACTAGTAAAGGTTCAAAAGGATTCGAATTGGTAGGCGACCATTGGTTTCTTCTGTTTGACTCCGGAATCTTAGCTCAGAATTGAATATGGATGATCGATATTATTCTCCTAGCGTTTATCTTTGGTTAGCGCTAAATGTATACAATGGCATGGTACAACCACCTGTCAGACTCGTCTGAGTGAGCACTTCCTTGGCTCAGGTTAGCGCATTGAACAAAGGTACATTTTATCCTAGCAAAAAGCCATCCGAGGAAAAATAATTTCTCAAATGCGGAATAAGCTTTCGAAGTAGGTAGGTGACAGGATTCATTGAATTTAGTGACTCGTTGACATGCGAAAGAGGCCGGGTAGGAAAAGATGCATAGGACTAGCTGCTTTACAACAAAATATTGCTTCTGGTTATTTCTTTCCATATGGCAGATATGTGATCTTATTCTGAACCCTGTTCAGTGTTCATTGTGAACATCAAAACCTGGATTTTCGCAATTGCATTTATGATAGAGTGGCCGAACCATGTGTCTGCAAGAGAACAAAGTGATGAGGGCTCTACCGCTAGATATTTCAAGGATGGGCCTAGTTCACTCAATATAGCGATCGGTTACAATGTTGTGACCTCCAGATTCTTCACCGAATATGTCGTATCTAGCAAGGATGTTAGCATTCATCGGGATCGACGTATGGGTCACAAATGTCTCACTGGTAGTTGGCCCTGGACTGCCACTACTTCCCTCCATTTGAAGATTTATGACAAGGTAGAACGGTTTCCCGGTATAATCCTTTCCCACGTGCGTTGCCTGCAACTGGCCGTCCATCCAGAATTTGACTTCCGTATCCTTTCCATTCTTGTCCCGCAATTCGCATCGAATGTCGTGAAACTGACCAGGATTGCTGTACGTCACGTCCTTCCAGCTAAGGACAGAACTCGTATTGAATGTGTTGAAACTGATCTTTCCGGAGCCCTTCCATTCCGCCATGTCAATCTCTGGCGGCCATCCGTTGACGGCAGTGAGCCAAAATGCCGGCCACGTTCCCTTAGTCGTCGTAGCCTGGAAGCTCCCGCTGAAAGAGAGGCCGCCGCCTTTTGGAACTGTAAAGTGCTGCTTTGCGCCAACTGCGCCAGAGAGGTAGTTGATGGGTATGTTCTTGCCGCCATGCTGCGCAGGCGGCTGTCCTTTCACGGGCTGTGCAGTTATCGTCAATGTGCCCGGGGTAGAAATTTTGACGTGGTCTTTGTCCATACGAGCGCCTCCATTGTGAGTGTTTCCACCCCAAGGGTAGTTGTATGTGAAGTATTGCTCTAGGTTGGCAGTGTTGTCGAATACTGATTTCGGAATGAGCGTTTCGGCCCGCTTTGGGAGCGCCGAAACACTAGCAAGAGGGAGCAGCAACGCTGTAAATATGTTCATATACATTGCAAATACCCGAGAGAGATGTAACTGTTAAAGCAGAGTTGTAATTCTGACTGGCCTGCGTAGAAAGTAACTCTTCATCGCTGCGAGAGATCCCGTCACTTATAACTGCCGCCCCTCAAGCTCATCATAGGTACTAGTTGGGGTATGCCCAATGTACTTTGTAAATAGAGGGCATTTCATTTTTCCTGAAGGATTGGTTGGTGGAATGGTAAAGCAAATCAAGCTTCCCCTCGTCCATGTCGGTACCGGATATATAACATCTGGGGAACCCTGCCACAATCCTGGTCATCCGGCAATAAAATTGTATGTCAATCACTTGAATACACTAATTACGAAACGAGAAGGGCACTGATCCTTGTATGGAAAGTGACCAAGCTGGAAGCTGGCCATAAAGGTCGCGGAAATACCACCAAACATATCTAGAGGTTGCGATGTAGAATTGCTGTTCCATCCAAATGGGTCTGCGCTATTGTTGCTAAGATGCAAATACTTCAATAGTCCACTTGTTGTTTTGGACATCCCAGCTTTATATCATCAATTATAGTGCACACTTTAGCACGAGCGAGGTACCGCTATAGGATGTGCGTACCTCTTCGTCCGATCCGATCCAATCTTCGTACAACGCTTACCAATGCACTTCTTATTAGGTCTCTGTGAGTTTTGAAATTGAAACGATACTACCATGAGGTAGGGCGTGGGGTACCAGTTGTGCGATACTTCCAAACCACGAACATGCCCATCTACATTTCCTGCAGTTCTATCCAATAACTATCTATAAAATATATGTGTTTGATAGTCATGCTAAATAATTCTACCAAATACAGAAATCGTGTTCATCCCCTCCAGAAAACCCGCACCGGTAATGTTATTTTTGTGCTTGTGTCGTCAGAGGCGCCGATAATTGGCATTTCAAAAGTGAGGCCAACAAGATATCCCCACCCTCATCCCCAACTGCATTCGCGCGAATACAAGGCCGATTGGCCTTGCAAGTGGGGAATTCAACAGAGCTAGTCCTTCGAAAGCCTGGATTATGGGGCGGGAAGCCTGACGCTTGCATCGATCGAGCTTAGACAGTGCCTATTTCGTGACGTGCGATTTGAAGCTTGAACAATTCGAGCAATAATGAAGAACCATCGTGCGAGTAAGCTGACGCAGCTGAAAGAACCATCGTATCTGAAATCAAGTTTGTACAATGTAGCCAGCGGATTTAAAAAGTGGCGATTATCGCAACATCAACAGCACTGATTCGAACCAATTTCAACCTCATAGTGAATAGAGAAGTCTTAGCAATGTCTCCATTACAACAGATTAACGACATCACTGCGAAGGGTCCAGCTGGCCTGGAAGAAGCAGACCGAGCAGCGTTGTTGCAAGCCGCACAAAAGCTTGTTGAAACATTGGAAAACCCATTTGAAAAGATCATCCGCTTGACATTTGTAGGTCATCGCGACTGTAGCAGTAATTACCCAAAAAGATTGACTCCTGATAGGGCATATACGATCCTATCTCTCTCCGCCTCGCTATAGACATGAATCTCGCAGACATAGCGTTGGCCCACCGTGCGCCGATCAGTCTTGAGGAATTGGCAGAGAAGAGCAAAACGGACCTTGCATTGCTCCGTAAGTACCTATCTAGGTCAACCAACGAATCGATTTATTGATAATCATTATACCTATATTTATGCTTACGTGACTTTTGTAGAGCGAGTCCTCCGAATGTTGATACCTCTGGGTGTTTTCGTAGAATCGGAGCCGTCCAAGTATGCAGTTACGCCATTCACGCCGGTGCTTGCCACCGGATCTCCTGCAAGGGAAGCAATAATTCACTTCACGCATGTATCCCATTCGACAGTTTTTATGCCAGAATACTTCGAAGCCAACGGATATAAGAATCCGAATGACTCTGGGGATACACCGTTCAGTTTTGGCGAAAGATGCCCAGGAGAAACATACTTCGACTTTCTAGCGAAGCCAGAGAATGCGAGGCTTTCTCATGCCTTCAATCAGACCATGACAATGCAGAGAGGCGACCCGAATGCACCGTTCCCTGATGGGTATCCTGCTCAAGATCGACTGAAGATTGACGACCCAGAACGAGTATTGTTTGTGGATGTGGGCGGCGGCATCGGCCACCAAGTGCAAAAGTTCCACGAAAAGTATCCTTCATTGTCTGGAAAGCTCGCTCTAGAGGATCTTCCTCAAGTTCTCGAAAAGGCCAACGATCTTCCATCTGATTTTATCAAAGTCGGTCATGATTTCTTCACCCCACAGCCCGATGCCGTCAAGAACGCCAAAGCCTTCTATTTCCGCACAGTATTACATGACTGGCCAGAGAAGCAATCCGTCACGATCCTAAAGCATATAGCGGATGTCATGGCTGATGATTCGGTGATCCTGATTCACGAGATTGTTCTCCCAGAATCAGGTGTTACACATCTAGAAGCCAAGATAGATTTGCACATGTTGAACTTGGGCGCTCTAGAGAGGACAGAAAAGCAATGGAGGCAGTTGGCGGCCCTTGTTGGTCTGGATGTCAATGGAATCTGGATGACAAATGAGGATTTGGGCCGAAGGGGAATCATTGAATTAGGCAAGAAGAAATGAGGCTGGGAGAGTTGACGCTACGTTCTTGACGATTGGAAGGATAAAGCCATGTCGTAATCACAGATGATTTATATGACCCCATTTTTCCCATGAACTTAGATTGATTGTATGATATTATTGCGCAACTTCGTAAAGATAAAAGCAGATACAGGCTGCAAGGTTACATGCCTAATTCAGAATACCAAAGACGCCATTGAACCTAAAATCCGCAAATCAAAAGGGTATCCGGATTATTTGTGTTTTTCTGGCGGAAATTATGAATATATACAAAGAGATTGCAGTGAATCTTTCTTTTTCGAGGGGAGGCATTATGCGAGTATCAATTGTGCCCAGAGAGCTCGTACAGCTCAGGTGCGCCATTATCACCCGATTTCATTTTAAGATTGCCGTTGAGGATATGCAGAAGCTCTTGATTTCCCAAGGATACTGCCATCTCGTAAGGAGTTTTACCCTCGAGATTCTTGAGGTGAGGGTCGGCGCCATGCTCGTATAGAAAAGAAGCGATAGTAGCACGGAGGTTTAAATCCCATGTGTAATGACCAGTCCAGAAAGCGACGGCCTGATGCAGTACTGTTTTGCCTGACTCTTCGATCGGCTGGTTGGTATTCCATCCATGTCTCGATAGGATTTCCATAATCGCAACGATTCTGTTCGGCGTGAACTCTCTCTCACTCTCCGACATTGTTTTGGCCAGCCATGATCGACTCATCAAATGTCCAGCCAGAGTTGACCATGAGTCCGGCTCACATGGTCGAGCGCCATTCGCGATTAGAAACTCAACCATATCCACTTGACGGGCACCAATGGCGAATGTCAATGGAGTGAGTCTTGTCGTATAACCGTACGGTATCTCATTGATGTTGAAGCCAGAGATGAGAAGGCGCCGTGCCATATCGGTTTCGCCAAAGAGTGCAGCGAAGTGCAAGGCCGTGACGCGTTCGGGCCGCGTGCGCTTCCGAAGTTTAGAACGCCAGAAGTCTTTCTTTTTGGTAAGAAGAGACACTAGCTTGAGGTGATCCCCAGTGCAAACGGCTTCTTCGATCTGGTCCTTGGGTTGGCATCCAACCTTTTCGAGGATCTCTTTACGCGATAGCTTTTGTTCGATCTTTACTTCCGACGCCTGTGGAGGATCACGTAGCCGTAGCGATGCCGTATCATTGACGATGAGGTCGACAGAGTATCTGTCACTCTTTTGGTCTTGATTCCAACTCATGATTCTGCCTGGTTCGTATGATGACGGTGGCGGCGACATGGTGCTGTGTTGCGTATCCTCCTCACCTGCCACGCTTGATTGACTGCGAACGTGCATCTGCCGAAAGCTGGGTGCCGGAGAACCAAGAGGTTGGGCTTTTTGGGGTTCGTTATCAAGAGTACCGATTGTCGATTGGGTAAACATTTTTGGACTGGAGTTGGTCCCGTCGGTTGTGTCCGACATTGCTCGCGTGAGCAGAGAAGCAAAGTTAAGATGTTCCACTCCAGTGCCCAACGATTTCTCAACACTATACAGTATGGAATCTCTACGCGCCTCTGGTATCATAGCAAGGCATGTTTTGGCACGCGCTCGGTTGCCTAGAAGGACATATATGTGTGCCATTAGCGCAGTAGAAGCCAAAGCAGCATCGCTCTGCTTCCCAAGAAGACGTCGTCGGGCTTGCAGGGCCTTCTCACACTCAAGACGTGCTCGATCGATCTGTTGCGTGCGAACGTAGAGCTGCGAGAGAAGATGTGTAACTTCATGGATGCTCTCTAGCTGTTTGTCAGATGTTGCGGGGGTTTCTACAACATTTCTCAGAGCTGTCTCTGCTTCTTGTGGACTGTGAGTGTGAAAAGCGCAGACCGCAAGCTTAAACCGAAGATCGAACACATCGCAGAATGCACGTCGTTTTTCGGGAAGATACTGAAGCACTTGCAATGCTTCCCGAAGTAAAGAGTCCGCCTCTTCCCATTGTCCTGATTGAAAGGCATCCCCGCCGGTTTGTAGTGCAGCAGTGGCCATGTCTAGGTCGAGATCATCGAAATCTTCATTTTCTCCGATAGTCGGCTCTGAAACTTGCGGCGGCTTCGAGTCGTGAGCTGCGGATGTAACGACGATCTGTGGATTGGATGACGTGGAAGGGTCCGACAAGCCCAAGTGTGCGTGTCGCGAAGGGTGTGTAATTGTTGAAATATCTGTTGTCTGGTCATGATCGCTCGAAGCTACAGTCGTATTGCTATTCTGATCACGCGCTTCTCCCACGTTTTGCTCGATGAGTGTCTTGGCGATCTGCAAAAGACTGGTCTCCACGAACGACAGTTGCGCCTGGGAATCGAGATTTGTCAAATTCTCCAACTTCGTTACCATATCCTGCAACGTATGTGGATCCTTCATTAGGTGAGGTCCCGATCGGAATGGGCCTAAGTGTGGAAACTTTCTATGAAATGGTTAAGCCAGGACGCAAGATCAAACTCAATTGAACGTACATATGAAGCAATCGCAATGTGATATTCAAACAAATCTTGTTTTTACTCAATGCAAGTTTCAATCTCAACGTCTCGTTCCGAATTTGCATACGTTTCTGGACCAAAGATAGGCTGCGGGAGAGGACACTAGATTTCTGAGGACGTTGTTGAATGATGACTTCTAGTTCACGAAGACTTCGCCTTGCCAGTTCAGTTTCGTGATCCAGGCAGGCCCACAATGTACCATCATCTTGCTCCACCAAAGCAGGCCTTGATTGGCTCTTGTGTGCGATTTCTTGAACATCGGTGTAGATCAGGTCACATTCGACTGCGAGTAGGCTGACCTCTTCCGCTAGATCTTTAGGAGCAATGTTGAAGTCGAATGGCTGGTTCGTCCGGACTTGTTGTAATAGTAACTCTACTAATTCACAAGCCAAATCCAACAGCGACCGCACGGCTGAAGCGCTGCTTGCGACGGAGGCGGGGCTAACCATGCTTGCGAATTATAGCTGGGTGCGACTTCAATCGGTGCGACAGGGTTGTATCACCCGCAGGATGCGAGAAAGACAAACTTAGTGTCGGTGAGTGGTAGAATGAGAGACTTCAAGCTGAAGTCAAGCAGGAACGAGGGAAGGGGACTTCGTGTTAGAGCGTGGGAAAAGACATTGTGTGACATGGCGCAACTGGATGTACAAAATCAATATCAGAGTCGGGGTAAGCACGCATGCATTGCTTGAGGGACGAGTGAAGGATTCACACATAAGTCCATCTAATTGGTGCCAAGAGCAGAGGTGTAGCCTACATGGCGCTCGCATGTTTACCTCAATGGCCCGGTTGGCGCCACAGGCTTATGCTTGTGCCACCATCGGGACGGAAACGTCCAAGCATAGATATCGTTGACTGTCGATCTGAACGGGGGTTTTTCAGTCTGATAAATAGGTGATCACCGCTTTGATTAGCAGTCAGACGGGGAGGAGTGGTTAAGATTGCTCTGGCTATCGACTGCTGCAGAATTGGATAAAAAACAATACTCTCGAAAGAATTCTATTCGTGATCAATGAGAAGGCAACGCCATCGACTGATAAGTGCCAAGGTAAATAACAGCCTTCCTCCCACGTACAAAATGCGGCGTGCCCTTGGTGGAGGCGGAGGAGCCTGGTGAGAAGCGCTCGTGCTTTTGGCCCCTAAATTATACCTGTTGCCCAACAGCATACTTGATGCGCATCAATCAGCCTTCCTTGCTCTCAGAATCGCTCGCTGATCGTACTTCACCTACAGTGTCGCCCGTATTGAGTTTCATTCTGCTCATTCTTCAAGGACGAATCCTTACCTGGGCTTTGGTAGAACATTTTTCTCTTGTTCATAATGTCAGATATTCGGAAACGTTCTTCAGATCCAGATCAACAATGGCAAGCCGGATCACTGGAGTTCCGCGAGGCTGAACGTCCACCTGGTTGGAAATACAAGAGTTGGAAGATTGGTCCAGTCAAAATACCATGGTATGCTTCACCTGAATCGCAGCTCATATTGGTATCTTTCGTATGCTTTCTATGTCCAGGTAAGAAAACGCTTGACTCTTTGATGCAACAGTGGAATTAACTGTGTATAGGAATGTTCAACGCCGTGAATGGCCTCGGAGGTGGTGGCCAAGTTGAAGCCAATGCGTATGCCAGCAATGCTGCTAACTGCGCACTTTATGCCACATTTGCCGTCGTTGGTTTTTTCGCAGGAACAATTACAAATGCGCTTGGCATCAAGACAGCTCTGTCCTTCGGTGGCATCGGCTATTGTGTTTACATTGGAGCATATCTTTGTTGGAATCATACGGAGAACTTTGGTTACATCGTCTTTTCGGGAGTTCTCCTAGGCTGCTGTGCGGGCGTACTTTGGTCGGCACAAGGCGCAATCATGATGTCGTACCCGCCCGAACATCTCAAAGGGCGATACATATCCTGGTTCTGGGTAATATTCAATCTAGGCGCCGTTATTGGCAGCGTGGTAAGCTCCAGTCGCACCAGAAATACTTGCGTATTGCTAACATTGATCCAAACAGGTTGAACTTGGCCTCAATATCGATAAGGAAAACAACGAAAGAGTTAGCGATGCAACCTACATAGCATTTCTTATCCTGACCTTTCTCGGGGCAGTCTTATCATGGACGTTAGTTGATGCAAAGCACGTCATTCGTCGCGACGGATCCAAAGTCATCCTCATGAAGCATCCCACGTGGAAGACAGAGATTATCGGCCTTTGGGAAACACTCTGGAGCGATCCGTATATCGTCTTGCTCTTTCCAATGTTTTTCGCTTCTAACTGGTTTTACACGTACCAGTTCCAGGACGTCAATCTTGCAAGGTTCAACACTCGCACGCGTGCTTTGAACAGCACGCTGTACTGGTTGGCACAGATGTTTGGCGCTCTTATTTTCGGCTTTGCACTCGACTTTCCTAACGTCAGACGAACAACCAGAGCGAAAATCTCCTGGGTTGTGATGTTCGTCCTTACCTTTGCCGTTTGGGGTGGTGGGTACGTCTTTCAACGCCAGTACAAACGCGAGCCCGATCACAACAAAGACGGCGACAAATACGACTGGACTTCGAGTGGATACATTGGCCCAATGTTCCTGTACATAATGTATGGATTCTATGATGCAGCATGGCAGACTTGCGTATACTGGTAAGCACTAAGACTTTAACATTTCAATCTCGTTTTTCATGAAGGCATTACTTACAAGTTCAGGTTTATGGGAGCCATCACCAACAACAGTCGAAAGCTCGCCAACTTTGCAGGGTTCTATAAGGGTATTCAATCAGCAGGTGCCGCTATAATCTGGCGCTTGGATGGAAAGGAGATACCATACATGAATCTTTTCGCTTCCTGCTGGATTCTCCTTGCTGGCAGCTTGGTCGTCGCTCTGCCAGTCATGATCCTGAAGATTAAGGACACTGTACCTGTCGAAGAAGACCTGCAATTCACCGATGAAACGATTGAAGATGTCATTGGGTTTAAGACAAGCTATGAGTATCCCGATTCGGCTGCACAAGCAAGGGCCTAAACGATGGACCACAGAGTTTGCGCAAGGGTATCAGGAGCAATGGACTAATGTGTGAATATAATGGAAACGAACATGATATCGGGGGAAAATTGGCGTGTGAATAAAAGAGGGTTTATGGGTATATTCGTTGTTGCGGATCTAATGGTGTGGGATTTCCGACGATGTGTGAGATTGGGGTGAGGCTGTGCTGAAAAGAACTGAGCGAATGAATGTAGTCCCTAATGATTATGACAAATACCTGCACAGCCGAATCCGCTACGAGTATCTAACCTTGATCAATGGAATGAGAATCAGGTCGTGAGGCTTAATGGCGCGTTAATGTCATGAAAAGCATAAGGAAAACAAAGATGAGGGCGGTGAATGGTACGTCACGTCTTACTTTGTGGACCCGCGCGGATGATGGGGAAATGACTGTTAGCGCAATCAAAAGCCCTAAGCTGGATTGGGAAAGTGACTCGTAGGCTAACGCTTTTCGTTCAACATAATGGCCCAACGACGTGATAATTCATTGACACTGGGGTTCAGATGCCGAGTTGCCTTGGGAGCTGATGGAAACTATCTCTTGGAAATAACTGATCAAACTGGCCGGAATTGACCGTCCTCAATTGACAATCTTGCACACTGACCGTGCAAGAATCCTACAACTGGCAGATAAAGATGCAATTGACACTAGACTGATGGAGGTAAGAAAGGGACTTAAATTATATGGAGCTGAAATGATGGGAGATTATAACAAATATATCTAAATTTTGAATTGTTTGAGATACTTCTACTTCAAGATTGATAATTTCCTTTCATGTACAAGTGTACCCTAGCTTGCTCTCAATGGTTAGTAGAAATAGCGAAGACCATTATCAGTGCCAGCCTCGGTCACTCGGTAGACTTTATTCAGCTTACTGCCTTTATCATCGTGCTAGAGTAGAATCTCTGAATCACGAGGTAGGTATTGTAACCGGTGGAGGGTCCGCTTTCGATGCACTGCCGCCGAACTATGCGCACGGCCTTCCATTTTACAGCTTCAATCTCACCATCAATTCTACAGTTGGATTTGAATTCCAAATAGTGGAAATACTGCGAGATTTGGTCTGAGGAGTATGTTCGTGACGTTTGTATGCTGTGATATAAAAGAGGCTTGACTCGCCTTCAAGGAATTCTACAATTGCATCTCAGATCAACTCCTCCCGAACTACAACTCACTCCTACTACTTGCTTCTCCTTTTTCAGTATCATTTCTTGATATAATCATCCGTTCCATCCAACGCCATGATTTCTTCCACCATGAAGGCACTCGCTGCTGCCCTTGTTGTTGGCACTGTACAAGCACTTCCTCAATCCGGCGCGCCAACACCTGTACCATCAGCTTCTCCTGTTCCTATGACCCCTCTACCAAACAACGATGATCTACTCGCAAAGTTGAAGACCGATTCAAGTGCCATCAAGCGCTATCAGCGACTCCTCACCAACAATGGCGAGGAACTGCTCGGTCAGGAAGACCTCGCCAAAGCCACTGTTCTCGATTTCCAAGCAACGAGGATTCCAGTGGTTGGATCGCAAGGGGGATCGAACTCACCTGTAAGTAACAATAAGACCTTAAATGTCGAGACCAATGATTCACTGAAATATCTCTAGGCTTTCCCCGGGAACCTCCCCATTCTTCTCGACTCAGGCCTAAACATCAACTTCGCAACTCTCGGTCCTTGCGGACTCTTCCTTCCGCACGTCCACCCTCGCGCCAACGAGTTCTTCGTCGTCGTAGAAGGCGAAGTCGACTTCGGCTACATGTTGGAAATCGGTCTTCTCAACCCACCCGCACCCAACCCCAACCCAGAAATCACCGGCAAACTCACCAAGCATAAGGGCACTGTGTTTCCTCAAGGCAGCGTGCATTGGCAGATCAATGACTCCGAGGATTGCACTTCCACGGCTGTTTATACGTTCTTGAGCTCTGATGACCCGGGATCTACTGCTATCTTGCAGTCCCCTGCTGGAGGCAATGGAACTATGAGGAAGAGACTCGTGGATATGGAGGAGGTGGACGATGTTAGGCCTTTGTTGCCTCCTCAGTTGGCTGATACTGTCACCAAGTGCCTCGCGCGCTGCAAGAAGAACTGAAAGCACTTGTGCTAAGGTGGTGGGGAGGCGGTAGTTTAAGACTGTTTAGATGGAGATGATGGTAGTATTTTGCTAGGGCTGTTTGGCTTTGGCTTTCGCTCGTTCGTATATTTAATAGATTTGGATTTTAGGTTGTATATAGAAAAAAGATTAAGAATTCCGCGCGGAAAAGAACAGATCTTTGTGGTGAAATTATTCATGACTTCATATTGATACTCGCTACGATCATGGTCTACCCATGTCCTCTCAGACTCTGTATGACCGTGCGAATAAGATCTCGCTTCCTAAATTTTAGTACTTGTACCTTAGCTCCTTGTTCTCTCTGTCTGTGACATCGCTGAATTCAATATCTGTGCGGTGCTCCAAGCCTTCATTATCGCGACGCCGATTCTCCCAACGATAGTAGTACAAGAGGATCCCAATGGCGACGACCACCGATGAGTCAACGGCGACGATGGTGATCTTAGCAGGAACGAAATCGGGAGCATCCTCGTCGCGGAAGGTAAGTGGCCCCAAAATATTGCCTAGACAAAAGGACATAAGGAGAATTGCGTTCATAGTAACTTTTTTGGTGTGTCCCTGGATTGAATTAGTACGACGGACAACAACATATTGATGGCAAGCGAAACTTACAGCAAAGTTGCATGCAGCATAGGAGTACGACAGTGGAAGAAAAGCGCCAGTGACATGGGTGAGGTAATTGCCCACAAGCCTGCCAGCCTTATCATTGGTGGGCAGAAATGCGATTAGTCCGCCGCCGAGAATACCACCCAACGCGGTCCATACTATCTGCATGACACCACGGCAATTGTATCGAGCCGCAATCTGTGTCCCGAGGATGACGCTTACGACAGCGATGAAGCCTCCCGGGATCTGGATGAGTGCCGTCTCCTTATTGGTAAAGCCAAAACTACGGATCAAGACGCTCTGAAAAGATCCGACCGCGCCGTTGGGAATGCTGGCACCGGTGGTGATGTACGCGAGAAGCCAAACTTGTGGGTCCTTGAGAGCCTCGAAGAATTGGTAAGGCTTGAAATGCTTATTCTCGATGCCAGTATTGTTCTCACGCAGACGTTCGACCGCCATGATCTTTTCTGCATGCGAGAGCCTTGAAGACATGGGATTGTCTGGAAGGAGTAGGAGCACGACGACACCGCATGATACAGTGATAATACCCACGACAAGGAACATGATCTGCCAGTTATTGAACCTTGTGCCGGTGTAGTGCTGGAAGCCGTAAGATATCAGGGACCCTGCCATGACGGCTGTTCCGACACCAATGTACCAGAAGCCAATACGTTTTGGTGACTCGTGACGTTTGTACCACATAGAAGTAACCAGGATAAGGGAAGGTGAGACAGCAGATTCGAACATGCCTAATAAAAACCTACATGCGGCAAGGGAGGCATAGGAGTTACATGCTGCAGTACATGCCACGACTGTGCCCCAGAGACACACCATGGTACCGAGATATTTAGCGAGTGGGAACCGTTGCATCATGTATGCATGTGGCATTTCGAAGATCATGAAGGCCAAGTAGAAGAGCCAGGACAGGGTCCCATACTGTTCGGTTGAGATGTTTGCATCCTCGAAGATACCCATGACTGCCGCATAGTTCACTGGAGGGTATCAGTGTCTAGATGATGAAAATGGGCCAAAGTTGCGCTTACATAGGGATTTGTCGAGGTACTGGAGGAAATAGCATGCGAACATAATGGGTACGATCATCCAATCAATCCGCTTCACCAAGGCCTTTTCGTCCACCAAACCAAGCTCTTCTCCGGTTTCATTGTGTCGAAGAAATTCTAGAGCTTTGTCTGCATCCTTGAATTGGGCTTTCTCACCCTTTTCTTCAGCCACATGATGATCGGGATGGATGCTGTGTTGTCCCATGATGCTCGAATTGTCAAATTTGAACGGTCTGATTAGGAAACATATCCTAAATCAGTATCAAGCTACATTATATACACATGCCACTTCAAAGCTGCAAGCGAATGCAGTTGGTAATGAGAAATGCTCCAGTCGACCCATTTCGCCCCGAACAGGAAGGCCAAAGGCCAACGGTTATCTGCACGCGCTATCAGATGCTCCTCTCAGTGCTTGGCTAGGATGATCACCTCAAAAAATGGCATCGTACATTACGTCCATCATGAATACGTTTAGACGGTGGGGAAATGCCGAGCGGGGAAACATGATGCTTATCACTCCCAAGCAAGGGGAAGCTTCTGTCGGCGGAGATAAGGCTTGCCGCCTAGATGCCGGACGCTGACATCCGATCTATATTTTGTCTTTGCGCGTGTATGCGATGCGATAATACTTCGTTGAAGTAGCAAAAAAGTCCTCTGGCAGATATTCCACACGAGTGCTTGGATTCCGCACGCGATTAGGTCACATGGCAAGGCGTCATCGGCGCGGGCCGTTCGCAGCGCACGCGCCATAGCATGAAACCGCGCTGAACCGCATCGTTATCAACCATCACCAAACAACCTACTTCCATCTCCTGTTCATCAACCAGTATAAACAGCATGGGAGTTCCATCTATTTTGGCACTCTGTGCCACAGTGGCCAGCGCAACAGCTATCCAGATACCAATCCTTGCGTCCGATAACCAAGCGCCCATCCAAGCCGAGACCGGACATCCTCATGGGTCGAAGCCACTCGTCAATTCGACGGAGATCCAGGATCTTATTAGTGGCGATAGGCTTCAGAGACGCGCGAAGCAGTTGTTCGAAATCGCAAAGCTAGGTGAAGCCGAGTATAACCATCCAACGAGGGTTATCGGCAGTGCTGGTAAGCATGACACACGTGACTCATACCATGTTGTTATTGACCATCAATCCAGGCCATGCTGGAACGCTCGACTACATCTACGAGACAATACTACAATTGGGAGACTACTATGATATCTCCAATCAGTCGTTCCCAGCTGTATCCGGTAATGTGTTCGAATCGCGCCTTGTCCTCGGTCAGGATGTCCCCAAATCTGCTGCTCCAATGGGCTTGACACCGCCTACAAAGGACAAGCAGCCCGTCCACGGCGACCTTGTCCTCGTTAAGAACGAAGGCTGCCAAACTACTGATTTCCCTGAAACGGTAGCTGGAAACATTGCTTTCATCAAGCGTGGAGTTTGCCCCTTCGGAACCAAATCCGAAAATGCCGGACGTGCTGGTGCTGTCGCCGCTGTTGTCTACAACTACGAGAAAGACGGCGTTCAAGGTACTTTGGGGACTCCTTCCTCTTTCCATGTCGCCACGTTCGGTCTATCTGGCGAAGAAGCCGACCCTATCATCAAGAAGCTCGAGAAGGGTAAATCTGTTGATGGCATTGCGTACATTGACGCAGAGGTCAAACAAATCCTTACTGTCAACATTGTTGCCCAGACCACCGAGGGTGACCCTAACAACGTTGTCATGCTTGGTGCGCATAGTGACAGCGTTGCTGAGGGGCCTGGAATCAACGATGATGGTTCGGGAACCATTTCGCTCCTCGAAGTCGCTACCCAGCTCACCAAATTCAACGTCAGCAATGCCGTAAGATTCGCATGGTGGGCCGGTGAAGAGGAAGGTCTTCTTGGATCAGACTACTACGTCGCCCAGCTCCCTGAGGAGGAGAACCAAAAGATCCGACTCTTCATGGATTACGACATGATGGCATCTCCTAATTTCGCATACCAGATCTATAACGCCACTAATGCTGCGAATCCCAACGGTTCCGAGGAATTGCGTGATCTGTACATCGATTGGTACGAGGAGCAAGGCTTGAACTATACGTTCATTCCTTTCGATGGTCGCAGCGACTACGATGGATTCATCAGGAACGGCATTCCAGGAGGAGGCATTGCTACAGGTGCCGAGGGCATTAAGACCAAGAAGGAACAAGAGCAGTTTGGCGGAAAAGCGGGCGACTGGTATGACAACTGCTACCACCAGCTCTGTGATGACTTGGGCAATGTCAATGAAACTGCCTGGATAGTCAACACAAAGGTAAGCTACAGAATGGTTTATGAGCATGAATTGAACTGACACCGTACAGCTCATTGCGCATTCAATCGCGACATATGCCCGTTCTTTCAAGGGTTTCCCCGAACGTACTCTCTCTGTCTCCTCTAACGCATACTCCGAGAATGTGAAGTATCATGGCTCCCGCCTGTTCATTTAGAGCGCATAGCTGGATTGAACATACCTGGTATTGTCTTGCATAACGTCTCGGAGCTTATTTCCCATATCTCACTTGCATAGATTTGTATTTTATAGCAGCTATTTAGGATTTGAGCATCGCACTAATATATCAGATCTCATTCGATGTTCTTCAAGTGTCTAGGGGTTTATTTGCGTGAACTACCTTGCGTGACAATGATTATTCAGGTCAGGATAGGTGAATCATTCCCAGTGAGGTAATCCTTCCTTCGTGTCATAACATACGACTCGACTCAACACGCCGCAAAATCATTTCCTTCCCCCACAAAGCCCCGGTCCATGCAATGGTGCAGCGCTGAACGTCTTGGCCGCGGGGTAATGAACCCTCTAACGCCCCACCAGAGCTCCCCAATTCGCGTTCCGTCATAGCTCATCGGAAGCTAAGCGCAACACTGGGGAAATGGAGTCAGCTTTTGTACACAAGTTGGGGAATCACGATTAGCTGCCATGAACCAATCTGCGAACATCTTCGAGCTGTACCTAGGGTAACCACGGCTCGCGGAGTCAGCTTCCGGTGGTTATGAATATAACCCCCTCCAATGGCCCCTTTGCACAGTAAATTCTTCAGTCTACGTCTTCTCCTCATCGCATCTTTGAGCTCTTTGCCCAGATTTTGATCTTGCTTTGGGGACAACCACACTTAATTTGATTCCGTCCAGCATGTCTGCCCACCACAGATTGACACTCAAACAACCATCAGGTCGAGAGCTTCTCGGTGGCGACCTGCTCGCTCAATGCCTTAAAGCCCTCGGCGTCGAGGTGGCATTCGGCCTCCATGGCGGTCATCTGGATGCCTTCTTGATGGGTTGCGCAGAGAACGACATAGAATTAATAGATACCAGACATGAGACCGTTGCTGTACAGGCTGCGGAGGGATATGCAAAGGTTAAGGGGAAGACGGGAGTTTGCTTTGTTACGGCCAACAGTGGGTGAGTGGAATGCCTTGCTCTTGAACGCATATCCTTGCTGCAAACAATGCCGAGCTAGAATCTTGATTATCCTCGCCTAAGACACCAATTTACAGCAATGGAATCTACTCAATGAATATAGCGCTGACATGTTTTCCAATTTAGATTTTGCAACGGCCTCCCAGGTCTTGCGACAGCTCTCGCCGACCGCTCACCAATCTTCTGCGTCACATCTTCCGCGCCTCTTCGCGATGCCGCCACCAACGCCCTCCAAGATTTCCACGACCAAGTCGTCCTCGCAAGACCCGTGACCAAATTCGCTCATCGAATCACAAACGTGGGCGAGATCCCACGTCTTGTCAGTCTTGCTTGGAGAACCGCAAACACTGGAGCGCCTGGCCCCGTGCTGATCGATTTCCCAATCGATGTGCTGTTTACTCCGGTCATTGAAGAGAGTGTGGCATGGGGAAATATCACAGCTCCCGAAGTGTCTCTGCCTGGACCAAGCCCCAAAGCTGTTGAAGATGTCCTCAAGTTAGCGAAAGAGGCGCAGAGACCTGTCATTCTAGTTGGAACAGGTGCGCGCGGTGTAAGTTTACAACTTCAACCTCCCTCTAAATGCACGCCCACTAACGGCAAACCCAGGCCATCAGCGAAGTATCAGCATTCGCAGAGAAAACCGGCATTCCCATTTTCCACAGCCCAAAGTTCAGCACTGGCATTGCGCAAAACCACCCCTTCTACGGAGGCTCCGCCACGAACCTCGCTCTCCTCGGTCCCACCGGGAAACCCACGCCAGATCTCGTCATCGTTCTCGGCGCGCGAACTGGCTTCATTCTCGGCGGCCGCAGCGGTGCCATAATCCCCAACAAAGACTGCAAAGTCGTTCAAATCGACATTGATGGCGGCGAGATCGGACGCTCTACCCATATCGACCTTGGAGTCGTGTCTGACATCGCGCTTGCGGTGTCGGCGCTCTCTTCTGCGGTCGAGAAGAACAGTTTCAAGGCGCCCGAAGACTGGGTCAAGACTGCGCTGGGCATGAGGGCTTTCAAGGCGCCGCATAATGAGTCGGAGCCGGTGATAGATACGAATAACGGCAATCTGCACCCTTATCATGCCGTCAAGAGGCTGTTACAAAGCTTGCCGGAAGGCAACATCCTTTGCGTCGATGGAGGCGAAGTTGGTGGCTGGACACTCCAACTTATGACTGAAGCCAGAGCATCTTTGTCGATGGTAGCGACGGGATATCTTGGGTTCCTCGGGAACGGATGGGGATACTCCCTTGGCGCCGCTGTGGCAGATCGCTCGAAGCTCGTCGTGAATATCCAAGGTGATGGCTCGGCAGGTTTCCACATCGCTGAACTTGACACGTTCAAGAAGTTTGGTCTTAACATCTTGACTGTCGTGGTGAATAATAGCGTCTGGGGCATGTCCATTGCGGGACAGGAGATGATCTACGGAAAGGTCACATCACAGCGTCCGGCTGCGAAATTACGCGTCGATACACGGTACGATGTCGTTGCGCAGGGTTTTGCGTGCACTGGCGCCCTTATTGATGCGACAAACTCGCTCAAGCAAACAGCGAGTGAGACTAGGAAGAAGACATACGAGGATCTGGGCCCAATTGACGAGGGCAAGAGTTCAAAGGTGTTGGATGGTATTGCCGCGGCGGTGGAGGATATCATCAAGGCGGATGGGCCAGGTCTGATTGATCTGAGAGTGAGCCCCCAGCCAAATCAAGATACGACAAAGGCCATGGTCGGACACACTGATGACCCTAACGTCATCGTGGTTCCTTACTATGATAACATCCCAAGGCCGTATTATAAGTAGGAAGAAGAGTTATCTATAGAATGAATAGCGTGTTCTTTATACAATTATCATCTGGTCCAGCCTCCTTCAGCCTCGAAAATCTTGCCTACCTCTCCGCATACTCTCAAAAGATGCTGATCTCTATATCTACCTGACAACAAGCTAAGTCCGATTGGGAGACCATTGCCCCCTTTGAAGCCAGGGATGTTGACGACAGGTACATGCATGGCTGTCCAAGGTGCACAGTATGCGGCATCGCCGGTACTTTGCTGTCCTACAGGCGCCTCGTCGAGGACGCTTGGAACAATGATGGCAGCGTACTGATCTGCAAGAGCATCGATCTTTGGTCTCATTGCTGCTAGCGCGTCAAAAGCCTGCAGCTGCTCCTTTCTGGTGAATTTATTCGTGTTTTCGACATGTTGAATGAGCAAGGGATCAAGTTGATCCTTCGCACGCAAGTAATCCGACAGAAAGCTCACACGTCCATCTCCAGCTTGTACTCGAGTGTGACACTTTGGCATCGTTTTGAACTCTTCGGGTAATTCGATCTCTTCCACCTCTGCACCGTGCGCTCGTAGTAGTTCAGCACCTTTCTTGAGTGCGTCCTTGGTTCCAGAACCGAGCTCAGGCCATTCAGGCGTAGGAAGCTTCAATAAAGCGAATTTGGCTCCTTTGACCTTGAATTCTTCGCCTGGTTCATCATCAACCACCTTGAAGACGTCTAGTAGCAGTTTGAGATCGTCTACGCTTCGTGCATATAGGCCCAATGTATCGAAGATCAAAGAATATATCTTTAACCCTTCCCGAGAAATTGAGTTCCACGTTGGTTTCAGTGCATATATCCCATTGAATGATCCGGGACGAATGGTACTTCCACCCGTCTGCGTTCCAAGGCTGATCGGAATCTGTAGGTCACCTACTGCCGCTCCCGAACCGGAAGAAGAGCCTCCAGGAGTTCGCGTTGGATCATGCGGGTTGGCTGTCTTGATACCGTTGTAAGGGGGGCCCACGGTAGTAGCAGCAAATTCAGTTGTTGTGGTCTTGCCTAGTAATCGATCACGTCAACGGGGTTCTCAATTATCGAGGTCGGAGTTCATACCAAAGATCAGCGCTCCGCTGTGCCGGAGTGTCGCAACACAACCAGCATCTATCTTCGGCGCCTGATTTTCATACAGAGGCGAATTGTACTGTGTAGGCATGTCCTTTGTTAATATCACATCTTTGATGCCGATTGGGATACCATGTAGGGGCCCTCGCTGTTCTCGAGGAATGTTGTCGAGTTCTCGGGCCCGTTGAAGCACGAGATCATGGTCTAGGTAAGCCCAAGCATGAACGGCCGAGTCACGCTGCTCAATTCGTGATAGAAGCGATTTAGCATAGTCTTCTACCGTGAGAGAGCCGCCGTTGATTTTGGCCTGGGCCTCGGTTGCACTCAGACGAAATGATTCGGCCATGCTTAGGTCTGCAGGATTTGAGTGAAAGGACTTGAAGTAGCCAGCTGCAGTATTGGTGGCAGAACGGAGCAGGTGAAGGATCAAACACGGGCGGGTGTACACGAGTAAGAGCGTCAGAAAACCAACACCGTCTCCTGGAATCGAATGACTTATGGACGCCTGTTTGCCCCGCATTGGCAACTGACAAACAAACATCTTATCGATAACATTCGGCATTCCTTCTCCGGATTAGTCGCAATCATTAGAGAAACTACAACCAGACACGCCAGGCCAACATCGTGATAGTTCCTTCCTCCAAACACGCGTCAACTGCGGTTTTTGTATTAATCAGATCAACGATTGCTACATTGATGCACTTTTCTACATGAATTGATGATAAAGAATTGGATTGAATTCTCCCTCGTCACCCAATATGAATCATTCACCATACTTACACACTGGGGATGCTCAACAAGATCATAAAACGAAGTTCCTGATTACCAACAAATGATTCAATTTTCAGAATATTCCGTCATTAGGTTGCAGTCTCATTGAGGCAACCTGCAGAACAAGGTAGTTTCATAGTTTTGAGTGACTCACAACAATACTGATTCACCTTCCTGTTTAGTAACAAGTGGAAATTCGTCGACAGGTGTTCGTAATACTGGTAGCTTGTTTTTCGGTTGTAAGCTTAAATATGTCAATATGATATTCCGCTAAATATCAATCCAACGGTATACCTTACGCCCTCATCACATCAAAATGACGAGTTCAGATGCCACCCCAGAGCTTGATCTCAGTCTTCGTATCGAATCCCCACGCCTGGTAATCGGCTACTTGGATCCCAATTCTGACGCACAATGCGACTTCGTTGTTGAAGTAGTCAATACGCCCGAATTCATCGCTGGCAATGGAGGTGGAACACCAACACCGGACCGAGCTACTGCGCGCGAGCTCCTTTCTAAAGACATCCCATACCTCGCACAAACTGGTTTCGGTCGCTACATAGTAGCATTGAAGCCGGAGCCCAAAGACGACATTCAGCCCGGGGACGAACAGTCTCCCGTTGTATATATTGGTTGGGTGACCATGAAGATGCGACATCATCCAAACTCGCCCACTATTCCGGACATCGGTTTCCAGATTGCTCGTCAGTTTTGGCGCCGTGGATATGCATCAGAAGCAGCGGGAGCTCTGCTGAAATATTTTGAGGAGAAGAGGGGGATACATGAATTCGCTGGTTACTGTAATGAAGACAACGAAGCATCGCAAAAGACACTACAGCGAGTGGGCTTCGAGAACCATGGCATGAGAACGATTGCGTTCTCGCCGACTGAACCAACACTTTCCGTTCTGGTGTGGACGAAAGGGTTGAGGAGTGCCCCGGAGAATTACAGATTATAATCTTGTCGCAAAAGACAGTAGAGCAATTTGTCTACCTTCAGACTCCGGTCAAATGTACCTAGGAAAATTATTGCCACGCGCTACGGGGTCGGTACTTCGCAAAAAAGACGATATTGAACAGACAGGAACGCAACCTATGGTTACATGCAATATTCCTACACATAAAAAAAACCAAATTCTATTATAATTAAGAACATAAGTTCTTTCGATGTGATCCTTGCGACGTCGATGAAATGGAGGTTCGATGCACACGTGTCTTGTATCGTGACTAGTCACCCATTCGTGCTGAATTGCCATGGGCAACGGTAGAAGATACAAACGCAACAATTGAATTCACAATTCGTTGCTAGGCGACTTCTATTGAATAATCCTTCAAAGAGCTTATTTTCAACCCGCTTCTTGGCAGAGTTCTACTGACGCGTAACTTTGAGGCTTAGCAGAGCAGTTTGCTGGGCGAGTCGCCTTATCTCGCTGCCCCAACCACGGCCAATCATTCCCATCAGAATAGGTAACTGAGCGTCAAGAGGAGGACGAATTGAAGGATGAGAATAGCCAGTACGCAGTAATGCATCTCTGTTTAGGCTCATTAACATTTGTACCTTTGATTATCCAGAATAATTCCTTTGGCTTTGGAAATCTTTGAGAAACAGTCGTTTTCGTATCAATTAAGAAGCTTCTCAGGAGATCTAGCCATGAATACAATCAATGTTGCCAACTAGGAAGAACGAGAACGAATGCCTTCGAAAATGCTATATATATGCTAGTCGAGGCGAGCGCGCGCGACGAGCAACCTGAGCTGAAGTTCGTGATTTCTACCTCGAATTCGCGAGCCTTGTATATTGTGAGCAGGAACTCCAAACGAGCACGTCTATACAAGCGAGGGTTTCAAGTATGAGAACCGAGCGATGTCTGGGCGACGACTGGCAGGTCGGTATTTCTTGCGGCGTCGCAGCGGACTTGAGTGTATTAATTTTCGCATCAAACATCTGCTTCTAAAGGGGTCACTCTTACATGTCTTTCGGTACAACGCATACGGCGCAGTCTTCACGGGAGTCTATTTTCCCATTGCTCATCTACGAGAATTGGCCGCATTGAAGTCCGATGCCGAGATAGGTTCTGTATACGACAGTGTGACTGAGAGCCTAGAAGAAATGCTACGGCAGTCTAGAAATTCTAGCTGGAGCCTAACTGGCCGTGGTAAAATGTCTACACACCGTAAAGCCCAAGACAGTTCTCCTGTTGCTATTTTTAGGCACTGGTCCGCGTTGATAGGCCGTTGTGGAAGAATTGACGACGATGCTGATTCCCAGGGGAAAGATTATGCAACATCGCAGCGTATTGTAGGCACCAGTTCGTATTGAATTGTAACTAGATTAGTGTACGGAGTACGATAAGCAAAGCAAAACAGCAGCAGATTGAATTGAATTGAATCAGATTGAATTGAATTGTAACTGGATTAGTGTACGTCGCTGTACGATAAGCAACGCAAGACAACACCAGGTTGAATTGAATTGAAAAGGTTTAGTGTACGGTACAGAAGTCGATGGGGTATTCGGTTGAATGAAATGACCTGGAAGTAGATTAGTGTACGATGCGGAAAGCAGCATCAGAGGCTTCGCCTTCTCCGCCACACTTACAAACAATTGCTCCAATTTGTACAATAGACATCCCTTCCAGATCAAGACCCATAGACACCGCCCAAAATTCAAAGTGCAGGCACAGCATACTCTGGGCAATTCGCACATTCTCACCAAAAACAGTGCGACTCGGCCCATTTCCAACGAAGCGCTAGTCCATTTGCAGTAATTGTAATCCTGACTCGCACCATTTGGCCTGTTTGCCTAGTCTCGCATCTAAGCCACGGCCCCTTCAAATTATTAGGCCTGCAGGCCTGAAAAGGTCAAACCCCTATAACTCATTGAACAATTGGTCCAAGACCACTTGGGAACAACTCGGATGTGTCCATCAACGAGGCGCCTTAGCGAGGCTTGGGAAGCTCGCAGTATGACGTTGCCCCTAGTCTATATGACTTCGGAGGACTTCAGCTAGAGAAATCGACTTGTTCGGACAAAACACGAGAGATATAATACCTAGAGATTTCGGACTTCCGTGATTCATATTCGAAAGGTCATCCACCGTCTGCTCTCAACGACAACATCTACCAAGCTCAAAGATTGCTTCGACACTTCTCTCAGCTCCCCCAAACACTCATCCGAGATTGATTCGAACCAAACAGTCAACATGAAGGAAATCGATAACTACTATGATCCTTACAGGCCGAACGAGAAAGCAGCTGCCGTGGCCGCAGGTATCTTCGCCATTCTCACCATTGGCCACATAGTCATGCTCATCAGGACGCGAACGTGGTTTTGCATCGCTTTCATCATTGGCGCTATATGTGTGTTCGGCTCTTCAAACGCTGCTCATTCCATATACTGACTTCCCGTAGTTGAAATAGTCGGTTACGTTGCACGTGGATTAGGACGCGACCGCGGAGATTCCCTAGGTCTCTATGTCATTCAAACGTTGGCCATTCTCCTTGCCCCGATTCTCTTCGCCGCTTCCGTCTACATGTTCCTCGGTCGAATCATTCGAGCTACAGGATGCGCTTCGTATAGCATGATCCGCACGACTTGGCTGACGAAGATCTTCGTGGGAGGCGATATTGTTTGTTTCCTGATTCAAGGTCTCGGCGGAAGCATTTTGGCGACAGCGAAGACGAAGGATAAGTTGGATCTCGGAAAGTACACCATTCTCGCTGGGTTGATCCTTCAAATTGTCATCTTCGGATTATTCATGATTGCGGCGGTCATCTTCCATGTTCGAGTGAATAAGAAAGGACTGGGCAAGATGGCGAATTCATGGAACTGGCAAGGGTTTTTAATAGCGCTGTACGTCGTCAGTGTTATCATCACGATACGAAATCTCTTCCGTACCATTGAATACGTCATGGGCAGTAAGTAACAAAACTTCATGCAAGGTTTCCCATGTAAATACTAATTATTCTGGCAGAGGATGGTTACCTACTCACACATGAGTGGCCGATCTACGCTTTCGACGGAGCTTTGATGGCTATTGTACTCGCCATTACTGCCTTCTGGTATGTCGGCGATCTCAGCAGATACGCACAGATAGCGAATGTCTCGTCCAGGGAAGGTGTGGAGTTGATACCGGGAAGTCAGCAAAACACAGCATACCCCGGACCCGAGTTCCAAGATAACACAAGTTATGGCCAGTCCCATGGGCCTCCTGGGTACCGTAACTACCATGCGGCATGAGTTTAGATATTGGTCTTTTAAGTTCAGGTGTTATGGTGCATATGGTAGATAGGAGGACCGTTTAAACATGTATCCCACCGCTTTGGTTTCGCCTCTTACATAGCTAGGTGAGGTCTAGGTTGAAGAAATACTTCGCAATTGAAATGATTTACAATTATCATGTCCATGAGCAAGATGAGGGAAAGTGTGCCGAACTTTTGGGTTGTGATATCTGCTCTTCGTACTCACTTCCAAATTGTCTAGATGTTGCCGCGTCGAGTCCTGGATAGATTCGGTTTGGAGTCTACAGTTTTCTAACAACAATAGCACTTGTAGACGCTGTCATTGTTAGGATCGACTTGGATGCGGTCACGCAACCCCCAAGCCTGGTCTGTGGTTGACTTTTGATTGAAAGCAATGAATGCGTTCTAAAAGCGCTACAAAGTATTGGCTTAAATGAGAACATGATTGTCGAGGGTTCTGCCGCTCCGGTCCTAGCTGAGTTCAATAACCTCGCCCGGCCTTCGGCGAATCAATTAAGTCCCTAGATTGTGGGGCAATTTCTAAGAGGGATGTCGCCATGAAGACAATACAGCCGCACAGCCGGTCCAGCATCCGTTTCACAAAACGCTGCTCACTCCACTGGCACTCGCTTTGGTACAATCTAAAATACTGGGTTCGCGTTGTGCTGCTGCGCATATTGGTTGATGTGTAGCAACGATTCACTATCGGGCAGTTCGATGAAGGGGAATTGTATCCGTGGTAAATTGCATTAATATTGAAGTTTTCCTCCGAGCAATGTGTCTTCTTGGTCGTCTGAAATGCCAAAAATCATCCGTTGAAAATATTATTCACCCCTCTTCACGTCTGACCTATTTGGATTAATTGTTGTATCAGGCCCACAGCTTTTGTGCTCAATGATACTCAAATTGGTCGCCCATGACATTGCGGGAAACATGGTGCGAGATTCTGCACTGAGGGATTAAGTCAGCCTGACTGGTTTGTGCTGTCTGCCTTGACAAAGAGAAAAGGATCAATTGTTAAATGCCGTATATTGCAGTTAGTGGAATGTGGCAGACCTCGTCCTATCGATGTGATTGAACATGTCTGGGGTAAAGTAGGAAAACAGCGGGGTCTTAATAGGATCAGCGCGAGCTTTTGATCTCAATCGGGTTGCTTTCTGACACTTGTACATGTTAGATTTACTTTAGAATATGCGGTTAACATTTCCGCAACAGATTAGGTTAATATTGAGTTACTGCGTCTTATGTACGTTTGGTCCTTATTATTCTCCTCGTTGCCGTGTTTTCACGATGCCGTAGCGGCCTGAGAAGAAAGTCGTCTTTAGCGATCTCTGCCGATCTAGTATGCGGGAATATGCACGGAGTTATGAGTCCTGACAAGCTTTGATGGCTTGCAATAAGCAACGGGTAATTCATTGGCACATTGTTGAGCCTCCGGTCTTCCGTGATTTTATATTGGGACCGGGGTCCAACCCGGTAGCATCAACGCGCACATAATTGGCCGGCAAATTAAGAGTCTACATAGAAGTTTGAGGGTTTCGAGAAGCAAATAGTCTTTGCCAAGATCGATTGAGTGCGTCCATATTCCTGTATATGCGGATTCGGAAATGATTCCAAGGGTGCTTTGAGGTACGGATACCTATAAGATTCGGCCACAATCCCCTGACCTGGCCATTTTCAACGTACGCATACTAGCAAAGAAAATGGGAATCGTTAGCCAAGTCAAGGGCGGCAAGCCGAAGGCTACTGCCGCCGATCCAGTACTTACTCGCATCGTCGAACAGGACACTGTCTCTTGGATCAGGAAGCCTAACCTACGCCGTCTCTATCTTCTGCTCGTCCCGGCCGCCATTGGTATTGAGATTACCTCCGGTTTCGATTCTCAGTTGATCAACGCGCTGCAAATCGTTCCAGCATGGAAAGATTGTAAGACATTTCATTAATAGCGTACAAGGTGTTAGCTATGCCTCTAATAATAGTTACTTAGACTTCCATCATCCAACTGGTTCTCTCCAAGGAATCATCGCTGCAGCCTACTCCCTCGGTGCCATTATATCGTTGCCATTCATTCCTTGGGTCGATGACAAGGTGGGACGTCGAGGCTCTATCATGGTGGGCTCTATTATCATGATTATTGGAGCTATCATTCAAGGTTTCTCTGTCAACGGTTGGTGAACTCGCTACTACTCCTACTGAATCATTACGCTAACGATAGTTCAGTCGCCATGTACATTGTTGCCCGACTGATCCTTGGATTTGGAATTCCTGCTTGTATCGTTGCCGGATCCTCGTTGATTGGTGAACTCGGATATCCCAAAGAGCGCCCGGTTCTTACATCCTTGTTCAACGTCTCGTACTTTGTCGGACAACTCATTGCAGCCGGCATTGTGTTTGGAACGAACAGTATTAAAAGCAATTGGGCCTGGAGAGTCCCCTCGCTTCTTCAACTAGCACCTTCATTGTTGCAAGTCATCTTCGTCCTATTCCTCCCCGAGAGCCCCCGTTGGCTCGTCAGTCATGATCGAGTCGAGGAGGCGGAAGCTATTCTTGTCAAGTATCATGCGGAAGGAAATGCTGAGTCCGAGTTCGTCAAGGGCGAAATTGAGCAAATTCGCACCACTATTCAACTGGAATTGGAAGCTTCTAAGCGCTCGTGGCTCGACCTTCTTCGAACCAGTGGAATGCGCCGCCGAACTCTCGTTACGTCGCAGCTTGGACTCTTTACTCAGTGGTCTGGAAATACCCTCATCTCGTAAGTTGCTTGTTACTTGTCTGTGGATACTACTTAGACGAGGCTAACATGGCTTAATTCAGGTATTACTTTGGTGAATTGATGACTATGATCGGTATCGAAAATGCTACGCAAAAGCAAAAGTTGAACGTCGGATACGCTGCGTGGAGTCTCGTAACTGGAGGAGTTGTCGCACTCTTTGTTACTAAATTCCGCCGACGAACTCTTTACATGCTTTGCACTGTTTCACTGCTCCTTGTTTACACTGGTTGGACAGTCGCTTTCCAGAAAGCAAACACGGCTAAGGAGGCCCATGGTCACAACGGAGCCGCTAGTGCTGCTTGCGCATTCTTTATCTTTGGTGAGTACCACGAGTTAACCTCATGTCCAAGAATAATGTGCTAATGATGAGAACAGCCTACCAGCCATGCTACAATATCGGCTTCAACGCTCTAACATATAGTAAGTCTTAAGCACTAAACTCCAGACTGTTGCTATTACAATATCTGACAAAACGCAGCATACATGGTCGAGGTATGGCCCTACATGGAGCGATCCAGAGGAATTGCCGTCTTCCAACTTTTCGGTCGTCTTGCTGGCTTCTTCACAACCTACGTCAATCCTATCGGCCTGGGTAACATCAAGTGGAAGTGGCTCATCGTATACGTCTGTTGGTTGACGTACGAAGTCATCTTTGTTTGGTTCTTCTTCCCAGAAACTGCCAACAGAACTCTTGAAGAATTGGCTTTCCGTAAGTTTTTGCTCTTCCTCATATCGCAATCCGAAGTCAAACTGAGGCTAACAACATCGCAGTGTTTGAGGGCGACGAAAAGAAGCTCCAGGCTGCCGAAGCCGTTGAGAAGGCTGTGCACCACGAAGAGTTCAACATCAAGGCGGAGAAGGTTTAAGAGAGATTACTCGTCTTCTTGGGGTGTTCGTGGGGAGAAGTGGGCATGGAGTAGTAATGGTGCGCAAAACAATCATTTGTTACTTCGATAGTACATGAGATCAATAAAGCCTAAATTGTTGTGACATTAATGCATTCAGCTGTCTCGATTCTCAACAGATGATAGAGTCTCAATACAGAGGTGATGACAATTAACACTAAGAGTAAATGTAAAAGACGTGACAAAAGAAATTCCAGAGAACATTAGTCGAGCAGACCAAGGAACAAGGCCGATTTATGAACAAGAATAGGAAGTGTGAAGTCTGCCAGTAAGATGGTGGCCACCAAGCTGAGTCTTAGAAGTACAGAATTTTATCCGAAGGTGACATCGTGCGTCGTCCATCCTCCAACATAGTTGGGGAACTCATTGGTGCTGTTAGCAGGTTCAATCTCAGTCGAGACCACGGAAATCTTCAGGCCGGGAAATTGTTCTTTCGGAACCTCTTCGACATTACCCTTTTGGATACGCCAATGGAGGTTCTGGTGCAGATATTCAAGAATGGCATCAGTGTCCAATCCCTTGAGCTCGCCATCGTCAAATTTCTTTCGAAGTGCGTCTGTCAGAACAACTGAGCCTTTGACGGACTGATCATTCTGTGCTCGAGACATAACGGTCTGGGCGCCAACAAAGTTAGGGTCACTAGTCAACTCCTGTGACGAGCTTGTGAGCTTTCCAAGGAAGATCTCGACACTGTAGATACCAACGAATTGGAGAGGAACTTCAATGGCGCAGAGGAAAGCTTGGTGGTGTTCAGATGAGAGTGAAACATCCGGAATCTCTTCCTGGCGCTTAAGAGCACTTGTCGGAGCTGGCGCATACAAAGTATTGACAATGGCCTTCAGAGTATCATTTGAAGGGTTGTCCTGAAGCTCTGGGTAGGTGTACTGGAATGCATCAGTGTACCTCGAGCTCTCCGATGTGTGATAATCTCCCTGCGCATTTCGGCGGAATGGCGTCAAAGGTGAGTCGGGACCCTGAATTGAACCCGGCGCAATGGTGTAAGTACCGGGCCAACTTTGCTCATACGGCTCGACATAAGTATCAGGGTAGATGTGTTGCCAAATAGCTAGAACACGATCTACGTTCGCATGGTGCATCCAGAAGACAGGATCGAAAGCGGCAACCGAAGGAAAGCCCATGTGGGCAAACCCGAAAGAGCCATGTACCATATCGTGAATGGACTCAATATTTCCAAGAATGGAAGATTCAGAGCCGTGGTTGCTGAATTGATTGTAAGTCTGCCATTGGGTGATGATCTGGTAAAAGGTCTCCCTCAGACTGGGCGCAAAGTTCTGGAGGAAGTTCTCTGTTTCTTCTGGGTTGCTAACCTCTGAGAACGGCTCAGAATTGCGAACAGTGATGGAGATGTTTTGCCAGGGAGAAGAAAAGTATTCTTCTTTCAAAGGGTTGAATCGATACAGCAATAGTGGATTTTCGACTTCAGCTTCTGTTCCATTGGGGAATGTGACGACAGCGGTGGGCCCTGCAATAGAAGTTGGTAGAATGCGTTCGCCTTCGACCGTACGTTTGGCCCAGTCCCAGTAGGGAAGACGTAAAGTTTCGGCAATTGCTTGATAACGAGCCTTTGTTGCCTCGTCTTCGAATTCCGCCGCCACCTCAACGGCCTTCTGACTGAGTACTTGCTACTCATGGTCAGATGTCGTTGCATTCAAGTAGCAACTGCTAACTTACCTCAAAGATTGAGAGATATGGTCGATGCCACGGGCCAAACAGATTTGACCCATGGGGGCAATAACCGAAGTCGGGGTTGCCACCATTAGAAGGAGAACTGTCCCAGTCAATGAGTGGCTGGCCATGTATACCTGTTATGTGGTTAATTCTCTTCTCATCAGTAATAGTGGAAACACCAACCCGAAACCTGAAAGTAGCTGATTTTATCATCTTGGTTCATCTCTTTGAAACGCATAATTGCAAGTAAGAAAAGGTTGAACATTTCGCCATTCGCTTCAACGTCGCGTATCTCAAGTCGAGGTTGTATTCCCCCAACAGCAGGCCCTGTTATTGGGAAGAAGTCTTCCTGTCTGGCACTCAGAGCACGAAACGGTGCACCAAAAGATGAACCACATAGTGCGGAGAATACACTGAAGAGAAGGAGTGGTGTAGAAGTAGACTTCATTTTCGAAGAGATCAGAGGTATAGCCCGAAAGTTAGAAGAAGTTTTAATAAAGAGTGACAGTGCTTGACCTGATGAGACTAGATTCGAGCAACACTGAGGAGGCTTTATATCCAGCAGAGTTAGGAAACCTGGAAGACATGTCGGAAAGAAGGACCGCAAATGCGTTGTAGGATTTGTATGCACGGGTTCGCATCTCGTGTGTGAATGTCTTCCCCAGCTGACATATGGGCGCAGCACCGTCAGCGCGAAGAAAACGAAATTGGTACTTCCTTCTGGAAAGTCAATAGCTGGACCATGCTCATCAATTGCCTTCGGTAAGGATTTTATGATCACCTGCTAGGCAATGAAGCGAATGGCAGACCTGTACCTCCTATTCAAGTACAGTCTTAGGAACCTGAAAAGCTGATGTCAAGAACACGAACTACTCGGTGTATTTATTCTATTGGTCAGTTCGGATAAGGCAGTGTAAGAAATTATGTGATGCCAAGATATCATCAAGTCTCGCAGCATAGACCTGAAGTATAGATCGAGTAAATGGGAAACGTACTGGTCTGCCTACGTAAAAGACATGCTCTGAAAAGAATGATTATCATCATCTCAATCCAGTACTTGAACTGTTTTCCATCCAAGTCTGTCAGCATTTGGCATTGAATAAGCTATCATAACTATGTGAGCTGTAGGCTCCATGCAGGTACAGGACGAAGAACGCTCCCACTGAACAACGATCCCCCAGTCACGATCACGACTCGGCTGCATGCATTTTTTGAATCGATTCACAGCTGTAAGCTTATGCAAGGCATTTGCCTTTAACTTGGTCGGGTCCAACAGGCAAGTACCCTAAGGCACGTGGCGTTCTTATGTGGCACTCTAGGTTCTATAGCATAATGATGCTATAGTAAGATGGGGAATGCGGAGACTTTCTGTTTACAAGCCCATTAACCTCAATTAAATTTTTCAATCTCTACTACGTCAAGTCTCGCGACACCAATATGCCGTACAATACGTGATCATACTCTGTCAATTGAAAGTCAGATTGATCTTCATGTATAGTAGAAATTGCCGACTATTTTCGAATTAAAGGGAACGTGGTTCTTGAGGTGCAAGGACCAAGTAAGCTTGCTACATCACACGCAGAAACCCTGCAGCAGCTGCAATGGGAAGCACAAGAACGGGGGGCCTAAGACACGGTCCGCGTGCTGCGACCTAACTAGGGCCTTTGAGGCCTCTATTACTGCACAAGAAACCAGCCTTCGCTAGCAATAAAGGACGAAAATAGGCATCGACTTCTTGAGCAGGGCAGATCGTCTGGCGCAACAAATGATGGAACGACTCCAATGCCTCATAATTAAAATTGCAAGGTCATAGCACGTAAAGCATTAGACCTTCTCCGCATTGTACGTTACATTCTAGAACAAAACCATGGAACATTCATTTTAATGGCACATTATAATACTGACTACTTATTGGCAGTATTCACGCAACTTTCGCGTAACTACTATTACAACCGAGCCTGAACATCTGCAGTGCTGTTGTCTCTGTAAAACTTAAGACCCTTGTACCCTGACGCCTTACAATCCTCACATCGCCTCCGGTACTCAATAGCACTACCAGCATAGCGAGCGACACTGCGCTCAGTCTTTCCTTTGACGTTGGTGTTTATTCCGGTCATCCAGCTGTCCACCTCATTGACAAGAGTGTTGCTTCTGCTACAATCCACAACATGGTCAGTCCACTCTTGGACCGCTTGTTCGGTGGGCTCAACATATGTATATCCATTGTCCTTACAGAACGCCAGTAAGTCGGTGATTACCTGTGTAGCATGTTCGATACTTCGGGTCGCATTTCCAAAAGGCTGGTGAGGACCGAGGACCATGAACGTGTTGGGCATTGCTGGGGCGGTGAGGCCGAGGAAAGTACGCGGCCTGTGGTCGGGCCAAATGGGATTCTTTTTGGTCTTGTCGTCGCTGCTCGCAATAAGAGGCCTATCATCCTTTGCGTGCCAGTCGATTGCGTTAAAGGCGCCAGTAATAGCATCGAAACCGGTCGCATAAATCAAGACATCCAGTTCATGGAACTTCCCATCTGTTGTGTTGATACCGCCCTCGTTTATGCTTGTAATCGGCGTCTTCTTCAGGTCTACCAAGTTGATATGAGGTTTGTTGTAAGCCTCGAAGTATCCACTCTCAAGAGGCACACGACGCGTTCCGAAACCGTGGTTCTTTGGGATCAGGCTTTCTGCTGTCTCTTTGTCGTGAACGCGAGCGCGGATCTTGTCTGCCATAAAGCGAGAGTACTCTTCATTTGCTTGACGATCAATATACGTGTCGCTAAAAACCCCGAGCCATTTTCCAAATCCAGGCTCATTGTATTTCTTTTCCCATAAGGCGATCTTCTCTTCCTCGGTAACATCGGTAGATTTGCGTGGATCGGCTTCATGCATAAAGCATGATGGTGTCTCAGCACATATTTTGAATATCGCATCGTAGTTTCGTTTGTGCTCGTCCATTTGCTGTACTGATATTTCTGAGTTTCGCAGTGGTGCGGACCAATTTGCTGTCCTTTGGAAAACGGACAGCGATTTGACATTGGGAACTTTGGAGATGGCTGTAATGGTCTGAATACCAGTGGCACCTGTACCAATAATTCCGATTCGCTTATTTGCAAAATCGCGATTGATGTCGATGTGGTCGGGCCAGCGCGAAGTATGGAAGGATTCACCTTTGAAAGTTTCTACCCCAGGAATTGCGGGTAGAGTTGGGGAGGACAGAAAGCCTAGACAACTGATGAAGAATCGTGCACTATAGCCGTTGCCCAACTCGTCCACGAATGTCCAGAAGTGCTGCTGGTCGTTCCAAACAGCTGACTTGATTCGGGTGTTCAAGATGATATCTTTGTATAGGTCGTTCTTCTCGGCGACGCGACGGATATATTTGTGTGTCTCCGGTTGTGGAGAGAATGCCTCCTTCCAATGCCATTCTTGCAACATTTCTTTATCGAAGGAAAAGCCGTACGAGAGAGACTCGGAGTCAAACCGGCATCCAGGGTACCGATTCCAATACCAAGTGCCTCCAACATCCGTGCCCGCTTCGAGGATTTTGATTTTCCATGAGGGAAATCGCTGTCGAAGATGATACAAGCTACAGATACCAGATAATCCTGCTCCAATGATGACAACATCAAAGGAACTATGAGAAGGCTGCGGAACGGAACCCATGGCTTCAGAGTCTGTTGATGTAAGGAAAATGTTGCGATCAAATATGGATATAGTTGAGATTGTAGGTCCTTGGAGATGTTAAATAATATTGTGAAAAGGCATATCGTGGTCCCGAAGAATTTTTCTAGGACATGTGGTTCCCTTCTGGCGTGACCTTTCCGCCCAGTAGACGTAATGCTAAGAAGTTCTCTGCTGCACTTGCCTATCAAATTGAGATAGGTTTTTTGCCCATTGTAAATCGTCCTCCGATTGAGATCCGGTTTGAGGCGGATTGTGGGGTAGCCCCGCGTTTTTGCTTCTTCGTTCAGCTGATGCGTGCGGCTACCGTCGCATCTTGGCCTATCCGGTGTAGCTTTCCTATTCTGATGATATCTACGTACAATGCTATCTGAACTCTGAACACCGAGACTTTGCTCGAGACCTACACTTGCTAGTACCGCAGACTGTGATGGCAATCTTAAGCCATATACCCATAGATAATTCGGCGACCTATCTCTGGTGTTGCCACTGATGTGTTCACAAAGTTGAGCCGACGAGTTATAGGATTTTACTACAAAATGTTCCTTTGCCCGGATCAATGATCAAATTATCTATCGTGGAAACTATGATGAAACTAACTCTGCGTAACCAAAAATCTGGAGATATTGTTGCGTCGAGTCGAGCGCCGTACACAAGCCCATACGATAACAGCTTTTCCTCTGTTTGATCCACTCCGTCGAATGCGCCCAAACATTTCTGGCCAGTTTCTTTTCGAACTTCGCTACTATCATTCACAATCCCACCTCTGCGTCGACTTCCCTCATACCTTGTGTTTCATGTCCCCTTCAGGTATCTGCCATAAGGTCAACGGCTTTGGATAGTTAGTTATCAATTCACTATCCGATAGACATGCACGTGATATGCAATACTACCTCTGGTAGCTAGTACTACTAGTATATATCGAGTAAAGCCGCAGCATTTACCTTCCAAAAACGAGACAGGAAAGTCTCCCCTATCAAGCGATGCCTTATGCGGCATGGCTTCGGCGTTTCTCCAGTTCCGATGGCGGACGACTTCCCCAACATCAATGATCTAGAGGGCTCTGCAGAGTGGAAGCTGCTCTTCCATATTCCTATATCTTCGTACCCACCCCACGGGTCTCAATTACTTTCCTTTTCATCCCCCTGGCTAGCGGTGACCCCATAATCGGCTTGCATCGACTCCACCACAGCTGGGAGTAACCGTCATGCCCCCACAATGCTCCCCATACCTGCATCGATACATCCGCCTTGCTGAGCATCACCTGGTGAGATCCTAAACAGTCACTTGCCTACATTTTCCAAACTGCAAGCCTTCTCATGGCACCTCCTCGCCGGGATTCAATGATGGCCAACACGACTAAGGCCTCGGGTGGACGTAGCCGTTCATTTGGTGGATGTGTAACGGTAATACTTGTTGAGCATGATGATAAATTGCACCATTTACTAATTGCTGACAGTGCCGCAATCGTCACATGAAGTGTGACGAAACGCGTCCATCTTGCTTGATATGCAGTCAGGCTGGATTCACCTGCGGTGGTTACGAAAAGAACATATTCTTCAATCTGGGAGATAGTTCAAGCGATGGCGCCACACGGTTCCGGCGGCCTGTGCTCACTGAAAAGGAACGGCAAAGCATGAGTGGATGGTTAACGACTACTGTACCGCCAAGACTGGCCATGCATACTTTGGCTCTCATTGACGAGCAATGTGAAGAGAGCCCTGAGACCGAGGAAATCCAAATTAGTCGCGGACCTTTTGGAGCTTTCAGAGTGGTTGCGCCACAGCCAATTCAAGCCGACACCTCCTTTGCCGACGAATGTGGGGCGGCTGAGAGTGAACAAGACTTTACAATCCTCGTTGACAGCCTTCCTACACCCCCGGAGCTTGAGTTCGAGAACGAAGAATATCCGGTTCCACCCGATCTTGCGGTAACCCCTAGGACACAGAACCTGTTCGACACTTACCTTGACTCATCCACATCGGCCCTTTCGTCTATGATGATGGACCCTTGGGGCCTTGCTCTCGGGTCCGATAGAATAGAGGAACTCTTAGATGATGCTGAGCTTGATACATCTACAAGTCTAGCCGAATTCTTACCTCAAACCACTACCGCTCCGATTCAACTAGATTCGTCTTTCGATTGCCAGATCCCTACTTTACCCCATGAAGGAGCACTTTCTTACGGATTCGGCAACACTGTTCCACAAGATGCAGTCTTTCTGCTCAAGTACTACTCCACTACTTTCCTAAAACTACTAACCCCATTATGTCACAGTAAAACTCCATGGCATGTCCTATTTGTTCCTCACTCAAAGGGCTGTCTTGCTGCCCTGACCCTCGGTGAAGATATCGACAGCGCCAGCTTGTGTGCTTTCCAAGGGACCTTGGCCATTAGTGCCTTCAGTCTTGGTCGTACTTCGCAATCCTCGATGTGGATTGAGCAAGCAAAATCATACAAATCGCAAGCCCGCGAGAGCGCTCGATTGATGTTGGCTAAAGCGTACGACGTTCCTAAAGCCGCCAAGTACAAATCGATTTTGATTGCTCTTCTCACAATGGTCCAATTGGCCATGATGTCGGGCGATAGCGAACAGATTGATTGTTACTTACTGGAGACCGAGAAATTTATCCGTTTGAAGGGCCTAAATCGAAAGAAGTCTCGAAAAGTACGCTTACTACACCATTGCTACGTATTTGAACGAATGTTCCATGAGAGCATCTTTGTCAGCGGGATCAATGGTGCCCATCGACGTCACGTCTACAAGACTATACAGTCGAGTGCCGCTGCGAGGTACAGTCTCGACAGTATATCTTTCTATTCAGAAACCTGGATAAATCTTGACGAGGGCATGCGCAGAATAAAGGGCAAGGTGGAAGGAGAAAATGATCTACATCTCGAATTTCCCGGTGTATGGAACTCCACGCTCTATCCTGAGATCTTTGGCACATCCGAAATCTACATGACGATGCTGTCAATGACGATCCGCCTCGGACAGCAAAAAGACATGGGGGAAAAGGAAGGCTCTTTATCTCTGAAAGAGTTTCTACGTCGTGCAAAATCACTAGAGACCTGCATCCACCAACTGAAAACACTAAATCATACCAAAAACCAGTCAACGACCAATCAGCCGAACATGGAAGAGATTCTACAGGCGATGCAACACGCATTGCTTATTTACTTCTACAGAAGAATCTACGATATGGACGGTGCTTTGCTGCAACAATCTGTAGTCAGTGTTCATGACTGTCTAATGCGATTCGGCACATTGGATTCGGAGGTAGCATTTGGCTCCGCTAGGCTGATATGGCCTGCTTTCATAGCCGCATGCGAGGCTGAAGATCCATCTGTCCAGAGGTCCTTCCTCCAATGGTTCGAGGACTCCGCTACATCAAGCGGGATGCGGTCGTTTGAACACATGAAGTCAAGGCTGGAGTGGATATGGCAGCAAAAGGCCACAGCCAATGGGACCAGTGTGTCTTGGTTGGAATTGATGCAGGGAGAGGTGCAGATTATACATGCAGACTAGAGCTGTTTCTACAACTCTCTGTTCTTCCACACCTAAACCTCTTTATATGGATTGACTTGCGTTTTGGATTTCATGATGATATTAGCGATTTTGATAGCGAAACGAACCCTTTCATTTCCAGGACGGAAACAGACCATATAACTACTACTATTATTATACCCTCACCATCATGAAAACTACCACTCATGTGAATTTTTGAAGTGTTGGTATTGCTATTACTGCTTCAAAATGACCATTGACTATGCTCATCTCATCTCGATCCACCAAACTTTTAAGACATCAACATTCATCAACATCCAAGTACATAAGAAACCTTAGATCACAATTTCATAGATTGACTATCAAGGAAGCGTTAGTAATCCGATAACGGGCTCCTTACAACCTACCCCGGGGAGCCGCTCAACGAAAGAGGAAAGCCTACCCATCTAAACCCGAGCATCGTCCGGTAATCTTAGGGCTAGGCAAGTCCTTCCTTTCCAATGGAGGATCTAGTTTGAACATGCGGGGTAACAGTTAGGATATTATTTGGAGGGGCAATGTTTACCAAACAGTAGGGACTTTCTTTTAAATTCCATAGGTCGACTATATAGTGCTTTGATCCTGATTGAGTAGACTTATTACATGTTTCCCTGCAACTGAACACAAAGTACGATTAATAGCATCTCAAAGCACATTCAACCAGAACCTCAAGTCGTCTCTACCATAATACCTATCAAAAGGGAACCTAAATATCATCACAATTAGAAAACATACAATGTCTTCATTCAAAGGCAAAGTCGTAAGTTTTTTCATCTACCACACCCTCCGGACACTACAGAACTAATGCATCACCAGGTTGCCATAACAGGCGCAGCATCCGGTATGGGCCTCGCCACAGCAAAGCTCCTCGCGTCAAAAGGCGCTCTGATCTCCCTCGCCGACATCAACGAAGCCAACCTGAAGACCGCTATCGCTTCACTCCCCTCGAGCGACCAGCATATCTACACTGTCGTCGATGTGCGGAACAGCGGACAAGTAAACGCGTGGATCGAGGGTACAGTTAAGAAGTATGGAAAACTTGATGGCGCGGTCAATATGGCAGGCGTGATTGCAAAGGCGACACCCGTGAAGGAGGTGACGGATGCGGATTGGGATTTCTCGTTTAGTGTGAATACAAAGGGTGTTTTTAATTGTTTGAGGGCACAGTTGAATGCTATGACTGATGGTGGGAGCATAGTAAGTCTCCTTGCTATCGCCATTTTGATTACCATTGGACATGTGAGCTGACGAGGTGCTCAGGTTTCTGCAGCGAGCGTATTCGGACAATTCGGAGCACCTGGTAATGCAGCTTACTGCGCGAGTAAAGCGGCTGTCATTGGGTTATCGAGAACGGCAGCAAAGGAAAATCAGAAGATCCGTGTCAACTGTGTGGCACCAGGTGAGAATTCCCGAAATTTTATCTCCTAAAATTTGTCGCTGATTTCTTAGGATCTGTTAATACACCGATGTCTCAGGGTGAGGATCCTGAGGATGTGAAACGTGGTCTCCAGGTGACGGCGCAAAAGAGGAGGGCAGAGCCAATTGAGATCGCCAATGTTATTTCCTTCCTTTTGAGCGACGAGGCTTCCTTTGTGACTGGAGCCGTATATAATGTAGACGGCGGGTGGGTATGTTAGGGGGCCTGTAATCTTAGATCGCGGAAGTCAAATGAAACAGTAAATCAAAGAAGTTATCAAGCACGAAATTTCTCCGATAGGAAACCATATAATATTGGGTATTTAGTTACTTCCACCATGTGTTTTACAGCTACGATGTCCGAACCATCTATCTATGTCATGGTGACCTTGGGTGGTGTAGTGATCACACCGGTCAACATGATAGCATCGTCAACCATGTTGTTCAATTGGTCGAATTGACCCTGTAGCCACAAATCAAGAACAGCCTGATCCTGACTGACAAAGCTCTTCCTAGCTGGTGGCAAGACCTTCGTGCACTCCTTCAGGTCGTTGATATTGTTGACTCCCAAGAGCGAGAGACGAGTGTACGATGTCGAGTAATCTGCATTCCAATGGCCCTGTCCGTTGATGAAAGCCTGCCACTCGCTCTTCGTCCGAGAGTCCTTCGAGAGGTTGATATCACTCTGAAACTTCAAGACACGAGGTGGCGCCGCGGTCGTTGTCTCGCCATAGAACGCGACATCCCAGATTCCAGGTGTGGAGTCTTGCGGATCGCCATCACGGGCCTTGTCGACGAAGTGTTGTTGAGATGTAGAATGAGCGCCCACAAGAGCGACGAGGTCATGCGCGTCAATCGTCTTATCTGCGAAGAGCTTGATGAGCTTATCGGCTGAGTCGGTCTCTCCTGGCAAGAGACCTGTAGGCCCGGCTTTGGCATTGTCCTTGCGACCAACGAATGAGCGAATTCGTGGTCCTAGCGGACATACAACGGTAGCAATGTTGGCACCCATTTGGATCAGATCAGCCATGCTGACACCATACTTGTTGTACTTGTTATACAATTGCTTGGTGTAGTCTGCGATGTCCTTCAGGCCATTGTTGTCCGCCCTGTCCAGCTCGTTGGTGAGAAGAATGCTGCCATCAGCGCCGCCGTAAGTTGAGGTTTTCGACCAGACACCAGCATCATGGAAGCCAAGACGGACGGCCCCACGAGCAAACTTGGTGCAACGTCCTGATGTGCCATTGAATTTGGCAGTCATTTCATATGATATCCACTTCCATACGCAGCAGAGATCAGCCTTGCAAGCAGCACTATCAACAGTGCCCGGAGGAATCGATGTGTCAATGACACTAGACTCCGCAGACTTGGACTCAAGCAAAATGGCTTTGATGTCCTTGCCTATTGCGGTGAGTTGACTATCTTTGAGTGTTTTCAAGTCGCCAATCAGTTCTTTGGAGTTTCGGCGTTCAATTTGCGCCGCGGCTCTACGAATATCTCTCATAGAGTCGCCCATGCCTGGGTGGGCGAGGGTGAATGGCAATAAGGACAAGAGGACATAACTGCTAAAGGAAGACAACTTCATATTGGGCGAGTAATTGCCGTAGCGAAGAATGAAGAAGCTCTGAATTGCAACTCGCACGAACAATGAGCGATGAGTGACTGTTTTCCGAGAAAATGGGAACCTCTGTTCGAGCAGCATCAGGTGGTACTTATACATTTGAACTGGTGCTTCATCTCCTCATGTCCTTGCGCTCTAGCCGTGATGAGTTTGCCATAATTCTGTAAGCTTGCGAGATTCTAGTGACTGTCGAGAGGCCAGTGAATAGATTAATACGAATGTCTGGAAGATATTCCAGAGGCCTCGACTGTCCAGCAATGTACGATTGTAGTCTGCCAGACATTTCTTCCCGGGCATCCGCCTCAAAACTGTTCGGCGAGCTCGACCTGTACTTAGGCTCTGCTGCCAAGAACTGAAGGATGATAGAAGCTGACACCGGGAGCGTGCAATACGACGCTGTTCATTGGGCCAGAGGTCTCGCCTGGTAAATTGGTGAACGATTCGAGGCAGGGACTAGACAATACGATATGCGGGTTTTGCCTGGCGTAGGTACTAGAATATGTACCGTATATTGCTCCTGCAGCTGGATCATTATTCTGAAGGGTCGGTCGGAGGAAATTTACCTCAAACAGCTGACAGACATTGACGGAAGGTCATGGCCATTTATCGCGTGGAAATAGTGAAGGACTCTTGCTGAACTCGGGGACATAACCATTGTTGTTTCTCGATTCAAATCCAAGTTGGCCTGTTAGTGGTGAGGTCTTCGTGATGGCTAGCTGAGTGGAAACCGACAACAATTGGTTTAAATAGGTAGAGATCGACGATGGGCAAACCTTATCATGCTTCAGTAATGGAACATAATAGCCAGACCTACCGTGTACAGGAATAGTATATTCACAGGCGATTCTTGCAATCCCGATGGGAATGATTGTGGCAACTATTATTAGATGAGCGTGGGATGATGCGCTGGTCGATGCGTCCAAGATCGGTTCCTGTAATATCAAGCCGTCATTCGTACAGCAGAGTACATTTTAGGCCCTCAGCCTCAGTAACGCTTGTACCTTGCGTGAGAGACGGAGGAAGGAGCCGCTGCGGCTAAGGAAGATCAGCCGTGAAAATCACACGGCGCGATGATTCGATCACATAGGGATAAGCTCCACATTCGACGATGAATGGTGGACACCAAGATCAGTCTAGGTTTTTTTACCTTGATCCTATACCGACGGGTGTGTCATGAGGTACATCTAGGTGTTGATGCACTGTGGTGTCGAATACGAATCGAACGTCTCATTTAGCCGGATAACAGAGAAGCTTCGAAATTTGCGCTCAGAAATGCAGCAGCATCAACCTGGTTCGAGATGCCGGGCTTGTGGCTCCGGCGCCTGGAACCTGGGTTCCATGCAAGTAAGACCTGGGCGGTGGGATTGCAATGGTAAAGTCGAAGGACTTATCCAGGATGCAACAATTGGATACTTCGTACCTGACCAGGTTAGAAAATGGTGTCAGAAGTTTTCTAGACACAATGAAAGCTTGGCTAGCCATTGACTTTGAGCCCAATGAATGCCGGGAGAGAACATATTATAGTACAAATTGCGCCCATTTCGTCCCAAAAGGGTAGAGTGCGGATTGCAGAATAAGATGGGAAACACCTAGAGATGTACACTGATGCGCACAATGCCCTCGTACAAATAAGAGTGTGAATCGCATCGCGAATTTGTATTTCTTTTGTACTAAATGTCCATTTTGAAACCAGTGAAGTAGCGGGTGGTATCAAGGGTATTAATTGAAGTACATGTGGATAATGTCGTGCAACACGGTCATATTGTCGGCGCGGAAAAACCAGCGGAAGCGACCTCGTAAGACAACATGTTGAAGTATTCACTTCCTGATGCAATGATCTCACTGGGTAGACCCCGGGCCTCACCGAGGTGTTCAGTTTTGGAATGATTTTGCAAGAATTCCCATTGGTGTAGTCCAACAACGGTCCTAGCGAGCCGTTTTCGGTTGCTCTATTGGGGGAAATGGAGAATCAATTCGGACTGATGTCGAAACAGTAGTATAAAATTGGTATTATGCAGATGGAGCATCGCCGTACACATAGCTATTGTAATGTTACATCAAGAGTCTCCGCCCCGAAGCCAAGATGCCTTGATCGGACGGGTTCATACCTTTTTCTCACAACCACTCGCGTGGCACGGCTCTTTCTGACCAACTCCTCTCGCTCTCCCAAGCCAGCCAATCCGACCTTGTAGTTGGCAACAAGCCCATTTGGTTGACCTTCCAGATTCCCAATCCCAACATCAATATGTTCATCAGGACGTAAACAAGCTTGACACCAAGGAGGCGACCTGATGTGCCAGGAGTTTCGAAAGGAGCAAAAGTGCGTTGTAGGCCGATGACAGCCATGACGGGTGTCTTGAACAGAGTGAAGACCATGAAGATGGAGAAAATCTGGAGGGTATTTCCCGTCATGTACATTCCTAAATTATTCCGTCAGTAAGCTGAAACCGCTTATCTAGACAGCCTTGAGATGGCGCGTACCAATAGCATTCATCGGTAGTTGCTTCGCTGGGGCAATTGCCAACTCCCAGGCCTTCTTCATCTTCAACGTGTCCATCTCTTCTGGTGAGGGAGGTTGTCTAGTGGCTTGTTTCGATGCTTGCGATCGCTGCTTTGCGCTTAAAGGAGCGGTGAACCCTGGCGGGTCAGGAATCGATGCATTCTTGGAGCTGGCTGGAGGTGGGGAGTTAAGGTCGAGGACCCATTGCGGCGGCGGCGGAGGTGCTGAGGCCATGTCGGCGGCGCTTTGAAGCTGGCTAGATGGTGTAGAAGAACCAATTTATGTCGATAGAACCTAATGCGCGAGGCAAATGACCAGATGGTACGGTGCTATTGCAATATTATATCGAGAGGTGTCGTTGATGTCGATGAATGAGTTCGTCCACATGGGCTCCACTTTCCTCCCGCAAAGGGTCGGCTTGGCGCCAGCACGTGCCATCCGCCGCAACGCCGCGCGCGCTCGGGGGTTCTCTGAGATGTCTCAAAAACTTACAATTCGACATTGACAACACTCGAGTACTGATCTCTCCGTACGGCCATCCATCCTGCCAGACTCGCACCACGATATGCGACCCTCGATGCTCGCTGCTTGAAGGAACCCCTCGCCCAATCAATTCGCCGGATAACGAGACGAGATAGCTGTAAAGGAGGGGGCGGCTAAGACCTGTCAAGGAGAGGGGAGCTGCTGTGCACATGCACACCGGAACGGCGCACGCCTTGCACACGAGATAGACAGCCACTATGAGCACGAGTGGCCAAGATGCGAAGCTCTTCGCAAGGGTATGTCAGTTCTCTATGCCCCCCATCTACATACAACGGCGTCCGCAGCAGTGGAAAATCGATATAGACCTTCCACACCAGAGCCACCAGGGCTGCTGATCTTGTAATCTTGTCTATTGGTGGAGGACACTATACTATCGTACATGTCTTACGGATGCACTCGAGCTATGCCGCCATGTTCATACCCTATGCATTCGAGAGCCAACGCTTACACTATTTCCGAACACCACAGGGCAAAGTAGCGGAACTTCGGCTGGAGCTGAACAGTGGTGGGAAGAAGGACAAGACCCTTGCGGCAAAGAAGACGGCGCTGAAGAAGATCGTTGCGAACATGACCATGAGCAACAATGATATGGTGGCACTATTTCCAGACGTCGTGGGCTGCATGCCTCTGCCGAGTTTGGAGATCAAGAAGATGTAGGTGGTATGCCCATGGTGATGGAGTTGTAGACTGACTGGCTGTAGGTGTTTCTTGTACTTGGTCAACTATGCGAGGGTAAAGCCCGACATTGCCCTGAAGGCGTTACCGATCATCCAGCAGGATATGCAGGCCAGCAACCCACTGGTACGAGCACTGGCACTTCGAACAATGTCATATGTGCACGTCCGCGAATACGTCGAAGCTACGATCCCTCACGTCAGAGACTTGCTCAAGGACAACGACCCGTATGTCCGCAAGACGGCTGCATTCTGCGTTGCGAAGCTCTACGACCATGACAGGCAACTCGTGGAGCGATCAAACCTCATTGACGTTCTAAACAACATGTTGAGGGATGAGAACCCTACAGTTGTGTCGAGTGCGTTGGCTGGGCTGATGGACATCTGGGAGCGCAGCGACAACATCAGGCTGACGATCGACTACGCCAGCGCGTCTAAGATCGTCCAGATCCTCCCGGACTGCTCGGAATGGGGCCAGACATACATCCTCGAGGCCATGATGAACTACGTCCCACAAGATACCCAAGAATCCGCATTGCTTGCCGAGCGGATATCGCCTCGCCTTTCCCATTCAAACTCTGCCGTCGTTTTGACGTGCATCCGCGTAATATTATACCTCATGAACTACATCGACGACCAAAAAGTAATCAAATCACTGTGTAATAAGCTCTCGCCGCCGCTGGTGACGCTCCTCTCCAAGGGACCGGAGATCCAGTACCTGGCGCTGCGAAACGCACTGCTCATCCTCCAGAGGCGGCCAGAGGTCCTACGGAACGACATCCGGGTCTTCTTCTGCAAATACAACGACCCTATCTACGTGAAGGTCACGAAGCTCGAACTGATCTTCATGCTGGCTACGGAGAAGAACATCAAGGAAGTATTGACCGAGTTGGCTGAGTAAGTTACCTTCCATTTTGTCAGAATGCCCAACAATGATACTAACAACCCCATCCCCAGATACGCCACGGAAATCGACGTAGACTTCGTCCGCAAATCCGTCCGCGCCATCGGCAAACTCGCCATCAAGATACCGCCCTCCTCCCAACTCTGCATCTCGACCCTCCTCTCGCTCGTCGCCACCAAAGTCTCCTACATCGTCCAGGAAGCCACGGTCGTAATCCGCAACATCTTCCGCAAGTTCCCGAACCAATACGAATCCATCATCTCCACCCTCTGCGAGAACCTCGACTCGCTCGACGAGCCCGAAGCCAAAGCCGCCATGATCTGGGTGATCGGGCAATACGCGGACCGCATCGACGACTCGGACGTCCTCCTCGACGACTTCCTCGACACCTTCCGCGAAGAAACCCACGAAGTGCAACTCGCCCTCCTCACCGCGACCGTCAAACTCTTCATCCAGCGCCCCACGAAAGGCTCCCCCCTCGTCCTCAAAGTCCTCAAGTGGGCCACGGAGGAAACAGACAACCCGGACCTCCGCGACCGCGGCTTCATGTACTGGCGTCTCCTGTCCTCCTCCCCAGACATCGCGAAGGCGATAGTAATGGGCGCCAAACCCGCCATCACGGCCGAAGAATCCGAGAAACTCGACCCGGGCACGCTGGAGGAAATGTGCCTCAACGTCGGCACCCTCGCGACCGTGTACCTCAAGCCCGTCAACCAGGTCTTCCGGTCCGCCCGCCCCAGGAAGTTGCAGGACTCCCCCGCCCTCCAGCGCCACGAACTGCCCACCGTCGTCGCCGCCCACCAGGCGCGTCAGCGCGCCGCGGCTGAGCGCTCGAAACTCGATACCGTGTCTAACGGCTCCGGCTACGCCGCGCCGCAACTCAGCCCGACGTTCAACGGCAACGGAAATGGCAGCGGCACGCCGACGAATCTCGCCGCGGCGGTGAATGACGCAGACGCGTATTTCGCGGGCGTGGGCAGGCAGAGCAGCTTCGGAGGTAGTCCGATTGCGGCGGCTGGTGGCGGACAGGGACATTGGGTGGTTAATCAGAATGCGCCGCAGCAGAGCTTGATGAGTCCGACGGGGTTGGATGGGACGCAGGATCTCTTGCTCTAGGGGACGGAGCTCATTCCTTTTTGGTGCTTGTGTTGGTTTCTTGGGGAGGGGGTTTGGAACGTTGGATGTTTGGATACATATATATTGATTGACGTGTTGAAGCAAGTCTGGAGCAGTAGTGAGGATGAGGTGGTTTTTGAGGTTGGATGTTTGTCGTTGTTGTCGCTCTAGGATACGAGTAGCGTAGCGTAGCCAGGGGAGTGCGGGCGTATGTACATGTGCTCGTTGTGTAATCTTACCCTTTTACCCTTTTTTTTCTGAATGCGTTTTCAAGATATCACAATGTAGTTGGGTGCTTTTTCGGCCGTTATAATGCATTCACCATTCACCAGTCATGCGATCAACATCAATGTGGAGTATAGTAGAGTGAACGGAAGTGTAGATGACGGATGGTAATTTTGAAAAGGAAAAAAACCCCCATGCTAACCTGAAGAAGGAGTACATGGACCACACCAAAGCTCATACTATGATACTGCAATGATTGCGAGCTCTGAAGCAGCTCGATCTTCCTACTCCCAGTATCAGTGGTATAATCGCAGAAAACAAGCTGGGAGCCAGAGCTGAGACAAGACTTTAAGCAAAGGACAAAACACAACCCCTTCAGGATGCAAATCACGCAAAAACCAACCAAAAGGCAAGAACTACGTCAGGACCCTTCCATGCAAACCATTCCAAAGAGCTAACTGAAAAAGGCCTCGCTACTCGAGACCATTGAGATAAAGAAACCATCCCACAAGCCATCCTTCCAGAAGTCGTGAATAATGCTCGCTGCCAGAACACCGATCTCTTGGTCCCAGACCTGGATCTTTAATAGGGGCAGTTCTCGAGACATTCCTCGATGGTTTCACAGTTCTCGCAAGGTTGAGGATGATCGTATTCGTGAATAAGAAATTCAGTGGTCTCCTGTAAGAGATTGCTGACAGCCAATTCCCGGGCGGCAGCTCCATCACGCAAGAGAGGACCTAAGAGAAGAGGAGAGAGTAAGTAAGGAAATTGCACAATGATTATGCGTGTCTCTGACGAAGACACGGGACGATGTATCTCAAAGGGTGGTGTTCCAACGATCCAGGGAACGACAGGCGGATTGGTGGAGGGAGAGTAGAGGATATTTCAAGGCTGACAGTTGCAATATGCTATTTCTGTGATGGACAGATCCAATGCACAGAATTGAGCTTCACTCTGCAACTACAGCTTACTCATCGGCAAGCAGAGGGGCACGCTCACGATCCTCCGAAACAATCTCTCCACGCTTGAAGGGGCTGGATCGACCAGAGGCTACGGCAAGCGAGAGAAGGAAGAGCAGGCCACCGATGGTGAAAGCAAAGATCCACTGGAGTTGGAGGACGGGGATCGTGGTGAGGAACTGGCCGACTGCGGTTGCTGCAAGATTCATTAGCACCCCACCCAATATATAACCAAGAGAGAAGAGAGTCGTAGTTTACTTACCGAAAGAGAGATAGGAGAGCTCAAATCCAATGGTGTAGTCCTTGAATGCGGCAAGGAAGAAGGTGCCGTAGGCGAGGTATCCCCAGATGAAGATGTTGCCGACGATCCTCTCAGGAAGGCGGTTGTTGAAGGCCGCACGAGCGCCAACCCAGTACAGAGCAACAAAGTTCCATGCCAATGGGCCGCTGACGGTTCCGATGTGAATGAGCCTGGGGGTGGTGGAGTGGCGGAAGTAGGTGATGCTCAAGTTGAAGAAGTTGATGATGAGCAACAACTCGGCGAGCCAGAAGTGGGAGCGGACCCAGAGATGGATGAAGCCGAAGAGAAGGAGGTTGTTGGCAATGTAGTGGGCGCCAATGTTGGCAGCAGCGTTTACGTAGACGGTGTTGGAGGAGTAGAGAGACCAGGCGTAGACGAGCTGGAGGATGAAGAGAACAATCCAGTAGATGCTGACCATGATGCTATTCAAGGCGAAGGGGGTGGGCCTGTTCTGACCCCAGATGGTGCGCCATGGGTGGTGACCTTCGTGCGGGGTGTTGAAATTGTAGTAGAAGGCGGTGACCAAGAGGAGCAGGTAGGAGATCAGTGTGGTGATCTTGAGGAGGAGGATGGACTGGCCAGTATGCTCCTCACGACGGGCGAATGGGTTGTCTGCCAGAGGCATGTTAGGGTGGAGAGTTCTAGGTGATTGTTGTATTTGATTGAAAGGTACTTACAGCGACTGGGAGCTGCACCTTCAGGCATGTTGGCGGATTGACGATTGTTTGGGTATGGATATGGATATGAGTGTTTGTAGTCGTGTTTATGGTTGTGATGTGTGGCGTGAGTGTTGGTGTAGCGGGACCAAAGCTGATGACGTCTGGCAGGGCGATGGAGGAAGAGAGAAGGCGGGAGTGGGCACAGGAGGGGTTTTATTGTCCGTGCAAGAGGAAGAGGAAGGTACGAGGTATGTATCTAGTAGGCTGCAGGTGGGCAGTTTGGAGGAAGGAGAAGTCCAAAAATAGGGAAAGAGCAGCAGAGCAGGTAAACAGGTCTCAAAGGGAAGTTACTGGGAGAAGCTGGTAACAAGTTGGGAGCAGCAGCCTCACTGAGTACGTAACCTGTGTCAGACCACGGGCGTTTTGTATGCGGAGAAATATTGGATGAGCGAGGAATAGGGTTAGAGTAGGTTAAGCACGGTAAAAGGTAGAAGGAGAGGAAGGAGAGCAATAGTGAGGTGGGAGTTTCTTGTTAATGAATTCGTTGGTGGCTATGCTGACCGGACAATGTCTCGAAACACGCACGTCTTTTTCGTCGTCTGATGCAGGCGAGTATTGGGCGAGCAAGTCCAGAAAGGCATCCGCCAACATCACCAACATAAACAAGTAAACGATACCAATAACCCAGCTGTAGTCTCCAAACCAGCAATGATATCCCCCTTCCTCCTCTCTCCCTCTCCATCTCCCCTCCAATAACCCCAACATCCCATCCCTCCAACATCAAACAAGAGGGGGAATAAACCGATTAACCAATTTCTACGTCATCCCATGTCTTGGCGAAATCCCATCTTTTTCCATCGCCATTTTGCATGGTCACGGTCCCCCATTTCACGAACTGGCACAATTGTCAAACCATCCCTAAACAAGTTAGCCACCCTTCCACATTAAGGGGTCCAAGCTCCCCCTCCCTCCCCCCCCCCCGCATTGCAGACAAGCATCCCTGCTATGGACTAATCATTGGGGGAGGTACTACACACACACACACACACACACATACAGTGATGAGGTACTTTGATCATCAGCGTTGGAGAGTCACGTACAAGAAGGATATCGAAACGATCTTCACACTGTCGCTCGAAGTAAAATCCGGTGAAGCGTGCGTGTGTGTTCGGGAGACTGTAACTGCGTACATGCAAGATCGCCTCGTCATTTCCCCCCGCATAATGCGTGTGCGACATTGCTACATACTTACCAGTGCTCCCACCCCATACAAGACGTAGTTACATAGTCTGTACTCCGTACTCTGTACCTAACTATGTACAGTACCAATGTACCGCATCTTCCTGCATGCAAAACACACCTCGTGACAACACCCAACCACACCCCTTTCTCCCGCCAGCAGAGGTTCCGTCGTATGGAATCGCGCACCGCACCTCCCTGCCCTCGTAGCCGAAACGCGGGGTACGAGTTGGGGCTGCCGCATCGCGATTCACGGCGGCTGTGGCGGGGGAGCGAAGAAGTATCTACAAGTATTTATGAATTCACAGGCAGAAGCATAAAATTGGAGGTTTTGCATATGGGAATGGGTATAATATTTAGACGGTTATTGGGGGAATCAAAAAGGTATCGAGCTGCATACAAAGCAAAAACCATCTGGTCTCTTCCTCAAGGAAATAAAGTATACAAAAGGGAAGGGTCAAGAGTGTGAAGTGTGAAGGGGGAATAGAGTGACTACAATGTTGTAATGAAGAAGGGAAGTGAAGGGTAGGGTACCACTCTGTACTCGCAGGATAGAAAAAGACTCCTAACAGGCGCACTGCCGATTCGACGATCCTCACGAAACGCCAGAAAAGGAAAGGAGAAAGGTGAAGGAACAAACAGACAAACAAAACATGAGGGTATTGTGTTGCAGTGGTGGTGTAATGGTGTAGTGGTGTAGTATACTTCAAGTGTCTGTACACCATCGAAGAAAAAGGGTTCTGGGGTTGGGTCGGGTCCCAATGACCGGCCAATGGGGTTCGCTCCACGCGCTACACCTCCCCAATTGCAAAACCTCATTGCTCAATTGCTCATGTGCCGCACTACTCGTGTACTGTACAGACAGCACAAGAAAGTAGCCGCGCCATCCCCAATATCGACCCGTGCCCGAAGGACTGGCAACCTGTCTGTACTCCATGCCGAACAAGATCCTTGACCAAAGTTTCGCTAGAATTATTGCATGGTGGCACCGACGAACCTAACGCAATAGCTCTGTGCAAGCTCGTCACCACCAAGGCAAACAATCCACTACACGGGCGTATTCTCCCATATTGAGACTGTACGACCCCAACACCAAAAGTTCAGGTGGCAGTCTTCAACCACGCTTCAATAGATGGATGAATGCGAAATGGCCATTGCGGTGCTCTAGCGAGTCGGTTGAGGGGTCTCGGGAACTTCCCAGACGTCCACCTCCTCTCCCTGCTTCTTGGCCGCGTTCTGCTGTCCAGGGATATTTACTGACCCCATGTTGCCCGCACTACCGGTGTTGGGCCCAAATGGAATCGCACCTCTGGACGTAAATACCGGCAGGTCTTGCCTCCTGCTCGCGGGGGACATCGGCCGTGCGGCATTCGTGGTCGTGGTCCCGACGTCGGAATTGGGAGGCAACCACTGCAGCGGCGCTTGGGTCTCTTGCTTGTTCCTGTTCTGGATGTTGTTAACAACCGCTGCTACCCCTCCGAAGGAATGATTGTTCATGTTCACAAACTCGTGCATCGAGGCTGGTGGTGGTGGCGGAGGAGTGTCTGGCCGAGGCGGAGAGCTTACCACAGGTAGCTCTGGCGTGTTTTCTAGGAAAGATGGCTTTGGAAGCTGCTCGGGCGTGATGCTCATCTCTTGCAGTGTTGAAGGTGGATCCGGCAATCCTGCCGAGGAGCGGCGACGTTCAGCTTGCGAGGGTTGAAGAATGGTTGTGGGTTGACTAGGCAGTTGAGGCTGCGGTTGCTCCAACGGAGGACTGACGCTCTTCTCGATCTGTGGAGGTTCGGGAAAAGACGCAGGCTTTGGCGTCTCTACTTTGTTAGAAAGCATGCTTTGTGATGTCTGACCCGTTGTGACTGCAGTTGGGACTGAAGTGGCCGTCTTGAGTTCCGTAGATTGTGCTAAAGCTGCAACTGGCTTGTCACCAGCCTCGACAGGTACGGTAGACTTTGTCGTCTTTGGAGGGCGTCCAAGAGTCTTCTTAGGAGCGGCTGCTGTGGCTTTGGTGGTACTGGTGGTAGATTTCGTAGCAGTCTTGGTGGTTCGAGGTGCTGTGACTTTCTTCGCCACAGGCTTACTCGCCGCCTTCTTCTCTGCTTCCCTTTGCTTCTGACGCGCAATGTACTCTTCCTCAGTAGCCGGAAGGTTGAGCTTGATCCTCCCCATACCAGAAGTGAGCTGGTCCATATCATTCTCCTTTTCCTTGGGAGCGGCAGGCTTATTCAAGTAGTTGGATGGCACTCGAGGCACCGGGGGTGGATTCTTAGTGGTGCGGGAAGCAGCCGTGACAGTCCCTCTCGCCTTCTTCACTGGAACGCCATTTGTAGTGGGTGGTGCTGGTGTTACTGTCCTCCTTCCAGGAACAACGCTAGAGCTGCGACTGAGGCTCCTATCCTCGTTGACAGATCCAACGCTGGAAGCAATGCTCATTCGCCTTGATACCTTCCGTGTTGGAGCGGGAGGCTCAGAGGTTGCAATTGCGAAATCAGCAATGGTCCTTCGTCGATTTGCCCTTGAAGCCGCTCGCGAAGATGCCTTATCTTCGTCCGACCCAGTATTGGCATCCGTGGCGGTCGGTGGCTTTCGACCTCGTAGCTGTCGTCCTGAGGGGTCGACATGCACTGAGGCTAAGACGGGTGGTGGTTTCTCTTTCTTGACCTTGACCTCGGCCAAGTCCTCTGGCCTGTGGCTTTGTGTCTGTCTATCAGACGGTATCAGGAGTTTGCTCAGCCCATGAGCGGCAGTTGCCCAGTCGACATCTGGCGGTGGAGGCGTAGGTGCCCTAGAAGGGGAAGCGGAACTGTATTTTGTGGATACACTGCGGTAAACCTTGGCAGGATCAACCACCTTAGCTACGAACGACTGAGTTGGGGACGAGAAGTTGGGTGGCGGCCCAGTTCGTGCTGGTTTCTTCGGCATAACAGGAGCAGGATTGACCAAGTTCTCCAGCTCGTACAATCTTGACTCGTGCCACCAAGCTGGGTTGTATGACACCGGCTTCAGTTCAACGTCGACGGGCTCTTCCTTAACTTTGTCATCCGAAACCGACAATGCCGCCAGACGCTGATACATGTCCGTTGCAAGACCCCTAGAAGGCGTGCTATCTTGGAAGATCTGGCCCTCAGTAAGACCACTGATATGACTGAGTGCTCCACTGGCCAAAGCTCGGTCACTGTAACCACCCTCAAGCACCGAAATGACTCGACCATCGACACCAGTTCCATCTTCTTCAGCAATTCGGACGATATCGCGAGTGAATCGGGCGTAAAATTCTGTAGGGACGTTCACGGCGTGGCGTTGCATTCCCGAGCCCTCCCACTCACTGGCATCGAAGCCGGCAGATATGAAGATAGCAGCTTTGGGTTTGGGATGATTTGGCGAGGTCTGGAGTCGTTTGGAGTGGTGCTTTAGGTATTGCCGAACTTTATCGAGAAGTCGCATGTATTTCTCCTCGTAGATCTTCCAGAACTCTTCTACGGTGCTCCAAACCTCAAGATGGACATTCCAAATTGATTGCCCGTGAGCAGCATCCATACAAAGACTAGCTGCTTGAATCTTATCATCGTCGCCGTTCTCGCATGGGTACGAGTTGATATCGTGAATACTGAAGTATCCGATGGAGGTTTTCTTCCAGTTGGGAGTGTTCTTGTGCATGCCCTGAACCTTCTTGTTGCGCTCCCAAGTAATGGCTTGTGAGCCGTCACCGTGGTGTAGATCGAAGTCCACAATGGCAGCATGTGTGAGGCCGTGCTGGGTCATAGCATGGTCGATGCCGACATGCACGTTGTTGAGCCAACAGAACCCTGAGGGGTAATCAGCTGAACAGTGATGGCCTGGCGGTCGGACACAGACGAATGCGCGGGAAGGTCCAGTGCCCATATTGGTGCCATGAAAAACTGCATCGACAGCATCTAGTACGCCTCCTAGAGCACCTTGGAATGCATTCAAAGACTCCGGGCACAGATACAGATCCGTCTCGTGAAACTCGGGCTTTGGTGGTTGTCCCGGGATGAGAGATCCATGCTCTCTTGCCAACTCTCTTCCAGTAGTCGCAAGCTTGTGTTCCGCCCTTGCACACATCTCCTTCAGTTCCTCCATCCATTTGGTGCCATGCACGTTGGTGACGGCAGGAGACAGGAGATCGACCATCCGAGAGGTCTTGCGAATCTTGAAAGGGATGCGCTCCGGCGGCGCATGCTCGGGGTGTGGTGGGTTGGCTCCTTCAGCGTGGCGGTCGCCGAGCCAAACATATGCAGCAGAGATTCCCAGGACAATGGCGAGCATTCGCTCTGGCCTTTCCACAATCTGGCTGAGGGCACCCTTACTGGTCTTCTGTCTCGAATAACGATGTCCATAGCATTGATCATGTATGATGACGATGGTTCCCGCATTCCTAGACCCGCCGATACCCTCATGGAAAGCCAGCTCCTTCTCGAAGTATTTTTCTGCTACGTCGCAGGCTCGTAGCGGGGGTTTCTCTTCGACGGGCGGTGGAAGGGGAGATTTGACTCCAATTGGCGACGGCATACTGGGATTGTATGAAGAGCGACGTGACGGGGGCGCTCGGGGAGTACCAGGCGTATCCCCACGAAGTGAGGAACTGGAAGATTTCCTTCCCAAGGCGGGGGAGTTTGAACGATTGAGGCTCGCAGCGCTAGGGCTTCTGCATATGGAACCAGGGGTAAGTCCCGGGGAAGACGGCATGCGCCTGAGTTCAGAGGGTCTGCGGGGTGTATTTAGGCCTGGGGATTGGGGTAGCGGCGTGTTTGCGGCGGTGTTGATTGAGAGGCGATTCAGAGGTTTTGCGCGCAAGTTCGCGTCATTGTTTGTTGACTGACGCGCACTGGTTGCCACATCGTTGCTAAGGTAATTCTGTGTTTGCGAGGGGTCCTGCATGTTGGCGGTGAAAGCCGCAGTGCGGCGCGCGTGTTTGGTGGCAGTGAAAGCAATTATTTCGAAGTCTTCGGGTGGTTAGAGAGGGCAAGATGCAAAACAGTAAGGGTTCAATGAAGGAGTGAAATTGATGATAACGATGATGCGCCGGGCAACGTCCTGCCAACCCAAACAAGTCTGGTGACACGCCAAGACCCCAAATCGTCGATGCGTAGGGCTGCCGGCTGCCTCTTCCGTCACTCTAATGTCAACGCAGTAAACACTAACAAAATCAGGCTTCCCTGTGCTCTGATCCCGCCTTGTTTCAGTATCTCAAACCTGTTCTCGGTAGTCTGCCGCCGAATCAGCTGTCGTGCATAGAAGCCCCAAAAATGCAAGGCACAGAACAATTATACCAACACATGATTGGACTAATGTTCGCCACTTGGAATGTCTGCACAGGTCCATAGAGATGTCATGATGAGGACACATGCAGCTACCAGATTGTCTAGTCTCAAATCAAGAACGACTACTTTGATATCATGATTTGCATGCCAGGTCACGCTCCGTACTTTTGTATCATGTCTTCGAATGGTTTACTTTCTAAGGATCTAATTATTCTCTAATCCCAGAACAGGATTGCATTGTTTCATCATGCTTCTAACATACCCCCTTCCCATCAATCAACCATGAGATCAACACCAACACCCTTAAGTGCTGTGACCGCCCATTCGGGATACTTCTTCTTATCCCCGTGCAACGTCGCGAAAAACTCCTTTAAGAACGCCGGGTACCTATCCTCCAAGATGGCCTCTCTGGCCCTCTTCATCAGGTTCAGTTGGTAATGGACGTTATGCATGGTGAGCAGATGGGCTCCGGCGGTCTCTTTAGCGGTGACGTGGTAGATGTAGGCGCGGGTTATTCCCAGACCCCCAGCTTCCTGGGAGCGACAGCATGTGCATTGGCAGCCATCTTCGATAGGCCCAAAGTCCTCTGCGTAAACTGCGTTGCGGAGGTTGAGGACGCCGCGGGCGGTGATGGCGTTGCCGAAACGCTGGGGAGAATTAGTGGATAGAAACATGATTTTGAAGGGAAGAGAAAGCTTACTGCTGTTCTGGTCGGCCATACACAGTCGAACATGTCGGCACCAAGCGCGACGGAGACGACCAAGTCCTCAGGGTATCCCTATCTCTGTCAGCACATATCTGGATATTCAATTCATAAAGTAGCACTCACGACGCCCATAACGTAACGAGGCTTGTTCTCCGGCAGCAGTCCTGTACAAGTATCCACGACCTTACAGTACGATGTCTTCTCCTCACCTCCGGACAGCCCTCCAATGGCAATACCTGGTGTATCCCGCGCGACCATCTCAGCCGTGCATTGCCGTCGCAGATCGAGGTCCAATCCTCCCTGAATAATGCAGAATAGATTCTGCCTCTCTGGGTACTTGTGGGCTTTAATGCACCGATCTAGCCATCGTATTGAGCGTTCCATCGCTTCCGTCATTCGCGCCAGATCGGGGGAAGTCGTCGCGATAACATCGTCTAGCTGCATTATTATGTCCGAGCCGATCGAATTCTGCAAAGATATGGAATGTTCGGGCGTCAGAAGCCTTCAATTGCAATCAGCGGTACTCAATGATAAATCATGATAATACAGCACAACGTACATAGGCGATCCATCATGCGGACTCAAAAACCGCACTCCTTCTTCTGTGACCTTCGCGAGTTTTAAGAGTGACACCATCTGGAAGCTGCCGATTTGGTCAGCTACGGCTCGTTCGTCGACAAAGTTGGAGGGATCACCCACCCACCACTATCTGCGTTCGTCAGCTGGCGCGGCCTTATATGTGGGGTTCCTTTATTCCGGGCAAGCACCTGTGAGGATATTGTGTGGCCATGATTGGAACTTGTGCGCTCCGCCTATCGCATCTAATGTCGCCTGTCCTGGCTTAAGGCCCCTCCGCTGTGTTAGCAGAGGTGTTGAAAGTTGGCTGATGTGTACCTACAAGTGGTAGGTATTGTTCAGACAGAGACGACAGCTAGTCTCCTCAAGTTGTTCCGGGGTAAGACCTTTGAGCGAGGCCTGTGTCGCGACAGGCATAAAAATTGGGAGGGGTACAGGCCCATGGGGAAGCTGGAGATTTGCGGCGCGGGCTTTTGTGACCTACAGCAATTGGAATAAGTCACGGTGCGGAGATATATGATCCATTCATACGTACTGAGCATTTGCCCAAAAGCTCGAAGCTCAGAGCTGAGGGCATCGGCACTGGAGCCATGACAAGGGAAGATATGGAGGGGAATGAGTGTTGCTCGCGCGAGACATGGGATTATTCCGAAAATACAATCCTGGACCCAATCGATAAGGCCTGGTACGTGCGGCTAGCGCTGGGGATCTGTCAACTAACCACCTTCAGCCTTAGTCTACAAATCCAAGGTGTATGACACTTGTACTAGGTATGTATACCAGGCAGGTACCTAGATTTTCATAGACATATCCAACGGGACACAATGGGATCAATACAAATACCTATTCAGCGTCGCAAAAGTGTATACTGCTGAGTATCCGCCTGTTTTTCGAGAGAAGTACCACTTATATACATGCACAACATGTAGACACCATAGTCAAGGTAACCATCAAAACAGTACAAAAAGCCAAATAATTCTAGAAATTAAAAAAACTTGAAGCTCTCCTCGTGATATCTTCTAGGCCAATTCGTGATAGTTAAGAAAAAAATACAATCCTCCAAGTATATTTATATCGAGCTAACCTAGCAATAGCATTCAAGCATAAGTGTCCACCATACAACGAGGAAACAACTTCGACATCATAAAAGGACAACATTTCTTGAAGATCAAGACGCCAGACCAGCAAAACCAGCCATGATGTGCCATCTTTTTAAAACCCCGCCATATTATTGATTCATCAGGTGGAGAAGTGTGGTATTGAATTCCGCCGTACCAGCGGTACCCTGGACTTCCAACTCATGTCCTACTCTCTCGCGGTTCTCAAAGCTGCTATCCAACCCTAGGCTCTTGAATGTATCGACCACGGAGTGAGGATCAGCTGCAGTCACTTGGTATGGGCTAAGAATTACTACTCTTGTGTATGTTCTTACGTCTGAAGTTGATGTTTGGTTGTGTCGTGTGTACATACGATGGGCCACTGGAGGCTGTAAAACTTTGGTGGGGAGACGATCCTGAGGAGGTGTTGAAGTTCATGGGCGGTTGACTTAATATGAACGTTGGTGCTGGAGACGGTCCGGGCATGGTAGATTGTTGATCTGCATCATCGGGTTGGCTCTGGATATGTTCTCGACTTCATCGACGGTTGGTCTGGGTAGAATGCCCCTGCAATCGTTCGAGAAACCTCGATGCGATCTTTGTCAGAGTAGATACCCTTATTTTCCTTTTCGCACACCTGAATTCTATAGCACACGTCGACAATATCTTTGTCTCTCCAGTCCTTCTGCTCGTTGTTCATGATCCGATATATACGACCCGTACTTTCCTTGATGTGGAGCCGTGTTTCTTTGGAAAGAGTTTCTTTCCAATGACCTTTGATATCCCGCTGGCCAAATGTCTTGGTCTGCTGGTAAATGCCGACTGCCGTTGCATGATTCTCGTGGGGGAGGTTTCTGGAGCTCGATTCGGCTTGGGCGATTGTTAAGCATGTTTCGGCAAACTTGCGACGGTCAAAGACTGCATCGCTGCAAGCTTCGTCGGCAGCCTGCCTGCATAGGAAGAGAGCCCCGATTTGGCTGTCATTCAGTTTCCGTACGGCAGGACTCTTCTCTCGAATCTTTTCGACAAGCGTGACGTATGCCGAATGCTTCTTCCAGGCTGGCTATATGGTCAGTCACTATCTCGGCATCAGAATGGAGAGGCTTACATAGAACATTGTCCCCCAGATCAGGCAATTTCGATGGCACTTGCTGCTCCTCAGAGCTCGACGAATTCCCCATAGCTGTTGTGCTAGTGAGGAAGAAACAAAGGGAGTAAAAGGTCGAAAAGTTCCGGGAGCGGGTTTGGCAGGCACAAAAAGATTAGGTACATGTGATGGTAAGCTTCCAAACCGTAGAGGGATTTGGGACAATATATCTTTCCGCATCCACGACCCCGCATTGTCTGTAGACAGCATGACATCAGGTGCAGCCTCATTCCATCTGCACCTGCTGGGATCATGCGGGGGGCGCATGTGAGGCCGACGTGGTTCAAGCAGATAGGTTGATTATTCGCTACACTGGTCCCGGAGTATGTATGGCGTTGATGGTAGGAGAAATGTCAATGAATACCCAGCAACCGAGTAGGTATGTTCGTTTACCATCAGGGCGGTGCTACGTTTTCCCTTCGTAGCACAAGTCAGTTCCAAAGATGGGCTTTCAGAGTCAAGAGTAACCCAAAACAACAATTAGAATCGTAAAATATAATTGGATATTATATTGACACTATCTTATGCTCCATCATAGGAAGCAGATCGTACAAGTATGCATTTTCCCTTTCCATTGCTTCTACCCATCCTCGCCTTTTATGTCCTCTATATAGGTCTGGTGGAGCCGAGGGGACATAGGAGGAGATGCCTTGAATGATTTTGAATGAAAAAATGCAACTAGATAAACATGCAATCCGGGCAAATATTTGAGACGCCATACCGTATCAATGCGAGATGGGAAATGATGGTGCAGGAACCCTTGTAGGGGACTGTAGAGGAGTCGGAACAGGGTTACCTCAATGAGCGGAGTGATCTTCACTTGGATGACCCCACATTGATCAATCGTTCCATTGCCGAAATGCCAGTGTGAAGAGCTACTGTTGCTCGGAGTTCTCAGTGCAGTTACACGGAAGAAACAGCTCACATCTTCACCCTGAACAAGTAACGCAAGCGAACCTGGGCAACGTCGTAGGTGATGTATTCGTTGTATAGGAGGTACGCATTTGGAACCTGGGTATTCGTTGGGGGATGTCTGACATCGGGCTGAAATGGGTTGTTAGCGTAGACCTGTCAGAATGGAGAAGATGACTTACAATCTTGACGCCAGCTAGTGATTCATGGATATCCTTGCCGTCCTTCCAAACGAGGGGCGCGGTGGTTCCTTTGCCCCAGGTCGAGAAAGAACCACGAGCGATGGCATCCTCCCCAGCAGTGTATGATGAGTTTGTCAGTTCATAGAGCGGGTCGCCGAGTTCAGCCTCGCAGAGTAGAAGAAGTGCATGGCCACCAGAGTTGTATGAGCAACAATAATTTGCCGACTTAGAAGACATATCGGCCAAATAGATACCTTTCCCGAACATGTAGCCAGAGACGGGTGCCTCGGGCGGTGCAATGCGGAGACCCTGACTAAGGATACCACCGAAATTAGTTGCACGAGATCCATGCCACAAGAGACGACGGTCGCTCTTGATGTTTGAGAATTTGCTCTTCTGGAAGCGATCGAGCTCACCGTCTCGCTCGATACGGAAGATAGACTCAATCTGGTAGTTGACATGATGAGTGGAACCTCTTGTTGTCATGAGGTAATCTGCAAGCTCCTTGAACTCTGTACTGGTGGAGTCCAGCACCGACATTTCGTTGAGACCAAGACCGCGGAATTGGCGATCGAGTGCATTGATAGTTTCTCCATTCTTCAGATCCTTCTTCATGAGCTCAGCAGCCTCCTTCATGTCAGCAAGAGATTCGAGTAGCTCGATCTCTTTCTTCAAGCGTGTATTGTCGTTCAGGACTGGAGGTCGATTCCTTCCGAAGTTGTGTGGGATGAGCGAGTAGTATCTGTTGCTCAAGTCTTCAATGTCACTATGATTGGATTGTCCAGACTGCAGGAGTGCGGCTAGGTCCTTCAGATTCTGAAAGCCTCGATTGATTGTAGCTTTGCTCAGCTTTCCGAGAGGCATCTTGTTTGCATCGTAATTCAGGTCGTCCATGGCAGCGTTCATATATTGTTGGTTGAATATCAGTTGCATCAGGGATTGAACTTCTGGCGCAAGAGTAGATTCCGCGACCTTTGGCTTTTCATCATCTTCGTCTTCACCATCCTTGCCAGCAGGTCCACCTGTGCCCTCTTCATCGTCGGAATCAGGTGCATAGCTCCTCTCAACGTACGCATACTTGCCCTTCTTTGGATCGGCAGCCCTGTTGCTCCACGCAAGGCCAGACTTGTCCTTGAACTTCTTCTCGAAATTGCTCATGGCGTCATCGAGAGATCCGCTACCAAGAACGGCCTTTTGGCCGAAATCTCCAACCCGGCCCCAGCGCGTCCATGTCTTGTAGTCAAGAGAGGCAGGATGACGCAAAAGCTAGGACAGCAGGTTAGTTTGCGAGAGGTCAAGGTCAGAACGTTGCACAAACCTGGACACGATAGAACTTGTTATTGTTATGAGATGCGTTCGTCTGGTTGAGAGCTGCGTCGTAAACGACACCATCATCATCAACGTAGACTTGATAGCCGTAAAGAGTACAGCCTTCGTCAATTGGAACGACGATGTCTTTAGACTTCAGCACCGAGCCCTCGCCGAATTTGGGCTCTTCCTTGGGCGCAGCAGCTTTGGTTGTTTTGGACTTCTTGTCCGGTACGGCAGCTGGAGGAGTAGATGCAGCGCGTTTTTTACCGTTGGCATTTCCGTTGGCGTTTGCGGTAGCATTCTGGGTGCTGGAGGATATGACGTAGTCATTGGGGTCCTCCCACTTACCCGAAGCGACACAATCATTCAACCAATCAATTGAGGCGATCGGAACGCCGTGTTTCTCAGCGGCTTTGACTTTTGTCGATGATTTCTTGACATCAGCCTCGGTAGAGACGAGAACTTTTGTGTCTGAGGTGACGGCTTTGTCAACGGCGCCACCATTGGTGGTGATGGTTAATTGGATGGAAGCTTGGGTTTGGCCCGGGAAGGTGCCGCTGATTGCGATGGTCTGACCGGCGAGGGGCAGCTTCGCAGCGGCAGCTTTCCTTTTTGGTGGCATTGCTGGGTGATGGGCAACGAGCCAGGGTAATCAATGAATAAGTGATGATGACGTGAGGTGAGAGAGATGGGAGCAATTCAGAGCGAAATCGGAGGGCAGAAGTTGAGGCGATCACAGTGGATGAAATAGAGAGGGAGCGATCATATGAAGGAAGAGAAGGAGCAGGCTTCAGTGACGTATAGAACGCGATGTAAATGCGCGCGTGTATGGGTTGAGTATTTAATGACGAGAAGATGAACGGGATGAATTGGGTGAAGGTCAGGACTCAGGAGGCAACTGAGCTGAGGTTTAAGTTTGAAGCCAAAGCTGAGAGCAAGGCTAGTTGGTGCGGCACGGTGAACGCACGAAATCAGGTGACCTCTGGACGATGATTGGCAGGTGCCTGGACACGGGGGTGCTGCTGCCTGGGGCCGGTTTGGCGTGTGCCTGGGCTAGTCTACTGTTGGTTTAGTCGTGCCCTTTATTTACCTTGGATCTCCCTCATGGACTAACCACCTAGGGCGGGATGCAACTTAGTCAGGCAGGCAGTCAATCATCAGACGGCCGTAACCTGTGGAGGAATCAATCATCTTATCTATCAACCTCAACTACTCTCGCAATTGTCTCTGTTCGACCTCAATCTTTCATCATCCCCCCCTCTCTATCTCACTTCAACTGTTTCCAGAATCAGGTATTCCAGTTGCAAGCTTCTCTCCTCTCTCCGCCCATCATGGCACAGCCCGCTCTCGCGAGTATGCCAATTGAGCTGCTCGTCCACATCATTGCAACCTACCTTTCCACCGAGGACCTGGGAGCTCTTCGATTGACCAGTAAATATCTCGAGCAGGCCCTCTTCGACAGTTTTGCTAGAGAGTTCTTCACCAAGAAGCAATTCATGCTCACCACCCCAAGCTTGACTACCCTTATCGACATCGCCAAACATCCTGCTCTCTCTAAATCCCTCCAGCATGTCATCATTGGCCTTGATCATTACCAGTATACAAGCAATGGCTTCACCACCTTTGGCGAGGCCGAAAAGTACTATCAAGGATTTGCCGATCAACAGTACCTGATCCATTCTGGTCAAGATCGCGAAATGCTCGCCGAGGCTCTCTGCGCTCTCCCAAACCTGAAGACTATTGGGATCCGGGATTATAGTGCTGTTGGTCGCGTCCGAGAAGGAAGCCGTTGGAATAGTTACGGTGCGCCGACGGTATTCAGAGAGACCGGTCTGATGTTACCGCCTCATAAGACCGGCGCTGATATTCTTGCGGCCCTTCCCGCAAAGATGTTCACTCTTATTATGAACGCTCTTGCCGATGCCAAAAAACCAGTTCCCGAGATCGAGACCATTCTGCGCGCAATTGGCTCTGGATTGAGTGACGCTGCATTCTATCTGCCCGAGTACCAGAGTGTCAAGTTCGAACCGGTCCTGCAGGGTCTGAAAACACTCCTCCTGACCGTGAACCCTGGGATGGCCCATCCCGTTCTGCACATAGATAACAGCGACGACGTAATGGGTCATCGCTATCTGAAACAGTTCCTTACTCGTCTGCCCAACCTTACCCACCTAAGATTGAACTATCAATCACACGACAGGTGCGCAGGCAAGCCAATGGTGGAGTGGCTCGGCGACTCCAAGATATTCCCACTGCCCAAACTTGAGCGATTGGATATCGGCATGACAGCGGCACCACCAGAGCTTCTGCTTCGTGTTATTGCTCTACATGCGCAGACACTCCGCCACATCAATCTTTGGAAGTTCGGCTTGACCTACCCAAGACAAGATATCACCCACGACGTAGATGACCGACCGCACCCATGGCGTTCCTTCTTGGAGACACTCGCCGGCGTTCCCAATCTCAACCTCACTAACATCATGCTCGGTAATACATATCATTATGATGGTGTTAATCCGCCCATCAATGTCCAGTTCATCACCGAGGCGGCAAAAGCCGTTGGAGAAGACACCGAGAAGCGACTGACGTACGGCCACAAGGCTTTCGACCAAACTCGAGAGTACCATGGCAAGATGAGTGATTTTCTGCCCAAATTGATAGAGGATGCGTTCGCTCGATGGCCAGTTGGCTACTCGCACAGAGCGCAGCGCTTCGATCAAAATGAGGACGAAGACATGGATTCAGATGATGACGAGGATGAGGACTTTGAAGATTAGTGGGCTCCTTCTCAGCAACGAGTCGATCACGCAGTGGTTTGGTACTCTATAGAGCTCGGAAGGTCTTACATTCGATCTATGCAAGTCTTATTTAGCTAGGCACAGAATCAAGTCTTCAACAAATCCATGAATACAACAAATAAATCCCTTCTTCGAAGTTCACCATCTCCCCACTTCCTTCCTTTCAAAAAATTTCCCAATCATAACGAGCGACTTAAAGTTAAAACAACATAAAAAAATCCCCACAACAGCTTCTCCACCCTTCCTTCTTCCCTCCAATCCCCCGCCCACTCCCTCAAATCCTAGCCTGAATACACGTGTCACAAACCTTGTGTTCCTTGCACCACTCGCACGGTTTGTCCCAGTCATAGTTGATCACTCCCGTGCCTGCCGCCTCTTTCCTGGTCATGCACTTGCAGCATTCCCAGCGTACCTTCTTGTATGCGCCCCTAGCGTTGGCGCCGTACTTCATGTTTGGGGGGTCGTTCTTCAGCATTTTGGAGCTGAATGTGGTAGTGTGGTAGTTGGTTGTTTAGCCTGGTTGGATGCAATGATTTGGTTGGAGTTACTGGAAGTGTGGGTAGTCCTTGGATGTTCGAAAACTGGAGGATGTTTGGAATGATGGAGAGTGCTGTTTGACCTCGCCGGAGGGCCTTTATATACACTTGGACTGTGACATGATTCATCGTGAATGACAGTGCATGACGTGGAAATTCCATTGGAGTGACTTGATATGACTATTCATGTCCGGGAAATGACAGTAGATGGTACATGTGACAGAGATGGAGCGTCCGCAGGATCAAGTACGTTCATGACTGGGCTTCGTCCACGTCGCTGACCACGTACAATCAAAGTGTGAATGAACGAGAACGAGTACGTAGAAGAAAATCATCACATTAGACAGTGGAGTGTCAAATGTGACCGGCAGGGAAAAGCAACTTATCCGTAAGTCTCCATGACTTCTAGGAATCTCCGTGATTGAATGCGTACATCGAGCGGCATCTAATCCATGGCATCCGCAATTAATGTATCAAATGTGAACGGCTAGGGTGGGACAAAATATGGACAGCCATCACTACTTGTACTCATTAATAATGTGCCAAAGTATCAGTCACAACGAGGATTGGTAATGCTGCATGACTTTCTTCCAAGAGCGGCGTAGTGGCTATAGTCACGTTGTGTCGTGTTGATTTCCTGATGCGATACGAGAGGATGCATCTATATCCACCAATAAACGTGAGATGAGGGGGGAACAATGACGCAGAAAGTATGTACGCCCTTGTTATGACGCCGGTCAGATAACGTACAAGAAACGCGCATACCCCGCATCCTGACCCAAATTTTATCTTGACCATTCTCCAACCTCATATTCCTCTTATCTTCAATTAAATCTACATAGGAAAATTTCAATTATGTCTAACGAAGACTCCGTTCCTTTGAAGGCAAGCTGCTTGTGCAATGAGCATGTATTCACAGCCAGTGTTCCCAAGTCCAAACTTCCGCTGCAAATCTCCGCCTGCCACTGCACCTCATGCCGCCGCGTGAGCGGCGCCCTTTACACTACCGACATTGAATGGCCCGTCCCCGGATCCCAGGTTGATGTCCACTCGCTCAAGAAATTCGAGTTCTCAAAGAAAGTCGCTGTCTTTTTCTGCGGGACCTGCGGCACCGACATGTTCTGGGGCCATCCGCACGATCGCAACGAGGACCTTCTCGCCTTCTCAGGAACTTTGGAGAACGTAAATGAAGACCTCATCAAACTCACCCACCACATCTTCGTCGGCGACACAGTCGACGGCGGCGCAACGCCATGGCTCCTCCACCCCAATGCCGACGGCTCAGAAGCAAAGCGCTATGAGACGCGCCCAACCGGCGACAACGTCGTCGAGCTCCCCAAGGACTGGCCTCCTAGCTCCTCGCTCACGGGCTACGAGTCGCGCGTCCAGGACACCATCCCCGTGCAATGCAAATGCAAAGGCGTCAACCTCACCCTGCAAAAGGGCGACTACACGAACGTGAAGAAGGAAGACCTGCCTGCCATCATCGACCCCAAGACCCACAAACTCGAGGCTTCCCTCTGCGCATGCGATTCCTGCCGCCTGTTTGGAGGCATCGACGTCTTTCCCTGGACCTACGCTGAACTGCGCCATATCTCCTCCACATCCTCTGCCCAGTCGCTCCCAACCAATATTGCTGGTCTCCGCGCCGCGGTAGACAAGAAAGACGGCCAATTCGGTACACTGACGTACTTCGCGTCCTCTCCACCCGTCCAGCGCTATTTCTGCGGCAGGTGTGGGGCCAAGATCTTCTACGCTACAGATAAGAGGCCGAATATAGTAGATGTAGCGGTTGGAGTTCTCGATGCGAAGGATGGGGCCCGAGCAGAGGGTTTCTTGTCGTGGAATTTCGACGAGGTTGAGGCCAGGGAGGATGGTAAAGGTGGGTGGAGGGAGGGACACTATGAGCGCATGGAGAAGGCCGTGGTAGCGTTCAGAGAGGAGAGAGGATATCCTAAGTTTTGGAAAAAGCAGTGAGGTGTTTTTGGAGCTTGGAGGACTAGGAAGTTGAGTCAGTGAGACACAGTTTGCTGTTGAATGAGAAGTCGGAGCACAACCCCCCTCGTGGGCAGAATGAAATCACAGCAACACATGCTCAAGATCTCTATGACAGTCTTTCGAATTTGTTCCCCAGTCTGTACTTACAAAGCTCTAGCAAATAATTATAGCTGTCGGCGTAACCACCCCACTTCACTGTCGCGCAAGTAATGATCGCCATGACCCTTGTCTCGTAACTAAATCTGCCCCATCGTTACCCGTAACAGGAAATAATGAAGTGGAGCGCATGATATCCACACCTCGTATTCCCGTCCTTGCGCATGAGTGTCTCTGGGACCTGCACCTTTTGACCCAACCTCACATTCACACCTACATCTTTTGACTACACTTGAAGTGACCATGTAGGTAGGAGATCCCGCTGGAGGTACCAGATTGTTGTTTTGCCCTCCGAAGAGGCTGTATTGTGCCCTTGCCGATTGCTGAATAGGTAGCTGCACAGCTGGTGTCTCTGTCTGAATTTTGAGCGACTATAGAGCAGATGGGCATCGAGCCAGTTGAGTCGATGCGCTCATCCGATATCAAGGATAGCATATCATGCCAGCATTGTGAACGATGTCCATATACCTAGTAGCCCGGATCCTTAACGCGCTTTACCGAACACAGCGTGCTATCAACGAGAGCGTTGATGAGATGAAACTGAACGCCGAAGCCTACAGGGACCCAATACAGAGACGAAAGAAGAGAGGAGGTTACTGTAACACCTGAACACAGGGTGTCATCCAGATGTATCGATAGGATGTGCAAATAAGTGCTGTGACCACAGAAGCAAACACGAGGGCTGAAACATGAGCCCATACTCACGAATACAACGTGCTATCACAGACAGTGCCGACGTGATGAAAGCGAACTCTGTGGCGCACAAAGACAAATCAAATGGGAAAAGGAAAGACGGTCTTACGGTTATAAAGATACACACAGTGTCAACAAACAGCATCAGTCGAGTGAGTGAATGGGAGCTGTGTCCCACAGAGGTAGGTAGAAGGGCAACAGAAGGATGAATTCATATCTACGAACACAGCGTGCTATCGGAGATACTATCGATACAATGCATGAGAGCGCTGTGATCCCCAAAGGTGAAGAAAAAGGCCAAAAAAGAACAACTGCTCACAGCCGTAATCGAACACAGGGCATCAACCAGCAGCGTTCACGTGATCAGTAAGTGAGAGCTGCAATTCACAGAAGCAAATAAAAAAGGCAAAAAAAAGATAATCGGCTCACAGCCGTAATTGAACCCAGGGGATCAAAAAGTGCAAAAAAGACTGGGCGATCGCCCAACGGTTGGGACCTGTTACAAGTTAGCTAAGGGCCCTTTTCAAACACCAACTGGTAGGGGTGCCAATCCCTACCAGCGGATACAAGGCTTACAAACTATAGGGTATATATAGGCAGTAAATAAGCCAAGATGAAGGAATATAGAGGGAGGTTGGCAGGGTAGGTCAGTGTGAGCGACAGGTGAGTCTGATGCAAGAAGCCCTAGCGCACTGAGATTAAGTACGCTCAAAACCAGCGCACTGCGCAGTAAGTGAGCACGGAATGACACAGAATCGCTCATATTTTGAAATTGAGAATGAAGACGCCTTCCTGTAGGCGTAGAACTACAGATATCACATATATCTGAGGGTATTTGAGGACTAAAGTACAAGCTAAGGCTGTTGTATGCTCAAGTTGCGGGTAAGCATCTACATCAGGCCTTTCCACTCCGCAGGCTCCATTATCTCTCGAATACCGAGAGCCATGTCTTTTCCAAGCTGATCCAAATCACAATCATCCAAATCCCGCAAAGTATACCCAAATCTCCGAACAATCATCTCAAACATTGAACGCAGTCCTGTCACCAACCGCGAAAACACGTCATTGCCGCCCTCCAGTACCTGTGCAATCTGATAGTTGGTGTACACCACCATCGAGCCAAGTTCATTGGAGTCGATGAAGTTGTTGCGGTACTCCATCCAGCCGTAGAACCAGCAGGGATACCCGAACTGGTAACCGGTCGCATCGACGACCCAGGAATCACCATGCTTGTCGATGATCTTCAAAATTGTATGTGTCGAGTAGCGCGGATGGCGTCCCTCGGAGGTCGCAGGATCATGGTAGAGCAGTAAGTGCCGTGGTTTTGGCTCTACCACCAGCCACTGCACTGCGAGGAAGTCGGGATGCTTGCGCACCAGTTCCTTCACAGTGTTCCAGAGGCACATGTTCTGTATCGTGCAGGCATTGAATGTGATCAACGAGCGCCTCATGGTCTCTGGTATAGACTGATCGATGTAGGAGCCTGCAGTGTTCTGTGGCGGTATTCCTGAGTTGGGACCCAAGTCCAGTGCATACACCTCGATGTCCTGCCAGCTGCGGTGACGATAACCGTTCAATGTGCGGAGGATCTGCTTTGAGGTATCATTCAAGGGCAACAGGCCCTTGACCTTGTGAGGCCAGGCTCTGGTGAGTGTTCCTTCGTGGAAGGCAGTAACCAGAGGCGCGATGATAGCTTCGAGTTTGTCTCCTACAGTACTGGTACTGCGGTATTCAAGGAGGGATGATGGCAGGACGTTCTGTGGTGGGTTGGTAGACATTTCGTCGGTGTGTATATGGAGTTGAGAAGGTGTTGTGGAAGGTTCAGCACAGCCTGAGGAAATTATGTAGTGAACATGTGTATATTTACGCATCAGGTGCAGAACACACTGTGGTGCATGGACCATATCGAAATGCTTGAATGTAGCAATTGAAGGCCGACAAACAACTATTGTATGAATATCCCTCCCTTATCAATGAAAACAAACTCCTATTCTCAGTGCTTTGTGAACGACTACACTGCCTTTACGGGCTTGAACTGCAGACTACTCAGAACACTCTTTCATCACCACAGCGTGCAAAGATCTCGCAAGCGCCAGTCCAAGCAGCCTCATGCTGATAAACCATTCAAACTTGCCAAGACAGTCTGGATGCACAGATGAAGCAACGGAGATATTCAGTATAAGATGCAGCAGAGAGGGTCACATAGTAGATACACACAAACAGAAACATGATTAGATCAGGGAGCCAAGCTTGCAGGGTGGGCGTCCCGCACCCGAATACTGAATTGTTTGCAGAAATCATTGCTTCGATAGAGAAACTCTTATTACGACCCCAAATTTCTTGCCAACCTGAAAGATGGCTGTCCACATTCATGGAAGTGCTGAACTACGTCTACTCAGCGCATACAGACACATCTGCAGGGTAATCTCGGAGAGGAAGGCTGCGAAGGGCGCGCGGAAGGCCCACAATACAAGGAATCGTTAATCTTGAAAGGGCAAAAGCAGTTACTTTTGGACTGTACAAACAGGGGATGGAGGAAAAATGATACCATGAAGGCGAGGAGGTTCCCCTGTTCAGCTCATGGATAGGCAAGAGTCGCTTCTCATAATACGAGGCTATACGAATGTCCCGGACAGCTTCGGAAGGGCATCGGAGAACGCGCTGTTATTCTGCAGGGAGGGCAGGTTTTGCGCGAGGCTCGCTTCAAGCATTATTGCGAAGAATACATTCTGCATTTGATGGCACTGAGCGTGAGTTTCGATCACTGTGTGAAAATAATTGTCAATCAATGAGTTTGTCAATATGAGAAATCAAGTATATATCGAGACGAGATGAAGTTAAATGAAGCTTTTATTTTCCACCCAAATAGAGAAAGCGTAAATGCAAGGAAGGGTCCCACTGACACTTGTAGTAGTGTCCCACATTCAGCCCGTTCGCTTCGTTACAATCTGAACCGGCCCAGAGAACAGGTATCTAATTATGTCTCAGTCTGTAAAAATTTCGCTATTACAGCATCTTGATCGTACATGCATTGGTAGCTCTTTGTAGCTACTCTCGATCGGGAAGTCTCATGGAAGGATGTTCGCAGAAGGTCCCGCTGGTCCCGGCGTCGATCCGGATTCAAGTCTTGCTGATCATCCCATTCCGCCTCTTGCCGACTTATCTCCACCAGGAACACGGGAATAGGACCTAACCCCTACCTAAACAGCGCCCTGCCATTACGAATCGCATGTGTAACTGCGACCTACAAGTACCACCCACTTCCACTATAGCCATGAGTCTTTATTCTGAATATCGGCCCTCCTCATGGCGACAACTCTTGAAGAACCCCCTTCTAGCGACCCACTTACCTTCACCTCAAGCAGCCGATCGTCATTGACGCAGGATATGCAAACAGAGGGTCTCACTCCGCATAAAAGCAAAGAGGACTTATCAAGCCTCGATGATTCTCTGGGACGAGATGTAGAGGCACTGCAGCAACTAGAAAAAGGGCCGAGGCCAGGGCTACCACAAACGCAGGCACAAATTGGATACGTGGAATTCAATGGGCCTGGTGACCCCGACAATCCCAAGAATTGGAGCGCTAAGAGAAGGTGGGCAATCACAAGCTCTATGGGGTTTCTCGTCTTTACGGTCACATTTGCAAGTTCTGTTTTCAGTGTGAATATCGACGTTGTGCGCGAGAAGTTTGATGTATCGATCGTAACAGCAACGCTGGGGGTCTCTCTCTTTGTCCTGGTACGTAACTTTACTGCCCTCTGTTTGACGCAAACTAACCCCTTATAATAATCAACAGGGTTTCGTATTTGGCCCTGTTATCTTCGGTCCCATGTCAGAGGTGCTCGGGCGACGCGTCCCACTCCTGTTGGGTTTCCTCATGTTCGCTATATTTCAGATTCCTGTTGCAGTTGCGCAGAACATGGCCACGATATGCGTCGGTCGCTTTATATCTGGATTCTTTGCTGCTTCACCCCTGTCTGTTGTGGGTGGGGCTCTGGCAGATCTCTGGGATCCTATTCCGCGAGCATATGCTATCTGCATCTTCGCTGCTGGAGGGTTTGCAGGACCGGTAGCAGGCCCTATTGCAGGTGGATTTATCACGGCGTCACCGCAACTTGGATGGAGATGGACAAGCTGGATAACTTTGATTATTGCTGGGTTTTTCGGCATCATTGGCTTCTTCGTCATTCCTGAAACATCACCCGCGAGAATCCTGCAGCTCCGCGCCGCGAGACTGCGGAAAGAAACAGGCAATCCGGAATCTCGATCCAAGGCCGACGATGAGCAGTTCACACTTGATACAATCTTGTCTGTGTACTTGGTGCGACCATTCAAGATGTTTATTGAAGAACCGATTCTCTCTCTTGTTACGGCCTACATGAGTTTTCTCTATGGTATCGTCTATCTTCTCTTCGAAGCGGTATGTTCTCCTTATCACATCACTTATCAAAGCTGACTGGTCTCTTCTCTTAGTACCCTATATCCTTCATGGTCGAGCGCGGCTGGCGCCTTCAGATCTCTTCCCTCCCATTCACTGCCTTTATCTTTGGTATCCTGCTCGGCGCAGGCATAATAGCCTACTCAACAGCTACAAACTTCACGCGCTCCTACAACCTTCACGGCCGGTGCATTCCGGAGGAGCGCCTTCCACCCATGATCGTAGGCGCTATTGCCCTTCCGATCGGCCTCTTCTGGTTTGCTTGGACATCTAATCCCCACATAATCTGGGTACCACAGGTTCTCTCTACGGCGCTGATCGGTCTCGGCTGCATGGTACCTTTTTGGCAGGGCATGTCCTACCTCATTGACTGCTACGGATTCTACTCGAACTCTGCAATCGCAGTAAACACATTCATCCGATCGATATTTGGGGCCTTCTTTCCCCTCTTCACACATGTTATGTACACGCGATTAGGTGTTGCGTGGGCTACAACTATCCTTGCCATTCTGTGTACAGTATTTGCGCCGGTCCCAATATTCTTCTACATTTACGGAGCACGGATTCGGGAAAAGAGCAAGTGGGCGCCCACAGAAATGTAAAAATTGTAGAACAACTATCTAGATAGAACCAACCCCTGTATTGACAACTTACTTCTTTTCTACCACAAATTACTTCAGCACGTGCCGAATCAATCTCTCCAGATCTGGTTCCCGCTGGTTTGTGAGCCAGGAGCGTGCTGCCGTCTCTAAATGCACCTTTATTGTTTTGTAAATCCCGTTTGCGGCAGTCTGGTGCCTCTCTTTGGTGTTCTCGATCAACTCCTCTATGTCGTATGCAACCGCCCCTGTATTGGCATCTTGCTTCTTTTCTACCACAACTTGCTTCAGCACGTGCCGAACCAGTCTCTCCAGACCTGGTTCCCGCTGTTTTGTGAGCCAGGAGCGTGCTACCGTCTTCAAATGCACCTTCATTGTTTTGTAGATTCCGTTTGCGGCAGTCTGGTGCCTCTCTTGTCCTGAGTATTTTGCCTTATCTAGCACGTACTGTGCCCTGTAATCTTCCCAGTGCATGAAACGATCGCTCGAAGGTATTCCATATTGCTCTGCAGTCAAGTCCAAAGTGAACTCTTCCCCATTGGAACATTTGAACAAGATTAACTCGTGCAGGACGGCAAATGCGTTTCTTTGGGCTTTCCAAGCAGCACGAGGGTTGGGGACGACCGCGATCCAAAGCACGGTTATTTCTGGATCCACTGTCTTATGTCAGCTATATATCATCACTCTCACAGCGAGTTGTGATCAAGTTACCTCCTTTTGCCAGCTCGACAACTGTGTCATAGAGAAAGTAGCCGGCCGTCGAGCACATATCGGTCATCATGAGGCCGCGGCGGTGAAAGTCTGCAGACGTTTCATTGGGGAGATTTGTTGTAGGAACGATTGGTGTTGGGATGTTGCCATATTTGAGTTGTTTGATTTCTACAGCGGCGTATATCGGGAAATCAGGCGCTATCAATCTCTTGCGGACGATAGACCATAGCGGCGTTTCTTCAGAGGATGTTGGGGGTAGATAAGTGGCCAGAAGATTTTTTATTTCTGTGCCTGGAGTTAGCAACAAGTTATGAAGTTTTCTTGATTTACATAGAGTAGTGTATTAATAGGCGCTCCAATCAGACTGACCTTTTTCATTTTGCGGCATTGTGAAATCAGCTGCCTCGTCAGGGCCCAGTTCTTTGACACTGTCGACGGAATAGGAGGCGACGAGCTCGGCGAAGATATCCCAAATTTTCATTGCGTGCTTCATTTCCGCATTGAGCTTCTCGAAGAACGACGCTTGCTCTGGCCCTGCCGCCATGCTGGACAGTGCTTCTATCCCCTGTTTCCAGTCAGAGTCTTATTCCTTTTGAGATCAGGTAGATGATAAAGATATGCACTTTTCAAAAGGCAATGAGTACCTTTTCTCGGAAAGATAAAGCTTCGTGGCGACTGTCCTTTTGTTAGGACCTTCGGCAGCTACAGCGCACTGAAGATGGAGACGGCAACAGTCGAGTCGTTTTGAGTGTGGATTGATGATTGCGGAACGATTTGATGCAGAGACTCGCTATGCTGCATCGAAACAGTAATTTTGGCTTCTCGGGGGGTCACTGTTGGTAGGTGTCGATAGTGAGGATGGTCAGTTAGTGAAGGAGATTAAGGCGCTCGAGCCACAGCAACACACTGGTCTCAACACAGTAGCACTGGAGTACTGCTACTTAGTCAAACGGGGATTGAATATGATCAAAGAGTTGGTCTGTGTATCCTCTTGCTTTTTAGGTAGTCTTGAAGTTGTCCAGTACAGTCTACGCTTATGAATGTAGTGTTCCTATACTTCAGTGTAATAAAGTTCGAAGCGAAATGGGAATCCTTTCCAGATAGCTTTGGAACACCTAGGTGGACATATAGAGTGTTATCGGGATCTGATGAATCGTTCCTACAGCACTTGGTAGGCGGTGTAACACATTTTCCTCTCTTATAAGCAATCTAATCCTACATGATTAAGAGAGTGCACATTGTGTATCGACATGCAGAAGTGTTATTAAAATTCATAATTCAACTATGAGTTCAATGCCTTTGTTGCACAGCTTATTGACATATCTTAGTGCTTGAGAGTCGAGCAACAAATGTATTGTAATTCTAGACCTAGGAGATGTTCCCTCTAATCACACATTCATGTGCTAGCAGTCTAGCACCCTCAAGACTATTGATAGTAGAACTCCAAGCTGCATCTACGATGCATGGCATAACTGTGTAGGAGTCGTCTACAGACTATTGGATGGACACAGGTAAGGCCTTCAGGGATCGAAAGAGCAAGTTGGTTGATATGTGTCGACACAATAACGCATTCCGAGCCTGTAACAGTCTAGTCTATAGTAGGAATGAATTAAATAGTATAAGCAAGAGTATTAGGTCAATATGTCCACAAATACATTTTCTGTACCTGAAACAAGGAATTGAATGAACATTGTTGTCTCAAAAACGCCTCCTATAATTGGGGTGCCCTTGAGTCTACAATACATTGTATTGAACAGTATACTTATGAACTTTACTCTAGTGTGTCTGCATATACAATGCTTTCACTGTCTTGAGCACGTAGGTGATTGATCTGTGTCGGCGCGATAACACATCTAGTACTGATAACAGCTGGGTCTACAATGAGCATACCATCGTTGAGAGTACCAAGTCAATGTGTCTACACATACAGATCTCTTAGTGCCTGGGTCAGGTAGTTAGTTGATATGCGTCGGCGCGATAACACGCCCAGTCACACTGACAGTCGGGCCTACACTTAGGATGCCTGAGATAACATACTTGAGGCTATAAAACCAGTGTGTCTACCCACACAGAGCTTTCAATGCCTGGCATGTGAAGCTAATCATGCGGTGTTGGCGGGACTGTATATCTACAGTTAGTAATGGTTGATGCTGATGAACGCAAGTTCTGGTACTGTTGTTAGTGACATTGCATTCGGCATAGTAGAAAGCTGAATGTCCATATGTATTGTAGAAGTGACATTATCACTTAGAGAATCGATGTGTACTGCCAGTAGCCCCAATACGTGTGGCCTGCAAAGAGGCGGTCCTTCACCTGTTGCAACACTGGCTTTGCGCTGCCCAGATCACTCACTCTCACCCTCAAAACTGCGGTCAATCTTATTCAACGCCCTATATAATCAGTTTGATTTGCAAACACTTCTGTCTACCATAGGACCTTCAGGCAAGGGGTCCTATGGTAGGCGTGACAAAAAACAGTTCGCTAACTTATGGATAGGTTCAGAGACGTAGGCCCACCGGGCGCCGAACTCTTTTTTGCCCTGGGTTCGACTGCCGGAAGGGGCACTTGGTTTTTTTTACTTATTTTTTTGCTTCTTCTTTTTTTTCTTTTGAAATCGTTTCTGGTTCTTTGCAGCTGTTGAGAGACAGTTTTACTGTTGGCTTTGCTTGTAGGATACCCTGGGATAATGAGATTCAATTTTGCATTCACTCTATCTGTTCGGTTCAAATGTGATGCTGTGAGCTGTTGGGATGCCCAAGCATTTCAGAATATTTGCAGAAGGCTCTGCACGTATTATATATCTCACTGCCCTGTCCAGTGCGCTCTATACTTACTTATCACCAACAATACCTTTTCACCTCAAACAATATGGACCTCTGAATAAGTCTGCAGCGACATCGAAACATTCATAGCCTCAAGTAAAACAACAACAGATCGAGAGTTCAAGACACAATACTGTTAGCGGGGTAGAAACGATGCACATGAAGGGGTGGCTCTCTAGGTCTACGCCAGGTCCAGTATAGCAAAGTTCGGCATAGAATCAAGACTGCTTGCAAGGCCGACTGTGATACATAAAGAGATTAGAAAATAATTCCTGATTTGCAGGTTCGGAACGGGAGGTGGTTGAAGGCCCTGGGATTCCCCTCAAACGTGTGGATTCAAGCACGCTTTGAAGTGTTGGCGGCGGTCCTGAAAGACTTCATCCTCTGATAAACTAACAAATCAATGCCGAGAGCTCTCGGGCCCAGGTTGTGCGTCCCGCTGACCACTTGCGACGCAACTCTCATTGCCTTACAACACGCTCTTCATCTGCTGCAATCCGGGAACACTCCTGCGTCACAAACTACACAGCACCCGAAGCGCGCATCAACACTCCAGATCGTGTTAACTACTCTATCAGGTTATCAAACAGCATCAATGCAGCTATCGGTAGCGCAGATAAGGTTCGTTCCCTCGCTCCTGGAAGTGTTCTATCCTTACCTACCCCACAACATCCTTCCTGACCCTACACAGATCGACATTGCAAGCAGCACTCTATTTTTCTCATTACCTATCTATCTTACTACCAAGAAAGCAGCTAAAACAGATATCTTTACTAGTTCTATTCGACCGCGCCGAAAAGCACAGTACTGAGCTGACCTGTTAGCGACACCTTGGCCTACTCTCACTACAACTACTTCCAAGTACCTTCCGACCTGACGCTACGCATCAGCATTCCACTTCACCAAGAACCTCGACTTCCCTGTGCGTCGATCTAATAACTGTTCTCATTTTGCTAAACTTTGTGCCTTTACCCCCTCTCGCCAGTGCCAGCTCAGGCCTTCCTTGACTAATTTACGTTCACTACAGCTAACAGGGTAGTTTCAGGCCCGAACTCGAGTAACACTTCAATGCGCACTACGACAGCCTCAACGCCTTCTTTCATTTTGCCTTGCCAGAGAAGATCGTGCAATCTGCGTCCCCTCAAGCCTGCCTACACGACCGTCAATTCCCGATGCTGCTGCCCTGCTCTCGATGTATCCGCGGAACAATGCCGAAGTTATCTGCCATTTCTGGATGCGCCGTGCTATACAAGCCTTCTCGACGACCAGTGAAGACTATAGTTTTGCACTCCATGACCCTTTTAGGGCATAGGGATAGAATGTTTGCTTGCGCAAGCAAAAGGTGTCGGTGGCGTCACCTGACGCTGGTCTTCGCCGCATCACCAGTCTTCCTTCCGTATACTTCGCAAGTTCTTCTATTTGACGTGTAAGCCTCTTCCCGAATAGTTCATAACTCGTTTCCTGTCTAAGAGGTGTAGGTGTAGCTAGTAGCCTGCATTGAGGTAAGGTGCTTTGTAGGTTGGATGTTCTATTGTGAGTGCCTCTTAGACGCACGCCGCTCTCTAAAGCAGAGCCAACATGCGCAGCTATATATCGTTTATTAACTCAAATATACACAGATAAAAAAGCCCGTAGCTTCTGCTACTGCCGGTACGCTTCTTTGCTTTTCCCATAAAGCAAAAAGCAGCAGCAAAGAGGGTCCGACTACCTACACTGCGTTTCCTCCGAAATACAAAGACGATCAAGCTATATCGACAGTGCCGCCGAGACGCGAAAACCACAGCATTCAGACTTCGCGGTTCAATGTACAGAGGGATAGGATCACCATTGGCGCTGCCGCGCTTGGTGCGGGGTCAAGAGCATGCCCGGGACGGACGGCATGGTTCTCTGCAGCTTTGCAGACGTAGGAATGCGGCACAGCAAGGAAATATAAACAACCAGAAAGGAAGGATAAACGTGAGGATTTTCTTGTGCCTTTCAGCTCGGAAGGTTCTGTACTTAAAGTCGGCGAAAGCCTGCAGTAACCCCACGTGACAGCACATTGGCCATAGAAGGAGGAAATAGGCGACGCCGAGGACATGGCGTCTATCCAAGAGCGGCAAGTATCACAAATCCAACGTTAGAGCCTCGTTGCTCCCTGACCCATTATCTACTTTCAAACATAGTCAATTCTCTTAATACCGTAATGCGACCACTGCGACATAAATCCTTCCTTGGCCCTGTTCACGACTAGCGTCAAACAGGCATCAAAAAATGGGAGCTACACGCCATTGTCTTACCTCACGTGCTCAGTTCGCTCAGCCATAAGACCAATCCTTTCCAGCTGTCTCCAGTCAAGTCATCAAAATCACCTTTCGCCATCGACAAACTTCACATACCGCGGCACGATGCTAGCTATTTACCTGCTGTTTGGTGTTGTTGCGCTTGTCGTGTATAGTCTCATCTCAACTATCTCAACAAGACGCCGCCATGCAGCAGCGGCAAAGGACCTCGGATGCGAACCAGCACCTATTGAAAATTGGCCGGATCCATTCGCGCTCGTGAATTTGGGGAGAACCATGTGGGCCCTCAGCAGCAATCGAATTCTGGAATACATGCAGGGCACTTTCAACGACACATCTGCGAAACGTACCGTCTATACCTATGAAACGAAGATTCTGGGTGACAAAGTTTTCTTCACGTGCGACCCGAAGAACATCCAAGCCATGCTGGCAACACAATTCAAGGATTTTGAGCTGGGACAAGTGCGAAGGGGATCGTTCGCTCCCTTGTTAGTCGCATCGTTGCTATGTCGTCAAAATAAACTAATTGCCTAGTGTAGACTTGGTCATGGTATCTTTTCAGCGGACGGAGAGCAATGGGAGCGCGCTCGGGCTCTTCTAAGACCGCAGTTCTCGCGCGATCAAGTTAGCGACCTAGAACTGGAGGAGCGCCATGTTCAGAATTTGCTTCGGGCCCTCCCTACTGAATGCGGTGCCTGGTCGGAAGTCGTCGATCTTCAGCCGCTGTTCTTTCGGCTCACGATGGATTCCGCCAGCGAATTTCTATTCGGACAGAGCACCAACATTCAGCTGTCCGCGCTGTCCAAAGAAGCCTCATCCCAAAACGCTGAAGACACTGAATTTGTTCGGAGCTTCGAGGCTTGCCAGGAAAGGATAATGATGGCCATGCTACTTAACGAACACTATGCACTCCTTGAGACGAAAGGCTTCATGGACAAATGCCGGCTCTGCCACCGATACATTGACCAGTTTGTTCACAAAGCTTTGAATCGCCGCAAGGACCGGCAACAAGACCAACAAATTAAGAAGGAAAAGTACGTTTTTGCTGACAGTCTCGCAAACGAGACCAATGATCCCATCGAAATCCGCAGTCAACTACTTTCCATCCTCGTGGCTGGTCGAGATACTACGGCTGCCCTGCTCAGCTTTTTCTTTCTCATGTTGGCGCAGCATCCCGTTGTCTTCAACAAGCTTCGTACAATCATTATCGAGGACTTTGGCACGTTTGAATCTCCTAGGGATATATCTTTTGAGAGGCTGAAGGCATGTTCATACCTGCAATGGTGTATCAATGAAACCCTACGACTGTTCCCCAGCGTACCCTGGAATTCGCGACGTAGCACCCGCGACACCAGTCTCCCCAGCGGGGGTGGCGAAGACGGTCACTCGCCCATTTTTGTGCCCAAGGGAACAGAAGTGGTGTACATTGTCTGGCTGATGCAAAGGCAGCCTGAATTCTGGGGACCGGACGCAGACGCATTCAGGCCCGAGCGGTGGCAAAACCGCAAACACGGATTTGAGTACCTACCGTTCAACGGTGGCCCACGGTAGGCATTGGATTTGTTCTCCAAAAGCACTGTTTAGATATTGACCATTATGCAGCATTTGCCTCGGACAGCAGAACGCTTTGACAAAGACTAGCTACGCAGTCGTCCGCCTGTTGCAACGATTTGACAAGCTGGACAGACCATCTGCAAAATTAGAGCCAATCAAGTGGAGCGTTTCTCTCACTGGTAGGCCTAAGGATGGTGTCAGAGTTCGATTACACACTGCAGTTGATGGGTAGCATTCGCCCAAGAGCATCATTGGGAAAGGAGCTGCTGTATTATCTGAATCATCAAGAAGCTACTTTAATATGACGAGTACGGCTAAACTCGACAGTACTGTTCTCTCGTGAGCTTCGACACAAGGCTGTGGAGCGGCAGGTCACCTTGATGACACCCACATGAAAGAATGCACACCAAGGTTAGGTACAGAGGGTTGGTAGGTCGGGCTGCCCCCCGTGCTACAGTATAGTCCTGGCTACAGCACACCCTCTGTTCATTGCCGCCCTGATAGCGGGGTCGGTTGAAAGCCTCCGTGCCTCCAAACTTCATGCTTGGCGAAATTAACGGAAGATGTCACTGTTACTACAGTGGTTTCCAATAATCGGTGAAAAGATAAATAGGTCACGTTACTGAATCCATCTAGTCCTCTTGCTTACTGCCTTACATCCCCGGCCGTCAGCCTTCTCTGTCTGCCATCAGCCTACTATCGTTTCTCTATTCACCTCACCTTCACCTTTCTTTATTCTCCTCACCTTCACCTTTCTTTATTCACCTCATCTTCACCTTTCTTTTCCATCCTCAGACTTTTCAACCTAATCTCTTGGTGTTACAACTTACAGCCTTGTCGCCGCCATAATGCGGCTTCTTCAACGCAATCCCGATGATGACACATTCACGCTAAAGCAATTCCTGAACGTCCCGGAATATGCAATCTTGTCGCATACCCGGGGTGCAGAAGATGGAGAAGTCACCTACGATGATCTGCACAGAGGCTCCTCGTAGCAGCCGAACAAAGTACCTGGTTACAACAAGATCCGTTTCTGCGTGCAGCGGGCCGCCCAGGATGGGTTCAACTATTCATGGGTCGACTCTTGTTGCATTGACAAATCTAGCAGCGCAGAGTTACAGGAAGCCATCACAGCCATGTTCTCGTGGTATCGCAATGCGTCTCGGTGTTATGTATATCTCGTGGATGTATCCGTTCCTCAACATCAAGCTGGATCGAAGGCCGGAACACGCTATATTTGGGAAGATGGCTTCCGGAAGAGCAGGTGGTTCACCCGAGGCTGGACCCTTCAAGAGCTTCTAGCACCTGCCTCTGTCGAATTCTTCTCTTCCGAAGGGACGCGATTAGGTGATAAAAAGTCCCTTGAGGATATCATACACGAGATAACAGACATCCCTCGCCAAGCTCTTCGGGGCAGCGACATGGCTCCCAGCTTCATGCTTGGCGACGATGCTTGGCGAAGCGAACGGAAGGTGTCACCGTTACCACAGCGGTTTCCAATGATCATGTCACATTACTGATGTCATTGATGTCATTCAATCATCGTGCTCACCGCCTTGAACCCCCAGCCTTCGGCCTTCTCCCCTCAACCTTCAACCTTCAACCTTCTATCCTTTCTCTACTCACCTCACCTTCACCTTCTTTTCCAACCTCACTTTTTAACAACTTAATAATTCTCTACTCGGAATGTCAAACATCTCCATGCCTCTTCTCTATGGAGAGGGTGATAATGCTTAGGTTCGTCCAGAAGAAGAGACTCACAAACAGCATTTGACGGACACCGAGGACGATCGTTCGGTTTCTACACTTCCCACCGTTCCACAAGCAGCCTTCGATTCCTTCGATAAGCAACACCGGGAGGTGTGTCTCCCAGATACTAGGGTTGAACTGCGCCGAGATATTGCGGAATGGGCAGATGGCTCGGACAACAAAGTCATCTATTGGCTGAGTGGTGTTGCAGGCACTGGCAAATCGACTATTGCTCGCACCATCGCTCGCAAATACCAGCATCAAGGGCATCTAGGGGCCAACTTTTTCTTTTCCAGGGGAGGTGGCGAGGTTTCCCGTGCCGATAAACTATTCACCACTCTTGCATTCCAACTGGCGAACAAGATTCCCGCACTCAAGCGTCATATTGCGCAAGCAATCTCAGAACAAGAAACCATCGCTACACACTCCTTCAGGGATCAATGGGACCAGTTGATTCTCAATCCACTTGCGAAGTTAGATCCGAGAACCTTCCAAACACCCATTGTGATGATACTCGATGCACTAGATGAGTGCGAAAGCGAACGGGACATTCGAATCATCCTTCGACTCTTAGCTACTACCACCTCAATACCTGGTATTCGCCTGCGAATATTGATCACCAGCAGACCGGAAATTTCAGACCGCTGTAATTTCTCTCAGATACCAGCCGCTGAACGGCAAATGTTTGTGCTCCATGAAATTTCGCCCACCGTTATGGATCGCGATCTCAGCCTTTTCTTCGAGCATAGTCTTACCACAATCAGACAGGAACGTGGGTTTGCTGTAGACTGGCCGGGAAGGAAGGTGATCAAGCGTTTGGTCGAAATCTCGGGCGGCCTCTTCATTTGGGCTTCCACAGCGTGTCGTTTCATTCGCGATGGTAGACGTCTTGCAATGAGACGAATCGCTCTTCTTCTCAATGGAAGCTCTTCTGAGGCAGACCCTGAGAAACAGCTGGACGACATCTACACTTCAGTTCTTAGGAACTCCGTGGGCCAAAGCTACAACGAGGAAGAGAAGCAAGAGCTATATGGAATCCTACGCGAAGTTCTCGGGAGCATCGTGATTTTGTTCTCCCCATTGTCGGTAGAGTCATTGACCAACTTGCTTCCACTTTCGGCGAACGATATCGACGAAACCCTGGCAAACCTGCACACCATTTTCAATATTCCCAGTCAAAAGGAACATCCGATTCGGTTGCATCACCCTACATTTCGAGACTTTCTGATCAATAAAAACCGATGTCTGATTCGAGCTTCTGGGTGGATCAAAGAGAAATGCACGAATCCATGGCAAACAACTGCATTGATTTCATGTCCAGAATGCTCAAGGATGAGATGTGCAACCTGAAATCACCAGGTTCCCTGGTTGAAAATATCAACCCCCAGCGTATCAAATCGTCCATCTCACCCGAGCTCGAATATGCGTGCCTCTATTGGGTACAGCATTATCGTGAAAGCAGAGTCCAAATTCGGGATGGCGATAAGGCTCACGTGTTCTTTCAAAAGTACTTCCTCTCTTGGTTCGAGACTGTCAGTCTCGTTGGTAAAGGGTCCGAAGTGGCAGGCATAATCAGAATGTATTCTGCAATTTTGTTGGTACGTATGACAGCAATTGACAAGGGACAATCAAGCTGATTCCATGAATTATAGCCTGAAGACAACGCTCGCCAATTTCCTTTTGTTCAAAATGCAAGGCGATGGGCATTTGCGTTTCAGTCGATAATTGAACGTGCTCCCCTACAAAATTATTGCGCAGCCCTCGCATTCATTTCACCAAGCAATGATCTTCGGTCTCATTTCTGGACGCAGATGCATCCCTTGATCCACGATGTTCGCCTCGCTGAAGGAGTTTCAGGAAATCCTGAGAAGCGCCTAACTAGCAGAACATTTTTTGTCAATGATTTGGCATTTACCCCCAATGGACGGCAGCTTGCATCAGGTGCAATAGAGGCAGAAGCTCGGCTCTGGGACACAACGACCCTCGCACCTCTAGCCAAGCTCAAGGGTCCAGCAAACAAGATCAGTTCTGTCACTATCTCAGCTGATGGAATGCTCATGGCGGGTGGATCAGACGACACTACTGTAGTCATCTGGGATCTGAATACGCACACTATACTTCACACGCTAAGAGAACATTCGCGATGGGTGAACTCCGTAGCTTTCTCACCTGACGGGAAATTGCTTGCATCCGGCTCCATGGATGAATCAGTGAGAGTCTGGAACCCAGAGAATGGAGAGCAGCTCAGTGTGTTGGAAAGTAACTCAAGTTGTATCAATGCTGTCGCTTTTTCTCCCGACAACTCTATGATTGCTGCAGCATCTGTCGATCAAACGGTTCGATTGTGGAACATCAAAAGCGAAGAGATAATCTTACTGCTCGACGGCCATACTGGATCAGTAAATTCAGTCCGATTCTCACCTGATGGGATGCGTATCGTCTCTGGGGCAGATGATAAGACTGTCAGGGTCTGGGACACTCGTTCAGGATCAGAGATCATGGTCTTGGAAGATCACCAGAGACGAGTCATGACTGTCGCATGGTCTCCAGATGCCCGCACTCTCGCGACAGGGTCTGAAGACACGACTGTTAGACTTTGGGATGCAGACACCGGCGCTGGAGTGGCTATTTTGAAAGGACATACTAGCGGCATAAATGCCGTCACTTTTGGTCCTGATAGCCGCACCGTTGCTTCTAGCTCCTTCAACGAGGAGGTTCGCCTATGGAATGTGTTAACCGGCGAGTCAATTGGAAAATTGACAGAGTTTCCCGAAAACTCATCACCGCAAGATGAGGCTGAATCTGTTCTAAGGAAGACATCCACGGCCGAAGCAGATGTCAAATCTTTGGCCCATTCGGGTACGGTCATATGTGCAGCTTTCTCACCAGATGGACACTTGATCGGCACAGGAGCGCAGGACAACACTGTCAAGATATGGTCAAAGGATGCCTCTCAACTCCACTCAATGGAAGGCCACGCAGCCAGCATCAACAAGGTCATCTTCTCTTCGAATAATCAGCTACTTGCATCAGCTTCGGTAGACAAGACGGTGAGAGTATGGAATGCAGTCACAGGCACACTGTATCACGCGCTTAGGGGCCATTCCGACAATGTCCGTTCGATCCGATTCGCCTATGATGATCAGCTCCTTCTATCCTGCTCAACGGACAAGACTGCAGCTATCTGGGACGTAGAGACAGGCATTTTGTTGAACCGGCTTGTTGGCCATGCCGACACTGTGAATGATGTCATAGTCTCTCCAGTTGATCTCACACTAGTTGCAACATGCTCTGCAGATTCAACTGTCAGAATTTGGCAGGTCTCTTCAGAGCCGACATGTCAAATACTAGAGGGCCACTCGGATGCTGTGAATTGTATTTCATTTTCCTCGGACGGCAAATTCATCGCATCTGACTCTGCAGATTCGACCATCCGGCTATGGAATGTATCTGGAGAGGCTTACCACACACTGCGGGACCATACGTCCTCAGTGACCGCGGTCGCTTTCTCTCGGGACAACAAGTTCATGGTATCTTCCTCGGAAGATCAAACAGTGAGGCTTTGGGAGACCAGTACGTTCTTGGTCATAGGCAAACATGATCTCTCGATTGCAGTAGGCTCTTTGGCATTCTCGAGTTGCGGCAAGTACATTGACACCGATCGGGGTGTCTTGGACGTTGCCTCAATTCCAGAATCAACCGGTCCGATCTCCCCATACAATCCTGTCAATACTTTCGTTTCTCAGGAGTGGCTGAGAAGAGGATCAGAGGACGTGTTATGGTTACCAGAGGATTTCCATGCCACCAGTGTGGCAGTCCGGGGAAACAATGTCGTTTTGGGACATGCAGGTGGCGGTGTTACCTTTGTTTACTTCTAAGGTTTACGTAGTCTTTAGGTTGATGAGAATGGCCGGTAAAGCTGAGGATGATTATTAGCTAATGAAATTGTTTTTCATCTCCTACACTGTAAGAGTCGTAGGCTTGGTTCAAATTGCAATCACGGTGAGAGTATCAAATGAGGATCACAACCTTTTTATCCAACGGCCGAGATAACAGGAAGGGATAAGACGCTGGCTCAAATTTCAGTCGTTAGGCCAGCAGGGGATAAGATTAGTCGGCACAGGATTTTCACCAGCAGTATTGATCGAATCGATTGATTTCTACCAATCATCGTGACCACTCATCCACCTGCAGGAGTGATCCAATCGATTGAATATCTACCTACAATATCAATCACCTCCCTATCGTGATTGATCCTACCGATTGTGATTAGCGACGTGATTGACGATTCTACTGATTGGAGTTGACGGCATCGTGAGGGCCTATAGGATTGCCTACGTGATTGCCTACGTGATTGCCTACGTGAATGCCTACGTGATCGCCTACTGTGGCGTAGCAGGATTGGTGAGGCTATTCGGGGATCACGTGTATGGGGAAAGCGCACCAGGCAGGGCATAGATAGATCGATCAAGGCTGCCGAGAGAGATCGAGGCATCATCCACCTACCTCCAGAGGTCTATGAACAGAGTAAGGATAGGACGCTGGTCCACATTGCAGTCACGATGGGAGAAACAGATGAGGTTCACGACCTTTTTATCTAAAGGCGGAGATACCCTCAAGTTGGCGGAACTTTCATTATTGTATAAATGAGAGAGTACTGTAAAATTAAGTACAGAGATACATGGTTATTTAATAGTCAACAGCCTTTCAGAATTAGTATGTTGCACTTGACCTGTTAGTAGATGCGCAACTGGACACTTCCTAACGCCACCGCTGCAGGATCGGCCCAATTGCACTTCTTTTGAAGTTGCTGAGCAAGTAATATGATATGAAATTAATTGTTTCATTGTTGGTAATGACTCATGTGACATAATACAAAGCAATCCCTAAAAGCCGCAGCTGGCGTATAACACCCGACGAAATGCTCCCCTGCTATTACTCGAGACCTACCAGGTTCTCGTAATGCTCTTACGTGCCATATATTCTGTCAAGCTCACGATTTGCCTCGTTTCGTCAATGAAGTGTGGGTCGGAGGAAAATCCAAGATACTTACAACTCTCACTGCGTCATATCCGCTTAACCATGGCTTCCACGCTGGTGACTCAGGCTCTGGAAGCTCGCCAATATTCCGAGTAGCCCCCAATTTCATCCATCCATTGAATGATTTCAAGTTCGTATCACGCTCCATTTGTTCAGATCCATCGGGCAGAGTCGCTCGTCGACCTTTCCTGGCGCTCCATTCCTGGACACGCGTACAACGCGGCTGTCTAATCATTTGAAACATATTTAGAGCTCCCGAGATATCTTTGAGATGACCTGCGCGCTCCAAACATTCTGCAAGCACAGCTCCATCCTCAAGGGCCATGCCGCCTCCCTGTTCGGTGTTAGTATGCTGTTTATTGAGGCGATGTATTTTTCACCTGTCCGACCCAGGGAAGGGTACCATGAGCGGCATCTCCAACCAAAACAACCCTTCCATTTTGGCTCACCCACGAGGATGGTTTAGCTTCCATCAGCCTCCACGTCCTTACGTCTTCTGCTTGGAAAAGGACTTTCTGCACCACAGAATCAAACTCCCCATAGAATTGTCCTAGATGTTTGACACATTGTTCCTTCCCTTGTTCGTCATCTATCACTTCATCCCTTCTATAACAGCAATCAAACCCCAACAGCGTATTTTCTCCTAAACGTGATGAGTGGCTGGGAGAATGTCGATCATTTTACACTTTCCTTACCTAAGCGAACTGGCATGATGGCAATGCTTGCCTTGGGGCCACACCAAAGGCCAATCTCCTCCATCAAAACAGCGGTTTCAGGATCGAGCCTTGCAGTATCTTCGGATATGAACCCTCGTATGACAGTCATTCCACTGTCAATGGGAGAACATGCATCAGAACCAACACTTCTGCGAACCTGAGATTCGACACCTGTCGACCTATATATCAGTCTATGTCGTTTCTATACATTGATGTCCTCGATACATCACCAATAGTGGTCTACTTACCATCTGCTCCAACAATCACATCAGCTGCAATCTTCAATGCTCTCTGAGAGTCTGCTAGCGTAATGGACACAGATGTGTCATCATCTTCGATCGATACTACGCGATTTCCGAACCTAAACGCCACCCCTCGGTCTATAGCCGCATTGTAAAGCACACGCTGCAGTTCTGCTCTATGCAAAGGCCACAACCTAAAAGTACATCGTCAGCTCTACAACGAGTATACGGAATCAGGAAACTCATACGGGTAGCCGTATTCTTTCTCATGGAAATCTGCTGGCTTCTTGACCAAATACTCTCCATTGTCATATCGTCTTGTACTGGGCCCTTGAGGAAGCTTGGTGCAAGAAGGTAGTAAGGCTTGATAAACACCCAAGCCGTCCAGGATCCGATTAGCGTTTGCCTGTAGAACAATGATGCCTCCAACCGGCTGCAGTTCAGTTGTGGCTTCTAGTACGGTGACCTGGTGGCCTTTATTCCTCAATGCTATCGCTGATCCGAGGCCAGCGATACCAGCGCCTATGATTACAATGTCAAAACCCATAGAACGAATGCTTGAATCGAGACCTTTAAATATACTACTACGCATCAGGATGTTTATTATGCATATCCTGTACACCATGGTTTGAAGGCCGACAACTCACTGTTGTTTTATCCAGTACTTGCGTTATAGGTTGACATAAAAGTGACACGATTTCTGACTCGTCTTTTGCTGTAGAGGCAGAGCTGACGACTCCGGAGACCTTTATACTGGGACTATTACTTAGCCATGATTAGCTCACTGTTCGATATCTGGCCTGTGAATGTCAAGGTCCTCTTCAGCCATGTAATCGAATCTTGAAAGTATCAAGGCAATCTACGTGGTGTGGGAAGAATTCGTCCCTCGAGGATTGATTCATTCCAATCATTCGGCTTCCTCGCCTCCCCCCTGCAGGACACATGTAGGTAGCCTACATAAGTACGGCTGCTTCTAGTAATGCTTGCTACGCCAACAGTAAGCAACGAAATAATCTCTCCGTCTTAGAGATTCAGAAATCTCGAATATCTCTCGACCCCGCTTCCTTCGCCTGTCCCTTTACCTGAATATGAAATTCTCATAGGAATCGTAAAGAACATACATACTGGTTGGTCTACCTTGATACTATAGCAGGTGCAGTACCAATCCCTCGTTGCATTGCTGCGTATCAACGACTTTGTTGAGTGCACAACGGGATATCGAAAAGCTGATCATATAGTTGTAGTTGCTATGCCTGTAGATGGCGAGAGTTCAAGTCTATCCAATCAGGAGGATTTCCCTTCCGGCTACTCCCTTCGTTACCAGGTAAGCAAACGTACCACTCAAGTACATTACGTCGATCATCTCATTCCCACATTCTCGCAGTATCTAACATGGTAGCGTATAGGACTGCATAAACTCGCAGTACACCTCCTTACCGAACACCTGAGTATAAAATGTCTTGAGGCAGTGATAGAGTTCTCAATTGGGGGGTGGGGGTTGCAACAATCCTACTACTAGTCTGCAATGCACGCCTGCGGGTCCTCACCTTTTATACAACGCGCAGTTCCTTATTGTGGCAGCGCAAAAGCCTCAGTTCACAATTACGCATTTCTCGAAGGACCTTTCCCTGCTTTAAGTGCCAGTTCTGATTACGATGAAGGCTGATATAAGCAGAAAGGCGTCAAAGCTGTTCTGGGAGTGCGAGCATTTGGTCGCGCTTATGCGGCATGGATTCCGAGTGCAGATTGTTTTAGACAGGAGCTATGGAGGCTATCTCGGGCAGGAAGTGTACGGTAATGGCTTCATCCTCCGATGGTTCAATCGTCACATGAGAAGTGGGGCTCCGAGGGTTTATTAGTCGTAGCCAAATTATGGCGGTCGAGCGATATTGGAGCTGTAGCGGGAGATGGTGATCATAAGAGAGCCTTAAAGGAAACTTCGGCAAAGGTTTTAGTCACGCCTAGTAAAGAAGATCAATATTTCACAGCGCGGGACGGGAAGAACACGATAGAGATATCGAGACACGGCATTTCTGGGCCCCGAGGATCTGGGGTCATATAGGTGGCAGTAGAGGAAACCCGACTGATGCAAGATGGATAGACGAGAAGATAGCTTACAGTAAACAAATGAAGAGCTTGCGACTGCTATGCTGATCTCAACTGAGTAGCCGAGAAGCTCTCGGATCCAAGTATCACTATGAACACATTCCTTTCTCTGCAGTTTTCAATGTGCGTCTGTAGTCTACAGCATTTACTTACTAGACGTATCAACACCTATATAATAGACGCCCTGGGCTTGATTAATGCCAGCTTCATATTATCTTTTCCTTTCCCTTGCATCTACCTCAATTTTCTGCAGCTCTTACCTACATGCCTCGTTGACACCGTTTCAACTAACACCACGAACGTGAATAGCGCTTTGCACACACAACGTTCTATACAAGTAACCGTGGTAGAAGGCATTACAGGAACAACGCGTACTATATGGGTAGGTAAGATGGTAGATATAGAATGTTCTCATCCACCTTCTGCAAGTAGGCATATGATGCTTCGACCGCCCTTGGTAGCCACAGCTCATCGATCTACGATCCTCCTAGCGTTCTCCAAGCTGCATGTATCCTCTGAATAGCCTCACCTATCCTGCCGTGTCGCAGTGTCTTTCTGTGTCTATGTAATCACTGTGATGTACTGCTGCTCTCACTTGTGTATCCCATTGCTACCGTTGTTATTGACGCCCAGGCTTCGGACCGTACTGTGGACGGGTAGCCTTCTACTCTTACTTACTCACTTTGCTGTCCTGCTGCTCTCACCGACTTATCTTGGTGACCCAGCTCATTGATCGGGGTATATATACTATTCAATCTTGATCTACCTTTGTCCTGTTGTAGGATTGGCAACCCTACAGCAGGACCCTTAGAACAGTTAGCTAACGTATGAAGCAGGTTCCTCCGTTGGGCTTCGCCCAGTTTCTTTTTTGAATTTTTTTTCAACTCCCCCGTGTTCGATTGCGGCTTGGGGCACATCTTTTTTTTTTGCTCTTTTTTTTTCCCTTCCTTTTGCTTCTGGTTTTAGCAGCAAAAGCTGTCTTTCACTGTGCGCCCTGCAGGTAGAATAGAATCATCCAGAACCTTCAAAATTGACGAAATATATCCCTACATGTGACCTCTGAGTTACCTTGTGATGCCTTGGTCGCCGTATGAGTATTTGGTTACTTGCAGCCTCAACACGTTGTGATCACGAAACAGCGTTGTTAAACTGGGTGTCCATGATCTTATCTTGCAATCCGAAGCTAAGAGTGCTCGCAGCCCTTAGCAGCGCAATTTACTTGGAGACTTATAATAGCTGATTGACGTTGTAGTAGGACACGCTCAAGGTAGAAATGTAAGTTTGCGTTGCTTGAACACGTTGTGATTATGAGACAGGGTTCACAGCCCGCATGTCTAGTATGCAACTTTCAGAATGGGTCTAGGATTATTCCTAGCTCTTGATAAGTGACTTTGAGTACACTGATGTTCACTCCCACTGTATTAAGTTGAGGTCAGGATGAGGATGTAGATTTGTATTGTCTGGGCACTCTGTAATCATGACATAGGTTGACAGCTTGGATGTCCAGGGTATCATTTCGTGTACTGGAACTGAGAATGTCTTAAGCCCGGAAAACATAGGTTGAGCCGGAGATAGTAATGTAGGTTTGTACGTTGTGGGAACCTTGTCGTACCAAAAGCTTATAAGTCTAGTTTACTATCCTATGTACTGGATTTGGTCGTTGTTTCCGCCCTTGCTAGATGACCCGAGAAAGCCCTGATCATGACTTTCACTGTTGTAGGTTTACTCTAAGATAAAGACATAGGCTGCGAACAGATAGGGCGCATTTTGTTCACGACACAAGGCTGACAGATTAGAGGTTTGGTATAGGCATGTACACTTTAGGCACATTGTGATCACGAAACAAGGTCAACAGTTTTGGCGCCTGATCTATCATTTTGTTTGCTGGAGCTACAAGGAGTGTCGAACCTTAACGAGAAATCTGAGCAGGCTCTGATGTTGATTTCCTTTGTGATAGGTTCAATCTTGAATGAATATGCAGATTTGTGTAGACTGGGCATGCCGTGTTCACGAAACAGGGTTCACAGGGCCTGAGATGTCGAGTGTGTTATTCTATATACTGGGGCAGAGACCACTTTTACTTTCAAATCTTGCCGAGAAACTCAACCATGCCCTTATATTGATCCTTACTGTGGCAAGTTAGCCCATGGAAGAAGTCGCAGGTTGGTTCAGGTTGGGCGCATTGTGTTCGTAACCAAGGATTCTACTTCGGAGGTGATAAAAATCTCGCAAGTGACCTTCTCAAGCTTTACTACTTCCCACCCCACCATGTACGCAATCTTTCCCACCACAACGGCGCCCACGGCCTCTCGAGATGGACACCAACGAGTCTCCTTCTCAAGTTCTGCTCTGACACCTCCGGCAGGTCGAATCGGTATCCATCCTCCGTCCACAAACGCCCCGTCTCCTCAGCCTGCTCGCGAGCCGCCTTCCAGAAGATGAAGCCTGGCAAGTCCATGTAGGCCTCGAAGGCCTGCTCCTTCAGCGGAGGGTATAATACACGGACGTGTGAGCGCTCAAGGCTATCGGGCGACCAGTACTCCCTCTCCGCAATGTACTCGCTCTCGTAATACCAGAACGGAGTGAAGAGATGAGTCTGTGGGATTCCGAACTGCTCGCCAGTGGGATCCAGCACGTATCTTTCTCCGAGCGCTGTCGTAATGAGGAGCACTGAGTGCAATGCCGCCTGATTGCCGGGAAACTGGAATACAACTCGTGGCTGGGGTATGGTGGTGAGCCACTTCACTGTTGTGCCGGGATCGATGTGGCGCACGAGTTGGGATACAAGCGGCTTGAGGGTGTAGACAGCGAAATCGCACTTGTTGGTCATGAGAGCGCCGCGCTGGAGGCGAGGCTCCAGGAATCCAGGGATCGATCTCTCTGCGCCGTAGAACTCGGCCATCCTTTGATCCACCTTGACGTGGTACGTAGTATGTGCAGGACTCCTTGCGACTCGCTCACGCCGGCTCGTCTTGTCCACGTATTCGAAGGGGATATCAAGCCGCTGTAGCATCGACTGTGCTGATGTGTCTTTGGTCTTGTAGTAACGGGAGTTGCGGTTAGAAGGCGCTACAGACAGCAGACACTCGACAGGAGGTGGATAATGGATTTCTGGGAGCATCCGCTCCAAGTCGAAGGCGCTGGGGGTGTTCTTGGAAACGTCGAGCACTTGATAGCCATGGCCCATTTTTGCAATGCGGTTCCAAACACCTAAAGCAACAGTCATTTGTTTGAAAATCCGGCGGCCAACAACAGGCGACATGGCGATCTGCCCAGGGTGTGTTGGGTCGAAAGGAAGGAAATAGGGCACGAGTTTCAATTGCTCGACTTCAATTTCTGGGTTTTGGTTGTAGTGAGAGTGCGCTATTTAGATCACAAGGTGCTGTTCAGGACTGTACGGTCGACCGTAATATCAGTTGCAAAGGTCCGCCAACTATCAGATGAGATGAAAGATGGCAGGACTGAAAGAGTCATGATACCAAACAGTCAAAATCCTCAATAGTCAGTTCAAGATATACATCTCACTATTGTAGGAGTAACGGATGAATCAGAATATGTGTTGACTCAGACACTATAGATATAAGAAAGCAAGAATAGTCGGTTGCTGGCCTTCACCTTTATTTGTCAACTTCAAACACTGTATATTCTCTTTCCAAACTTTCTACAAGTCTCTTTTCCTTAGAACAAACTAGCAACATCAAACCAACTAAATCAACATGTCTCAGAATAGCAATGGTAGGCAAACAGCTATGATTACCTCCGAATATGGCTAACTTCTATGATTCAATAGCCTATCAGTCTGAGCAAAGCAAGCTTGCTGAGCGTTTGCGCCCTCTAGCAGATGAAGTCCTCAGAACTCTCAAAGAAGAGTACGTTACGTGGCTTCAGGAGGTCGAAAAGATCGAGGTCGGGGAGATCGAGGTCGAGAAAGGGGAAAAGGTTCCTCTATATAAGCTTTGGAGGCTGATGGATCCCGCAACACCGACCGTTGGGCAGTCCCTGGAGAGTGTGATGCCTGCCAATGCTTCCTCAGAAGTGATCAACGCCTACCTGTTCATGGATATGTGCGACTTCGTTACCTATGCTCTTCGTGAAGCTGTAGGGCACATCCTTCAAAGTACTACTTGACTCATGATAATCAATGAACTTTACTGACCAGGATGCAGATTACAAGGCGAATGTGAAATGGGTTCTCTACAAGCCTCGGCCTAGATTCATGTTGACTGAGATGGGACAAGAAGATCCTCCCAGGCATTCTGTACTCACGGTCACCGACAAGAATGGAAAGACATACATCATGGACTTGACACATCCGCAGTTCGGCTTCAGATTACTGCTGCTTCTCGACAAAGACATTTATGTGAAGGAATATACGAACATAAACGAGATTCCAGAAGTAGCAGACTCGAAATTACAGACGGAAATGAAGGAGCTTTCAGAACAGCATTATGATGGTCTTTACCAAAAGCTTCAAGAGCGCCTCACCAAAATGGCAAAGGCAAGTGTCAGAATCGAGAGCGCGAAATAGTTGTAGAGAAATTCTCTAGTTGCAGGATAGGGCTTTTGTACACCTCAACAAATGGATAAAATGTTGGCCAAAGGAGGGCAAAAGAAGAGTTGATATCATTATGGCTTCACTTCCCAAATCTGTTTTATTACCAGCTATCGACTATAATGAAGTCATGTCTTGTTCATTGAAGGACCATATGCAGATAGTGAGGACGGATTACACAGTCTACGTATGTACTTCCCCTACGCCGGGGTAGTACTGTATTTCTGCCATCCTGATGAGGCCCTCAAATTGTTCCGTTGTCCAGCCTTCAATCTCTTCGATACTGCTTGATGCGATACATGAGATTAGGTTGTCGACGATGACTTCTAGCAGTGTTCCTTCTCGGTTCCGGAACACACGTCTGCGCTTATCTTCGAATGGCATCTGGTGAAAGAGGTCGATCTGTGCCCAGGTTTCCGGTTTGAGATTCGAGGAAAAGTATTCTTCCAGAGGATATAGGTATCTATCGAATCCGAATTGCGCGTATGTGACATCGAGCACAAAGCTGTTGCTGTCTTTCGTATGGATGACGAGGAAGTCATGACTGCAGGTCGCCCGGAGTTGTTCTTCCCTCATAATGAACATTCGTCGCGGCCGAGGGATTGCTCTCCTCCATTCAAGTTCTCGAAACCAGCTATGCTCTATGAACTATTAGAATCAATAGCGTAGAACTCGAATGTGATACTTGCGGTTCAGTTCTTTGTGCAGCCGCTGGAAAAGTGCGAGGCACGCAGTACTGCAGGTGTTATACACCGCACCGCCATAGAGAACACCGGCATCTGTTGAAGGCTCTATATCCTCCTGTTCGTCTCCCACCATGAATATCGGTATACGCTGGCGATCATCGGGCCATTCAGGCTTGGGCGCCAGAAGACGGGGCGTACTCATCGGTTTGATGGCATCAACGGCTTCGCAGAACTGGTGCCAGAGAGGTACAGTAAACTTCACGAGTTGTTCAATCTCCTTCTCCAGCATTGAGGCAGCCTAGTTCCTCATCAGTATAGATCAGATTCAATGCTCGGAAAGGCTTGCCTGTTGCCGCTCAGCATGTTCGTTGGCAGTCATATCGCCAGTAGGGCGGAAGTGTTTGTTGGCGCTGTGAGTTGGTTGCAGTGAAGCAAATAAAGAGAGCAGTAGAGAGTAGTGGTAAAGAGAGAGCGGTGAGGGGAGGGGAGGGAGATACAGAGAGGGGGAGAGGGAGGGAGATAGGCAAAGAGAGAGAGAGAGAGAGAGAGAGAGAGAGAGAGAGAGAGAGGCAAAGAGAGAGAGAGAGAGAGGCAAAGAGAGAGAGACAAAGAGTAATAGGAAGCTCCGTGCACACGATGCGAGGCCAAGTAGGCTGATAGCATGCAAATTTAGGTTGACGTAATATTTAGGTGAAGGCCACACGGTATAAAAAGCGATATAGGAGCAAATTGAAGACAAGTTGATTGATTAGCTAAGTGAAGGTCGCAAAGCCCAGGATAGATCTGGACAGCCAAAAGAACAAGCCACAATGCATAGCATGAATCAGAAGAGGAAAGTTCAAGGCTGGAAATCTAATATTGCATTTGAGTTGCTAAAAAGAAAAAGGACTGCCACAGTAGACACTGAGTCAAAACAGCAAAAAGAAAGGACTATAAGCATGGAATGAATCTGAAAGCAATAAAACCAGGCCGCACAGAATAGAATAGCTCCAAACAGCAAAGGAAAAGCTGTAGAGTATAGAAAAAATCAAAAGGGCAAAAAAAAGAGAAGCTCACAGCCGTATTCGAACCCAAGGGTGAAAAAGAAAAAAAATGCAAAAAAAGAAACTGGGCAGAGCCCATCGGTTGGACCTGTTACAAGTCAGCTAACTGTCCGGCAAGTTCCTACTGGTAGGGGTGCCAATCCCTACCAGCGGTACAAGGCAGTCAATATTAAGTGATATATATAGGCGGTAAAAAGACCTGGTTGACAAGATATAAGGTCAGGCAAAGGGGCTATACAGGTAAAGGCGGTACAACGTAGAATGACAAAGGTAGGCAAAGCATTTATGTGGATTGGACCTGGAGGTAAAGGCTACATATCACAGAATTGTGTAGAATGGCGGAAGAAGGACACGTTCACAGCAATATTAAGCTACAAAGCGTCAAAATTCCGCAAGTAGAGTTCCAGCAGCCCAGGTCATGTCTCTGTTTGTACGCACTGAAAGGCTAATTGACTTTCACAAGAGTCTTATTCTATTGCTGCTATGTCCAATAACAAGATAAAGGCATGATAAAGTTATGTATAGTGACTGTCCGATCCGAGTGCTTCTCTATGCTACTGGTAGAATTGTTGGAGAAAAAAGCTCCTTGAGGTCCGTTTTCTCAGCACTAACGAGCCAATTCCGTTCCATGTGTTACCTTCCACGGGAACTGAAATCCCTCATCCTTCTCCATGGCTTCGGCCAACTCCTCAATTTCTTCCGTCGTTAATCCTTGAATGTATTGCCTCATCTGTCGATCCTTTATGCTTTCTGGAGACTCTGCCAGCTCTATATCGAGATTTCGGGTTCTTATCTCGTTTTTCTTTAGGTCGACAAACTGCTTGCAATATTCATCTAGGGTGTAAACGCAGCTGGGTATACCAAATTGACGGCTAGAGAAGTCTACGACCAGAGGGGGGGTATCGGGCTCTTCGAACTTGACCTCCAAGAAGTCGTGGGCAAATTGTATTGGGGTCTGTTCGTCGTGATCCCCTTCGTCAAAGTACACCCTCTTTGGATTTATATACGCGGTTCTCCACATGAGGCTACCCAGGCCAATGCCTAACGCGCAGCAGCTGTGATTAGTATATAATGTCTTGAGCAATTCGCTATCAAAGGGGAACGATATCTCACTGTGCAATTGCTGCTTCAATACACTATACAGCATCCAATTTGACGAGACACACGTGTTATAGAGGGCTGCGCCATTGATGAGATCTTTGTCGTATCTGAACGCGGGTGTTGGTGTGGCGCCGCTGGCCTGGCGAACAATGTTCCACATTGGGAAATCTTGATCGTAGAAATAGCTTCCTTCATAGAAACTATACTTATCACGGGAGATGACTGCCTCTACAGGGTAGTAAATGTGGCAGTATGATAGCCAGAGGCGTGCTAAGACCTCAGCGACGCGGCGGACTCTCTGGTGCTGCGCTTCAACATCGGGCGGAGCTTCTGGATTTTGGGAGGCGCCACCACTCGCAGGAATTGTAGAGATTGTGGAGGAAGACATTGGGAGATAGAATTGATGATATTCTGGTATTGCAGTAAAAGAGAGGTTGGTGTGGTGGTTGAAGTAAAAGCAAGGCGATGAAATTGCGAAAGGTCAGTGCAACCTTTATCAGACTTCACCTGCCTCTAGGTTCAAACAATCAAGCTACAGCCAATAGAACCGAATAGATCAAGATGCATGAGTGAGGAGACTGTCTCTATTCTTATAGCAATCCGATGTCATGTGCGCCTTCAGCGTGTTATACTCTCTGTGTAAATTAGGGAATGATTGATTGTTCGAAAAGCTTCGTTACTCTAATATCTAGCGTATTTGTATGCACAAAAACCTATTTACAGCTCTACAAATGTATTTTTTTTAATCAAGAGTAGAGCGCTGCGTAGCCATTCAGGGCGTTCAAAGTTGAGGCTAGCAGTGAAATGAAATGACCTAGCGGGCGATTGATGAATTACTACGAAGTGTCGAGTGGTCAATAAGATAGTTATCATTTGAAAGGAAGGTAATACGCTGGTGCTTTTTTAAAAATTACATTCTGGGAAGAGTCCTGGGCTCTGGCAACCCCCTGAGTATTTCAGTTAAGTCTGGTACCCAAGCACCCAAGTACATGTTGACATGTCGTTCATTCTCTGTTCTCCGGGTATCTGTGCCCAGAGATACACCCTGTTGTTGAAAATTACTCTACATTGCACACGCATGTGACTTCGCGTCCCAAGCGCCAAACTCCGCAGTAACACGACTTTGGCTACTGCCCCACCACCAGATAACCATTCCCATCGAACATCACTCTACCTCGTACACCGCATCTAGAGAGACTTGTACTTCAATTCTTGCTACTTTGGATATTCCTGGATAGAGGCCAATCAAGTTTTATAGCCCCCAATGGATGGAACAGCAAGTTTGAACAATGAGACGCCAGGCGACCGGGCCCGCAAACGAGGCAATGAGCTGTTTTTGAGCCGCGACTACAGAGCAGGTACCAGATCGTCCCGATCGATTAACAAGAATCCGCAAATGAATTCCATTTTTCAGCAATCAAGGAGTATCAGAAGGCAGCAGATCTCGCACCCGAGGATTATCGACCATGGTGGAACATGTCCGCTGCACATTTCGAACTTGGCCATTATGAGCCCGCAACCGCGTCGGCCCAGAAAGCGCTTCACCTCCCGCAGCTTCTTGATGAAGCAGCTAAACAAAAGATAAGGGTTCGTCTTGCAAAAGCATACTTATACCTCAAGAATCATCAAGAAGCTCGCATCGTGATCAAGTCTATGCCGGCTGGTGATGATCAGCAAGAACTCGAGAGAGCCGCGAACGAAGCAGAGAAATCCGAAGTAGCTTTCAAACATTGCTGGGCTGCCAAAGAACGTAGTGTAAGGCGTTTGCCGCACTACAAGCCATTGATCCGGGATGTACCCATCTTCTTTTCAATGGGTCATGACCAGGCAACTGCGTTGTACGATCCCCTTCTTCTTGGCCTAGCAGAGAAGGGAGAGACGCTAGCATACTTATTTGGTGGCATTGGTGATGCGCGGAATCTGTTTCAAACGCTTGTTCCCATCCCCTGGCTTGAGCATGCCTCTAAACGAAAGCATTCATTCCATTTCACGATCAACGATATCAAGCCAGAGGTGTTTGCAAGGGATTTGTTGTTCTTCATCCTTCTTGATGAAGTGGCCAATGAGATTCCCCCCAAGTACCTCAAAATTAAACCCGGTGAGAAGAACAAGGAAGTCGACGACCTAGAACTATCTTTCACAGCCACAAGAAACCTGACGACAATCTTCTACGCATACGCTGCGCAATTGATGCCGCCTAATGTCTGGGAGCACCTTCTAGCTACTATTCAAGTTGCTATCGATGCTCTTCAGGGTAAACGCAACCTCCCTTCTTAACTCAATCTAGATTCTAAAGACTACCCAACGATGATCGCCGTGTTGGAATCCTGGCGCACCGATGTTCCAGCGACGTATTCGGTTCATGATTTCTTACAAAGCCGAAATACTCGCCTTCGAACTCAAATGGATTTTGCCCAGCGATTTGGAATGCAGGTTACCGATTTCCAGATGCCTAGCCCCGAAGGATGTGAGGCAGATATAACTGATTATCGAGCTTCGGGCTTCCTAAAGCCACCCAAAGAGATGATGACACCTGATTTGCAAGAGATACTTGATTCAGAGTATCGGTCGCCCGGTCTAAAAAAGCATGTCGCGGACCAATGGAAGATCAACTCTACCTTGGTGGATTTGCAGTACCTTCGCCAAGGCGGCATTGATCTTGACCCCGGAAACGACGTCGCAGAGATCGAAGATGGTCTGTATGGCGCAACAATGTGGCGTGCACCAAAGAATTCGAGCAAGATCTACGATTTAGTTTATCATTTCTTTGTTTCAGTTGCCAAAGGGTTAGCACAAATCCGTGAGCGGCTTGTTGTTGAAGCAATTTCAGGCGACATCACCGAAGTCATTGAAGGCATACGATTCGGGCTTCTGAAAGAACGCAACACAACGTTCCCGAGAAAGTACGATCGTATTCATCTGAGCAATATCCCGTAAGTCAATTCGATTGATCATGTCCAGCCCTGCTGACGTCTCTAGTGACTACACCGGCGGCAGTCTGTTCAAGTATGTACATGCATTGCCATTACTCAAAGAGAAGTTTTCCTCGTTTGTATGCTCTACCAATCTGCGAAACGGAACGAAGTTTCCAACCCGAGAACACTTCGACAACGAATGCGCTTTGATAAGCGATGTTATTACCGTAGAGAGAGTGTTTAGAGCTACTGCAAACCGTATAGAGCGTTTAGAAAGTGTTCTCATACCAGACATGGACAAGGCCACACCGGGTGCAGGCCCTGAAACGCCATTTGTTGGGTGGAAGTACTGGGCAGTTCAGCCCAGCCATCGCAGCCGTGAGCTTCCGAAGCTGATCAGTCGGTCGGACATGGAGAATTGGGTGTATGGGCTGTTCATGAAAATTGTGCTCGCAACTCATAGCCCGGATAACAACGACATTGAGCAAATCTATTCTCCTCTCAACATCTCTATACTCTTCCGAATTCTCCACACCGTCTGGTCGACTAAATACCCGGCACACTGGCTTGCCGACATACTCGCGACGATTCTGAACAACCAAGTCAGAACGACAGCAAGGCCAGCACGCAGCTACCCACTTTCCATCAAACAGACAGAGAAGACATTTTCACCCAGGTTCACGTACAACGACGAGGAAATACAGATAGGGAAGAAATTCCCATCCAAGTATATGGACCTATCACCGTTCTTGGCTGAATTCAGGACCCTCGCGACCCTCTGGCTAGCGGAGCTGCCCTTTGGCCTGACTGTCCCTGCTTCCCTTCCATCTCCGAACGATATCAACCAATACAGCGCGGTCCTTACCTCACAGAGCTGGCGCGGCGAAACGAAGGCCCCCGCCTTTGTACTCTTGCTTGCCAAATCCTCCGCTCATGCCGCCCTGCGTCGCAATCATGCACGTAGTGATGGTAACCTCGATTATCGCGCCGCACTCTTGCCGGATGAGAAGGGTCTGAAAGGTGAAGACGTCGATGAATTCCGCCGCAATTGCGCCGTGATTACAGTCTGGCAGTGGAGCATGAATAAGAAGCAGGCGAAGTTCTGGCTTGATAGCAAGGAAGTCGAGCGAATGAAGGAGGACGACTGGGAGATTATGGTTCTGAGGACGGATAACTGGCAGACGTGTACGACTCCAGAGAAGCTTCATGAGAAGCTGCGCAAGGAGGACGAGTGGACGGGGCTGGATGGGTAAGCAATTTACGCAGTGATATTTAACATGTACAAGATACATGCCTGAAACTATTCCTTAAATCAAAGTTGTAGAGATTTCTGTAGACGCTTGAACATATGGTATCGCAAACAAAGTATGATGACTGTGCGAAATTGTGTTTACGTCTTTGCCATGGCATTCATCCTTGCTACAGCTACAGGGAGATGAAGCTGAAGTATTTGTATAGTAATTGTAAGGTGTATTGCGCCGCCTCTTCCAAACTAACAAGCAGGTGAAAAGACACTATGAGTCCGTGATACGCGATGTGGCGGCACAGGAGTAAAGGTAGAAAGGCATTGTGATGAGACCGGGTAGCAGTTGCTCTCTCACTCTCCCACTGTTGCGGCGTCGACTTTGACCATGTGGATATCCGTGCAGGTCTCTGTTGTTGGAGTGTATCTTGCATTCGCCAGCAGTTGTGTACGCAAGACAAACTCAGAGGGAAACCCAACAGCTAATAGCTGTGGTTTGGATAGCTTCTTCGGGTCTGGTGGGCAGTCAGTAGGTTGTTGGAGGAAGTGGTGTTGTTTATCTCAGGTTGTCCGCGGTCATATCTACTCGGCCTTCAGCGTCCAAGTCAAAGTCCAACAGATCATGCAACTGCAAACCATGAGAGATTCGAACACAACAGAGCCCACCAGTTATTCCAAACATGATCAAATATGTTTGATAAGAGAGATACACCAAGTTGGAACACACTGAGCCCCATGTAGATAACACTTGACCTGATGTTGTGCTTATGGGGGCAAAACTATGCAACACTGCACTGTATCGTTTGATCATGCCTGAAGAAACACATGCTCGAACACAGTGATAGAAAACCGAGCGCTGAAACCACAGAACCAATGTGCCCACGGCCAGTGGGAGAAGAGGCCTGTTGTGTCCGTTGTGGTAAAGTACGCTCCTCAGGTGAAAGAGAGCTACGTCACCGATAACTACTCTCCCAGCCCCCCAGTGCAGTGTCTCACCTATATTTCCTATCTACTCAAACAATCATAACGCCCTATATATAACGATTAATCTTGAATGCCCTTTGTCCTACCGCCAAGTTGTAAGGTCCCGGCGGTAGGGCGAAGTTGGATACCGGCTAACTTATGACAGGTACCCGAGGGGTCCAGGTAAAACCTGGGCCCCGCGTCTTTGCCACTTTTTTTTGCCTGGGTTCGAATACAGGTGTGAGCAGAGTTTCTTTTTTTATTTGCTTCTTTTGATTTGACTCTGTAGGCTTCACTTTTGCGTGCTGGGTTTGCTTGGCAGGTTTGTTTGATACTGTGGGTTCGAACACAGGTTTGAACGCGTCCCTCTTTTTTTTTTGCCCCCGTTTTCAATTCTATGCCTTCAGTTCTAGGATACTGAGTCTCCTCACAAGTCTTGTGGGCACCTTGTGATCGAATATAGGTCTTGATACATCTGCTCCTCTTTTGCTCTACTATGTAACTCTGTGGCCTGCAGCTCTAGGATACTGGGTCCTTTTGTAGCTTTGATTGGCACCCTGTGATTGAAAATTACTGTGAATGTGTCGATTTTCTTTTGATTCTTCTATCCAGTTCGGTATTCTACAGGATCACAGAGCGCGCTGAACTCCCTTTGTAGAAGTTGGTTTTAACACGCTGTGGTCGGATACTACTGGAAATGCCTTTGCTTCTGACTCTGCTATCAAAACTTATGTTCTGCACCTCTGAGATGCTGAATGTTTCTGCTACAAGTTGTTTTGACACCTTGCAGTCGAGCATTACTGCAAATGCATCTTCTTGCTCTCCTACATCATTCAGGGTACTGCAGTGCCCTCCAGCGTGCTGAGATCCATCAGTGCGAGTCAATTTCAGCACTCTGTGATATGATATTACTGCAAATTGCTGCAAATATTTCTATACTGCAGCTTTGGAATGTTAAACTCCCCCATTGCGATTTCATTTTGACTCTCTGTAGTTGAATGCTTTACAGATAGATACGCTCCTTTACCTATCGGTTTACTTGTAACTTTTACCGCTTCTACTTACAATGTCCTGTATAAGCAATCTATTTGAAGGCAGAACACTGCATCACTATCAAAGACACCAGTGTCGCCCTCAACATGATAATAAGGACATGATACCTAGTAAAACCTTGCTTTGTTCATCTTAGATCTGCTATTCCCTTTTACTATGAGGAAAATAGTTGACTGTGAGGTCCAGGGGTTCTGTAGCACTGACCTGAGCTTGAAATTGCGTGCGGCGGCATTGGTCCTTTACCTGTTCTCTCGAACTTCTTACAAGCACCTTCGTCCCTCACTTACTCACTCACTAACCCTCTACCACCACCAGCCCACTCAACACGCTTGCCCACTACAGCCACCACACTATGCTGTACCGTCTCTTTTTCTTAATCTTCAACACAGTCTTCGGACTCATAATGCCGCAGCAGGACCCAGATGCAGCGGCCGGCGAAGAAAGAGGCGCCACTGACGACGGCGCTGCTCTCCGCGACCTCTGGGCAGCAGTGCGCCTTCTTCGACTGAAAGGTAGCTGCGGGCATCTCTACCGCTTGTGGGAAGCTTATTGCAGTGTCATCAAGCCCAACAATGCCCTCAGATTCCGTCCTCGAAGCACCTTCGCACCCGATAGCTACTACCAGCGCTGGGGTATCCGCTACTACGACGTCTTCTACGGCGTAGCGAACCCCGAAGACTACGAGGGCCTCATCGTCGACACTCCGGTAAACGAAGACGCTAAGATGATGGACGCCGGCAAGATAGCATGTTTCCTTTTCATTGGCAAGGCGAGACAACTCGTCCACAGTATGACCCTCTCCTCCCAAAACTTTCACTAAAGTTTCACACTTGACCGCCTACTCACTACGCTCAACTCCAGATCATCCGGATATCTACAGGGTGTCTTGGGCATCACAGCACATCCACCCGCGCCGCGTCTACTTCGCCGGCCGCGACATTGGCCACCCATACCCTCGCAGGTGGCGTCACCACTTCATCATCTTCTACTTCAGGAACGGCAAGCACATTGTGTTCGACCCTGCAGGCATGGGCTACGGCATCGAGGGGCACTGGCACGAGTTCGACGAGTACAAGGAGAAGTACTTTGATCAGCAGCATCAACTGTTGGAGATAGATCCAGACGAGATTGAAAGTCTCCTCGCCTTCGACAACCATTTCGTAGTGATGAAGCAAGTTCTCGAGAGGATGAGTAATGAGCAGCTAAGGGATGTGGCAAACAGATTGCCAGGGATTACAACACAATTGAGGGAGATATTCCTTGCTGTTCAGCAAGAAAATGTCCAGGTATAAGATGGATAGGTGTAGTCCTGTCCTATGCTTGATTACTGATATGCAAAGTAAGTCACATTTAGATCGATAGATACGTCTCTGGGACACAGTTCACTCTCAGGCACAAGAATAACAAGACTTCAGTTCAATGAGTGGGGTCACAAGGCGCTATCACAGATATGCATAGGTGAGTCCATTCAGATATGGAGATACACCTCTCTGAGACTCAGCACACTTTCAGGCATGAGGATAACAAGACTTCAGATCACCCACGGCGGTCACAGGGCGTTATCATAGATACTTTCATTCCACCATTAGCACCCTCTACGGAATCGGATGTCCTATATCTTGGCTCAGAAAAGCCCAGCACTCGTCGTATCACTACTGATCAATGCATGGAACAGGATGTTTACAAAGAAAATACAGATTCACAATGCTGACTACGTACACAGGTTTAAAGCTCAAAATTCCACGCTCCCAATGAGTTCTCTCGCGACAATGACAAACACACACATCTCGCTACTTCGGTTTAGGTCAAGAGGGGGAGGAATGACATGGGCGGGGTAACAAAACAGATCTATCGAATGATGGACGTATGCAAGAAGCTTTGGTGGGTGCAATTAGAGGGAGGTCGGGCTTTTTGCTGCAAGGACGATGAGCGAGGGTCATGGGGTTTAGTTCCATCCAACCCAGTTCCTGGACATGACTCTCCAGACTCGGACTTCACCGGAACGGAGGTCGCCCATACGGAAACTCTCAGGCTTGACCTTTTTGCTCTCGCGACCTTGCTCCCAGACCCTAACCTTCTTCTTCGATCCATCCCATTCCATGACGACGCCAACATGGTCAGGTTTGCCGACGTCGACACTATACTTGGCGTGCATAGCACCATGCTTTCCTTGAAATTTGGCATTGCGGAAGCTGATGATATCTCCAGGTCGAATCTCGTCGTATTGCTGGGTGCTGGCGTTTGCAAGGTTGGCATAGACAAGCGCACCGAACGAACGGGTGGAAACAGGGCGAAGCGCACTGGCGTGATTGCGCAAAAGCTCATTGATCAACCCATGAGGTGTTCCGTCACCAACGACGGTGTTTTGCTTGCTCTCGATTTCCTTGGCAATGCGCTGGCCAAACTGTTCATGGGCGGTCTCCAATTGATCCTGGCGCAGCCGAGCTGGGGGAGGTTCTTGTCGCTGCTCCAATTGAACGTCCGACACATTTGAAGGATTGAACCGTGCAGTGAGGACCGTCTGGGAATAGTCCATGAAAAGAACAGACACGATTTTCTCTACTTCATCACCGCAACGAGCCTCATCCGTTTGGACCAAGATGTCCTTGCGGCCCTGGAGCGTAGGAGGAGCCATATTGGGTTGGGTCCACCAATGAGTTGAGGCACCAGAGTCGACTTCACTTGCCATGTAGTCCTGGCTAACAGAAGGTCGGGGTTGGTCCATCGAAGCACGGCCTTGCTGCAAAGACCGATTAACATCAAGCGACTTTCGAGCAGGAGCTCGCGCCGGCTGCGAGGACTCTGGGGGTGGCGGCGGTGGTGGTACCCTTTCTACCGGAGGAGGCGGTGGCCGATGAGGTACTTGATGGGGCGGCGGCGGAGCCTGCGGAGGTGGAGGGGGTGGCCTATCATGCGATTTTCGTGGAGGTGGTGCCGAATAGAGGTCGTCTTCTTCAGACGACTCTTCATGATGATGCGGAGCCGGCGGGATCATTGGAGGAAGTGGAGGAGCGGCCGGGGGTGGTGGTCTGTTTTGAGGTGGGGGAGGCTGGCTTTGTGGCGGTGGAGGAGCCGCTCGAGGTGCTGGTGGTGGAGCCGCTCGAGCTGAAGCAGACGGTGTGTTATACCGAAAAGGATCATAATCGTCGTCATCCTCTTCATGGAAATCACGAGAAGGCGGAGGAATTGGTGGAGGAGGTGGAGCAACACGAGGAACATCAATGGACCGCCTCGCATCCATGGACTGCCTATGCGGTGCATGCTGGGGCAGTGGAGGGGGAACATTCCTTGGAGCAGTAGGAGGTAGAGGTGGTAAGGTCGGAAGCTTTGGCGAGTGTACTGGAGTGTCGTCTGCCGTCGTACTCTCCTCTTGGCTAGACTCGCGGGTGTGCGCTTTCAGTGCATCTTTATGCGTGGCACCGGGCGCGATGTCGGTATCATAATCACCTTCGTACTCGCTTTCTCCTTCACGGTCGACTTTACTGCTATGCTTGCCGGTAGGAACTTCGATGGTACCCTGGCGAGATGGAGGTGCTGCAGTTGGTGGTGGAGGCGGGGGAGGGCGGCTAGCAGATGTGGGTGACATTGGTGGGCTTCCAAATGGAATTGGGGGCACACGCCTGTCAGGAGAAGTCGTGACTTGCTCATCGGGAGCAATCATCGAGCTTCTTTTAGAAGAGAATCCTCCCGATGTTCCAGGCGGACCTGTCTGATTCGCTTGAGCATCTGTCAATTCGTCCCCAGACTCTGAACCAGGAGTGGGAGAGCGGATTGGAGGTGGCACAGGGCGAGCTGCGATTTTGAGTCAGTCCGATACTCCGCATTTACGAACAATGCAGGAGAAGAAGTATACATACAAGCTGATGGAACTGGTGGGGGAACTGGCCGATCCGCATGTGGGACTGGAGGAGGGACTGGTCGCTCTGTGCGCATTGTCAGTGGTTTATTCAACGAATAGACGAAGAGGTAAGAGTTTGTATGTGCCACTGCGGACATAACATACTGGACACGCTCACAGTCATCACATACTCCAAGCCGCTATCAGACGCAACGTACGTCTTTGATAACGTCTCAAAGCCAGACAACTGGAAACAGTCCAAATGTTTACGCACGAAAGCGTCTACATTCACTCGAGGAATCAATGACTTACTCTCAGTAGGAATTGGCGGGGGTCGATCCCCTGTAAGCGTGCGCTGGGGAGCTGGGGGAGCCACATCTTCGACATCCGGAACTTCCTCAGCCGCACGACCTCGGGTGATGGATTGGTGAATTTCGTCTTCCTTCTCGACTTCCAATCGCTTGTCTTCGGCTTCAGGGCTCTTCACTTGCTGCATACCTGGGATTGCGAACATAGGCACTCGCTGCTGCGGATACTCCTCACTATCACCAGTGGACTTCTTCTCCGCCGGCTTCTTTTTCTTCGGGGGCAGTCCTCCCATTGGAAGGCCACCTGGAGGTCCAAACATGGCACCCATTCCCATTCCTCCACTCATTTTCGCCATCCGCTCTCGGAGCTCAAGCTTGCGCCTAGTTTCCGCATCCATCTCATCCTCTTCCTCTTCCTCTTCCGCATCTTCTTCCTGGGCACCTTCTTCATCGCCAACATTTGGCTCCCTGGGGGGCGCACCAGGGGCTCTAGGAGCTTGTGGCTTCCCGCGAACCTCATCATCGTCAACACTGGTAGAAGACCCACCGGCATCTTCGGTTTCACCAGCTCCAGATTGGTCGGCATCGTTGGCATCGCTATGGAGGTCCCTGGCGGAGTGCGAGGCGTCTGTTGCCTGAAAGCCACCGGCAGATCGTGGCGGACGAGAATGATCTATCGAACCTCGCTCTTTGGTATCGGCAGTGGATACTTGCTCTAACGGAGGGCCTTCAAGTTCAGTAGCTCCGCTCTCGTATGACTCGGTACGCTGTTTCATTGGAGGTTTCCTTGGCTTCTCCTTCTGCGTTGCGGCAGCACGTTGCGCTTGTTCGGCTTGCTGCTTCTGCAAAAGAGCAATACGCTCCTTCAGACTCGTCGGTTTGGGCTGATCCTCCTCGTCGCCGTTTGCAGTATCACCGGATGGACCAGACAATCCTGCCCTCTCTGCATTTTCCATATCCTGAGCTTGTCGCTCGGCAATTTCTGGATCCTCCTCGCGCCTGTAAGTCTTTACCGGAGGTTGTTCGCGAGTTGGAGGAGGGACATATGCATGGCGACTGGGTGGAGGTGCAACAAATGGCTTCTTGATAAAGGTTGATGGTGCCCCACCTGGTTTGAACGGCGCAATCGGCGCGGCGGCAGGCTGGTTGAACGCAGCAATGCGGTCACGGAAAGCATTGGACTTGGCGGCAACAGGCGGCGGTGCCTTTTTGGCAGCTGGAGCAGCCGCTGGAGCAGCCGCTGGTTGCGCTGGAGGTGGTTTCGAGGTAGCCGGAGCTTCCTGCGGAGCTTCCACAGACTTGGCACTATGTGCAGATTTGGGTGTGATGGGCGACAATGGAGATTTGACGGTTGTGGGGATCTCGACAGGCGGAGGCTGGGGTTTCGAAGGCGCAGGCTCTTCCTTCTGAGTTACGGGAGCTTCCTGTTGAGGCGCGGGAGCTTCCTGTTGAACTACCTCTGGGGTGGGAGGAGCTGGTGCAGTCTGGGGTTGCTCCAATGGCTTGTATCGAGAAGTCCGGTTGGGCCGTGGTGGAGGCTCAGGTTCGTACTTCTCGACGAAGTTCTTCGGGAACAAGCCATCCTTGCGATTCCCACTGTCATCAATGTATTCGCCGACATACCAGTCATCGCCTTCCAACTCGGTCACGGTTATGATTTGGCCCACGGAGAAGGTCAAGTCATCCTCGTGGGGTGACGAGTACTCGTAGACGGCCTTGACCTTGAAATTCGGCATAGCGGGGAGCGATTGCCACGCGACGGGAGGGAATCAGGATATGCAACGACTCTGGGAAGCACCCACAGCTGTCTTTCCGCCGCGTGCGAGCTGTCGCAGAGGAGATTGATGGCTGCTACACAGAGCCTTTGGTGAAGCGGTGGTCAAGGAAAGACGTGGGACTAGCCGCGGCAGGCAACGTCAGCTTGGCCAACAGGCAATGAGGGGCAGCGAAGGAGGAGATGAAGCCTTACCAGTCACTATAACATGCCCATGCAGCTTTGGTTGGAATGGTGAAATTGTACGAAGTACGTAAATGGCGGAAGAGGGATGGGAGGCTGCCTTTGGACTCGCAAGCGTGTGCATGTACCGGTGCCGTCGTCATGCAAAGCCAACAAACGTGGGCGCAGCCCCATTCGATCGCCCCCGCGCCAAGACAGACAGCTAGACTTCACTTGATACAACAGGAGTGGACTACTAGTACAACCAGTAAGAGCAGCCATTAGATTGCCTGCTCGAGGCTTTCTCACATCATTTCTTCTCTTCTCTCCTGTTCTCTCTCTCTCTCTCTATATACATCTACGCAGGCGTTTCCCCTATGCTTGGAACTAGCATACCGTATGCCAGTACTATGAAACGCGACCTAAAGTAGCCACCCGGTTGAAGAGCTTGCTCCCAGGATCTCCCTTCTTTTTATAACACCACAACTGCTACCACAGTCAGAATCCAGACAACGACAGACAATGCCACCAAATCCCATCCTGAACAACTCTACCGTCTCGACGAACGCACCCCCTGAGACCAAGGCAGTCAACCAGCGCCACCTCAATGTAGCACTTCAACATGCGAACATCATCGAGCAGCGCAAGAAGGTCGAGGCCCAGGTACTGGAATCTATCATAGCGCTCATGGACTTCCCGAACTCTCCAGACGCAGATCCAAAACGTCCCTCAGCTTCCGACGCCACTCTGTTCCGAGAGCACCTGGTTCTTTTTCAACCCTCAGACTACGACTCGCTCATCGAGGAACGCAATATTGCGGACAAATGCGGATACACACTTTGTCCACGTCCGAAGAAAAAGACGCGGTCAGGGGCTAAAAAGCAATTTGTAGACACTGAGAGAGGTGTAGAAATTGTAGACAAAAAGGTGCTCGAGGTTTGGTGCTCAGAGGATTGTGCAAAGAGAGCTCTCTACGTGAAGGTTCAGCTGAACGAGGAGCCCGCATGGACGCGACCGGAGAGTTATGGTGAGAAGATTGAACTAATGGTTGAAAATCCGGAGGAGCACCACAAAGTATTACCGTTGCGCCTCAAGAGCGAAAACCTTACTCCGACACCTACAAAGCCTAGCGAAGAAGACGAGATCGCAGCGGCATGGCTCGCACGAGACGATGCTCTGGCAGATTTGGCAATTGAGCGTGGCGAGAAGCCTGGACGCTTGAGTAAAGCGAGCAAAGATCTCATGACTGCCAACATCAAGGAGCGCGTCGCCAGTGCAACTCCTCCTGTTGCGCCTTCTCTTGATGACCAACCTTCCCAGGCGCACATGGCCATTGAGGGGCACGTACCAAGAGAAAATCGAAGAGATCAACAGTTAGATGAGGAGGATGACACTGAAGATTGGGATAGACACCTTCCAGGGTGATCAAGCCGCCTTAAGAGAGATCGATCACAGAATGAAGACTCACAAGACGAATTGCCACTCGAGCAGCTCTCGCCTACATAGACCACTTTTGACTTTGGAATGAACAGCTATACACAGGGTAAAACTGTGTATATCACGGAGAATTCCTAGCGACATCTCCGGTACAGAAATGTACCTAGCAGAAACCTTCAGCTTGGGAGAGATGTGAGGCATAAGGGTTGGCTTGATTTTGCCGGCCAAACTCCAGTAGTAGGAGATGGATTGAACAGGCTATTCAGCCATAGCTATCACCCATGCAAAGATTCAGCCAGAATAAACTCTGCAGCATCTCCATCACCATTGTCATAGCAATAATTTAAATATTACTGAACTATTCTGTCATGATCAGTGGCATTCGCGATGTTATCCGTGACCTTAGTCAGCGCAAAGTTCCTCCGCAAAGAAGCTCGGTCCACCAACAGGGCAATACATTCTTCCGTTCCGAGCTCTCGAGAAATCTCACGTCGTATCAACAACTATTGAGTACAGCACACTCCAGCCGCCATTGCCGACTCGCCAGCGGCTGTCGCATCACAATGTCTCTCAGACGGCAGAGTCTGTCGCCAACGGCGAACTTGCTCCGCAATTCCCGCCTCTTCGCCCTCCCGAACCCTCTCCCTCGACCCAGCGTTGCCGAAAGTTTTGGCTCAGGAAGCACCAAGGAATCCGACAGTGCTACTATACCCTACCCGACACATCAGGCCATTGCAACAACTCCCAGCTCTGCTGCCCGTGGTGATTGGGGTCTGAAGCGGCCACTACCGAAACGATCGCGCATTTTGCAGACCAGCAACCCTGTAGTACGAATCAAGCAATGGGATTCTATCGAGCACATCACCGATTTCGACTCCGCAACCGACCATGTACGAACAAGACAAAAGTTTGAGGAGCTCAATATCCCGTTACTCAAAGGACTGAGTCACTTCCGTGACACAGATCTGACATATACGCCCCCAAAGAGTGCCTTCGAGAAACGTGCAGACATCACCTCATATGACGTTGAGGATGGACTTGATGGAGCGGCGATTTTCCTTCGCGCTCTTAAGGAGAGCAGAGTCAAAAGGGAACAGGAGAACAGGAGTACCAAAAAGGCCATGCGAAAGGCTAAGGAATCTGGCGAAAAGGTCGACGAAAGCTTCGAGGCTGCCAGGTTCACTCCGTTCACGCCACCGTCCCAGGAAGTATTCAAATTATCCAACCCCCGTTGGAAGAATGATGGTCCATGGCTACCGGGAATGAGTGCGACAGAATTCACCAGCTATCTCAGTAAAGAGATTTCAAAACGCAAGAACGAGTTCTCGAGGTATCTCGTTGAATTCGTCAAGGGACAAATTTACACAACACGACGACATGCATCATCTCAAGCGGAGACCATCCCAATTGATGCAGCAGAAGCAGAAGCTTTCCGTCAAAAGAAAGAGAAGGAATGGTCGAACATCACTGCTGCAGATGTATCATCGGGCATTACTGCCCTCCGCGCGCAATGCGCCAAGGATCCACTCACATCTGATCTGGTCAACAAATTGATAATACCATTCCTTCGTCTGCCTCCCATGAAACTCAAGAGCACCGAGTTCGGCGCGAATCCCAACTCAAAGCGCGCCATTGATAGCTACCGCTTCTCTGACGACACCACGCCAGCATCAACACACCCCTCCGCTGGACTTTCCTACCTCCGCACCAAGGCATTCCTCTCCAACCACCCTATCCTCGGACCTCAAGCCCTGCCGACTCCTATCACCTCACGTGTTGTACAGCCGCGACAGACATCTAATACCACAGAAACCACTGCACGTCTCGGCGTTGCAGGTTTCGTCACCGAGGACGAGCACAGCAAGATGACGTCGATGGCTACTCGCGGATCCGCCAGATTCGAATCGGGCATCCAGACCCTCGACGTCGATACGCACGGAGGCAAGAAGGTTCCCGTGCAGCCTCAATTCGCCTCCGTAAGCCCCGATGGCAAGGTGTTCATCAAGGTCAAGCGAAGTAACGGTCCGGAACTAGCCGTCTCCCGAGGCCAACTGGAGGACAAGCCACCGGAGAGAGAAGGTAACCAAACCACCTCTCTGAACGATCTCAGAAGCGGACGCAGCGGTATTCCAGAGCTGGACGCACAGGTCGGTCTCAGTGAAGAGACTGCCAGCCAGGGCGCGGACCAGTTCTTCAACATGTTGAAGGATGCCGGTGTCAAGGAGCAAATCCAAACACCACCGGGCAAGCAATGATACTCTGGAACAACATCAAAAAGAATAGAAACGCCGAAAATGTCTGTAGGATAGCATGGTAGAATTGAAAGTGTTTATGCATGTATTGGTACATTTGATGAGCACTGGTTAGATCACGCTTCGATTCTGTATAGTACATATCAAAACACCATGATCATCTCGAATTTTATCGAACCAATTCTTCCAAACATATTTTATTCCGTGTGTACCAAGTAGTGAGAAATTCTAGTGTTAATCTTATGACTTGAAATAGGTTGTGCCGTCTTCACGAAATATTTTGATAGTTTCATACAATCTTCACATCCACAACTAACCCACAGAATCACGACACACAACACTTCGAAGCAACGAACTCCACAACACTGAACAAAATCTTCTTCCAATACCCTCTCCATCGTAAAGTCTCACGCAACTTCTCCAAAACTTTATCACGAATGACTCACCTTGGCCGCGTCACCCCTCGGTCCAAAAAACCCCGCCAGGCATTTCTCAGGCACGAATACCTCCCCCTCAAACCCCATCCTGAGGCCTTTTGAAAAAAAATCTTCTAACCACGCGGCCGGCCGGCCAGGTTGATAGCGAGGCTCACACCGGGCTCACTTCTCCTCCTGTCGCCTCCCCTCATGAGGATACGTACTTACCGGTGGAGTGCGCATTTGTGCGCGCGCACCGGATAAGCCATCCTCACGCAGGCCGTATCAAATCTGGCAGAATCCGCGAAGCCAGCATGTGTAGACTAAATTACTAACCCACAACCCTGATACGACCCCTCTCGTCCAATCGATCGGACGTTGGGACACAGATGTCAAACCTACGTCTCGGGCATGGAGACGATACTGCACACACGACGCCACGTGAACACGCATAACACCACCCTACACGTCAACCGTCACCTTGCGCCGAGCGTGATAACGTGGTGACGGCGACGCTGTGGTAACCGTGATCCCACCATGCCACCACCGTCGTCAGTACCTACCAACCCAACGCGGAAACCCGCCACCGGATCATTATCCCGCAGGACAAGGCAGGGCAGGAAAAGCAAAAGAAGGGAAGAGAGGAAGAAGTCGCGATTCCGACAACGAGGGCGTACATGAAGACACATGCACGCCCAAACGTCCGCGGCGCCGCCCATCGCGCGCCCTCGAGCGAATAGAAGACACGGGAATGATGCTGCAGCCTTACGACGGCGAAATGGGCGGGCGCCGCGCGCCCATGTCGTGTCCGTTCTCAACGCCTACTTCGGGAGAATAGGATGATTTGAGATATCGGAAAGGAAGACGTTCAATGCTGACTAACCACTCCGCACGTTGCTGCCTTTCAATCGGATACCTGCCATGCCTGAAGGAAGTTTGACCCACACGCCAGGGCGGCGGAGGTCGTTAGGAAAGTTGTTTGTTCAGCTGGACAGGGGTCTGTGGGAAGGTGAGGTTAATGCTCCTTATGGGGGCCGGAAACTGTGGTGCTTGGTGAGGTAAGGCTGGGAGGTGACTATCAGGATACATTATTGTAGGTATGGTGCTAGAGTGCGGTTTGGTGGAGGTTTCTGACTAGGCTAGGGTGATTGGAGATAGATGCATGATTAGGCGCCCCAGGGCGTGTGATTGGATGGTGGGATTGCAGTGCATGTTTTATATGGGTGAATGTGTGTATATGGATATACAAGAATGTAGGACGGCGGCACAGTTCGTGGCGAGGGGGCGCGGTGGACGAGGCTGGGTAAGTGATGCCATTGCTGTTTCATTCATGTGGTTTTCCAGTATGAGAGGGAACATTGGCATGTGGATGCGAGTCGGCAACCCCGTTGGGAAGGGGAGACGGAATGTCTAAGCGGAAGGATTTTGAGTATTGATGTTTCTGCTGTCGGTGAGGATCCGGGTTATCGATAGATTGATTGATGAGAGGCGAGGGGGCGCGGGATCGGTGGGGAAATGTGTGACGAATGGGGAGGATGAAGCTATGACTTTTTTTTAGATTATTCTCGGATGTGATGATCAATCTTTTTTTTGGTTTCGATATTATTGGAGTGAGACCACATGATTGTATTTGGAATGGACGAGACATTTCTGTGTGAAAGTCGGGCGACAATGATGAAGTCATGTTCATGGTCGTGTGTGCGCGTATTGCAAATGCAAGTTTGCCTTTTTTTCTTGTAATTGATTGGCATGGTCAGGCGCGTTGGCTTCGTCAGCGGGTATCGAAGATCGCTCTCTATTCATAATCTCGCTGATAAGATTTGTGACAATCGTGATCAGATCTGGAAACACTTGCGCGCCGACATATCTGCATTTGGCTTTGGAGCACAATTGAGCGTCGTCAACAAGGCTCCCAATCATGGCCACCCGCAGATCGGTGGTTGGATAAACGGATTTCCCATGCTCGTGACATCGATCTATCAGACCACCCATGGGCATTTTCCCGCGCGAGAGATGCTGTTCTGTGTAACTTTGAGTTTACTTAGCAAGCAAGCATAGCCATAATGGTCAATGGGAGCAGCTGTGCCGCAGGTGAGGATGCGGGCGTGATGGCCCTGGCCCGTCGGCCATTGGCCTTGCAAGGACTGGGCAACAGTCGGGAAACGCGCATCTCAGATGTATCCATACCGGAATTCTGGACTACAGAGTCATGGATACGTCGAAATATGTCTGCCTAGCACTGCTTGTGGGTCCTTTAGCACAGTGCTTGAGCCTGCTGTTCGCAGTAGCGTCAGGACGGAAGAAGTGCTCAAAGGTGGATACCCAAAATCGGTAGGGTATGCGACAGTGGATACACGAAATTCGGAAAGTCAGTATAGAATCCCATGGCGAATCCGAATGGCTCCATGGTGTTGGAGGCGAAGCTGAGTGAGACGGAAGACGCTTGATGTTGTTGGAGGTTGTCGAGTTGTCGACTGAGCCACTGAATTACTACATTGGGACTAGTGCGAATCCTTGAGGCTGGTGTTGTGGCTTTCTTATCAAACTACATCAGTAGTTCCGTATGAAGTAGCGCAATCGTTGTACGGGAAAGGAAAAAATCATTTGGACTGGAAGATTCAGTAGATTAGCCGTGATTGAATGATTGATTGAACTTGGAAAATCGGCCGATGCCCAGATTACCGCCCTTTGATTGTCTGTCGCGTGGAAGGTTTGAAATTCCGATAATTGATGAGCTATATTTGGCGATGCCTGGGGCATCAGCGACAGCCGACAGGGAAGCGAGATTTGCAGATCCCCGTCATCGTCCTTCTTCCCTATGCGACTGCTGTAGACTCTGATTCGTGCAATGTATACTATGTAAACCATAATTCAGGATTCTATCGACAAAGGTGAAAGAATTCAATCTAATCTAGATCTACATTAAACAAAGACTGCTACGCCGTACGCGCAACACCATGCACACAGTACAAGAGACAAGAGACCTATTGATGATGATGATGCTGGCCAACGAGCCAAGCTGTGGCGGCTGTCAGCTGTGGCTTTGCACAAAGATACCTCTCAAAGCAACTGTCCTCCACTTTGTAGCATTTGGGTTGTGATCTAGTTGAAGTGCAATTTCCGTAGGGTTACATGAGAAGCAACCGAGTCCACAGAGAGTCCTCATGGCTTTCAGGATGGCAGCGGGCACGTGGTCACGGTAGAGTGCAAAGATCAACGGCCTGTCAAAGAAAAAAAGAAAATAGCAGCCCCCAAATCCCCTGTGCTACAGTCCGCGTAACCTGTGGCTGTTGCGACAGGCTGAGGAAAAATGGAATGAAGGGGTGGCACAACATTCGAGCCGCTTCGTCAAGCGAAGCTCCAGCCAACGTAGAGCTGATGAGAATGACGACTATGATGAAGATGTGGAAATTATTGGGGTTGAACGTGGCCAGCTTGCCGTCAGTAGATTCTGTCGAAGGTAAGCAACATCGGGCAGCTAGATACGGGCTGGCGCTAACAGCGATGGGATGATTGAGTTGCTCCAAATGACTGAACAAGCCAGGTCTCGGACTGTCAAAATTGCTTTTGTCAGTTTCCATGCCCTTTTTTGGGAACATGGAAGTGCAAAGAAACATGCGACTCCCGACTTCGGCCGGCCGACAAGGCAGCAGGGCGATCTTTTGCTCACGCGGACCGGGGAGGATTTGCCTCTCAGGATGGTATTCGTCAAAAGGACGGAATAGATAGCTATCCTCTAGGCAGAGGGAGTTCTCGATATTGAGGGAGATGTTTCATGGAATTGGACAGATGAGTGGAGTCGCAGTGTTGGATGAAAGGAGTAACTAGATCTTCCATGGCCCATGCCTCCATCTCGGAGGCTCGTGCAAGTGCACGTACATGCACATCCGGGACCTACTGCGAACGGTGAAAGATTTAGTGGTGCATTGTTGGTACAATGGGTGTGAGGACTGAGGAGCGGGTTGCTCCCGTCTGTGCATTCTCTCATAGAAATTCTGTCGATTTCTATGTAAAAGACGCTCGGACGTGATACAAGTACATGTGTATGCGTTGCCGTGTACCTTAGGTATAGCCTATAGGTAGGAATTGTAACCACTTGTAGGTGTCTACTCATTCCAATTCCTGCAGAGGTTAGGCGGGTAGAAGCTTAGACAGGAGAATAGGAAAGCCGCCTATTTCATTCGTCAATGTTGAAGCAGGTGGGAAACAAATTGGGTTGGATAGGATGAAAGCTAGGATATGACTGGACGCTGGATGCGTGTGCGTGTGCGCGTGCATGGGCAAGAATACCTCGTAACAACAATGATGATTGATGGTCGATGGTTGATGCTGGATGGCCGTGTTTTGGTTGGGCGTGCGTGCCCCCTCCCCCCCGTCCCCGTCTCCCGCCCTCCCGTCCACCACCTCCACTAACCGCACAAGTGACATCCCCGCACGACCCAACGCACTCGACACACGACTCTTTCCCTCTCCCTCTCCCTCTCCCTCTGTCACTCTCTCATCATCCATCTCATCTGGCATCATCCCATCATCCTCCGTCCCTCACCAGCCTCAATGTGACAAGATGATAATCCTCAGTGGGATCCTATTGGGCGGCGATGCTCTTTTCCAACCCCTAAGCATCCGTGCCAGGCACGGATTGTGGCCTGCCTGTGGCTAGTGAAAGCGACATAGCCTCCACATTCGCCAGGTTTGTCAGACATTCTCCAGGCCTCCTCCCTCGGTCGCCTTCAGCTGTCACCGCTCCTCTCGACTCCTCGAAGGCCGCACCGCGTCCGTTGGAGGCTCACAGGACCGTAGACCAGGTGAAGCACCATGCCATCTTCACTACCACACCATGGTGACCATGCGGTGAATTGTATGCGACCGTCTATCTACACTAAACAAAACCATGGCCTCGCCTTCGTTACCTCGCCTCGTGTGTCTCGTCACCTCTAGCCCAGGTATACGACTCCGTGCACCCTGTGTGTGTTGATTTTCTGAGACATACCACATCGCGCCATGAATGGCCTTGTCGCTCACTAGGACTGAGCTGATATTGCAGTTGAACTCTGATTGCCGGCGGCACTATCCATCTATCGTCATCATCACAGACCAGCGGGCAGGCCACAGAAAAAAAAGCTCAGGGAACAGGCCCTATGGCCAGGGTCTACCATGGGCTGTGGCTGATTTCTTCTTCCCTGAGGCAGTGTCGTGAAGCCCTTTGGACCCCACCGTCCACCCTATGAGAATCATTCACTCTGGTCGTTCATGCGCAGTCCGATGCTGCCCATCCATCCGCCGCTTGTTTCTAACGCGTCCGGGCGTCAGTCCTTGCGCTCGTTCTTGGGAGCGCTGCTAGTTCCTTTTTCATCAATTTCGCTCGGCCGGCCAGTCGCTGCACGCTCTTTTCAGGCTGCAGTTGCACTCTCCAGCAGACTGCCACACAGACTCATTAGGGCTGCCACTGGCCTTTCTTTCTTTTTAATAACTACTGTGCATGCCTCCTTCCACCTTGCAAATCATTCTGCACGACATTGCTCCTATCATTGCTACTTTCGTCGCACCGACCATCTTCTGCTCTGGTCATTCCGCTATATATCGTTGTCGCCTCTCGCCGCTTACGTCCTGTTCTATTCCCGACTTGTCTCAGTTCGGATATCCTCTGCTACCATTTATATATTCACCACCATCCACAACTTGTTTCCAGGTATAGGTGACTCACCTTCCATACTCTCTCAATCATTAGACGTTAGATTGCCTGTCACGGACCGAACCGACAACCTCCTGCAGCAATTTACCGTCCATATACATCCCTGCTCACCCTATTGGCTCGTTTGTTTGCTCTCTTATAGTCTGGGTTTCGGGCCTCAATCCGGAAATCACACATCGCAACCACTGCTACACCTCGTTGATAACCCTAGCCAACCAACTAAGCCGTTGTCAAAAGAAACGGGTTGAGGTTTGAGGGTTGAGGCAGTGGGGATCTTTCCTGCCGAACCAGTACCCAATTTTTGAGCGAGATCCAACTACTACTACCTCAAACCATGTGCAGAGTAGACGAACGCGTTTACGTTCGCCCGGACGGCCGGGAGAGTGTGTTCGAAGAGACGACGAGATGTCATCTGGCTCCTCCCAAGAGGCTTTGCTCCAACGTGAGGCGGTCCACCAAGAGATATATCACGCCTCCTCCCATCTCTCGCGATAACTCCAACTCGCCAGCGTCGAACAACCCACCTACACCTCCTGGCAGCTACCTGGTCCAGGAACGCCGGCCATCCGAGCGTCGTCAGTCTGCTTCTCATGACAAACGACGCGAAATAGTCATCAGCATTGGTGGATCTCGAAACAAAGACAAGAAGTACTCTACCAAGCACAAGCGAACTTCCCTCGCATCGGTCGCATCGAACGATATTGCTATCGAGTCTCCGTCTTCAGAGGCGTCCTACACGCTTCGAACAGGCTTACCGGATACTCAAATTTCTCCCAATGACCACCCAAGCTATTCCACCCGTGAAGCCGTTCCACTTGGCCACCGACCTACGCTGTCGGGCTCGTCCTTCACCTCCAGCCAAACACCTTCGTTGGTAGCTACTTCGGATCCGGATTCCCCTACCACAAGGCATCGTCCTCGCTACCCCCCAACCTATGTGCACAATCCGCCCACCACATCTGGAATGCCTCCTCCTCCTCCTCCTCCTCCTCCTCCTCCACCGCCACCACATGGATCATCACGTGCTCATGATGCAGCGACTGCTCCATCTTTGCCGTATCGTACAACTACTGTCATGCCCAGTAACTCTTCGTCGGGAGAGAGCTTTAAAACAAGCAAGTCGGCAATTGACCCGTTCATGTACCAGGATCTTCCCCCTCCTCCGCCACCAAGGCCGGCTGTGGACGAGGTGGCCCCAGAAATCCTAGGTCGCGGGTCCTTCCGCGAACGAGCGCGCCAGGCACAGGCTGATGCTGAAAGGAAGAAGCGCCAAGAGGAAGAAGACCTTGAGCTAGCCAAAAAGGCCCAGAGAGAAGAGCAGCGAAAGGCCGAAGAGTTCAAGCAGGTTCGGTTCGATTTAGACCGTCCAAAAGCAAGAGAATACGAAAGGGCACAGAACAGGATTGCCCAGAGTGAAAAGGACCGTGCCGAGATCCGCGAAGAACAAAGACGGCGCAAAGAAAAAGAAGCTGCAGAGGAACGTGAAAGGCGGAGAGAGAAGGAAGCAAGAGAAGAACGTGAGAGGCGGAGAGAGAAGGAAGCGAGAGAAGAGCGCGAGAGGCGTGAAAAGGAAGCGCGCCGCGAAGAAGCCAAACGTGACGGGGCTAGACACCGCAAAACGGAAAGACAAGGTGATAAAACCCGCGAACGACGAAGCTCCCGGCCGCCTCCTCTCAGTGGATCGAATGAACCCCGGCAGGTTCGTCGCCCTTCCATATCCCACGAGCAACGAGCCGTTCGGGACATACTCCTGGCCAGTGAAAAAAGGACCATTGAACAGGAGCGGGACGAAGCAGATCGCATCGAGCAGGACGAGAGAGCTGCCGCACTCATCCAGCAGCAACAGACTACCAGCTACTACAATGCACGCGCTGCTCCTCCTGCTCCTGTCGTGATCAACAATGAGGGTCCGGGTATGAATCGACGCAATTCTGTTACCGGAAGACGGCCTAGCCTATCAGGTGGACAGCGTCCAACCGGTCTGGCTCGAACCAACAGCCAGCGTCCATCATCTGTAGTCATTCAACCTGCACCGCCAGCTGGCCTGCCGCCCATCAACACCAACCTGCCGGTACAGTCTTCCCAGTATTCCGGTGTTCCTGCCAGCGCAACGCGTGCGAACCCGCCTACTCTAATACAGCCAAGCAAAAGCAACTCGGGTTACATCCGCCCTGGCTCTTCCTCTGCTCGCACATCAATGCACACATACGAAAATCCATTCGCGCTGCCACCAGGTCGAATCTCCAACACGAGTCAGGACACTCATGACAGCGGATTCAGTTCATTCGCTTCCGCTCCCCGGGTTCCTGATCCTTGGGCAAACAACGATTCGACTGAGATTGTTCCTACCACAAGCCACGCTCGCCAACCATCTGACGATCGCCACACTCTGCGTCGCCGAGGAGAAGAATTCCTCGACCGGGCAGCTCTCGGAGGACGAACGCAACATGCGCGAGCGCAACGGGCCTCGCAAAACTTGGGGAAGGCTGTCGGGTTCGAGGACGACTATGAGGACACCAGCGACGAGGAAGCTAACTATGGACCTCGCTTGGGGGCGAACAAGGGTCATGGTCCGAGGAAGTCTTGATTGGTTAGCCTTTGACGCTCACCAGTATTCCTTCCTTCCCTTTCTTCTGACTTTCTTTCTTCATCTTACATAGACTCGTTCTTGGCGTAGTCCTTCATCGCTCATCTTGTCAAAGGCATAAAAAAAAGGCTCTGGATCTTGGATAGATTTCCTTACTGTCTGCCATTTCGTTTATTTTCCTAATCATCTTCGTTCTTAATTTCTGTTGAGATAGACTCTTTCTTACTTTTTCTCCGAATCGCTGCCTTCACTGGCAACAGCATATCGTACCATAGCATATACCCAATCACACATGTATCGTCTTTTCATCTTCTTCTTGCTATACATCTTGATACCCCGTTATTAAAGACTCTTCTGTTTCGTCCATAACAAAAATATTCGCTTTTTCAGTTGATAAAACCTGATTGCATTTGGTAGGTAGCCGTGTATGCTGGTCGTGGAGGTGCAGTCAAAATAAGGAATAATAAAGTTTGGATGATTCGTACAACAAGCTTTAGCTACACTTCTATTTCTATCCTCTTTCACCACCACCACATGCTTCCTCTATGCAATTTGAACATCCTTGCCATCACTACCATCGACCCCCTCACCAACCACCAACCGGTAACTTCGGCCGACGCTCGCCCGCAAAACGGCCGACAACGCCGACCCCATACCTCCACGTCTCCACCCCAGATCTATCCCCAGATGAAATATCCTCCATATTCCTTGTCCTAGAATACCATGTAGACGATCCCCGGAAAATAAACTCCACATTTTCTTCTCCTCCCATAAGTACAATTGCCGAAGTAGCATTCGAATCATGTAGGAGTATAAATATCTTCGCCGCCGTATCCTTACCCTCCATCCCTCCCGTCTCCCATCTCCCCTCCTCACAATGCGTACCTCCATCCTATTCCCTCTCGCCCTCGCCAACTTCTTCTCTTTCAACTTCGCGGAGGCCAAGACATACGACAACTCCAACCCAACCGCCACAGTCCTTAACGGCACATACTCAGGTGTTTACTCCCACACCTACGAACAAGACTTTTTCCTCGGTATCCCGTACGCTCAGCCCCCGGTAGCAAACCTTCGTTTCCGCCTTGCCGAGTCTCTGAATGAGACCTGGGACGGCGTAAGAGATGCCAGGGCGTACGGGAAACTCTGCGTAGGCTACGGCCTCGACCAGACGTTCTACGAGCAATCCGAGGACTGCCTAACCCTCAACGTCGTCCGGCCCGCCAACCTAGAGGAGGGAGTTAAGCTGCCCGTGGGCGTATGGATCCACGGCGGGGCGTTCGCGAACGGCGGCGGCGGCGACCAGCGGTACAATCTCTCGTTCATCGTCGAGCAGTCCGTCCGCATTGGGCGGCCCATCATCGGCGTGTCGATGAACTACCGGCTGCACGGGTGGGGGTTCCTGAGCTCGAATGAGATGGCGGGGGAGGGTGCTACGAATCTGGGGTTGAGGGACCAGAGGCTCGCGTTGCGGTGGGTGAAGGAGAATATCGAGGGGTTTGGGGGGGATAAGGGGAAGGTGGCGATTTGGGGGGAGTCGGCGGGCGCGGCGTCGGTGGGGTTGCATCTTACGGCGTATGGGGGGAGGGATGAGGGGTTGTTTCGCGCGGCGATAATGCAGAGTGGGAATCCGGTGTTCTATGGCGTGCAGAATGGGACGCAGCAATCTCAGCCGGTTTTTGATGAGTTGGTGAAGGAGACGGGGTGCTATGAGACGGTTGATCGGGTGCAGTGTTTGAGGGAGCTTCCGTTTGAGAGGTTGAATAGGACGTTGGGGGCGTTGTTTTTGACGGCTGGTGGTCTTGGGCCGGTTATTGATGGGGATATCATACGGAATTATGGGAGTCTTCAACTTGAGCGTGGGGAGTTCGTGAAGGTGCCGATCATCACTGGGGCGAACAGTGATGAGGGCGCATCTCTTGGACCCAAAGGCATCAACTCGACGGCTGCATTCCTGGCCACGATATCGAACTTCCCTTCTTTCTTCCAGGAAGCCATCTTGAAAGCATATCCGGACGATCTCACGACGAACGTCGTTGCCAGTTTAGGAAACCAGCGGCCCGGTCCTCCATATGGCGCCCAGTTCCGCCGCGCGGCGACGTATTTCGGGGATGTGCTGTTCATTGCATCGCGGCGGGAAACAGCGAAGACATGGGCCGCTAACGGCGTACCTGCATATGCCTACCGGTTCAACGCCATTCCTCACGGCGTGCCTCCAGAGGTTGGCGCAGGACATTACAAAGAGATAGGGTACATGTTCCGCAATTTCCTTGGTGTCGGCCATCGTCCGGACATACGACCTTTCGACGGCATGCCGAAAGGTCACTTCGAGCTTGCGGATCTGATGAGTGCGAGCTGGGCGAGTTTTATACATGGTTTGGATCCGAACGATTGGGAGGGAAGGCCCGCTGAGGTGGAGCTTTGGCCAAAATACGATGTCGATACGCCGTTGGATTTCGTGTTTGATGCGAATGTTACGAGTTACGCTGAGAATGATACATTTCGGATGGAGGGTATTGAATTGATTAATAGGAATGCTCGTGGGATGTATCATAGGTAGTGCCATTATGGTGTTGACCGATTTTCATAAGTAGACTATGTTGCAGATCATGCCATGTCTCCGCCGAGGTTTGATAACACAACGAGCGAGTCTCAAGTGATCCCAGCAAGCCGTCCGATGAAGACGATGATTCGATTAAATTTCGAAGCTATGAAACGAGTTTAGCTAACACAAAGTTCCCTCGTCGCCGATTTTCGATGAGCGATATATGCATTTTCGCGCATAGTGGTCATTGAATTGCATCGACCAATGGAACGACGAGCCACTACGCGACGGTCCAATCAGGCCTTCTCATTTTGTTACCATACAGGCGGAAGACCATCATAGACATAGATCGAAGAAGAGATGAGAGCTGAACTGAATTCAAGTAAGTTGGTTGTTCTTGAATCAAGCGCGTGGATGTTCCAATCCCTGAGGCGGCAGTTTCATATATGTCACCCTATGCACAGAGCATTATGTACGAGCTTACTGTGTATAGTAGTCTGAGTGTGCGTTTGCTTTGTACTGCTTCCTACGAGATTGATATTGAATCATCTACAAACGAGAGAGCTGCACTTGTAGACAGCATCTTGAAGCAGCTGTTCAAGGCTGGGTGCCTCACCGAGTAGCAGTCTCGGTGGAGACCACGTTCACCGCCAGATCTACACTTCATTGAGCATTGCTGACTCAATCCATCTCTACGCAGGCAAGCAGATGCCTGGCGACAGAGCATGAAAGTCACAATAATGAGGTATTTAACAGGATAATTCGACAAAAAAAATGCTCATCTGAGGCATAATGAAAGGGAGGAAGATGGTAGAAGCACGGGACGCGCGTGAACATGTGACCGGTAGGTACGTTGCCAAGAAAGCTAGCGGCGCTAGCTAGCGAACGTGAATGTTGAGTGAGCTCTGTCAAAAAAAACCAAACCCTCGAACTATCGCTGCCTTTGACCTCTATCGCAATCTGTTCCGCTCGACAGACCTACGTGATCATCGATAATCATCAGTATACGATAGCTCCAAACCTCATATAAGCCTCCCTAGCTTCTGCATTAAGCCTATTTGGGCCGAACCTCGAATACATTGCACGATCGGGGCACCATGTCACCTGCCCCGATCATTCACGATGCTGCTACCCCGGCGACGCCGCCGCAAAAGTCCCCAAACTCTTCAGGTTAGTTCTTTGTGGATGTATAATTTGATTTGGATGATTCACTAACCTCTCTTCAAGCCACTCCCGCCACTTCACCAACAGACTTCGATGATATATTTCATGCCAAGTTCATGAAGATCATCGCAGACTACAAGGAAAACCCAACACGGGGACCACTTACCTCAAAAGACAGAAAGGCATTCATTGATGAAGCCTACCAAGAGACGGATCAAATGTTCTTTGGTGCTCGCGAGGGCTCCCTTTCTGACTACGAGATCAAGATGCGCGCTATGACCAAGGTTTTCTACAAAGTGCTCGCCGAAGAGCCTTGGTCAGAGGAATGGATTCGACCTCACGACGTAGAGCGTAAGCTTTCTCGATTCGAAATGCATAAGGACTCTGTCGAGCTTGCTGCTCAGCATGGGCTCCGCACCCCACGTGAGGCCATAACCGCCGCTCGCCATATGAATGTAGAGCTCAGCAAGAAGGCTGCCGACAATGAGAAGCCAGGCCCTCGTGGTCCTTTTGATGACATCGAGATCATTTATATCCCTGGTACAGTGTCTTCCACTGCGACAAATAAGATCGATCGAGACACAATCTACCCTGTTTCTGTAGCTTCTGTCGCCAATATCCTCCAAATGCATCTCTGCCGTGAGATGACCAAACCATACTCCATGGCTCAGAAGTTTGTCACCTGTACCGACGTCGAGGAGCTCATGCAAATGCGCCAATTCGCTTGTGACGTATGCGACTACGCACCTCATTTACTCGACAACGACAATGTTAGCTTGCTGTTAGTGCTGTTGATCCTCACACGTTCGGAGATTTGTCGTCGTTTCAATGAAAATGGGATCCGCATTGAAGGTTCAACAATCAGTCACCGGAGAGCGGAGTGCCTCAAGACGAAACTTGGATGGAGGAACGCGGACGAGCGCAAGCCTTTTGACAACGTAGCCATCGAAATCCAGACCCGCATCAGAAATGCCTGTTTCCCTGCGCCTCGTGGTGCCCGCGGTGGACGTAACTCCAAGGGCGCCCGAAAGTCCTCAACTCCGATAACTACTCCAATTGCTGCAGCTCCTCCTATGGGGTATTTCCCTGCGCCAGTGGTGCTGCAACCGAACGGTGTGCATCACTACCCGCACCCTGGGGCGTACAACGCCTACCATGGTACTCCTCCCAACGTTCCAGCCAGAAGGGTTGGTGAACCGATGGATTTATCTTAATTGCATTTTGCGACTGGCGCCCTCACCTCTTCATTCCCTGCATGGCTCTGGCGTTGGCAACATCATTTCATCCACGTCCTCTCTTCGAGAGATGCTGCAACATTCTGGACTAGGAGCGCACTGAAATGCGTGTAGCATCTCGTTTGGTGTATTGGTACTACCCTTGTTTTCTATACCCTATGAGGTTTGCCTCCGGAAATATTACAATATCTATTTGGCGTCCACAAGATTATAATATATAATGGATCATACAAAACGTGATAAATGAGTGAAAATGAAAAAACGAATAGCTGCATAAAGTTTGATATCCTAACAATCAGATGCTTTGAACGCCATCCATGGACGACCCAGTGCACGCGTGCTGCAAGTCTTTCCAATATGCCGGTATCGCGTGCGTAGTAAGAATAGAGATGCCCTTGAAGGAAACTAACCATTATTTCAATAACCTACAATCCATCCTTGGTATCGGTATCGAAATCGAAGCAGCCAATCCCTTGGCGCTGCAGGAATCCATCACTGAGGTTCGAAAAGTTGCGTTCCCTGGATCTGGAACCGTCAACACCACACAGGCAGCAATTTGAAAACCCTGATCCCTCACCACCTGTCTCCTAGAAATTATATACCTCCCAGTACGCGGCATCGCTTCTCCACCATGAGTTCTCATTAGTTCAGCCATCCATCGTTTTTCCTCATACAAAGTACAAGAAAGTCAACTCAACAGCTTTAAGACGACCATCGGTCAAACCGAATTCCGAAGCGCGTGGCTTTTAGGTGATTCTGCAGTAAGTTTTCTCCTTCACTCACCCCAACACTTCTCTCCCACAACAATTCAACCCACCCCAAAGGTCCACCATCAGTTCTCATCAGTTTAGCCATCCATCGTTGTTCCTCACTCAGACCATACGAAAGTCAACTTGAGACTACCTGCAGTCAAATCAAAGTCCGAAAAGCGTGACTTTTGGGTGATTCTACAGTAGGTTCTCTCTCTCACTTACCCTAACACTCGTCTGCCACGACAATTCAGCCTCCTCAAAACGTCCACCATCAGTTCTCATCAGTTTAGCCATTCTATCGCTATTCATCGCACAAACAACAAGAAACTCGCCTCAAGAAGTTTCAGACTACCAGCGGTCAAGTCAAAGTCCCAACAGGGTGACTTTGAAGCAATCTTATAGTAGGTTCTCCCCTTCGCTCACCCCAATACCTGTCTGCCACGACGATTCAATCTGCCCACAACTTCCACCATCCGCCTTCAACGGCTTTAACATTCTACAGAAAGATGGTTTCAACCAAATTCGGCGTTGTGTATCCTGGCTCTTCTGTTGGTCGTCTGCGAGCAGCAGTCAAGCGCGCGCACGAGAAGCGCAAGCTGCAGCAAAGGCTCCGAAGGCCATCTCAACCTCCAGCTGGAGGCCCACCAGCACCTTGCCCGCTTCTGGGCCTTGCCACAGAGCTTCGCCTTCGAATCTACAGCTTCATCGTTCCTCAGTTCCTCCCCGATGCCCCAGAGGAGGATTATCGCAGCCTCTACATGACGTGCAAGACCATCAAAGCCGAACTCGACGACGAGAATGAGAGAGGGGCTCGCAAGAGGTTCCAAAACATCAGGAACTTCATTCCTCAAGAGCTGGACGTGCTTTCCAAGACGACCAAGATCACGTTGTGCTTCCCGAGCAGAACACTAACCAGCGTGATGCTCGAGATCTTCGTCCTCCAATGCATCGAGATCCTCATGCCATCGCATCTCAAACAAGTCACTATCAGCATCAACGACAGCGAGGGCCCTGACTGGTTCATGGACGAATGTAAGGAACTTCTTGTTCTTCCTTCTCTCTCTTCTCTGCCATCTCCCCTCTCCCCCTTCGCCCTTCTCTTCTTGCTCCCTGATCTTTTCCCCAATTCTCCATCCCCCACCCATCACTCACCCCCAAACTAACCCATTCCCCCTCGAAAAAAGACTACCGCGGCACCGTCGCCATCACCACCCCCGCGACTCCAACAAACCGCCCACACACCATGGTCCCCCTCGCCACGACCATAAACTGCCTCCTCGTCGGCGACTTCTGCGGCCGCCACCGGCACCCGCGCGTCAACCCCTTCTGCATCGAGGACCGCATCCACATCTACATGGTCGCAAGGCAGTACGTCTCGACGCTCAAGTCCACCACCGGGTCCGCCCAGCCCGCTGCCGCCGCCGGGTCCGCCCAGCAGCATCCCACAGTAGCCACGCACAACGCCAACCTCATCGCCGCCGCCCCCCCTCGTACCGCCGGCGCCGTCGCCGCCGCCCGCAAGACCGTCAACAACATCCAGGAACTGCGCCTCGAGCATGAGGGCGAGAAGCCCGCTGACATTACAGCACCGAGTATCTACTCGTTCGTGCGGCCCGGGACCACGGAGGCGGTGAGGTGGTCGCCTGTGGTCGAGAGGCCGTGGTTGAGGTTGAAGGGGTGGGATGTCATGGCTGATGGGGTGGAGAATGGGAGGAAGTGGTTCTCGAGGGAGGCGCCGACCGCGTTTGTTTGGAGGCCGTATAAGGCGAGGATTTGGGAGAGGGTGGGCTGTAGGTGGGGGTGTAAGGTGTTGGATGAACTGTGATAGATCTATATGGGTGGTGTGTTAATGCGGATCTGTCGTAGATGTGATGGTGGAAGGTTTGTGGGGTTTGGGGATTTGGGTGGTTGGTGTTGAGTCCCTTCCTTCTTTGATGGGCCAAATTGTATGGGGACTCGACATCTGAGGCAAGGAGGGATGGGAGTTTTTGTCTATTCACTGTACAATGCTTTGCGATGTGTAGTCGACGTTGGGGCATGGCTGCGAACATCTGAGCACGACGCAATGCAACCACGACTAGTTCTCCGCAACGACCAGCCAACCACATACGTAGTACATCACCAATCACAACGACATCAAGTCGTAGAACAAAATATCAATGTATTGACCTTAACTTCTATAACTCCATCTCACCACCCTCACACCCCCAACTCCCATCCTTAAAAACACTCCTCGACGGCCAGGCACACAGCACCCTCTCCAGCACCTTCCCCTCTTCATCAGCCATACTACTCGCCTCCAACCTCTCCGGCGCTTTCCCATTCTCCACCCAGTCCACCAGCGCATGGAACGTCTCGTGCGGATACGCACCTTTTCCCCCAACCCCATGACCCAGTCCCGGAGCGAGGAAGAGGCGGTAGTAGTTTTCAATAGGGACATCCGGCGGGGAGAGAGCGGACGCCCGGGTGTAGAACAGAATGCTGTTTTTATAGGGGACTGCTGGATCGGCCTGAACATCTCACCCATTAGGTCATGTACATAGAAAGGTGGAAGATGGGGAAAGAGGGGGTCTTACAGTCCCCTGATACGTTATCATCTTCCCTCCCCTCTTCGCAAAGGCAGACAAGTCGTACTTATTCCCTATAATCCCCGCGAACTCATCCACGCTCTGCTTACGAAGCACCTCGAGTTCCCGCATCGTGAGGTTCGCGGGCGACCACTTTGGATCCTTTATGACGAACGTGCGAAGCCAGTTCAGCGTTAGGGGGTTAGGGTCGGGGAAACACGTGCCGTTGGTGCAGGAGGTGTGACCTGCGAATTGAAGGCTGGATTCGTAGCCTGCGGAGTGTTGGCGGTAGGTGAGTCCCGATGGGCGGTGGTTGTCGTTCCACACGCCGTCTGCGATGCGGACTGCGGTTTCGCTGATCGTGGTGGTGTGGTTGCCGCTCGCATCGCTGCAGTTGACGATGTGCCCGAGGACATTCCACGGGTCGAACGTACAGGACCCGGGATCCTGCAGGACGCCGTCCTGGACACCGTCGAGCATGTCGCAAGCTTCGATGGCGAGCTTCGTCAACGCGTCTAACTCGCAGGGAAACGGCGCGGCGCCGCTCTCAACCATGAGCGCGTGACCCCAGAGATACTCAACCTGCTCGTCCCAGAAGAGACCAGGCGCACACGCGGCGATCCCGTCGTATGCGTCCGGCCACCGCGTCGCGAGCTGGATCGCCTGTCTGCCGCCGTTGCTGCACCCGCTGAAGTAGGCGTACGCTGCGTTGCGGCCATAGTAGCTGCGGACTATTTGCGCGCCCAGGGTCGTCATGTCGCCGAGGCTGCGGTACGCGAAGTCCTCGAGGGCGTGGTAGTTTGGTCCGGATGAGGAGGGGGGGGAGGGGGGAGGGAGGAACCATTTGTGGGCGTCGCCGCCGTTGATGTCGGTGCTGTAGATGCCGGCGTTTGTGCTGTATGCTGCGTAACCTTCTGCGAGAGCGGCGTCCATGGCGATGAACATGTAGTCGAATAGTCCGGCGATGTAGCCGCCGCCTCCGACGGCTTGGATTCGGCCGTTCCATGAGGTTGGGAGCCAGATTTGGGTTTCGATTGATTCGGTGGGGTGGGATGTGTGGGCGTGGTGGATCGTGATGTTGCAGAATGAGACTTGGACTGGGGCTATGGGCCCATGGTTGGGGTTTGTGAAGGGTGGGGAGGAGGCAGTGTAGTTTTGTACGAGGTTGGATGTGAGGGATAGGATGGTTGCGTTGGGGACGGTGGGTAGGGGGAGCAGTGATGCATTGCAAAGGGTTGTGTTGGTGGTCATTGTTGATGGAGTGGTAGGTGTGTTCTCAGTGTCGAGGGGAGAATGGAGGCCTGTTGTTTTGCCAAAAAATTGTAAAACCCAAGGAGTGGGTGGGAGCATTACTTCTTGAACTTGTTCATTCTGTAGTTTACGATGTTCACGAAAAGCTGGGTCAGAAACTCCATGATGGAGCGTCATTGAATATGTAGACTGCAGTCGCGATAATGCACGGTTAATGTGGCTAAATGCAGTACGGGAACTTGTCATGTATATGCAGGTGAGCCGTCCTGAAGATGCAATAACTACGCTTGAAGTGGCAAGTATCTCGTGGGTTGTAGGGCCTGTTTCCGCCGTCGAAGAGAAGCACATCTGGTGTTGATATCTATACATTAGGGAAGTTCCAAGAACCAGTGCAATCAGATGGGCGTTGATAAATCCTCAACTCAAAGAGTCAGCGAGGCGGCAGACAAGCAAAGGAATTGAGAATATATTCGACACCAACAGGTCGTACGGAGTTGGAGCAAGTAATTGTATCGGAGTCGAGGCGTTGGCATGGTGGACATCAAGATAATGATAGGCCTGGTCGAGCGCACAAGAGTTGATGAGATGTGAAAATGGAGTAATCATTTATTCCTGTTCCATTGCTATAGGAAACGACAGTTCCTCATTGCAACTGGCAACGGAGAGTGGTGTTATGAGAAGAAAAGAAAATAAGCACTTACCTGTAGTCAAAGTGAAAAGAAAAGACCACTTACCTCGATCCTCATCACACCATCCACAATTTTTCTACATAACCATCACACCATAACATCACAAGCAAAAGGGGGGATAAATGGCAATCAAGCCTCGCCCGGACATCTTGCGACGTCCAGGCTCAGCGACACCTGAGGTGGGGAAATAAACCTTTTTTTCATTTCACTCCTAATCATGATGCTCATGATGCCGGCGGTATATAATCCTGCCAAACCGTGGCACAAAATCCCATGCACGCCATAAACCACATTTTCAGAGTATCGAAGGGATGCCCGCTCGATCGATAATCTAGTTGCGAGCGGGGCGGTCGTTGAAGCGACGGGGACGGTCGTTGGTCTGCTGCTGGGCAACGGCGACGACGTTGACGGGGATGGAGTCGAACTGGAGAAATGAATGTTAGGAAAATTTGAATGGATAGTGCTCGTCTTGGTGAAAAACATACGCCGAGGCTCTTGAGGAGGTCCTTGGTCTCCTGGTCGACGTCGAGGGTGCCGTTCTCGCTGTTCTGGGTGAAGTCGAGAGCAGAGATCTCGGGGACGTATTGATCCTTGCGCTCACGCTCCTCTTCCTGGAGCTTGAAGGAGATACCACGGACGGGTCCTCTCTGGATACGCTTCATCCTGCAAAATAGTCAATACTCAATTCCTCGATTCTATATTCGCGAATGCGTAGTCGCACGTACAAATGAGTGGTGTATCCGGCGATCTTGTTCCTGAGGCGCTTGCTGGCAATGATAGCGACCTCATCGCCTATTGTATGTTAGCCATTGTCCATTTGCGAATATTTCAGATCGGTGGTTCCGTACAGATCCTCTTGTTGACCTCGAAGTCAAGAGAGAGCTTGGGGTAGTAACGCTCGATGAGCACCTTGGCGCTCTTCTTGACGGTCTTTGTCCTGACGCGACCCATTTTGACGGATTTGTGATGAAGTGAGGAAAAAGGGTGGTGGTTGGCGTGTGGGCGGCTGTTGTCGTTGTCAGTAGTCGTCAAGGTTTCGATTTGTGGTGGGAAATTTTGGGTCGTTGTGCGGGCTCGGGTCGGACTAACACTGTTCCGCTCCGTGGTCTTCGGCAACCAATCATGTTTCTTCTGTCCATTGCCCTACATTTCCGTACTATTTCTCGTAGCGCGTCATTGCCGATGCCTTAACATGACAATGGCATCTCCCTCAGCATCAATTGGGCGAGAAGCAGCAAATTGTTCAAAAATAATCATTCATTAGGTATCTTCCGCTAAAGTGCAAGGACAAAAGAACTCTACAGACAATGCATCACAGATGCAAACAGCTCATCACTAACTATTCGCCGGCACATATGCTAATCCGCCCAATAAGAAAGACATTGTCGTTATACAATCTCAGCCAAACTTTGGAAACCTCGCCAGTCATACTGGTTATCTTTTTTCTTCTCACTGCACCTGTTGACAGGCTGCTCATCGACCGCGTCTCTAATGACCTCCACCTCCACCGTGGTGCTCAGGATTAGGGTAGAACCACGCGCTGATAGCGATGATCAAGTACACCATGACGCAGAGCACACCTTCAAGGTAATTCGATTTTCCATCTCGCAAGAATGAGCCAACTACGAGGATAGCAAGGATGAGAGCGACAGCATCGAAGATTTCGAATTGAAGGTCCATATGCACACCAATGCCCCATCCAACAAGGATGACGAGTGGGGTGTTGAGGAGGGCCGTTTGGATTGAGGCGCCGAGAACGTGGGCGAGTGCAAAGTTCATTTGGTTGTCGTAGGCTTCGTCAACGGCGGTCAAGTGTTCTATCGCGAGTTAGAACTAGCATGAAAGGGTGTGTGAAATGGGCAGGTTTGACTTACCGGCCGCCTTTTCAACGAGCGGAATCAGGATAAGACCAACGAATGCATCACTGATGTGTCGCTCCTCCACCATGTATGGGATCTGCTGAACGAGGAAAACAGCAATGAGCGAAACGCAGACCAATGCGATGATGATTGCGAGGATGCTCTCGGTCAGGGTGAGCTTGGCCTTCCTGAGATCCTTGTGCCTGTCGGTGTCCTTCTCTTCGTCTTCCTCGAAGATGCTGTCGAAGAGGCCATCGTGCGTCTTAGTCTGGAAGAAGACGTAGATGATGTAGCCAACGAGGAAAATGATGGCGACGGCGCGCGAGATCTTGAGCATTTCGTCCGGAATCTCATTGACGGGAAGATCGGTCCTTTCGGCCAATGCTCTCGCGTAGACGGCGGGAAGAACGAGACCCACTGTGCATAGTTAACATCACTGTGATATATACTCGATTTGTTTACAGTTGGACTTACTTCCAGCAACGAGCATCAAACCACTGCCAGCCTCAGAAATGGCGGAGTGGAAACTCTGACTTTCACGCTTCATGCCACCAGCAATGAAACAGGTGCCCAAGCAAAGCAACATATTCGCGAGGATCGATCCCAGGATGGCCGCACGGATGACTTGCACATTTGTGTCTCCTACTGATGATTTGAGAAGAACCATGAACAGTACGATTTCGACGATAGAACCGAATGTAGTTTCAATGACCACGCCCAAGACCTTGGGAAGCTTGCGTGCGAACTCCTGACCAGCGAAACCGAGGAGGTTAGCGGCAGGGACCATGGCGATGTAGTTGGTGATGAAGATGGCGAGGTGCATGTCTGGACGTGCGAAGTGCTAGATATCGTCAACAATCATTCAAATCCACCTTTGATGCGTAAAACATACCAATGCAATGGCGACAGGAACAATAGGCCAAAGCACATTGACAATCCTGGAGAGCGTGCAAGAGCTCCTGAAGCAAATCTTCAGAAACTTGAACGGATGAATTCCCCTCCTGCCACTCTCGCCCTCTGGCTGTATTCCCGTCGTCACTCTGTGTCCATTGTGGTTGTAGCGTGGCAGCTTGTAGTGGTGTTGGTGGGTCGATTGGCGGGTTGCAGCATGGGGAGGGACAGTAGGACCATGGCCGTTTGTGGGTTCGGTGACATAGTCGCGCGACCGACGTCGTGAATCTCTGGAGCGTCGAGATGCCATGTCGAATTCTTGAGTTACCAGTAAGGGAGGTTCGTGGATTAGTATTTACCGAATGTCACCAGCGATCGACAGGAAGTTTAAGATTGGGAGTAATTAGGCGGGGAGCAGTGGTGTTTCATGCAGCGTAGAGGAAGGGGCTGCAGGGTGATGAACGACGTACACACGTCCACAAAGAGGATGAAGCCTCAAAAGAAAAAAGTGGGCGAGAACAAGAGATATGTAGGAGAAAGAGGAAGAAGGAATAATAATATCAGTGTAGGATACAAGGAAAGCTTGAATAATGGCGATCATGACGGGTCAGCAAGCTTTTGGGGGCGTTTGTCCATTTTCAGGTTTATGCCGCCCTGACAGTTGCAAGTTGCAGTTGCAGATGCACCGATGCACTTGCGTGGGCGCCCCAGATTCGCGGATTCGCTGGGGACAGCAAGGATCGTCTGTCTCATTAACAGGCAGATTGACAACACTCACTCTCTTGCACTGGTAACTAGAATGTCTAGACTCCAGCCGCAGCACGGCGAACTGTGTACGAGTAGGTATGTGCTCACACGCTCAGCCGTCATCTCAGTTAACTATCGCGATCATCACAGACCCAGTCATTGACAATTCGAAGTATTAATCCCCCAATGACCATTTGCTACTACGAGCATTATTCTCTCAGCAGCATCCCGTTTCAGGTTCCGCACAGAGAACAATAGTAAGTTGACATTAACACACTCCACCCTACCATGTGGATCCAGACCCGAGTTGAGCTGTGTAGCACCGCACCCACCCACTCATCCCCTCCACATCCCCCAAAAGCTTCGCCGCGCTTCTTCACAGTTGCTTGTTCGTCAGCCGCTCCCACAGTCAGTCGATCCGCAGAACAAACTTCCCTTGGCAAAACGCCAAACATGAACAAGCTCGCCCGGACGCCCAGACACCAAAAACCCAGAAAACGCTCCCTATCGCATCGTAGCATACGTAGTGGTGCATGTCCAAGTTTGGGTGTTCCCCGTGCGCGCGTGATGACGTCGGCGGCCCGTCGCGAAGAAAGGGACAATTCAGGGGATTGAGGACCTTGCTTCAACTGCCGCGGACTGCTATTGGCTAACCGCTCACCGTGCTTGTTGGGTTCATCGATCGGTTTTATTTCGCGCATTTTGTAGGTAAATATGGCCGATGATGAATTATGTATCGCGAAACGGTGTCAACGGTGCTGGGAATCGATTCGACGTTGGGGTTAGGACTGGTAATGGTCGCTTGTCTCTAGGGTCCATGTCATTGCTCGGTTCAATGATTCCAACCAGTGCTTTTATCACTGTTCGCACACACGTCATCATAGCGATTCTGAATCTATCTATCGTCTTACGGCGCGCGTTTGATTCTCATGCTTGTGGAAGGTTCGACATAAGAGCGACGGCATGCACGCAAAGTGCTCGGTGCAGCCGAATGAGTCTCAGCCTAGACCCAAGGTCTTCGGGCAATCGATGTTAAAAGACATCGGGAGAAGGAATTGGAGCGCCCGCGTGATATGTAGAGTACTTCAGCTGGTGAGATGCATGTACCTGTTTGGGTAATAATTGGTAGAACTTTGAAGTGGGTATTACTGTATGCTTCATGATTATCAGCTATGAAAGCACCGGTTATGAAGAGAAAAAATAATTCGATTCTCCAACAATGGAATTCTGTTCATCCCTTCAATACATTTATTGGAAGGAAATCTAATTTTTACCGCGAACATTTGAAGTAGCAGCAGGGTTTCAAAATATGGATAGTAATCGTGGGAGAAATTGGCAAGCAAGAATCTCATAACCGATCCCATGATGAACCCTCGTTGTGAGCATGTACGATTCGTACGATTAACATAGGTAGTCCCTAGCACTTTGAGGGCAAGCCTTATATATCTTTAATATTCAGTTTGCTTTTCGTCTTCCCATCTTCCAATAATGGTTGCAGTGTACCAATCTACTAGATTTGTATGCCACCATTTCGATTGAGTATAATCGGCACTCTGTGGCCGTACGTAGTTTACTATGACCATACAAAGCAAGTACAACCGCAATTCCCAGCATTACAGCTTGTCGTTCGAAATGAACCATGAGGATTCTAAGCGAGCTTTGTATTCGCTACCTACGACTTAATCTGTCGACTGAGCGTTCCTTATCGTCCATGTTTAGGATGTCACGCACGCCACAAAGTCGCCTATAGTATTGAAAATCCCTCGTGGTGCTGTACACATGATTATGAAGACTGCTGGAAATAGTTACCGAAATTCTGCTCATTTAAAGCTAGGTACAGTTGGGGAGGGTAAAGATACGAGATGCTCATCACTATCGATACGTCAGATACATTTGCTAACATCCGCTGCTATACACTTGACAATTGGCATTAAAGTTACAGACGCAGGTACACCGAGTATTTTCCCATTTCCAACACTACTCTTTCAATGCCTTAACTCTACCATCAAAGAAAATGATTCCAAACCGCGCATACGAACATCCAACCATGGATAGCTATCGTATGTGGCTGCGAGGTTGACTGGTGTACCTGGGTGACCTGCCTAAACAGGATAGGGTCCTGATAACATTTCCCGACCATCACCCTTGGCGTGCGTAGCTCACTGAACGTCCAATTGCTATCTACCCGCAAACGACCAGGGACTAAGTAAGGAGCGCAAGCTTCTTCCAGCTTAAGCTTCGTAGAATACGTATAAATGGATCCGGGGCCATGCACCCCAGACGTGGAAGACCTTGGCCTCTACACCGGGTACCAGAACCACGGAGTCAATTGATACAGCGAGCGTGATCGTCAAGATGTTTGTATCAACACTTGCGTATACCGCTGCGCTTTTGGGTGTCACAGCATTGGCTCGCCCCGCCCAGCGAAGCGCACCCAACCTCAAGTTCGAGATTTCCCTTGACGAGGGCATCATCAATGGCACAAGCGTGGACGGACACATACAGCTGTTGCTTGCGCCTGCTGGCACGGATCCGCTCGAAGATACCGACGTCACATCCTCGCCCAACTTCTTCTTCGGCCAGAATGTCTACAGCTTCGGCACTGGAGCACCTGTCACGCTTTCTGGAGGAAACGGCGTTGACACCGAAAAGGGTGTTTACGGATTTCCGAATGTCAGCATCAGCGAGGTCGTACCAGGAGAGTACAGTGTCCAGGCCTTTATGAATGTGTATGAGACAGTCACCCGCGCCGACGGCTCGACAGTCAGTGTGCGATTCCCCTGCGGAGATGGTGCACCAGGCGTTGGAGGCTATGGAACTCCCATCACCTCGCTCGTCAACATCACAGTCACTGGACAGGAACAAACCGTTAAGCTCGTTTTCAACAACGTCACAGAGTCTGAAGAGTTTACCGGAAGCGAGATTGGAGGCTGCCAGCAGGGCAACTACGAAGATACCGAGTATCTCAAGTACGTCAAGATTCGCAGCGACGTCCTGAGTGCTTGGTGGGGTCGCGACGTCTTTGTCGGAGCCAACGTCTTGCTTCCATTCGGCTACGATGCAAACAATACCGAGAAACGCTATCCTGTCGTCTACTCTCAGGGTCATTGGCCCGGCGAGCAAGGAGCATTTCGATACCCTGCATATCTCCAAGGAGAGTTCGCGAGTGCATGGGACAATGGTACCATTCCTGCCACCAACGTGTCTGAGGCTCGCGAAACTCCCAAATTGATCCTCGTCACCTTCCGCCACGAGAACGCCTTCTACGACGACTCTTACGCAGTCAACAGCGCCAACCTAGGCCCTTGGGGCGACGCCATCAACGACGAACTCATCCCTTACCTTGACACCACCTTCAACACCATCCCCGAGCCCTACGCACGCATCCAAGAAGGCGGATCAACCGGCGGCTGGGAATCCGCCGCCAACATCATCTTCCGCCCCGATCTCTTCGGCGCCGCCTTCTCCTCCTACCCGGACTCCATGGACTTCCACAAGCACCAAGACATCGCGCTCTACACCAACAAAAACGCCTACGTCAACGACGACGGCACGCCCATCGCCTCCATCCGCGCCTTCGAGAACGGCACCGAAACCGTCCTCGCGACCGTGCAGCAGGAAAACCACTGGGAGCTCACCTTCGGCACGAACACGCGCTCCATCGGCGGCCAATGGGACGTCTGGAACGCCGTGTTCGGCGTGCAAGGCGTCAACGGGTACCCCCTCGTCCCCTGGGACAAGGTCTCCGGCGAGATCTACCCGGGCGCAGTCGAGTACTGGAAGCACATGGATCTCGCGGACTACGTGACGTCGAACTGGGACAACGAGCTCAATCTCGGTGAGGTGCTTAAGCATCGTATTTTCGTGTATGTGGGCACCGAGGACGATTACTTCCTCAATGAGGGTGTTGCGCAGTTCCAGGGCCGTGTGGAGGCGAAGGGGGGGAGCGATTGGGCGAATTTCACCTACATTGAGGGTAAGGGCCACGGTGGGAGGTATAACCTCCTTGACCCTTGGGTGTACTTGGAGTTGCTCGAGACGTGGGTGCAGGACCATTCGCCGGAGGGTAAGACGCCGCTCACTGCGTCGTTGACGGCACCCACTTCTCGGGGTAATAAGTTCGAAGACGTGATGGCGTACGGCGGGTTCCAAGCTGCTCTTGCGCGCCAGGCGCCCCCGGAAATCATCGAGGGCAATATTGCTACATCTGGGAGGTGGGATCCTGGTGTCGTTCTCCAAGCACAGTGGATCGTGAATGGGAAGCCATTTGGCTACACTTTCTCCGTCGACCAGGAGTGCGGCGTTGCATTCTCAGGCGCGAAGAGCGGCTGCAGCTTGCAGATCTCCGTCACTGGTACCAAGCGTGGATACGTGACTGAGACGAGAGTCAGCAATATCGTCACGATAAGCTGAAATCAATCACATTGAAGATAGTGGTGTAGAATCAATAATCAACTGTACATAAATACATATAATATAATTACCATCTACATCCTACAACCAACACTGTGTTTGATGACTTGAGAAGCAGGAGTTGTTGATATGAGGTTCAATGAATGGTCAATGATAGTTTACGATAATTGTATTGAAATGGAAACTAGCAAAAATAAATCTAAAGAGGCTTAGTTTAATTTACCAATTTAATTTTCAATTCTGATGGAAAAACATAGATGATACGTTTAGCAAAAATACTTCGAAGGGCCACAATCAGGGTTTTGAGGTTTGAAAGGCTAGTGAATGGAGTAGTCACGGGAACGGAACTCAATGTCGATTTGTCCATGGTATGATTGATGCTGGACATTGATTGTGGCTACGAGGACGTGCTGACTTATTGCATTACTGGAGGTTAGATACCTTCAGTAGTCCTTAACTACGGCTTGTTGGTCATGTCGATTCATATGATATCGAGAAGTCCTACAGTGCACCAATTCCGGCTTATCACATAGTTCGATCTTGGGGTAGGTAGACTTTTAGCGCAATTCCATCCTTACAGCAGATTGAAACGTGCTCGAGTTCATTGATTGATTGATACACATACAAGGAAAACTATTTGATGCAGACGATGCTAATAATGCATGCTTCGTTGCTAATGCGCTAATTTTTCAAATTCCCTGGCATGTAGCCTGGGCGAATTACAAGAATGATAAAAACGAAAGAAAGAAAGACAGGTTTCTCGCTGGTGATGCTTGACTTGATGATTTTTGAATGAAGGAATAACTCCGAAAATGCCCGATAAACGCCCGTGTGAGAGTAGGAAAGTTGGTGAGGTGGTTGGAAAGGGATCTTTATGTCTATGTTCCGGCATGGAGTGAAGATCGCGATGAGAAGGTATGGAATGAGATCGTAATTCCGGTGAAAGAGCGAATTGAATTAAAAATCAAGGAGCGTTTGCTGTTGACCAAGGCTTGAAGTTTCATGTGGAAAGTTGGTCGCTATTGCTGTGCATCGTCCATGATCATATGGAGATGTCGTTAAGTGTCCGCGAATCCGTTCAAGTCCGGCTTGTGAAGTGGCTGATGTTGAATATTCTGTTGAATAGGTTCAATTAAAAGGGTGCTTCTGGAACTAAGCATCTCCTGGTCAAAGGGTCGTGGTTGTAGTCGAAAGCTTTGAGAAGGCCGATCAGATGGCAAGCAGCAGCACAGACGGTCAAAACATGGAACAACTGATGAGAGCTGCCCCAGATATCGAAAAGTCCCGGACGAAGGCGTTCGGGAAATCTGACCTTCAACCAATGTCAATACAGGTAGAAAATACGCATATCGAAGTTAATACTCACTGCATAAAGGGCGGCACCGGAACCGTAGGACAATCCTTCCAGAATGAGATACCACCAGCCCATCTGCTTATGAGCCTGCTCAATGCCCCAGCTCTGTGCTGCGTGCGTCATAGGCAAAGCACCCAGCCATCCAATTGCGGTGAACACTGATGCTCTTGCCCATCTCCATTGCGGAGCACGAAAGCGCGGAATCGAGCAAAGTGTGGCACATGCACACACAACGACCGCGATCTGTCAACACCAGTCAGATCGATCCTTGAAAGATTCCCAGTCATGGAATATCATTGGATATACTTACGCCGACAGAGTACGTTCTCCAGTACTGAGGCTCGCAGTAGAATCCGTAATACGTTCCTGAATAGACGGTTCCCACGATGAGGACGAAAATACCGTAAAGGTCGAACATGAGCCAGGTGTGGTAGACTTCATTTGAATGGTTCCCGAAAATATGGAAAGAAGCACTGAGTCCGAAGCAAATAAAAGCACTTCCCAGGAAGACACCAAAGGCAAGAAGGTCGTACACGTCCGCGGTGGGGTATCGGTTCAAAATCGTTCCACCGACATAGAAAGCATAAACCAAGGAAATAACGGCTCCGATCAGGTGGGAATAGATGTTTCCGGTTTGATTATGAAGATAGAAGATGCTCTTCAATGACTCGATATAGGATCCAGAGACGGTTCGATATTTACCACGGAGAAACTCATTGTCGCGTTGCCAAGCTTCGACTTCGTGAAATTCGAAAAGAATTCTTTTCTTAGTGGTTCGGATCGTTTCCGACACTGATTCCGATACTGATTTCGCCCTTGAGTACCTGGACCGCCGGGTAGGTTGGGGCAAGCTCGTTCGAATCATGATGGCTCGAATATCTGGTTCCTATGTTTTCTCACGAACAATTGCATGGGAAAGGTTTAATAAATGCGAGGGAAGGCCTGTTGGGGATGATAGGGGTTGACAACCCATTATAACCTAGTGGGTGGAGCACTAGCCCCATTCGTGCCATTGGCCAATCACAGCGCCACATCGAACCATCGCCCCGTGGCGCCAACCCTCCCCCTTCGGCGCGCAATCCCAAATTGTATCTCCTGTCACTGTGGCACACGGCAATGCGGAACCGTCATTCGTCGTGATATCATACTGCTTCAATGTTCCTAGGTAGATGCCTTTTCAGGTATTCCTCTCTTCCTGCTGTCGTGAACCCTTCTCGTTGATACTTTTCCCACCTTGGGAGGAGCTAGTCGCATGTGAATGGTGCAAAAAAATCGAGCATCGTATGACGCCGCCGAGGTTGATCGATCAGTGGGGTGCTCCAGGAAAGGAGAGTGCTCCGTTCGTATGGGGAAACCCCTCAATCGTATGTACCTACTAAATTTGTAGAGCTGAAAATGCATTTCATGCGGGGAGACTTTTTGATCTTGAGCGAATGTGTACCAGTCCAGTAAACAGTCTTCACCGACAAAAGATCCCGCTGAACCAACCGCAAGGCAACACGAGAGTCACACATTAGACCCTAAAGCCAGACATAACTTATCGCGAGGCGTTAGTTACGGCATAGGGGTTCCGAGTGTGTAGCAGCTGTATCTTGAGAGAAACTTCCCTCAAAATCAGAGTCGACAAACGGCCCAGCAAAGCTAATGCAGCCAAGTATCAGCAATCTGCAATCTATACTCCGTACCTGCTTAGCATCATCCTCAGTTTTCTCCAGACATGATTGTGAAAGGAGAGGAGAGGCACAGTGCGATAATACCTCAGTCTCGACGATCGCCCTCTCCCATTGCCTTCGATCCTATAGGATGATAGAAGAAGACTCACACTCGGTGCAACTTCTGTATCGGTTCTGTTTGAAGCATGTGACGATGTCTCATAGGGCAGCTACGACGCCTGAGGAGTACATAGAGGCGGAGACCGTTCACACGTCGCCATGTGTGCGATATCAGATTTTCTTCGGCGGGCCTCGACCGCAGGCAGTGTTCTTTTCGCCAGAACGCACTATACCGAAACCTCGACCTGTTCAAGTAGAGTACCAAAGATTGTGATTTTGTTGAAGTGTAGTTTGTTGCCGAGTTGTTGATAGGTCTTATTCGGACTAGCTCATTCCAGAGATCTTGAATACAAAGCTTGGTGCATCGATGTATCTCTTGACTGCAACGTCGTCTTGAATGAAAAGTACTTAATCGTCTGGAACTGAGAGTTTATAGCTGTGTATTAGTTTTTCGAAATGGCACAAGTTAGTTGGCGGCCACATCATTGATAGTGTCGTACAACTTCTGAGCGAGTTGACCTCGCCAAACCGGTGATGACTTGCTCATATTGAGATGGTCACACGTCAACTCGGCGCTGCTGTGTGTTCTTTGCGTGAAGCTCTTCGAAGATGTAAACATTGTCGATCCGAATCTAGTAGTCGTATTTCTCAGGTGTCTAGTCCGAGCAGAAGGAAATATAGCTAACATGTTTCCAACTCAGTTGTAGAGCATAACCCAAAGACGTACAAGATTAGTAATATAAATAGCCTCGATCATGTAGTACTTGATCCATGGACGTATATATGCAATGCCTTGGAATTGCAGTCCAGAGAATGTACAACTTTTGTTTCGGGCCTTTTTCCATAGTGTGATGTTCTACTACTACAGACGACACAAGATCGAGATAGCAATAATCATGTAGAGAAGACAACGTGATGGGTACGAAGGATAAAGCACGGTCGACCTAGAGTTATAGATAGCGTTGATGATTGTTTAGTATTGTATCTGCATAAAGTCGGATGTGCATATCGGGGCGATTTCGTCCGTCTTGTTCGTGTGACTAAGGTAGAATCGGAACGAATGTGGGAGAAGAAGGGAGCGTGCTTTAGTGGCGAAGGGCTAGGTAGTCCTCTGAGACGACACATAGATTTTCAGTGCAGAAGAAGATAATCATTTTGTATAGATATAGATTTTGAAGAGTACGAACAACAGTAAATGCAACTTTGATGAAAGATTCATATGATGAGACGATGAAGTCGTGATGTGGTGGTCAGGGACGCGATAGATGCCCGGCCAATCAATCGCGGCCGAGGTCTTGGCGGTGCTCGGGGGTTTCGGAGCTTTGGGGACGATGATGTCGAGATTTTGACCATTGCTGATCAATTCACCTCCGCCACGCCAATTTCCTGCCATCACACCGTGCTGTAGGCTTGTTACAGGTCGTCAACGTCGCACCGCTTGAGACGACACCTGAACACGACCATCAGCAGCTTCTCATCCTCCAAAACGAAACATCCCTCCATCGGTCCGAGTCACTGCCGTATCAGTAGCCAGCATGCTTCAAGGCCAGCGCCTAACGTGGCGAGCAGCTCTACGCCATGTACCTCGTTCAGGTGCTTCATTATCGGCCTCGAGAGCTACAACCTCTCTGCGACCGTCCCAGTATACAGCGTCCTCATTGACACAATATCCTCGAAGATGTCCGTCTCCGCCTGTCGCCCTCTTCGCCTCTCGTAGCTTCTCCACCACATTGAGCCGACACAAGGAAAGGGACCCCAAGTCAATACCGGATCCACAAGAAGAGGTCAAGGATGAAGAGAGCGAGGAACAAAAGAAGATTCAGGAGGAAACTAAGGAGGTCGAAGGCAAGTCCAAATCGCCAGAACCTATCCCCTCCTCTAATTCCAGCAATGCGCGAGGCAGCGCTGCAGGCGAGGGGGGATCATCAGGTGGCGATGGTGGCAGTGGGAAGAAGAAGAAGACATCTGAACGTTCTCTTGTTAAACCATCCATACCAGAAGTTTACCCTCAAGTAATGGCCATCCCCATCGGCAAGCGACCCCTCTTCCCTGGCTTCTACAAGGCGATTACAATCCGCAATAAGGAGGTTGGACAAGCGATTGCAGACATGGTGAAGAGGGGACAGCCATATATCGGTGCTTTTCTGCTCAAGGACGATGATGCAGACAAAGATGTTATCGATGATCCGAATGAGGTCTACGATGTGGGCACTTTCTGCCAGGTTACTAGCGCCTTTCCCGTCGGACCAGATGACAACTTCGCGATGACATGCGTTCTCTATCCCCACCGACGAATCAAGATGACTGACTTGAAACCCCCGGCCGCCGATAAAGCACCCGAGACACCCCAGAGTGAACCTTCCGTTGTAGAGAGCACCCTTGGAGAGGATGCAGTGAAGGAATCGACTCCACAACAGACGGAAACAGAGGCTGAACAATCCAAGGGCGACGTTGTAGCAAGCTTCGAGGAAGGTTCTGCTGATGCTGAAAAGGCGCCACAGTACTACGAAGCTACTTCATTCCTCAAGGACCGCAAGGTCAGCATCGCAAATGTTGAGAACCTTATGGAGGAGCCATTCGATATCAAGAACAACAGGACCATCCCCGCGCTTGTCAGCGAGATTGTCAACACATTCAAGGCCGTTGCACTGCTCAACCCTCTCTTCCGCGATCACATTTCTACCTTCTCTGTTCAGACTACTATGAACGTGGGGGAAGACCCTGTCAAGCTGGCAGATTTCGCAGCTGCAGTTGCACAGGCTGACTCGCACGAGTTGCAGGAGGCACTGGAAGAAATGAACGTTGAGCAGCGCCTGAGCAAGGCACTGATTGTGTTGAAAAAAGAGCTCATGAATGCCGAGCTCCAGTCAAAGATCGTTAAGGACGTCGAGACAAAGATACACAAGAAGCAACGCGAATACTGGTTAATGGAACAGATGAAGGGTATCAAGCGTGAGCTTGGTATCGAGTCTGATGGCAAGGACAAACTGATTGAACGTTTCAATGAAAAGGCTACCAAGCTTGCTATGCCCGAGGCTGTGAAGAAGGTCTTCGACGAGGAGATCAGCAAGCTCTCCCACCTAGAGCCAGCAGCATCGGAGTTTAATGTTACCCGAAACTACCTGGACTGGTTGACACAGCTGCCCTGGGGCCAGCGTAGCGCAGAGAACTTCGGCATCAAGCATGCACGAGAGGTGTTGGACGAGGATCACTACGGACTGAAGGATGTCAAAGATCGCATTTTGGAGTTCATTGCTGTTGGAAAGCTTCGTGGCACTGTAGAGGGTAAAATCCTCTGCATGGTGGGACCTCCAGGAGTGGGCAAAACGTCGATCGGAAAGTCTGTCGCTCGCGCCCTCAATCGCCAGTACTACCGATTCAGTGTTGGCGGTCTGTCAGATGTTGCCGAGATCAAGGGTCACCGAAGGACATACGTTGGCGCGCTGCCCGGCCGTATCATCCAGGCACTGAAGAAATGCCAGACCGAGAACCCTCTCATCTTGATCGATGAGGTCGACAAGATTGGCCGCGGACACAACGGTGATCCCGCCTCTGCTCTGCTAGAGTTGCTCGACCCTGAGCAGAACAGCAGCTTCCTCGACCACTACTTGGATGTTCCTGTCGATTTGTCCAAGGTCTTGTTCGTTTGCACAGCTAACATGACCGACACCATTCCCCGCCCTCTTCTGGACCGAATGGAGATGATTGAGCTTTCCGGATACGTCGCGGACGAGAAGATGGCAATTGCTGAACGCTACCTAGCCCCAACCGCCAAGGAAACCAACGGACTGAAGGATGTCGATGTTATCCTCGAGAAGGAGGCTATTGTAGAGTTGATCAACAAGTACTGCCGTGAATCTGGTGTCAGAAACCTCAAGAAGCAGATCGAAAAGGTCTACCGAAAATCTGCTCTCAAGATCGTCACCGACCTCGGCGAAGAGGCCTTCCCTGAGTCGGAGGCTCTCACTGAGGAAGGCAAAGCTGCACAGAAAGAATCAGAGAAAGATACCTCTGACGTCAAGGAGACCCCCGAGACTATTGAGAACGAAACTACCGAGGTCCCCCGCGTTGCTTTGAAAGTTCCAGACTCCGTTCACGTCAGCATCAACAAGGACAACCTCAAGGATTACGTCGGTCCACCTGTCTTCACCTCCGATCGCCTCTACGACACGACTCCCCCCGGTGTCGCCATGGGTCTGGCGTGGACATCCATGGGCGGTGCAGCCCTCTACGTCGAGTCTATCCTCGAGAGCGCCCTCTCCGCCAATTCGCACGCCGGCCTCGAGCGCACCGGATCTCTCAAGAACGTCATGAAGGAGTCCACCACCGTCGCATACTCCTTCGCCAAGGGCTTAGTCGCGCGAGAGTTCCCCAAGAACAAATTCTTCGAACACGCAAGGATCCATCTCCACTGCCCCGAGGGTGCTGTACCAAAGGACGGACCAAGCGCGGGTATCACAATGGCGACCAGTCTGCTCAGTCTGGCGTTCAACAAGCAGCTCCAGACCACCATCGCCATGACGGGTGAGCTCACTGTCACAGGAAAGGTGCTCAGGATCGGAGGACTCCGAGAGAAGACGGTAGCCGCCAGGAGAGCCGGTGCGACCATGGTCATCTTCCCGCAAGACAACATGTCGGATTGGCTCGAGTTGCCTGAGGTAAGTCTCACACTATCCACTTAGTTAATCAAAGTCCACGTGCTAACATTTCACCAGAACATCAAAGAAGGCATCGAAGGCAAGCCCGTCTCCTGGTACAGCGAAGTCTTCAGCCTAGTCTTCCCGGACCTCGACCGCGACGCCGCCAACAAGCTCTGGGAGAAGGAGCTCAAGGGCAAGAAGGGCGACAAGAAGAAGTACAAGGAGAAGGCACGCAAGGAGGAAGAGGAGGAGGAATCCGGCGAAGACGACGATTGAGTCAATACCGCCCACCCTTTCTTTTCCGCTTCCGCACCCGCACAAATCTTTGGATCTAGAGGAAGCGACCGACCGATCGATCATCTTGTAACAACAATTTAAAGCATAGTTATCCGGCGTCCTGGGACCAGGTGGACACAAGGGGAAAGCTTTTTTTGCATGACATATAGTTAGCTAGCTCCCCGCAACCTCGAACGGCTGCACGTTTTTCTGCATGCATTTTTCCGGGACTTTTAACTTGATTTACCACGAGGTTTTCCCAGAGCGAAAGACGAAAGGGACGACATGAATGGGTCGTTGGAAAACCATTGAAGCGCGCAAAAACTCTCCTCTTTGACGACGGTATATAGAAATCCTCTCTCCACAAGCAGATGAAGTGCTCGTGGAGTTGATTGTAAAGCCTTCTGTAGAAACATACAAATACAATAAAGACATCAATACAATTACAAAAAGCTGCATCATCCCACAACATAAACCCTCCTACTAGTTACAAATAAACAAACCTCTCCTCTTACAAAGGTGACACTATTCACCACCCCTCCCCGGTCCCCAGCCCCGGCCCCCGGCGGCGGACGCGGGCGCCACAGTGCGACGCAACGAGCGAACGGGCGGCGGCCTTCCGAGGGGCAACAACTCCGCTACAATCGACACTTTTCCACTTCTCCTACCGCATCTGGAAGGTGAAGCACCGCCCTCCTCCGCGGCGCGCGCACTCTGCCAGCCCGCCCGGCGGGCGTCAGCGTCGCTCGCTTCTCCGCTCCGGTGTCTGGGGCCGGGGGGTGGGCTGCGGCTTTATACACAGTATGTGCTCCACCAGAGAGAGGTAGTTGGATTTACTTGTACTGGAAGTACGAGTACGGGAATATAGATTTCACATTTTCATATTTTCACATTTGCGTTTGTCATTTCATATCATTTCATATAACAGTAAATCAAGCACGCCCCGGTCCATCCCCCTTGGACCAAAGCGCACGAATTCATTTGCTCACTCGCTCGCTCTATATACTCTCTCCCTCAATCATTCAATACCCGCTTAACTAACCCAAACATAAGTATCCGAAAAGAGACATAAGATCGTGTGGAGAAAATGTGTTACCGTCCCTTTTTTTTCCCCCTGCGTGGGAAGTTAAGCAAAAGCGTGGGGGAGGGGGATTGGATTAGCTGCTACTGCAGCACACGCGCAGGTTGAGGGGGATGATTTTTGAAGGTATGGTATTGTTTGGTACGGTATGATACGGACTGGACCCCTGAAGGTGAATAAATCTTACAATTGAGAAGGATAAAGACGCTTGCTAGTTTAGATGATAGATGAGATGAAGATGAAGATGATGAGGAAGGCGGGTCGTTACGATGCTGGAGAGGTAGGAAAAGGCTAGCTATAGAAGGAAGAAGATATGCGTGACAGTTAAAGTTTGTACTTGGTAGTATAGTGGATGGAGGGCAAGGCAAAGCAGAGCAAGGCGCGAGGTGATTTCTCCGGGAAGATGAGAGGGAATAAGGAGACGCCATGGCAATGTATGCTTTATGCAGAAACGGATTGTGCTTGGGATGCTGTATGCAAGAGGGTAGGGTAGAGGTTTAGGGGGGAGGTGTGAGTAAAGCTAGAGCGACGCTTCTTTCTTTCTTCGTTGCGCTCGCTCGTGTTCGTAGTGGTGTCGGGGGAAGACATGGCTGAGGGCGTACATGACTTCTTCAGCCGCATGCTCGTGAGGGGTTTCATCCTCTTCACGGCGGATGTCGAATGTCATTATCTTCTCTGGTGCGGGTTCGGGTTCTTTGACTGCATCGACGGCCTCGGGTATTCCGTGTGCGAACTCGGGTATCTTGAGACTCGGTGGCCGGATGGTTGTGTTGCTTGTCTTCTCTTCGAGCGCCTTCTCCATTGCTTCTTCCTCTGAGATTCGCTCAGAAGGCTTGACTGTGGTTTCCGTACGTTGTGGTATGGTTGCACTTGACTTGAGTAGTAGCTCGTGCCCACGCACGCCCTCGCCGAACCGACCTTCCATCCTCTGATCCCAGAGCCTCTCCTCTATTATAGGTTCATCCAAAAGTGTTGTATGATAGTTCAAATCCGAATCCAGAGACCGCCGTATGCATTCGGAATCAAGGCTAGTACGGTCCGGTTCGTTGAAGCCGGAATCTTGGTGGAGAGGATGGCGGAAGACGCGATCGATGGAGAACCCGGTTCCGACACGACTGGGCGCTGCACTGCTGCTTATACTTGTGTCCATGGCGACTTCATTCTCGAGGTCTGTAAGTGTATTTGATCGCTTAATATGTGGATCGTCTGTCTGGTTAAGCTGATGTACGCGATCGCTGAATGAGGCCTTGTTGGATGGGTGTCGGAGGGATGCCAATTCCATTGGCAGGTCGGCCGAATCATCAGGCTGTCCAGGAAGTGCGAGTCGATTGGGCTGGGGTGGTGGAAGCTCTGCAACAGTAGAGAGACTGAGGGGTGTTGTGTCGTCACTCTTCTTTGTTGAAGTGATTGAAGATTCCAGCTCTCCGGGGGGAGTCGTGATGCATATATCCTTGGGTTCTTGGTTCGTAAAGTCGTGGGCATCGATATCCAGACCGCGGCGTTGGACAAGTTTTGTATCACCATCTACATATACTTGTTCCCATAGAGGTTCGCGACTGGCAGGAAGGCTCGCAAGTTCATTCTCCAATTCACTGTCATCAAGAGACAAGACTGAGCGGCGGCCCGTGTATGGTGAAGAATCAGATTGGCGGTACCGGCGCTGTTCCCGCGAGGGAGAGCGGCCTCGCTCAGAGGTCGGGAGAATATAAGAGCAATTGGAGTCAACATATTCTGTCGAGGGCATATTGACGTTGGGCAAAGAAGACTTGGCTCGCAGATGGAGATTGGAAATGTCTTCCCTGTCTACGGCCATAGCTGGGTCGATGTATTCCTTGTCCGGACGATGCTCAGACAAGCTCTGTCGCTTCTCAGTAATAAATGTGACAGACTGCTGTGCTGCTGGATCGGGGAATAGCGATATGAGCTCTTTGGCAGATGGACGATCTCGAGGGTTGTCGCTGAGTAGTGATTTGACGATATTTCGGAAGTATTGCGGCACGTCTGAGTACCGGTCGATGCATCGATGGAGCGGTCGTTCTTGTCTTTCGGGTTCGTCGTCCTGCGCTGCGAGTGCCCACAGCACCATGCCCAGTTGGAAGAGATCAGATTTGACACCGATGTAGATGGAGATGCGCTGCCCGCTCTCGATGAGCCTTGCGAGTTCCGGAGGCTCCCAACCAACAGGGCAGCCGCGGCGATTGATGTCGATAATCTTTGCGTCGTAGTTGTTATCAATGACGATGTTTGATAGCGTGAAATCGCCTTGGACGAAGCCGGCTTCATGTATCTCGGATAAGCCTTCAACGATTTGCCTTGCCCATTGCTCCCTTCGAGGCCAAAGCATCTGGTCGGACCCCTTGAGGTCGTACAAGAGGTCCACAAGCGCACCTTTTTCGGCGTAGCTAATGAGCAGACCCTTGATCAACTGGTGCCCCTCGTCGACAATGACGCCTTCGAATTTGATGACTGACTTGGCGTCTTGCAGGCTGGAAAGGGCATTGATCTCGTACAGGAATTCTTCTACCGCGTCAGGACCCGGAATCTCCTTCTTGATATACTCTCTTCCATGTGCAGAGATCTTATAGACGAATCCCGAAATGTGAGAGTCGAAACTAATAGCGCTCTCCTTGAATTTTCTGCAGGTGAGGTGGTCTACAGCGGAGAGAGGGGGGTACGGTATTGTTTCGTTGACATCTTCCGTGACATGCACATGGAGGCGTCCATCAGCTGTCTGCAGTTTAAGATTGGTAACCGTATCGTAGAACTGGATGTCAGGCAACGAATCTCGGATGGCTTCGTAGATTCTGGAGCTCTTGTCGCGCTGATAATGGAGGCTCTTGAGATCGGCCTCAAGAGAGTCTGGTTCAAGGGCACGATAGTCACATGAGACTGTGACCCGCCTCCACTTGTTGGGCTCCTCGGCATATGTGATAAAGAATTTCTCTCGATCGGAGAGGTCGCGGAAATGCATGCTCAGATTGAGAATCCATTTTGCCTCGAGTTCTTCTTGTAACATGGCATCATCGATCTCATCGACTGAACGGTTCGAATCTCGCTCGTAAAATGAATCTCTAGCCATTGACAAAGGACGAGCATCGTCTCCCGAGATGTAGTCTATGCTCTCGTCCATAGCATAATCGACCTGCCTTGCACCTGCAGGGATATTGGAGTCTGGGGCACCACCAATAAAGGGGCCAGGTTTCTGACTTTCGCTGTCGTGCGGACTCAGAACGTCAGGCGCCGACATGGAAGGCACCGATGCTGGCGGGAGTGAGAGTGTTCGTTTGGGTACGAGTTGGGAGTCCCTTCGGTCCGCCGACGCTGCCCGCCTCTGCTCCGCATCAATAGGCACAGGCTCCAATCGATCCCTCTTCTCAGAATTCATCCTCTTGAACGTCAACGGCCTCGGCAGTCCAGGCACGACTTTCCTAGTACTCCTCCTATTCAACAATCCCGAAGGCCGTCCATGATGCTCTCCACTAGAATGGGGGCGTGCATTGTCCTTGCCATCCTCTACCGCCAATTTCTCAGGCGGAGGTTCCTCCTCTTCCCTGCGCAGCCAGCTTCCAATCTTCTTGAACGGGTCCCATACGCTTCTATGCTCATGCGCGTCCGTCTTTGCCCGTTGCCTACTGTGCGAACGCGACGACTCTCCCGTACCAGGCAGCATGAGGTTTGGCATGTTCCACGATCAATTCGTTGCACCCACCGCAGATGGCGGCGCGGTGCTCTCCAAGACGCGCAGCAGCGATGCCGGCTCTTTATCCCCAACTCAATGTCTCAGTCTTGACGCAATGGTCGGCACGGTACGCGGGGAAGCACGGGAAAAGCAATTCGGGGCTGGGGCAGAGGCAGCGGATCGTCTCGATAGGTTATCGTTGATTGCGTAGAGGCGCCGGGAGTCCTGCGGTGGAGAAGTCGTGTAACGGGCGGGCTTGCGTCGTCCATCAATTCATATCTGGATGGAGCTGCAGAGCGTCGCAGCACAGATGAGCCAGGTCTTTTGCTTTTCTGTCTGAAATTTCTGTTCCGAGGCCTCTGCCTGGCCCTCGCTCAAGAAAATGCAGGCCGTGGCGTCCTAATAATATTTTTGTTGACGCCCAAGCGGCAGAACCAAGACTGGGGCCTAATAAACCCGACTGGCGAAATTACAAGTATAACAACACGCGGGAATTACACAGTACGTCCTAGGGGAATCGTCAAGGGTGAGGCTCAAGATGGGGCGCGCAAAAGGAGACTGAGGACGAAGAATAGATGGGAGGACGAGGAGGCCGGGGGGCTGACGATAGAGGAACGGAGAGCGAAGCCTAAGGCTTGTGTGATATGAGTCGAGAGCGTAAGAAAGAGGTATCGAATTCAGGTGTGTATGAGTCCGAGTTTGCTGTATGGGTCCTGGGTACAGGCCGGGACAGGGTATTGTAGTGTTTGTACAGTAAGATGGAGGAAGATGAGATGGTATGGATGGATGGATGGGATGGATGGCTGGGCTGGGGTGTCCTGGTGTGCTGGTGTTTCCCCCCTACAATTCAATAGGAGGGCCCAATCAGCAGTGACAACCTACAACTTACCCCCAAGCACACACACACCCTCTCAACTACGATCCAATAATCCCCGGCTGAGCGAACGCAAGACAAGACACTGTCTTTGCTCTGCTTCCTCCAACAAAAGGGAGAAGGAATAAAGGAGGCTGGACGTTGCACGAGGGTTGGGCACACAGTCAGAGATCAGAAGTACAAGATTCACAACGTCGCAAAATGAGGGGACCAGCAGGGGGATTAGATTTCATTAGGAGTCACGACACAACGCATCACCCCTCTCAGCGAGCATCTTTATCAATGCTTCAGCCGGTTGCGTTACCTTGCATGGCGGTCAAGCATATCGTGAACAGCATTGGACGACGCGGGTTCTCTCTCTCTGAAGTGAACGGGCCGAGCTCGCACACAGAGGGCAAAGGCTGCTCATCAATCATACCAGGGCGAGACTGGACTGACTGGATGAAGGAATACGGACCACACACATAACGTTAACATTGACGATACATCCATACCTAGACGGAAGACGTTGGCCTGATTGGCGCTACTGGCGGTGTGGTAGCCACTCTACGCTGACGTCCCACAATCCTCAACGACCCTCGGGGGACTCAATTGCATCTCCCTCCACAATCCATGGGGTATAATGAAAACGTCTCATTGTCTTATTACAAACGGCTTCATCTCGAACTTGTTCTTCTCTACCAGGAAGACCAACCTCTCCCATTGTGTCAGGAGAGACATGTTGGAGAAAAAGAAAAAGAAGAAGTTGAGACATACATCAACTTCCCCTCCCTACCACACCCCCTCTTACTGTTGAGGTACAGTACATTAGCCTACTGTACGGAGACAAAGTACGCTCCACTTTGGAAATGCAACTCTTTCCTGCAGGAGCAAAAAAGAGTAACTTGCCGGTTATGTGCCTCCATTCAGTCCACCATACATGACCACCCTTGACAGACTTGACTTCAATAATGAAGACGCCCCGCCGGAGCATCAACCCGGCCCTTGACATGGAGTACCGATCTCCCCATCGCTGCACCACACGTCCTCTCCATCGGGACAACCAACGTAGGATGTGTACAAGAGTACCAATGACCTTCATCAGATCTCATGTTCTTCCTGAAAGGCCCACGCGCTTTGGGTAACATGGCAGCATGCAAGTGCGAGCCAACCAACGCCGACGGGCTCCGATATCCGCAACCTAGCGAACATTCATCTGCGAAGAGCTTCACATCAGCAACGTGCAGGATTCCGTTTCAACTTTTGATGCATCTTGAATTAAGTCGTCAATCTCTTGTCTGAAATGGCTAACTACCGACTTCAATACAAAGCCAACCGCCCTCGACTCTAAACAAAAAACTACATTCATCTTTCGCACTGTATGCAATATGCTACCCACAGGTCACACCGATCAATCTACCATCACCGGTCGAGTCCACTAACAGCCTCAAAACTCCCCACAGAACCATCACCGCCTAAACAGTGAGGCGCACGAAAACCTCAGCTCCCATAAAAGAACAACAAACTCCCCTTCCATTGGATTTCCTCGCGAGCTTATCCCTCCAGTTCGCATCCTCAAACGATGCGTTGTCCAAATTGTTCCTTTCATCCTACTGTACATACATACACTCCCCTGCCTTGCCTTACCGCTCGCTGCTTGCTGCATAACTACACAGTAGTTAGTGGCTCTACTGACACGTCAATCCACGTTCGTTCGTTCATGTGCCGCCGCCGCAGCCAGCGCCATCGCCCGCGCCCGCGCCCGCCGCCTCGAAAAAAAAATCTAAGTCAGAAGCTAAAAGCAATGCACAGCAAGCATTCACGCATTCTATCCAATCCGGTCGTGCATGGATTCGAATTCGCATATGACATAGCCAGCGCACACAAACTGAAAAACAAAAAAAATCGACTCCGTTGCTTTATTTTTATTTTTTTCATTTTCTTGTCCTTCTGAAAATGATGTTCCCATTTCGTCGACGTGCATAGACGGACGTAGATGGCAGAAGTGGGGTTTGAGACAAGACAATCCATTGACATGGCGCCGTCTTTCTGGTGGAAGAGTGAATGTCTATGCGCATTTCTATAATTCCTCCGGATTACACCTCGAACTTGAACTCACTGTACCACAAAGAATCCCGCATGACCATAATCATGACCTTACCTTACCTTACGCTCCCCATACGTCTAGCATCCATCTACTCCGTACCCCCAGTTCGCAAAACCTGGAGTACGGGGTCCTCTTCAGCTCCTCACCCTCAACATCAAAAACACCATCCCACTGTCTAACCAACCACCTCTTAATACTCACTCCCACCATCAATCACTCTGAATCACTTCCCAACCCTCTCCAACCTCGCCCGAGAAAAGAAAAACGTGAACAAAAAGAAACAGAATCCTTCTAGAACACCCACTACCATTCCCTTCCCCACCCCACCCTACGGTCACATTCTCCTCGGCTTCCCCCCACATACCTGCCTCTGTCCGAGTTCCCAACCGAATCGAGCCAAGAAAACATAGACAGAAGCCCCCCGTGAGATACGGAGTCCTTCGTACCTTTAATATAAAAAATCATAGAAACCCCAACCCGGCGTGTCGGCCCCCGGCCCCCCTTTCGAATATCTTTGTATAGCGGATACGAAAGGGGAGATTTTGTCGGGTGCCGTGTAGTCTCGCTGCGTGATTTTGGTTGGACATGTGTACTTGTTGTGTTGAGTAGAGGGTGTGAATGCTGGAGAGGAACGAGAGGGAATTGTACGATGACTGCTGGGGAACAGATCGGTAGCAGGAGATCAATTTACTTTTTTTATTGCTATATTTCTTTTCCCGCGATCGTACGTTCTTCCTATCAAGCCTGCATCTCTCCTCCAAGGCCTGGCGCAGTGACTGCATTGGCACGATGATTATACTGTACGTTTTAGGAAATATCGTTACATTGAACATAGAAACTCAGCCTTCTCACGATCGCGCGTAGCAAAAGCAAGTTCCTTTCCCCTCACTTCGAATTGGTTTTTTTTTCCCTTTTGTGAGGGGTGTTCTACCTAAGAACGGGATCTATTTCGGCGGCGGCGGATCGTCCCGCTGGTCCAGCGACGGGAGGGGATAGGGATCATGCTTGGAGGGAAGTATGGGAGCTGATGGCTAGTTTGGGTAGGGAGTACGGAGTATATTTGGTCGCTTTGGATATCTACAATGGAAATTACATGATGTTTTGAAGCGATTTCATCAGTTTAAGTGACTCGTCTCTGTGTTTCTCCTCCGCTTCTTTTCTTGCTTCCTGTGCGTCTGCAAACATTGTCAGTTTCCGGAATTTTTTCCATTCGTCCAGGACTTCTACTTGAAGTGCATCTAGTTCTTCCAGTAGTGTCCGTAGTCCCTGTAATTTTTTCCATTCGTCCAGGACTTCTACATGAAGTGCATCTGTCTCTTCCTGTATAGTCTGTAATTTTTCCTGTACTGTCTGTTGTTTTTCCTGTTGTGTCTGTAGTTTTTCCTGTTGTGTCTGTAGTTTTTCCTGTTGTGTCTGTAGTTTTTCCTGTTGTGTCTGTAGTTTTTCCTTTGCTTCTTCCTTTGCTTCTTGCTGAAGTGCCTCTTGTACTTGCTGTAGTTCTTCCAGTATTTGCTGTAGTTCCTGTAGTCTTTCCTTAGGCTCTTCCTTTGCTTCTTGCTGAAGTGCCTCTTGTACTTGCTGTAGTTCTTCCAGTATCTGCTGTAGTTCATGTAGTCTTTCCTTGAGGTCTTTCTTTGATTCTTCCTGTCGTATTTCCTTTGCTTTTTCTATGAATTCCTGTATTATCTCCACCCTTTTACTGTGCAGTGCTTGTAGTTTTTTCTGTACTGTCTGTAGTTCCTGCTATGCTTCTTCCTGTGTTTCATCCTTTGCATCTTTCTTTGCATCTTTCTTTGCATTGTCCTTTGCATCGTCCAGTATTTTCTGTAGTGCCTGTAGTTTTTCCTGTCGTGCTTCCTGTCGTGCCTTCAGTTCTTCCTTTGCTTCTTCCTTTGCTTCTTGATTTAGTTCTTCCAGTTCTTTCAGCTCTTTCTGTAGTTCCTGTGATTCTTTCTGTAGTTCATCCTCTGCTTCTTTTCTTTCTGCTTCTTCATATAGCGCTTCTTTTCTTTCTACTTCTTCATATAGTGCTTCCAGTGCTTCCTGTAGTTCCTGTAGTTCTTTGTGTAGTGCCTGTAGTTTATCGTTTGCTGTTTCGGTTTTTTCATACTGTAGTTCTTCCTGTAGTTCTATCTGTAGTAATACCTGTGACTCCTGTACTCCCTGGAATTTTTCAAGTAGTGCCTCCAGTTCATCCTTTGCTTCGTACAACAGCTGTTCCGGTAGTTGTTCCTGTAATTTCTCCCGTAATCGCTGCACTTTTGCCGGGTATTTTTCCATTTGTGCCTGTAGTTCTTCCTGTTCTGTCTGTATCCTATCCATTACTTCTTTCTCTTCCAACCGTTTTGCTAGGACACTTGCCATTTCTTTGTCATCACCGATTTCTGGGGGTACAATGCGGACAGAAGAAGTAGTGACAGTCGGCAACATCTTAACTTCGACGGGGATGCGATCAAAATTCAAGAGAGTTTCCTCCTCGATCTTCATTCTTGACTCGTCTCCCAGGGGCGTCTTTCCTGGCGCTGCCTCGAGTATATCAGCCTGCTGCCTGCAGCATTCTGACGGAGGATCGAACATGTTTTCAAGATCCGCGCTCGAAAGTCTGTTCTTCGGGTTCTCGTCGATCATTCGAGTGATGATCTGGGCCACTAATTCCATATACGAATCTACTCTACCGGTTCTGTAGAATGTGAGCCCCGATAGGTGTTTCTTGACTGCAGGCAAGTTCGCCTGGTACGATGTGTTGCCATGTTCGTTTTGATCGAGCAATGCTTGCAGTCTACAAGCCGGATCACCTTCGACCAAGTAAGTGTACTTGTACACTCTGTACAGGGACTTCGTAGACATGCTGCTAGTAAAGCCCGTGATGGCCGAGGCCTGGTTGCTGGGGGGAAGAATTCCCGGATATGCAAGGCACACAGCCATTTCCACAAATACACAACCGAGTGAAAACACATCGACAGATAAGTCACGAAAGGCTCCCTCGGCAACCTCGGGTGCTGCGTACTTGCGCGTGAAGGCCGTGCGACCTTCAGTCACAGTCTCTTCAATAGATCGGTACGACCTAGCAATGTCGAAATCCGCAATATATACCTTGAATTCGCCAGGGCTAATCATCATACTCTTGCTCAGGTCGCGCACAAGTATGTTTTGGGGTTTTATATCCATGTGTTTTATCAGATTCCTGCTGAGATAGGCAACAGCATGGGCGAGACAACCAAAGAAATTCCGCAATGATGACCGGCGTTCTTCCCACTCTGATGTGTGAAGATTTGTCGGATCAAGTTCTTGTAAGAACGTTTCCAGATTGTATTCCGTGGCCGGATAGAGCAGGATTGAGAGTTCGTTCCCCCTTGTATATGTTCCGATGACTCGAACAATGTGAGAGTGGTTCAGCTTTGTAAGGTGGGCTACCTCTTCTATAGCTCTGCTTTTGGGAAAGTTCCGATTGCACCGGATCGTCTTTCTGGCCAAGAATATTCGTTTGCATCGGACAAGCTGTACTATAGTCGTGTTGGAGCTCCCGAGGTCGTCTTGGACTTGCAATATCTTGTCAATAAGAGGCTTTTCGTCTTTGGTGAACTCGGCATGTTGGCCCCTGCCTGACCAGTCTTGTTCTTTACGTGGATCGACCGGCCAGAGATTTCTCTCGCTCAACAATTGAGAATACTTATGATGCCTACTTTGATGTCAGCATATAGAGATGGTTTGCTTAGAAGTACTTGGTGGCTGACTTTTGTAGTCTGACTGAAGTCGCATGTGATCCGATTCCTAAACCAGTCACGGCGGTGAAATAGGTCGAAGATGTGAAATTCGTTTCGGCTGTTCGGAATGTGCCTCGAGTGACCACTGAGCATGTGTCCTCTTCCTGTCCAGGCCATGCTTCTTCATCATTTTCTTCTTCCTGTATAGAACCGTTCCTTTCGATAATAGCCTGTTCGGTCAATGCCCTAATCGCGGTTGCTGTTCCCTCAAGCTCATGCTTGGTCAGGACCGCAGCTAGCCTATCCGACCTCATTGTAGGGAGTATGCGATCAATGTAATCGTTATTTATCTGGGACGTCTTATCCAGGGCCATTGCCATTGTGAGTAACTGGGGCACGCCGACCCACTCGCCTCCTTTCAACCAATGATCAATCAAGATTGATCTCAAAGATGCAAGCGTGAGTGTGTATTCTTCCAAAGGTTGTTCTTTGAGTGCGCTGCAGTCCAGAAGCCATAATCGAGGAAAGCGGCTTTGGAGATGGCGTCTTGTCCATCGGTAACCCTGCCGGACTCTCATGTCGAATTCTCTCCACCACAATATTCGTAAATGATGGCAGAGTAGCCCTGGTAAGCAATACATGGCATGATGATCACAACTTTGATGATCGCATGTGTCCATCCAGCAATTGAGCTCGAGTAGTAATTCACCTAAGAGAAGAAGCTGGCGGCCGCGGAGGTTCCTTATAGATTGTGTACGTTCTACCGGAATCTTGAAGTTGTAGAAATAATCGAAGAGAAGCCTTTCAACTGGAGAGTCACCGTGTATTTGAGGTTCTTCTTTCTGATTTAGAAAGTCCTGTATGCGGTCTGGATATTCGTCTGCCCGATTTGGACTTTCTAATTTGGCTGACCCGGCATCTTGCTGGCCAGAAAGAACAGCAATTTCAAGTTGTGTGTTCGACATGTCAAATTTTGATTTGCGCAGGTTGGAAGTAAGTCTTCGAGTGTCCGTTTTGGTCCAGGGATAGTGAAGGGAGCAGGAAGCTGAAATAGTCCCAGGTAATCTACTTCCTACTCAGCAGATGGTATCCAGGCTATCAAAGATAGCAAAGCATAGCTGTCGTACAGTTGCCTTTCTTGTAATGCTCAGCGCACTCATATTCTCAAGCTTCCAGGTGTCAGACTGCCAGAATGATCGAACGGACTGCAGGTTTCTTACAATGAAAGTGCAACATGACAAGCCTTCGACAATCTGGTTGTTGCTGTAGAAGAAACCCCCAATATATATGTACACAGAACGTCGTGGTGCCTGTAATCGCTGCTAGCTGTGCGATTTGGTGAGGATTTGTGTTGTTGATTGAAGTTGCAAGGCTGAGTGCTGTACTTATATCATGCGTGCAGCTGTGGCGCCTTCCCAGCTGAATCAGAAAGGCGGAGTCGGACGCCACCCAACGAACCCTGGCAGGAAAGCGCCTGAGGAATCAGAGAGGCCAATGACGACCGGCGGTGAGAGGCATTGGTCAGGAAAATGTAGCCATAAACTACACAGAGCGATCGTAAGGCTTTGAATAAATCATGTTGGAAATGTCAAGACGTAGGTAAACCAATAGTTCGATATAATGCTAGGCCGCTTGCAACTGCGATAAAAGTCCCGGGTTGATCGCAAATGCCATGATTTCAGGTGACTGTGTTTCACAATGGCCTGGGGTCAACAACGGGAACTTTGAAGGTCTTGGACGTCGGTTATCTCTTTTGCTTGTGGCTGTGTTTCATCTCTGCCTATGTCAAAGTGCTGATTGGAGAATTCTCGACACAAAAGTAAATGAAGCAATCGGATCTACAAAGCTTTCTTTTCGAAGGTTCTTTTTACTTGCTTTACATGGTTCATATTAGTACCTTCAATGTTGCGCGCCTCAGACGTCACTCCCTCTCCAGAAAAGTCCGGGAACTTCCCACGGAGCTGCGCAGTGTAGTTCTATCGTTCCGAATCGAAGAATTTATTCACTATGTCTCCTACATCATACCTTCCCCCTCCGTCCTCTCCCCCTCCCCCTACCCCGTCCTCTACTCCCACTCCCACCCCTCACACCTTTCTTCGGCGACCTATCCGTCAAATCCGTCTCGTCGTCGCTGCCATGAGCAAAGAAATGGCTCTTAACTTTCTCCTCCGACTTCCTCGCTGCTGCTCTGCGCTTCGGCGCTACGTAAGGGGTGTCGTCGACGGGAGATTGTTCTTCGTCGTCTGTGGGAAGGGAGGAGAGCTGAGATAGCGGGGATGAGGAGGAAGAGGTTGAGGGGTCGGGTTGGGATTTTGTAGTGCGGGTTCTAGGTGGTGGTGGTTGGGTGAGATTGCGTGGTTTGCGGATGTTGCGGGAGGGGGGTTCTTCTTCTGAGGGTTCGTCGTCGTTGATGTTGTTGGTTTTCATGTCTTTGTCACTGTCGGCGTCGTCGGGGACGGCTTCGTCTTGTAGGGCGGAGTGGAGGGAGATGGGGGCGCGATGAGATACGTCTGCTAGGGTGGATGGAGTGTGTGTTTCTTGTTCGCCATGGTCGATTGTTAAGTGTGAGGCGTGATTGTGATCCTGCTCTTCTTGACTTGCAGGGAAGAATCCACCAGCCATGGCTTCCTCGTCGTCCTCCCGTACAAAGCCACCAGCAGCAGGCTGTTCATGATGGCCTTGTTCCTCCTCTCTCAGGAACCCACCCTCGAAGTCCTGGTGATCTTTGAACGTATCCCATTCCGATTTCTTCGCGGCTGCTTTCGTCGCTTTGTGCTCGACGGGAGGGAGCTCGGCGTCTTCTCCATATTCTGCCTTCATGCGATGCACGATCCGTAGCCCGACGTAGAATTTCTTCCATAGACCTAGGAGGAGGGCTTCTCTCTTGTCTGCATCCTTCTTCTCTTTTGCAGCCTGCTCGACCTCCCATGAATCGATCACCAGATCCTCGTTCTCGGCTGCTACGACGACACCAGTGAGTACAGGAACAGCCCGCTGTTTCCCGAACTCGAATCCCGTGCACGCCTCTGCGTAGTCGATGCACAGCTTCCGACAGATCTTCGCGGTCCCTCTTAGGGGAACGTGAACCGCGCCTTTGGGTATCATCGTCGGTACATAGACATCGATGTTTCCGAACGCATTGCGCGGTATCTTCCCATCCTGTATCGGGTCGGGGATAATCCACTCAGTCTGCGATCTAGCGTACAGCCCCTGCTTCGCCTTCTCTCCCTCGACCCTCTCCCGCTCCTCGATCTCTCGCTTCCGGGTGACCGTTACCGCGCGTATGGGCACCAATTTCCACGGCTGCTCGCCGATCCTGACCTCGCGACCCTCTTTATGCCACGACTCGACCGTCTTGCACGTTGCGATGTCCTTGCGGCGATACACGGGTTCGCTCTTCTCCTTGTCACCCTTACCGGTGACGAAGTGCCGGACGATTTTCGCGCCAGGCTTGAGCGCCTCTTCGCGCCGGAGGTGCCGCTCGAGGACGTATTCGGCGGAGTTCTTGTACCCCTGGAGGGTCTCCTTGCCGCCCTCCTCGTCCATGTGCTTCGGCTTGTCGGGTTTCTTGGGCACGAGGTCCCCTTCGTCTTCGATTTCGTCGTGCAGTTGGCGGTGCTGGTGGCTGCGGGCGTAGGGCCGCATCACGGATTTGAACCAGTCGAATTCTTCCCATTTTTTCACTTTGCCGCGCTTGTTGTGGATGGGGATCTTCTCAATGGGCATGCGGAAGCCTTTGGTTCGGCCGGGCCATTGGTGGTTGGGGAGGTAGCGGGTCGTGACGTCTTTGGCTGTGCGATCGGATGAGAAGGCGACGATGTAGGCGAAGATTTGCTTGGATTTTTCGGTCGTGCTGCTGCGGATGTAGAAGTCTTTCAGTGCCTCTGCGTTTGACGAGGGGGCCACGATGGAGCGTTGTGGATGGTTTCCTGGGCAGACGGCTATAGGAGTGTGCGTCAAGTCTGATATTGCTTCAGTCCAGTATGTAGGGAAAGGAGGCGCTGGGTGAGCACGCTGCTTCACGCGTGGTGTCGACACATCAGAATCGGATGATATAGAGATTGCATCGCTGAGTGCGCTGGAGTCTTCATCGCCAACATCAATAGGGCTGTCTTTCGATCCTTTTGAATTCCTGGCATTCCCCTTTCCTTTGCCTTTGTCATTGACTAATGCCTGTGTCTTTGGCGCCTGCTTCAGAATAGCTTTCAGTTTCTCCAGATCTTTTGGTTTGCCCTCCTCTGCTTGACTCCAGCCAAACCCAACCGGTTGAAGACTCGCAACCATGCGGCTTTCAATCCCCAAGCCGCGTAACAGGGCAGTGAAGAGCTGCTGTCCGACATCTCTGCTTCCTTCACACTTCTTCGCTAGCTCGCGGAACGCCTCCTTACTCTCTATGCGCTCTCCGAAGTACTCAGGTTGACTTCCACTCTCTCTCCAAGCATGGACTTCTGCCTCAAGCACAGCAGGCTCCAGATACCCTCTCTTCCTGAGGCTCGGGGCCCTCACTTTGAAATGCGACTTCCACAGCGCAGCAAGGTACGTGAGAAGCCTCAGCAGAGGATCCCCCGCAGACATGTTCGGTCTATTCGGCTCCAAACGATCAGACGACGCGCCCCAATCGCGCTGATTCCGCTCACTCCCTCTCGTCCCCTTATCCCCCTTTCCCTCCATCTCTTTACTCGAACCAGCCTTCCCCTTCTTCCCCCCTTTCTTCGCCTCCGGCCCAGCGTACACCTTGACGCCCTTCATCTTCGCATCCTTCCACCTCGCCTGCGCGCGCACCTCCTTCGCAATCTTCGCCGGCACTTTCCCACCCACAACCCTCTCCACCCCATTCTCAATCCCCGTGTCCCTCCAATACTGTTCAAGTTCCTTCCACGCCCCGACCGTCATCTTCTCCACCAGAATCTCCTGCACCTGCTTATCCTGTATCCACACATTCCTTAGCCCATTATGATACATAAGAAACTGCACATGCATACAATGCGTATGACTCCGTATCTGCCGCTGTATCTTCGTAGGCCCCTTCTTTCCGTCCGGCCTAAATGCATATGCATTCGGCGCAGCGTTCGCAGATAGGTTGAGGTTGAGGTCGCCCGAGACTTCAGGGATGGGCTCGTCGTCGTGGACTTGGTGGTGTTGGCCTAGCGCGTCTTCCCAATCCTCTTCTTCTTCGCTCTCGGTGGCGGCATCTTGTACTTTCCGCTTGCCCTTCACAGTCGCCGCGCTGTTACTTGACGTCCCGATCTGGACGTCTTCAAACTCGTCCGAGTCGTCGCTGTTGCTCGCCGCCGAGCTGAGCGAAGAGGAGGAGGAGGAGGAGGAGTCTGCGCCGAGGAGGGCTTCTGTCTGCGAGGGCGTGCGGAGGACTTTACGGTGCGCAGGCGCGGCGTCGAGGTCGCGGAATACGGAGTGCTTTCCGCTGTTGTTGCGCGGCGCGTGGTGGTGTCGCTTTGGCGGGCGTTGCGATTCCGCGGGGGGTGGGGAGTCGGATTGCAGGCGTTTGCGGGGGAGGATGGGGGGCATGCTGGACTTTTACATTCGGTATGCCATGAGGGCGCTGTGGAGGTGTGTGGGTGTTGGGTGAATAGATGGAATGAGTGCGCTGGGGAGGTTTGAGGGAAGCGGAAAAAAGTGTATGACGCACATAACTATGGGGACGATCCCCCTGTCGAAAGGGTTCCGATGGCGCGGGACATGGTTCCTAGCGATCGGGGCAGGGGGAGCTACGGAGATCTCAACGGTCGGGGTCGTATCCACCATCTCCACCACTACTTGAGTAGCTATCCTGTGTGCTCTGGTGGAACTGAATGGGATGTTGATGTTTAGAATACTTTGTGGAGGAGATCTATGAAGAAATTGGCCTGTAGAATTCACTACTTCTCTTCAAAATTATCTTACTCCGAATTCTCCTAGCTCAAGATCATGTTTGAGAGGACGCTGGATACATTAATTCCAGAAACCTCTTCATGCTACCTGTCTATACACCTCTCGCATCGATACAAAGCTTCCAATCTCACAACCAACACATCTTCACTTTCATTCTAGTTGTGAAAAAGTCAAGATTCCCTAATCTACTTCCTATCCTACAAAATCTCTGAGCAGCACATGACAAACTCGTATATCAGACATCAACAAAATGAACGAACGAACAGAAAACACCTAATTATTGCTATATCACAAGCTCAGCAGCCTCCTTCAGAGGAGCTCCTCGTGGTAGACCTGCTGAAAATCCTTGATCGCCTGCCTCCCCTTTTTTGTCTCATAGTCGTAAAATCCAATTTTTCTGGGCTACAAACTCGACCATTGTCTCATGGTCGTGATATAAGTATACTTCCAGCCCGCATCCAAGCAGCTATCCAATCTCCTCATCATCATCATCATCGTCAACATCCTAAAAGTCATTATCATCGCTCCCTCCCCCCAGCTCCCCAAACTCCACCACCATATCCACCCACCCGCCACCCCCATACTGACACCTGCTCTCCCCGACCCTCGTAAACCCCGCCTTCTGATACCAGCCGACCAGCCGCTCGCGACACAGCAGCGCCACCCTCTTCGCGACGCCCGCGTCCTTCATCTTCTGCACCCACGACACCAGCAGCACGCGCGCGAGCCCCTTGTTCTGGAACTCCGGGTGCACGCAGAGAGAGTGCAGGCACACGGTTTCGCCGTCCTCGTGGTGGCCTTCGCCGGAGGGGGGGTTGAGGTGGCGGTTTGTGCGCCAGTCGGAAGGGTACGCCATCGAGGGGTCGGTGACGAGGGGGGAGGGGTGCTTGGTTGCGATGATGTGGGCGAGGAGGATGCGTTTGCGGTCTGAGGCGTTGGAGTCGGCGGAGGGGAAGGTCCGGGACCGGATGAGGTTGCCTAGGGGTGCTGGGGAGGTCCGGTACGCGGAGGTGAAGAGGCCGGTGCAGAGGGAGCCGGCGACGTGGAGGCGGTAGTCGAGCTGTGGGTGGTGTTAGTTGGGGGTGTCTTTGGAGGGGTTGTAGGGGGTTTGTGGGGTTGAACGTAGAGGGGATGTGAGGGAGTTGGAAGGGAGGTGTGGTCGTTTGAAGATAGTATCAATGAATGCGATGATGTGGCTGAAAAGGGGTTGTGATCGGTTCATTGCATTGAACCATTCAACTCTTGCATCATTGTATAGCTGGCTGTAGGGGAGTACAGTGTGTTGAGGAATGGTGAATTGAAAAGGCACGTGACGGCGTAGTCTAGACCGGAGAGGGTACAGAGTGGCAGCGAAACATCAATATGCAGCACAGAGATGGGCTGATCTTGATGCCCAAAAAAAAACCCAATTGTGACACAGGAATTTGAGAAAGATGCAAGATAACAGAAATCCATGCATCTTGCATAGTTGACATGACCAGGGAGTTGTAACGATATGAAACGAGACAAAGTGAGTGTAGTGAAATAGTCCAGAGACGGACTCACCTTTTCGCGAGTCGCGGCTTCGATCGGGTCGAATGCAGCATGCTCCAGCCAGTCGCAGTCGTCGAGATCATCCTGAGTAAGGAGCAGAGAATACGGATTCAGGTCCCTCATCCTCTTGAATCGATCCTCAATCAGCATGGTGGGGACTCGGTAGAGGGGCATTGGATCGTCTGCAGGTGGGCTGTTCGATTGCTCTTTGGCTTTGGAGAGGGGCGGCATAGCTTCGAGGGTAGCCTTGGCCGACTCCAGGTCCCGGGGCATCTCGGTTGTTCTGATGGATCGGACGGAGTAGACGGGCGGCTGTGGATTGCAATTGCAGGTTGCTCGGATAGATAGCTGGCTGGTATTACGTGTGGATGAGTGAAGCAGATGGGGCCGGCGGATTAATTGATGGGGAGGATTTGGAGCAGCAGTAGGCGATGAGGGGCGGCCTTCGTCACGATAATGTAAAGATGGTACAAGCTGCGTTGGTAGGATGGTAGGGTGAGTATAATTAGGGTACGGAGTATGTGAGGTCAAATGCTCGTCGGGACGGAGGGGTAGCAACGGGCGTGGTACGAGGTGAGAGGAGTAGGACAGACGTAAGTGGTGTAGTATTGTAAGGTCACGGGCAGTTACTGAATGGACAGAGGGCTAGATGGATGAATGGATGGTCAAACTCGTAGTTCGGACCGACGCAACGCGAGGCACGAGATGTGCAGAGCCAGTCGATGGTTCCCGGCGGAACGAATTGCACCAGGGAGAAGTCGCTCTGCAGGGAACTTCTAGCTCGGAAGTATGATGGCCTGACGTACAATAGTTACCGGTACTCGTATGGAGTACTGTGTAATTAGGTATTGCCCGAGACCAGGATATGAGAGTGGAGTTGTACGAGTACACATACGCCGATCGACTTGAACTGGTACTTATGGTGGAACTGTGCGGAGATTCGAGGACAAACTCAGAGAGGGAGAGTGGGGGAATCCGTTGGTACCTATCCATCACCCATTACCGTTTGAAGTACAGCGCACCAGCAGCTGTGATGTGCGAAGGGGATCCCCCAATAGGCACACTTCTTACAAAGCTACCAAACGTCGTGGGGTTGAGGTCTGGAAGCATAAGAACGATCATGTGATGGTAGATCTGTTTGGTTTGGCGGGGAAGGGGAATGGGAATGGGAAGGGTCCGCAGGAGACGTTGGTTTGTCGGATGTCCAGCCCAGCCTCCAAGGACTTTTCAGAACGTGTCCGGGCCAGACTGGACTGGACTGGAATGCAATGGATTGGGGGACCGGGGCCGGGATGCAGAAGAACAGAAACATTTACAGAGGGACGAATGATGAAGCTGCAGATCCATGAGGGATCAGGGGAACACTGCGTCCGAGGCCAACGGCACGAGGATCTGATCTGACAGATTTTTGACGGGCGCCAACGTCAATCATCATCGTAGTCATGTCGATCGGGGGCTCAGAGCCGGCGTTTGTCGTTGACGACGACATTATCGCACCATTAATATTGGATACCGGAGGATTTTCTCCTTCCACTGGTTCGTACTCGTAGCACATGCACTTGCACAGCTTGCACAGGTGGGGTGGGAGAAGGACAGTGCAGGCGGAACGGGGCGTTTAATAGGTCATGCTATAGAAACATCATGGTACGAAAAGTTGCGTCTCCCATAAAGACCTTGGAGGTGCATGCATCGCTGCATCGACTTTGCATCAGTTGAGTCGTAGGCAGCCACTGAGTAGGAAGCGCGAACGGACAATCGTGATGGGGAGCTGCAGGGCTCTCTGGCAAATGTCCACAATCTCAATGCGATGACCTGGCGATCGTGATCTCTGAGCAACCACACTGGCCCTGGGAACGTCGGAGGACTGGGATTGCAGTACCTGGTAGACAGACAGTATCCTGACTCCCTGGTACTTGTACATACTTGCAGACGAGCACAACCGGTCTTTACCTCCGATGCTTCAGCGATGTGAGGCGCAGACAGGGTGTATTCTGGTAGCAGAGATACACAGCATCTGCAGCGTTCATGTCGTGCCGTCAGGACATTGATAATGAGTGGCTGCAATGGTGGCTACAGGCGGGTACAAATCCTGGTGTTTGGAGCGGCAGGCGGTAGATGGTGGTAGTATGGTACTCCGTACACGTCCTTGTATGCCCAACGTCCAATGTCCATCTTCATGTCCATGCCCTTGTCCATGTAGATAGGCGGTGGAAGGTATGCAATGGGCGGTGGGTGGTCCTAGGGAGATCCTGAAGATGCGGTCTGGTTGGGTATCCATCGTGAGCAACGCAACGCAACACATCGGTAGGGAAGCGAGCGTCTCCGGGATTCCTTTGCCTGGACATACAAGTATTCGTACCTAGCTACATAGCTCCAGGAAGATTATCAGGTATCCTTAGATATTGGATATTGATAAATCACGATGAGAAGATGCCAACCAGCCTTATGAGCATCTACAAATACATCTGCAAGGAAAACAGCGAAACGGGCAATGCTCCGCTGCATCATGTGCGTGCTGCACACATATATTCCGTGCATTGCCTGCTTTAACAACAAATTCATTATCATAATTCCGTGCATGTATCACACGCATGTATTTGAAAGTTGAAATCAATGCATACATATCACAGGATTGATCCTCCTCTTCCTGGTTGTCTGACTGCACATCATGCAGAATGAAAGACAGCGGAGAAGTAGTAATAACATCGAAATATAGGCAATATGCTCGACTATTGCAGCTCTCACATTTGATCCTGGACAATGTCTTATTGGATTCTCCTCATATCTTAGTGATTTACTCTGTACTTTGGATATATAGATGGATCATCAATGGAACATTGAACACATTCGATAGTAAGCATAACGAGGGCGCATTGTGCCCCCTCCTCCCTCTACCCCCCCTCTTCTCCCCTCCTGATCCCCTGCCAGCTGCACGTCTGCAGGCGGTCTACACCGACTACGACCACCGTACTATCAAGCATCACCCAGCAGAAGGACAACACAGCCGGGGCATCACGAGCATTTGTCAATGGTTTCATCATCCTCCGTCCAAGCTTTCAGGCTACTCAAGGGCCTGGTATCGTGCATACAGCATATTGATACAGCATACGGCATACAGGAGCATACAGCATATTACTCCGTACAGCATAGAACGAAGATAGTTACGGCAAACAGGCAATACGATACACTAGAATAGGGCCGGTAAGGCACTCAATACCTTTTTTATTCGTTCTATCTCACACCATATCCTCGATTCCTCCCCTACGATGTATGTACGTACTAACGACGACTGCCTAACGGTGCTAACCCCCTCTTCTTACTCCTACGCCTATCATCTAATCTCATCATACCAGCACAACTTCATAACATAACATCCAGTCTAACACCCTACCTATTACAAGGCCCCAACCCAAACTTTTTGCATTCTATCATCCCCACCTCCATCTTCCCAGACAGACTATTTCTGCTCCTCGATCCCTACATACGTACGTACAAACTTACCAGAAATCCTCAAGCAGCTCTCTGCATATAACCAACTCTCCCATCCCTTCTCCTCTCCGGCTGTCTCGCCGCCTGGTGTTCCCCTCCATCGTCAACAAGTGCCCCGCCGCGTAACCCTTTCCTGCCAGTACTCCGTCACCGGCACACGAGCTCTTCTTGCTGCTGCTTGCTGTAGCTGCTACTGCTGCTGCTGTTCCGTCCCCGGTCCCCGTTCCCGTACCTTTTCTCCATTTCTGCTGCAACTGCTACTTCCACTTCCGAGTACTGCTACTGCTACTGCTACTGCTACTGCTACCTCTACCTGACACTTCCATTACTAGCTTCGTGCTTCACTAGCTATCCTACCGGACTACACTACCCAGCTCCCTACGTTCGGCCTCCCACCTCGCCACCCTCCTTCGCCGCGTCATGACTTCATCCGGCGCTCGCTGAATAATTCCCGGACAAAGCTTCCATCTTGTTCCAGCAAGGCACAGCACTCACCTCGCTCGTACCCGTACTCGTACCTTGGTAGAGCCACAGCTCTGTGGCGCCTCAGGTCAATACACCTAAGCGGACCCAGACGTAGTCGCAAACGCAGACGCAGACGTAGACGCAGACGCAGACGCAGACGCAGACAGAAGCAGACAGACGCATTCACAATCACATTCTACCAAATTCTACAAACACCTAGACTGTTTGGGACCTACCTACCTTGCACCTTTTTGATACCCCAAGCTACCTACCCACCTCGGCCACCAAGCTCCCCCCAAACATCCCACCGCGCTCCGTCCAGTGTAACTACCACATTCTCTTGCACCGTTTCAGACACGCCTGCATACAACGCAAGGAGCACCACCCACCGTCCACCATGTGAGTCTCTCATCCGAAACCGTCCCTGTGCAACTATCCAAACCAAACTGCTAACGGTTGCTCAAATAGGCCACGCGTCACGGTATCCATCAACGCGCCCAACGAGGCCCTAGATCAGGACCTTCTGACGCTCGACCTGCCACCGGGGCTCACCGTCAGGGACCTCAAGGGCTTCGTCGAGGCCGAAACGAGCTTCCCTGCCGATACACAGAACTTCTTCCTCAATGGCCGCCGTTTGGGACAGGAGGACAAGACACTGGAAGAGGTGGGAATCAAAGACGGGGAGATGTTGGCTGTACTTATCCGCCAGCGTGGGAACGGTGCGCAAGGGCTGAATCGAGGAGCTTCAGAAACACAAACGTCCCATCCGGCACCCGATGCCACCCAAGAGACTCGCCGTCGAGGTGTACCCGACCCTGAGCAGCTGCGACTGCATGTTCTTAACGACCCGGCCGCCCAGTCTCAATTGCAACAGCAGAGGCCTGAACTCTTCGCCGCAATCAATGATCCTGCCCGCTGGCGAGAAGCATATCAGATGTACCAACGCCAGGAGGAAGAAGCCGAACAAGATCGTCTCAATCAGATCCGTCTCCTCAACGAAGATCCCTTCAACATCGACGCTCAGAGGAAGATAGAGGATATCATCCGCCAGGACCGTGTCATTGAGAACTTGCAGCATGCTTATGAGCATAACCCTGAAGGTTGGTTTCATAATTTTTTCTTGTAACTTGAAATATGCTGATATGATTCTGTAGTATTCGCCCGCGTCCACATGCTCTACATCAACACTGAAGTCAATGGCCATGCGGTCAAGGCTTTTGTCGACTCTGGTGCACAGGCGACCATCATGTCTCCCAGCTGTGCCGAGAAGTGTGGTATTATGCGCCTGATCGACACTCGTTTTGCTGGTATTGCTCGTGGCGTTGGCACTGCCCAGATCCTCGGCCGAGTGCATCACGCAGAGATCAAGATTGGTGGCGCTGTGTTGCCGTGTGCTTTCACTGTCATGGAGGGCAAAGATGTCGACCTTCTCTTTGGTCTAGACATGTTGAAGCGTTACAAGGCAAAGATCGATCTAGAGAAGAACGCCCTGTGTTTCGAAGGCATCGAAGTACCATTCTTACCCGAGCACGAGATCCCCAAAAGTCTCGAAGCCGCAGAAGTCAACGAGCCCACCCTTCCTGGCCCCAACAACACAGAGATAGGCGCACAAACCGGTGCTGTGCGGCCTGCCGGATCATCTACTGCGCCCCCTCAGTCTAGCAGTGGCGGTCCCTCCTCATCCCAACAGCCACCACTACCACCACGCTCGCAAGCAGCACCGGCCCCGAGTCCAGCTCAGACAGCAAGTTTCCCCGAAGAGAGTATCGAGCAGCTCACGAACCTCGGCTTCTCCCGACAACAAGCCATCCAGGCACTCCAAGCCACGGGTGGTCACGTGGAATACGCCGCAGGCCTCCTATTAGAGAACAGCATGTAGTTTCTTCTTCTTCACGAATACCAACGAGGTTAGATGATCTTCCCGAACATCACCCCTAGTCACGACCTACTGCGAACAAGATACGGTAACGAACAACAAAAACGGCATATACATCTTTTAACGGGCTCACGGCTTCCTCCTCTTGCAATGATACTTTCACACCCACCTGCATAGACTCATGGCGAAATCTTTACATTTCTTTTCTTTTTCTCTGGCGGGTTGGGGCGGGGGAGGGAAACTACTGAAACTACTGCATGCATAATAGGGATCCTACTGATCTTTCTCACTTTTTCTCTGCAATGGCCACCATGGTTTTCTCCTCTTTTCTTCTTCTTCATGATGGTGTAGGAATTTCGCGAGGGAGAGGTGGTGAGGCATGATGTGTTTGCCCTCTAGGAAGTGAGACGAGTGGTTTGGGGGTAGGGAGGATAGATGGGCTGAGTCTGACTGGTTCTTACGAGCGTGAATGCTATACCTTTTCAAATACTTGTGCTTCCTCACAATGCTCAACTCTCCAAATCTGATTGCCAAGGGGGGTAGTCTTTTGGTGATGTCTTGACTGTATGTTCGATCTCGTCTGTCTGCGCAACAGAGTCATACACACACTTTTTGAATCGGGACAAACTGGGAATCAGAGGACAGGGCAGGGCATACAACGAAACCAAACATTTCAACCAAGAGTTCTGCCTAGGTAGGTAGGTAGGTAGATTGGTAGTCAGGGGGCGGACAAAGGGATGTCGTCGTAATTTCTACACACTTCCTCGCCTTCCCGAGTCCCCCGATGATGCGAATTGAGACAGCTGTATACGACTCACAAGTGTCTATGCGTGTCTGGGTATCGAAAATGTTTCATTTCACACCTCCCTCCCTCCCTTTGCTAAACACTATGCTGAACACTATGCTAAAGCTATGCTATGCTCATATGTCTCTGCACACGCTAGCTACCGTTACAACCGCGTTTGCTCCCTCTGCTTCCCTCCTTACTCGCAATCCCCGCGATCCCTTGAAACCTCGACAATCCCCCTCCCTTCTACCTGATCTTGTACAAGCACGGCTTAAGCACCTTCCCGTCGTTCTCGTCCGCAGCGCCCGCGTCATCATCCCCGGCGTCAGTAGTGATGGCGGAGAACTTCTTACCCTTGAGTCCCATCCTCAACCCCTGCCCCTGTTTGTTGTCAAACCGCTTGTTGTTCTGGTTCAAGCGTTCGTGATCGACGTTCTTGCCTTTAGACGGCGGGGCCGACTTGGTGAACTGCATCTTGACGAACATCTTGTTGGAAAGGTCGATAGCGTCGTTGGGGCGCTCGGGCAGCGCGTCGAGCACGAAGCCGCGGGACCGCAGCACCTCGACGAAGGCGGACACGTCGGTGCCTTCCCTGTTGTCGACGGCGCCGTCCACGCGGGACGCGAGCTCCGCTTCGTCGGACGAGTCTTGGATGCCTTCTTCGTCGGGCTTGACTTTCTCGCTGCCTTTGCCCTTCTTGGTGGGCTTTTTGGGTGGTTGGGTGGACTTGTGGAGGCTGCCGATGGAGTTGATGGGGATGGAGCGGGACTTAGAGGAGGAGACGCGGCCGAAGCGGGATTTTATCTCCGAGACCCAGAGTTCGCCGCGCCAGCGGAGGATGCGCCAGGCTTCGTCGATGAAGTCGAGCCAGTTGGTGCCCATGAGCGCGAGGCAGAAGATTGCGACGTCCACGCTGCCGTCCTGCAGGGGCAGCTTGGAGATGTCGGCGACGGTCACGAGGTCCTTGGTGGGGCCTGTCGGCTGCGAGAGGTCGAAGGAGTGGATGCTGAGGTTGAGGGTTCGGAGGGAGGGTTGGAGACGGTGCGAGAGGGAGGCTACGCCGCAGCCTAGGTCGGCGATCGTGCAGTGGCCCTTGAAGTTGCGGGGTAAGGGTTTGCTGGCGAGGGACTCGAATTGAGGTTTTCCGCCTCCTGGGCCGCTCTGGCGTCCGCCTTTGCGGTTATCGGGGCGCAGTTTGGCGCGGCTGGAGATCGCGGCGACGTAGTTGTCGACGGGGTTCTCAGGCCACACTTCGACCTGCTGGGCGAAGCCGCGGTGGTAGTCTTCGAACATTTCGGGACTGGAGGTGAAGATCGAGAGGGACTCGGCGGAGGGCTTGGTGTAGAGGGATTCGTTGAGGTGGCGGAAGCGCGCGCTGGTGAGCTTTGCGCGCATGGAGCGCTGGAGGGGCGTGAGGCCTTTGGGCTCGGGGAAGAGGGATGATGAGGTCGCGGGTATGATTTCGGTCGATTGGGAGGGTTTGGATGTAGATTCCGTGGTCGACGATTTGTCTTCTTTCTTCTGTTTCTTTTTATCGCGTTTGGAAGATTTGCTTGTTGTGTCTTCAATTGTAGCCTCGGCGTCATCCTGAGCTTCTTTCGTCTTGTCCCCCTTCCTCTTCCTCTTCTTTGCCTTCTTATCCGTGGCATCCTCGTCGACATCTTTCTTCGATTCTTGCTCCTCCGCAGGAACAGTAGCGTCCTTGGGCTTCTCGTCTTTGCCCTCGACGATTTTCTCCCAGTAATCGCCTACATTCTGCTGGTCGACCTGCTCTTGTTCTTGGTTCTGCTGGTTCCTCTTTCTCTTTTTGCTCTTCCTGCCCTCGGGGGGATCTTTGGGCTTGACCTTTTCGACCTGCACCGCAAGAGGTGCGGAGACGTTCCAGCCCGGAACTGCGAACATCTTATTGTTGTTGAGCGAGTTGTTGGATGGTGATGTTTCGCTGGTCCTTTGATGCTCCGTGAATATGAAAAACTAGCACACGACTGCTTGAGTTCGACAGAAAGTTCTCCCAGATCAATTGAGATACTCGCTGGTACTGACAGATAACTTTTCTTCATGCACGGGTCTACAATTATTTTTTGTCGGAGAAACTATTCACCGAGCCCGGCAGTATCGATAGAGGTAGCTCACTTTCGACATGTCCCATATCGCCTGGGATTCATCCATTATCCCTCCCTGCCAGCAATCAACCTTCCCGTCACGCTTAGCTGCTTCATCATACGAGTAGCCTACAGCAGCAGTGTATCGGCAGTTTACTCTAGCGTCCGGATGGGGTGGTTGTAGCCGTGATGGACGCTTCAATGTTGAATGATGAGGGACGATTGGATTGAGATGGCGGCAGCGCGGCTGGACGGGAGACATCCGAAATAGTGCTAACCAGGATTCATGTCCCTCGAGTCGCCCGTTTGACAGCGGGAACCACTTTTCTTGCTCCCTCGACAAACGAGCTACGAGGTACGGAGTACTTTGACATAGACCTGACCTGCATAGATGTATGTGAGCTCATCAGCAGCACATTGCGTGGAATGTATCTGTACAGCATGGCGACTTCTGCCAACTCTACGTTCTCCAACACTTTGCTTAACCGAATTGCGAACCCGAGCCACCACTACGAGTACAAAGAGCGGTTCGCCCCAACAGCAGCGCGCAAGCCACACCCACGCCAGGGCAGGCCTCGAGGCATGCAGTTTTCCGCTTCACAAACGCATGAAGCGCAAATGAGATGCTTCTATGGCGGACCAGGGTCCTTGGATTCGCTGGATCCTCTCCACTTCCACTTTCCCCTCCATGCATGACCCTCTCATTGCGCCAATAGCTCCATTCCATAAGCAGAATGATAGACGTCCTTAAGTCGTACTTCTGAACCGTGATCGGGCACCGGTTCCGTCTCCGCGACAGTATTGTTTTGCTATCTTTTCGACTATATACTCCTCCCACGCTGCCTCCTTTCTGTTGACTTTTCTTCTCCTCTTATCTTGCCATCAACTACCATTGAATTTCCAATTCTACTTTCCTGGTTGTTGGTATCACAACAACTTATACCATTGTTTTGCACAGTCTTGTATCGGACGCCTCTTCACACACACACCGAATTCACATACCCTGAGTTTGACCAACGCCTCATTGCTGTCCTCTCGGGTCAATTCGCTCCGCAGTCAACCGTCAACATGCCGAAGGAAGAAATCGTCTTTGTACAGCTCGTCTCCCGCAAAGAAGGCCTCACACTACAGGAATTCAAGCGTCACCAAGAAGAAATCTTCGTCCCACTCGTGAAGAGAGTCTGCGGTGACCTCTTTCCCGTATCATGGACACGTCGCTACCTTGCCGAAAGCGAACACGAGGCACAGCGCAAACCGGGAGCTTTAGGACTACCACGCCTGCTCGTTGGCCGCAAGGAGGACGTCGGTTGGGACTGCCTCGGGGAGATGAGATTCTCCGATGAATTGCACTTCCAACAGTTCTTCGCCCTGGTCAACGAGAAAGGCCCTGCGGAGGCCCTGCTCGATGAGGAGAGCAGGTTTTCCGATGTCACCAAATTGAAGTTCATTGTTATGGAATCCACGACAGACCACAGCGAGTATCGATCATCCTGATCTTTTCCTGAAAGAGACTGGACTTTCTTTAATATATATGAGGAGGGACCAACCTGACTCGAACATCTACGCCAACAATCTATTCTCTTTTCGCCTAGGCTGGGTTTGGACACTTGCACATGTTACGACTATTCCGAAAATCATAGTTCTAGACGCTACGGCTTGCACAGGGGCGGGAATTGTTACTTGCACAGGCTCGGAGTTGGAATTCACGGGGTGGGATTCTGGAATTTTCGGGTGTCATTCCTCACTGTTCATTCGAGGCGGATCGCAATAGCTAGTGTTCTGCGTATGGACCGGCCCGAATCCGTCAGCACGAGCCGATCAAATCATTCGATCCTTCAAAGACGTTTTCGTTCGGCGTTGCGTGGGGGCCTTGTTCGAACTGCTGGGGAAAAAAGGGGGGTGGGTGGGAGGAAACCTTGCATCATTGTTAGCTGCGCAGTCGTTATTTCAGATACCCTTCATAGTCCCAAGATACACATTAGTTACTTTCACGTTCTTGAGCATGGCAAAAGTCACGACCAATTCCTTTTCGCGAGTCAATAACCAATGCATGTGAATTGGTCCCAAAGCCTCACTTGCAGCTGTCCTAATGATTAGTAGTAGTCCAACTGATGTCGTTTCCCGTAATCAGACGAGTATCATTCTAGACGTCGGGATCCCTGATCCTGACAGTCGCTAGGCGCGGCTTTGTCCGCCCGAACATAGAGCACATCGTTTCCCCATCCGACGTCCCCATCCGAACGCTACACAGCCTTGCTCTAGTCGTCTAGTTGCAAAACTGTAGGATTAGAGCGCGTCTACAACAATGTTACATACCTTTCCAAAGCGTCAGTCATTGGTTTGATAGGCATTTCTATCGGCTAGATCTACTGAAGCAACACTGCAGGGCCCTAGCCGCCTCTACATATTGATAAGATAGTGAGGCGTTGGGCATTGAAGGCGGTATTACTCATATCCAATGGAAACCTCCGGCCTAGTTCTTTGGTTGATACTAAAGTATAGGGTTACCTGCAGATATCATGACTGGGTAACCTGGTATATCGAATGTTTCATGATTCATGTACTGTGATCTCTTGCAGCGTGAAGAGCCTAGTAGATATATTCATCGTAAGCCACTCCATGGCTAGCAGAACGCCATTGGGTATTGTCCATATAAAAACCATCCTGGAAAGTTCATGTCGACTACTGCAGTCTTTCATCCATCATTCTTCCTCTTCCTCTTTCCTCCTCCGCCTCCTCCTCCTCTTCATCGTCTTCTTCTTCCCGCTCCTCCTGCTTCTGCTCTTCTTCCCGCTCCTCCTGCTTCTGCTCTTCTTCCCGCTCCTCCTGCTTCTGCTCTTCTTCCCGCTCCTCCTGCTTCTGCTCTTCTTCGTGCTCCTCCTGCTTCTGCTCTTCTTCGTGCTCCTCCTGCTTCTGCTCCTCTTCAGGGCCTTCTATACCGGCCACTGCCCACCTAGAGCCCTTCCATCACTTCCTCCTCCCCCACCTGAACCTGTCGAGGCCCAGTTGTTCCCCGGGCCTCGATGCCCGCAATGTAGTGGGGCCTATCGAGCCTGGACTGTTCACCCAAACACATCAGCTCACTGCCCAGCAACCATCCATCAATTCGATATACTGAATAACGAAATACTCACCATAGCCCGGAACTCGAGCCAGGGCATCACGAGCCGCTCGTAGTCGGTGGGCAACCACACCGGAACGAGCCAGATGCTCCCGTCAGCTTGGGTCTGCACGACGTACTTGACCCAGCCCCGCAACCAGTAGAGGTGTATCGCCGCTGGAGTAAGCCCGCCGTCGCGCTGACGGTCCCTTTCGATGGCGTCTGGTGGTAGGTAACGCATTAGAAGGTGGTTTGTTTACTTTGGAGTGGAGTCGTGAGGTAGAGTGGCGTAGACAGGCGAGAGGGATACGCTGCTTGGTAGGTAGGCCGGGATGGAGAGGACTTACTCTCGCGAATGAAGTGCTGCCAGAAACGGTCGTAGAGCTTCTGCTTTTCGAGCTCCATGAACTCTGCGAAGCGGAGGGGAGCGGCTTGGAGTGGTGTGAAGGCCATGATGGAGATAGTGATGGTGGTAGTGGTAGTAGTAGTAGTGGAAGTGATGCTGATGATGATGATGACTACTGGGATGTAGTGAGGGTGCTATTCTGATGAAAAGGCGCTGTGGTGAGGTAATTGTGCCGTGGTTATTCAGAAAAGAAGGTAGGTCTGGTGAGTGTAGTGTTGATGTTTTTTGATTGTGGGCTCCAGAAGGGAGGCGCTGCCTTCACCATGCTTCAACCTCCTTTACCTTGGGGTATTGCGCCATCGAGCACAGTTTGCAGCCTACACTAGGAGTAGGTACGTAAGTACAGAATATGATTTCAAGAATCTACCGTGGTAAGTACAATATGCATTCACATCACAAGCAGGAAATTATAGGGTAATCTTTTGAGAATATACCGTGGTGAGCAGAATCCTCTCTCATCAGTGCTCCGTGCTCGAATTTTGCAAGCCTGGGCTACAACACAGGGTCAGCTGTGAATATTTTGATCATATTTTCAAAAACTGTCTGTCTTGGTCAATTCATTCATTAGCCAAGGTTGTAGACAGGTTTTCAGATAGAGTATCAAGTAGTGATACAAGGTAAAGTATGCAGTGTCTCACGGAAGTCCTTTACATCTGGGGTACTACAGCATTGATATGTCTCTGTGTAATCTCTTTTTAGAAGTACAGGACAGAGTCTAGGCGCAAAGGTCAGTTCAGGTATATATCCTGACTTTATAGGGATACTCTTGAAGAAGTCATGATTAAACTGAGTTGTCCTGAAGAAGACTACGCTCAGCAGCAAGCACGTGTCAAAACTATCTTGCTATATCCTTTCCAGCATAAGCACAGAGTAGCCTATCTTCTTATTAAGATTTACATCATTGTTACAGAATTAGAAGGTCTATCTTTGATAATAAAGGTAGCGTGGTTAATCCAAGGCAGAACCAAGCATTTTCCTTGTCGTTCTTAGGTGGGCATCATTGCATGGCGCTATCGAAACTGTTAATATCCTATATTATAGACAACAAGCGAACCAAAGTCTCCTAATCGATACTACCAGACTCTATTCTCTTAAGTCTCTCTTTCCCTAAGTCTCGAATAGTTACTAGTATCTGTATCTAGTGTACAACGTGGTATGTTCTCGACCGTCGTTGCACAATCATCCAAGCGGCTTCAGAACTGCCAGGCACCCTAGCTAGAATGAGTAGAGCCTATGTCTCTTCCCCGGGTTTCTATTGACTGCTTAAGATTAGTACGAGGGGCTTGCTAGGGAACCTGCACTCTGCACGGCTGTTAAATTGCGGGGACTGCAGGAGTGGCGTGTAGGGCTAAGTTCGAGGAAAGGAGGATAGGCAAATTTTTCACCGTTCTAGCCAGTGGCTAGTTTAGTTGCTATATGTTGCCGAGTTTATAAGAGGTACTACTGTTCAAGTCTCTCCTTGGGTTGTGACAAGCTTTGCCTCTCATTGAAACTTGATAAATGTGCATGTTGCAAAACTCGATTTACAGAGCACTGAATTTACCATTACTTTATCACGCGTACGAGTTTGTCACGGAATCTTGGGATGCTACCCGAAACCCAAGCGGATACAAGCCTCCGGCTATATTGCATCCCTGTGCACTTCATCTACGACGATCCATGACCACGACCTCGACCACCGGACCGACCATGATCCCGCTGCAAGAAAGTCTTTTGTGCACATCTTGATTCGCTGGGGTCTTAAATTCAATCTCTTAATAGACACGCGGAGACCTAGATGTGGTAACTCCAGATTCCGGGGCCCCGGAGGCTGACGATAAAGTCGGCTACACGACCGAACCGTGCATGATCAGGTATTGACTGACTTCATGTCACTCAGATGGCGTCGTAAGTGTGTGTGTTAATTTGAGAGGGTCATGAGTCCTGGTTTCCTGGTGTGGCAAGCCCCCACGATGCACACCTATGTCAGGGGGCGCTCTCACTGGTATATATTCTGTTATTCCGTCACCTCTTCTCTGTGTACTTGACTGCACTCTGCTGGCTTTGTATCTACTTTGTTCAAAGATGCAGTTCTCTACTCTCCTCTACGTAGCTACATCTCTCCTTGCTACAGCAAGTGCACATGGTGGTATTGGAAAGTACACAATAGGAACTGATGTCTATCAAGGGTTTGTAATAACCCATCTTCAACGTCAACATACACTGACTTGACTCTCAGATGGCAGCCCTATCAAAGTGCTTCGGGTCAAAAGTCTATCCAGAGACAGTACGGCTCCTTTGATCCCCTGATGATCCCTGATCTTCAGAAGGTGAACATCCGATGCAACAACGCAGGTGCCCTTGGAACCGGTCTTTCAGCTTCTGTTGCCGCTGGAAGCACAATCAAATCAACATGGACCCAGTGGACTCACAGGCCAGCCGCAATCATGGTCTACATGGCCAAATGCCCAAGCTCAGGCTGCAACGGCTGGGACGGAGCCGGCACTGTTTGGGTTTGTTCTGCCCTCTCCTCGTCCCCCAGACACAATCACTGACGACTTTCGAACCTGTAGTTTAAGATTGCACATGCTGGTCTCATCTCAGGTACTCAGCAAGCTGGCATCTGGATCGGCGACCAAATCGTCGACACGCTCTCCTGGGACGTGAAGATCCCAGCAACACTGGCACCTGGAGAGTACCTCATCCGCCATGACCTGCTTGCACTTCACCAAAAGGACAACCCGCAATGTAAAAACTCCTTCCATTATAACGCCTTGTGACCGCCCACACTAACCCCAACCCCCCAGTCTACCCCGAATGCGCCCAACTCATCGTAACCGGCAGCGGCACCAGCGTCCCGCCCTCCTCCCTCCTCCTCGCCTTCCCAGGCGCCTACAAAGCCACCGACCCAGGCATCGCCTTCAACATCGACGGCGACGCCGCCAAAACCGCCACTTCCTATCCGATCCCCGGCGGCCCAGTCTGGGACGGCACCGGCAATGCGCCCGCGCCAGAGCCGCAGCCAGAACCAGTTCCCACCACCCTCGCGACGGTGCCAGCGCCCCCCAAGCCCACGACGCCTAGTTGTTCTCCGGTTGCCAGGTATGGGCAGTGCGGTGGGAAGACGTACAGCGGGTGTACGGTTTGCGAGGCCGGCAGCACGTGCAAGGCTAATGGTGACTACTATTCTCAGTGCGTGTAGATAGAGTGGAGGAGCGTAGGATAGTGTAGATTAGACAAATGAAGGATTGGAGAACTGATTGACGACGAACCTTATTCGCGAATTGTCGGCATGATGTCGACACCACGTCTCCTCCACCGGTTTCTCCTCACTTTCTGGGCGTACCTGTAGTTCATTCGACGTCAGTGATTGAAGTTCCCATTCGGATTCTGAAGGCAAGGTGATACTCACGTCAACTGTCCCTCGCCGCTGTCGGAAATGTAGAAGTAGATCCTCACTAGGAGGCCGAGGATCACAGGCAACAACAAGACGTTCATTTTTATGATGAAATTGATTTGATGGCTTTGTGAAGGATTTGATTGCTTTGGAGGGTTTGCTTTGCTGTTGTTGTTGTGATGTTGAGGTTGGTTTCGAAAACGCTGCGTCGGCGGCCACAACGCGCAAACTTTCGCGCACTTTCACCTTCACCACACTCACTCTGGGGAGACATAGTGCAGACCTGATGTTAGAGACATCCTATGTCGTCTGAGGCTGTAGGATTGGGGGGAAATATGACTATCGTCCATAGATAGTTTGTGAAGTCCTTCAAAGTAGAGTGGCCGTAGGTTGAACTTCCTTGCCTAATCTTCTGTGTAATACAATTGCTTAGATGCTCAGTTACTAAACATACTACACCTTGTGTCTATTTAAACTATCTAAACTGTAGATATATCTTGTACGTACATAGGGTGCGGTGCTGGACCTAGTGGTGCTGGACCCCAGTGGTACTGGTGGACGCAACAACAACAAGAAGAAGGCCGTCGCTAAGAAGAACAAGAAAAAGAACAAGAAGGAGGCCGCGAAGGAGACGGACGAGGAGGACTGGGATACTTGGGAGAGATATCTGGCCAGGCTTGAGAGGGGTGAGAGGGTTGCGTAAGGAACAGCATGGCATCTAATGCCGCTGCTGTCTGGTCACACATATTATCCTACCTCGACCTCCTCTTGTTGCAACTTCGCAACATCATCTTTCACAATTATCCGTAGTAGACTAACACTGTCTCTCTGCATCTTGCAATACACTCTCTTCATTATAGGTTGAGAAATCAATTTATATCTTAAGAAATACAACAAGTTACAAGGTCTCCTCTTAGTATCTCTAGAGACATTGCAATAGAGGAGAACCTGAATCGAAGCAAAAGATAAAACGCAAGTGCATATTTCGTCATGAGAGACACTCATAGGCATCCTAACACCTCTGAATCTCTTATACAAGAAAACAAGTACCAATACTTACATCAAACAGATCCAAGAGTTATCCTCTTGATGCCAAGTTACATCAAGCTATCTACACTTGGAAAGGAAAGTTGTACAACTTATCCTTTGACTCAACAATGAATTCCAAAAACAAGAACATTTTGATACAGTCTACAAACTATAGTTTTCAATCATGCCATATATCCAACTCAGGCATATAGAAAACTAAGCTGTACCCTCTGTATCTCCAACAAACACCTCGTACAACCTTTCAATTCCAGGTTTCCCTCCTTACATTACGTCACGTCACCTACTAAATCAACCTCAAGTCTACCTACCTAACCACGTCCATACAAATCACAGCCAACTACAAACACAAAACCCTATTTCAACAACCTACACATATCCCTCTTTACACATGATCAACCAGTGTATCCTTAGTCAGCAGCAGCAGCAGTGGTGGTGCAAGGACACGCAAAGGGTCCTTGCCTACGTAACTACACAAAAACCGGTGAGGACGAATTGGGCCAGAGGAGGATTCTGAGTCGTCGTCCGCCCCCCGCCCCCCACCAAAACCGGTGGAGGACGCTTTTTTCGTCGCCGACCTCGTTGCTGCTGCTGTTTTGTCCGCCGCGCACGCTTCTACCTAGTGGGAAAGTGGTGCGGTTGCGTGGTGAATGTGAGTCACAACAGGGCAGCAACAGTGGAGTTGTGAAGAGGGGATTCTGATGGTTTGAGGTGTGGAGACTTTCAAAAGGGTTGTTTTTTCTCTGAATTTTGCTTTGAAATTCGAGGAAGGTTTGTTCTACAGGTATTTACCAGGTTCTTAGTGCCCTTTTCTTTCTCGTGCTTGCAATTTCCTTGATGTCGGGCATAGAATTTCTCCCCTAAAGAAACGGGAAAGCGCTGATTATAGTACTTGGGAAACTCCAATTTGGTAAAGGAAAATGATGCCCGTTATGATGTGTACTCCCCTTGATTTATTACGATAACCCGTGAAACCCGTGAACCTACGAAAGAGATGATGGATTGGGGAAAGGGGAAAAAGAGACGAGGGAAGAGTTCCTTTCCTTGCTGAGAGATAGACATACGCTCCGTAAATGATTAGTAGATAACGCACATGCCAGCGCGATTCCTGAGGGAGATTGGGTATAAGTGTGAGGGGGATGATGACAACCAAAAGACAAAACCTCGAACCAGAGCGACTTCGTCACGTGAAAGGTTTTGTTTCACGTAGGTTACCATGTTCAGCCTTGCAGAGGAAGATCATGAAACGCCGAAGAAGCTGGGAGGTGGAAAACCGCAAAATGAAGCAAATACCGTAAAACTCCGAGACCGCCCTATGCCCGATTTTAGATGTGAACAGTGGAGAAGGCGTTAGCCTTGGAGGACGCAATCGCCTCAGATAGGTCAACGGTGATGATTGCGCATATGGCGCAGGAGATTGTCACGACGAGAGAAACCGTCTACATTTATGCATCCAGGTACGGTACAGTAGAAAATCGTCCGTCTGGATAATTGTGGATTGTGGGTTTGCTGATGACGCTTGCAGTCTTTCGGGTACAAGAATCGTAATTCGCACAGCTCACATTTGTGAGGGCGCTGATTACGTTCAAGATGTGATTTATAGTGACGACTTTGTAGTCTTAGCAAAGAAAAATCATGGCAAGAAGAGTTAAAGAACAAGGACATACTTAAGATCGCATGAGCGATCGAAAGCCCTCGTGCACTTCTTGACTGTGCAATGAAATCCGCCTGGGATGGGTGGCTGTCGGCGAATGGGGGGCTGCTGCGGCTTGACTGCTGCGGGCTCGACTTCTGGGACCATTGTGCGATAACCAGGTGTGTAGATATCCTCGAGGTAATTCTCGACTGTTTCTCGGGTCACAGTTGTAGCATCCAGGTTGAGAATATCTACATTCAAGCCGTCCAGTGACGGGCTAGTGACGGGGATGGTATGATTTGGCGCTGGAGGACGCTCCTCGGGAAAGTCGACGAAAAGGTCATCGAACACAGGTGGTTGCAGCGGACCCTGTGGCAATTCTGGAGGGGTCATATAAGTAGGAGCTTCGAAGGGAGTGCCAGTAAACTGCAAGAATTAGCATTCAGACAGCACGGTTGTGAAAGGGAAAGACTTACTGGTGAGTAGTGACTGCAGAATCCCACAATAGCACCGCAAAGATTACAACGCAGAAGACCATCCGGGTCAGAGTAGAGAGAGTCCATGGATTCTGTAGGCAGAATATGATTCAGACGTTGAATCATTACTTGTGCTGGCGTGGATAGTAGGGCAGGAGGAAGTGCATACTCAGATTTGTAGTTGGAAATATGTCTGCCTGAGGACGGGTGCGGGGAGTGTGATAGGGTAGAGGAGCAGGGTAAGTAACGAAAGATTACCTGGGGTAGATAGACAGAATAGCGATGACAGTGTAGTCAGCATAAGATGGAACTAATGTTCATGTAGTAATGTGAGTCAAGTAAGTAAATGTTAGAAGATGGAGAACGTAGGGACGGTTTCGCGCGAGGGCTCGATTGAGGAAGAAAGGCAACTTGCAGGGTCGCGTTCGGCGTGATTGAGTAGGTGTGGAGGCCGCACGCATGGCCGGCAGCCGGGAGAGAGAGAGAGAGAGAGAGAGAGAGAGAAAGAGAGAGAGAGGAGCCTAAGGACGTGGGAGGGGATTGGAGGGGCGACTGAGGGAGAGAGGAGAGTGCTGTGGGTGGCTGAGCCCAAAGCCTCCCCAACCTGTGTGCTGTGCATGTCTGTTGGTATAGTAACTCTGTTGTTGCGGTCTGTTAGTGAATGGATGGAGAGTTAGCGGTTGATGTAGATGAACAGCTCTGGCTGGACAAGGCAGATATGATGATGAAGAAGAGAAAGAAGAAGAAGATGAAGAAGAGGAATGAGGGAGAAGAAGAAAGAATGGAGTGACAGCCGATCAAAAGAAGTTGCATTATTCTTCTTAAGGGGGCGGCGCCGGGCAATCCTCGACTGAGCCAGCCAATCCAGATGAAGCTTGCGATACGAGTGAGATGAGGGGAAATTGCGGATGCGTGATAGCCCGTGATCCGGTGGGATGTAGGATTCACAGAAGAGAATTGAACGATGTGAAAGTTATACAAAGTATGCTGTTTGGAGTTTTGTTTATATATAAACAACCTGAATCGATCTAAACATACCGTCTAGTCCTTTGTTTCTCTGGTACGCTCTCACGTGCAAGCGTTGTGGTTTCGTGATGGTGGCGTGAAGTAAGGATCGGTTATGACGATGAGATGCCCTTCCCCACTCTTCAGGCGTGAAACGATCCACGGTTGATCACCTCCGCTAAGATCGGTTCCCTCAGCCTTACCACGGCCATGGTAACTAAACCCTATTCTTAAAGCTACCTGATGACGGACTGCGGGGTCGTATCTTTTATTTTACTCATGCGAGTAAGAAGACAATCTGTCTCAGGGGTAATGAGCAGTTTCATGCTTGACTACTCCATACTGGGCATATGCAACTACCACGAGTAAGGCCGAGAGCGTACAAGATGACCGACTCGGGCCTGGTACTACAGAGCTGACCTTGAAAGAAACATCTGTGGCAAAACAACAATCGTATTCTCGTGGCTCACCACTATAGCGAAAGAACTGCACCTGTCGGTATCTATCATCAAAAAGAAAGCATAGGATATCTCATGCAACCGGACAAGACTCCACGCTCTATAAAACCCGGCCAAAGCCAACGAAAATGACATCCTCCTCCTTGTACTTCAACCTAGACATAGCTGCTAGGGCCCTTGTAAACGAAGATATGGAACGCGCTCTGGCTCAATCGCACAGAGCACACTCCATCGCGCACCAGCACGAAGTAGTGCTGTCAAAGCCCAGATGCTATTAGTGCCCACTACAGTATGAAGCCAGTATCCTATAGGTTCCTCCCATCGACCTGTCTCCTCTGCAGCAACTGAACATCGACGTCGTGGAACATTCGAACCTATATCCACAAGATTAGCAATCCGCAAGAATGGGGGCAAATGCATAGTATATGAGAACACTCACATTCAACGCCTTGACCCCCTCATAGAAACCCGGCTCAATACTCTCCGCCATCAGACTACTCCCACAGCGACTGCAGAAATAATGCTGAACCCTCTGCTTCCCGAATCGATATTTCTGTTTCCCCCATAATCAGCACTCCCTTCACGTAGGCGCAATCCCCTCCACTCACCTCAACCATATCACTCTCCAGCCCGACGCCCTCGAACTCAATGCACTCGTTCTGCACATAGACGTTCAGGTAGCCGTTCCGCGCGCAGATCGAACAGTTGCACTCGACGACCCAGCTGTCGAGGTCGTCGAGGGGCGGTGAGAGGGTCACCGTGTAGGTTATGAGTTGGCAGTGGCAGGAGGCTCGGTACTGTTTTTTTCCACCACGAGGGGGTGGTTTTGTTAGCCGATGTACGCTGTAGAAGTAACGTATACAATTGAGAATCCTTGGGAAGGGGTGTTTGTGATGTAGGAGATGGTATGGGAGGTCAGTTAGAGAGTCCAAGAATAGTCCAAGTTAAGATCCAGTAGTCTTGAAGCCCAGAAAAAACCCCCAGTTCCAGAATGGTCGTGATCGACACTCCTTGCATCTCACAAAATGAATGCCATAACATTAAAGGGCGCCATGTGTCATCCACAACCCCCATTGGAGTTTCCCCCTCATTGTTCTCCTCGCGATCGGATCGACGGGCCTGGTGTTTGGTCTGGGTTTCCTCTCCACACTTTCGCGCATGTGATCGTCTCCAGGGTCCAAAAGGTAGCTCCGTCCAATAGTCTCTAACCATGATGGCTTGATGAGGGGACAATGCAACTTTTCCTCCCAATAATGGCGTCGTCGATGGAATGCCACTTGTCTTGGTAATAATAGTGTTTGTCGTCGTTGTCGTTGGCGTTGGTGCATGATTGGTTCGAGTCTTGATGACTTGGCGATTTGGGCGCCCCCCCGTAGCGCGGTATGCTCCTTATCTGTTTGGTCCGGCAGATGCGATCCGATCTAGTAGACCTTTTTCGAGGGGTTTAAGGCTGACGATTTGGGACTTTTGGGCTTTGGTAATGGTCGGTAATGAGCCCGTCGAAGATTCGGTTTGGGTGAGGGGTAAGAATCCTTCCGAGGGGGGGAAATTAAAAGAAAAATTCCCAGGATGATCACCAGGGATGGGGTAGATCGTGTGTGGACGAGATATGGAGAACATGGTATCCCCTGGAAATAGGAAAAAAGAAAGGAGATCACTGATAGTGTCGACGAGGAAAAGAAGAAAGGAAATGAGTGGTAGATGGAAGTTTCAAAGTAAAGATTGGAAAGGAGATCTTGGACAAACCTTTTGAGACGGGGCGTTGTTGGACATTGTGTGCACGGTTGGATATCTTGCTTCTGCGTTCCTTCTATTGCCCAGGTTGATGGCGATGGAGAAGGGGTGCAGCGGGAGGAAATATATGGGATACGTTTTTGCGGTTTTTGGGCGTAGAGGACGCTCTCGAGTTTCGAGACGTCTTCTACGAGTAACAAATGGACAAAAAAGATATCTGGTCTTTTGAAGTCTAAGTGATTTGTAGTTGAGGGCCGCAAGAATCGCTTGATCTGGTGCTCTCTGCGAACTTGCTGGGGAGGCTTGAAACTAAGACGCGGGACACGACCAACTTTGTGGGACTGTGGCTTGAAGAGCTTTTTGATTTCGACGAATTGCTGGACAAATTGATTGTTCGGGTTTTAAGAGAAAGGATGGGCTAGTATTTTTCTACTCTGTTCGACTTGTTTCCCGGCTGATTGGTCTTCTGGTGTCATACTTATACCTTTGATCTTTTTCCGTGCTTGCTTGCAATTGCTTCACGTGTCTACCCTAGTAGCCCTGCGAATGAAAGTGGATAGTAGTCTGATCTGATCTGCTGCCCCATCCTGTTTTCCTGCACTTGGCCCGTCGACCATTTGCTGTGCTATTTTCATCCCAGAGCGGAGCGCCTCTTTCAGACCCTGATGTTTAGACCTCAACGGTTCGCATCCCCCGCGCGCTGCTGTCAAATGTGGACAGCGGGACACAACAGCTTAGCTTCCCCCATCATCGCAACCCGATTACATCTCCGCGGATCGTTTCCACCTTTTCGATTCAGCTGAGCTCGGCTCCATGGTTTGTTTCTCATTCCCGTCCAGTTGGGTCTGGGTTAGGTGATAGTGATAGGCGATAGCACGCGATATCGTGTGTCACGGAAGGAATGTTCCTTTGGGGGCGCGTTTGGGCATGGATGTATCCCTCGTATCCGCTGGCGCGATGTCAGCTGTGTGGCGTCGTGTGGCCTCTTAGGATTGGGGCATCTGGCGATGTGTCTGGCATAACGGCCGGGGGATTGTCACAATACCGGTAAAGCACAGAATGCGATCGGGTGCTTGAGACTCTATAGGACCAGGAAAATGACGATATTGCTTCTCTGTCGGTGTGCACGATGCTATGACTCCACTGGGCAGTCGGATGTTTGCTGATGCAGTTCCCAAAAAGATGTGTTTTTCAACGCTCTGCTCGCTTTTCATACTGCTTTGGTCATTCTGGATGGAAAGTTACCCATGTCAGATAGTTACACAGGGCCTCGATCGCGGTACATGTCTTCATCGGATGCTGTGACGGATCCTGTCATCCTGCTCGGTTTGCGGCTCATGTATGCGACCAGCCTGCTGGTGCAGTGATCGCTGGTAAGAATCGATGCTTCGGAGAAATTTGGGCGAATGGGATGAGGTCGAACCGGGGCGTCTTTGGACCGACGATCTGGTTTAAATTAAGGCGTCGAATTATTTCGGGTATCTCGCAAGCATGCCTTCAGCCATAGAACAAAAAGGTCGCATTCATTGGGGGCGCAAATGCAGAGCCGATGGGTTAACCGAAAGCCACAGATCTATTCTCTACCTCTTGCAGTGACATCGATGTTGGTGTAGCAGTCATGTGTGGTGTTGAGGTGTACAAGTCTACCACAGCAGGAGAGTTAGTTCGTTTCAACCAGAGACAGCGTCTTCTAAAATATGTATCGATAAAGATAGACAGAGGTTGTGTTCGCCTTCAGGTGCTGCGGGTCCATCAGAAGGTTGTGCAGTTCGCGTGGCTACGATAGAATGCAATCAGCGTCTTTCAACGTTTGTCAATAGCATATCGAACAAGCGGGGAATACGATTATCACCGGTGATGGGAATCTGGAAACATGTCGGTTGCCGATAAAGATCATTTACGATGCAATACAAAACGAGAGAAAGAGGTATGCCGCCGGATATACTCCATACATCAAGTAATCCCGGGAATTGGATTGCATAGGATGACCCCTATCGATTCGTGGAATCTGAGGATTTCTCCATCGTGTCAGCTAAAATCCAGCCAGTGAATCTTCTGCGTATTTCGTATTGGCTGCAAGAGATGGCCTTTTCTTTTTCATCGCACATGGAAGTACAGTACGCGACCGGCAGTTAAAAAGGAAAGCGAGCACCGTTGGGCCACGTGAGACATGCAACCCTATTGGCTCGGGACATTTAAATATAGCCGGGTTCCCGGATCTTACAATTGCTGTCTGTCCTCTCTGTACGTTCTTTACGGTGTCGCTATACGGCCATGACGGTGTCGCTGTACGGTCTGTACGAGGGAGGTCTGGCAGAGTTTCGAATGCGGGCGCCAAAGAGATGCCGCCCCATCCGCTAGACACTGAGTTCGCAACAGGTCCACATCAATCACAAGCCTTTCTCAGGCCAAGCAATGCGCATGGTAATTGCTGCGTACAGTGCTGCGTAATGTAATACATACCTACACAGTAGGGCGTAAATGCTAGGATAGTGTTCCAAGCCTTTGCCAACAATCAGCTGTAATCTGCAATCACCACCCAACCCATCTTAAGCGTGCGAAGATGTCTGCAGCATCAAGCTTCGATCTCAAGAACGTTGAAATGCAAGCAGTCCAGTACTATACGATGCGCCATTGACGTAGTAGTTGGAGCAGAAGACTTCGTAAAAGACCGGCACGCGACACTGCTTTGCCCTCTTGGAGCTAGGTGGCCGATCCAGCGCATCGTAGAGAACGGGCCGCCACTGGCCAGGGGAATCAAAAGGCCACCATCCGCAGTGAATGCGCACGTCTGCGCACCTTGGCATGCGTCAGGACGCCTTAGAGGAAATCAAGCGGGCGTGAGATTATACTCAGGCAGCTACTTTGGGACAGACGCGTGGACATTGTAGAAATGGGGGAGAGGACAAAGGAAGCGCAATTATTGGGAGAGAACAACAGAAAGATGCAGACATTCATCTCTCCGGCGTTCACAACAGAAGCTTGAAACAGACGATGATCGGGATTCTACTGGAAGAGCGAGAACCAAGAACAAGTGGTGGGTTTGTAGGAGAACAAGCAGTGGAAAAGTGGAACTCCTAATTACGTCCGTTCCATGTCCGACAGCCACATCCAGTCACTGCCAAGTCGCGAGGTTTTGCGTTTTAACGTGTATTAATTCCTTTTTTCATCCCTTTTTTGGGATCAGAATGGAAGAACCAAGCCATTAATCAAACAAGATCGGGAGGGAAAAGGGTACTTAGTTAGGATAGAGTGGATAAGGCACCACAGTCTGGTTACTACGTTCGGTACAGGATTAGTATTATCGTGAAGGAAAGAGAAATAGTGACTTCGTACGAGATGCTTAAGGAGGTAATTAGCAGAGAGTAAATCAGTATTCCGGTGTGCCTTGGTAGGCGTGGTAGGGAAGATACATGCACATTGAAAGACAAAACCAACCCAGCCAGGGCTGATCATTCCTCTTCTCATCCATCATCATTCCCTCTGTTAATCCATCCATCATCCGTCGTCCTTCTTTCCTTCTTCTTCCTTGGTTGGCACTGACGCTGCGCCCCTTCTCGTACTGTATACCTTTGCCCTACCGCTACCAAGGTTCCGTTCCCTACTTTTTGAGCACACGACTACCCACCCTCTCCTCTCCCACCATCCCTCTCCATCCCCTCAACACCTCAACCTCAACCTCGACCTCCTACGGCACTCCTCTTCTTTAATTCACCATTCTTACGCCCCTGTGGTCTAAGACCGACGACATCCCATTCCCTTGTTTGTTTCCTATTCTACATACCCGATTCCGGGATATACGTCTGTGCAGCCTGCACTTCGTCCTACATCATCTTCCCTCGATACGAGAGGTGACACAACTTCCCTTCTCCCTCGAACCGCATACGTCTACATTATATCTCTTCTCCTTCAAGACATCCATACATCGAAAGCGTATTTCCATACAGTCCCCTAAAACGACGACGACGACGTCGTCCAGCAACAACACCATGGAAGCCCTCAACGTGACCGCTCCCGTAGATGAACCCGAGTGGAACAGCAGTCCTGCTTGGAGACTCCCAGGATGGGTGGAACCCCTGGTATGTGTACCTTCTTCGTGCTCTCTAGAGCCCGCGTGAACTAACGCTTCGTCCCTATCGTAGATGGTCGTCAGCATTCTCCTATTTGCTATGTTCATAACTCGTCGCCGCGACTTCAGCATCAGATCCGGCCCCACCGAACGCCCTGGCGGCCTCCTCGATAATGACTCTACCGATCGTCTGCTCTCCTCAGACTCCGATTCCACCGGCGAATTCGAAGCCACGACCACCAAATATCCTACCAAAACCCGGAGCTGCTGCTGCATGAAGGTCGAGACCCCCAACACTTCGCGTTTCAAGAACAACTTCCACAGCCGAATTCTGCAGAAATTCCCTTTCCTCATCGAGATGTTCTACTGGGTTATCAACTACGCCTTCTACCGCTTCACCGCCGTGGCCTCGAACAAGCTCTTTGCGGGCTCGGGTATTTGGAATGTTGCGCAGGCGAACGGTATCGCAGTCCTTGAAACTGAGGAGTTCAGCTTCTGGAGTTTCCTCTTCCCCATTCGCGAACAGAAGGTCCAGCAATGGTTCATGCATGGTCACCAGGACTTTCTTTCGGTGCTTAACAGGGCGTATGCGTTGATCCACATTCCAGGCACTGTTGGGTTGGTATTCCGCGCTCCCTTATCATTGCCGTCCCACTAACGTTGAGCACAGATTCATCTGCTGGTACTACTACGTCGCGCCGTCATTCGATACCTTTTCCATCGCTCGTCGAACCATGACTCTCACCAACTTCTGCGCTTTCATGACTTTCATTGTCTACCCATGCATGCCGCCGCGTCTTTTGCCCAAGGAGTACGGATTCCTCGACACCGTCCGCCACGACGATGCTCAGAGCGTCTGGATGAGCGGCAAATTCGTCAACCAGCTTGCGGCCATGCCTTCCATGCATTTTGGATATTCGTTCTGCATTGGAGTCACCATGATCTACCATTCCGGTCTGTTCCGTCGCACATTGGAGCCCGGCGAGGCCCGCAAGTCCGCTTTCTGGAAGATCTTCTACCTCGTCGTTGGCGTCGGTTATCCCGCATTCATCCTCACGACAATCGTTGCGACCGCCAACCACTATTTCATGGACGCCATGATGGCTACACTTTTCGTGTTCTTCGCCTTCTTTTGCAACAAGGTTTTCTACGTCTTCATCCCTCTAGAGGACCTCCTCCTATACGTCATCCGTGCCGACAAGCCTACGCCCACCACCGGCCAGCGCTTCCAGGAACGGGGCGGCCGGATCTAAGTGCGATTATGACCAGCATTTTGCTTTCTCTCGATACCTCTTCTAATTTCCTACATCATTTCTGTAAATATAGAGTCACGGCCTAGGGGTCTTTTTCACTTCGACTCGCGAGCATAACCTGCATGAGCACGTACAAAAATTGGCGAACACCCGGACTATGGCGTTAATTTGCTTTCCTTCTCTCTCTTTGCATTTCCTTCTCTCTCTGGACTGGGGCATTCGCATTCGGGTGTTTGCATCGACAGCCCTGTTGATGGGTCATCTGCATTATTTCCGGTACCGCTGCCGCGTCATGCGTTGTAGTGTGTATCAGTGATACCAAGGGGGCGTCAAATGAAATTCGGTACAACGCACGCGTTTACCAGGAAATTGCTTCTACATAGAACTAATGGACTGTCTACCATGATTATTCTTATTTTTGGCATTCATTTCGTGATACTTTGATTTGAGTGCAGATACCTGACGTCAACTAAGGTGACGGGTGTGCAGGCACTGAATTAGTAGCTTTGATGAATCTCGAACCAAGTATAAAAACTTCGGTTTCTAGACCAGGTGATGATGCGATTCCATAGCCTGATAAGGAGCAATTGCTTCACTCAGCTGCCGTCGCTGTGGCGCCCTCGATGAGGCGTTGGTCGTAGGCTGAGAGGCGCTGGGAGAGCTGTAGGAACAGACGCTAACGCAGGTCCCGTAGAGAGCGAGAGAGAGGCAAGCTCGGTCCCTCCTGCAGCAACCAGCGACCTGCAACAACAACCACCATCAGCCACCTAGCAACCAACTTTCTTCCCCGCGGATCGATTATTGAGCGCAACACCGACATCTATCCGCCTATCTATAGGGTCGCCTTATTCGTCTCTATACACCATTTTGTCATATACCCCATATTCAATCGATTAGTCGTCTCGAAAGCTCTCGGGCGCATTCCCAGCACCTACCTACAGCGAATCGCCAAAGCTCTCAAAGCTTCACGAACGAACTCATTTGCTGGTATCGCACATACCACGACGCATAATCGTCCTCCACAGCGCCAATTGAGGTCGCACAATGGCGGACCTCAAGCAATCGACACCCGCAGAGAGCACCCCGGCCGAGGACATCGACATGGGCGAGGGCGTGGCCGCGGAAGGAACTCACGAGGCAGAGCTCACGGAACTCGAGCCAGAATCTCAGAAGCTTGTCCTTTTCGCAGAGTGCGTCATCATCATCTTCACATGCCACCATTTCTAATTCGAACAGCTACGAGAAAGAAGACTAACAATTGCGTGTGTGCGAGAACAGTCTCGTCAAGAGTCCCATCGTCGAAGTGCTCGTTGGGACAGGCGACGACCGCCAGACGTACTCCGCGCACGAAGCCGTGCTCGTCAAGGCACCCGAATTCGCAAAGCAGCTCTCCGAACTGGCGTCCGGCTCAACCGTAAGCCCATCCCACCTCCATTCAAACAAAAAGGAACCTAACACATCGCCAGCCCCGACAAATCGTCTACCCGGACGCCGACGTCGACGCCATGGGCTCCGTAATCGAGTACCTCTATACGGGCGAATACTTCCCCAAAAAGACCTCCACCTCGCGGGACGCGCCCCTCGAAACCGACCCGCGGCAACCCCTCCCCGACAACGAAGGCCTCGGGCTCCTCGTGCACGCGCGCATCTACACGCTCGCGGGCCGCCTGCAACTGCCCGACCTGAAATCCCTCGCACACTCGAAGATCCACCGCACGGCGTCGACGGCAAAGGGCGAGCTCGCGTACGCGCGCTTCGTGTACAAAGAGTCGAGCCCCGAGGACGCGGTCATCAGGAAACCCGTCGCGGCGTTCTGGGCGACAAGGAGCTATGCGTTGCGGCATGACGCGGAGCCCGAGTTCAAGGCGATGTGTCTGGAGTTCCCGCAGTTCTCGTACGATGTGCTGCAGTTGGTGCTGGATCAGCAGGAGAAGAAGAGAGGGGGTGGGGGGAGTTCGAGTAGGGAGGTTGTGGCGACGGGGGAGAGTAGTGAGACGCCGTCGAAGGCGCCGCAGGTGGTGCCGAGTAGTACGAGGAAGAGGGCGAGGGCGAGCCATATCTAGAGCGTCGTGATGAGGGACCGAGTGAAGAGACGAGACACGAGTTGAGCGCAGTCAAGGTTATACCATGTGTTCCATTTTCAGAAAGAATCGAAACTTACCGGAGAGAGACGAGAGGGCTTCAGGTACGGATGAGAGAATGGCTCTGGCTCACAAGCCCCTTTATCACACCGACATCCTCACAGTAAAAAGAGTGCGAGGAGTGGATAGGGGCGTGGAAGGAATAGTGTGAAGGCAAGATTTCTGGTCTGCACTTTCGTATGTACGCGTGGTGTGTATGTATACTTTTATTCACTGTGTACTTCTAGAGCTATCGAGAATCAAAGAAAAATAATCGGATATATTTATAAGCACACAGTGCGTGGTTCGATGATTCAACCTGGGAGGGAGGGAGAGAGAGATGAAAGATGAAGGAGTGTTGTCAATGTATTTCACCTTACCTACCAGGATGGACAAAGATGCTTAGATTCATTTTGGCATGACTGAGAAGTTCAAGATCAGATTCGATTACCTGCTGAAGACGAAGGAAGATGGCTCTTCACCTTCTTCCTTATGTCTAAAAGGAGGGATCATTAAAGGAGCGAGTGATTGTGGTTGTGAACTTCTTGGGTTGGTGGTTTCTTAGGGCTTGATTTGATTTGATATTTCTCTCAGTTATACCTACGATAGATACCTTATATGGTGTGATGTGTCAACAAGACCTCCCCTTTTCCCCCTTCCCGCTTAGGTAAATTCGGTGGGGATATCTATCTCTCTAGCTGTGCGTCCAGCTGTTCCAATTCCACTCATAACGCTCCCTTCTTGAGGGGAGTACATTCAAGACCCAGTGATGATCTTCTTCAGCTCCTCCGGCTCCTTAGGCGTAGGCGTCAGATTCTCGTACCCGCCTTCGGTAACGAGAATATTATCTATATCCCCTCGTTAGCCACACCTAATCTCACAAATCTCACAATTTACACAGGGAAAAGCCAAAACATACCTTCGATCCTTACGCCCCCCACACTCCAATACCTCTCCAGCACCTCCGTATCAATAAACGCCGCATGCTTCGGATCCTTCAAATACGGCTCAATAATAAACCTGCAGAAATAAATCCCCGGCTCAACCGTGATCACACTGCGCGCCGGCAGCGTACCCCGCACGCGGAGGTACCTGAACATGGGGTCAGAGTCCTTGTAGTTTGCATTACCCCCCGTGTCGTGGGTGTCCATGCCGAGGTAGTGCCCGAGGCCGTGGGGCAGGAAAGCGACGCTCGTGCGGGCGGCGAAGATGGCGTCGCGGTCGCCTTTGAGAATGCCGAGGGATAGGAGGCCGTCGATGGCGATGCGGTGGGCCAGCGCGTGGATGTCGTCCCAGTAGGCGCCGGCTTTGAGGGCGGAGGTGGTTTGTTTCTGCATGGAGAGGACGAGGTTGTAGATTTGTGAGGATTCGGGGGTGAAAGTGCCGGAGATGGGGAAGGTGCGGGTGATGTCCGAGGCGTAGCATTCGACTTCGCAGCCCGCGTCGAGGAGGAGGAGGTCCCGCCCCGTGGTGGTGTCGTCGTTTTTGACGTAGTGGAGGGTGGCGCCGTTGGTGCCGGCGGCGACGATGGAGTGGTAGGCTTGGTGCTTTGCGCCGCGCTCGACGCAGGACTTGAGGAAGATGGCTTCGAGCTCGGTTTCGTTTTGGACGTGCGAGACGGCTTTCATGACGGCGGTGTGGGCGGCCGTCGAGATGGCGTTGGCTTTGCGGATCAAGGCGATCTCGTAGTCCGTCTTGACGACGCGGGAGTACTCGATCGCCGGCTTGAGGAGCTCGAGGTTCTTGGTCTTGTACGAGAGGAAGGTGATGTGGTCGGAGATTTGGTCGGGGATCGCGTAGATGGTCGTCTGCGGGCTGGCTGTTGTGGAGGTGAGGTATGGGTTTACTTCGTTGGTGGTCTTGACCTCGTCGACGTCGTATCTAGATATACCAGTTAGTATCCTACTGTCTCAATGAAGCACAATCCGAGCATGTCAACTCACTTCGCCAACGCCTCCTCGACAGACATGGGCAATCCACTCCAGATAACCTCCTCAGGCTCGACAGGAGGAATGAACAGCGTCAATTTCTCGCTCTGGATATCGTACGTCAAGTACGAGTCCGGGAGTTCGCATCCGGAAAGGTAGTAGAAGTATCGTCGTTGTCTATCATTTCCCCATATTAGCAACCAACCCTCAAGCATCAAAACATCAAGGATACACGACGTAACCAGAGCAGTACGTACCTAAACGGCGCCTCAGAATCATTATCCTAAACAATCCCATGTACAAGTCAGCCTCACATCCCCCTCCAAACACCCTCCCCTTTCTAGGTAAGAACATACCTCAAGCAACTTCTGCTTCTGCGCCTCGAGGTAAATCGTGCCCGTCCGATCCGCGCCCTTCTCGAGCATCCACTCCACCACCTTCTTCGCGTGCGTCTTCGCAGGGTACTTGCCCTTCAGCACCTCGTCGTAGTTCTCTGCGATCGCCATCTTTCGTCTCGGGGGTCGTGTGATGTAGTATGTTGCGACTAAGACGAGGGAAAGGAGTGTGGATGGGAGGGAGGGGACGTGGGAGAGTATTGTGGATGGTTTTTTGTCTTCCTTTTTGTGAGGAAGGAAGCGATAAGATTATGGTTTTTTTTAGGAGGCCGAGGTTCGTGGGATAGCCTCGTTTTGTAGGTCTCTCTCTCGGAGGATAGGTGAGAAGGATGGGGTGCTGTGGATAGGTAAGGTATGGTATCTATGTGATGGTGGGGTCATAAACAAGTCCGGGTTTAAAGGTGGGTGGGGTCATCCAAAGCTGCTGTGTGTCTGACGTCGGAGGAGTGGTGCGCCGTAACGGGTAGATGCGGTTTTTCGTATTTCTGCTTCGTCTGTTCGAATCAGACGCCCGCGAATTGGACTGAGGGTGTTAATATGTAAAAGGAAGGTAGTATGTAGGTAAGGATTTATCTTGGGACGGCGGAATTCCGAGTCATCCGAGTTGGTTAGCAAGTGAACGTTCTGCGGAATAAAAAAAAGTAGTAGTGAGCGGGTCGGAATGATCGGAACTAGAACATAAATACCAAGAGATGTGGTTCGACTGCTACTACGGAAAGATGTTTTGATTATTATTTACTTGTTTTTTTGTGCTCTCTCGATAATAGCTCGTTGTTTATTCGTGTAGATAGGTGTATGGCTGCATCTGATAATTGCGCTCGTGTTCTGTGAACGTTAAGCGCGTTGTGATCGACACACAGAGAAAGACCCCAGGCCTCCCCAAAAGCAATATCTAGATTTCTGCTCCATAATTCGTTTGTGAGACACATCGTACCCATCGCCAGGAAAGAGGCCTTGACAATAAAAAGATAACAAAAAAAAACGCCCGCACCAGCTTGAACGCCCAGAGAGCCGTATAAGGGAAACAAAGTGGGTTTGGAAAAAGGTTTCCACCCAATGCGAAGTGTCTAGTCCTTCCACCTCGCCAGGAACTTAGCCATGTCATCTGTAGGCATGGGAGCTGGGGCAGCCTGGTGAATTGGTCAGTTTGAATGATACAGCAATCACCACTGCGGCGAGATGCTTCAAAGCAAGATCTGCAATGCCACTTCTCGCATCCACACATAGGAAAGAACTTACGGTGTTTTCTCTGCTAGAGACAGAAAAGGTCTGAGGCTTCGTAATCGTAGTCTGCGCCTTCGGAATGGGCAAGAACGTAGTCGCAAGTACGACACTCGAGGTAGGAAACCTCTGCGTAGCCTGCTTCTTCGTGATCTTCGTCGGTGGCACAGGCTGCATGGGCGCATACCGAGTAGCACCAGTCTGCATCGTGTACTCGACGCCGTAGTCGCCATCAGCGGGGTTCACCGCGCCCGCGTTCGTGTTGTCTTGTGAGGGTGGTCCGTCGGTGCCTTCGACGTTCTTCATGCCATCGAGAACGGCTTGTGGGAAGGTGCCGGTCATGCCAGACAGCGAGAATCGGGGGGAGTAGTTGGTGATGGTTCCGCCTTTCGTGGCCGTCGAGATCATCTTGAAGAAGCTGTGACGTAAGGGTCAGTTAAATTATCTCAAAGGACTCTTGATCTCTATATGGCAGGGACATACTATGCATTCTTAGGCGTGGAAGCTCCCACAGTGAGTCCAATCGGACCAGAAGCCTTGTTACCAGTGACTACGAAAGTGCTGCCGGCGGCCGAAAGCTGTACAGGCAATTGAATCTATTTTGATATGTCAATTCCTGCGATTCACGCGCAATTAAACAGCGGTTTTCCTTACGATGGTGCTAGCATCGTTTCCACCCGCACAGAGGAAGAGGTCGTAGGCTGTGAGATCCGCGATTGCGATGCCATCGCCCGAGTCCTTCCATTCTATCGTCACGGCGGTGCCGCCAGCGATCGTGCTCCCGGCTTTGGGTGAAGTGAATTGGATGTCGGCGGAGACGAGGGTGGTGAGGGCGGTAAGGAGAGCCAGGGGAGTCAACAACATGATTGTTGCTGGGGGCCGCGAATCGGCAGTGAGTACCTAACGAGTGACGGTGGTGAGAGTAATACGGCAATCTGGGAAGCGCGCAGTGAGCAGAGTAGCAGGGTGCCTGACTGAGAGAACAAAGAGTAGAGCTTCTTCGGTGGAGCGAGCGGAGGATCCAGAACTGCTTGGTGTTGCTTGATAGAGCGCATGTGGCGGCCTTCATTCTTTGGCGTGATCGCCCGCCGCGCAAGGACTTTAACCGCATACAGACTAGCGCATTCCTCATCCCCTGTCCCGTCGAGACATTTTTATCATTCAGGCAGGGCGGTGCGCCAGTGAGGGGTTTGGCAGATTGCACATTTGAATGCTGTAGATATATATTCACGTCAGCGCTTCACAGTTACTCGCAGTACGTAGATGTATCATTGATGCCGAAAATATATGTGATTGCGTATCGAGAAATCACGCTGGTCGTTGATTTCAGACCCCTTGAGCCTACTACTGTGTACATCCATGTGCCTCCCTATCATAAGTGCAACATACCATCATCAGACTGAAAAGTCAATAAAAAAGAAAAGAAGGGGAAAAGCTCAACGGTCAAAGACCAGGTATCTCAGAAAGTGCAATCATGTCCTCCATAACCAAGAAATATGCTCGCCGTTACATCGTGATGCGAAGAAGAAGTGAAGAAGAAGAGTTTTGTGGTCCAAACGCCTGACCATGCAGAATCGAAAGTTATCCAGAACACCGCCGTAAATGCCCAAATCGTCAAAGTTGATGAGTAGTGATTAAGCCTCGCGAAATTTCGGGTTGCTGATCCGTAGATTGAAAGATGACGGTAGCCTTGTGGTCATCGTGGCCGCCTGTGCTGCCTTCTGGAGAGAGATGGTTTGCTCCTTCAATTTCTCCACGGAGAAAAGCTGGAGGTCGAATGAGAGGAGGAATTCCACGCATAGCTCCAGTCGGCTCAGAGCAGTTTGGTCGACACCGCCAACGCCCGCAACACGTGCCTGCGGCCAGCGGTGGTCCTCCAGTGCCTTCATGGCTGTCACGAGCGACGCCAGCACCATTCGATGCACGGTCCGATGTGTCAGGGGCACGATCTTTTCGACCATGGAAAGGCGCAAGATGTACGAGCCTGCGGCAAGCCAGACTCCAGTAGACATGGGGCAGAACTGCTGGATTCGGTTGAGATAATCTTCTAGGCCAACTCGTGGGATGGTTTTGGAAAAGAACTTTCGAGCCATGTTGACGCGCTGCACGTGCTCGGGCTGGGCGCCATCGCCGTGGACAATCGTCGGCTCGTCATGGCTGGCTTCCGGGGGGTCCAATTCGACCTTTTGATGTTGCGCTCGGTCGGCCGGAATGGGTGTCGCAGGTCTCGAAGCAACTCGACGGTGGCCGAAGGTGTTCTCCTTGTTACTTGGAGTGTGTGGTCGAGAGATGGGGGGAGTGGCGGGGACGTCACCTGCGGCATTGGCAAGAGCGAGACATGAACGTAGGACAATCTTCATGGCGGTCTCTGGTTGCATATTCTCGATGTCGAGCTCACTTTCCTCGGCAGGGGGAGATGGCGCATCATGGAGGTGCAGAGATCGAAATTCGGGAAGAACGCCTGCGTCGCCTGCAGGGTTGGGCGCAGATGGGGGATTTTGGATTGGAGTCATACTGTTGGATCGAGGGGTTCTGGGAGTACCACGGCTGAGGTGCCTAGCCGATAGATGTGGCAAGGCTGAGGGACGGTGAATCTCCAACATTTAAGCTTGCTCGAAAGATTGAATGGGCGACGGAGTTGGGGGGTTTTGGAATAGGGACGCAATTGAAAAAGTCACGGGTCGTGAATGTCAAGTACGTAACAACGCAAAGTGTGTGTGTGTGTGTGTTGAGAACCGGAGGTGGGAGCTGTGAGGGGTGATAGGTTAAGAGGTGGACTTGATGTTTTTGAGCCATGTAGCTTACATTATGAGAAGGGGGGCGCAGATAAACAAACACAAGACCGGATTAGGCAGTTTGTGAGACCTTTTGAGGGATTACAGACAGTGTAGGGCAAAAGGTACTTTTGTTTCGGTTGGACGGGGAGGTTCCGAGGATAATACTTCGGATGGCGGTTGGTGGACGACAAAAGCTCGGAAGGCGGAGCGACGGAGGAGGAGGAGGAGGAGGAGGAGGAGGAGGAGCAATGGGTGACGTCGTAGATGTAGTAAGTAGTGGGAGGGAGAGTCGAGTAAGGCCGAATGCAATTAATGTTGGTCAAGAGTGAATGCACAGGCGCCGGTATGCATGTATGTATATGAGATGAAAGGAACCAAAGAAGATGTTGACGAGAGACAGAGGGAGAGAGAGGATACGGGTAGTACGAGTGGAGTGGAGGAGAGTAGTCAAGAATAGTAGAAGAAGGTCAAAGGCAGTGAAGCCGGAATTTGAGGTTCGCTGGTTCACGAGACGCTAGGAGGAAAGTAGTGCGAGGGGGACCAAGGGGACCAGGGGACCACTATTTTGATTCAAGGAAGTTGGTCGGATCAATAATGGCCTAAGTACTTTTAGTTGCTTTGTATCTAATCGAGAATTGACGCTGAGCTGTCTCGTCGGGTTGGCCTGGTGGGTTTATTTGGGTTTTGGTTTTGAGTTTCGGTTCGGTTCGATTCGACTTTGATTTGATTTGATTTGATCAAGATGGATTGGGGCTATTTATCATTCCTTTAGGCCTTCCAGAACTCCGGTACGAGCCGCGAAGGGGTTATTGGAGAAGAAATGGCGCTGGGTAGCTGGACAAGTAGTGCAATGTATAATACTCGCAAATGGCGTGGCGAGGGTTGACAAACGATGATGCTGCGTAGGTCGGAACAGGGTAGGGTAGAAGAAGCGAAGGGAAGGGAATAATGGTAGATTAAATTTGATGGCACCTCGTGAGTCGTAGGTACCTTAGGTTCCGATCAAGAAGAAGCTCGGGTGGCAAAGCTCATGCGATTCTCAGGCCTGCGATGGGCGTACGGCGTAGGAGGGATGCACCAGGTGCGCAAGGTTAGGACGGGACAAGGATAAGGACACAAGAACCGGACAGTACAAGACAGGATAAGGCAGGGCAGGACAGGGAAGAGTAGAGTTAGAAAATGAGACTTGAGTAGAGTAGGGAACAGGGTGGAGATGGACCAGAGCAGAAGCAGAACAAGGACAAGAAAAGAGATGCAAGCGGATGCGCTGGCTGGCTAGAGAGTCACGAGCGGGCGATCAATTGCAGGCAATGTGGACCCTGAGAATGAGGAATACCTGTAAGCCTGTAGCCTTTAGGTAGCCTTTAGCTGGCTGTAGCTGCAAGACGCCGGATCGTGTATGCAGATACAGGCTGAAAAAGAAGTGGGCTCCTTTTCCTGGGATTTTCTGAAGATTCCAAGTGGATTCTAAAGCCGCCCCCGATAAAAAGTGGATGCCCGTGTGTGTGCTACTTGTGCCTGTGCCTGTTGGTGGAATCGATACACGATGGGCGACACTGACCGGACGACACGACACGTTCCTTCGCTCCTTTAGGCTTGTTCGAGTGACGACGACCACGATACTACCCAGATGGCGGTATGGATGGATGCGAGGATGAAGCCAGCCCGGTGGTAAGGTAATGGTAGGTAGGTAGGTATGCAGACTAGTCGATGACTATTACCACTCTCATTACCATCCAAGGTCAGACGAAATGAGATGAGACGAGACGAGGCGAGATAGGGATGCAGAGAAGCCCAGCTAATGAAAGTGTATCAAGACACTGTATACGCTGGATGGGTTCGTATTGCGTGTGAGGCGTGTGCAAGTACGGGAACAATAGTTTGCCGACCAGCTTTTGATCAGATCACAAAGTACGGAGCGATCCACTTCCAGATGGAGATTGAAGATTGGAAATTGGAGAAGCCCGTGAGGCTGTCCGTATCGCAGTGTTAATGCAGAGCGGGTGGAGTACGGTGTGGTGCGGTGAAGTGGGGGAAAGGGTCTCGTGCAATGGCAGATTTGACACCGAGACGACGAGACACGAAAAGACACGACAACTTCTGGGGGGGAAGCGCGCGCGCCCACGCCAATCGACAGGTGAGCAACAGACGAACTTGGACCGACGGCCCGAAGATGTGCTGGTCTGATGGTCTAGTAGGGGAAAAGAGCTACTATTCGTATTATGAAAAGGGCCCAGCTGGAACCACGACCAAGGACAGGGAGGCAAATTTATGGTCAGCGCCGGTGTCTTGCTTAAAGTCCAGAAGTTTTGTGGGTTTTTAAATTGATCTGAAGGAAGCGAGGTGAGGAATCGCGGGGTGGGGTGAGATGAGATGAGGTTGGTTTTGCGGAGGTAAGGAATGGATGGTGGATGACTAGATGAGTAGTAGATGATGGGTGAATGGATAGGATATAGAGAAGCGATTCGCAACAGCAGCGTACATATCTACCTATATACTCGCATATTGATCAACTCACATCCTCAGATTTCTATGTAGTATGCACATATTGTACCCCGTACATACATACAAAACGAGTATATGTGTACGGGGTGTGAGTGTGAAATGTCTCCCCACCCCCAGATGCCGGCCAGCACCTGGTTGCTCCTCACCTCTGGCTGCTCCCGAATTTCTCAGATGCCTAGCTAAATGACCGATGATGAAGGAGAGGCGTTATACCGTCCAGCGTCGAAGCGTCTAAATCTGACAAGGGCTATAGGCAGGGCAGGCTACTACGGGCAGTACTACTGACATTCTACTGGGTTATGCCACTCCCTTATTCCATGGCATCTAGGTAACTACGGCCTACTTTTGTACTCATACAGTAATTCGATACTGGGATTCCTGCATTACTTCGAGTAGTTACAATTGCTGCACTGCTGCTACGCACTGCTACTCATCATCACGATACCATACTCCTCCCCTTTCTCTACCTCCACCATCCCATCATCCTCCACCTCCATTCCCGCCTCCACGATACCACTAGATACATCCGTCCTGGTCTCCGTCGGAGCCTGTGGATGTCTTCGGCCGCCATCGGAAATGCACTCCGGCTATTTGCTGCTTTCTGTTTGGCCTACCTGGCCTAACTAGTTACTGCTATTGGCAACTCTGTCTGGCTGGCGGCATCTCCCAAGCCCATCTCGAGCTAAAGGTCTTGCGTATTCGTGCTATGCATACAGCATACATATTTCCCATAACCCATGAGACGACAAAAGTGCCACCCCGAACCCCCGCTTCGAAAAGACAGTCCCTTGGGGCGTTCTGTTCTCTGCAGGGGGTGGGTAGGCCTCGCTCTGGATTCTGGACTAAGAGGGCAATGCTGTGCAGGAATATCATTGTCTGACTGGACAAGACAAAGTACTCGTACGGAGTAGATGAGAGATCAGACATGACATTCCCTCTCCCACTCCCCTCCCCCGCGCCAGGACGCAGCACGGAATCCCGTACTCTCTGCCAACTTGCATACTGAGGACAAATACGCGAGAACACACATTCTCTCGTCAATCTCGTCAAATCCCCATGCCGAAATCAACGGGGGGGGGAAATGAAGTCTGGCTGGAACTCTATGCGGCATATCCGCCGCCACTTGCCCCGCCTCCAGGGTTGTCTGTCGGCTACGGTGGTGGCATGGAACCTTCACAAGTTCACCGTACACTACTCCAGCGTCCACTATCATCTAGGTATACTAACGGAGACACTAACATTATCCACTTGTACACAATACTTAGGTACCGAAATACGCAGTACAGTACTCGTAATTGCACATGCCAAATAAACAAACAAAAAGCACAAAACACAATGCCGCGGCCGAAATCAGCGTCTGACAAGCCCAGCCAGCCTGTGCTCACTCCGCCGCGCCAAAACGACCATTTCTGGCGATTGCCGGGAGGTACAGATCGAGCACGATTGGCCGCGAATATTAACGCAACGTAAAACACACGACGCCCGTCCGGGTCACCTCGTCAAATGCCTTTCGACGGCTCCCGTACGGCGATTCGACGGCTCACCTGCATATTGGACTTACCTGGCTTGATCTGTACGTACGTACATACGTCTTGCAGCGGGGCTCCGGGATGGAGTCCTCCTTATGTCCAACGGGGGAGCATGTGTCTCGCGCATGAATACACGGCCAATCGAAATCCCGACCCTTCGAGCAAATAACAGAAAAAGAAATACAAAAAAACAAAAATGCACATGAGGAATGTCTAGAACTAACGATGCGGCTCCACGTGTTCGCTCCAGATGCGTTCGTGAGATTCCTTCCGGCAATTGAGCTTTGGAGGTGAATACTTGGGGTCACGACACGCCGCCGTATGTATGGGGGAGCACGACGTGTTCTGTAACTACATGCACGCCTATGTATCTGTACATACATTTGTACGTACATTGGTACTCCTACATGTACATGCCGACTCACCACCAATCGCCCACCCAGGTTCTCTCTCCCAAGTACTACCAACGTAATTACGTTCCTCTACCTGCACGCTTTCAATAATCCTCTCATCCGCAGCACGAAGCGGCTTGATGATAACGAGCGGAATTGGGCCCGAATGCTCCGGTTGGATCAATGTCGGCCGGAGGACAAGAGGTACCTACTGTAGGGAGTACAAGCTAGATGCACGGTATCAAGATGACTGTACATGTACACGGTACTTCGGCATTCAGGGTCGCTAGACGATTTTGAGAAGGTAATGGGAGGTGGGTGTGTATGTGCTAGGCGGAATGCTCCTTTACTTCATTATTACATGATGGTATATACAATAATGTTCGTCCCTTTGCGAAGTACGGAGTTCTTTAGGCACATTGTTTGCTGTGCTGGGGCATCTCCCCGCAGTCTCACTCTATCGATAAGCTGACGGGATTCTGATTCTGATCCCCACATCCCGCATTCTGGCCATACCTTTTTTCACGTCCTCGACCAATGCTGAAAGTCAACAACTAATAGCCGTCTGTTTTCTGGAAATCTAAGCAAGGATTCCTATGGGATATCCCATGATTGTTACACAGATGCTCGCAACGGTAACAACGGCAAGGCTATGATAATGATCAGCGCCTATCGTATCTTGCTCCCTAGAAAAGTCACTGTAGACCAATGAGCTGCTTTCTTTCGGTGCTCATCCGGATGCTCACCGCAACGAACACAGCCGTTCGCCAGACTCTTCCCGTAGCTACAGAGGGTTGGCACGTCGGGCTGGCCACCTGCTAACTTCATGTATCTTCTATACCTAAAGTGTCTACTTAGAAATGTACTGTAGCCAGTAAACAATCTTAACTGCTTGCAATAAACCTCGCTAAGACACTGTTGTAAGCATAAATACTAGCATGGGGCCAGCCCGACGTGCCAACCCTCTGTACCTAGAAATCTGATAACGCTTAGTTCGGATGCAACAAACTGGTGTAGATAGCCTCCCTCAAGCTTCTCTACAGGCGGATAAAGATCGCCATGGTTGCAATTCAACTCCCAATTCCCACCACCTAACTCTACGCTTTGACGTCATGCTGCACCACAGCATCGTATCCAACATGGGTAACCTGCAAGTAACGGTAACCTACCTGTAGCGTAGTCTCGCAACGTCGCAAGGGAGAAAACGGGAACTCCCTACGTTTATAAACAACATGCGCAAACACAAGCTCCGGAGGCGCTTTTGGTGCTTGGTAGAGGCTTGTCAACCAAACCGACAACATGCGTCTCGCTCCGTTCCTGCAGCTTCTAGCCTTAGCCTCCGCGGTCGTAGCGACGAATGCATCGACTCGGGGTGTTTACGATCTAGTGAAGAGAAGGCTGCCTTCGCATGCTGATGATTTCATCTTCACTCTGACCGAGACCAACACGACCGAGCCGACCAATGACGAGTATAGCATATCTACTGCATACGGCGGGGCAATTGCGATCGAGGGAAACAGCATCAGTGCCCTCACAACAGGTCTGCGTCGATACTTTAACGACATTGCCCATGCGGACCTTCACTGGTTCATTGGCAATCGACTAGACACTGCTGCTTCTCCTCTACCTCGGCCAAACGCCACGATCGTGGGAAAGAGCATCGTGCCATGGAGATACTACTTCAACACAGTCACGTTCTCTTACACCAGTCCGTTCTGGACTTGGGAAGATTGGGAGTATGAACTCGACTGGCTTGCCCTGCGTGGCGTCAATCTTCCTCTGGCTTGGGTTGGGTTCGAGAAGATCCTTTTGGATGTATTCCGGTATGCAAACTCAACCCTCCCTATGTCATCGTGTCTAACCTGTGATCTAGCGAGACTGGTCTCACTGACCCAGAAATCTTGACATTCTTCTCTGGCCCTGCCTTCCTGGCATGGAATCGATTCGGTAACATCCAAGGCTCATGGGGTGGGGAGCTGCCGCTGGCATGGATCGATTCCCAATTCGAGCTCCAGAAGAAAATACTGAAACGCATGATCGAGCTCGGCATGACTCCCATACTACCAGCATTCACTGGCTTCGTACCTCGTGCAATCCACGACAAATTCCCCGATGCGAACGTCGTGAACGGCAGCCGCTGGGAAGGGTTCGACTCACGTTATACCAACACCACTTTTCTGGAGCCGTCCGATCCCATGTTCGCGGACCTGCAGGCCCGCACCATTGGCAAGCAACTCGAGTACTATGGCAACATCACGCAGTTCTACACATTGGACCAGTACAACGAGAATGACCCTGCCTCGGGCGACCTAGAATACCTCCGCAGCGTCACGGCTGGGACCTGGAAATCACTGAAGGCGGCCAATCCGGGAGCCGTCTGGGTGATGCAGGGCTGGCTCTTCTACTCGAACCGCGACTTCTGGGACACTGATCGCATCTCCGCCTATCTTTCTGGCGTCGAGGTCGATTCCGACATTCTCATCCTAGATCTCTTCTCCGAAAGCGAGCCGCAGTGGCAGAGAACGGATAGCTATTACGGCAAACCGTGGGTATGGTGCCAACTCCACGACTACGGCGGCAACCAAGGCCTATACGGCCAAATCGACAATGTCACCATCAACCCGATCTCCGCCCTACAGACCTCCCCCAGCATGGTCGGAATGGGCCTGACGCCCGAAGGCGAAGAAGGCAACGAAATCATCTACAGCCTCCTCCTCGACCAAGCATGGTCGTCCACCCCCATCGACACCGCCTCCTACTTCACCTCCTTCGTCCGCACCCGCTACAACGGCCCCAACAACACGATTCCCTCCTCCCTCTACACCGCGTGGGAAATCCTCCGCACAACCGCCTACAACAACACCAACCTAACCGCCAACGCGGTCCCCAAATCCATCCTCGAGCTGCACCCGCACGTCTCCGGCCTCGTCGACCGCAGCGGGCACCACCCAACAGCCCTTCACTACGACCCTACCCTCCTCGTCACCGCCCTCACACACTTCCTCTCCGCATCCTCCACCGACGAAGCACTATGGCAAAACCCAGCATACCAACACGACATCGTCGACCTCGCCCGCCAAGTCCTCGCCAACACTTTCCTCTCCACCTACACCTCCCTCCTCACCGTCTGGAACACCACCTCCCCTTCCCCCTCTACCATCTCAACGCATTCCGAAATCCTAACATCCCTCCTAACCACCCTCGACGCCCTCCTCTCCACCCTCCCACACTTCCGCCTCTCCACATGGCTCGCCGCCGCCCGCGCCTCTGCCCCCGCGGGGGACGAGGAGGTGGCCGATTTCTTCGAGTACACGGCGCGCAACCAACTCACGCTGTGGGGGCCCGAGGGCGAGATCAACGACTACGCGTCGAAGCAGTGGGGCGGGCTCGTGGGCGGGTACTACCTCCCGCGGTGGGAGGTCTTTCTGGAGTACGTGGCGGGGCATGGGCCGGGGGAGTATGATCAGGAGGATGTGGTGAGGGGGGTGGGGGTTGTGCAGGAGGGGTTTCAGAGGGTTGGGGGAGCGGGGATTGGGATGGGGGATGGGGAGGGGAGGAGTGTTAGGGAGGTTGTTGAGGGGGGTGTTGTGCAGGTGTTGGGGAGGGCTGGGGTGCTGTGATGGGGTTATTTGTAGGGTTGGGGTTTATGGGATACGTGGTTTGTGTAGGGAGTGTTCATTGTTGACATGATGTGTGATTTGATGTGATTTGATTGATCTATTCGCCGTCATCGCTGTTCGTCAGTTTCCTGCCTTGTTGACTGCAAGCTTTTCCTCCATTTCTCTCCCTAAAGAAAGGTAGGTGAGTGAGACGACTGCCACCCGCCTACTTCCTTGTTCCTCAAAGCGTCAAGCTCCCCGGGACCTCACGAATTACAAGTGATGAAGGAAAACATAGATCCCTCACTGCCCCCCCCCCCCCCCCTTGATATGAAATCCATGTCCCAATAAAACGCCCATTGCAAGAAGGGGAAAAAAAGGTAGTTCGTTCAAACGAAAAAAGGCGAGAAAGGGTTGGCCTTCCATCATATTGAGTCTAACAGAAGAGGATAGTAAGGAAATGGCCTTGCATAAAAAAAAGCAACCGGAATGCTGTTAAGTCTGTTGAATGTTTTCAAAGTTGTTGAAAACAAGCGTGATAAAATCGCCGTTACGCCGTAATTCCCCCCTTGCACACAAAACTCGTACAGGAAACAAAACACGTTGGTTGTGGCCGGCCGTGCATAGTACGTGGGTATCCATGAGACGAGGCTTTACTAGAAAAAGAAGTACAAAGTTCCACCGGTTGCGGTCATGGCGACGCCGAACCACCACCAGTAATCGGCGCGCCGTTGTCCCACTGTGCGCTTGTCAGTGACGTTGTTGTTCAGGGAGCGCTTGGCTTTGGCGGTTGGCTTGGAGCCGGCGGTCGACGTTGTCAGGGGATTGAGGGTCGTGGTGGGGAGCATCTCTGGGGGTGACATGGCGAGGTAGAGGGGCATCATTGGAGAGCCGTCGAATTTAAAGAGGTTGAGGCGTGGAATTTGGCGATAGGGATCGGTCAGAACTTCGTAGCGCTGGTGTTTGTGAGTATGTGAATGGGCGAACAGGCCGGAATGCGGAGATAAAATCGTTGTTGCGTACCTCAAACAACTCAGAAGTATTATATCTTGTGTAAATTGCATGATCATACGAGCATGGGTCGGAGTAAAGCTGGCGGCCGTCCACAGCAATTGGCTTCAGGATCAAAGAGCCGTTCGCTTCTTTGGTGAAGCTGCCATGCTGCCACTGAATGATTCCTTTGGGACATTTCGGGTCCCTGGCTGTACGATTGTCAGAATGGTCGGGTGGGAATGATCGTCATAAAGGACAGGCAGAGTGAATGAACGTACGATTTGCGATCGCGCGGTAGTAGGCCTCCTCGTAATGGCCATCTGCGGAGAAGGAATACGAGATGCCAGTGTGATCAGGTTCTGTGAATTTCTCGTTGACCGGGTCGTAGAATTTCTGTCCACGTTCAGTACACGTCCTCCTCACAACTCCAGCATTTCCAAGCGGCAGCATACAGGTCCAGTCATCGTAGAGTTCGCTTTCGAGTTCCAGGTGCCGACGAGGTTCGCAAAGGATGTAGGAGGAGCAGCGGCCTGGCCTGCAGCCAAACCGGCCGAGACCAGCAGGAGTGATGCTATCGAATGCAGCATCGTGTGTATGTTTGTATGGGGTTCTGTAAACGAGTGTAGTGGTTCGGGCGATCGGTCGAGCGAGCGGGAAAGTGAGGGTCGTAGTCGGCGATCGTGATGGGAGTACGTTGTTGTTGAACAAGGTGAAGTGAAGTGGGAAAAGGGAGGGAGGCGGGCAGGGAACGAGAAACGAGTCCAGGCATGCGATGCTGTCGTCGAACGTTTATTGACAGGGGTTCCAAATCAGGCTAAGCGCAGATCGTCCGATTGTAAAACTCTAATAATATACAAGACAAGCTTTCTAGATACATCCCCTAACTCTAACTTTGATCCATCATCCGAGTACTCAAACAATCCCCTACAGTGCCACTCCTTGTAAATGATTTATCTACGATGTAGACTGTGACTCTTCACCACTGCTTCCACCGTTTGTACCATTTGCACCTTGTGGTGCGCTGCTAGGGCCTACGTCATCATAGGAAACTGCCATATACTTCCCAGGATAGTATTTGGCCACCCACGCCTCTGCCAGCATACCTTTGCTGATATCCTTCAGGAAATAGTTGATCGGAACTCCTGAGGCTCCCTCTGCTGCCTTGGCGAAGTAGTCCTCGAGCGCCGTCATCATCGAGTTGATGTCAATGACCTTGTTCTTGCCATCATCAATCTCCGCCAGTGCTGATAGAGCAGCCTTCATCTCTGCGTTCTTCATGGAAATCATCTGGGCGCCAGTTCGCGCCGCATCCGCAGATTGCTTCATCGTCTCTTGGTCAGCAACAGTGGCATTCTGAATAGTAGAAAGCGCCTCCAGACTTGATTTGGGGTCAAAAGTAGCGAACTTGTCAACGCCAATTTGGACGTCATTTGCCACGATCGAAGGTATCACACCCATGCAGATCATCGTGGCATGAGAGTTGATATCCTGTGCGCTGAGAAGATTCTTGACGCTCTTAGCCATGGACTCATTGACACCGAACCCGCCGGAGTTGTGTTCCATCATTGCGGCAACATCCATTTGAGACTGAATAGTTGAGACAATAGTGCTCATCTTCTCACTGACGCTCGTAGAGCTGCTGTTGAGGATGTGGACCATGCCCACGAAGCTGGATCCGAATGTCATGCCGGAGATGATGCTAAATTTCTTATCACTTTTCCCTTCAGCCTCTTCCTTAGCGATTTGCAGCATGTTCGACGTGCTTGAAGGGATGATCTTATCGTCTTTAAAGAGATGATTCCACACCTTGATGCCCTTGTCGACGTTGATCGCGAACGGCGCAAGAATTGCTGCATTTTTGTGGGTACATGTGACCGAGATGACCAGAGTACCCGAGATACTGTGCTTCTTGACCTGATCGCTGACCTGACTGGCAGCGGCGCGAGACATCTGAGCGGCCACATTGGTTCCCAAAACACCCATTGTAGCTGACACATATGATGCAACATTTCCAGCATGTGCGGAAGCTTCCTCCCTGTTGGTATCGTTGGAGAAATACTGCACATCCATGTTGACGGAGTCGGAAGCCAGAGGCATGGTTTTGATTTGTGTTTTGACGTAGTCCACAGGGCTCTCCATCTGAACGTGGACGCTGCGGATGGTTGCTCGTAGAGGCTGAATCTTGTCCTCTGCATCGATCTTCTCCTCAACATAGTCTGATGCGGCCTCTTCAATCTTGCCATCTAAAGCCTCGATGGACTTGTTGACCTTATCCGTCCTTACGCCAATATTGAGAAGCTCAGTCCTCGTCATCTGAAGACTGCGCTTGGCTGATAGTAGAGTGTTGAGATGTTCCTGGGCTGCATCAACAGGTGCCTGGAGTGCTGCTATCTGCTCAACCAGCTTGAGAGCATCACTGCTAACAATGTTGGCTAGCACGAGCGACGGGTCATAGGGTATGGAGGAAGGCATTTTGGTAAAGCGGTTTGAAATGTAATTTTAATACAAAGGATGCAGCTTTGGTGGAGACGATTATGTGCTGCTTCGTATTGTCCGTGGTGTATGTGGTAGATGCGATACTTGAATTAGATAGAAACTTGTGGGCACGGAGAGCATATTTAACAACAAAATATTCCTCATATAACAACATCTTCATTTCTTTGCATTTTCTAATGTCACAGGTACAAATCTACAATGGCGGTAAGATCTCCTCAGCCCTGTCGCCGTCGCGGTGCAATTCTCTCCACCTGACTATCGGCGGCTACAGCCTTATGCCGTTTTGGATTCTCCTCCGGTAGCGAAAGTCAGCACAGGGTGGCGGAAGACCTATTTCTCAGCTGAAATCGCGACGAAGGAATTCACAAATCTACCAACATCATCAGCAACGTCGTATTCCAACAAAAGTTACGCCAGCAGACTCCTTCAGCTGCCCCAGCTTGCACAGCGACCCTGGTTAATCGGCGTCAAGCCCCTTGATTGACGATGTTTACAAAGAACATCAGCAGAGCCGCAATTTGATTTAACGTTTCCGTTCTGAGGCATTCGCTTCAGAATTTACATACCGCTTATTTGAAAACTCTAGGCCTCGGGAAAGCCGTGGTGTTGCATTGCTGCACGCCGCCACCGGCATTCAGCAGCAGCCACGCTTCCCACAATGTGTCGATTCACACCGAACGATTGTGATGGTCAACCTTAGGAACATAGTCGATGTGAACAACAGTCTGAATATTTTGAGATGCATCGTATATAGATATAGAAATATATATAAGTAAAAGTGTTCTCATGAATTCTCAATAGCACTGATTCCATTCATCATCAAATCATCACCAAATCGTCACAGGCATCTCGCTATTTAAAACATTCAGTTTTGTTTTACCTACCGATTCAATCCATTTAACAATGACCGAACACGTGAAATACAATGTTTCTGGTACTTCTGAAGCCATCCTATCTACCAACTCATCTAACTCTAAGCAGATACAAAGATCGGATACGAACTTGAGACGCATTCTCTCACCTTCGTCGACTCCCATGACGACAGCCCTCAGAGATGTCCCAACCCAAAGTCTCAAGTCCTTTATGTGTTCGAAGAGTCAGGCTCTGACGGTCACAAGTCCTACAAAAGAAAGGCAGAACTGGAGCTTTCGGACATTACATCGGATTTGATCGCTACGGCCGAGCGCAATGGCGGGAACAACCAGATCCGCCTCGAGTTGATTTATGGGGGCGCCACAGGTACACTTTTGACCGATGTCAAAGACATGAGCAAGAAGGTCGGGTTTCGCGTCGTAGAATACATGGCGAAATGGGAACATCTCAATAAACCAGCCACGATCGCCATACAGCCAGGCCCCAATCCAGGAGACCATAAGGGAGTTGTACCTAATCCGCCTAAGAATGTAGGTTACAAGGTGTCTAAAAGAGAGAGTCCTGGGTTCATGGTCCACATGACAGTGGGAATGCCTCTCGCTGGGTTTTACCTCATCTTGAGTCGCCCGGCAGATTTGCAAAGGTTCTTCGATGACAAGAAGCCATCTGTCAATGTAGAAGAGACGACAAAGTTGTTCAAAGAATGGATCGACAAGTACAATAGCAAAAAAGACGAAGAGAAAAACGAAGAAAAACACAAAGGAAAACACGAAGCAAAACACGAAGCAAAACACGAAGCAAAACACGGAGCAAAACACGAAGAAGAAGAAGATAAAATATGGAAGATTCCTACATACAGCCCAGACTACGGGCGCGCCACAGCTCTTGGTTTCCTACTCACGGTGCAATCTTACATCTCTGTGGCCACTTCAATGGAACTAGGAGACAATAACCTTAAGGGGAAAGTTCCTTTCATGCCGCGTACGGACTTTCGCACGATGCTTAACATTGTCTGCGATACCATGCAACCCGAGGCAGCAAATCAGTTCCGACAAGATTTGGCCACATTCTTCCAATATCCGAATAACGATATCGGAACAGCAACTTGGAGCTTTCGAGAAAAGCAACCCGTTGAAGGTGGAAAGGTAGAAGAAGAAAAAGAAGGAGAAGAAGAAAGAGAGAAAAGAAAAAGAGCAGAGGAAGATGCAAGGTTCCGTGCGGAAAACATGAAAAAGCGAGCCGCCTTGTTAACGCAGATGTCTAAAACTGAAAAAAAAGCGCCACCCCTGAGTGCAATCCAAAATACAATGGGCGAGATCATACCCGTGAAGGTCGAAAGGTTTTTGGACGATCTACGCGACCCGGCCGATCCTACTCAACCGGACCTGCTCACAAAAGGAGACCGGAACCGAAACTCTCAGATTGGCGGACTCGGCAACAAAGTCGAAAGAATCCTCGCTCACAGTGCGTCTGCAAAGGGCAAAGCTAGCCAAGACCTCGTTGGACCGATCGTGGAATTCAGGAGCCTGCGTGCCGTGGGATTGGCGGATCTTTCCGGGCAAGCTGGTGATTTGTTGAAACCGAATGCTAAAGTCAGATACAATCCTGCTACTACATCGGTGTTGCAGACGTTGGAGGATGAGGTGAGGAAGATCCACAAGGAGGCCTATGATCTGAATGGTCATGCGTAAGCAAGATCGTGTTAAGTCGTTTGATCGGCGCAAGCTTGATTCGACTACACAGAAGGATCCTCTCGGAAAGTATGGATGGTTTGCTGAATGTTTAAGAGGCTAAATTGAGTATTACAATTTTTCTTTTGTCGCTTGTAATAGACTTTTGTAGTATGAAGCCAATATAATCATAGATATGAGTAAGCTGTCCTGGTACCGGGCGTATTCAGTGAATTAAGCTGAGCGGCAATGCAATGTTACGCGGTTCCTGGTCCCAACCATTATTCTTGATCATAGGGTGTCTGTTTTTCGAGCTGGTTACCGCATTCAGGCCCCAATCCGGTGAAAGTCTCGATCTTACTTCGCCCGATCTAGATACTACTTACATTAACAAGGCTTTGCCTCGCCACGTCGGACCTCGTTCGAAAATTCATGCAAACTGTGAATACAAAACGCTCTTCAGCCACAAACAGCATTGAATCGTAGAAGCTCTTCAGATACAGACACAAGCGCTCTCGAGCCGAAAATCTCGCAATGCCGACAATAGTGCGAGCATCAATCATCACACGAACGTGGGAATATATAGACCAGTTCTCGGCCAAGAATCGGGGCTTCAGACAGATAAGGGAGTCACAGAACGAGCGCATAGGATACTCAGACTCTACAGAGATGAACGATCTATCACTTCACTTGTAAGTCGATCATTGTCCCTCCAATATAAATATACAGGCTGGTACTAATACAGATGTTGTATAGAAACGCCCTTCCGGAACAATCTCTGAGCCCAAAAAGAGGAATTCAGAGACAAGGATGGAGATCCGGTGCATTGATATGTGCCTGTTCCATTATCTCTGTATTTCTAATTAACTTGGGCATCACGATATGGGCTACTAGTCGTCGGAACTCGGATGGACAGTTAGTGTTCGATGTCGACTGTCGAAATGACTCAAAAATAAATACTGGACTCCACTTGGTCATTAATCTGCTGAGTTCGGTTATGTTGGGTGCTAGCAACTATTGCATGCAATGTCTGTCTGCACCAACAAGGAAAGAGGTTGATCATGCTCATGCCAGAGGAACGTGGCTAGACATCGGCGTTCCAAGTTTTCGTAATCTGCGATACATCAACAAGCGCAGAGTAATCATATGGGCACTGCTAGGAATATCTTCATTGCCCCTTCACTTGTTCTTCAATTCCGTCGTCTTCTCCTCGGTTCGCTCGAACGGCTATATGGCCTATGTGGTCAGTCCATCGCTTTTTGACGATGGTTGTCGCCAATGCGACTTTTTAGAGTCTTGTCATTCTCCCAAGGACTCTAAATGCCCCTATGGTTCACCTTTGCTCCTAAGTCTGCGCAAAAAGGTCCAAGCAATAGGGATCGGCACCCGCATGAATACCACAGAAGTAACTTCTGAGCCGTCCAAAACCCATGAAAACGCCAACATCGAACTACTACAGAATCGCGATTGTATCTCAGAGTATTCTAGAAGTATCCAGTCCTTCCGCGGAAATCTCCTCCTAGTTACGGACGGCGAATATATGGGTACTCGACTGGGCAATAGAACGGACTACCATGTCTGGTTCCGCACCGAGCCCGTTGGCAGACCAAGCCCAAACGAGTGGGTTTGCGATAATCGCTCAGACTCAGATATTTGTGCGCCTATGAGAGACAAACTTCTTGAAGAAGCCGACTCATGGACTGTGCAGGGCTATAAGATCAATTACTGTCTCAGTGAACGATCCATATCCTCGTGTAGGATTCACGTTCTCTACCAAATTGGCTGGCTTATCACTGCTTTGAATTTACTCAAAGCAACTCTCATTCTTGTCACTGTTTTCATGGTCAAGGAGGACCCGCTCATGACGATGGGAGATGCTGTTGCTTCCTTCATGAAAATGGAAGATCCTACAACTTTGAACATGTCCTTTATATCTACGCGGGAACTAAAGCAACATGTTCCGTTCACATCGGGAATGCAAAGAGAGTGGAGAAAAACGAAGTTCCGGTGGAAGGACAGCATTAGCAAAACCCGTCGCATTGTAACGCTCTTCCTGTATGCCTATTTATTTTTCTGAGAAAAAATATCCCTACTTTGGATCCAGACTAACTCCAGCCAGATTCATCTGTGCGATCGCAGCCGTATCGACTTTACTAGGCTTCGGCATTGGTGAACTCAAAACTATGGGAGCACCAATATCGCTTTCTGCGCTGGCAAAAATTGGCTTTGGAACAGCTGACTCGAGTACTTTCATGTATGGGAAAGTCCGGGGCACTCTGACCAACGTAGTCATGGCAAATTCGGCACAACTCATCCTATCAGCGCTATACTTCTCCTACAATGGTTTATTCACATTCATGCTGCTTGGCCGCGAATGGTCGCAGTTCGCGCATGAAAGAAAGGGCTTGCGCCTGTCTCATGCCAAATCCAACGCACAGCGTTCAACATACTTTCTTCAGCTCCCCTATCGATACTCTCTGCCACTCATGGCTATGTCCGTGATATTGCATTGGCTAGTTTCTCAGTCGATCTTCCTCGTTGCCGTCGACGAGTATCAATTCGATCTACGTGATGCCAATGGAAATTTGTATGATGTAAAGCATTTCGATAGCGCACAGGCTGCCTTTAAAGGTGTATATACGACTTGTGGCTATTCACCAATAGCAATCATTGCTACCCTTTTCCTAGGATGTTTCATGGTAATTTTAGGAGTTGGAGCCGGATTCATACCATACAAACCAGGTATGGTCACTGTTGGGAGTTGCAGTGCAGCTATGAGCGCAGCATGCCATGCAGAAGAGTTCGATGGAATCAAAGGCAGCAGAGCGGCGACAATGGAGGTGAAGTGGGGTGTAGTAGGGGAGAACGCCGAAGGAGTGAGTAGGTGTGCGTTTTCAGCTGGCCCAGTCACATTTCCAGAGGAGAGAAAGTTGTACATGTAGTTCGTTGATACTAAAAAAACTCAAGTGTTCTTGTTTCCTTCTGCAATTCTTCTACATGAAGACCATATATTAGTTTTAGACATCGCTCACAATGACCTCAAAGTAACCCCAGATCGCTTTCTGACAATCTTTTTCATGTAATAGCCCCTTATCACAAAACCATCTACCCTTTTTCATATAAGAAATCTTGGACTCACTATGGAACAAACTGTTGTTGTCTAACGGTACGGAAGAACCCACCACCGACCAATCAAAAGACTAGTCAACACGGAGTCACATTTTCCGTAGGGTACTCTTCTCCACTGTAGATGCAGTTGGATCTTCATATATAAAAACATACTTTTCTCTAACCTCCAAACGACCTGCGTGTTTGTATAACCATTCAATTGACTCCGCTTCAAGCCTTCCAGGGAACCAATCCTGGTCGTTAGCCTTGTTCGTTACCCTGTGCATATAACTTCTCTATCATTTCCGACTAGGATCGATCGTCATCACCACTACCACCATGTCGACATCAATGGTCGCCTTGAAAAAGGATCTTCGCAAGAAAATAAGGTTAATACTATCAGATCTCCCCGATGCAGCTGCAGCGTCGCAAAGTTCGTCCACCAAAAAACTAACTTCTACCTTTGATAAAATCCGGCTACTGACGGAAACAGCATCCAATGCAGTGAAAACATTGCTTTCCCTTCCAGAATACAAGGCAGCAAAACGTATCAGCGTCTACCTGTCAATGCCTTCGGGCGAAATATCGACTACCGGTATTGTGCACGATGCCTTGAAGCAAGGGAAACAGGTCTTTATTCCTTATACATACAAGTTGCAAGCACCCAAAGAGAATGAGCCAAAATCAATCATGGATATGGTTGAATTGAGGTCACTGAAAGAGCTTGAGTCGCTTGAGCCAGACAATTGGGGTATCCCCACGCCGAGTGAGGAATCGATATCATCACGTGCGAATTCGTTTGGGGGTGTGGGCTTGACGGGTGGAGAGGCGCGCTCGGAGAGTAACTTGGACTTGATTGTGATGCCTGGGATGGCGTTTGATTCTGGTTTTGGTCGGCTTGGTCACGGCAAAGGGTTCTATGATTACTTCCTACGGCGGTGTGAACAATCGTCGAGGATGCCTTTTCGTGGTAAGGCTTTGCGTTGGATTCGTCTATTTACGGAGATGGGTATGCTGACCATGTTTAGTTGGCCTCTCTCTAACCGAACAATTACTTCCTTCGAACCAGTCTGTCCCTATGGATTCCACAGACTTTCGCCTTGACGCACTCATCTTAGGTAATGGCGAGCTCCGCCGACCCGCTGTTTAAATGATAACAAGTTCCTTTGCCACATATGGAACGACTTTTGCAAACCCTAGCACAATTTCCAGCAATGCTTGCCTCCGCTCCAACCTTAGACTCCGCAAGTTGTGGTGTTCGGGTATTCGATTGACGTTACGATTATGGTGTTCATTGCTGGATTTGCTGGATCAATGAGATGTTGTCGCCCTTGAGCAAGACCTGGCCTGTTGTATTGAATAAAATTAGTCACATCGAACGAGTAGAGTAGACCGCAATCCAATTGAGAGCAGCAGAACTTACCCAGCTTTCGTCGTGATTCGGGCGCGTCCTTCTTCGCAAGCGTGACCTCCACGGCGTCGTCGAGAACAAGGTTCATGAACTCATCGAATCCCTTCTCGCTCGTTAGCGTTTGAACCGTTCGTGAAAGATCTGTAGTCATACCCTGAGCTTGCCCTCCATGCGCATTCCGAGGTTCTCGTATAGCCATATTGAGACACTCGCTTTCGACTGCAAGAGCTTGAAGATGAAATTGATCGGGGGAACCTGGACTGGTATGTTTTAGCATGCGCGACGATATATCGAAGGTGTATCAAGGTCAAGTGGTACCTTTCTGTCCGCCGCGGCCTAGAGGAGGTTAGCTGGGATCTACACGTTCGCACAGAAGAATACATACCTCCTGGACGTCCAGACATCTTGACTGTTTGTATATGTACGGTAACTGAAAGGGTAGAAGGTCCTGAGTCGAATGCGCAAGGTGTATTGAGGGCAAAGGTGGAGTCGTTGTAGTTGACGTACCTACGTGAATGAAGCTCCGATCGATTTTCCTATGGAGACAAGCGAAATGCCAAGGCTAGCGGCGGGACCGGCGAACGGGTCTGCCACTCTCCACTCTCTCTATCCAGCAACCTCAGACCTACCTCACTTACACAAACAAAACTCGAACCAGCAACGACTTCCTCTTTATATCGATCTCGCGATCGTTCCTCCCGTCTCCCCTACCACAGGAAAATTCTCAAAGTGCATGAGCGCAATATAACGATCTCCCATCCCGCCCTCTCTGACCGCGCGCCTCCCCTCCTCCCCGCCGAGCGACTCCCGCTACCCATCTCCATCCCCGCTAGAAATTCCTCCAAACATGGCCGCCAACGGAGTGCATCAAGCCTTTGCGCCAGTGCTGGCTGCGCATAACACTATGGCTTCGGGGGCGGACAGAGCACAGAAGGAGCAGGCACATCAGTTTCTCGAAAGATTCCAGAAATCGGTTCGTTCCGGTGCTAGACCCTTGATATTTCGAGTTGTTCGCTCACACATTATATAGCAAGAGGCATGGACATCCACACTCGCCATGTTGGAGTCGAACAATGTCGATGCTGCGGCTAAGATGTTCGCGGCGACAACATTGAAAGGAAAGGTAGGTTGTCAGACTAGTTCACTGGTTGCTATGGCTTACACCCCGCAGATTGTCTATGACCTTCATCAGGTACCCCGCGAGTCCCTGCCTGACCTACGGAGCTCACTCATGAGGAATCTGGTCACCTTCCATGCTGGGCCAAAGCCAATCAGACTGATGCTTTGCGTCTGCCTAGCGAACTTGGCCATCCAGATGACCGAATGGAAGGATGTCCTCCAGCTTGTAGTCTCCACGCTCGGCACCGATGCGGCAACCTTACCGTGCGTCTTAGACTTTCTTCGTGTCCTCCCCGAAGAAGTCAACCATGGACGAAAAATCAACCTCACAGTACGTTCGGCCGAGTCACCATCTCCAATCAGATCAATGGCACCTCTCTTCGGTATCGCGACGTAGTCTCAGAATCAAATCAGAATCTAATGCTTGGTGCTGCCAGGAACCCGAGTTACAAGACAGGACTGTCGAACTGATAGACAATAACGCCAAACAAGCACTCACCCTACTTGTACAATACGCTCAATCGTCTCGTACGTAAAACACCCCCGTTCATCCGGCTTTACTAACTACTGGTTTTCAGCGGCCGCTGCTCAAAATCCGCAATTGTTGCAATGCATATCTTCGTGGCTGCGTGAAATCCCCCTCGAGGACATAATCAACTCACCGCTTTTGAAGGTCATCGTGGATGCACTCGCCGCCCCTGAACCCTTTGAGGCGGCAGTTCAATGCTTGTGCAATGTCATCGGAGAGACCAGGGACGTGGACGACAATATGAATAGTATTCTGGTCCTGTATCCCCAGGTTATTTCGTTACGGCCGAAACTTGCGCAGGCGGCGAGCGAGGAAGATACTGAGACGTACAAGGGTATTGCTAGGATATTCGCAGAGGCTGCAGAGGCATGGGTGCTTTTGATCGCAAGGTTGCCAGGGGAATTTCGAGCACTTGTCGAGGCTGTTCTTGAGACTGCTGCCTTGGATAAGGAACATGATGCCATCTCGCATACTTTCAGATTCTGGTACGATCTCAAGATGTACCTCACCATCGAGAAGTATGCGCAAACCAGGCTACAGTTCCTTGACATTTACACCCGTCTTGTTGATATCATGATCGGACACCTGCAATACCCTACACCAGACGACGGGAATGAGGCCGATCTCTTCGAGGGCGACCGTGAGCAGGAAGAAAAATTCCGGGAGTTCCGCCATCAAATGGGTGACGTACTGAAAGACTGTTGCGAAGTCATGGGCGTAGCCGAATGTCTTAAGAAGCCATACGACCTCATCCAAGCATGGGTACAGACTTATGGCCCACATGCATCCGCCGGCCGAGTTCCAGCGTGGCAGCAGTTGGAGGCTCCATTGTTTGCTGTGAGGGCCATGGGCCGAATGGTGCCACCGGACGAAAGCGTCATGCTTCCCCAGCTTATCCCCCTGATCGTCGCCATTCCGGATCACGACAAGGTGCGGTTCCAAGCAGTCATGGCTCTCGGACGATACACGGAATGGACAGCCCAGCACGCAGACACTCTTCAGCCTCAGCTAGATTACATCATGGCCTGTTTCGAGCACTCGACTAAGGAGGTCGTTCGTGCGGCAGCTCTCTCATTCAAATTCTTCTGCAATGATTGCGCAAGCCTGCTTGCACCTTTCATTGGCCAACTTCAAGCTTTCTATTCCAAACATCTGGACGCCTTACCGACCAGCAGCCAGGAGGAGATCACAGAAGGAGTTGCTTCCGTTGTAGCCAAGATCCCTGCCGATCAGGTATATGCTACGCTGAAGCTATACTGCGATCCCATTATGCAAACTCTCGTGACCATTGCGCAACAAGCGAACGACGACGCTCAGCAAAAAGTACTCGCAGACAAGATCAACCTGCTGACAGTATACTTCGATATGGTGCGCCCCTACGTCAGGCCCACGGAGGAGAATCCCGCCGTCAAATACTGCCAGGAGATTTTCCCGGTGCTCAGCGACATCATTCAGCATTTCTGGAATAGCATACCTGTACTTGAGCGGGTGTGCCGATGCTGGCGGTATATGGTACTATCTTATCGAACTGCCATGCGACCACTTCTTCCCGCTCTCGCAGAGCAACTCAGTACAGGATTCGAAAAATCGAAACAAGGGTGCTTTTTGTGGGCCACTGCTTCGATTGTACGAGAGTTTTCGCAGGACGTAGAAGAGGTCGACGCATCAATCACAAACGCCGTCTTCCAGTTCTACGAACAGCAAGCTAAGACCTTCCTGCGGACGTTGAATGACAGCCCACCGGAAGAACTAGGAGATTGTATGTACTCTTCCACCCCTTACTTGATTTGAGCTAACATTAATTTTCCAGTGATCGAGGATTTCTTCCGGTTGGCTGCCGACATGGTGATGTACTTCCCTACCCAATCCATCACATCGCCACTCATGGAGACTGTTCTTCTTGCCGCGTGCTCGGCTCTAAGTCTCTTGAAAGAGGAGCCTATCATTGCTACGCTCCACTTCCTCCGTGATTTGCTCGGTTACGGACGAAACAGCCCACCTTCTTCCAGCTTCGATCAAGAGCGTCAGGATGTTCCAGAAGCTCTCCGCAATCAGGTGAAGACTCTTGTAGTGGGCACCGGAGCACAGTTAGTTCAGCGTATCTTGACTGGTATGATGTACAGTTTCCCCGAGGGGGCTTTCCCAGATGCCTCTGGTGTGCTTCTTGACCTGTTCGAGCTTTTGCCCGAGCAGGTAGCTGTTTGGGTGCAGCAGACGGTCACCATGCTGCCCCAAGGATCAATAACACCACAGGAGTCAGAGCGCTTCTTGAACAATATCAGACAACGCATCCAGGGTAAGGAACTTAGGATGATTCGCACAACCCTGCAAGACTTCACAGCAAGTTACCGACGACGAAATGTGGCACCGCGCGAAGGCCTTGGTCGCCTCGAGGCCTCGCGCTTTAGATTCTCTGGTTAGGCGCTCTTGTATAGGGAGCAGGAACTTCGAAAAAGTGTATGTGGCATTGTATTGGTAGATGATTCAGGCGCGGCGGCGAGTTTGCAGAAAAGTCAGGAGTGGCGAACAGACCTACATTTGCACCGTATTAGGGGGAAATGCATAATATTTTCGGTTCGAACGCCATTTTGACAACGGAGGAAGGGTCTTTAATCTTCTCCGTTGATAGGAAGTCCCTTTCATATACAAATTTTCCCTTCTTATTCCCCCCGAGCAGTTAGCCTGCAGCATGGCCCCGGTGTATGTAGTTCTTTTCAAGGGTGCCGTTTCTGCTCTGGCAAATATAGAGTCATCTATCCCACTGTGTATCATTTTCACATTGCGCCCATGAATCTCATGCCGTATGAGGCATTGTAGCCTATGGAGCCTTTTATACTTGTACAAGCCCTCCAGGAAAGAAGTCGGGACATTTGTGCTCCGGAACATGATAGGAAACCAAACAAAACACCCTTCGTCACCTTCCCAGGGAGAAGCACATCTCGGTGATGCGGATTGAGCATCCGCATCATGCACTGACAAAGGGACGGAGGGGTAGGGAGGTGACATATCCTCCCATCCTGGGCTTCAATACATTCGAGAAATTTAAGCAAGGGATTCCGTAGAGGTTAACGAATTATTTGGTATAGTCTTGGTTTATTTGGTTTTTGGGTGTGGAGTAGTGTCCATTCTGCACGAGGGTAGAGTTTTCATCATACGATTTCTCTTTCGGGGCAGGGTTTCATAAGTTGTAGGAGAGTTAAGGTGGAGTAGTTGATGGATACGCTCACTGTTGTACAGGCGAAGGATGTTACAAGTACCGAGAAAAGAGTGGTGCATGGGATGTAGGGCTTGGGCATGGTGGAGGGGGTGTGTTCAGTAGGTCAGGGTTAGGTACTCCAAAGTAGGAAAGGAATGATGGAAGAACATAAGTGGGAATGTGTATGTTGAAGTGATAGTAGTTGTCACAATGGACTTGCAGGTAAGTGTCATAGGGGCGATCGGTGGGTTGATATAAGGAAAGGATGTTGAGGCAATTATACCGGTTACTTGTAAACAGGTGATTTCTACTCATGTATTGTAGCATATTGTAGGAAAGGTTTGGCCTGAATATTATATCTATATACATATTAGAAGATTTGGAATTCACGATTTTCTAAGACTCTGAAATGCAGGGTTGGAATCTTGAAGTGAGATGGCATTTGTCGACACATATAAAATTTGGGAACAGCTATGTTATTGTGTGAAATTGACATTATGCATGTAACTACTGCATCAGGCAGTATGAACGGATTTCATCCATCATGTTCAAGAGACGGGTATCGAAGTTGAGCGTTGATAGCAGATGGAATCGCAAGCATGTTCAACATGGTACTTGAAAAGATCGACTGATAACAACAACTGCAATCCAATTTTAGAACGGAACTAAGTGCCGTCTACAAGTCTCTAACGCTCATTCCCGACGGCTTAGATCATGTTTTGGATTGAACGGCGATCATCACGATATGCGCAATCTCTACCACCGTTCCAACATGGCCCCCAATCTTGAGAGCGTTCATCACGGGCAGCAACATACATACAAGTGTAGTCAACATGATACGGCCCCGGCACAAATTGTCCAGGGTGTCCGCATATATGCACCGACCCGCGTATACCCATATATTAGCCTCCCCTCCATACACATACATGACGATGTTAAGCGGAATCGGGCAATATCAAGCGAAAAAAAAAGCTCTTGTTCGACAAAGGCCGTCAGGTCAGACCCTATGCAGCTCCCTGCATTAAAATGCCTTTTTACCCTCGCTTTTGCTTTTGATTTGCGGAATTTAATGGGAATTACGTCGGAAAATAAGGTCTTGTCTTGTCTCTTCTGGGCACAGAACATTGGCTGGGATTGCATTGGTGGAGATGGAGATGTGGGAATAGAGGGAAGAAGGGATGGGCTATGTTTGAGCGCCACGTTTTGTGGATGGTCAAGTGGCCGTGCTATGCTCCACCCGTCCAATGTCGTACCATGAGATCATTCTGTCATAGACGTCTTTCCCGTACATCTATACTATTGATTGCTATTACTTTTTGTAGACTCATCTTCTCGCCCAACATCGAATGACCACAGCATAGCATTGTCCGCTATCGAATGCGAGATCTACATACTGTGTAGTAAGATCTCCAATCCATGCCAACACATCTGATCTCCGCAAACTATGGAAAACCCTCCAATCGATATGTTTGTAAGTTCCTACCTTCCCGAAACAGTCATACTTGTAAGCAAAGGCAATCCTTCGTGCGGCGGCTGATCGACACCGGGGGTACGGACGCGATGGGGTCAGGGTAGGGGAGGGAGCAGTGAGTCGCAGAAGGGATGTAACTCCTTCGATGGCGGAAATAGTATCTGGGGCGCCGGGGGAGAGGGCCGCTTGGGTTAGGGGTATGGATGAGGGAGTGGATCTGTGTTTTATATGCACGGAGGGTGATGGTGCTGATTGCTGTCTTCTATGGGGGAATGGAACCAGTTGGAGCAGTTGGAGACTGGCGATATGATCGCTTTGGATAACTTGTGAGTGCTGTTGTTTATTTGGTTTCTTTGCTTGTTCTTCGTTGTCAGAGCTACAGTACAATGGTGGCAATAGCAAAAGCCACTCCCAGGAGTGCGGCACCAAGTCTGTACTGTCAAGTTATCATTTGAAGCTACTGCGGACTCCCAGGGGAATTCAAGTCGGCGAGGTCATGGGCGTTGCACTATGGACGATAGTGTGGTTTTTGAAATCCGATGAGTTCGTATCTGTGTTGGCTTATTTCTGTCCCATTCATCGACCTACAGGCACGTCACCCGTCATCTACCATGTGGCCAGGAGGATGGATGCTGGCTCGGGCTTCCCCACGCATTGCATTAGGTAGGTTCCCTCATGCTGTGGCCATGTTTCCGTTGCTTACATGCATGGCCCCACCACGATGTGGTTGATGTTCCTGCTCCACGATGTTTGATGGTTTGATATGTTTACGGTCTTTTGACACACACTGAGGCGGAAAATAATCAAAACGAGCTTTTTGGCTCAGGAGAAACAATGGTTCATCAAGCTAAGATATTCTATATCGTAATACTTCATTTCAAAAACCTCCAATTCATGTTGCGGCCGTACGGTACAAGCCATCGTGAAGCCACCGTCCCACAATCGGACCCTGACCTCACGATGATCTTTCTGATGGTGCAGATGTAGGGCCTTGATGTGGCTGTAATAGTTCGTGACGGACCGTCGGAGATAGGCTCCGAACCGAGTCCAGATTGTTTTGTTTATCTACGCACTAGTATGAAAGTTGAAGATGTCATACTGTGAAGATGATGAAGCTTTACTTGATTACTATCAACGCAGCAATTGCTTTGCAAGATTTTCTCCTAGACATGTAAAAATGAGGCCCACAGTAGATACGCAGCCGAGTGGGAGAAGGGCAGTCGTGCAGTCCCTGCCGTCCCCCCCCCTTTTTTTCCTTTCCTTTGCTCCGTGAAAGTTTTCAACAATCATCCTCGGACACTCGCTGTCCAACTAATCGCGATATTGCAGGATGGTCACGTGATGAGGATCTGTATCTTGCCTAGTTTCGCGTTACTAACCTTCGCGGGCATAGACTGATCTCGTCCTCGTTCATCGCTCTCATCGCATCCCAGTTGATCCCAGTTGATCCCGCCCACAAATCCACACAGATCCATGCGAATCCACCGCACCGACCAGATTGCTAACTGAGCTGGGACACGCTGCACGCACTGACTAGCCGTTAGACACGGGAAGGGACCTGGGAGGGTAAAGACTAAAGAAGCTCCAGGCTTTCTCTCAACCTCATTCAATGGCATGGCCCATATCCCGAGAACGGTCGCCTCGCTAGCGATCGACTTCATGAGGTGGTGGTTCGATGGCCTCTCCTCTGTCGGGTCGGGTTGATGCGTCGAAACGGCCCATGAAATTCACTGGTCGCCGGCCATACAGGAGGCAGTCTTTCCCTTCCAGGTTCATCCTCCCCCACTCAGGCAGTTCGACTGGCCGTACATCATTGCACGTTCCAGTCATGGTGTTGCCATATGGTGGTGGGTGCGGGCGCGCGGCGCCTGGCGAGGATTTCCAGCTGGGAGGAGTTTCGCTCCTACGCCACTGAGCCACTCCATAGGGCGCAAAGAGGCGTTGTGGAGCACCGACAAGTTGGACCCCTGACAGATTTCATCTCCATGATTGCAGCCTACCCATTGTCCGTGTGTGCTCTGTGGAGTTGATCACCCTGTCCCAAGTCCTTTTTGACACTACACCCAGTGAAGCAAATCTATCCTTCGGGCACGTTGTTGTTTCCGCACGCTCGTGAGCGATGAACGAGACCGCTTTCCGGAGCGATGCAAGAAACGGGGCTTTGTGGGGCCGCATTCCACTCGAACGAGGAAGTTTCCCCGTCCTTTGACATCACAGATTGGGCAAGGCAGCACCTCACCGGTGGCTTAATTGATCACATCGAGGCTGGAAAAGAAATGCTGGCAAAGCAGAACCTCTTCAATGGGGACATATGCCAATCTTCTCGTCGAACCAATCCCTCGTGTTCGGGAGTTGCCGACTAACTGTCGGACGTGACTTTGTATGCTTTGTGACAGTTACAGGTCTGAGTGTACCACACCAAACCGAAAGGGGTACCTCGATACAAAGATATGAAGAGTGATAACTAGCTGACACGACAGTATAATTTACCAAGAGCTGATTTGTGATAAACAATCGAATGCCCGAATCGGTAATCACGCAAGTAGCCGGCAGACAACACAGCACCCTGCACCATGATACTATTTTAGATCCAACACGAAAGATGTACATAGTGCAGTATGTACCACGTTTCTTGGCGGGCCCCTCAAGAAATGGGCCGAAGTCCCATGCCTCGGATACGGGCTTGCAACGGTTGAAATGGTGATTACATTTTATCAATACCGGTGTGCACTTGAGCAGTAAGGCGTAACCGCCCATGGGCTTGTGCACAAGTCCGTCGGAAAGAGGCTCTCACATCCATTCTGGCTTGTTAGGCCCAGCCACGTGCAAACAATCCATGGGGTACGTATCCGGTATACGTGCATTAGTTTGATATTGAATGTCTAGGTGAGCACATCTAGTTTGAAGCTGGACCATCAAGCTTCTTCCTGCGAACATCGTCCGATGGAGAATGCCCTGTGGATTGTGCCGTGCGGTGCATGCGTACGAAGGCAGATCAGAGCCCGTCACCTGGACGTGTATACAGGCGGCACTTCGTGATATCAGCATACACAGGTGCATGAAATCCGTAAGTGAGGCTGATGACATGAGTTTGTGGCTGCTGTCGACCCCAGCAGAGTACGATAGTGGTCTGGCGCCCCCGTATCGACAAAGGACAAGGGCGGGATGTCGTGAATAGATTGGGCAAAAGTTGAGAGAGAGAGAGAGAGAGTAGAGAGAGAAGAGGGGAGGGATGCCAGGATAGCGTGGATGGGAAAACCGGTGATGATGAAAGAGGCAGCGGTCCAACAGTGAGTAGCCGTCGTTTGCGTCTGTCGGGCCACGGCCCACAGGTTTCCGCACGATCTACATCGCGTGGGCTTGCAACCCCTCGGTTCGGTGCAGAGCAGCAACAACGCGCCCGCGCACCGTACGGTTTGGCTTGCAAGGTGTAGACATGCCTAGGTACTCGCCGACTGCACGATTGTGCAATAATAGCTTTCATAATCCTCGTCGAAAGCGCCGACAGAGCGGCCGTCGCGTGCAGATGGCGCTGCAGGTCCGCATACATGGACTTGTATACAGCTCCAGAGGTCGCACAACCTATACCCTACACTACACCGGTAGGCAGTCTATACGGACTTTATGGGTCAAGCGTAGGTCCTTCAGCCGCCGGCCACTGATTTATGGGTTTAAAGATGTCATAATAGATATCGGCGGGCGTGGAGGATCAAATGAGCCCATGGCCCCAGCAACCAGGTCCACGCGCAACCTAGCCGCAAATCATATCAGGATTCTCGTAATGGCGGAGGGGGAAAGGGGGGAATGCGGATAAGCTGTTGTGCTGGGAGCAGCAGAGACGTACATACAAACGACTACAGACTACAGGCTACGAACGACAGACAACAAACCGCCACTTACAGTACCTATGTCTTGAAGAGCACAAAACGAGTACAGGGCACCACAGTGTCGCCCGAAAAGCTTTGTTTTGCAACCCTGCCCAGTGCGGTGCCACACTTTATTTATTTTTCCAGCTCAATGTTGGGCAGCCACCCGGCCGATTCTGCAATTGCTCGATCCACGGACCGGCAAGACGCCCTTGATGAGTTTAAACAGCCCTCTCTCGGTGGGAAACTCCCCTGGGCGCGATAGGAACGACAGGTGCTGAGAGGTAGGATGAGGCACATGGCTACCCGGCACGACGGGTTGGTGGGCATGGGATGGATGCGGGTGCCCATTAAGCTTGTCCAGTAGCTCCCCGTCATTCCCAGTACAGCTCCCTATGTCCCAGTCCGCTCCCAGTCCGTCCCAGTCGATGCTGGTACGTGCCAGTCTATTCCAGCTTGGGAGGGATGGTGCGCCAGGTAAAGAGGACGCCACGCCTCGATCCAGCCATGCCTCTTACAGATTCTCTCTTTATTGGAGTTGGGAGCCAAGTCATCGGACGCTGAGATGCGGAGACGATGGGCGAAAGTCTAACGGAGCATTTCTCAGGCCACAACGACGTAGCGGACCCTCTAAATCTGTCGTTGCTGCAGCCAGTCAGAAGACCCATGGCTGAGGTGACGGGTTCAATGGACGGCGAGGTGCACAAGATTCAGCATCATTGACCTCTAAGCGATGCAAATTCCCTGGTTCAGAGAGGGTGAGTGATGTCTTCTGAGGATGGCAAATGATGGGCACCATCATCGTCCTGCAAGTTGAACCTCGGGATAGGCATGGATTCGTCCGGTGCCTCTCCCTCTCTGGACCTGGGTGCATGCTATGCTTCTAAATCGAGGGGTCTTTGCAATGAGGAAGTGGGGAGACGAACGACCCAGAAGCCGATGGCACGCAGTATGCAATACAATAATACGCAACACAGCTGAGCGCCCTGTCAATCTTGGTCGCGTCGTGCACGAGGCACACTATCTATGGTTGTGATGTCTAGATCTCAATCACCACATTGTTTCCTTGACCATTTCTCCAGGGTGGTGAAGAGGGGGAGACAATACAGGAGATCTGAGACCTTGGAGATTTGGTGATTAGAAAATGAAGAGTCATGTTTTGCTACCAGAGCACAACCATGACACGCAAATCGTGCCATGTCATACTCGTAAGTTTTAAGTCGAAGGGAAAGTATTCAATGAGTAATAGCCGTGTCCAAAGGTTATTCGGACGGTCGTTCAAGTCCAGACTGGCCGCCGAACCCGGCGATGCCGCTGCCACTGCCGCTATCAAAGAAACTAGGCTTTTCTCTGTCTCTGCTCTTTTCTCTTCTTCCAAGCCTACCCACTTATTTCTTCATCGTCATCTCAACTGCCATAAACTTCCCAAAGAAAACCCTTGATGGGATGTTGGTAGTCGCCCGCCCGTGCTATTCTGGGTAGATTAAGGAACCCCGGTCGTAAATTCCGTAACAGACGTACAATCCCTCCACTTAGCCCGCTCGCCCAGCGATCCCAGGGGTTCAACTGTACCTCGTACATAGTAACCCACAGACGCCAACTGGACCACAAACCACAGACCACAAGTCCAAAAACCACTAGGTACTGTCTGTACTATGCTCCGTTAACCTACGAGTACCTAGGTAGTTACTAGACGTACACCTTAGATACCGTAACGGGAGCATTTCATGATCACGGCACCGACCATTTCGTCACACACATACCAACTCACACACACACACACACACACTTTTTCTTTACACGCACACACAATCTCTCTTTCTCACACACACTCACTCTCTCCTCCCTCTTACTCTACTCTTTTCCGACCCCCTCCTCCTGCGTGCACCAATTCCGTGCCGGCATCTTTGCGCTGGCCCTTCCCTTGTGCCCAGTCTTATTCTCTTGTCCAAGCGTCCGCCTTTCCTATGCCCTGGTCCATGGCGCACATCTCAATTGAACCTCGACGCATGCTTGCCCTATAGCATCACTGCTGCTTTTTGTCTATGCCCTCTCCATCTTCCCCACTGCATCTGCAACAAAAACCAATTGCTTATCGTTCTTCACACACCCCCAAACCTCATCATTCCCCCCCCTCCGCCCCTCCCTCTCCTAAAGAGGATAACACTCATTTCCTGTTCTAGACCTTTGAAACCTGTCCAGCCCATTCGGCGATTGCCTGCTGGACTCTGCTGAGAGGAAGGTGTGCGTGTGTGGAATCAATTCTCCAGAGAGAGACCCTACCCGTCTTAGCAGCCTGTTCGTCGACGGCGCCTCGTCCGTCTTCTAATTTGGTGCTGCAGCTATCCACTGCCGTATGGTGCGTGCTTCCCTTCTCTTTCGTATATCTCATCCTGCGCCCCAGGCTACGGGAAGTCTACAATCCCAGAGCCTCACGCTGTTCTTGCTCCCGGGGCATTTCAGTCCCAATCCGACATCCCAGTACCTACTTTGCAATACCTCCACTACTTAAACTATATATGCCTGGCTGCTCCATTCCCAGGCAGAAACACTTAACCTTTGATCTATTCATTTAGCTTTGCCGCCAAACTTTGACAGCTTGACCGTTGTCGCCCCGCCCACATTCACCACCACCTGTGGATCGCCCATTCTCTAGCGGCCGCTTACCCCCCTCGGGACTGTCGTGCCCACGTAAACCCGGAGATCTTGCTTTCATTCCTCCTAGTGTTGCGTCTCTTAAGCATAGGCCAAGGTGCTACCATTTGCTCCTTGGTATTTACACCAGGCGTCCCAGCATCCTGGTTTACATCTGAGCATTCCTTTCCCTTCTATCGAACCCCCCAGGATACCTAAAGGTTCCATCATACTGGGTTTCGGCCTCACGTTGTCCAGAGATGTCACCTACACAGGCCGATGCTCCTTCCAGCAACACTGGTGATGTGTCACCAGGCGGAAGTGGGAATCCCGCGACCAACCCCAAGATGAGGAAGAGGACCAAGACCGGTTGTCTAACCTGTCGAAAGCGACGCATAAAGTGCGGAGAAGAGAGACCTACTTGTGCCAACTGCATCAAGTCCAAACGTCAGTGCGAGGGGTACAACCAACGAGTTGTCTTCAAGCCTCCGATTGGGGACTGGCCAAATCATCCAGGTGTGGTGAGCACACTGCAATATCACAACTCCATGCTCCCGGGTTCGAGAGCATCATTTCGGGGCCAGCAACCCACCGCACACTCACAAGATTCTGTATTGTCGACTATACAGCCACGACCGACACAATACGACTTCTCAAACATCGAAACTCAAGTTCCGGGACTTCAGCAGATAGATACGCAGACAGTGCTTGTGGGCGGGCCTCAGCCTTATCCACAAGATGCGAACTATCAGCAACCACTCCAGTCTCCTCATCATCAGCAGGGACTTCACTCACCCCATCACCAGCTTCCCACTCCTACGAGCGCTTCCTACTTTTCGTCACAGACGTCTCCCGTGCATCCCAACATGCCAGGGCAGTACGCTCAAGAGGGAGGCGCGGGCTTCGTGCCACCTTATTCACAAGTCGACACATCACCCATTACATCGTCAGATCAGGGTGTGTATCAACAGCCTCCATCGTCGGCAGGTCTCTCGCAACCACATCCCTACTACACCACTCACTCCGCCACTCCCTCACCGACAGGAGGATACACGCAGTTCTCCGATCCTCGGTCGAGTCTGAGTCATATCGACGAGCAATCTTCATATCAGCAGCAACAGCCACCGCTGCAGAGTCCTATCTATTTCAGTCTAGGAGGCTCGTATGCCCCGTCGCCGGCTTTGGCACATGCAGTTTCGCAATCTTCTTTCCAACCTGTTCAGATACCCCATCATGATGTTCATTTTGATGTAAAGTATATGCCTCATAGCGCTCCAGTCCTTGGTATGTCCCGAGTTTAGTTTATTACAAATTACGTCCTCATTTAAAATCCGTAAAGAACCTTTTCGAAATAGAAAAGGGGATTCTTCTTCCTGTTGGCTGTCTGTTGAATGAGTTGTGCGTATTCAACTTCAGCCTTTTGCATGTCCTTCACCATAATAATGTCCCCTGGCCTATCGTGCCTGTCCTTCCTCCCCCCAAACCTGCATGTCCCAAGCAGCAAGCGTCGTGCTGTCTGAAAGCCTCTCGTGTAAATAGTGATGCAAACATGTCTGTACTATAAGATTGGAGATGATGCTAACATATCATTCTTACCTTTAGACCAGCATGATGTCGCATCTTCAGGGATTGAACCTGCAATGCTACTTTCGGGATTCGGCGGCGACGATCACGTCAGTCCGACCCAGGTCCTCTACGAAGCGGCCGTCGAGAACGAAGACGACGACTACTACGACGTACAGTCCGACGAAGAGATGCTCGACAGGGAAGACAAGAGCGACGACGCCGTGATGCTGAGTCAAGACTTCAGTCTCATCCACCGCATCCAGGGCGAGAGCACGAGCGACCTCACCGTCCGAAGCTACAACGCCTTCATCTACGAAGGCATCCTCACTACCTACCGAGCCGAATACGTGGCAAACCCTCTCAAGAACCCAAAGACGGCGAGAGTGTTCGCCCACTTCATTCACGTAACGGGACCGAGTTTGTCGATCTACGAGCGAAACCCGCGGAATCCCACGTCCATCTTCGAAGGGCCTGTACCGCCATCACAGCAGAGTCTTTGGACTTACACCCTACCGCTGAAGGCACTGAACAACCAGGGGCTACTCCATGCCATGCTCGCACTGGCAAGTCTGCACATCGCGAAGCTTCAACGAGCTTCCGTGACGCCGTCATACAAACACTACGCCTATGCCTTGAAGCGACTGGGGAGATCCCTCGGCAATCCGAGAAGACGTCTTACGATCCCTACATTGGCTACATCTATGCTGTTGGCATTCTACGAGGTCATGACGGCCGAGCACGTGAAGTGGTCGACGCATCTCGTCGGCGCCGCACAACTGATCTCCGAACTTGACTTCCGTTCCCTTACCCGGGAGGCACGTCGCATTCGAGCTGCACAGTTGGCCGAGGAGAGGCAGTTTCCGAACCAGAACCCGAATATGCTGATTGACCAGCGGCAGTTCGAGCAGAAGCTACTCCAGGAGAGCACTATGATACCGGATGCCGGGCTCGTCAGTACGATTGTCGGGAAGGAGGTCAACTATGACGATTTCGGACGGGTATTCGAAGAAGATGCTGGTGTGGGATATGATGGTACCAGGAGTCCTCCATCCAGGCCTGATCTTCGTAGTTACGAGACGATGCAAGATCTGTATTGGTGGTATGCCAGGCATGATATGTTCCAAAGTATCGTGAGCGGAAATCCTTTGATGTAAGTCTTTCCTTCCCATTGGCCCCTTCTACGTAACATATCAGCTGACCGATCCATAGCATGGATTACCGCAAATGGTCCGACTGTCCTCCACGAGCTCCTCTCGGTCGAGCTGATGCACTCTACGGATCCCACGACCACATCATCCTGCTCATAGGCCGCATCGCAGATTTCACAGTCCGCGACCGAGCACGGAAACTCGCACAACAGACGGCGAACGGCGGACACTGGATTCCCACGCCCGGTATGCCTGGCATGGGCAAGCCTCCGGGACAAGCTCAAGGACCGGGAGGACCGCCTCCTACGCCCACGACGCCAATGGGTCCTCCACCACATATGCAAGGAATGGGTCCGCCTCCTGGCTGGAAAGGTCCGCCGCCTCCGGGTTGGACTGGAGGTCCTCCTCCCAGCGGTCCTCCTGGTGAGAGTAGAGGACCACCGCCAGGCTGGAAGGGTCCTCCACCTCCAGGCTGGACCGGCGGACCACCACAGGGAGCTGGCTCAGGGGCATCTCAAGGTCCACCCCCACAAGCATCACAATCCCAAGGACCACCGAAAGGAGCTCCATCTCCTCCAGGCGGTCCTGGATTCTACGGTATGGCACCGTCCCGGCCCAACACCTCACTGCCAACCACCTACGCCAACCCAGAGCAAGCCTCGAACAGCAGCTCACCACGAACCCCCAAGAGCCCGAGCTCCCAATTGCCAGACCTCCCAGCGGCCATGGAATCCGCAATGGCAGAATGGAACAGCATAGCACAAGCCCACAACACCATCGCCATGATCCTCACCAAAACGCCCGCCTTCCAACCCCTCCCCTCGGACCCTCTCCCCCTACCCCCAGACCCGCAAGGCAAAAACCGCGCCCCCTTCGGCCCGCCCCTCATCCACCGAAGCTACGACATCTCGATCCTGTGGTCCCTCATCAACCTCTCCCAGATCCTCCTGCTTCGTGCCCACCCCACAATGCCACCCGCCGCCATGGTCGCCGCCAACGTCTGCGCGCCCGCGACCCAACCCTACGCCATCCTCATCGGCCGCATCGCGTCGGGGATGCAGATGCCGACGTTCCCCGAGGCGTCCGTCACCCCGGCATTGGGTGCCGCGCTCATCGAGATCACGATGAGTTTGTTCTTTGCGGGCGTCCAGTACACGGACGCGTCGCAGCGGGAGTGGCTGATCACGAGGCTGGTTGACATCGATAGGAGGACTGGGTGGGCGAGTGCGGGCGTCGTGGCGAGGGCGATCGAGACGAGTTGGGAGAAGACGGGGGAGATGGGACGCGGGCCGGCGTATCCGAATAGGATTACGAGGGCTTTTGGGATGGATGAGGAGGATAGCGATGAGGATGGTGATGGGGAGGGGGAGAATGCGCCGAGTATGGATGGGAATGTTGGGGGTGGGGGTGGGTGGGGTGGTGAGAGGGTGATTAGGAGTGGGACGGGGGCGAGGAAGCCGTCGTCCGGGTGGAAGGGGGATAAGGGGCGGTGGGGAGGTGAGGAGAGGAGGTTCGTGGTTAGACATAGGGGAGGGGGATTGGTACCGTGGGCGATGAATGTTTTGGCGACGGATGAGGATTTGAGGGTCGGCATTGATAGGATGGGGATTGGAGGGGAGATCAACGCCGCCGGGACGAGTAGAGAGGCTGGGGGTTCGTAGGAGTTGATCGAGACTTGGATCGTATGTTGAGACGATGAAGAGAGTGGAGTTTCGAAGACTGAGATGAAATGAATACCTGGACGGATATCATGGATCCCGAATGCAACGCCAGGATCACCGACGAAGCAAAAGATGTCTTGTCAATACCATCGACAAAGCATTCATCTCCGATAGAGGAGTATAACGAAGCAAAAGCAAGAGCCGACCCAACGCAACACATCAAGGCCTCACGATCTTCCCTTCCACGTATCACTGCACTACCAACATCCTTACCACTCCCGAGCAACATCTTCTATGCACCAAAGGGAATATGAAACGGATCGGATCGGATCGAAGCATACGAAAGGATACTCCCTATCTTCAAATCCCAGCATCACCATATCACCACCACATCATCAACATCAACATCATTACCAAAACCCATACACCAAATATGCAATCTACACTGCATAAGAAAGGCCAACGCGATCGAAAAAAATTACTCAAAAACGTATCTCCCAGCCGAACGACTGGAAGCCAGCATTTGATATCCCCTTACGACCATGACGACGATATTAGCTAGTCAATGACTCTGATATATATACCCCTTAAAATAAAAATCTATCTACTATGTACATCTACTACTATGTTTGTTGAGTGAGTTTGAAAGGCAAATATGTGTGATTGAAAGTGTATATTTGTGAGATAACTAAGGCATGATGAATGTAAAATAAGAAGAAAGGCTTTCATGATAGATGCCGTTCCCTTGGAAAGTAAGATTGAAGATGGGGAAGAAAGTAGGGGAAGGTAGGGCAGATGTTTATTTCTGTACTCGATGGGAAGACCATGAGAAACCTCCATGGCCTGAAGATATTGAGTGTGAAATATCACCCAGCCCCGATTGGATAAATGTGGAAAATTCCCTGTAGTGACGTAAAAAAAGCATAAAGAAATACCGCCAGTGATGTCCGTGAAATGATCTTCCAGATATAAAGAGGGAAGAAATGGCAAACTTTTATGTTACGAATCCCTGCAGATGGATTGAGACTCAGTAGTGACCTTGGTCAGTGAAGATGTGATCTTAGATTTGGTGGAGCGATGACCGCTCATTTGGGATCGTAGCTTCGGTTGCGGCTCTGGAGCTGGACGATGGCGCTGTAGAATTGAGTGTCCCAGCTCACGCACTGGAGGTACTCCCACCAGAGACGGAGAGCTGGCGGGTCATCAGCATCAGCCTAGGATATGTCAGTACGGGATTGGAGTTCATCAAGTAGGATACACTTACCGAGTCGAAGGCCTGGAGAATGGAATCCTCCTTGATCAATCTCGTTCTCATCTCAGCGTCCTTCTTCCAAGCCGCCAGCTCCTTGATGTAGTTATCGACATGGTTCTTGACCCGCTTATCTTGTTTTTCCTGCTCTTCCGCGGCAACGCTACCCTCCACGATGGGCACCGGTAAGTCTCCCTCGTAGACAGGCTTGGGGAAGAAATGATCTCGAAGAGCTTCCGTCACCCACTCCGGGCGACCGGCAGCCGCCAGCTCCCGAGCCCAGTACTGCTTGACTGCGAGAGGCACGTGCTCGACCATGCGATCGTAGTCCAGCTTGTCGCTCCAGCGCGTCTGGGAGTAGTGTCCCATGTAGATATATCGGGATTTGTTGCTTGGGTTCTCCTGTGCTGCCCATGGAGCCTGGCAGACAAACAAAGGGACTTCATCGAAGGAAGTTTGCGAGTCCATATCGTAAAATTCGTTGGGATTCTTGTTGAAGAAGGCGGTGAGCTTGGCTCCGTTCTCGCCGGGTGCTTGAGGGAGGTAAGGTTCGTGGGTTGCGGAGAGCGTGTAGTAGGTCCGGTTCTTGAGAAGGCATGGGGATGGCGGAACGGGCGGGACAAACATGAGGCCTGGAGACCACATCTCGCCGCCGAACTCGTTGAGGAGGAAGTCAAGTGAGAAGGATACCATCTCTTTCGGAGGTGGGATCTTCGATTTGATGTCGGCGGAGAGCGACGGCATGTTGGTGACGGCAAGTGGCATCCATGGTCCTTTGCCTGAGCTTACGACGTCGGGAGCTTTAATGGGCTTTTGGACCGGTGGCTCTGTCTGCGCCGGGATATTCTGATTTGTGGCTTCGTTGGCAGAGGCACTGCCGTTGGATTTACGAAGATGAGGAGGTATGAACATGCGGTTGCAGTCGGCTCCATTGGTAGAAGTGTCGTTATTGAGGGACTGGGCCGGTTTTGGGTTGAGGTGGGTGGTCACTTGGGTTGCAGAGGGTCCGTCTAAGACTCGATCCTTCACTCCACGAACCATGTTCCCAGATAAAGAGGACTCTGTTCCAGCTGTGTCATGATACTGAACGATGGCCGTATCATCCTGCTTATGTCCAACAGTTCGAAAAAGGTTCTGAAATTCACCACGTAGGTCCTCGAGCTCGTCGCGTAGGTCTTTCTGTTCATCCTCCAGATCTGCTATCCGATTACTGATGGTGACAAGTGTTGGAGGACTATCATTGGGGCCGTCCCTCTGACTGAAGTTATGACCTGAAGAAGTCATGGGAGCAATTGTACGCCTGGGGCTAGTGTCTGGAGTAATGTTTAGTACCGTCCTTCCAAGTTTAGGGTAAGGTTGCAGCGGGTAGGGGCAGTGAGTACCGGCACTATGCAAAATCTGGTATGTGACTATACCACCGCGGTGATTTCCACGATTGTCCATGATTAGACAATCAGTCCTAGGACGAAGGGTGAGTACCGCTGTCTCTGGCGCTTGATCTTTAAGTTATGGAGGCTGTAGTAGTAAGGTACGCGTAAGAACTCGGTCAACTGAGATGAGGGTAAATGAGTCCGAGTACTATTATCGACGGTAGGGTCTGGATGGAGAGATAGAGAAAGAGGGTAACAGAGAGAAGTAGGCGAGGGATGGACGCTTGCAGCTATGAAAGCTAAAGTACCGTCTGTTCGTGATACTCGTAAGCCTGAAAAAGAGTAGAACACTGTGACTTCAAAAGAAGTTGAGTGATGAAGAGAAGGTCACAAAACGAAGAGTGGGATCCGCCACTCTTATATTGCCTAAGGACTCACTTGTGAAGTCGTTTTCCGAATTTACTTGTGCCAACGAGCAAGAGCCAGAAAGTCGGTGAGTCCGGATAGGCTGTCGTGAAGCTTAATGGAGATTTGATACAATACCGCAAAGCTAAGGCTCCGTATAGGTCGACAATAAATATTGTATCAGCATCTAGCACTCGGGATGGAGTCTGGTTGTCTACAGCACTACAGTAATGGGCCCCGATTTCATACTATTATTGACCGCAGTGAATGACGTCGGATCAAGTGTTTCCACAACTCTTTCTAAGAAGAAAGCTCATCACACTTTGAGTTGGCGTTCTCACTGCTCATTCTTGCAGTGCATCTCGCCTGTTGATTAGCGTTTGTAATCGATTAATTCATCATAGCGGTCTTTATGCCGAAGGCATACAACATTGCATTCAACCCTTGATATATGTATGCCGTATACGTATGTTCAAGCGGCTGTGCATCTGATGTGACAACAGCAAGATGCCCATCATTACAAACATACTAGAGAGTGCATCGCTATGGAAGAACCGAAGTCGCAATCAATGCACACTGGGACAATGTTATTCGTAGAGCCTTCATGGTCAAGATGAGGGCTATAGAGACAAAATGTTTACGAATGTCACGTTGTTCGTCGAGCCGTCTGTTTGGGTAAGTTTCTTTCACTCCTGCAAGGACTCTGCTCCTCCTATGGCATTGTCGAGGTGACGATAGGTAGACAAAGACAGTTGATGTTGGACTTTTGGAATTGGCCAATGGGAGAGAAGCATGTTGAGCCATTCATCAAAGCTACTCTGCATATTCTCGGTTGAACTTGCTGTCCATGAAAGTCGAGGCATTTTCCAAGCAATGAGAATGGTCGGACGACCTAAAGATACTAGATATGCAGAGCGGCTGGGATGAATGCACGTAGTTTGCAAACAAGAATTGACTAAGAGGAGCAGGTTTGTCCGAAACTCGGCTCGGTCGAACCGCAAGACGCACACTTGCACAGTACAAGAGCGGCTGACACCCCATTATTGTTGGTATCTTTTCGAGTATGCAACTTCCACGTTCTGCCAGCGAGTGCATCCTTTTTCTGATCAATGATTGCTCTCTTCCTTAACTCGGGATAGGGTGCAGTTCATATCGCGCCGAGATTCTCATGGACCGGCCAAAGAGGGGTTGCACGCACGCCATCGGTTAAGATCAGCGGTCCGGCGCGTGTATGGCCAGGTTGTATGGTGATTGTCAATTGATGATATTCACCGTCTGACAGCAACCTTCAAGGAATATCCAGCAGCATGGTATCACGGACGAAGATGGCAATTAGGCGATGGTCGAAGCGATGATGAAGATGTTCACGATGATGGTAGCAGATTGAGGAGGGGAAGAGGTTGTGCGTGGTCAGGAACGCGTAAATGAGTGAGGAGACGTGACAGGACAGGGCCGGCACGTGTGGATGACTAAGGTCTGACTTCCTTTGGACCCTGGGAATCGGTGGGAAATGAGAAAACGTCACTGGCTGGTTGTGGCCCCGGCGCCGGTGCGAGCGAGCGAAAGTCTTCCCATTACCCTCACCCTCCTTCTACTCCTCCTACTCCTCCCCATTACGAGTGGTAGACAATTTCAAGGCCCTACGGATGTAGCCCGCTTCTTCGTTATCCACTCTTCAGCTTGGTTACATCTTTCTACTTCTTCCCTTACTATCACTCGATTCCATCCCCTTCACACCCTTCGCCTACTCACGCCATGCCTCCTGCAAAGCGCACGCACGAGGACCCCCAATCCCTCAAAGAAAAGCTTCATGCTGGCCAGGGGAATGGTAATCGCGGTCGTCGCAACAATGGGACATCCAACGTGACCAACGGAAGTAATTTGAAAGAGGTTGTGTCCTCTGCAGCTATCGACACCGCAGCCGCCAACAACAGTCACAGCGAGCAGAACAATTCGGGAGTGAGTCGCACACCAGCTTGGGAACACCGCTCAAATGTGCATCGCTAACTGTTAATCTTCGTTCATAGATATCCTGGAAAGATCAAGACATCGCCCTCCTCCACTCCTTCCGCCGAACCTATCGTCTCGATACCCCTTCCGCCTTCAAGAAGCCCCTCAGCCAAGTCGTACTTGGGAGCGGAATCGGACGTTACTCCCCTACAATGGCACGACCCAAAGCGAAGAGAAGAGTTCCCAAAGAGCAACTGGCTATGGCAGTGCGGAAAAACTTCAATGCCCTTGGCGTCAGCGAAACGGACGTGATCGTCGACATGCTGTACAAGGTCAAGAATCAGGGTATGGAAGCTCTCATCCGCGACACTACTCAACTGTGTACTAACGTTATACAAGATAAGGAGTTTAGGGTACGATTTACACCACGCAAGTAATTTCGGTACATACACTCGTTGTCACTGCACTTCACGGAGTTCTTATCGTCGATACCCCGGTCCACGCACCTTACGGAAATATTTTGATTACAATACTGGGATAATAAGCATATGCATTGGGTTGGAGTTCGGAAACCACTTTGAATTTTTATCAGCTTCGGATAGGTCAACACCATCTTGAAATACAGATGAGCAACCTAATAGGGATTTATGTCGCATGACACATTCACAGGAAAGGGCCCCCAAAATGAAGAAATAGGCGGGATGACTTGCATGCTCCTCCATGCAAATCATACCATTGTCAATGATACATAATGAATATTTTGATCTACACAAGCATCATCGAGTTTGATTTGCACTTTTTGAGCTTTGTTGGCCTATTGTGAGACCTTTCGTGAGAAACCCCTGGAAATGCTGTGCCTCAGAAGCCTTCCCCAGCCTCACAGCTGGATGCAACACCACTACAACAGCGTGTCGGGCGTCAACTGTGACTAATATTTACTGTCTAAAACACAATACTTTGGATGAGATAGCCCTGCTGCACAAGCAGACATAAATATTGTGCTACATGGGGCGCTGTCCCCGCATGAGCTTAACTTTCTGGCGAACTCTAGAAAATACCAGAAGACGCGTGCCGAGGCCAATGACGGTGTTACCGCGAACGAACGCATGGGCCATCAAATTTTTCTACGGGAGCTGCTCCGACGATTCCATCATCCATCGCAATTCCCTCGGAACGCCCCAGGTTTCCTCACAATTTTTGGACATCACGAAACACCGTCAAGATGAGCTTCGCTGCTCCTGCGCTGCCTCTCAAGGTAGTCAACACCGCCCGTCTGGTTTCCGTCACCCAACGCTGCCAGCGGAGGGTCTTATCGTCGAAAGCGCAACGAACCAGACCGACTCCTAGTACTACACCTTTCCAACAATCCCAATATGGCCTGCATGCAAGAGTGAGTATCCTCAATTTCATCTGCATTGGCTTGTGCTAATCTTGATCGTGATAGTTATTCCACGCAACGGCAACGTCCTCGGCTATCGCGGACCCCTACGCTACCCTCGGAGTGAACAAGAATGCATCTGCAGGTGAAATCAAGAAGGCATACTACGGCATGGCGAAGAAATACCATCCGGATACCAACAAAGACGCCTCCGCTAAGGAGAGATTCGCCGCCGCACAAACCGCATACGAGCTACTTTCCGATGCCGACAAGAAGAAGGCATATGATTCCTACGGCGCCGCCGCCTTCGACTCGAACGGCGGATTCAACCCTGGAGCCGGGCCCGGTGCCGGCAGTCCTGGAGGCGGAAACCCATTTGCAGGGTTCGGTGGATTTGGCGGGTTTGGTGGGGGCGGGGCTCAGGGTGGTTTTGGTGGAGGTTTCCAGGGCGATATCAATTTTGAGGATTTGTTCAATGCGTTTGGAGGTGGTGGTCGACGAGGACGGGGGGCCCGGGGAAATCCATTCCAGGAGGAGGTTCTCGTCGGAGACAACATCGAGGTGCAGACCAACATATCCTTCATGGACGCCGCCAAGGGTGTGAGCAAAGATATCCACATCAATCCGTTGGTCGAGTGCAAGACCTGTACCGGAAGCGGGTTGAAGAAGGGTGCGACGAGGTCGGAGTGTAAGAGCTGTGGTGGAACAGGTACCCGAGTGACATCGATGGGAGGATTCCATATGCAAGCGACATGTTCTTCCTGCGGTGGATCGGGTGTTTCGATACCGCGGGGATCGTCTTGCGGCACCTGTCACGGAAACGGTGCGGTGCAGGAGAGGAAGACGATAACCGTTGATATTCCAGGCGGAGTGGAAGACGGCATGCGGCTCCGCGTCAGTGGTGAGGGAGATTCTCCCCTTACAGGACAAGCCACATCGTCGAACGCCAGAGGTGCAAAGGGAGACCTCTTCGTACTTATCCGCGTCGCGACCGATCCCAAGTTCAAGCGGGCAGGCAACGACATCTTACATACGGCCACGATACCTTTGACCACCGCTGTGCTTGGAGGTGAGGTCAACATCCCCACGCTGGACGGTGAGATCAAGGTCAAGGTGCCTACCGGTTCAGGTACCGGCGACCGAATCACGCTCTCTGGAATGGGAATGAAGGTTCTCAGCGGGCGTAGAAACGCAAAGGGTGATATGAAGGTTGAGTTCAAGGTGCAGATGCCCAAGTATCTCAGCGCCAATCAGCGCACAATCCTCGAAATGCTCGCCGACGAAATGAACGACAAGACGGCAAAACGCATCATGAACCTTGGACAGCAAAAGGACGGAAATCCCGACTCTCACAAGAATGAAGGCTTCCTAAAGTCTGCATGGCATAACATCACTGGACAACACAAAAACAACGAAAATGACGATAACAAGAAGGACAGCGAGCCGAAGAAAGCATCCGGATCTGGATCATGAGCGATCATATTTGAAGCAAAATTTTGTTTTCCTTGGTCGTATTGTACTGTACAATCACACATCTCCTGTCACATCTGTACAATATCCAACAATCTCGACAAAACCTGGCGCATCGAAAAAGGTCTTTTGGAAAAGACTTTGGGCATTTTAAGGCGTTGACCCAAGTAGAGAATGTATTTTAGAGATAATGATGAACCTATGACACTGGTATATTCCATACACTTCCACGTACGTCATTTTAGATGTTGTCTCGCCTGTGCATTGATGGTATGTATTCGCCCTGGTTGTTTGGACTTGGGATGCAAGTCAGTATAAGTGATTATAGCGACTGCATATTTGGACGCCACGGCCCTGCGTAAACATCAAGCCGCGATCTAAAGCAGATCCATTCGCTTGTACTGTTCCGAAGCCTTCTAAGCGTTAACACTACCGATAGATGATTCATGCTTCTCCATCACCCTGCTTGTCGCTCAGCGCTTAGACAAGCCTTAAGAGGCGTCCGACTCTCTGAGTGGTTATGCGCCCACTGCAGGCCCGGGGTCACCCTTCGCAATGCCTCTAAAGTTTTATCGATTCGTGACCAGTGCGAGATGGGAGAGGGAAGATAAATGTGCGTGATACTCGCGCGGTTGTAGAAAGGAGACGTTGATAGATAGATGGGTTAATTGTCTACTAGTGAGGTAGAAGTGAAGCGTCACCGTCGTGGAATATTTTATTCATTATGCAGCGTGATGCCCAGTCGCTCTATCGTTTTCATCATAATATAATATGTATGGCATGAGTCGCGGTGCCTTGCAGATTCCAAGTCATCACTCGTTATTGTTATTGGGATTCGGCGAACCGCCATAAGGTTGCCCCACCCTCCGACTACTAAGGTAACTACACCTACACCTACACCTAACTACACCTCTCCTAAGGGCACGCACTTGTCGTCGTCGCCCTATATACTCCCTCAACGCTCTACCACGAAACGGACATTGCGCCGCATACAAACAACAAACTCCCTACCTATATCTAATCCCTCTGTCAGACCATATAACCCCCTCGCGACCTTATGCACGCTCCCGCGACAACCCTCGGTCGGTGAACAGCTAGCAGCCACATCAGTCCTGCAACGTCATCTCCAACCTGCAGGTCGATGTGAAGTACGCAAAAGTGACAGCTGTAACAACATACACAAGGCCTGCAGAATCTCAAATCAAGATCTCGTTCGCTTATTCCGCGCCCTGGGATCACTCCACGAGCTTCCCACGCCGCAACGTCAACAACGCAGGCCTCGAGAGACATCCCGACCCACCTCACCGCTTGCAGCTCCCAATTGCTGACAGCTCGAACAATCCCCTCGCTATCCATTCCCGCCGCAACGCGATTGCCTTCAGGATCAGAAAGGCCCCCTCATAAATTCGCGCATCCTCCGTTGCCAGCACGTCTGCCGCCCAACGACTCTCCCCCGCTGCTGCCTCCACCCCGCAGCTATGGCGAACCAAATACCCATGATATCCTGCCCGCTCAAGCAGACCAACGAGATCGACTGGATAGCCCCCCTCAAATCCTACATTCGTGCGACCTATGGCGACGACCCGGAGCGCTATACTGAGGAATGCGCGACCTTGAATCGGTTGAGACAAGACATGCGGGGTGCCGGAAGTGACAGTGCTTCAGGAAGAGATCTCCTGTACAGATATTATGGACAACTGGAATTACTGGACCTGAGGTTTCCGGTTGATGAAAATCACATCAAGATTAGTTTTACATGGTACGTACACTGCCTGGAAGTGATCCGCAGCTTGTTTCAATTGGAGAGCGTGCGGGAATGAATAACAGGTGGAGAGATCTAGGACTGACAAAGACACAGGTTCGATGCCTTCACACATAAACCCACCTCACAGTACTCGCTAGCGTACGAGAAAGCGTCGATTATCTTTAACATATCGGCCGTGTTGTCATGCCATGCCGCGCATCAAAACAGGCACGAGGACATTGGACTGAAGACGGCGTACCATTCCTTCCAGGCGTCCGCGGGCATGTTCACATACATCAACGAGAACTTCCTACATGCGCCATCTGCGGATCTGAGCCGGGAGACCGTTAAAACATTGATAGCGGTCATGCTTGCACAGGGCCAGGAGGTGTTCCTCGAGAAGCAGATCGCGGACGGCAAGAAGGTTGGTCTCTTGGCCAAATTGGCGAGCCAGGCGTCATTTCTGTATACGCAAGCAACGGACGGCGCGCAGGAGAATGTTGGAAAGGCTGTGTTTGAGAAGGTCTGGCTGTTGGTCTGCCAGGTAGGTCGGAACCCCTCCGAGCTGGGGTCAATTACTAATTATTCCTCAGATCAAAGCCAACTACATGTCTTCTTTGGCGCAATACTACCAGGCGCTTGCAGACGATGACGCAAACTCTCACGGCGTAGCCATTGCACGGCTACAAGTGGCGGAGACAAATGCGCGGGATGCAAATAGGATATCCAACGCCTTCCCATCGTCTGTACCCACCAATTCGAACCTAACCAGCGAAACTGGAACCATTTTATCTGAGATGACCAAGAAGCATGTTACAAACATCCAGGAGAAATTGGCCGAATTCATGAAGGATAATGATTTCATCTACCACCAGGGCATCCCTAATGAGGCTTCTCTGAGCCCCATACCAAAGCTTCCAGCAGCCAAGGCGATCCCCGTGAGCGAGTTATATCAGGGACAGGATATCCAACGCATCATCGGTCCGGACATCTTCCAGAAGATTGTTCCCATGGCGGTTACGGAGCAAGCTAGCTTGTACGATGAGGAGAAGGCTAAACTGATTCGTGCTGAGAGCGAAAAGGCCGAAGTTGCTGACGACGAAATGGCTGCCAGTCTCGACTATCTCAAGCTCCCAGATAGTTTGAACATCCTTAAAGGAGGTATGGACCAAGAGCCAGTGGTTGATGATGACTTCCGAAAGTGGTGCGAAGAATTGGCAGGTCACGCGCCGTTCCCCAGTGCGTTCGATCAGCTCAATGCCGACAAATCAGAAATTTCGTCGACGTTGGATGCGTGTATGAAGCAATTGGACATGGAGGAAAGCGTGTGCGAGAAGATGAGGTCGAAATATGGAGGCGAATGGACGCAACAGCCCAGTTCGCGACTCACATCGACGCTTCGCAACGACATTCGAAATTATCGTGGTGCCGTCGAGGAGGCCAGTACTAGTGACGCGCAGCTCTACAGCACTTTCCGACAGTATGAATCAGACTTCGATGAGATGCGGTCGGCTGGCGAGACGGATGAAGCAGACGTCTTGTACCAGCGTGCAATGATCAAGGCTGGAGCTAGCAAGGGCAAGAGTCCGCGACCGGCTGAGGGCAATCTTCTCGATGAAGATTTCATCGACGGGCCCAGTGTATCTGATCAAATCGCAAGTGTTGAGGACGTGCTGCGGAAGTTGAATCTCATCAAGAGGGAGCGAGCGCAGGTACTGAAGGATCTCAAGGACAAGGTAGGTCGCCTGATGCACCAAACTACAAAAGTTTATTCGCTGATCATTGTTTTAGGTTCACTCCGATGACATCTCCAATGTTCTCATATTGAACAAGAAAGCCATTGCGAATCAGGAGAACCAGCTGTTCAAGGCTGAGCTCGAGAAATTCCGCGGCCATCAGAATCGCATCACACAGGCCAACCACAAACAGGCATCGCTGCTGAAGGAACTCACGCGTAATTACTCTGACCTTTTGAAAGACAAGCGTGTCCGCTCAGAGCAGACCAAGTATGAGTCGTTCTCGAGGCAAAGGAATACGGTTATGACGAAGTACCGCCGTGTCTACCAGTCCTTCAACGACTTGATCGCCGGTCTGATGCGTGCACAAGGGTTTTACTCGGAGATGAAAGAGACGGTGTCAAGCCTCCACAAGAATGTAGAGACTTTCGTCAACAACCGTCGCTCGGAAGGTGGGCAACTTCTGTCGAGGATCGAGCAAAGCAAATCTCAAGGTGCCGACCAAGAGCAGCAGCGGTTGAAGGATCTCATGGAACGTATGTCCATGGAGCCGTCCGGGTCTCCCGTAGGTGGTCGTAAGAAGAGCGTACCATCGCCACTTTCTGCACAAACCATGCAGCAAGCACATCCAGCATATAACCCATCCGCCTCACCACCCATCACACCTCGATACAGCAGCGCCTCACAGCATCAGCCTCCATATATGTCTCCACCCCAATCCTTCCAGCAGCAACAATCCTCGAATGGCTACAACCAACACCACTCCCAGCCCCCACCCCGCAGAGACTCATACCAGACCACCTCGTCGCACTACTCCCAGCAACAGCAACAACAATACAACCCCACAACATTCGGCAACAACCCCGTCTCCCCGCCCCCTCACCAGCAGTACTTCTCCCCACCGCAAAACACACAACACCAGGCATGGAACCCGCACCCAAGCCAACAATACAGCAGCCCTGCACCACCCCAACAGCAACAACCCCAACACGGAAGCACATTCCTGCCACAGGGCTACGTACCGCCTCCGCCGCCCCCAGGCCCACCACCGTCCCAGGGCGACTACGGCCAGTACGCCAACCCGTACCCCTCCGGTCCTGGTGGCTACGCGAGTGCCCATCGCCCTGGGTCGCAGAGCCATCCCCAGCAGCAACAACAACAGCAACAGCAAGGTGGAAATGATCCGTGGGCAGGCTTGAGCGGGTGGAAATAAAGAACAAGGAGGGTCCTCTCGCGTTCATTTGTCGGTGTATCTGTCTGTTCGTTACATTGCCTTCTCTATACATACATAAGCACATCCAATCTTTCTTGCGCTGCGAAAGCAAAAAAAGCGATGCGAAAGCGAAGCGAATCGTGGCAAAGCTGGCATTCGATCACATTCAATTTAAATCAAATTTCTCCTTCCTCTTCTTTTCCTTTTCCTCTCCTTTCTTTTTGTGTGACCTAAGGGCGGGAGGGGAAGATTGATATTGCATAGCACGGCATAAGTTAGTGGATTAGTGGAAATATCTTTGGGACTTTATAAGGCGAGGCTTTTTTGTACATGTGTGTATGCGGCAGGAGGGAGGGGGGAATTTGTTTGACAGCGGTTTCTCCAAACATATTACGAGGGGTGGCTCTGAGCTCTGGCGTACTACTTACTTACTTCTTACAATTGAGGAGACTTGAACAACTGTTATGGGTGTGGGTTCAAATGTGAGTTGTGCGGAAGCTGTGATGTTTTAACGACGGAACATGTCGTAGTATGAACATCGACCAACATAGTAAGCCAATAACCCGAATATCAGACCACAGTTCGGCGAAGCAAACTCCTCCATTGAACTCCTATTCCGCTGGACCCGTCTAGTATATTGGTTGCAATGCAAACGTTTTTCTTGGGCGGGCTTGTCATTCTCTTGTCTCTGTCTCGGTCTCTGTTGTGCTTTATGCCAGTTAAAGGAGATGCACGTTGCGAGTAGAAGTCTACGGACACCGAATGAACTACTAACTACATACCAACAAATTCAATCGCTAATTAACAACCCCCACAACAGCAGTCCACGAACTCTCTGCATTAGTTTTTCAAGAGGCGTAGGACAAAGTCGGTAATTTGTGGTGGTGGTAGTAGTAGCAATCTAGCGGTGGTGATAATTTCCGGATCTTCATACCCTTAATCCCTCCATCTCGCTTTCGATTACATTGAAAGTGTTGTTTTGTTATGTAATTATGTCACTTACCTTTTTCCATCCTTCACGCCATTCAAAACATTACTTGATCCCCACGATGTGAACGGACAAGTGCAGATACGTCTGTTTGATCGCCGTCCGATGAGCGATCTGATCTACGTGCATGGACCTGTGGGGATGGGGGAGGACCTGTGGATACGGACAACGTGGTGATTTTCATGGTCAGTGGAGGGCGGAGTTTTGACGTCTTTATTCTTCGTTTCGTAAAGGTATCTGATATTGCGAGTGCGTGGTGGGTATGTCACTTTGGAATTGTACATGAAGAGACGGAACATAATCATTGATTTTCCTATTGTATTGGAATATTCTCTATGAGGCTTGGTTTCATCGTCTTCCGTGAATCTTGCTCAAGCAAATTAAACTGTTTGATACAGTCTGTCATCGCACGCCGCGTGTCTCATAGAGAGTTCGCAAATACCGCGGGAATGCTGATCGCGAATGTCACTACACTACTCCATACACAACATCACACAGAAACAAAACACATTTCCGCCAAAACTATTTCCCGTCCTTCGATAACTCCGAACAACAAGATCTTCGCATCACATGGTTACGACCCCAGACGACTGCTTTCACGATAGTTCCAACCATCCAGTATCGTCCAAAGTATGGCACCAAATGACGCCGACGCTTTCACAACATGACATCTAGTTTCGACATGTTATCCGAACCGGAACGCTAATGCAGGAACCATACACCGTTGACTCCCACGACCTAGCTTATGTAGACTACCAACTCCACCAACAACATGGCTGGCTTCTGGGCAGGTACCTAAGTTATACAAAACATTCCATGGAAGTAATTACATCCAACACAACAAAAGCTGAATTAGGAAATATATGTCATCCTGTGTCATGCACGACTGCATATCGATAGGGGGTAATCGATAGGAGTAGTCCACCCCCTAATCGATAAAGGGAGCCGCCCGGATACGAAATACGGGATAAGCAAAACCGACATACATGCCTAAAGACGCAGGGGCGGCGCTTGGCTTTAGCTTCGTTAACCTCGACTTTTGATTTTTTGATAGTTTATGTTTGGGTTTGTTTTTTTTTTGAAGAAAAAAAAAAAGGATTGTCCAGGTGATGTTCGGTTTAGTTGCTGGATGTTGCGGTTGTTGCTGTTATTGGTCGTGGATGGACGGGATTAACTAAGGTTTTCTATGGTACTCTTGTAGGAACCGTACCATACTCTGTAGTATGTATATGTACCTGAACCTGAAGGAAGATCCACGTGGTACAGAATATGTAGCGACGGGACAAAATGCACGGTTCAGATGCTACAATTTGCAACTGTTTGGACGGCACTTGTCCGGGTTTTAGTCTTCGTGATCACTATGGTACTCTTGTAGGAACCGTACCGTTCTCTGGAGTCTGTACCTGGAGGAAGTATCTATCCACGCGGTACAGAGTATGTAGCGTCGGGACAGATGCACGGTTCAGATGCTGCAATTGCAAATGTTTGAACGGCACATGTCCGGGTGTTAGTCTTCGTGATCGTTCCGTGATCATCATGAACCTCACACATTCACGGCAGAAACAGGCAAGCAAGGCGAAGTATGAGTTGGTAAACAAGTGTTTTGAAATTTATTGGGTCATGTTTCTCATGAGAGCTAGTCATTCGTTACGACATGATAGAAGACGCGGAGTTTCGTGTCCAGCAATTCCGCCTGGTCCCCATCATGACCACGATCCATTCCGTCAGGCAGCAAAAAGGTTGTGAGATAAGAGGTATCAAAAGAGGGCGGTAGAAGTGAAGAAAAGATGCCGTGCCTGAAATGCTTGAACAACCCCATTTGAAAATGTAGATTCGCCTCAGTGGCGAAATGCTACGATAGGTAAATGTTTAGACAGAAGAAGTGAAGTAAGTGTATTTCGGTTGTATTTCGGTTGCATTGCACTATAAATCATCGAACAGCTTAGGCGTCAATGCAGTAGGAGTACTCGGCCCACAGGTTGCTGCAGTTGCTGTCAAGCTGGGTGTTGAGGGTTCGGAGCCTCTCGAAGGAGATACCGGTGGCACTGCAGTCATCGCCCTTCTTCACGGCATACCAGGACTTGCAGTTGGCGGCAGCACCAGGAGCCTTCTCGCTAGTGGGAGCATTGACTGGCTTAGGTGTCTGCTCCTTGGGGGTCTCGGCTTTGGGAGGCTCGACCTTAGGAGTCTCAGCTTTGGGTGGCTCGACCTCGGGAGTCTTGACGGCGGCTGGAGGCTCGGTGATAGTGGGAGTCGTGGTAGGCTCGGGTGTGTTGCTGTTTCCGTTTCCGTTGCCGTTGCCGTTGCTGTAGTCACTTCCACCAAAGGCGACGTTGGAGCCACCCACTGAGCCAATGGTGCCCTCCTGGCATGCTGAGGACTGGCTGGTCCAGCCAACGAGACGGTTGGCGATATCGGTGCTGTAGCAGTGAGTGGCGATGCCAGAACCAAGGTTGCCGCCCTGAGGCAGGCTACCAGAGTTGTAGATACGAGCAGCCTTGTAGTACTTGGAGACATCGTCGCAGCCGGCCTGGCCGAGGGCTTGGGTGAGGCCGAATTCCAAACCGAGACCAACACCCTCGCTGACCATCTGCTTGATGGTGCTGTCTGGGCATGGGGTGGTGAATCCACCCTCGTTGCACGTGGCCTTGCCGTTGAAGCTCTGCATCAAGCCGGGGTTGCGGACACCGTAGTTGGTAGTTGGGGCGCGCACGCAGCCCTTGCTCTCCTGCATCATGGAGGCGAGGATGTACTCCTTGCTGAGACCGCTCTCACCGCTGACTTCGATGATGGCCTGCTTGATGGCGGCGATTTCGTTCTCATCGTTGTTCTGGGGGGATCCAGGGTACTGAGTACAGGAGGTCCTCAGGATTTCCAAGTTGGCGTCCCAGAGATCCTCGAACGGCCACCACTGATTCTGGGAGGGCCAACCTTGAAGAGTGGTACCATCACCACCGAAGACGGTGTACTTAGAGAAGGCCATGCCACCACGTCGCTCCACCGGTTTGGGGATTGGGGCAGCCATGGAAAGGGCAAGGAAGCTGCTAGCAGCAAGGAAGCAAGTTGAGGTGAGCATTTTGGCAGAAAGTTGTTGTTGTTGTTGTTGTTGTTGTTTTTTGGGTTATGTGCAAGTGTGTGTTATGCTGCGTGATTTTGTAATCGTTATTGTTGTTGTTGTATTGTTCGTGTTGTTTAGCAACAGATTGAATCAATCAATGAGTTTGTTGTCCTGTTTGGTATTGAAAAGCGGGCTCTCAGAGCGGTTGTGATTGTGAGTCAAATCGAGTGTTGCGTCGAGCAAGGAATGACTGAAGTGGTAGAAGGAAGGTGTATGGTAGATATTCCAGCACAAAGGAGTGAATGTGGAAATCGAAGTGAAAAAGGAATGTGTGCAAGGGCAAGCCGAGCGAGAGAATGGGATTGGATGGGTATGAAGGAAAGAAAGGACAGAAAAGCCGTGGGAAGAAAAAGAGAGAGGAAGAAAGTGAAGGTGTGGGGGGATGCAGAGTTATATACAAGTACATTAAGTGTATACGAGGAACTTGGGGCAGAACAGGCAGTAGCGGAGCGGCTTGCCGGCGGGTGACAGTCAGGTACGACCACAACCTCACCTTTTCCTATTTCGGTCCCTTTCACTCCTTCACTCCACTTGCACCACACTACTACTGCTCACTACCACCTGCACTACCACCACCACCACCTTTACCAATCTGCACATTATTGATCCCTGCACCCTGCCAACATGCGGTCCTTTTACGATCCCTCGTTAGACAATTAGTTAGGCACAATTGTCGCGGTGGAAAGTGGAGCGGGCTCACGGCTCACGAGCGAAGATCTACCCTGCTACGCCTAAAATTACCGCCCATCTCGCATAGGACCGAGGAAACAAAAACGGACACACGGACGGAAACCAACAAACAGGCAGGCAACATACACAGTAACAGTAAACCAGAACTATACTATTACCAACAAGCATTTCTCCTTCCTCCGTTCCTGGGACCTGGACACCCTTGTCCACCTTATCCACCTGCCGAAGCCCATTGATAGGCTTGCGCTGAGACAAGCAGGTCAGGATGGTGGACTTTTAGAACGGACAGGCCCGACAGGACAGGGACATCCGCACTCTCACCTCAGCTGTCACCCTCCTCATTAGACCACCTTCCATCTATTCTTGCAGGCCCAGATCTGGCAGAGGTCTTACGGGATGAATCTTACCGTTTCTCGAACACATCGTTAGGTATCATAACTGCTTACCTATTACTTTGCCCATCTTTAGAACATATCACCTTCCTTTGCAAATCGCACTCGCCCTGAGTACGCAATCAATACATGGGCCAACACTTCCATCGGACCAGCGGCTCTCCACAGTCATGTCTTCAGAGGTACAGTATATCTGCGTACCACGCTGGCTCTGTCTTTGGGAGAGGACATGTCACTCAGTGTGATGAGCAATGTGATAGCTCACGCCAGTGGCGTGAATCGGACGGGACGACGCAGGTACCAGATTACCTTTTGCATTCGCAGCCGTCCACAACATCTGACAGCCATTCACACGCCATGCCGTGAGCAAGCGCGAAGGCAAAGGGCATTCGCAGAGCAGAACCCCACAGTCAGCGCCACTGTCCGTGTCGGTAGGCCCTGGATGCGGTGTGGGTGCACAATCGGTCTCTGTGCGGTATACGCACCCCTGCCATGCGCCCTGGTAGGTCGGATGCCTTTGGAAGGAGCCTCACCACCATGACCCGGATCGTGACTTTGCGAGCCTAGACAGGTGTTTGCCAGAGACCATAGTTGACATGATTCGCACAAAGTTTATCATCCGGGCGTTGATCACAAACCTCAATGCGCTCGCGCCTCTGGCCGCTGGCGTCGTAGTATTCATGCTCAGCTGTGGCCGACCGACCCACCCAAATGTGGCTCAGCAGTGCAGCCCAGATGGACGAGTCGCACTTTTTCGTATCTTCCCTCGGCTTGCCCGTCTCTCCACTCAAGGACGAAATGTCATCACTCGCCGCCATCAATGCGCACAGGAAAAGGGAGCCTGATACCGCCACGGCGAAGGTCTCTGCCTTTTGCTCTGGGCCTCCCAGCTTTGGGCATGAAAACCTCCCCTGGTGGATATGGTTACAATTATTCAGTACGAGTGAGGGACCTACTAGTGTAGGACCTAAGACACGGACCGTGCCTACGATCAGCAGCGGTCTATAGCAATTAATCATGGTGTTGGAATACAGAAAGCGAGGGTTCAGTCTTGCATGATCGGGTGGAGGCGAGACGGACAGTCTACACTTCCATGTCTAAGGGGTGCATTCAGCCTGGAATTGCATTTGCGCCGACCTTCCCAATGACGCATCGCATCTGTGGTCATCTCATAGGCGTCCTGGATGTGCAGGCGGAGAAAGGCCTCAAAAGGAAAGCTTTCATGGGCCATGGCTGGCAACATTGCTGCCAATGGGGGACCGTAGGAAGTGTTTCACCTGTGCAGTCTACGCCTGCACCTGCGTTAGCTGCAAAAATTAGGGGTGGTCAAAGAACATCGACGGACCTGCATTAGACCATCCAATCAGCGCACGTAGCGCTGGAATTCTGAATGCTCTTATGCGAACGTGAAACAAACTCATCTGCGTCTAAGGACTAGTCAATGGATGAAGAGGGGACAAATGAAGTTGGACTTCGCGCGTATGTTGGCTCTTTGCAGAAAGCAAGGTATGCATGCTTGACCAAGACGGAAGATCTATCGATACACCATATGCGGGCCTGACGTGCTCACATGCAGAGACCTAGGGAACATGAGAAGTCATCACTAACCTTGTATTGGCGCTTTGAATAGCAACTTTACCTATATTCAGATATTGTTCACGATGGCTGTTTCTCGCAAGTCCGCTCGAGAGAATAATTCCGCCCCAGAAAAATTTCGAAATTTCATTGAGAGACAGCCTCTGTTTAACATTTGTCGGCTTGGAAAGGCAGTGCAGTATAACACAGGCTGCATTCTTCGGCAAGGGCAGCGACAGGTGCATAGAGTCGCACAAGGGTCGCTGTTGTCCTTTCTTCGTTAATGTGTACTCAGTGGTGCATGCAGCGTGCGACAAACCAAAGTATAACAGGCAGACGTCTTTCATGGGAATGCGTCTTGTTCATGCGATTCCCATGCAATGATTTGATCTCTTTCGTACAGAAAGAGATATCGGTGACGGACTCCAACCCATTATGATTCACCGTCTGAGTATTCATTCCTACTCTTGCCTCCATCTACGGAGTACACGCTTGATGGTGAGCAGGCGCGCATCAGCAGCGTGCAAGACAACTTCATTTTACGCTATCATTCGAGTTCCGTCAAGCTCTGCATCGTGGCTAATCGTTTGCGTCCTTCTTGCAGCGGACTTTGCGACTGTGAATGAGGTCCGTCCAGCACCCTATACATCAGGGTAGTTAGATGCAGTCAGCCTTCCCAGTTCCATTTGTGGGGTTTGACTCTTTAGGAATCTGACTGTACGGAGTGATCCGTACCCTAAATGCTAACTTTACTCTCGCCACAAATTCCCGCCGCTACTACCATAATTGTACGATCATGGAGTACCTGCATGTCGCTTGTGCTGTGCCGGTGAACTTTTTATATCGACAGCTGCTTCCTTTGAATCCTGCGTGCAGAGAAGCCATCGTGTCAACATTCATTACTGGTACCACATTCGCGAGTAATGTAGCACACAAAAAGCTGACAACAGCCATAAGCGCTTTATACGTAAGTATACTTCCGTAGTCTCCCCCGTATAATCGTGTAAGAACAAAAGTCCGACGGGAGGAACACTGGGCTAAAGTAAAGTTTTCTCCGGCCGTGTAGATGGGATGGGTATCGTGCAGCACTGCGCCTCGCCTCGTACAGCTGGGACAACATCGCTCCGAAAGACACCAAAGAGGCTGTGTATACCTCTGGGCGGTCACACACGGTTATACCAGTTGCTTCTGGTCGTCATTCCGCTCGTATGATGTTAACATTCAAGTCGTACAGCCAATTTTCCTCGTACTTTAAATTTGGTAATACGTCGCTGTATCAAGATACGACGAACGCATTCTACGACCCGCCCAGTCATTTTAACAAAGCAACTTTCATAGATTGTTCAGTAAATTCAACAGATAATACATATGGACTGGTTATCCATCGCATACATAGTACATGGTTAGCATATCTGGAATGATGGATATGGTCTGACGTTTATACCATGGCTAACCGCATAGTATGCAGTCAAAATGAGAATTAATGTGTACGTTAGATATTCCATTCATTTGGGAATTCTATAGAGTTGTCAATTACCCGACCTGTTCATTATGGAACGATAAGAATATTCTATACAAATTATTTATATTGTATCCTGTCTCGACTTTTTTGATCTCGCAAAGATAAATGTATCACAAGTTGACAAAATTTAACATAGGACGCAAGAATCGTACAGGTTAATTGTCCAAACTTACAGTCACAATGTCACTACTCCGTACTGATCAAGTAAATATGTTTTCCGAATACACAATATGCTGCGGAAAGAGCATCACTGGGAGAGACGAAGATCAATACATACATCCCCCCCCCCCCAGAACTAGCCTGATCCAGTATCCCGAAAACCAGGCATCAATCCCGAGCAAAGAGTCATCAGTATGGTATATCAAAACAACATCAACATCAACATCACCACGCGACACACGACACTATTTCCAAACCCCACCCTTTATCTGCTAAGTTCTTACAACTAGATCAATACACTGTAAGTGACGGCAAACCGCAAGCATCTACAAAACATCACGACAAAACTCCCTTCCATCTTCCCACCGAGAAAAAACCATCCATATACACACACACACACCTCAACACTCTAACATCAACCTTGAAGCTTCCAATCCCCCCCC